TTATTAAAAACATTGCTAGCATATTATTGCTTTTTATGCTAAGGAAAATTTATAAGTATCCCTACTTTTAGGTAATTAGGAAAGTCTTCTTTAAGTAATTATTTTTTTATTAAACTACCTTATTAATAATATTTTAAAGGAAGAGAAAGTTTTTATTTATATTTTAAATATAAAAAAGAAAGGGAGTAAGCTTATTTATAATATGAAATGTTAATGGTTTTGCTAAAGTATTAACTTATATTATATTAAATAACTTAATAAGTAAGCTTAAGTTAAATTATATTTATGCTTTGCTAGCTTATATAATGTTTAAATATATGGAAGATACTTAACGTTATAAAGCTTGGAATTGCTTATATTTAATTATTAAGAACATTGCTATATTTATATTTAGCATAATGCCTTAATATTGCTAATAAAAGTATTAATTTTAAATAATAAATATTTTTATTATTAAGCAATCTTTAAAGTTAATATAAATATTAAAGCCGCTTATGCTATTAAAAAAGTTATAAAGGAAAGCTTAGTTTATTAAAAAGGTATAATAAATATACCCCTTTTTACCATTATTAATAGCTAAAGTTATTATAATGCTAACAACTTTAAAGTTAAGACCTTTAAAGTTAATAAGAAATGTATTAAACTTATTATTATTAATTTATTATTTAATATCCTTATATATATAAATATATATAGCTTTAATACGTTATTAATCTTTAAGTAAGTAATTTATTAATTAATATTCCTCTTTATAGCATATAAAATACTTCTTTTTTCTACATTATATATTGCTATTATTACCTTTATTAAGCCAATATCCGCTATTATAGCTACTTTTATAAGGTTCTTTATTATAGCCGCCGCCTTTAAATTAATAGGGCTAGCTTAGGTAAAAGTTAAATTAAAAGCCATTACCCTTAAAAAGAGATTAAGAGTACCTTAAGCATTAATTATTATTATTATATTACTTATTAAGATAATATTACTTTTTAGTATTTATAATAGCTAAATCATTATTATTTTAATTATTATAATTATTAACATAGCCTTATTTATAAGCTTATTAATTATTTCTTGCAATTATATATTATAATATAAGGTTTTAAGCCTTTAATGCCTTAATATATTATTGCAAGATAAAGTAAAGTTATTTAATATTTATTAGCGCTATTAAGATAGCATAATGGAATTTAAGAATGCCTTATATTACTTATAAAATTATATTTTATAAAAAGCTATCCTTATAAGTAATATATTTAAGTGCTTTATAGCAAAGCTATATTTTATTAATAAGCATTTAAAGAATGTTTATGTGATTCTTATTTAGGTTTCTTTATTAAAAAGTAAAGAAAGTTAAAATATTTTAATTTATAAAATAGTTATAATGATTATTATCTATATTAAATTAATTCTTAAGTTTTTTATATGCTTAAGTAAATAAGTTCTTTTAATTAATAACTTAAGTATAATATATCTTTATTAATCCCTTAAGTATATATAAAAGAGCTGCCTTAAATTATTAAGGCTAAATTTATAGGTTATTGCAGGCCTTATAGAAAAAAAGGATCTTATTATTAAGAATATTATATAGTTCTTTAATAAATATTTTATTTTTATAGTAATATTTGCTTAAGTTAGCTATTATATTTAAGTTAAGTAAGAAGTTTTTTATCTTTATTAAAGGTAAGAGGGTATAATAATTATATATTATATAAAAGTTATTAGCTAAAGAAAGGTTATTGCCTTTTCTTAATAAATTAAGAGGTCCTAAAGGGCTACCATCGCCTTTACCGCTATTATTAAATAGGCTAGGCGGTTTAAGTAATTTAGGATTAGGAAAATTATTATTATTAAGTGGTTCCTTAGCTTTTATTAGGGTATAATTAAAGTTAGGGATAATATAAATAATTAAATTATAACTTTAAATTTAATTAGTTTTAAATATAATGCAGTATTCTTGCTTTTAATTTGCTAGTTATTTAAAATAGTTTAGTGCTTTAAGAATATATATAAGTTTTCTTAAAGTATTTGCTCTTTAAGTATAAATGCCCTTAACTTAAAAAGTCTTTTTAATAATGCGCAATAAGTTTTTATTAATTTATATAAATATTAGCTTAGTTTAGCTATAAAAGTTTTTAATAAATGCCTTATATGCCTTATTATTTAATATATATGCCATAGCTTAAATTTAGCTTTAAATATAGGTATTTAAATATTGTTTATTATTAAGAGATCTTAAGGGATTTATTTATATTAAGAGATTAAGTATTTTAATAATGCTTTTAGGTATAAAAGTATAGTTTATTATAGTTAATATTAATGGATTATTTTAGCTAGTAGTATTGCTTATTGTATTTATTATTTTATTATTTTAATAAAGTGATAATAGGGGTATGTTTAATTTAGGAAAGAAAGTAATAAGAAGGGGAAATAGATAATGTTAAGGGAAAATAAAGAAATTAAGGGTTATTTTTATAACTTGGCCGTTAAGAGGTAAATTAATTCCTTTCTTTATATTTATTTATATAATAGGATATAAGTAAATATATTATTAATAAAAATAGATATTAATTTAGTTCTTTTAATTATGGCTATTAAATTTAAAAGTTATTATTAAGATTATTTAAGGTGTGATGGATGTGCATATATTAAGGGTAGGGGAGTTTGCTATAATTTCTTATTATAATAATTACTTCTTTATATATTGGGTATTATTATTATTATAAATTGCGCTATGTAGATTTGCAATGTTAATAATGCTAATTAATATAATTAGAAGGTTATTTCTTTAGGCCTTGTTAATTTATAATTACCCTTGCAATTATTAATTAATATTGGTTGAATTATGTATTGCAATATAATGTTTGGTTGGTATAGTAATTAATTGTTATTAACTATGGAAGGAAGGAAGGTAAAAGGCTTAATTATGCTAGCTATTTTATATGCAGCGCTAGGGCTGCTACCTGCCGGGCATTTTAATGGGCTAAAGCTGCCTAGTCCTAAACAGTCCTCTATACAAACAACACCCATTATTCCCACATATATATAATTATAATAAATATATAATAATTAAATATAAGCTTTATATTTAATAATATTATTTTCTTTAAGTAAAAAATAATAAAATTATAATTTCTTTATATAAAACTTATATAAAGAGATTTTAAAAGCTTAATTTTATTAATATAAGCATATATAATTAATAAACATACTTTAAAATTAAGTAAATTATAATATATTTAATATTTTATAAATAAAAGAAAAACTTTACTTAATTTAATTAATAAGATATTTTATAAAGTATGTAAAAAGAAAATCGTTAATATTACTATATAAAATACTAGTATTCCTTAACATCTTAAATTCTTTAAGTTTAAAAATCTTTTTAAAATATTATGCTTAAAACAGAATTTTAAGTTTATTTTCCTTTAAATATATAAGTAAAATGGTATAAAAAATATTAAGATTAAGATTTCTAGACTTTTTTAGATTTAATAAGAGGGGGTTGTAAAGTGGGTGTTTGTGTGGGAAAGGCGGCCGGGAAGGGGGGGGGGGCGGCCGGAATCGGGGCCGGGGACGTTAAAATCCCCCGAGCAATTGTCCTCGTAGTTTGAATTTGAACAACTAAATTGTGCAAGTCAGACTGGACACCTAGGTATTTGCCACTGCACCAGGCAGGAAACAAGTGCTCGAAGCTCGTAACATGGCCATGACAGAGGACGGGATGGCAGACAAAAACTGCAATTGACTATTCTCCATTTCTGGCTCAATGAGAGCCTTTTGACAAAGAGCGAATATACGAGGACAAGGGTGAAGACCTTGGTCGAATGACTGGCCTGTGCCGTATTGACCAGCGGGCGTGAGTCACTATAGCCTCACTTTTGCCAGTTGTGCACTTATGTGGCACCAAAGCAGAGAAGTGTTGTGTGATACCAGATCATCTGACCGGCGTATTGAAAGAAAGTTGGGTGCTTGTAAGCTTCGGCTTAGTTGTGAGCAGGCATCGCCGCGAGGCCCCGGCAGCACCGGGTTACGAGCTGACGATGGATGGTAGCCAGAAATAGGTCAGACCAAGGGGCGACGGATCACAAGTGCACTCTGGCTCGGGCTGCGCAAGTGCAAGTGTGGCGCAAACAAGCCACGCCAGATGGTGCCGCCGTCGACTGAGTGGACAGGCCACTGTGTGCGAAACACAGGATAAACATTTGAAAGGGTGCGGCGATTGCACCATGTAACCCGTGCAGACGGGTGGGACCCCACTTCCGGCAAGGTCAACCGAGGAGGGTGGACCCGCTGGACGGCCAAGCTTTCTGCTGGCCCCGGGTGGGCGTGCTGGCATTCCAGTCTGTTGCCCGGCAGATCCTGGCTGGTGCGGTGTCGAGTAGATTGGGCGGGTCTTTACTCCCATAGCATCCTGCGCGGGCTCGCTTATTATCGCTGCTGATCCTACCAACGGAGGCGAGCCCACCGTTGTGTTTTGCCTACAGTAACCATACAAGCTGCTAGACATGCATGTTGGACTACCCAGACTACCCAGACAACGTACTGGGTATTTTTCCGTCAGCCTGTTGATCTCTTTTTCCATATGGGCTCCGGTGGGTTCCATTATGTGATGGCCCCCCCCCCCTCGCCTCTCCGTCCCCATCTCGGTCTCAGTCATCATCGCCCTGCAGGTGAGGTGAGCCCTCGCCTCTGGTGGCCCCCCCGTTTCCCTGACTGCCAGCGTTATCCAGCGATGACTGCATGTATATCTGTTTGTGCTCCCCCATCCCATCCGTCGTTTATCTACTTTGGGCCGTCTGTCTCTCTTTTCCGTCGGCGCCTGCGCTACCTCGCCCACTGTGTAGAAGCAACGCTACTGCCCCCACGCCGTCCTCCCACCAGCCCACCTACCTACCTTTTATTCGTTTGAGGCTTTCGTGCCGACTGGAAACTGCAGGTCACCTCTTCGACCTGCTTTTCTCCCTCCCAGACCATACAGCACATCCTCTCCAGCCAGAATGCAGCTCAGAATCACAATATCAGCGGTTCTTGCCGCCGTCCTCCTCGGCAGCATGGCCTCGGCCAGTCCCGTCCCCTGCCCGGACGTCAGTACTACCCCTCGGTCTACTCTTCCATCGCATGCCAACATATTGCTAACATACGGACCACAGTCAAAGCGAGACCAGATCCTGATGGGCACCCTCGAGCCCGAGGCATGCTGCTCCTACGGCATCTGCAAAGGCGACGTCGTCGTCCAGGGCGGATGAGCGGCCGTCTATCGACATTGCACACAAATCCACTTCTCCTCGGGAGGCCGCAGTTCCTCTCGCGCGGCTTTTCCCCCTCTATTTTTTCTTTTCCTCTTCTTTTGGTTGGAACGGATTCACCGACAGGCAGCACGATCCCCACGAGCAAGATTGCGACGTTGCCGGGGGAATTGACGGGGGCAGAGCGATCCTAATCTCCAGCACGACATGCATTTTCACGGCGTTACCCGCGCAATTGGTGGCCGATCGTCCCTTTTGTGGGCCGGCCCAACGACTTGCCTTTCTTTCTACTCTATCACGATGACATCCATCAAACCCATTCACGGCGCAACGGCGGTAAACGTTTCTTCACACCCCTCGGCCCACCCTTTTTTGCGGCACTTACAATAGACATGATTGTATTCGACAATGCTTTCCAGAGACTCGGCATGAATTTCTTCTACATTTCTCAGGTCAACACGGCGTCCACTGGCATGCGACCACCCGGTGGGAAGAGCGGGGCCGAGGAGGGCAATTCATTCATGAAGGAGCTGCACACGATCCGGCAGGATGGGACGCACTGTGGGGCGGGCGAGGGTGTCTGGTGCGAGCCCAAACAAGACTTTGGCTGGAATGAACAAGCATGCTTCTGGTGCGGCTAAAATGTCGCCGAGGGGCCTGGCAGCCTGGGAAGGATCCGAACGACATTTCACATGGCAGAGCCAGCGGCCGGCTGCATTATCGCGCATTAGATACCAAAATATCGCCGAATGAGAAGGCCCGGTCAAATTCACCAGTCCCCATCGCTGCCATCACCTTCCAGACCCAGAGTCCATTCCAATGACACGATCTCTTGTGGCCTTTGGGCAGACCTGACTTGTGGCAAGCACTTGGTTTTTCGGGGCTGACTTTAAGCACCGCCAGCGCTCCCAAGCTCATGTCACCAGTCCGTTATCTATTTGCTCATCGGAGTTCTTACACGGGTCAAATGCAGGGTTCACACTCATCAGCACGCAACCAACTGTACGCAGAAATTTGATTCCATTTTTGGGCCTATTAACCCTTGGCGGATGGCCTCAGTGTCCTATCGTGAGACGAGCCGCATGCAGCCACGTCTAGGCAAGTTGCCCGGGGGGGGGGGGGTTTACGATCCTCTCTAGAGCCGTGTCTCGTATTCCTCATGCCCCGTCTCGTGTCACCATGAGCATCCTCGCGATTCTGTCAGCCCTCAGAATCCCCATTCACTTTAGTGCTCCTGCAACAGCGCCCATACGTGTTTCTAAAGTCGTTTAAAATTCCGTCGCATGTGAAGTCTTTAACAAGCCCAACGCCATCCCGCTCTGTACCGCTTGCTGTTCTCATCATTCCGATTCCGTGAATGTCTTCGAGTCTATGACAAAACCGTAATTGTTCTTGTAAACATCATCAGCTAAGGTGATCGATCATAAGACAGACGGTGTGTCAGACGTGGCGTCCCCGCCCGGCCTGAACGAGTGGCTCAACGTTGCATAGGTGGATGCCTCAGGTTCAAGGGCAAGGCGGAAAAGAGGGAAAGAGCAGTACAATCAATCTGAATGCGCCAAGACAGAACGTTGAAGTAAAGGATTACTCACCGCGACATTCGCCAAACAAACCTCGGCCGCGCCCTCCGTCCTGGTCGCGCAGGCGTCCTCGACCAGGACACAGTCCCAGCCAGCATTATAAGCATCCGTCAGCGTCCCCAGCACGCACTGGTCCGTGTTGACACCCGCGAACAGGAGCGTCTTCTTCCCGCTCTCCCTCAGGTACCCCCACAGCGGCTGCCCCTCAGACCACAGCCCGCTCATGCGGTTCTTGGCGCACCGGACGTCGTCCACCTCGTCGACGGCCCTCTTGAGCGGCTCGTAGAGCTCGGCGTTCCACTCCCCGGCGACGAGGCACCGGCCCTTGCCGCCGCCCAGGTCCACGCCCAGCCCCGCCGAGTCCTTCTCCCCGGCGACGACGGCCCGCGCGAACCCGCGCGCCACCCCGGCCGGCATCGCCGCGAGGTCCGCATCCGTGAGACCCCAGTTCAGCCACGCCACCTGGACCCCGGCCCCGCGGCAGCGCTCGATGACGCGCAGCAGGGGCCCCACGGCCGCGAGACCCTCCGGGTGCGAGCGGCAGGAAGGGTGCAGGAAGTAATTCTGCATGTCAATAACAACAAGGACCGCCGACGCCGGCGCGACCAGGATGGACGTGTCGGGCGGCCCGCGCGTGGTGCGTATCTTGACCGCGGCCGGCGGCGCGGGGCCGCCAGCAGCCCCGCGCGTGAGGTCGTATGTCCGGCTCTGCCTGTCATAGGTCCACTGGTCACCTGGGGGCCCGAATGCGATGGGCGGCGCGTCCGTCTTCGGCTCCATCACTCTGGCGCACGCGGCCCGCAGGTCTTCCTCCTCCGTGAGGTCTGGCGTGAGGGGCGGCGAGAAGACGCTCAGTGGGAGGCTCATTTGGTTTCAGCACTTTTCCCCCGCCTCGGGGCCTGCTTGCGCTCGAGGCTTTGTCGGCAGGTCGTGCAAATATTGCGCTCTTGTGGTCGAAGACTCGAGGCCCACCGAAAAACCGTCACACCAAAGGCATCGAGGCAGGAGATAAGCTGACGCAGGATGCGGGGACCCGAATGGTGGCGCCGTTGGTTCGATGCTCGGCACCGTCGCACCCGGTGGCCGGTTCCCGTATAGGCAAGGATGGATTCTGATTATGCGTTGCCGTGCAATGCATGCCAGAACCGGGGGTTGTGACTCGTCAATCATCTCTATTGATTCATGGCGTCTCGCTCATTTTTGCTCCAACACTCGGAGTCTGTGGTCAAAAACCAAAACAGTAAGGTAGAAGTCTCCGCCCAGACGCCTTGCCATGATCGCCGTAGAAAACTCACACTGATAACAACCCTCTTTGCGCCAACTCCAAGTATGTATGTGTGTCTTTCAATCGCCTCTGGCCCTCAAAACATGGATGAGCCCAGAACGTCTCCTCCGCGTGACAAATGACTAGTTCATGTCCATACCATCGTCGTCGTCTGGTTCCTCGGCCTCCAGCGACTGTGTCACGTTGCTAGAGATGCTTTCTTTCCTCCTCTCCATGTATGAGCCACCGCCTTCGAACATGTCGAGCTCCTCTCCGCCGATCACACGGCCCTCCGTGTCGATTTCTTGCGAGAGCTCTACAATCGCGGTTCGAGGAAGTCGCAGGAAACCCGTGGTGCGTACTATGCGACCCCAATGTGTCAAGCAGAACCCTGCTGCCCGCTTGCGCAGCCACTCCTCGTCTGCAAGGCCCGCGCAGTACCATATTATACAAGCATGGTCGACGTCTAGTTCACGACTGAGCCGGTTGACGCAGAGAAGACGTAAGTGCGGGATGTTGTAGATGTTGGACATCACCAGCAGCCCGGCAATGTCCGCGAGATCTCTACTGGGCCCGTCAACGCCCTCGTCCTCGGGTGCAGCATCGATGCGATCTGTATATAGGTAGTAAAGAAAGGCCTTCACCACTGTGTACGGCTCGGGAATGTGCATCTTTTTGTTGTGAAATTCGGCCATGTGTGAGTCCCACAGGCGTGCAAAGTGCGGCCAGCGAAGATATAGAATGAGACGATGCACGTGGATAGGTGGTGATGTCGGTGAATCCGGCGATAGCCACGTCTGGTCACCGTCGGCCACGTCAGTCGCCCGGATCAAGGCAGAGCCTAGCAAGTCTTCTTCGTTTGGGTCACCAGAAAGGGCTGTGACGATGAAATCCGCGCCACTCCCTGCCTCTGGGGGTTTGTTGAACGCTTTTGCGAGGTCTGCGCCCAGACCCTTGGAGGGTGTGTCCACGCGACGGGTCCTTCCCATGGGTTCTGCAAGTTCGGTCCGCGGCTGTGGCGTCAGGTTGTTGCCGAGAAAGCCGTATCTGCGCAGGTCAATCTCCATGATATCACTCAGCTGCTCCTCAAAACCGTTCGCAGCAACGTCGAGGGCAGAAGCGTCGGTGGGGCAACCCAACAGCCACGCTTTGGTGCCATCTTCGTTCATTGTGCAATAATGCCACCTGAATCCAGACTTGAAGACTTCTCGGCCTTCCGCAACTTTTTGCCACCGAAGCTCTCCCAGTTCAAGGGCGTACAACGCGCATTCCTTGGAAGTGATTGTCGCAGCTGGTGTCACGAAATCAAGCAAATTCCCAGACGAGTAGACGTGGAAGTGGATGCCGGGTCCTTGTGAAGGTACGTTCGGGCCGGATATGAACTTGTGGGAATGTATCAGGCCAGGTGCCATGGGTGCGTAAGTCTTGATCTGGAAAGACGGAGTGTTGACCTGCTGCGTCCGAGAGTTGGCTGCGTAACCAGATGCACCGACGATCGGGGACTGGCCCATCGTATATGGTGGCCTGGGAGAGCTTTCGCCACGGCTGCCCAGCCCCGGCCGCTCGTAAGTTCCAAACTGAGGCGCACTCTCGAATGCGGGACTGCCTTTCAGGTCAAGCCACCACAAATCACTGACTTTGTCCATATCTTCGCTCAGACCACCGAATACCCAAATTCTGTCGCCCCTACGATATGTCAGTACCAATGTTCTCAGAATGATCGACTAGGTATCGAACTAACCAGATATAAGCCGAGTGATCGAAACGACCGACGAAACGCCAGGCGCGGGACCAAGTAAAGGTTTTGAGGTCAATGTAGCAGATGTCGTCCAACACATAGTTGTCATGACCCGTGATTCCTCCGATTATAAAAAGTTTGTCTTCGTGTAGCAAGGCGGAGTGACGTGCGCGGCCTTTCGGGATGGGGCCAGTCACCTGGGGTTGTGTCCAGTGAGCGGTCTTGAGGTCGAAAATGATGAGATCGGAAAGGTAGGTTCTGTGCTCGTTCTCGCCGCCGAACACAAGAAGTTTGTCGCCTTGATACAAGCTTGCGGTATGGCCTAGACTGCAAGTCAGAAAGGAGGTGGTGGTGAGCGGCCTCCAGCAATTGTACGTACCCATGCGCACCCCCGGGATGTCTCCGTAGTTATCCACCAGACTCCATTGATGGCTGACGATGTCAAGCCGAAGAACGTGGTTGTAGACTTCGTCAGTGTACTGGTCGAACCCGCCAAAGGCGTAGATCTGGTTGTTCCCACAGTACGTCACAGAGGCATTGACGAGACATGCAGGACGCTGGCCCAGAGTGCGCGTCACCTTGGGCCTGTATCCGTCCGACGCGGCTTTCTTCATTGGAGAGCTGGGCATGATGTAGGTGTTGTTGCCCGACGAGCCAGTGGGTGGGGTGCGACTCGTAGTGAAGGGCACGAGGGATGTGGACGGGCCTGCTGCTGTTAATGCAGACGACGATGCCGCTGGTGGTTGACCGCCCCCAAAGAGAGGCTGCGGAGTGGAGGGATCCGACATCGTGTAGGAGTGCGATGGGATGGGGTGTGCTGGAAAAGTTTGACTGTTCACAGTGACAGCATCTCGAACGATGCAAACTGCTACCAGGGCGGATGCCAAGTCAGTCACAGGCGGTGGTCTGGCTGTATTCTTCTCTCGCCACCGCTCGTCGAGTTGTTCGCGTCCGTGCTCAAGGGTCGGCGAGGCTGAGAATTGGTCGTCCGTCACATGGAACAGCAAGCGCGAGCGAGCCTAGGCGTGTGGGCGTATACGTGGAAATGACAAGATAGAGAGCAATGCAGACTGCTAGTACTCTATTAATGCGCGATCGCAGATGGGATGGGGCAGCGACGGTTGCGATGGAGTGTTCCCCCTGATGTGACGGAAAGAGCCGACTTGGGCTGAGACCTTGGAAATCCGTGCCTGGGTAACGCCAGAGCAGGGCAGGGGTTCCGCATCGGGCGAAGTCAGCGCGGCTGGACCCTCCAGCCGCGAGGACCCCTGCCCGTCCGTTTGCACCGGGTGATCCTCACGCCCTGTAAGCCATGCCCTGTCCCTGATGTACCTCAAAGTCGTCGCCGTATCAACGGCCTGGCAAGTGATTTTAGCGCGCCCCTCAGACACTGCGGTCTGTTTATGTTCATCTTTCCCCTGGAAGTCTGACGACAGACTATTTGTATTCTTCATGTTCCTCCACTAAATCGGAACGACGATGATTTTTCCTTATGGGACAAGAGACGGAGTATTCTGTAGACAATTATAGATGTTTTCACTACCTAGGTATACAAGGCTTCCGACAGTGACGAGTCAATCTTCTGCAAACCAGCGTTGTGTCAGAACTTTCCATTTCGTGCCAAAGGTCTTAGCGTCGGGGCGTGGCCACGTCAAGCCATCAAGGTTGGAAATCATCAAGGTCGAAAGCCAACAATAGCCACCCGTCTTTCCAATCCAGTTTGACACCGTCAAGAACTACGTCAAAGTGCCTCGCAAAGTGACTCAGGCCTTCGAGTTGCACCAGAATGGGCAGATGCTATTTTGAGCTTAGCCAGAGAGTCGCTTTCAATAGCCCCGCATCTACTCCAAGTGACCCTCAAGCGCGTTGATTGAACTTGCACGGTGCGCAATGTAATCTGTGCGGGGAAGGTAGCCTGGGAAACCAATCTCCAAAGGTTCAGAGCCCCAAAGGTCCAGGCCCCCTAAAGTACAAGGCCCTCAAGGTTCGTTGCCGTGCCAGCACTCAGACCTACCCCACATCTTGTTTACTTTTTAAGACCTGGGCTCCCATCTATGAGACTGAGATCCCAGTTTCCTCCTCTAGACCATCTTCACGTACACGCACACATACACACATCTCTCTATTTCTCACCACCTCTCTCGACCTCTCTCTCAAATTCATCGCTGCTGCATACCGAGAATAAAAGCAGTTGCTACTGCAACGCACACCATCACAGCAGTTGCCACTGCATCTTCAGTCAAAATGGCTACTCCTTCAGTATCAACTCCTCTCAAGTCCCACACGGGGCTCTTCTCCTCCCGCACCGCCGGCGGTCGCATGCCCCTCACTCCGTCGCCTCGGTCACGCTCTACAACTACAACGGTGGCCGTCAACCTGAAGTCATCACCTTTCACACCAGAGCGCACAAGCCAGACCGACGCTCAGCGAGCGTCCCACAAGTCAGTCTACGGAGGAAACCTGTCGGCACATCTCGCTCGGTCGAGTGCCAAGTCAAGACCTTCTCAGCAGAACTCGCCCAAGTCCAACATTGCTCGCTCTACTGCCACCCCCAAGAAGGCACTCGAGCTTGGAGTGTCTGACTTTACCTTGACTGGAACGGGCAAGCACAACCAGTGCAAGTCCCCTGCCGGCGCCAAATCCAAGTCGACCTCCGCCAAGTCGACCTCCTCCAAGTCGACCTCGTCCAAATCGACGACATCCAAATCAAGGACCAAGGCGGTTCCTACCCACGCCGCCGATCGCTTCATCCCCAACCGTGGTGCCAGCTCAGCTGTCGCTAACGCCGGCTCTGGGAAGCTCGACGGGCCCTCCAAGAAGAAGAAGGTCACCATCGGCTCTGGCTCATCTGACATCCTGTCCGCGGCTGCTGACGACGCCATCGCTGCCCTTGAGAGCTTGAGCATGGACCAAGAGGCGGACACGTCTTCCGAAGACGTCTCGCGTCCATCTCCCAACACCGTGGCGTACCAGGACTCCCTCGCGAACGCTTGTGGTGTTAGCATGAACACACGCATCCTCGAGTTCAAGCCTGCTCCACCCGAGTCATCAAAGCCCATCGACCTCCGCAAACAGTACAACCGGCCCATCAAGCCAGCCAGCGCCAGCTCTGCCCAGTTCCGGCGTCGAATCGCCACAGGTCCCGACCGGGTCTTGGATGCACCTGGCCTCATTGACGATTACTACCTCAACCTCCTCGACTGGAGTTCCGGAAACCAGGTCGCCATTGGCCTCGAGCGAAACGTCTACATCTGGTCCGCCGACGAGGGTGCTGTGAGCTGTCTGCTCGAGACGAGCCCTGACACTTACATCAGCAGCGTCAAGTGGTCCGGCGATGGTGCCTACGTCGGCGTTGGCCTTGGTACTGGCGAGATCCAGATCTGGGATGTCGCTGAGGGTGCCAAAGTCCGCAGCATGTTTGGCCACGACACTCGCGTTGGCGTCATGGGTTGGGACAAGCATTTGCTTTCCTCTGGTGCACGAAGTGGTCTGGTCTTCAACCACGACGTCCGTATCGCCGAGCACAAGGTCGCCGAACTCGTCTCTCACACCTCAGAGGTTTGTGGGTTGGAGTGGCGCTCTGATGGACAACAACTTGCTACCGGCGGCAATGACAATCTCGTTTCCATCTGGGATGCTCGTTCCCTGTCCGTGCCCAAATTCACCAAGACCAACCACAAGGCTGCTGTCAAGGCTCTTTCTTGGTGCCCCTGGAACACGAACCTGCTCGCCACCGGAGGTGGTTCCTACGACCGTCACATCCACTTCTGGAACACGACCTCTGGAGCTCGGGTGAACAGCATAGATACGGGGTCCCAAGTCACCAGCCTGCGCTGGAGCCCTCACCACCGCGAGATTGTCAGCTCGAGCGGCTTCCCCGATAACTCCCTGACCATCTGGAGCTACCCGACCCTTGTGCGAAATATCGACATCCCTGCTCACGAGAGCCGAGTGCTGCACAGCTGCCTCAGCCCTGACGGACAATCGCTGGCAACCGCAGGTAAGCTTCACCTGATACCTTTTTCAACCGTCTAACAATACTAACATACTATTTTGCAGCCGCGGATGAGAGCTTGAAGTTCTGGAAGCTTTTCGAGAAGAAGCCTGGTGCGACTGGACTCGCAGGTGCTGGCTCCTCCAGCAAGGCCGCCATGGTCAAGCATATGACGATTCGTTGAAATATCGCAGCAAGGTAAGCTTCACCTTACACCTTTCTCAAGTGTCTGACCATACTAACAAGTTTTCAAGCCGCAGATTAGCGCTTAAAAGTCTGTAAATTTTTTTTTTTTTTTTTTCTTGAGAAGAAGCCTGGTGCGACTGGACTTGCCGGTGCTGGCTCCTTCAGCAAGGCGCCATGGTTAAGTAATGACGATATGTTGAAATACAGGGCAGCGGTGTTCACGGCGTTTGTTTAGTCCTTTGAAGTGTAGTGTAGGTTCATAGATATGAATACATCTCTGTTCCCACAGCGTATCTCATGCGAAGTCATCCCACAAGAGGTTATCCTGTAGCAAGTCGCCCCTCCCGGTAACTGGCCCCTTCTTGCCCTCGACTTCAAGGCTGTCAACAGTACGGAGTGACTCTTCCGACGAGTCCTTGCTGCACACCTTTGATTATAGAGCACGACAATAGGCGCCACCGCTCAGGTTTCACAAACGCTCACTGCTGTGCATCTCTAACATGCTGGTCAGCTCTTGGAATCATGGATACACATCGAGTGCTACCAGCAGGCGATTGCTAAGCGCACCAAGCCCAAGAGTCTTGGCAGCGTTCGGAGCGCGCTCCACCTCGGGCTTTCGCCCTTGAGGCCATGCTGCCGGGATGCGTCAGCCCGCTCGCCCGCACAGCGACTTTAGTAACAATGCACCTAGGTGTCAGGGGCATCCACAGCCTCAGCTGGGCTCCCGCGCGCTTGAGCCTTGTCTGGACTTTGTACGACTGCCTCCGAGCACACCCTCTTGTGGGGAAGCCTGGCCGTGCGGCTTAGTGATGCTCGCGCGAGTAGCTTCGACGACAACGACGACTGCTCCTGCTAGTGCCCTACGAGAGTGTTCGCGTCAGGATGCTGGCGCCAGCCATGCGGGGAGTAGGTGTTGATGTGTATAAGTAGGCCGGTCTGTCTCTGGAATGAAGGTTATTGGAGTTCTTGTTCATCAGACATCATCATCATCATCTACTAAACCTGAATATAAACATTCAACCTCATATCTCACCAGCTCGCAATTGTGCAATCACCAATATACTGCGTTCTTCCCAAGACACCTACCTAGTTCACCATCAAGATCATTCGCAATGGCCTCCAAGAAGATCATAACCGTCTTTGGCGCCACTGGCAAGCAGGGTGGCTCTATCGTCCGCACATTTCTGAAGGATCCCAAGCTGAAGAATGCCTGGGCCGTCCGTGGAGTCTCCCGGAGTGTGGAAGGCGAAGGGGCTAAGAAGCTGGCCGCTCAGGGGGTCGAGGTTGTCGCTGTAAGTCCACACTTTGACGAACGCCTCCTGTCAGCCAACATTGATGGCTAACATGTATGTGTACAGGCCGACATCAATGGTAAGCCGTCCCTGGTCAAGGCGATGACGGGGGCCGCGGCCGTGTTCACAATGACCAACTACTGGGAGAAGATGGACATGGAGCTCGAAATCCAGCAGGGCAAGAACCTTGCCGACGCTGCCAAGGAGGCCGGAGTCAACCACTACATCTGGAGCTCCTTGCTCAACGTCACTAAGCGTAAGTCCCGTCCCATGCCACGCCTTGCCCACGGCCACCGGCTTCGCTGAGGGAAGGAAACCTGCTCACACACCCCCCCCCCCCCCCACAGTGACCAACGGCAAGCTGCCACACGTGTACCACTCCGACAGCAAGGCGCAGGTCGAGGACTTCGTCCGCGAGAATGAGATATCTAATTGGTGGTTGAATAGCTAAGCACATGTAGCAGGTGTAAGTAACATCTTTGTCTCTGGCAATATCCGGTCCCTCACCCTTCTCTGATTAGCAACACTGGTCGTCCATCTTCCAAAAAACATTCGACGCCCCCCGCCCCTTCTCTGGCAAGCAACGCTACTCGTTGATCTTCACAGTTTTCGACGGATGACCTCTCCCCCCGACAATGCTCGCTGCCAGTGCCCATCCTGTTGTGGCGCACCCAGACTAGCTCTTCTTGGCCCTGGGCTTCTTCAACTTCGGCTCAGCACCTTCGATCCCATGCTCGCCGGGTTGTCCTTGAACGCCGTCCAAAGTAAAAGACGGTAGGTCATTCTCCTCACCGAGAGCCACAAAGGAGGGTCCCTGAGTCTTCCGCCTCTTGGCATTGCCGCCCGGCCCGAGCACCTCGGTCTCGAGAACATACGTCTCCATGCGACCCTCCCGATCGGCTAGTTCCTAAGCATCCTTGGCGTCCATCTTGTATGCGGATATTAAATGGATTATTATGTGAGCTTTGGATTTGAATAGTGTCTTGCTGATGCATATAGGCATGACGCACTCCTGCGTGAGCCACCGGGTCTTCTTGGTAGGAAGGGGTAGGTATGGCAGGCATGCTTCCGCTGTTAAGAGGCTGTGTTTTACCTTTTAGGTGGTAAACCAGAGTTGGCCGGGAGATGAAGTCCTTTGTTTTGGGGCAGCCGGGGAAGAGACATTTTGAGGGCCAGCGACCGCTGTGCACATTCGTCCTGTGCGTTTTAAACGCACTATCGCTTTAATAGATGACTCCGTCGTCGCAGTCCTTGCATGCCTTGGGGGTCTAACCATGCGCGTGTAAGATGTGTTTCCTAAGACTCTTATTGCCTCCAGAAGTCTCAAAGGTACATCCGGGGTGGGTGCATTTCAGGATATCCGCACCAGGCTGCGCGACCTCCTTGCTCCTCGCCTCAACAAGTAATACGTTGCAGGACCACTCGTGCTGCTGGATCAGGGCGAGTTTAATGGCATTATAGTTGCAGCCCTTGGTGCGCCGATAGTTAAAGACATAAGGCGTAGGGTTGTCATGGGAGTTCCCCCTCGTTAAGTGGTGGCCGATCGACTCCTCAAAGGATACGTGCTCTTCGGAGAATAACCTCTATTTACTGGCAAATAAGGTGTTGTTCACGACATTGTGCCTTGCGTAGCTGTTGATCCACTCCGCGGGGTTGTTGGACGCCGTCCAAACGGGCGGCAGGCTCTCACTGTTACCCTGCTGCTGAGGCTGCTCCTCTTCCTGGCCGAGTAGCACGCGGGCGGCCTCCTCCACGTTGCCTTGGATGGCAGCATCCGAAGCCACGCCTCGGAGGGCCCCCTGGAGGTCCTCAACCCCATCACCCTCTTCCGTCCCCCCGTGCTCCTGGTCGACGGCGGCCGTACCTGCTGCTTCCGGGGCACTGGGAAGAATGACAGCCTGCAGGGCGTCGACGTCTGCCTTAGCCACCTCAAGGGATGCCAGGGTCTCTTCGTCCAGAAGGATTGGGTTGATGTTCGACAGAAAGACGAGATCCTTACTGGTAGTTACCCCCTCGCCATAAGTCGAAGTGGTGGTAGCAGTAGTAGCAGTAACACGACCACTCGCGTGTAAGCCTGACGATGGCGCAGCAGTGAAGGAGGCCGCTTCTTGGTCAACCTCAACAAGGTCGTCACGTCCGACGTGTGACTTGTTCGTCGGACGGGTGGTGGTGGTCTTCTTTAGCAGCGGCATGTCTTTCGCCTGTGCGTAGGGTGGCGGCCGTGGTGGAGGAGCTGGTGCAGGGTAGGAGATTGCTGCTCCTGCTGCTGCATTAGACGCCGTCTAACGCAGAGCTGGCTCCGCTGCCGCTAAGGTGGCTAGGACTTCACGACGCTTGCAGCGGACGCTGTCCCGAATGCTCCTCCCCGTGGCGCCTTTCAAAGAGGTAACGTCCTAGCTGGGTTTATGCTTATCAGCGTATGCTTGCATTTCTTTGGCTAATATACGCTTTTAAACCACCTCTTAATAAGCATTCTTATTAAGGGCAAATTTTAATTTTTAATAATAGGAAACCCCTTTGCTTTTAGCCTTATTATTATAAAGGTCTTAAGTTATATTATTAATATAACTCTTTATAACCTTTAATTATATATAATATCCTTAATATTTAACAATATACTTAAAACCTTTTTTCTTAAATAAATATAATTTTATAAAGCATTAAAATATAATAAATGCTTATAAACCTTAAATAATATCCTTAAAATAAGCTTTATTTATTTTATAATATTATATATTTAATAACGTCAAGCACTAACGAGCAAGCCACCCTAGCGAGCAAGCCACTTTTCCACAAACCGCTTTAGTTTAACTTCTCGATGCATTTTCTCGCGTCATATCTTATAATAAATAAAACAAAAGAAAGCGATATTTAATTCATTATTTAAGCTATTAAATTTAACTTAAAATTAAGCATTTAATGCGTGGCAAAGAAATATAATATCCCTTGCTTAACCCTTACTTATAAAATAGCTAGCTAAATTGCATAATGCAATACCCATCTTAATAATAAGAAATTAATAAAAATAAAAAAGGAGGTGCTTATTTAATATATACTTAATTAGGATTCGCAAGGATATTTATTTATTTTTAAGGATGTTAAAGATATAGCGAATTCCTTGCTTTGCAATTATAGCGGCGGCGCTATTGGCATTAATTAAATAAAAAGACTTATCTTATTAAAATTATGTTTTAAAATATGCATTAATTATATATATAATTATTAAAGGGCCTTATGTAAAGATCTTAATGTAATAAATGCATGGTTTAACCTTGTATTTAATATATATAAGAAATATGGGATCCTTAATTATAATACTTATAACTTTAATAAGTTAGGCTTTATAATAAGTATTAAATTACTTAAAATAATAATTATATATTTTAATTAGCAAGGATAAGCAAAATAAATATAGCTTGGGAATTGATAATAAGCAATAGCTATTAAATTAATTAATGGGGATAAGTAATGTAAATTGCTATTTTTAATTATTAAGGCTAAGATATACCTTGCAAGTTAATATATTAAGGGCGGCCTTTTAAATAATTAAATAATTAAAATAAGCTTAAATGGATAGATAAGTAATAAAATTGCCATGAAATGGATTTAATATTTTAAAAAATATATTACATTATATATAAAGGGCATTTATTAGCTATTAATCCTTAATAAATATAAGAGCTATTATTTTATGGATTTTAAGCAATATTATAAGGTAAAGAATATTATCACTTTTTATATACCTTTTCATTCATTTTATTTACTTTAGCCATTAAATATTAGGTATTTTAATTTATTAAAGAAGGCATATAATATAAAAATTACTTAGTTTAGCAAGGCTTAAATTACTTATATTAATAAGATAGAATTCTTTCTTGCTTTTTATGCTATATATAATAGGGTTTTTAAGCCGGAAAGTATTAAAGGAGGTTTTTAAGGGGTAGGTTTAATACCTTATAATTAAAAAGCTATATTTTCCAAGCTGGATATTAAGATTTAAATATTAATAGCAATATTAAGCTTCTTATTTTTACTTGCATTTTGAGTTTCTTAAACGTTATATAACTTAATGTAAGTAGTTTCTTAATTAACTTTAATTAAGAATTAAATCTTTTGTTATTAGGGAAGCTCCTTAATATTAATTTTATTTACTATTAACTAATTATTAAAGGATATATAGTTATTAGCCTATATAGTATTCCTATTAATGCAAGAGAATAAAACTCTTTAAAAGGTAAATGCAGTACTTTTTAAGCATTAAAGGGCTAAAAAAATATATATATAGGATAAAGGAGCACTTAGTATATAAGAGGTAAGGGAGATAATTAATGAAAAGGAAAAGGGGAAGCGGCTAGTTAATGAAATAAGCGATAGCGCTAAGGAGTTGGTTCGCGGTAAATTAATAAAAAGATAATATAGCAATTATAATAAGATTGGATATAATATATAAACTTATGAGAAAGATATAGAATTGTTTGTAGATTTTGATTTTAATTAAATTTAATTAATTTTTTTTTATTGTGGTATTGTAATTTAGGTTATTATGCTATTGGTGCAGAAAAGTGGCTTGCTTGCTAAGGTGGCTTGTTCATTGGTGCTTGACGTTAAAGCTTAAAAATAATATTTAATATATAATAATTAAGCTTTATTAATATAAAAATAATTAAAATAAAATATTTAAAATATTTTTATTTAATATAAAGGTTAAATTAAGCTATAATATAAATTAAAACTTTTTTAATATAATATTATAAATTAAATTATTATAAAATATATAAATTAAAAATTTAAGGGTTAAAAGTATTTAATAATTAAATAATTATTTATATCTTTATAACTTTTTATATAATTAAATATAATAATAACTTATAAGTTTTAAAATTAAAATTAACTTTTATTAATTCTTACTTTTAAATAAAGCTTTAAATACTTATATTATATATATTTAATGCCGGTATATCTTTTAACTCAATGTTATAAGCTAGCCTTGAGTTATTTACTATAAGGTGTTTAAATAGGGTTTATATTTAAAGTGCAAAGGAAAAGGTTTGCTCCCTATTTATACTTACGCTAAAGCCTATTCTTATAAAGCTAAAGCCCATTAATTAATTATAATAAGCAAAGCTTAAACCATAATATATCTTTCTTCTTTAAGTCCTTATAGCAAGCCTTAAAGGGTAGCTATATAATAAAAAATAAAGAATATTATAATTTAATCGCAAATTAAATATTATTTTTTACTTAATTATTTAATTATACCTTAACGCCTTTTAATTATATTAAAGGCTTAGCTTATTATTTATAATTAATATGCCTTAGCCCTTATAATTTAATATATTAATTAAAGTAAATTAATAAAAAATAATTATTTAAGCATAAATTAACGGCTAAATTAATAGCATTTTTATAATCCTTTAATATAAGCTTTTTATATAAGCTTTCTTACTTAAAACCTTAGGATTGCAAATTTATTATATAATTTATAATTAATTAACGCTTAATTATAAGTAATTTACTTTATTAATAAATTTTTTTTAAATTTTAAGCATTTTTATAGCGTTAAATTAGCTAGCATGCAGCTAATTTACTTTAAGCTTAAGTTAGCACTAAGCCGGCTATCACGGTAATAGGCAGGCAGGTTTAAGTAAGTGGATGTTAAGCAGGCGGTAGATAGTTTATTTAATTATATATAAGCTTTATCCTTAATAAGCATAAGCTTTATTAATAAGATGTAGCTTAAAGAGCTATGAAATAGGATTTAGGATAGGTTATAAAGTTTTATTTAAGCTAGCGCTTATATAATTAAGCCCTAACCCCTTTAAGTTAAGCGGCGGTCCGCGGCAAACCGCTTTTAAGAAGCTAAGGCTATAATAATACCCCCTTCTTTAAAACCAAACTCTTAAGAGGTTAATTTAAGGGCTAGGCTTATATAAGTATTTTTTATGGAAATTACGCATAACTTCCTAAGCATTTTTTAAGTATAAAGCAAGCATCTCTTTAGGTTCGTTATATTTAGTTTACTTAATTATATACTTTAAGCAAGGGCGGCCTTGGCCACGGCAATCCTAATAGGAATCTAAAACCTTCTTAACTTCCTATTTTTATAATCCATTTACTTTAATAAATGGTAAAGGTTTATTTCTTTAAGCGGGTAGCGGATTATTAACAATAGGTTGTAATAAATTAATATAAAAAATAAGGTAAATTTTTATTAACTTAAGCAGGGTTAGGCAATAAATTTAAGAGCTTATAACCTTTTTAATTTGGAATAAATTATAGTTCTTTTAATTTAACTTCTTAATAGGGCATAAAGTCTTAATATTGCAGGCATTAAGCTAAACTTTTTAGCTAACCCTATATTAACAGGCAGGACGGCGTTTTTAATTAGCTTGTTCTTTATAGCAAGCTTAAGTAGCGAGCATTTCGCTCCTTATATGCTTAATAATCTTTTATATTTAGGTTGCAAACTTTTTAATATTGCAAGCGGTAGGTTTTTTAGCAAATAAGATAGGCTTAAATCTTAATTAAGAATGAAATCCATAGTTTTTAAAGAATGGGGTAATAATAGTGGTTTTAAAGATAATATTGTTTAATATGAATTTAGTTAGCGGCAGTTAGTTAAATTAATTATCTTAAAGATAAGCTATATATAAGCATAAGTATTATTTTAAGATAACATTTATTTATTTAGTTTATTTATTAGTTTTAAGATAATAGGCGGTAAATAATATAGCAAAGATCTTTAGGCAATAAATAAGGTATTTTTAAAATTTAAATATAAATTAAGGTTCTTAATTAAATATAATTATTATGGGCAAGCTATATAACTTTTAGGCATATTTAATAAATAAATAGGCGGCTTTTTTAAAGTTATAAGTTCCCTTATAAGGGATGAAATGCCTTATCTTTATAAGGCAATTAATAATAATTATAATAGCATTATAGCCTTAGCTAATAAGTAGGTATATAATAAAGTTTATTAAGACGTTTCTTTAAGCATGTTTAAGCATGGATAGCGGTTTAAGCAGGTTTTAATGGCCCTCTTTATTTAGCTTTGCTTAGCGATATTAATGGTAGTTTGTAATTTATCGCTATATAAAGCATAGCATTTAAGGCTAATAATATTCTTAGTTTAGGATTTCATAGGTTTTTATAAACTTAGGGTAGCTAATAATTAAAAAAGCATGGCAGGCATTTAAGAGTTTAGCTTTTAATTTAGGCAAATTAAGTATATATAAGCGGTTTTTATAGTATAAATAGCTATTTTAATTTTTATATTTAGCTAAGGTTAGCGTTAAGTAGTGCAAGGAGCTTTCCTTTAAAGCCTTTAGGGCAAAGCAAAGAATTAAGTCTTTAAAATAGCCTTTTTTAAATAGCGCGGATATCTTTTTATTTTAAAGCAAGCGGGTAAGTTTAATATGGCAATAAGTAGTAGCTAGAAAATAAATAGTTTTTCTTGTTAATAAGGCGGTTATAGCTTAGTTTGTAGTGGATTAATTAAGCGATAATATAGGGTTTAGGTTCTTTTTTTTTAGCATTATTTAGCTTTAATGCTATAATTTCTTATTCCCCTTTTAAGGGAAATCTTTTAATCTTTTAATTAATGCATTTAGCTTAATACTTTATTTACTTAATTAATAAATAATTTAAAAGTTAAACCAAGATAAGAATTTAGCTTAGCGGGCTTAATGGCAGTTAAGTAGCTTTATTATTATAAAGTACTTTAAGTTTTTATAATTTATAATAACCTTAATAAGGGATGGGGCCCCCTTTAGCTTAAATCGCCATTTTTTAAAGTAATAAATAATAATTAATAGTTTTTATTATAAATCTTATAATTATATTTAATTACTAAGTGCTTTTTAAAGAAAAAGGTAATAAGTTGCAAGATTTTATTATCTTTATATTAAGATAGTACTTTAATAAAGATAAAGTTAAATGCATTAGTTTTTAAGATAATATTCTTTTTTTAATTAAAATAAGTTAATATAAAGGCTTTAATAAAGGCTATCTTTAAAGCATTAAAAGCTTCTTTATAAGAGGAATTAAAGTTAAATTATACTTCTTTCTTTATTAAGCGGATTAATAATGATATTATCTTTAAGAAGTTGTAAATAAAGCGCCGGTAAAAGTTATTAAACCTTATAAAGGCTTGCATATTAATTAAATAAGTTGGGGGTTTTTAATTAATAATAATCTTAACCTTCTTTAGGTTTATTTAAATGCTATAAGCGCTTATAATTAAGCTTAAGAAGGTTATTTTTTCCATAAAGAATTTGCATTTCTTTAGTTTAATATATAGCTTGGCCTTTTATAAGGTAATTAAAACTAATTGCAAGTATTCTTTATGTTTTAATTAAGTGCGGCTATAAATTAAGATATTATTAAGATAAGCAATATAAAATATATTTAAATATAGCCTTAGGATATTATTAATAAACCTTTAAAAGGTTAATAATGCTTTAGTAAATTTAAATGGCATTATTAAAGTTTTAAATAGTTTAAAATGGGTATAAAAAGCAATTAAGTATTTTCCTTTTTATGCATTTATAGGTTATTAAAGGCGGTAATGATATTAATCTTTAAGAAATACTTTATTCCCTTTAAATTATTTAGGAATTCTTTAATTAAGGGCAGTAAATATTAATCTTTAATAATAACATTATTTAAAGCGCGGTAATTTATATAAAACCAAAAGCCTCCTTTAGGCTTAAATATAAACAAGATAAATAATATAATATGGAAAGAATTAAAGCGAATGAAATCTTTTTATAGGTTTTTATTTAGCCATTTCCTTAAGGTAGTAAGTTTATTATAAGATATAGCATATAATAAGCTAAATAGGGGCGTTTTCCTATTTATAAGTTAAATATAATAATTATAAGGGCGGTATGGGGGTAGCTTTTTAACCTTTTTAAATAAAAAGATATTTAAAAATTCTTAGAGTTTATTAAGCAGTATTTTAAATAGGTTTAGATCCTTTTGGCAGGCGGCATTAAACTTAGTCTTAAATATTTTATTAATTTACTTTAAAATTATTAAAAATAGGCAGTAATTATCTTTTTAGGCATAGGTAATAATTACCTTTAAGGTAATTTAATAAGGCTTGTATTTTTAAAGGATATTAAGGTAAGATAAGGGATGATAGGAACGGCTAGTTTTTAAGACATTTTATAGGGCCTTTATCTTAAAGAGCTTCCTAGGTAAGTTGCAGTTCTTTTAGTAATATTCGCTATTAAATATAATTATATAGGCAGCAAAGCAAATAGTTAAGTTATATTATTTTAGCTATAATAATTTCAATATAATAAGATAATAAGCTAATTATATAGCGAATATTATTATATTCTTTTAATGGTAATTATTAATTTAGCAAGGTAGGCAGGTATAATAAGATATAATTTCCTTTAAGCTATGCTTATTAATTACTTTTAAGTTAAATGATTTCTTTAAGGGCAGTAAAGGAATTCCTTAAGCTTAGGCTTATTCTTTATTAATAAAAGCCTTTCCTTTAGCTTTAATATTAATTAAGGCATAAATTAATATTTCCTTTCCTTTTAATATTAAGTATATAGGTAGTATAAGCATATTTAAGCGCTAATTTTACTTATTTTTAATACTTAATTTAGTAATAATAGCAGCAGCAAAGATTTAAAGGCAGCGCTTAATAAGAGCTTAAGGGCGATTTATTTTAAACTTACGCTATTTATTAAGCTTTAAGCAAGGGAATTGCTTTATTTATAAATAAGGAAGCAAGGCATAATATAGGTAGGCGAATAAGGAGGTAAGGATAATATTAAGGAAGCAGGATAAAAGCTATATAGGCAGGGCTGGTAAGTATTTAGCTAGGAATAATAGGCTATAAAGTAATTAAAAAAGCCATAGCAATAATATTTATAATGCTCCTTATGATTATTATTATAGCGCTAAGCACTTAAGTTTATAGGATTTTTAATTAAGGTTAATTATATAAATATCTTTAGGGTAAAGGTAATAATAAGTTTGGTAATAATAGCATAAGTTTTTTAAAAGGTTAGCGTTAAGCTAAAGAATAGTTTATAACGGGAAACTTATTGCAAATATTAATAATATTAATTATTTAAGGATTGTAAATAATAAGCATATTCTTTAAACTTATTTAAATTAACGGAGCTATATAGCAATATATTTTGCAATTTATAAAAGATTTCTTAAAATAATAATAAAGTTAAGGTAATATTAAGCATTTTTCCTTTTAAGGCAAGGCGCTAAAACTTAGTAAAATAAATATTAAAGTTTTATTTTTATTGCTTTAGCTAGTATAAGCGGTTTTAAGAGTTTTAAATATAATTTAGGTCCTTAAAAGCTTCTTTTAAATATTTTAATATAGTTAGGTAATTAATAAATTATAAAACCCTATATAAGGTTTTTAATAATATTAGTTTATATGCTTTTCCTTTAAATCTTTTAGTAATATAAGTTAAGTAAGTAAAGGCAGTAAGGAATTAATTAGCATTAATGTTTATTTTTTTATATATTTATTATATAAAATAGCAAAGGTTATTATAATTATTATTAAATTTATTAGGATTAAGGAGTTGCTTAAAAAGGATAGTAAAGGCGGAAGATTAGGTCTTAATAATAAAAGTTAAAGCTATAATATTACCTATTAAAGGTTTAGCTAGGTTAAAAGAATTAAAAATTAGGGCGGCGGTAATAAGTATAGTTAGCTAAGTAAGTTTAATAGCTTATTGCTCCTTAACTCTTGCTTTTATAAAATCTTATTAAGCCTTATTTAGTTAGCTTTATTAATAGCAAATCATTGCATTATGGTTTGCTATTTATGCTTAAAGGTGTTATATCTTGGCATATAAGGAGGTAATTTTATTCTCTTAATTAAGAGCATAATTGCTTAAATTGCATAAGTATAATAGCTATATATTAAGTTAATTAGCAATATGCCTTGCTAATTCTTTTAGTAAGTTGGTACTTAATGAGGGTATAGGCTAGGACGGCATTATTAATGCTTAAGGGGGGAAGAGCTATGTAGTGTTATGATAGTAGGCAGGCAAGTTTAGGCAAATGAATATTAAGCAGGCGGCAAATAGTTTATTTAGCTATATATAAGCTTTATCCTTAATAGGCATAAGCTTTATTAATAAGATATAGCTTAAAGAGCTATAAAATAGGATTTAGGATAGGTTATAAAGTTTTATTTAAGCTAGTGCTTACGTAATTAGGCCCCAACCCCTTTGGGTTGGGCGGCGGTCCGCGGCGAATCGCTTTTAAGAAGCTAGGGCTGTGACACCGGCATTGCTTTTAAGCCTTACCTTATAGAAAAAAATTTTATGCCCCCTTAAATAAACTCCTTCCCTTTATTAGCCTTAATTAATAAAAGCTATATCCTTATTTTTTCGCAGTAATTAAAGTAATTATGCTTATAATAATTAAGTTAGCTATATATAAAATACTTAACTTTACTTATTAAGATTGCTATAATATTAATATTTATTGCTTTGCTATTTTAAGGTTAAGTATTATCCTTCCTTGTTATAATATTAAAAACGCCTTTATATTACTATAAAGCAAAGCAAAAGGCCTTAAATATATTTAACCACTTTTTATAATTAAGTTAAGCTCTTATTATAAAAATTAAGTTATTAATTATTAATAATATTTTACATTTATTTAGCTAACTTTAAGTTTTTATTATATAAGCTAATTAATTAAATTAAGCAAGAAATTTTATTATCCCCTTTTTATAGCGTTATTATAATGTAATTAAGCTAAGCTTAGTATGCCTTTATTTAAAAGGGTTTTTAAGCGTAAGGCAAACCTTTTTTAAGAAGCTTTCTAGCTACCCCTTAAATATTTTTATAAAATTAATATAAGGTAAAAATTAATTATAAAAAGTTTTTAATTAATTAAATATATAAAAAAATTAAGCCCCTTTAGCGTTAATTACCTCTTTATTTATTGCAAACTTAGCCCTTATCTTTATTAATTAATTTGCTAAGTATTTTTAAGATAAAAGTTCCTTTAAATAAGGAAGGGTTTAGTAAGCTGCCGTTATTCTTTTTAAGTTTTGCTATATTAGATTTTATATAATTATATTATAAATTTATAATATAAGAGGACTTTAAATATATATTATGGGTTAACCTTAGGTTATTTGCCGTAAGGTATTTAAATAGGGTTTATATTTAAAGTATAAAGGAGAAGATTTGCTTTTCATTTGCATCCGCGCTAAAGCCTATTCTTATAAGGCTAAAGCCCACTAACTAATCACAATGAGCAAAGCCTAAACCGTAACACCCAAGCAATATTATTACTTTTAAAACTTAAAAATGCAATAAAGATAATAAATAAATATTTTAAGATAATTATATAAAAGTTTTAAGCATTATTTTAAATATAATGCTTTAAAAAGACTTAAATTATCCGGGAAAGGGAAATAAAACTAATTTATATTTGCTTAAATTACCGCTCTTTTATTAACTGCTTATTATAAACAGCTTATATTGTAAAGGCTTTAAACCGTTCTTTATTATGGCGAGTAATGTTAAAGCCGTCCTTTTTAAATTACTGGAATTTGCCGTATTGGAATAGTAGCCTGTAGGCGTTTTGGATAAGGTCTAAATTTGGTGTGGGCTTGTTTGGGACTCCTGGTTGTATCTTGCTTATCGTAGCTGTTAGGTACGGCGGCAATTACTACTGAACGGGCTTTCAGGGGGGGGGGGGCGAGGGCAAAGAGGGGGCTAGCAGAGTTGCGGACTTTTGGGGAGGGAAGGTTGGGTTGGGGGGGGGGCAGGGTACTTACTTATGATAGAGTCCAGGAAACGGATCATGTCTGCCCTAATAAAGGGCGCATCCATGGATTAATGGAGGATGTGTTCCTGGAAGGTGTTGAAGCGGTTAACCCAGAGAGCCTGGAATTTTTGGGTGCTGGGGGCGGCTGCTTGAAACTGGAGCTGCTTGATGGTCTTCTTGGACGAGATGCGGTCCTGCCTGGTATTTGCAATCATCTTGTTAATGGAAGCCTGGCCAGGTCTGCGATAGCCAGCAGCAGCAGGTATTGGGTTGTCATCGAACTCCAGGTCGGACGAGTTGAAGTCTTGGACGGCGTCCATCCTGCCGGTTCTGAAGCAATGATGTGCTTCTGGCTCATCAAGGGGGATCTTCTTGCACAACGTGACCACAGGAGGATGGTGGAGAGAGGAGGATGAAACGAGGATGGAGGAAAGGTGAAGAAGTAGAGGAGGATAGATCTGGAAAAAGCAGATCGAGGGAGGGAGGAAGGCGTAGGGGTTGTAATGGCAGAACTGAGGCAGTAGCCAGCGAGCAATGTCATGCTGCTATCACCACCTCCTCCCGTTGTTCCTTCCTCGTTCATAAAGCATAGCATAACCAGCCCCCTTAGTGACTTAGTGACTCGCTAAATAGGAAGTTACCCATACCAGGAAGCCTAGCCACCCAGAAGCTCTCCCAAACCTCCTTCCTTCCTCCCTTCCTCTCCTCCTTTAGCATCATCACCACCACAAATGATGGGTGAGGCTCCGTGGTGATTACTCGCTGCAGGTTGGCCTCCTTATCCTATGTGGAGTAAGGGGATGGTGATTGATGATGGGTCGCGGGTGACGCTTCGCTGTGATCACTCGCTGCGCTCGCTTAGAGAATGGCTGTGGGTGGTGACGCTTCGCTTCGCTTCGCTGTGGTTGATCGCGCTCCGCGCTTAGAGATTGGTGGGTGACCCGGCATGAAGAATGTTGTCGCGGTAATAATCCCGGCGACCTACTTCATGCCAGGCTTCTTTGTGGCCAACCTGCCCGGCGGCATGATGCGACAGCTGCCGCCCAACAACGACTGGACGCTGGCGCTCCCCGTGCCCGAGGACGCCCCCTTCCCCGTGTTCGACGCGGCCGAGGACACGGGCAAGTGGGACAAGGCGATCGTGCTGAAGCGCGACGAGCTGCTGGGCGAGCGGGTGTACGCTGCGACGGCGTACCTGACGCCCGCGGAGATCGTTGCCGGGTTCAAGAAGGCGTTCCCCGAGGCCGGCGCGACGGCGACCTTCTTAGCACGTCGCACGAGCAGTTCGTCGGGGCGCTCACCGGGACCGGGATGCCCGAGTTCGCGGCGGTGGAGTTGCTAGAGAACATGAGGTTGATGGCTGAGGGCGGATACTTTGGTGGGAAGGAGCTTTCGCTGGATATCCTTGAGGACAAGCCGACCACCTGGGAGGAGCATCTGAAGAGCAACCCAGCTACCAAGGACCTGAAGTAGGCAGATGAGGGGCAGTTCCTATCTTTCGTCAGAATCGCTGTTGGACATTCTTTCTGGCCCACCAGGCCTGCTTGACTTTTCCCATAATTAGTAATAATGAAGAGAGAGGTTGCCAGTGCCTGTCATGTTTGCAATGTACCGAGGTGGACATTAATGGTGTGAATACAGTCTAGCTTATTTAGGGAGCCCCAAACCCCACAGGAGACTTGTATGTCTCTAGATGCATTGACTTCATTGCGTGCCTGAGGAGGTAAGTCAAAGCAGATGAATGACCTGGTCAAAGCAGTCTGAGGTGAGTTCTGCAACAGAGGTTTGGAAGGGCAGAAAGGCTGTGGCGACAAAACAGCCAGGTTTTTAGCGCCTACCAGTTGCGGCTGGTGCTGAGACGGCAAAACGGCCAGGGGTTGGCAGAGGGAGAGGTGAGGGACTGGCGGCGCCCAGCTTAGCTAAGCGGGCAAAGTACTTAGTCGCCCTTCCCAAATAAAAGCGAAACTTGGGCCATTACAACTCCTGCTGTCAAGACCGACTCAAGCGTCAGCCAGCGACCAGCTTGCGACCAAAAGCCCCATCTGGAACAGGATACCATCGAGCAGGGGAAGCATTCCACTGTAGACGCTGGATTTGGTGGATTGCATACCGGCACCGAGGCTCTGAGGCTCTGAGGCCGCAAGGGGCGTCTTGGTGATCGATCGCTTAGGGAACCGAGGGCCTACTCTCTAACTGCCTTTCGCTTTCTCACCTGAGCCCGCTGCTACTTCTGCTGCAACTGCTGCCGCCGCGGCCACAGCAAAGCGTCACGCACCCTACGCCCATCGCTCTCGCTTTTGCCTGCTTTGCGCATCTGTTACGCCTGTCGCATCCCCTACATTTTACTCGCCTCATTCGCGCGACCCAAACCACCAGCTGAGTCACGCAGACAGTAAACAACTGCAGTGCACGGCGACATCTACGGACAGGGCATCTGCAGCGAAGTAGGAGGCTCAAAGGGGCTGCCAAACTGCCAAACTGAGCAGGAACTACGCATCGTCGCAGCCAGCACATCCCTTCCTGACGGCAACCTTCACCCAGGCAGACAGACAAAATGTCGAACGCTTCGGTTGGCAACATCTACCACCAGATCATCAATGAGGTGATCGAGGCGTCGCGGGTCGACTTTGAGGACCAGGGCGTTGGTGAGGAGGTCCTGGAGGAGCTGCGAAAGGTGTGTTCTTCCTTCCCTGTTTCTTCCCTACGTACGTCAAACACATACACAAACACAAACACACATACACAAACCATCAGGTTGCCGCTGCCGTCTCCATCTCATCGGCTCGTATGAGACCACTGCTTTCTTCCATCTCCCCAGAGCATCATGCATTCCGTGCATCGAAGTCGGTGTCGGGCTTGGATTGCGCCGGTCTTGCCTCCTCCCTTGCAGGCCCTTGCAGGGCGCTGTTGGCTGGCCGTCCTGGCTGCCTGGGCTGGTTGTTCGCACCGGCGCTGCAGGCAGTGGCCGGTGGCGCGGATTGCGGGTCAGAGAGCGAAGAAGGGCGGGCGGCTGGGAGTCAGGTCTGACAGGAGGGTGACCGGGTGCTATTTGGGTCTTTTAAGCTCAACCCCTGCCCGCAAGATTGCATTTGCCACCCCAGTCAACCTTCCCCTCCATTTTGATTGGAGCCAACTTTGTCCACCTTCACGTGCACCCAAGCATGACACGCGACGAGGATAAGGCAGCCTGGCACTGCCTCCCCCCTACCCTACTTGGTCAGCCCAGTGGCTGTCATCAACCGCCTGTCTTGATCGAGAGCTTCGTCCCATGTTACACTAGCCTATTCTGCCTGCTGGGCCACTGCGTCGCTGCTATGATGCTCCAGCGGCTGCAGGTTTTCCTGCGTGCCCAGAAGATGCTGACGCCTTCGGTCTCTTAGGGATGGCAGGTGAAGCTATCCAAACTCCAGGTCGCCGCCTTTCCTTGGGACCCTCCCCCACCACCTCCAGTTCAAGCTCCGGCCCAGGCTCAAGCTCAACAGCCTGTTTCTGCGCCTCAGCCTGCCGCTGGTGTCCCGGCTGCGTCCGCTCAACAGATGGGCACACCGAGCTACACTTCGGCAACGCTCAGCCCTCAGCCTGCGCCCAACGCCCAGCCCCAGGCCATGCCCAATGGTCTTCCCGGGCCATCACAGGTTGCCGGTGGGTATCCCGGCCGGACTGAGTCCGTGAAGCCCGAGCCTGTCGTCAAGCAGGAGCCAGGACTCGCCAACACAGGCATACAGCAGGCCCCGAACCAGGTAAACACGTATGGTAATGCCTCTAACAATGTTGCGGCTCAGCGCGCCGCTGCACAGTTGCAGAACACCTATGGGGCTCGGGCTGCCGCTAGCATCAACGCAATCCAGGGCTTTGGTCAGGGTGGTCAGCCACAGAATTCCCAGGGTCAATCCCGTCCTGGCGCGGCTGCACAGCCCAACCAGGGCCAGCGTCTCCCACAACAGCAGGCACAGTATAGCCACCAGATGGCCAACCAGCTTGCTATGCAGCAGCAGCAGCAACAGCGCGGAGCCCAACCGCCGCCGCCTCGGCCCGGACAGCAGAACAACGGCTTCCCGCAGTCTCAGGTCGATGGCACGGCGGATGATTACGAGGGTGTCTTGATGCGGAAGGATCAGAACGGGGAAACTTCCGAGGTGGGTCGTGTTGAGATCGACCGCATGCTTCATGACCAGATCGCTACTCGAGCCAAGCAGATGGAGGGCGGTGGTCTCATGCTGCCTCTGAAAGAGGCTACCAAGCACAAGTCGATCGGCAAGAAGACTGCTTCCAGTGGTCCATCAGGGTTCGACGGAGGATTCGATGGTGTCGATGACGAAATTAAGAGGGAAGAGGTCGATGAAGACGCCATCAATTCCGACCTCGACGACCCTGACGAGGTGGACATCGCGGATGACGACGACGAGGAGAACATGGGACATATCATGCTATGCATGTATGACAAGGTCCAGCGAGTCAAGAACAAGTGGTGCGTCACTCCCCGGGTACGCTTTGTGTGACAATAAATTACTGATCCCGGAGCAGGAAGTGTACGATGAAGGATGGCGTCCTCAACGTCAACGGCAAGGACTACGTCTTCCACAAGGCAACTGGCGAGTATGAATGGTAAACTGTGCGACGGTTTGATGAGCTTCCAAACAAGATTCGAAGCGTTCACAAGACGGGCGTTATGGCTTGGTATCCGTGCTCAAGGCGAGACCTGCGCCACGATCAACGGCCGACTTTCCTTAGTGACTAGGCCTACCAGATGGACGGGTGTCTCGTCTGTATTCATTGTGCCATGAGCAACTTGCCCAAAACTGGCATAGAGACGATGGCAAGGGACGAGATGAAACCACGAGAGAAGTTGGAGAGAAATGGAGGGTACTCCTCTGCATCCTTGTGGTGCCACATTCGAGATATCATTCGGCGTTCGGAGGGGACTAGCCCAGCTGCATTTTCTTTTACTTATCCTGCTGATGGGCGGCGCGGGGCGCATTACAGGAAACACAATGGGTTGGTTGTCTGACACATCAAGATAGGCAGGTTACTATGCAGCAGCCACTATGAAAGCCCCAATACTGCCTTCCAAAGAATACACTGGATTCATGCATGCTCAGAGACAGTCAGCAAGATTGAAAGCTAATTTCAGGTTCTGGTCAGGCCCCCAAGTCTGGGCTGCATTGATATTCCAAACACCAAGTTCACTGCCCTGCTTAAGCACTGCTGCCCGTGCTCAAATTAAAAACCGTGGCACAAATTTGTACTCGAAGACTTTGACCACCTGGTGCCTGGAGAATTTGTAGTCATCGTGTGGAGGAGACGTGCTGAACTGCTCTAACGCACCTACAGGGAAGCCCCACCGTTAGAACGATATGGATGACACTCTGCGTCTAGACCTGTGCAAAGCTGAATACATAATTAAAAAGGACCTTGAGGCACAAAGTTGATGAGCCGAATACGTCTATGTGGTCGAAGAGGGACACATTTCGAGTACTGGATCCAGGTCTGGGCCTGGCCACACACCTTGAGGGGGGCTGGGTGGAAGCGGCCTGCGAAGATGAGGTCCGTAGACAATACTACTCGATATTTATATTTTGGAACCTTTTGCTTCGAGAGTTACACATGTATCCTCGCCCTCCTCTGAGTGGCGGAGGTCACTCGAAATCAACCCGTGTGGACTGGACAGAGACTGGTTTCCGAAAACCCAGATTGAGTCCGGCACAAGTCATGTACTCAATCACCTATATTGTGGATGCAAACATATCAATCTGACTCCTACCTTCCCTTGTGGCACCTGAGAATTCCTACACGCATCGAAAAAAAACGTTGTTGCGGTGGGGGAAGGGGGTATCCTGGGATCCTGGAAGACCATCGAAGAGGACGCACCTACAAGACCGGGAGGACGGGTGCACAGCTTCGAAACTTTCCACCATGGCCTCGAGGAGGGCATCTATGGAGATGGCAAGCCCCCCGGAATCTTGTGTAACCAACACAAATAGTGCTTGAATCCCGGGACGGGAGCTCGTGTAACGTGCCCATGCGCTGTGCTGTGCCGCACACTAGCTAGACATCAATGGCACGCATTTACTGTGGACCACCCAAATCAATGGAAGTAGATACAATTCATCCGTTCTCGGCTAAAGAAGATGTGAGTTCCATTGCATGTATTTCTCATTCCTACCTGTCTCTTTGTGGGTTAGAGACTGGAGCATTGATACGACCATGTCTGGACTGGGCAGGCCTGCAGGCTGCACCAATCTGATGACTTTTCTGCCACTTGGTAGATCAAACTTTATCCATGGAGTAGTTTTACCAGAGTATTGTATTTGGGATTGGGTCCGGTTTGAATCGTGCATATCCGAATACGAGGTGTTCGCCATGTGATCCATACTTCAAGAAGGTAGAAAGTGGTCGACCCAGGAGGGATCTGAGGGCCTCACAGATCTTTGACTGAAGTCAGAGAAGACTCCATGCGTATTTAATCAGTGGTGAATGTCTGCCAAAGTCTCAAATCCGGGGATTGGATGAGACTCCTGGGTATTGGCTCTCGCCGGCTCAGGACGTATCAGGATACGTCGAGTCAAAGTACCTGCAGAGACATGTCTCACTTACATGAGTCTTTGTATTTGGTTGAAACTTGGTGAGGCAAAAGATGAGATTTCTGCGCCGTCGTCATAATGCCGACATGTCGTTGGAGCAATGAAGAGGCCAGGCAGAGCGCTGTCCAGAGGCCAAGGAGACAACGACGCCAAATTGTAGGCCAAGCTCATGACAGGCCACCACGCCAGCAGACATGGCAAGAGTACGATCCCTGAGTATTCCTTGCAATATAATCCCATTTCCCTAGCCTGAGAGCTTCCGTGAGTGCTGTAGCGAAGGATTGGGCGATGCTGGTGTGCCTTGCAAGGCCAGGGCCGAGCTTCTGGGCCAACAAAGTATATCCAATGGTTCCCTTTTGAAAGCATTTTAAAGTGAACTGGGCCATGCGATCTCGACCTTGATACTTGAGGGTTGACAGTGGGCAACGAAGATGTCAAATATCTGCTGATTACATGCCAGACAAGGCACATCGTTGTCCCGACACAGCTGACACGAGATGGACGGTCCGGCCATGCGGCTGTGATGATTCCAGCAAAGCAAGGAGGCTCCCTCCGGTGGGAGAAGATGCCACCGCACCCTTTTGTGATTACCGCTGTGCCTGCGAATACAGGAGATGTCCACCGGGCCGGAGACAGGAAGAAGGCGGATTCGAAAACCGAGAGAATATTGTCAGCTTGGTTGGTCAACGTCACAGTCAGGTAGCCCCGGCTTCAAGTTCTCAAAGAGCAGCGGCAGTCGTCAGAGGGAAGACCCGTGCGTTTCCGATCTGACGAGTGCCCTGTCTGAGACTCTCCTCCATCATGAAAAGGCTAGGTAGTGACTCTCAAGCTGAGGATCGCTGGGGACTTGGATTATTTCAAGCCGTCTTCATTCAATGACAATGGTTCCAGGGGCGTAGATCGGTCGGTTGTTTCATTGACAGTCAACAACAGATCCCAAGAGAACGGTGGATGATCCGACCAAGCACGAAGCCTCAACTTGTCGACGTGTCATACCCTTTGGACCTCGTTTGAGGCAGGGCCTATACCCATGTGAATGGGTCCTCTCTCTGGTCGGCGCCCGGATAGACAGGTCTTGCTCTTGCCGACGGCCATTCCAACACCGACGGGGCATTGATGGTGGTCCAAACGCAAAAGATCATCAACATGCTCTGTGTCCACTCACCCGGTCCGCAACAAAGCTGGGCAAGCCAGGGTCGGCTGCCCGGTTTAAGCCCGTCTGCGCAGGCCTGGCAGGGGTACAGTAACACGCATGGGCCAGATCGGGGCCAGCAAGCGCCATGGCTCGATCGACCAGGCCGATGGAGGCCGCAAGGGCAGATTAGGTAGAGGGGAATGTTGCATTGCATCCACTTTGCATTGAGCTCACCGATTGCTCCTCGAGCGGCGCGCCCAGGAGGGCATGTACTCTGGGTTCTCTAGTGCATCATCACGGGTGGATGAGCCTGCCTCACATGAGCAGCAGCTAAAACTCACACCGACCAGGTAGGGCCGTAGACTACCTAGTGTGCGGGCCCGCCTGCCGGGGAGCTGCTCCCGCTAGAGCAAGTACGAGCTGATAGGAAGTTGTACCGGTACATCTGGGGCCACTGCGCCCAGTGAAATCGTATTGAGCCGTGGCCGGCTCCAGGTTATCTAACACTGCAGTGTGGACCTTCTATTTGCGCGCACGACTCCTGAGCACAGGACGGCCGCGAACCACCCTCGAGGCTCACTTGTCTGTCACCCTGCCAACCCAAGCCGACGATGACAACAAAGCCAGCCGATGGGGCAAAACCAGAGAAGTATTGACGGTGGTTCCCACGCCGAGGTGCACCTATGACCAGCGGTGACCGGGCCAAAGCAAGCCTCCACGAAATCGACACTCCCACGATGCCCTCGCCTCAGTCATCGAGGCGAGTCGCGCGGTCCGGCCCCGAGATCTCGCCAGAAATCCATTAGATCTGAGACCCGCCTCTCGAAGCATGCATGTGTCTCGAGCAAGAGGGCACACCAGGTTATTTCTGAAGACCTCCCAGAAGAACAAGAGCCTGCGAGATGATCTTCTCTGCAAACCGAAACTGCACACTCTCCATTCATCGGTGCCTCTTTCATACGTCATCGGAAACAGTCAAGAGTGTTACGGACAATCACACGACTGTGAAGTATACTTTCTCCGCTAAACTACCTAGGTATTGGATGTCCACGCACACTGTATTCAGACTTGCTTACCGTCTCTATTAGCCATGTTTGGACTTCGACAATCTTGATCTCACTCTATGTTCCAACAATGTAACCCATCATCGAAATACAACACTACCTCCAAAAGGTGGCACCCCCGTGACTGCAAGGCTACCTCGGCTGTTGGCACAAGAGAAAGACGTATAACATTACCAGAATGTGGGTCCACATGAATGAGTCCAGGAACAATGGGCTGATGGATGTCCATGGGTCTACCGAGAGTCTGGGTCGTGCTTTGCCTCAAAGGATATCCAAGACATCAGGGGGGCCAATCCTCTAAGACACCCAGGAACGACTCGTGAGTCAAGCCGGATGCGGATCGGTCATTCGAAAAGCTACCAAATATGGTACACACTCTCAAGGTGGCAAGGGATAGGAAAGCCACACGCAAGGAGGAGAAACGGTGGTCATCTCCAAGGGACAGCGGCCCAGCAGAGAGGGACCGCATGAAGTCGTGTGAGCTGTGCCGTCCGCCAACTTGCGCACTAGGGAATGACTTGAGGTATTCTTGTGGAGTGGGAAAGGGCCGATACGGCGATCGCTCCTAGACACTTCTTTGACAACCAACAGATTTAGATTCAGGGACGAGGATGAAGTGCGCCATCCGAAGCCATCCGAAGCCAGGTGTTTCGATTCCCACGCCCTGTCGTTGGAGTGCAAAAGGACATGGCATTAGCCCGCTCCATGGAGTCGGAAAGCAGCCCTTGTGTAACGTGAGAAGGTGCGCCTCCCCCCTCCACCTTCCTTTCTACACCTCCTTTCCACACCCTCCCGGCGGTCACCGGCGCCACGGACACGGTAGGCGGAACCCGGGACTTTTACCCGTGGGCACGGGGCGTCAGGGTTCTTTCGCGCCCCTTGTTCGCTCTTCGGCCCCCCTTGTCACCCGCTCACGCCGGGTCCCAGGAGATAGGCGAGGCGGTGCTTCTTGAGATCAGGGTGTTGTGCGCAGTGCCGCCCCCTGGCGGTTCGTCTGCGGCGCGGCGCCGCGATCACACCCACTTTTCTCGCCCCGGCACGCGCTGGCGGGATTTTCCTCTCATGTGTCGCTGTTGCAGTGGGCCGATGGGGCCTATTAATAAGAGGCACGGGAGTTGGGCCCCGGCGTTCGCGGCCAACGCTGGAGCTATGATCACCGAGACTGGTGCTGTTGGTGATCCCACCTCGCGTGATCGCACCGGATCTGGGCCTTTCCCCGGCGGGAAGCAGCTAGTAACCAACAGCAGTGCGGGTATATACCGTGTTCTTGGTAAGTAGAAAAACGAGGCTGGTTGGGTCTGTTGGTTGGGGCTTGGGGAAAATTAACCTCGCCGGTGCGTCCTTAAGCTCGTCTCTTCGTATCGTCTCTCAACAGTGCTCATTTGAAAATGGCCGTGCCCCAGTGACGAGTGTAGATGAGATCTGATAGCGAGGTCTGCACCATATGGATTGTGCCGGACATGTATCCGACCGTAGCTTTGAGGACTTGCAGGGGCCACTTTTCTTTTTTTGCAGCAGGGGTCTCATGACTATGATCTGCGACAAGATTTAGATATATCCCACCTGCCGCTATCTCCGCAACGAGCAAGCACGTTGGTGATGAAACGACAGGCTCCTGCAGCCAGGTCGTTGGAGATGAAACGAGCTGTATGTCTGCATTCATGCTGGCAATTCGGTAGCGCAGGATGGTTCGCAAGAATGGCTCCAATATTCCTTTTCCATATCGACCGGCGACGTCGGCAAAGACCATCGTGCTCAAGTACTCGGAAGCTGAATCATGGTTGCATCTTCCCATGTCTTCTTGACAGAGGTCAACAGATTCTTTCGATCGCAGGTGATCTACTTCCAGCCTGGGCTTGCCTCGGGATGGCCGAACCCGAATTGTCGAGGCTTGTGAGATGACGAGGCCGTCTAAATACAGCTGAGTTCACATAACTAAGCAATGCGCCACATGGACAGTGGGGATTTCATGTTGGCCTCCAGGGGTCAGATTGTGTCCCAATAACCATCGGCGTAGGCCTCAGCCCTGTCCGGTCAACCCGGTCGCCCCCGGTCGCTTGCCCGCGTGCGTAAGGGACGGGCCCGACAGCTTGGATGGGATTCACAGTGCTGTGGAAGATTGGATTTGCGCCCGTCACAGCGGAGTCGAACGCCGCGCCGGCTTGGCGCCCCGGTGCTGGTAGCGGCTGATGTTGCCAAATGAGGCAATTGGGGGTGGAGGTATGATGACCAACCGCGTGTTGTTGCAAGCTATCGGCTCGCGCTAGACTTAGCACCACCCAAAATACTGGCTGTTCTGCCTGTCATTTCGCATGAGCGCCTTGTCCGATGGAACTTTCAGGTCTTGGATTATGCTGGCCGTACTGGCCTTGCACACTGACCAGGATCACAAGGGTCACAGGCTGGATTGTGCTAGGTCTTTGAGATAGATCCTGACCTGCTGGACCAGGAGCAGACCTCGAGCCCCATGCCACCGCTAACGCCGTAAATCAGGCTGATTACCTGTTTTGCGACGCTGAGGATAGCTGTCGCGGTTGGGATGGGAGGTTGATGAGCTGAATGGGTACAGCCAAGAAATGACTGACCAAAGTCACAGCCACCATCTCATGGAAACATGATCATTGGTGCGTAGTTTTGGTCAATGGGCTTTCGAATGGCAGCAAACTTGCCCAACAGACCGAATCCTTCGGCACAGTCTAAAGCAAAAGGCTAACCCAAGTCAGAGGTCAGTATTTGTTGACTATGTTTGGCCCATTCAAAATTAGCCAGGAAAACGGCTGCAAGGGTCTCAGGATGTGGCGGGCCTTTCAAGGCGGACGGGCAGTTCCAACATGCCCAGTCATCGCATATGTCAGACGGAATGCAACGTACTGATGGAGAATGATGCCGTCTCCCTGTAGTCATCATATGACCAGTCCGAAAGGCGGTGTGAGCGGCGTGGTCCCGCTGCAGGGAAATAAGGCAAAATGTCTCGAACGCATTGTGATGATTGTATTCCGATCCCAACAGATTTTGCCGAGTTACATAGAGGGATGCCAATAGGATAACGTTACGATGTCGACTAGGTTAAGAAATGGTGCCCATCTAGGCACAAGCCCACCACCTGAGCCGCGAATGAAGCCGAGTCCAACGCTGAAAGTCGCGGTTGAAAAGACCATGACAAGGACGTCGGATTTGGGCGGGGTCCAACAAAGGGGCCGATTGTATAGAATTCGATAGCAGCTTTGCTACAGAGCTGGCCCAGATCCACGAGTGGGGTCCATGGAAAGGTGGAACAGATGGTGCGGGTGTTCCATGTTGCTGGGCCACCACGTCGCATTTCACCGACCCACACTGTGAAAGTGGACCGACCCAGGCACGGGCAGCGTCAAGATGAAGTCTTGACCAGATGCCGAAGGTGACACTCTCGGTCGCCGAATCTCAAATCTTCCGTTGTGTATGCGCAAGGCTAGGCTGTTCGGAGAGAGACCAGGATTGGTGACAGGAATGCTACTGTCTGACGCTGATACGCTTTACACCATGTTCAGGACACATTACCACCCTGTACGACATCTGTCCGTTCACAGAGTTCATCTGCGAATTTAGCTCCATGCAGTCGAGGTCAATGCAACGATGCTGTTGTTCACAAGCCGGCGCATTGCAGCCACTGGCAAGACTCTTGCTTGGCAGGACTGGCCTCGAATCGGATCTGGCTCTTCCAGAGTCGTACCGCACCAAGCGCGGCGCCTGTCGGCATAACGGAGAACTCCTTTGGCGGAACCCATTGCAGTGGCTGGGAGACGACCCCTCTTCACCGACTGATATTGGAGGATGGACTGCCGCGGAGGGGTGATGTTCGGGGGACACAAGGAACTGGTACGTTATTCCTGATTCAGGCAAATTAGGCGCTACTTTAGCGCACTGCATGATGATACGTTCCCGTTGTGTCGGTAACCAATCTGATTCGATCTTATTTCTGGAGAGGCCCACCCACTTTCCGCGAGCCCTGGCCCTCAGGTTTACCGCCAGGTTCTGTGGGCCGTCCACTCTGTTCACTGTGTGCACGGCACAGCCAAAGCCTTCCAACAGTCGCAGAATGTTGCAGCCTGGAGGGATTCGCTCCACGTGTTGAAACTGCTGACGCGGGGCTGGGTGGGACCAAAGCATACGCGAAACATCATCATCAACCAATGTGCACTGCCCAACCAACCCTGCTGAATTGGTCTGTTGGTTTGATCTGGATCTAGGCTTTCCCGGTGATGATCAGGCCGGAATGAAGTGCAACACGGAGCCCGTCAGCATAGCCTTGCTGCACTCGCTGATAACATTGCCACCAAAATGTGGCATCGCAACGGGGAATGATGATATCTTCGCTGTACAACGTTTGCTCCATCATGCCGAGATCATCCAGCCCTGACTGAGGGATATTTTTCATCAGACGAGTGTTGTTTCTTGAGCCAAACGAAGGCGGTGGCCCAGAAGCCTTGGAAGTGGACGAATGACCGAGCGGGCGTTGCCGTGTGTGGCTACACCAAGAACGCAACAAACAGTTGCATGTCGATGTGACGACGTTACTGCGGCCATTAGAGCACAAAGGATCTGCCATGATGGTTGTTCAAAATGCAGATGTGGCAAGACCTTGGTTGCTTGCCTGTGCTTGCTCGTGCTTGCCTCATGATGTCCAGCCTGCATCTGCAATTAAGCCTGCAGGAGTGGACAGGAAAGGAAATTAACGGGACACCTGACTGGAAGCAGAGGCGGCTCCAAGAGTCAGATTCATTACGGACGGCCCGAGTTCTCAGCAGGCCTAGGAGTCTGCCCTGCCGACCGGCCTCGTGTCTGCCCACGACAGATCCTGGACGATCCTGCCCGTCCCGAATAGCATCAGGGCTAGACTAGTACGTTCGTTCCGCTGCACCGATGCGATCTGAATGCTATTGCAAGATGTCGGCCAGAACCATGGTGAGTCTTGAAGGTCCTATTGTGCCGTGTAGCCCAATCCAGCCGGCCCGAAAGGCATCTCGAGGTGAGACGGGACACTCGCTCGGAAGATCAGGTCATATGCAGGCACTATTCGCCTGACGGCTGGTCTTTGTAGCAGCCAATGCTTTGTATGCGAGTAATATAGCCAGGAATACGACTCCGAACTGGGGGCGGAACTCATCGTGGTGCATTTCCGTTAAGACAACGCGTGTGATCCAAGGTGGAGTTAGTTCCACTGAGCGCGACATCTTCAGGAAGAACCTCGATGGCGACTGGTTGGGGACTCCTAGTGTGTGCCCCGGCAGACTCAGCAGCCTTTGGACCACTCGGGAGGGTTTATGATGCATAATTCGACCCGGGAGCGTGGTTCCAACCTTCTCTCAGGCCAATCCGGTCCATTGATCCCACACCAACCCCCCAGGCGCCACTCAAATAAAGCAGCGGGTCCCTGTGCGCCAGGAGATAACGCACAAGTATCTTGAGGTAGGTGAACATCGGCCAGGTCCGTTTTTAGAACACAAAGGATGGGGATGATCGAGGAGAAGACAAGAACAATTTGTACCGCAGGGTCAGCGTGAGCACAGAAACCTGAGCTCCTGGAAAATTGTTTCTCGTGGTATCAAGTCGACTCCACGCACGGGACCATCTCGAAGGCGCCCCAAAGGAACGGTGGATGTTATCGAAGCCCACTGAATAAATATCACCTGTACTAGATGAGTCGAGACATGTGCGCGGACGAGCACAGAGCAAATGGAGGCGAGGATGTCGAATTTTGCTGGTGGCAGCTGATGTCGATCATTTCGGAGGACCCAAGACAATGGATTTTGATCCCAGTCGAGATGGGATGTCCGTCATAATTTCTCCGGCCATGTAGATAGTGCTGTCAGCAGGTGTGTGGTGAGAGATGCGACTCGCCAGGAAGCAGACTATCGGCAAAGAGGAGAAGGTGTAATGCGGTGCAGGCCATGTGATGGCGGCGCCAACTCCAGAGCTAGACTGCATGCGGTCCGGCTTTGTGCTGCATTGACAACACAACAGGTCGGACATCGAGGATGGGTGCGTGCTGCGTGGTGTGATGCGATGCGATGCGATGCGAGGGAAGGAAGGAGGGAGATTGAGATTCATAGAGACGGCACTGGTAAGGCCCCAACATCGGCTGGGTGGGTGCACGGGCCAGAAAGAGCGCCGTAGCGGTACCGCGCTTGCGCTGCGGTGCGGTGGTGGTACAAGCAAGTTCAAAGCAAGTACAGGTACAGTAGATCACCTGGCAGATACCAGGTGCCGCGGTACTCCACAGTTGACTGAAATGTTGCGGCCCTGCCGTGGCGGACAGTGGATTTGATGTCGCCCTGGCCCATCCCTGAGCGCAGATCGGAGCCGTCGGACAGGCCTGAACGACAGGGACGATCCATGTCGTCGCTTCCCATTTCGTGCAACCTGGAATGCCCCTCTCCAACCACCTGGTCTGCGAGTGTTATTATCCCATCTACACCGCAGGCAGTACTTTCAGGTAGGCACGCGGGAGGTAGGTACCTCCAAGCCTGCAGGTATCTGTGTAGGTAGGTATGCAGGACGGTGCCCGCCGTCCTGTACGCTAATATGCACCTTTCATTGTGCTGTCTGCCAACTTGTTCGCACCTGCCAGCATTGCAGTTCCCCAGGGCCATGCTCGCTCCCCACCGCCCGGCATTCATCGCTCTGAAGGCAGGTTCATATCGCCCACCCACCCATTTCGCGTCCTCAGTGTACCTGGGTACTGAGGTACTTTGGATATCTGGGCACCTTGCCAAGGTTGGTGTGGCGGAGGTCCATCAACAACGACCAACGACCAACGACCAACACCAACAACCAACACCAACACCAACACCAATACTACCAGCCCTGAAGTCAACAGCGAAGCCAGCCCTCTTGCTGCCATTGAATATCTGATGATGGCGGCAGCTTGCTGATGGTCTCTTGTGTCTCGAGGTCCCACATCCACGACACGTTCCGTGCGCTACATTCCTGAGTTCTCGGGCACGCTGATTAACCAGCCATTGGAGTAGACTTGCGTAGAATCTGTGCTTCGTGTAGACAGACGGTGGTATCGGCACCAGCACCCGCCGCATTCTATTGTCCTGTCCTCGGCCGACACACTTCAGAACCCGGACCCGTCAGCACCTTGCGGCTTTGTGCCTCGTGCCTTGTGCCCCATGCGTTGGCTCTTTGTACCGTTACGTTACCCGTACCTGTGTCTCTCCTCTCTCTCTCTACTTCTGTGTGTTGTGTGTGTGTGTGTGTGTGTGTGTGTGTGTGTGTGTGTGTGTGTGCTCTCTCGGATCCCTCCCAGCTCCACTCCCTTAGTTTCTGGCTAGTGCAGTACGTAGTCTGGTATTGCTCGTGGGCGATGGGGTCTAATGTGACGCGAACGAGATTGACATCACACCCCGGGTGCGCACACGCATGTAGGTAACAGGACAGGGGCTTGGCCACTCATTCGTTGCCCGGCAGGGGTAGCCAGTGTTCTATAAAAATTTCCCGATTCTGCTACAACCTCATCCTTGCCCTGCCCTCGCCTCTCCACCGCTCACAAACACTGGACCCGCGCTCCCAGTGATGACTTAAGTCATCCGGGTCCACCTCACCTCACCTGGCCTTCTTCTGCTTCACCTTGACCTCTTATTCCGATCTGGCCCCTTCTGCGACCTGTCCTGTCCTCGCTGCTGTCCCGTCCCTTTTAGTTCTGTCCTGTCCTGTCCCGTCCTGCCCTCACCTGACTAGGTAGTTTCTGTCCCGATCTGTTGCCACAGCCTAGCCCACATCGCCGGCCGACGCTAGGACGACGGTTGAGTACCTACTTTGGCTTGTCTCTGCGGCGCCTCGCCCCAAACTCTAAACCTTTGGCCGCTTGTAAAGCTCCATCTACGATTCACAGACGTCTTGTCCACCGGCTCTGTTGTCTCAACGACACAATTACGGGTATCCAGCACCTCCAGGCTATTAGTCGACCCCACGTCACGCGCCACTATATAACAACTGCATCGGCCAGCCGCATGTCGGTTCCTGCGCAGCCTCGCTTTGCGCACCTGACTGCGTCTTGTCGATTTTCAAACCTCATAGCATTCCCTGAACCTGCAAGGTGAGTTTCAGTCTTTTGCATTCGTTCCTTTTCGTCGTCTTCCAGTGTGCCCCGTGGTCTTGTTTCTGTTACTTGGGTCTGTTGCGGGAATCGTGGGTCGCGTCTTCCTTCGGCCTCGATGTCTATCAGAGCACCGGCTCCCGTTGCCTCTCGGCGTACATAAACCCCGGTTGCTGGCTTTACCAAGCCCCTGCGCCTCCGAGGCTGCCTCTATGCCAGCTTTAGAGGTCCTGCACGACTCTGGATATTCTGTGGGGCAAGGGTTATCGTCCCCGAGCTCTTGCGCCTCGCCCTCACCCCTCCAAGGCTTGCCGCGAGCCTCTGACGTGCCACCCATCAACAGCGGTCTCGGGACAAAGCCTTGTTTCGTGTCACCTACTTCAAGGCTGGAGTGGATCAGGCTGGGCTGCTAGGGGGCGCTGCGAAGAGGTCGTCGAGGCTCCGGAGCTCCATAGCTCTCTCCAGGGCCACAAGCTACCCTGGCTGAGTTGGGCATAGCCAAGTCTGTGCTACCGGACGCTACTGTATCTCACCAGCATGCTGTCGTTTTTATTCCCATCCGCACTGCATGTGCCTGCCCGATCTGCGCACCTTGCATACCAGCACAAGGCGCATCGAATCGAAATCGACCAGGCTCCCCCCAATCCTCACAGGGGTCCAAGTCTAAATCTGTCTCGCCCTACGCGCCCTACTGCGAGGCTTCGCCCTTCCATCTCTCATACTCGTCCACCAAAATCCCCTTGCCCTCCCGTGCGCCTCAGCGTGCTCAGCCTCGACCGTTGACCTAGAGGATCTGCATTTCCCCTTCATCCTGCAACTCAGGACACGTATGCCTAGCATGTGCCAGGCTCCCTCGAACCGTGTCCACCTCAATTTCCTACTGCCCCAATCATAGATCGTCGTGTCTCTTCACCCGTCCTTCCCACCGACAAGCACTGATGCCATTGTGGCCACCGCTACCATTTGTCTCCCGGCTTTTCAGCTGTGGGAACACGATTCGGGCCAAGGCGCTTCGCTAACGGCGTCTCAGGAACATTTACGCTCGCCAAACTCCGCATCGCCAAATTGCAGGTCCGGGGGGCGCATAGCGTCTGTCCGTGGTCGACATGGCAACTAATGGGTATACGAATGGCCTGCCACAGGAAGCAGCAACTCTTGTCGTGCCTGGGAAGGGTCACTACGTAGAGAATGGGCGTCATTATCAGTTATGGCATCGCGGCCAGTACCCCTTCCCAATCGACGAAAGCGAGCTGGACCGACTGGACGCCATGCACAAGTTCGTTCTGGTTGCCCGGGGCTACCTACTGTACAGCCCTCACATCATTTTGGACAATATACCCAATCTGAAAATATTGGATCTCGGGTGTGGCACCGGAATGTGGGCTCTCGACATCGCAAAGAAATTCTTCAACGGCAGCTCACTCGTCCACGGCGTCGACTTGTCAACGCAAATGCAGGCATCGGAGATCTTCCCAAACAACGATTTCAGAGCCATGGATATCGAGGAGCCATGGGCCTCCTTCCTTGAGGAGAGTTCCTACCATCTGATCCACGCCCGGATGCTTGCTGGAAGCATACACTTCGACTCATGGCCACGAGTCTACGGCGAGGTTTTCAGGTAGGCACCTCTCACTATAAAGGTCCAAATGACACACTGACATTTGAAAGTCACCTGGTCCCTGGCAGCGGCTGGCTAGAACAAGTCGAGGTGGACTGGTACCCTTGCAATGATGATGGGCCAGTGTCAGACCATCTCAAGTTCTGGGCCGACGAGTTGCACAGTGCAATGGACCTAATGAAACGCCCTCTGAGGGTTGACCCCCACAGAACCCAGCAAATGCTCGCGGACGCAGGATTTGTCGACATCAAGCAGGAGGTCATTCGCTTGCCTGTCAACGGAGGTTCCCTTGACCCGTTCGAGATCGACGTTGGCAGGTGGTTCAACCTGAGCCTCCACAAGAGCTTCATGGGCCTCAGCATGGCTCCTTTGTACCGGGCCAAGAACTGGAGGCCGGAAGATATTGAGCGGCTCGAGAGAGACGTCCTCGATGAGATCGCTGAGCGCAGCAACCGGGCATACTGCAAGCTGTAAGTCATGCCAGAAGTTGGAAATTCCAGCCATCAGGACCCTCAGCACCTAACCTTCGAGTAGGTATATCTGGACAGCAAGGAGACCCCCACATCACATCCCGCGATGAAGTGCTCGCAACATTCGCTGTTCAGAGAGCAAGCAATGTTCTCGTGCTTTACAGAGAGCTTCAAACAGGAACGAGTTTTGTTATTCCCCTCAATCAGCCTCCCGGATGAGAAACAGCACATGGTAGCATGTGGCTGCAGCATAGTTCCTCTCCCTGCAGGGTTCGAGGACCATGCAGGCTATGCAGGCCACCGTGGCCACCGCGGCCGCGGCCGCCAGCCACCACACCTGTAGCCTCACAGGGGTAGTGGACCGCAAGAATCAAACACACGTTCACCAATGATTTGACGCGCGGTTCTATTTGTTTACAAGACCAATGCGCGGCAATCGATTCATGCGCGGTCTTGTGGGCTTTAGACGTCAGTAAACCCCCACCGGCAATCTCCAGAACCGGAAATCTCTGTTTGTCGCGCCGCAGAATCTTACTTCGGTGTGCAGCATCAGCAGAAACAACCATCGACTGCAGCCAAACCTCGCCTGCTATGGGAAATGAATGACTCGATTTCCGGCATGGGCCTCAGCTCTCTCCCTGTCCCCGCCTTCACTTTTGTCAGAAACGAAGTCATTGGCGTTACCCTTTCCTTTTGCTAAGGCGTCTTGGCTGCCTCTTTTTGGTTGGTGGTACTCAATGCAAACAGATATGGGGGCTCACTGCGAGAAGCCTCAGATATCTGTTTTACTACTACTATAGATTGGGCACAGGCGTTTCTGCTGTTGGTACTTCAGGCATGCATTAGATGGGCTACAATGGTGCGTCACAAAGGGCAGGAGGTTTAGGACAAGGCTTTTTGATCATCAGGTCATTGTTGTTTTGATGGTCTCTATTGTTATTTCCATGATGGTCATTGCAATCGAAGCTCTGGTCTCGGCTTGGGTCACTCTCCAGGCTCCAAGATTCGAGTTTGTTGGTTCTACTTCTAAACAATCCACCATAGGAATTCTCCCGCGAGATCCCTGTTCATGGGCCTCACATCCGGCCTTGCACCGTGACAAACACGATGTTGCCCACAGGCGTGCCGTCGTGCCGCCGTCGCCCTCCCTTCTCTGACCATCCCATCACCCATCCATGCGCTGATACTGGGACAGGCTCTAGATGCTATGGAAAAGGTGTTGCCTTTTTCAGGGATGTTCCGCTTCTCGAATGGACGGTACGGATCCTGTGGTTCTCGTCAGAGCAATACAGAGGAACACGGCCCGAGTTGACCAGCTGCTCCAACTGTGACAGACTTGGGGGCACAACTGGACTCGCCTAATATAGACGCCTCACGCCATTCGGGCTGGCGATCTGGCCGGATGTTTAGGTCTATCCGGATGCCCGTCGTTGATGGAGTACTATGTGGCCGAACGAGCACCACTCATTCAAAGGCCGAACCACCAACAGCCAACAGCATAATGCGAGACATACACTCGGACGCCAAATCAGGAAGGAGTCGCCAGTTATGAGCAGGCGAGGACCTGGAATTCCGACCCAACGCTTGTTCAGATGTCCAGTTCGTTACCATTATGGGTCCTCATGATGCAGATTGATGGTGAAGGCCGAACCAGCAATCCACTCCCCATACATCAAGCACATTGTCGCGTATAGTCCACTAAGCTTCCTCCCAGAATCAATAAACCGCATGCAGCAAGGAGACCCACAGCCACGCATACGCGATGGGATTATCAGGCGCTGCCCGATCACTGTGCGACCGCCCAGCCTACCATCCTTGTTGACCTGTGTCCTCGCTCCGTTCGAGAAGCTTGCCTGGTTAGGTGGATACCACCGAGGCTGTTTTCCTCGACCAGGAAACAAGGTTCTGTGCAAGGGTAGACAGGCCTTCCTCGTCACGCATCGGCCAAGCAACATGTGTTCACGCAGATGCAGACGCAGCATGTATGCACACATGCACGCACTTGGTCAAGGAGGCATCTCAAGAGTATCGCATGAACGCATACATACAGACACTCACGTACACGCACACACATTGCGGACGACATCACGACACCGACCAACTGCATCCAGAGCGCCCATCCAGAGGAGCCCACGTATTGGCCTTCCTGCAGGTGTTCACCTCCGAGCTGGTCATATGATATCCAGCCGAGAATAGCAACGTTGATAAGTAAGAGGCAAACGCCGTCTGTGTGACATCCTGCGCCTACACCTTGCCCCTGGGGTCCGCTCCCCTCCCTCCTTCTCGGGCTGGCCCTTGCTCTCACTCTCTTTTCTTCGGCTCCTCCCCACCCGCCCTTCGACGACGACGTTCTGCCAGCACATCGCCAGGACGCACCGTGCCTAAGCGACCGTTGAATGTCACCCCAGATGCGAACCTGGTGACACTGGCTCATGAGGAACCCCTCTCGCGTTCACGAACCAGCACCTTCCAGACTGCGGGCGGCCGGGTCACTCCATCTCCACCAAGGAATCCTGACCCGGCCAGATGGGCGTGTGCGGTCCACGGATACCGGCGTCCTCCCACCTCCTTCCTGTTCCGCTAGAGACGGGGCTCTCCTCACGTCCTTCCTTCCTTCCCCCTCCTGCCTACCTGTCGTGTCTGCCTTGTGGCCTTCTCCTTCCCGGTTCATGCGATGCCATGCAGCCCAGTGGAACTCTCTTCACGCCCACCTGATTCAAGGGCCTACATGTGCTGCGTCTCCCCGCCCACTCCCAACTAGGCGGCTCAATGCCCGAGGGAGTAATCTGCCTTGCCATCAGGGCTGGATCCGGTAAGGTGCGGCGTGGTGAGTGGCTGGCTGTGCGGGTGATGTTGATGTCACCACTTTCTTCCTGCCGCTTCCTACTCTCTCTCGGGCATGTGGTGATGCCTACGGAGTATCTGGTACACGGCTGTGAGCAACCAAGTCAGTACTGATTCATTTCTTGCGTGATTATAAATCGGTACCGGTATCTGCCAACACATTACAGACGTGGCATCTGTCTATCTATCCGCTCGCCGATGTGTGTGTGCCCTTGGTGCCTAGCAACAGTGAGTGGTAGACCCATAGATCGGCCGCCCGATTCCATGGCATGGGCATCGCACCATGCGAGAGCAAAACCAACAGCCCGCTGCGATGGCACATGGAGCAGCGCACCTCGTAAAACAACCAACCGAGAGCAGCGGCGAGGCGGCGAGGATAGGCATAGACTGCTGTTGATGGACTTGGAAAACTGTGACGCCCACCCGCCGTTAAGGCCGGTTCCTCATGCGTGTTGGCAGGCTGAAGAGGGCAGAGCCGCGGCCAGGATCTGACCGATTGCAAGCCCCCGACCACACTGCAGCTTGATGTGACATTGGTGGTACATGAATACAAAAGAGAAATGTATGTTGCCTCCCCCCTGTCCACAAGAAAGATATACAAGAAGGGTAAGGTAGATACACTTGCACATCCCCCCACCCCTTCGTGAGCTTTTGCCAGAAAGAGAACAAGACGCAGCACTGCGTTCCACCGCGTCTGCAGCAAGACCCGCGTTGGGACGGGCAGAGCATGCGTGTGTCGTCAGCAAAGGGAAAGATCTGGAAGCTGTGTCAAGGCTACTTTCCTTCATCCCCGTAATGCGAACCGCCGTCTATTCCTGATTCTCTATAGCTGGTCAGGTCAACCAGGCACCCCCAATCCTTTTGCAATCGCCCAAGGAACCACCCATCTTCACACACGCACACACACAGAAATACACACACACGCACAAGCACATGACAAGGTTTGTCCAGCTGTGTCGTGCCCTGTCTTGCCACACGTCGATTACTGCAGGCCATCACCGCGAAGTACCAAGACTTCCGTACCTACTCAACACACCCCAGAGAAACATCCCCTGTCAACGTCTCCGTCATACCACTCCCCCTTTACCTATCCCGGAAAAGGCGTCTAGTGGTGGCCGTGGCCGGTCTCTCCGTGGTACCCAATCAGCTTCCAGCGGCCGATGATCTCGCCCACGGTGAAGAAACCTAGCACCTCGGCAAGCAGCACGCCACCGCCGACGATCTGCGCCCTCGAGAGGTTCCGGACCTGCTGAACGGCCGAGGCCGGGGATGGGGCGCTGGCAGCGGTGCTAGAGGCGGACCGCAGTAGGGTCTGGGGGTTCTTGACGGCGTTGACCGCGCGGTTAAAGTAGCTCTGGACGGTGGTCAGGGAACTACATGATAGGCCGTGGTTAGCAGTTGAGTACCTCGGGTTTTCCACCTGAAAATCTATATGGCTAGCCCCTCCAAGAGGAGCTTGCTCACGGGTAAATGGAGAAAACAAGTAGCAGGGAACTCACGGTGGCTGCATCTTCTGGCCCTGGAAGACCAGCTTGCTCAGCTCGAGGCCGACTCTGCTGTAGTAGACGACGAAGGGGACCTGGCCTAAAAATCACGCAAACACAACCAACAGTTAGCGCAAATTCCATGCCGCGGGCGTCCCGCCCCTATGCAATCCCACATATCTCCCGGGAGTCTCCTGGACCCCTTTACTGCCCGACCTGGGGAGGGAAGCTGACGTACGCTCAACGAAGCCGACGAATCTCCCCGTGCGGCCGCCGACCTTTCCGAGCGCGCTGGCGGCACCCTTGGCGGCGCTGGCGGCGCCGGCGAGCGCGGGCCCGGCGGCGGAGGTGACGCGCGACAGGCCCTGGGCGGCCTTGGACTGGACGTTCTGGGCCGTCTCCTTGGCGGCGTCGGCGGCCTTCTTGGCCTGTGCGGAGGCGGCGTCGGTGGTCTGGAAGCGGCGGGCGGCGAAGCGGAGGTTCTGCCTCAGGAGAGGGCGGGCGACGACGGCGGACGACATTGTGTGCGTGGTGGACGGAGGCACGCTCTTGGGGGGTCCTGGTGGTGTTGGTCCGGTCCTGGCTGTGGGTTCCGAGAGCAGGTCAATTGGCGGGAGAGAGGCGGGCCAACCTGGTGTTCGTGGTCGAAAAGAGTGTTTCGTCGTGGGGGGTGGACTGGCTGGGGAGGCGAGTCGGATTGAAGGCCGTGGCGATGGAGGTTGAGAGCGCAGCTTTTGGATTACCGGCCACCCTGCTGCAGACTTGGAATCAGGGCCGGGCGAGGTGCGTGCTGCGAAAATTCCAATGGAGCTCGGAACAGAACGGACTGCCGATCCTGGCGAATCAGAGGCGTCCAATTCGGAGCTGCAGTGGGTCCTCTGGCTACGTAAGCAGCCGATGGGTACGTACCTTCCGGCCCAGGGGGAGCCTCTTTGATACTACAGTACAGAGATGGGCTTCTTGATATTGTTGCATGCCATCCATCTATCTGCAACAGGACAGACTCCAGACCTATGGCACTTACTTCCTTACACAGATTCTATCTCGAAATGTGCTTACCTAGGTCTTTGCCTTTTTCCCTTTTCCTTTCCCCCGACCTCTACTTCGAGTGCCAGCCGTCCCACTTGTCCCTTGCCTGTCCTCGTCAACAAAGTCATCATCACGATCGTTGTCATCCTCATCGTCATCACCGTCGCTCTCCAAGACAGCCGCCGCTCGAGCCTTGCGCTTTCGAGTCTTCCCTCCATTGCTCCCCCGGGAAGCATTCTCAGTTCCAATGACTGGTGTGCCCTCACCAGAGTTGTCTGGCTCTGCTGCTCCAGCCCCACTGACATTGGCTCGCAGTCGGTTCACCGCAGCCGCCATCCTCTTACTCCCTGCTTGCCTTTGCCTAGGCGCAAAGGCCTCCTTCGCACCAACGCCTACGCTGCCCTCAAAATACCTTGTAATGTTACTCTGCGTGCCTTCCATGTCCCTGCGGTTCAGATCCTTGATGACTGGCACGAGCACCTCGTCGGTCCGCTCTGGGCTCCATCCGATCGTCGCCATCAGGAACCGCCGCAGCCCCTCCAGGTCTGGCGCCCCCCATTGGAACTGCTCCGGGTTCTTATCAACGTCCGGGTGCAAGTAGGCGTCGTAGACAGCTGGACTGGGGAAGCTCGGGGGCAAGAAGAGCTTGGTGGCCTGGCTCTTGCGGAACTTCTTCCGGAACGCCGAGTGTGCATCGGCCTCCTTAGGCCGGTTGACATTCTGCTGCACCTCTGTCCACCATTCCTTGAACCCAGTCAGACCTTCCCGTCCCGGAAACTCCGAGAGGATCTCCACGGCCGTGACAGGCCCGATTCCTGGAAGACCTTCAGTGTAGTCGGACCCGAGGAGGTGCGCTATCGAGATGAGCTGGTTGCGGGAGAGCGATAGTTCCTTTTCAAGGTCGTCACACAGGTAGCACTCGACATACTTGTTGCTGTTGAACATGTTTTTGTAGACCCTCGTGCCGCCGAACAGGAAAATGTCAGAGTCGTCGGTGACAATACCATCGACGAGTCCGAGGTGTACCAGCTCGGCGCACTGAGCCTCTGCTTCCATCGGTGCTGTTATATATGGGATGCCGAACAAGCGCAGCAGGGCCTGGCACTCGGTCACCATGATTTGAGTCACCTCGTCGGCGTCACGCCTATCTTTCTTCTGTTGGGTCCGCAATGCCCGCAGCTCCCGCTCGTAGTCCTCCTGGTTCTGGTAGGCTGGCTTGTTGTTCAGCTGACTTGCAAATCGGGCGTGCTCTTCGGCCTCCTCAGCCATCTGTGCAAGAAGCTGTTCTTCCTCAGGGTCACTGAATTCCTCGTAGTCGCCGTCTGAGAATATACCGTCATCATCTGCTATGGCTGGGTCGGCCACTGGCCCGAGTCCTTCGATTCGCTCCTGCTGAGCTATTGGTGGTGTTGGAGGCGTAACATCTTTCAAGCCGAGTTCTTCGATTTGCGGCGGGTTTTTGGCTGGTGCAGGCGCCTCATCAACTTTGAGTTGCTTCTGCGGCAATTCAACGTCCTCAAATATTGTATCTTCGAGGTCATCTTCCTGCTGCCCTTGCTTCGGAGAGGACCCTACTGCATGGCTGTGTTGCGGCAACTCAACATTCTCAAACTCCATCTCAGATGACGGAGAACGACGTGGGTCCGTCTGGTCCTCACTAACCCTGTTCTCGCCCTCGCCATTCTGACTGATGACATCTCCTGGTTTTGCCTCCGAGCTTGCTGTCGATACACCTTCAGAAGTTTCATTATTAAGCGGTGGTAATGTGATCGTGAAACCAGTATTCGTGGTTGATGTCTCATTCGCGCCCGATCTCTCGAGGGTAGCAGACTTGATTGGCGGCGCATCCACAATTTCGAAGCCGTCGTCATCGTCATCAGACGATTCAATTTGGACTACTTCATTCCGTCGCTTCATTCGGAGGCGCTGTTCTTCCTCCGCTAGTCGCTGATCCTCCTCATTCACCTCGGTCTCGATACGTCGCTGCTTCTGCATGTTCTCCCGAATATCTGATTCGTCATTCACCATCCATGGAGGCAACGGTTGCGGTGCTTTGTCTGCACTAGTGTCTTTCTCGAAACCTCCCTCGAAATTCTCGTCTTCAAGGTGACCTGTATCTTCCGAGCCTGCCGGTCGAACTTTGTTACTCGAGGTATCGTCAGGCACTTCAATTTGAAAGCCACCCTCGGATTCGAAGATGTCTTTGAGAGTTTCATCTGGTTTGGCTTTAGGCTCGGGCTTCTTTTCGAATACCGAGTTCTTCCAATTCAGTTTCTCAAACGGTAGAGGCCCGTCGAAAGGATTCTTCACATTGAGTCGCATCGGCTCCGTTGGTTTAGGTTTCACTGCGGATTTCTTCTTCCTTGCGGCCCTCAACGCTGCTTGCAGGTCTTCTTCACTGTCGCTGTCGGCACTTTGCTTTCTCTTTGGGACAGCCGCATTGGCTCGATTGTTGATGATGTGAGCGACCATGCTACCGCTCGTGGACGCGATTGGCTTCGGCACTTCCACGGCTTTTTGCTTCCAGTCAGGTATTTCCACATTTTCAAATTGCTCATCTTCCTGGATCCCTTCCGCCTCCTTGCTGGCACCATGTTGGTTTCGCAGGGACATCTCGATTGCTCGTGCGACATCTTCATCTTCATCAGCCATGAGATCGTCCTCATCGTCCTGGGCCACAAATAAGTCATTGCTGGCTTCGTTTCCGTCTCCGAATAGTGACTCCGCGTCCTGATCGTCGTCTTGCAATCGTACTCTGTGACCTCGAATCTTCGGTAGACGATTGAGTCCTTCTATTGGCACATCCTCAAAGTCTTCGTCTTCATCCTCGTCCGCGTCTGCGCCTTCGTCCTTTGCTTCAAACTTGAAGTGCAATTTGTCGACATCAATCGGCTTGTGAGCTTCCCCCAAATCTTTCTCGGTGCTGACGACACCCAGTGCCCAGCCACCGTCGGCATTCTCGTTCCTCACCAGAATATACTCTCGATTCTTGTCACCAGCAACTCGTCCGCCACCTGTGACTGTCAAGTCGCCCACCATATTCATCTCAAACATGAGCCTCTGAGTGAGACGATTACGCTCTTGGACGCGCTCAACTTGAAACCTCGAGAAATCCATGCGGTTGGGAAACATGACTCCTAGCTGTTCTTTACTCAGTCCCATTCTGAGCCGACTGCGCAATCTTGCCGCGTTAAGGATGTTGTACCGATCTGCGGGTGGCAAGCTCTTGAAAAACTCGCCATCAAAATCGATTTTACTGAAGTCGTACAAGTTGACATCCTCACCGTTGTGGAACTGTCTCGCGTAGTCCTCCAGCTCCTCGACGCTCATGATCCGAGGGTCCTCCGGCTTGCCCATCTTTTCGATGCTGGTCTCAAGTTCCGGTAGGTGGTACTGATCCTGCCGAAAGAATTTCCTCTCCTTTTTGCGTTCCTCTTCCGGCTTGAAGGCCTCGTCGGCGTAGACCATATTGCTCATGTCGGGAAGCTCCTCGCCAGGGGCAGCCCCATCCTCCGGGCTGGCATTCCTGCGCCGCTGTCTCTCCTTGCGCTTCTCCTCCTCCTCCTGTGCGATCCTCTGCATCTGCACAGCAAGCAACTTACCGGCCGTACGCACTGCATCATCGCGTCTGCCTTCCCTGCGCCTGCGCCGCCCTTGCAGAGTGGCGCGCTTCAGGGCGGGGGCTCCACCGTCGAATACGAAGATGGGCTTGATGCCGAACCACAGAAGCTTGCATATCCTCCGGAAGAATCCTACGACATGGCTGTTGCGCAGGGCGTTTCCCTCCTTGTCGCGCACGGCTTTGAGGAACTGGTAGATCCAGATAGAAGCGTCTACGGCGAGTCGCTTGCGATTGAGTGTCGCGAGGTTGGTGGGCCGGGCACAAGGCTGTACGACTGTCCAAAGACCGTTGACTCCCATGGTGTCGGGTTCTCGGGCTTCAATGGATCGGATGTGGCGAAAGGAGTTGAGGGTGATCTGCGAAAGATCGGGATGAGGTGCCTACCTGGGATGGGCTGTGCATCCTCATCACTCCCATGATAGCTGCGCGTCTCAGAACACGACTGCAGTAATATCTACCAGCCGACAGAGAGGTGAAACGAGGTACGGAAAGTTCGGTCTGACTCCTTTCAAAACGGTCAGTCTTAGCCCAAGGGAACGAGAGGCGCACCCGGGCGCGTTCAGCTTGATAAGCGGCTTATCGCCCCACTGAAATGCCGTCATCACTCGCGAAGCATCCGCCCCGTCACGGGACGGGAGCGAAACGGACAAGGAGCTCCAGTGTTGTCTGTCCACCCCGAGCTGCAGCCCTTCGACCTCGACCGCGAAGGGTCCACCTGGCTGCCGAGGACCGGCCTCGACGACTCGACAGGCTCCACCCCGGGTCACAGCAGAGATCGACAACCACCAGTTCAAGCCACAAATTATAAGGAACTGATTCGGAGCTCACACTTTGGCGGCCTCAGAAGACAAGATGGACAAGGATGAGGCGCGAGGCTTCCTCGAGTCCCTGCTCAACAAGAAGCTGCGCATTCACACGACAGACGAGCGCATGTTCTGGGGCGAATTCAAGTGCACCGACCCAGTAGGCTACGTTCCCTCGCTCTTGTCTGCCAGCGCGGCGAGGTCACCGAGCTGAGTCGTTGTAGGACCGCAACATAGTTCTAGCACACACCTACGAGTACCGCCAGCCGTCCCCAGAACAGCGAGCCAAAGCAGCAGCCGCCTCCAACGCCGACGCCACCACCATCAAGATGGAGCTTACCCACCGCTACCTCGGACTTGTCGTCGTGCCCGGAGAGCACATCGCACGTATCGAGAAGGAAGACTTCGCCAGCCAGGTGAAGAAGGAGTGAGGACCAATTCACCTGGTCAACAGAAAATAGCAATAGAGAACTTCAGTCTCTCAAATGAGTTCCGGGAGCGTGGGCCGACGATTCTCACGCGATCATGATTGCAGAGTCAGGGTGGACATCACTAAACACTCAAGCAAGAAGATAATTATTACTCGCTCTGTGTATCCATCCGAATCAGCACGATGCGCCGGTTATGGAGAAACGGGTGACGTGAACGAGACTATGTTCCGTCCCATGCGCATGCATTCAACCCATTGCCCTCTGATGAGGGGGCAGCCGTGGGATGCGCGTGGGGAAGCTACGAGGGGATGCTTTGAGCGAGCAATTGTACGGAGCAGGACCTTGGTCTTGACGCAGTTGAGGCTGTGCTTACATTCAGAACTACGCTCAGGACCCTGATTGATGGTTCTTTGGGTCTTCTAAACAGCTCCTACCGGCAGGCGAGCAGAGGCCGGTGGGGATCTCAACTCGAAACATGACAAAAGAAGTATCTGCGTCCTTGATGTGAGGGGTGAGCATCTGGCCGAAGGATGTCAGTCGAAATTGGGAAGACAGGAAGAGACTCCTTTTGGGCGGAGGAGTCGTGAGGGTTAGCTAGGACGTTCTAGGTGCTACCGGTGTCCCCAACCACCTTGCTATATCCAAGCATACGGGTGATGCGGACCGCTACTAGTTTGCCGTAATTTGCGGGCAACAAAGTAGTCATGTGCATATGTTCGCGCCTCAATTGATGCTCAGATGTCTGAAAATTTTCATTTTAGAAATTGGGTTGGACTTGCATTTGCGCTGAAAAGGTGATACGGAAGCAATTATGAAGTGAACCAAAACCACGCCCCGCCGTGATATTTCCGCCTGCAATCCCCGTGTTTTCCTAGCGCCTTCCTTCATGTATATCCCAAGTTGAAGACCACAAGTCGTCTGAGCCCCAGTCCACAACGCGTTGGCAATTAATAAGTCGCGTCATTATAAACATTACACTGTAGATCGTGGCCTGGCCGAACTCTGTCAGTCAGATTAAGCAGCAACAGCCTCCTGGGTGCGGCCACGGTGCTCCCCGTTCAAGCCGTTCTCGCTTTCCAACAGATCATCCTCTTCCTCTTCCTCCTCCTCCTCCTCCTCATCGTCATACTCGCCCTTATGCTGTCCGGCCGGCACCCACGAGTCGCGGTCATTAAGCGGGACATCCTGGGTGGACAGGTCATGGCCTTCCGATCTGGCCTTGATGTTGTTGCGGCGGCGGGTTGACAGCGTTCGGGCTCGGGTCGACAGCTTGGAGGAGACAGCAGCCTTCTGTGTGACCCAGTTGGTCAGGGCATCCTCGCAGTCCTGGATGATGGCTTTGCTGGCCTCGTATCCATCGTAGGCGGCACGGGTCTCCCCAGGCGTCACGGGCGTGTCATCGATGAGCTCGAGAAGATGCTTTCCGTACCCGGCGATGATGGCCACTTTTTCGCAGTGCTCCCGCAGGGCGTCGAACTGGTACGTGTATGCAGCCTTGATCTTCTCCCGCGTGATGTTGGACAGCTGCGCTTCGGCGACCAGGGACTCTGCTTCGGCGCGGACGAGTTCTTGCTCGAGGACGACAATTTTGGGGGAGTTGGGCTCCTTGTATTTCAGCTGCGCGATCTGATCGGTGATTTTCTGCTTGCGGTCTCTGCTCGGCTGCACCGAGGCCTCTATGTTTCGGATGCTCTTGATGGTGACGCGGTACTGGTCGTAACGGTCGACATACTGGTCCTCGAGCTCGCCAATTTCGTAGAGTAGAACGCCAAGCTTGTCTGTGACGTCCGAGACATCCTCGTCGCAAGCCTCACCCCAGATGGAGAGTTGTTGCTACGACCCACGTTAGAAGAAACCGGGATATCCAGCATGGTGGCTTGACACGTACGGCAACTTCCATGCGCTCCTTTGCGACTGTTTCCAGGCTGCGCATGACATTCTTCTCCATCTTGACCAGTTGCGACAGCTTCTTAGCTAGGTCCGGGCCGAAGGCGCCCGCCGTCTTTCCTCGGAGAGCATGGCCTATGTTGCCGGTTAACTGACACTTTCTTTTGTTGTGCGCAGCGCGATACAATCGCTGGGGGTTGGTACGTACCGAAGCCGCCACGGCCGAAGAGACGGCCTGACTTGGTGCTCGAGGTTGGTGGCGGAGGATTCTGGTGATGGGGCTGATCAGGCTACAATCCCTGGTAGTGCGACCGTCCTGGGACTCACCTGGATCTGAGACGCAGTGGGCGCCCTCGTCTGGCGCATAGAATAGGTGCGATGCATGTTGAGCGTCTCCCGTGGTATCAATAAGGGAGGAAGGTGTTGCTGGCAGAGGTCGGTGGGTGGGTCGAGGACAAGCGGTGGGTATGGATGTTGATGATTGGCGTCACGAGAAAGCTCACAGGTAGGCTTGTAAGTCCACGTGGGCCGTCCCGGAGAAGATACGATTGCGGTAGTAGCAAAGCAGGGGGTTGGACAAAATGGGGGAGACTCGGGAGTAAATAGTGGAGGTGAAAGGGACGGAGGCGAAGATCAGCCAGGAGGTCGAGGCCGAGATGGCAATGGTAATTCGTTCGCGGACAATGGCAAAGCTGAAGACCCCTGAGAGTCCGGGAGAGACGGGCGACGTCATAACCGGAGTGAGAAGCAGTGCTAAGGGATGCTAGAGGATGCTAAGGGATGGTCTTAGCTCCCTTTTGGAAATACCCCGTTCGCAGTGTGGCACTGGCAGTTCGAAACCGTGCACCACCGCCCGTTTGGGATCTGCGTCTGGTCTGTCTCTACACCTTTGGGCGAATTGGAGAGCCTGGAATGTTCCATCCAGCCAGTAAATTGTGCCAGCCAGTGCCCGGGATGATTGATGATCGTACACCGTTAGCCTATAAGCCATGTGTACCCAAACTGTTTAAACAATTTGCTTTCAAGCGGTATTCAACCTGGTTCGATTTGTGCACTACTGTCGATGCAAGACCTCGGTGGATGGGCCTCACAAATGGGCATATAGAGATAGGCCAAGATTAGAGAATATCAACATCCCAAAACATGGTAAATTCCAATTCGCTTACAAACATGATTGCACATCTCTCACAGTGCTTGTAACTCTGAATTCCAAACTTGTAGAGGAAGTTTGCCAGCAGTTGACACTATCCACATCATCCACAACTTAACTCATACCTCTGCCCCGGTACCACATTTGAGCGTAAACCAAAAATGAGAAGGGTAAAGCAAACAAGTTTATTCTCATCCGCAGAGGCACACATTGTGGCCAGTCAGCAAATAGACTCTATACAATTCCTCGCACCAAGTAAACACAGGGAAAGGAGCCGGCAGAGGTCCAGGGTTCTCGAGGCTTATTTTGCCCCAACCCTGGTGGAATTGCACCTACCCATGTACCTGCAGGTGGGCACGCTACCGGCCCCGGCCCCCCCCCCCCCTTGCCACAGTACCATCTATGAGTAGCTCCTTCCACACAGAGCCTTTGGGCTGGGCAGTTGCAGGGGCACGCGTACAGGCAACCTTGATGGTCTCCCTCATCTGCACCTGCACCTGTGTCTTACGCGACTTGACTGCTTGTGCAAGCTCAACATAGAGCAATACTCTCTTATTCTTTGATCCCATCTCTCAGACCCAACCAAGTCAAGTTCCCATTGTGGCAGCTTTGGCTTCTCTTGAATCAATCCCACACCAGGCCAGCGACGCGTTTGCAATACGAGCCGTATAATTTTCTACCCTCTCCACCACTTCCCCAGTCCTCAATCACCAGTGACAAACATCAAGCCATCATATCCTCGGTTGCGACGGAGCATTCACTAGGCCGCCGGACTGACGCCCGAACTGTTCCTGATTTGACATCCACCGGTCTAGTGAGCCCAGAGATCATCACTCATTCCTTCCAACCTGCGATATAACCCCCAACGGATCCTGGGCCACAGCCTTGGTCGTCCCTCCTGTGCCCAAAAAAGTTTGGTATCACAACTTTCAATACCATCACAGCCACCGTTGGACTCGGGAATTTTTGAACTGATATCACCCTTCTTTGAGCCTGAGACTCGGCAAAATCTGTTCACAGTCCACAACTAGGCCGAGGCTCATCATTGCAGAACCACAATCTTGGGGCTAACCAACGTTCGGCGAGCCATCCGAAACGCTTGCTGCGACTCCTACGACCATGATCAATTTCGATTGTTTCTCTAGGTATTGATTGATTCTGGCCGGAGCTGCTCCAATGGATCTCATCGACCTCACTGGTGACAGTGATGCCGACATGGCAACCAGCCATGAACCGACACAGCGGGTCGGGGCCAACACTTCACCGCCGACCAGATTCTCAGAGAGCCGTTTTCAACTACATGATTCATCGGCGGCTTTGCGTGGCCATGCCTTTCCACCGCCAACCTCGCGCTCGAGCGAGCCGTCGGCGTCTCGCTCAAGGGGCCATTTGGACACAACCCCATCCAAGCCCACGAAGCCTGAATCCTCGTCTGCGAGGGGAAGTAGGGTCAGCAAGGCTTCACCGATCCACCTTTCTCCAAACCCAGCTATCCGGCTGGCTCCTCGCAGTACCACACCGCAGCCGAGCAGAGATGCTGTGACACATGAGGTGGCCGAAATCAGCCCATCCTTCCAAACTCCTCTCAAGGACGATTGGAACGTGGACAAGATCGAGCACGCTCTTTTCGACTTGTCAAAGGAGCTTGACTGGAATCATTCTAAGCTGGTCAACTATAACTTGCGGACTGCCGCCGCACAGAAAGCCCCAGGACGACAACATGTGAGCTCTACTGCGCATCTGGCAGACCTCAAACTGTCTGCGCTGCCATATGAGACGTCACAAGAGGGCACTATGAAAGTCCATCTCAAGACACATGGTTCGAAAGATACGGCCCGCGCCAACTCTGGGAGGAAGAAGATGGCTTATGAGGTCGTCTGCATCAAGTCTGACAAGCCACGAGTCCCAGAGTACAAGTTCCATCACGTGGAGATCTCAAGGAACATATTGACCCCGAACACAATGCTGAAGTTCATTCCGCATCTGCGTGACATGAAAGACAACGAGGAGGAGCGTTATTCTAGGTGGATAAAGGAACTCGAGGCGATGGATGCCCAGTCCGGATTCAATGTGACGTCTCTTAATAGGGGCGACAAAATGAGGAAGCGACTCAGGGAAGAAATCGCCGCCGAGATCTCCCTCTACGTCGATCGGTGGACCGCAAAACTCGGCTTGGACAACTGCAACAAATCCACCCTCGTCCGCTACATGGCCACACAGCCTGAGCACAACGACAAGATGACGCCGCAACAAAAGAACAGCATCATCCACAGACTTGATGAAGTCAGCTCACCACGAGCCACCAAGACGGCGAAGATGTTCACGGAAGCCTTTAACCACTTATGGAAGCACACCGAGCTCACCCTGAAGGACGTGCTCGCCCATGACGAGACCGTGGAGGCCGTCGTCGAAAACAAAAAGCTGGTCAAGGACGAAAAGCCTGAGGCTAAATCAAAGGTGGCAGAACGGCTCTTGGAACTGGTCGAGAGCAATTTGCTCACCTACACTATCCTCGGCTGCTTGTACTGCTACTCGCACTCCTGTGAGCACGGCGAATATGATCGTGACAACCAGCGGCGCTCGCTTGGCGTTGACCTGATAGGAAGATTTGGCGGCTTGATGAGACAGAATATGGCCAAGCACCTCCGGGACCCTGAGGGCTCTGCAGACAGGTCACCCGCTCGTTGTCGAAATCACTGCTGGCAGGATTATAGGTCTGGCAATATCAACGCGGATGTGGAGCCCTGGACCGACGACGAAGTCGCACTTCTCCGAGGTCTTTATGCTGCTTCGGCGGCCAGCCCAAGCCTTTGTTCGAATTTGCCTTGCCTTGTCTCAACCTTGCTGGGACGGCCGTGTTGGGACGTATATCGGAAGCAGCTCCAGCTTGACTTGGACAAATACGAATCCCTCTACGAGCTTGCGAGTCCTGATCCTGACCCACCAAAGGTCAAACCATTGGCGTGGTACGATCGTCACCGAAAGGAACTGAAACAAGATTGGCAAGACCATCTGAATGCGCACGAGTTCACTCGCCGTGAAGTCAAGGATCCTTGCACCCACAACGGCCCCTGTGGCAAGGGTTGCCCGTGCGTTGATGCGAAACTTCTATGCGAACGCTTCTGCCGTTGCACAGCCGAAAACTGCGCCTACAAGTTTACAGGCTGCGCGTGTAAAGCCGAGGGCAAGACTTGTCTGCAGTCGAAGAAGGAGGGCAAGCCTTGTATCTGTGTTCAGCTCAACAGGGAATGCGACCCAGTCCTCTGTCAAGGGTGCGGTGCTTTCGAACGGGCAGACCCCAAGAATGCTCACGATATGGACCTGCACTCATATGGTTGCCAAAATGTGTCTCTGCAGCGTGGCCTTTCCAAGACTGTCTTGCTGGGCGAGTCTCAAATCGAGGGCTGCGGATATGGACTATTCACAGCGGAAGACATCGCTCAAGATGAGTTCGTCATTGAGTATCTTGGCGAATTGATCTCACACGACGAGGGTGTCCGTCGGGAAGCACGACGCGGCGACGTTTTCGACGACTCCAAACACAGCAGTTACTTGTTCACCCTCCTGGACTACGAGGGCATCTGGGTCGACGCGGCCATATACGGCAATCTCAGTCGCTACATCAATCATGCATCTGAGTACGACAAGGTAGGAAAGAAGCTGGTCAACATCGTGCCCCAAATCTTATTTGTGAACGGCGACTACCGCATCAAGTTCAAGGCTCAGCGCGATATCAAGGCGGGCGAGGAACTCTTTTTCAACTACGGAGAAAATTTCCCCAATCTCACCAAGAAACTTCTCGACTCCAAAGATGAAGAAAACCGACCAAAGCGCGGCGGCACTGTTAGGGGCCGAGGTGGCCGCGGCCGCGGCGGACGGGGCAGAGGGCGAGGGAGTCTCAAGATCACCACCACCGGAACCAAGAAGGCGCCTAGAGCCTCTCTAGATGAGGACGATGAGGTGTCGTCAATCGAGCCCGTCGTCCTAGACGAGCATGACAACGAAGATGATGGGGACTTCCGGCCGGGACGGTCGTACAAACCAAGGAGAGCTGGGACTGCCTTGGGAGTGCGGGGCGGCCGCAAGCGAAAGAGGCATGCCTCGAATGACTTGGATCCCGATGATCCGCCACCTGCTCGCGCCACTAGAGGCGGACGCGTTAGAGGCAGGGGTTCGCGTGGGCGTCAGCGAGGTGGCGGTCGCGGTGGAAGGCGCACCGCAACAAACGTCGAATCCACAACTACGACTGCAGCATTTGCCTTGGACGGCACAGACGAATCATCCAGTAACGGCACCGCCGCCTCTCTCATTGAAGCTGCACCTACTATGACGACGCACGCAATTCTCGGCACACCTAGTAGCCGTGCCGGGCGTGGCAAGCGTCGAAAGCACCTCGATGGTGACGATTCCGAGTCTGAGTTCAAGATTCATGTCCCTAGATCAGGAGGCAGCCAGCATAGTCCTAGTCTGAGAAGGCGCACAAGAAGAGACATTCCCGACTCGGATGACGAAATGGCGGACTTTGACCATGGAGACAGCTTCACACGTGGAGGCACCGCGGAGGGCAGTAGTCCGATAGACCGGTCGCAGCGCAAGAGGCAGAGGCCGGCTAGGTACCGCGATCTGGAGGAGTAGGACTTCACCACGAAGCAGACCCGGCGCAAACGGCAGGCGACCACCAACTCAGCGCAAGGCAGAAGAGGCGAGAAGAAAGTTGTGGAAGATGCGCAGTTGTCTGAGGATGCTGAATACACTGCTGGAAGATTTGTCGTCGCTAGAGCCAGTAAGAGCCCTGACGTCAAAATGCTCGGCCGAAATGCAACGGGATCGAACACCAGTGCTGAAGGGGGTCGTCGAAAACAGTTGGCGAAGCGCAAAGGCATCAGAAATAATCCGCGCCCCTCGGCAGAGACCCTGCTTAACAGATGTAACTTCGACGAGGGTCTGCGACGGGGCCTTCTACAGGCTGCGAACAACGATTCTCCTCTTCCAGAATGGATGCTTCGTCGCAAATCGTATGAGCGCGCAGGCGAATTCTACGTGCGTCTGAGGGCAGAGCTTGTTACCCCGGAACGACGTGATCAGGCCAAAATTAAGCGTATGCTGGAAGAACCTCATTCTTCGCAGCAGCGAGGCGCAAACCAGTATGACGGTGCCGATGACACAATGCCCGGACAGGACGTTGACCATGTCGACTGGGCTGACGCAGAGAATATCGACAAAATACCGGTCAAACAGCCTACGAAAGTAGTACAGCAGCAATTGACGGGCGATGGAGAGCATGTTCAATCCTCGACAATGCTGAACCAAAACACCAGGAGATACCGCGACGCTCTGCGCAGAGGTCTACTCAAAGCTGCGGAAAACGGCACTATCCTGAGCGGCTGGATTCAGGACCGCAGCGTCGCCAGTCTTGGCGGCTTTTGGGTCCGCTTGAAGGAGGAGCTGCTTTCCAAAGAGCGTGACCAGGCCAAGATTCAGCGCATGCTGGATGAATTGAGGGCTTCCGAGCTGCAGGGCGCAGAGGCAGCCGATGACGAGCTTCTTTCTGCCGGAGAAGGGGAGCTGGAGGAAGGGGAGGAGGAAAAGGAAGAGGGAGATGAAAGCTCAGAACAGCGGAGACAAGCTGTCAATGATGAGGCAGAAGTGGAAATGAGAGGTCAACCAGACATGGATGACGACGACAGCGATGACGACGTCTTTGTGCGTTGGCCGAGAAGGCGCCGACGGCCGTTGACTAGGCACCAAGTCGAATAGGAGCTTGAGGGAGAGAATCCCATTCAAGTAGGGCTTCGGCAAAGAACCAAGCCTCGAGGACAGTGCCTGCTCTGAAGGACGGTGGAAGCTTGAGAAGGAAGTGCCGAACATTTGTAAATCAAGATACTCATATGTCGAGCAAGGCATACATACAGTCGCCCATCAGGTTCCTAGGCTTAGTAGGACCATCCGTAATATCATCCATAGCTCAATCCAACTCGACGTATATTGTAACGTTTCTGGACATCTCAAGTCACCCAGATGATAGTGCATGGTAGACCGCCCCAGCTGTGCCAGGGACACACACTTGACCCCGAGCCGCACCAAAGGGAAAGGAAAAGGGTCTCACATCTATCATCCTCCTCATTTCGTGGTCGGTTTTGACACAAGGGTGCTCACCCAAGCATCTCGCAAATCAAGAAACTGTATTCCGAAAGAGATCCCTTTATTTCATACTTGCACATACCGTCTGAACACCGTCACATCGAATGATGCTATGGCTAAGGCACCCTCCACGATTCATGTTGGAAAGCCTCCAATTGGGTGGAGAAAAATACATGTATGCCCATACTCAGGAGAATCGTCACCCATCTTACACACATCCCGTCACATAGAGAGGTCGTACCCTGACCAAGAACGCCTGGCTCTGCAACAAGTCACGCACACAGCTTTCTTCTACCATCGCCTTCGATGCTTGTAGCCACCAAAGGCGACGCGCCCCACTTGATACACACACGTCCACGCGCCTTATTATGATGCATCCCGTCCCTGTACCACCTCGGAAGGGGTACAGTGGACGGAGAGGAGTGCGCACAGCTTGACCTGTGGACGACCAAGGCCTCGGAGCATGATCTCTTTTACAAGATATGATCCCAAATATAACCACGGCCACCTGTGGTTGTCCTCCCACCCAGGCCTGCTGCGGGGCTGCAGTCATCCCTGGGTTTACATGACGCGTTCATAGCGTCGAGTTGACCTAGAACCGCTGGCTCCCGCTATTGATCCTTCCGGTCGCTGTTGAGCCCGGCTGCCCTTTGTGTTCTCCTTATCGTTCTAGCCATGTTGCACTCGAAACGTCTGGCTCGACCCATGCGATGCGATAGTCGACTGTGTCTCCTTCTAGCCTTCTACCGGCGCAAATGGAAATTGTCTGTATGACATTTGTTGTATATAAGACCGTCGCGTCTTGTAACTTGTATGCCTTCTCGTTGACGACCGTCGCTAGACACTTTGGGGATATACATTCGCAGGCTGTGAGGTGGAGTTAGTACGAGATTGTGGCAAGCAATGGGAGAGGAGCCACGGCATACTGGACTGTTCAGCATTTGCTGTCTTTTGTTCCGGCCCTTCTTGATGTGGCTCTTCAACGCGTTGGAGTCGAGGGGCTTCAAGAGCTCGAAACTACATAACAGTTCCGAAGACACTGACATGACCGCGCCCCAATTATCGAATTCACCGCAATACTGTACAGCGTCAGTACACACACGCAGGGTAAGATCGAGTCAAGGGGATGTGACTTACATTTGGCGCACTGAACACGGTGACTAGTACCCTGTCCGTGAAAAATTCGTAGCCATCCTCGACAACCATGTGCGCACGGCAAACGAGATCGAAGTCATGCGTCGTGAGGAAATCCGTGATGACTTTCTTTCCAAAACAGTAGCTGACACCTCGTTCGTTTGCTTCCCAGTCCGCGTCCATGTCAGCCGGATCAGACCACAGCAGGTCGTTCAGTAGCCCGTAGTCGGGTACGTCGGTTGGTCGCGCGATGTTTCGGATGTCATCCATGTCCCTGAGCGCAGGCGACAATCCGCCGTGCACACAGAAGATCTTCCCTGCGACAATAGCGGCAATGGGAAGGGTGTTGAAGGTATCAATGAACGTCTTCCAAATCTTGACGTTACATCTGCGCTTGCACTCATCGTAGAACCCGTAGACGCGCGTGACGTTGGCGCACTCGTGGTTGCCGCGAAGGAGAAAGAAGTTCTCGGGGAACTTCAACTTGTAGCACAGCAGCAGGAGAATAGTCTCAAGCGACTGCTTACCTCGGTCGACGTAGTCACCTAGGAAGAGGAAATTGGAAGTCGGCGGGAATCCGCACATCTCGAACATACGGATGAGGTCCGTATACTGTCCATGAACGTCGCCGACGATTTTCACAGGGGCATCTAATTCCAGCAGGGCAGGCTGGGTCAGAAGCACTTCCCTAGCACGCTGGCAAATAGCCACGATCTCGGCATTTTTCAGGCAGACGCTCTTGGTCACTTTGCCAGCATAGCCGGCGTCCAGCAATCGCTTGATGAAATCGTCCAGGTCGATATCCTTGATCTCACTCATGGCGACAGCCTGGTCCTGGCCAGGCGACGTTCCTCCATGGATTGGGTTGACAGAGTTGTCACGCCTGACCAGTATCGACTGGCCTGGTTGTTGTGCCTCCCCATTTGGGTCCGGCACCCCAGACGGTGGCGCGTCAGACACGTGGTCAACCTCGCCCGATGCTTGTGCAGCGCTGACATCGTGCTTCCCTGACATGCCCGATCCGGACTGTATGGGGGACGGTGGAGGCTGGGTCTCGTCGATAGGAGAGGTCACACCGGTATCGATGGACGAGGGCGAGGTCGGGGACACGGCAGGATCGGAGGACCTGCTGCGAGAGAAGCGCCCACTACGGCCCGACTTGACCGACCCAGCATCGGACTTGTCGCCGCCGTCGCCATTAGATAACAGCGCGGAGTTACGCGGGCTATCGGTTTTGGCGGAGGAGCCTGGGATCTTTGACCTGAGGGTCTTGAAGGACCTCGTGGAATCCTTAGTGTCTGACTTGCTGAATGATGGGTATGACTGCAGGCCGTCCGGGCTGCGGTCGCCCGCGCCGGCAGAGCTGGTGGGCCTGGGCGTACTGGTACCGTCCTTTGATGGCTGGTTTCCCATCGCGAGTGTGGCCTTGGTCGAGTCTGGGCAGGGAGGTCAGAAAATCCGGCAGGCTAAACGGTGTGCGCGTTGGGGTATGTGGGCGAGTTGACAATGCCACGATAGCCTATCGCTGCACCCGTTTTCGCCGTTGGAAGGAGGTGTATGTGTGTGAGCCCGCGATGCGCGACGTGGTTCTAGGGAGGATGGTAGAGTCTGACGAGTACAGCCACAAGACGCGTGGCGGTGATGGGACGTCGTCGGCCCTGTATGGACTCCGTGTTTGGTGACTGGTACGAGGATCGTGGGGAGTTCGTGTCGAGGAGTGTGGATGGGGCGAGGGTGGAGAGCAAGGATCACGAGCGGGTGTCGATGCTTCGTGGGCGATGAGGTCAGGTCAGTGGACCAACAAAGGTGGAGAGCGAGGGCGGAGGTGGTCTAGACGCCGGACGGGAAAACGAGAATTGTCAGCCTTGCCTGGCAAGCGGAGTTAAGATGGAGGGCGAGTGGCAACGGCGGGGTGGATGACGACGGAGGTGAAGAGGCTGTGAATACGACCGTGTAGGCAGAGGCGTGGGCCGGAGATTCGAGCGGGAGATACGGCAGCGTGGACGGAGGTGGGCTTAGGACCGACCAGCCAGGGAGACACAGGAGGACAGCGTGCTTGACTCACCGTCCGGAACACCGAGAGCGAGCAGCAGGCGGTGGGATGTTGAGGTAATCAGGAAGGAAAGTCGGGGGCGGCTTGTTTTAGGGACGGGCCAAAGTGTTTCGTTCGTGGTACCTCTGTTTCGGTGAAGGAGCGCCTCTGGGCCCGGAGTGGATTTGGCCAGTTGACAGCCAAGAGAAGTGGCTGTAAGGGAAGGAGGGCAGGGTGGGGGAGTGGCAGGAACGATGACTGCTGCCAGGGGTGGTGGCCAGTCAGTCGTGTGTGTGTTGAGTCTGTCGTCTAGAAGCGAGTTCCAAGAGCAGCCTGGCCTTGTTGTTGTGATAGATCGGACAGCAGAGGCAGGGGGCAGAGTCAAAGAGGCGCGTTGGAGGGGCAGGGCTTTGTGGAGTCGGCGCGGAAGCTTGAGTGACGCTGGGCTGGCCGGGTCCGGGAGGTTTGTACTGGTTTTATTAAGTAACCTTGGGGAGGCGCCCTTTCGGCTTGAACCTTGTGCCTCTTCCCGCAGCGTCTGGGCCTGGTTGGTCTTGAGCAGAAGAAGGTCGAGGGTCGGTGGGCAGTGAGCGCTGTTTCAGAAGGATCGGACCGATAATCAGTCAAGGCCGCCAGTCAGTCGGTTGTGGGAGGAGTTCTGGCGATGTGAAGATGGACTGGGGCAGGCTGTTTGGACGAGAAAAGGCGGGAGGCGGGAGGCGGAATTGCACGCATGCGCGGCTTGTATGCGGGTGCAGTTGAGTGCTGCAGATTGCAGACGCAGGCGCAAGGACGGGCGAAAGAGGGACAGACAGGTGAGACCCTGGCTGCCAGGCCCGCCTGGGTCCTGGTGCAAGATGCCGTATCCAGGCGTGGTTGACTGGATAGCTGGCGACCTGGACGACCCGGCCGACCAGGAGCGGTCATGATCTGGGTTCGAATTTGAGGCTTGGCGAGCATGACTGGCGCCTTGGGATTTCTGGGCGCTCCACGACAGCGGTCCGCAAGCAATCTATCGGTCGCCCGCCAGGCCCGCCCCTCTGGCTCCGTGATGAAAATCACTCTACTCAGCTTGTCCAGCTCCCTGGGCCTGCGTCTCCGTCGCATGCCGTACTCCTCCGCCTGCGTACTCGTTCTGTATACGGCAGGGTGGTATGGCTGTACATGCGTTTGGTGGACGGGTAGGCTTCGACGTTGTCTGTGCGCGATGGTCTGCCGCTGTCTGACAGACCTGAGGATCGTCACCGCGTTGCCCATAACGAGAAGGCGGCCAAAGTCAATCTGGCCGGGCTTTTGGTTCTGGCTGGTCGTCGACGTCGAACGCAGACGCAGATTGCAGACGCGGGGTGCGGTTTGGCAGTTGCATCCCGACGCACCGATCGCACCAGCCCGTTGGTCTCTGCGCCGGCCGCCCCAACACCCTGTGCAACGCTCCTGCCCTGCGCTGTCGTCCAGGTGTTGATTCGCCAGATCTGGTGCTGGTACAGCTGCTCGTGCTCACCTTGCACAAAGTACAGAGCACAAAGCATCCATCTTGCCACACCCCACCAACAAGTCCCCATTCACTGCCCTCGTGCCCCGGGCCCAGACCCAGGCCCAGCCACATCGTCGTAACACGCCTATTCTGATCTCTAGCATGTTGGTTCGGCCAACGTCCCGCTCCAGCAGACATTGCCATTGGACTAGGTTGGGTCGCTACACGATCGACTAGGTACCTTGACTCCCTAGCTCAAGTAGTAAACGCTTAGTCTCTATCAGTTCGCGGGTGTCATTGACGAACACGCCTGCCGTGGCTCTCAGTCCGTCCCGCGCCGGGTCAGACGAGAACCTGCCAGCTCGCGAGCCACCGCAAGATGGTGCCTGGCCGAGCATGCCAGATGCGCGTCAGCACAACAGACACCCATCGTCCAAGTGATCAACCTCCCCCATCCTTCCGACGGCTATTACATGGCTTTTTGCGGGGACACCATCCACGAGAGAATGTGTGGAGAGAGGGTGAGAGACAAAGAGACAGAGACAGACACGCCTCTCGCCCGGAGGGCTCTCCGTCGGCAGGCATTCCATCCCATACCCCAGGTTTGGAAGGCCATCGTCAGGAACGGCGCCAAGCGGGCCTATCGGCCTTGGCCACATGAGAGAAGGCCTGGGGAACACCGCATAAAATAGTCCCCTGGGGAGCCGAACCTTCGCTTGTTTGACGTTTCCTGCTTGGCCCGCTAGCCCCCGCCCTGCGGTGCGGCGCACCTTTATCTTGCTTGTCCCTCGAGACAAGCAAGACAAGACGGCCAGCCACGAGACAAGCCCCGCGCGCTGACAACTTGGGCGGACGGTTTCACCCGGCTAGTATGCCCAGTCCCGCCATAGTCTAATGTTGTATATGTCATCGTGGTATATGCTATCGCTATCGCCATCTATCTGTCATGGGAGCACACGGAGAGTCATGCTCACCTCGCGGCCACGGGGTCATCCTTGCCGTAGATCGCTCAGCCGGGGAGCACACAGTACTACGTAGAGACCTCGATCGTGCGCCGGCGGGTTGGCGGGTGTTCATCTGGGGAGGGTTGCAAGGCAATTTTCTATAATGTACTTCTAGCTTTCGCCTCACCTGCAGCCAAGTCCAACGTTGAAGTCTATGTACCAAAACTTGCAGCTTTGTAGGCCCCAACTCTATGGGGACTCCGGCTCCCAGAGCCACATGCTCGAATGCATCAGCTCGCATGGGTTACAGAAGCTGGCGCATGATTCCACGTATTCCATATCTCGGCATGACGTGCAGGAACAAAAGCAGGAAAGACGTTGCCTTCGTGCAGAAACCTGGTTCGTAGTACTACGGAGTACCTTGGAAGTCACATTTCGGGACCAGGGATATCATACAGCGAGAGAGCTTGGCCTATACCGCCTTTTCAATGGCTGTTATCTCCCAATATTACTCTGCACAGTCCGTAGCTCCATGCCAACCCCGGCGACAACAACCCTCCCTTCACCAAGCTGCTCAAGGTCCCCACAGTCGGCCACGGCGCTGTAGCCGTCGCCCACCAGCAACATCCGTCCCATGGCGCCCCCGTCCCCGACCGCCGCCACCCAGGACCTGACCCTCTGGTCGTTGCTGGCGGTGCACAGCCTCACCCGGCACGAGCCCACGGGCCCGGCGGCCTCCACCCCGGCGATGCAGAGGCCTGTGATGGCGGCGGCGTGCGCGCCGCTTACCAGGGACCGCGACGTGATCCTGAAGTCCCCACCTGCCGCCCGGTCCAGGCGGACGTGCCCGATGGCGTTGTCGTCGCCGCCGGTAAACACGGCGTAGGAGGGCGGGGAGGACGTCGCATTGTGGGGGAGTGCCCTCAGGTCGATGGCCTTGATGCCGCTCTGGTGCAACCGCTGCGCCTCGACCAGCTCGTGCTCGGCCGGTGCGGATAGCCCAGGTGTCGTCGGCATAGTACCCTTCGCCTTCCAGAGGGCAAGATGCCCATCCGTAGACGCCGTCAGGACATGCAAGTTCCATCGCTCGTCGGACTCTGGTTGGACGCTGAGATGCCGGATCTGCATCAGGCAGGCGCCCGTGTACCGGCCCTGGGCCAGGAGTGTGAAGCCCTCGTCCCTGGAGTACCAATATGTCTTGAGTGTCGAGTTGGACAAGACCAGTGACAGGCAGAGGACCTCTTCACCCTTGTCCTCCGCCTCACGAACGGGGTTCATGAGCTGCACGTCGAAGCTCATTATCCGCAGGTCTCCGTCGCGCGTCTTGTCAGGGTAGACCCCCTCACATACCACCGCGATGCCATCGTATGCCGAGCGCCCAAGCCACGCGACCCGCCAGACAAAAAGCTCCTCGCCCCCGCTGCTGCTGACCAGATAGTTCCCGCCGGCCCACCGCAGGCACTGGATGCCGGCCGTGTGCCTCTCCACGACGGCGAGGCAGCTCAGGCCTGCCCCTTTCTCTGCGCCTCCGCCGCCCTGGCCGTCGCCGTGGACCCGCCATATCCGGATGTTGGTGTCCTCCCCGCCCGTCGCGAGGAACCCACCCTGCGCCGACGTCGCCGCGGCCTTGATCTCCCTCCCGTGGCCGCCCGGCTTGAGCGAGCGCTTCGTCACACCGTCTTGCGAGTAGACGCAGGTGCGCGACGCCTTTGTCCAGATGAAGGAGAGCCTCCCCGGTGAGGCCGGGTCGACGTGGTAGGTGAAGGCGCGGTGCCCGCCGCCGCACTCGACGCTGGCGAGCTCCTGCTGCGTCGTCTCGTTCCAGACGACGAACTCCCTGCTGCGGAAGCCGCAGAGGATGAGGTGTGGCTTCGAGCCCGGGTCGGCGGTCGTGGTGGTGAAGAAGCCGCTTTCGATGATGGGTCCCAGCGGCGGGATGGCCTCGTGGCGGAGGTGGAGGGGGACGGCGTCGTCAGACCCGCAGGCCTGCGTGCCCGTCTCGTAGATCCTGTAGCGGCCATCACGGGAAGTCGTCAAGAAGTAGGGACAGGGCAGGCCAGGCTTCGCAGGTAAAGGGACGATGCCGGAGACTGCGTCTTTCGAGCCAGGGCGGCTGGCGTGTGCGACTTGTCTGAAGCCTCCTCCGCTTTGATCCAGCCTATGCAGTGAGAGTGCACCGATGCGAGATCCAAATATTAGAATATCTTGGCAGGTACCGGCTGCCGTCGGTATGAAGCCCTTCTCTAGCTCTATGGAAGCTTCGTGCAGAACAACGTCTTCAGTGGCAGGATCCAACAACACTAGTCTTACTTCTGGGCTCCCCATAGTCGTCGCAATGATGGGAACCTGACCGGGCACTGCCTCGCAGAACCCAAGCCCACGAAAATCTTCCAGGGGGAGAATAAAGATTTGCGCTATTTTCCTCGGCAGTTTCACCACCGGCCGAATGATGTCGTTGCCATAGATGTAAAGCTGTCCACTGGGAGATCCGATGAGAGTCACGTCCGGGCCTGCGCTGCGGACGATCTGGTATTTCCGTAGGTCATCCCGTATTGTTTTTGGCACCGAGACTTCCTTCCAAGACACTCCAGATGCATCCATGGAGCCAGTCAGGATGCGCCCCGATGCTGTTGTCGCAACGACAGACTTTTCCGACAGCAGTCCGTACATTTGAAGTGGTTCGCTCTCTGCAAGACCGCTGTCCGCCGGTTGATGAGCGGGCGAGTCCATCTTGTCGGCCGAGTGCGTGCTCGAGAGTGTCAGGGGGTCAGTATTCAACACAGAAGAGCCTGCATCCCCTCCAGACCGTGCTAGACTCTCCTCAATGAGCTGGATTTTGCCATCGCTGCCGCCTGTGGCAAGAAGTTCTTTTCCTGGTGACGACGGCGCTGGGAAATGCAGAGCGCTCGACCAGATATGTTTTCCATCGTGATGGTGGAATGTCGCCTCGTGGGTGAGACTGGCCGTCAGAGCTGTGTTGTGTTCACTTGATGTTGTGATCCCGCTCATCCCATTAAATTCTAGCCTCCACTTCTGCGCAGTGGCGTCTTCGCCGAACGAATATAATGCCAAACTCTGCACTGTCTCTTCCGAAGAATATTTCACGCTCTGAGGTGAAACCCGCACGCTCCATATCCTCGAGACATGTCCCATGGCCACCGCCAGGGCCTTCGCGGAGTGATGATTCGCCATGGCCTCAAGCTCCGTCGAATTCTCCCCAAAGCCCGTCTCCCTCGCCTCGGTGAATGCGGGATCTGCCAGCCTCTTCTCCCGGCCCGAGCCCGCATCAAGAACATTCCACACCCGTATCGTCCGGTCGTCGCTGCAGCTCACCAGCAGCCGCGACACCTGCCTGGTCCTCGGGTCGATCACGACCTCGGGTGAAAAATCCACGCCGAAGATGGAGCCCTCGTGGCCGGTGAAGACGTGCAGGACCTCGACCGACGCCTCGCCGGGTTGGTCATCTTCGCCGCCGCCATCATCGGCAACACGGCACTTCCACACGATGATCTCCCCGAACACGGTCCCCGCTGCGACGAGGAGCTCGCCCCGGCGAGTCCACCTGACCTGCGCCGAGTACAGGATCGGCCGGGACGGGGGCGACCTCAGCCTCCCGAAGCGCCAGCCGCCGCCCGAAGGGCCTCCGGTGCGCAGCAGTGGTATGACCTCGTTGTGCGCCGTCACGACCGCGGCCAGCCCGGGGTCGCAAGGAGAAACGGCGCCGTGGTAGATCCAGTCCGGCGCCCGCAGCACATTCCGGTCTGGCACGGCGTGATGTTCTGCAGCACAGCGGCCCCCGTCGTCTTCCTCATCACGGACCAGGTCCGCGAGCATAGACGCCGGCAGGACCGTCACGAGCGGGCCTCCCCAGACGAGCACATCCCTCGACGATGCCTCGCCGGCGGGGGATGACGAGATGCCCTGGATAGGCTGCGCGGCAAAGACGCGCACCGAGGCGCGCAGCTGCTGGGTCTCGGCATCGTATGTTTTCAGGTGGGTGTCTTCGCCTGAGAGGACGTAGGCTGGTCCGCTGCTGCTGCTGCTGGCGCCCGACCACCTGGAGAATGCTAGCGCGGTGATGGGGCAGTGGACGTGTTCCCGTTGGAGACGGGGGGTAACATGGCGGTTCATGTCGAAGTGGTGGGTGGGTTAGTTTTTGAGAAAAATTGCGGGCGGGCGAGTCAAAATTCGGCGGCCCCCAAAGATTTTGGGCCGTGGCCGCGTCGAATTCAGCAAAGTGACGAGACGGACATCAGAACGCGATCATCCTGCATTTTCATTTTGCAGAACATGTTTTCATACGCTCCAACACCTATTGTCGTTCTCTGATGCTGGCTTATCCAACAACTCACTCTAGGTTTGCGAGCCGCTTGTTGGTGTGAACTCAGCGACGTCGTCTCAATTGCACGGCTACACTACATGTCACAATTTTTGGGGAAGTTCGTCTTCTTTCTAATATGTATGATTTCATTTCCTCCCGGTAGTTTAGCGGGTATCATGTCCAGTAGCACTAGCAGTCTACCTGACCCATATCGTAATATTCCTCCCTCGGCCAACCCGAGGAAATAGTCGTGTTACAGCCCAACATTGCCCCATTCACCAGGGCCCGGAACGCCTTACATGCAAGGAGAAAACCACGGATTAAGCAAAGCAAAGAGTATTTCCATCCGTCATGCTCGACGGCCAAAACGTGTTTTTGTATGTCCACGAAAGTCCAACGACCCTCACAGGTGCGAAGTTGTCAAGTCTTCAGTGGTAGTTGCTTAGGAGCGGTGCTGGTAGGGCTCGTAGGCCATATCGTTGCGACCCGTCCGTGGGTTGCCGTAGGCGGCGCCCTGGCCGAAGCCACCACCGTAGGCAGTGTTGCCATAGGTAGAGTCGTGGCCATGTCCGTAGGCGTTCTGGTGGGGCTCGCTCAGAGGCGCGTAGGCACCAGACATGGGGAGCTTCTCGGCGTCGTCGAGGTGCTTCTTGCGGCCGAAACCGCCAGACTTGCCACGGGACGAATTGTGGTCGGGGGCACAGCAGCAGATGGTGAACATCCAGAAGAAGGCGGCCGCGATGGCGAAGGCGGCTCCGATCCACACGGCGGCCAGGAACCTGGTGTTGATGGACCCGGTGACGCCGTACACCTTGGCGGTGCCCTCAACGGCACCAACCACGACGGAAGCCATGGCGGTGGCCAGGGCAGCAGCGGCACAGACTGCGACGGCAGCGAGGGCGGCGATTATGAAGGTGCAGCACGAGAAGGCACGCGAGCAGTTGGCGAAAATACCCAGGAACAGGGAGACGCCGAGGGCGATGTAGGCGATGATGAAGACGACCTCGGTCCACTTGGTGACGGTGCTGAAGGTGTTCATGGCTGTCTTGACGCTGTCAGGGATGGTGACATTCTCGCCAGAAGATCCGGCCACGGAGTCCAGCTTGGCCTGGAAGTTGGAGGTGGCGTTGGAGGCCCAGTCAAACTGTGCCTTCTCGCATGTCTTGTCGCCGGACGCAGAGATCTCGCAGTAACCCCAGAGACTGACGAGGTAGGCGTCAGCCAGGCCGAGGTCAGAAGCTGTAATGTTGGTGCCGCTGACAATGCCAGAGATTGCGGACTCAGCATCGGCAGCGGAAGTGACGCCAGCGGCGTCGGCGGCGGAGGTGGCACTCGAGATGAGGTCGGAGGAATCGCCAGAAGCACCGCCGGTGGCAGCAATGATCGAGTCGGAGAGATCACGCTGGTGGAGGCCCCTGTCGCTTAACAAGCTGGTGATAGAGGACGAGCTGATGGACAGGTCGGTGGTGTTGACCTTGAACAAGTACATGCTCTTGTCGGTAACTCCTGAGAGACCGGCGACCAGCATGGCGATCAAGCTGGCCACTGTCAGGATGAATGGCAGAGCCACGCAGAATATCCTTCCTATGTTACCCATTTTGAGAGATCCTTTTCGCTTCGGTTGTCGTTAAAAAAATCGGGTTTGGTTTATTTGGTAGTGGTAGACGTGTGGTATGACGTCGACGCTATTTGGTGGTCCGGGGGTCGAACGAGAGTCTTAAGAATGGATCACTCGAATGTGGGACCTTGGCTTGGTGATGTTTGGAAAGAAAACACCAACGACGGAATACCAAACCTATTGAGAGGTTGTCAATAAGGTTGAGAGCGAGAGTATGGGAGAGAAAAGAGCAGATGTCAGGCATAAACAGCTGGCAAAGGGGGATGATGCAGATAAATAAAGACTGGCTGCAAGGGCCTGGCGGTGTTGGCTGGGGCTGGGCACACCAAGGCTAGGCACAACAGGCCAGGCCCGGTGGGATGTGGGATGTGGGCAGCGGGCAGCAGGGGCTGGGGGTGCGCAGCCAACGGTGCCTTCAACGTCACCCCTGCCAGGTACGGGGTCTCCAAGCCTGGCTGGCCCACTTTTCTCAGCTGTGGTTGTCTGGCTTGTTGCCGCAGCAAGAAAAAGATTTGCTGCCCAGCCGAAGATCGCTTTGTGATTGTGAATTGCCAGTGGCGCAGTAGCGGAGGGGCCTGAGGGCGACGGCCGCCTCTGCTTCGCCGGTGTTGCTGCTGGCTGCTGCTACTGGCGACCGGCGTGAGGGACGAGGGACGCGCAGCTGGGGGCTCCCTGACGACAACAGACAGGCCGGCAACCGTGGTTGCTCTGTTTCCTTTGCATCTCTCGGTGACGAAAAGCTTGGCTGTCGATGCGTTGTCTGCAGGTTCTGCTCCGCATGTCTTGCTGGTGCCCGCGAGATCCCATCAGCTGGGTCATGTTTTGTGGGGTGGATGACATCGCGAATCCGGTTGAGCAACTCATCCTTCTTCACCTTCTGTTACTGCCTCGACTGCCTAGCATCGTTGGGCCTTCTACAGAGCGGCCGCTTCATCGCGTTCACATCAGACACACCTCACCATCCGCTGCGACAGGCCCGGGCCAGCGTGGCCTGCAGCTGGACAGACAGCCAAATTCATGCACGGAATGCCTGCACAGGTCCTGGACTCGTCACCATGGTTGTCTATGGCTGCACGTTGGTTGCGGGGCGTTGTCCATGTGGACGGACATAAGTTCCAGAGCGTTGGGACAAAACGTCTGCATAGTACTAAAAGCCTCACCGACCGAGCATCACAGAAGACACGACAATATGTGCAGGGCCACACAAGCCACCGACACGGTCCACTTGCTCAGCCAACCACACCACGAATCGCGAGGCTGACGCAGCACGAGCGCCGTAGGCGGAAGGCGGAGGCGGTCGTGTGAGCGAGCAAACTAAGTGCTTACCCGCCGACCAATGTCACTCTGTGCCGGCACTTTGGTCCCTTGATCGCCTTGCTGTGCTAGGCCTGCCAGCCTGGGCGGAAATCTAGTTTTTTGCCTGAAACCACTAGACACTTGGTTCTACCACACGTTGTACACCAGGCAAAGGATGAGGTCACCGCAATGCCGCTCTGCTATTGCAAGGGATAAGGGCGGGTGCGGCAGCACAGAGGGATCAGCCTTGATCGGCAGGTTAACTGGCCCCAGGCAAAAACAGGCCGTCATGAGCCACGGGCGATTGAAATACGAGCTCGTCCCTCGTCCTCCTGATGTGCAGCGATGCCAGATGACGATTTGCTTGCACGGCCGTCTCGTCCTGTCTCGTCTGTTCCTCAGCATTATTGGAATCGTCAATGTCTTATTAGTGTAGGGAGAAAACCGTGTGCAGGCCCCGCGGCGTCTGAAGGGCAGCCTCGCCTGACTCGTTTCATCAACATAAGAGGGGCACCACGCAATTCCAACCCGCCACATTACGACAGCGTCCCCATTTGATACAGGCACGAGCCGAAGGCTGTGCAGGCCTAGCAAGGCCTAGGAGGAAAAAAGCCAAGGGGAAGCTCGGACCACCCCACCCAACCCCGGGGGTGCGCCAGACCCTGGGAACATTTTAGCTCGTGGGGCCTCCCTCTCGGCACGCCTAATAATAGTACACGACCTACAGTAGCAAGTTGTCTGGTAGTCCGAATGCTTATGAAATCATAACGCCGTTGAGGCTGTGTGTGTACTCCGAGATTGATCTTGCCTCCCGAGCCATTCAGGTTGATAGCAGGCCCGATACCTCGGCCGGCCGGAGCGACGGCAAACACGGCCTGAGACTGGCCACCTGCTTCTTCGGCCCTCCAGCCGCGGTGCCGAATGTTCACATCACACCCTTTCCACCCCCTCTTCCCGGGTGCCGAGGGAACGAAACGATGCCTTGCCTCGCGTCGGCCGCATGATTTTTTGGCGAGCGACCTCGCAGCCCCGAGACAGGCTTGGCCGCGTCCCTTGGCCCCAGACACGGACTGCTCGCTTCAGGTTCAGTCTCGTCTCGACGAATCCACCCGCCCGGCACGAATCGTTTTGCTGGGTCCGCTGACTCGGGAAGCAGAGTTCGTATGACATTGTGTAATGACCTACATTTGCAGTCTAGTTCCAGATGCTCTTCCTTTTGACGGTTTGTTGCACCTGGATGTACAATCACCCCTTCCGTAGGACTAGCAGTAAATCTGGAATGAGTATGAGGTCAGAATATGACCGTGCTAAATTCACGGAGGTGTGAGTGTAATGTCTTCAGCAACAGCTGCTATGCCCTTCACAGAAAGCACATCTTTGGGAGACGTCTTGCTTTTGGCATCTTCAGCATACAATTGCGCCTTGCTGCACTCACAAGTTGCATGGAACGAAGCTGAGAGCCGTTGCAGTCGCTTTTTAACGGTACGTTCCTGTGAACCGGAGAAGGACTGGTATACAATAGTGGCTGCACCTTCTGTGCTCTGTGTGTCGAAGTGAGTCTGCCCAGTCAACTCATGCAGTTTGTTACTGCATTCGTAATTCGAGGGTAACATCGCCATCCTGCAGGTAAATAGGGCAACTCCCTAGTCTTTCCCAGGTTGCAGTAGTGACTGCTGCAGTGAGAGATGAAGAACCTCGTTCTGGACTTTTGTTGTGCGCGAACCACATGTGATCTTTCGCCGCACATCCTCCTCACCAGCACCACCGATGATGGTTGATGGGATGGTCACCTTGCCAGTCACGTCCTGCCATGCCCTCAACAATGCGAGCTGCTTTATTCAATTCAATCCCGGACCAGCGATTCTGACGGTCACAGTGCTTTTCAGGTAAGTCACATGCCGAGGTGAGCTGCTGCAACAGCCAAGCAGCTATCATTGTCGTTGTAATTAATCCATGGAAGGAATGGAAGTCCCTGGAGTTCCCGTCTGCTTTCCACGACCATCCTCACTCAGTATTTATGCTGAAACACTCAAGGAACTTCGCCGGACATGAGCACCGCTATCAGGGTACATTCGCTGCCGTTCCACGACCATGACGGAAACACGTCGATAATGGTTTTCTGGGCGCCCACCAACCAGCCTCTCCCACCACTGTACAGTTTTGTAATTTACATCACATCACCACAAAACACGTCGCCGGAGACCTTTGGCGCGGTTGAGCTCCTTCAGGCTATAAGCATGTCCTGCTATGCACCCGAAACAACTGGCTACCGGCTCGATATTTATTTTCAGTCAGGGGCATCAGTGGAGGAGTGCGAGAGGCACTACCAAGCCCAGAAGGCCGCGCGAGGGACCTTCATCCACCAGCTCAAGGAGATCCGGAATAGGGAATGCAGGCGTGAGGCAGACGACACTCGCCAAGGGAAAAAGCGGCTCCCGGGGCTCGTCCCCTCATACATACGGCCGCCGTCGTTCTGCTACCACGACATGCTCTTCATCATCAACAGCCCAACGGGCTGGCACATTCGAGCCACATCGATCCATTGCTCCTCGCCATGGCCCAGTCTGAATCCCAGAGTTGTTGGGGTTTGTACCAACAGACAGCTTACAGTGACAGTGGCTTCGGCCACATTGTGTTTTTCTTAAATCAAAAGCTTATAATACATATTAATATAAATAAAAAGAAATTAAGGTTTTAATTAAGATTATATTTATAAGATTATTACATTTTATAAAATTTATATTTATTTTTATTATATAATTAATTACTTAATTATTAATTTTACATTAACTACTTATATTAATAATTTTAATTTATAGCAATATTAAAAGCAATTTTTATTAACTTTATTTATATAATTTTTATTAACTTTATTTATATAATTATTTATTTTAAGGTTATTATTATATTCTTAATTATAAGTTATAATTATATTTAAAACTTATTATTATTAACACTAGATTGTTTTTTAATGCTAGTTGTTTAAGCGTTTATTGCTATAGAAAGGGACTGGATGCATATTGCTTAAGAAGCATATGTATATAGATTAAAATCGAGACAACTTACAGTGACAGTTGGTTGGGTCCAAATTCTAATTTTGGATTGGACCAACATGGCTCATTCACAACACTTCCCTCACAAACTGGGGGTTAATCAGATTCCGACCTTCTGAACGTGTCCAATTGGCTGCCTTCCAGTCTTGTTCTCCGCATTCTCTCCTTCTCTGCAAGCCTCTTGCACTGCTCTATTTCCTGGCCACGGTTCTGCTGTCAACATCTCCTTTGACGAGGTACGACAACCATGATTGGCGAAGACGATCAAGGAGGGGGTATGGGTATTTGCAGATGGCAGGGTTGTCGACATGTCCAACCAGTCTTTTGAGTCATCATAACAGTCAGTGCCAGTCATACCATCATATGACGATAGTTATAGACTTTTGTACTGAAGTGTTTCCTCGACTTCTCTTTTCCGGCATTTCAAGTCGTTGTGTCCCCACGGCGAAACCATTTTATGGTGTACCGGCCTGGAAACACTTGTATAATTCAATACCCTCGCAGCGTGGAATAATACCATCTCACACAACAACAGAGTCTTATTCTCGGAGAAAATATATGATGATCACAATGCGGCGCATAGCTGAATCACAGCTTTGGTCCAGGTGGAATCACATGTGCATATGGTTCCAGATCATGCCGTATTTAGCCAGCGGCCATGAGTTTGATCGACCACCTCCGTATTTGACGGAGCTTACCTGGACTCGCTTCAATGAAACAATTCACTTTCAGCTTGTACTCGACCGATCAGCTCAGAAATGGCATGCTGGCGGAATACTTCATAAGATATTCACCCTAGGGCGGCTGCTGTAGTAGCGCACGGGCCACAATGCGAAGAATGAAATAGTGGCCCGTGCGTTAGAGACGTGCTTCCTACGGCCAAGCCATCGAGGGTATGACCCTGGGCTTCAGTGAAGCCTGGACGGACCTAGCAGCCTCGTCAGGCGCGCTCTGGATCTTCGTTGATCGTTCGTCCTGGCAAATCTTCATGTTCAGAATTTAACTCGTACACTAGAGACTGACATGTGTCATGGATGACATCTCTGTCAATAGTCTAGGATTGGAATAGCCCAAACGCCCACGTTGATCCCTGGCGCTATTTTGCCATCTGGTCGGGCAAGAAAGTCAGCGAGTGCCTCGCGGACATCCAGTCTACAGCCCACGGTCACACCCACCAGATTCTGAAAGCGCACGACACATCTTGACCTTGCAGAGTCAAACTTCCCCATGTCGATCGATCTCAACTGGGAGACCCTCACTACCGGCCCCGATGGCGAAGCGCTCGCCCACAGCATTCGTGACTTCATCCACACCAAGTTCCAGTCGGTCCCGCTACCTCGCTTCATCAAGTCCGTTACAGTTCACGACTTCGAGTTCGGCACCACGCCGCCCGAGCTTGAGCTCAAGGACATCACGGACCCACTTCCCGACTTCTACGAGGAGAACCTTGCGGCGGATGACGAGGACTCCGACTCCGACGACGAGGATGACGGGCGGCATTTCGACCATGACCTCGGGTGTGAGGGCACCGGCGTCCCTGAGGAGCTCATAGCGGCCTCTGAGAAGAGACGCAGGAACGGCCAGGGGCCGAGGCTGACGGCGATACCGCCGCACATTAGCACGGCGGGCTTAGCAGGTTCGCCGTTCAGGGGCGGTCCCCTGGCGCCGTTGCAGGATCTGGGAAGCCCGTTCCTGGGCACGTCGACGCCGGGTATACCGGGCGGGACGTCAAATCTCAGCTACTTTCACTCCCATCTCATGGGCGGGCCGTCCGGGACTCAGACGCCGCTGGCTGCGGTGGCGGGGGCACATCTCGGCAACAACAGCCACCACCACCACAATCATCCTTGGACACCCGAAGCCGGTGGTACTAGCCCCCTATCAACGATATATACAGCACCGTTTGCAGAATCGATGGCCAGACAGCGATCAGTCGACGGCCGTGCATCAAGTCACAGCAGGAACCCCAGCCAGAGCTCAGGCTCAGGGGCGGACTCTCACAACACTATCAGCGGCCTGACGCCAATGCACCCAAGCAACACAGCCCTGCGAGAGAAGTCGAGCGTGTCTACCTTTGCGCCGACTTCCTCCGCGGGAACGTCGAGGCCGCCTACACGAGACAACACGAATGCATCCGCATCTATGCTCGCCGGGTCCGCAATCACAGAGGACGAGGAGCAACAGGACGACCAGGACCACAAGGACCATCGCCGGTTCCGCGAGCCGAGGACTGAGGACATCCAGGCCGTTTTCCGGATCAAGTACTCGGGCGACGTGAAGCTCTTGCTCACCGCGGACATACTGCTCGACTACCCCATGCCGAGTTTCGTAGGCATACCGCTACGGCTGAGCATCACGGGCGTGTCGTTCGACGGGGTCGGGGTCGTCGCACACATCAGGAAGAGGGTGCACTTCTGCTTCCTGAGCCCGGAGGACGCGCTAGCTGCTGTTGGGAGTGATGGGGGTGGGCAGGCTGAGGATGTGCCTGAAGGGGCTGGGCCGTCTAATACACGGCCAGGGAAGATGGGCGGTCTGCTCCAGGAGATCAGGGTGGAGAGCGAGATTGGGCAGAGGGAAGGGGGCAAGCAAAGCCTCAAGAACGTGGGCAAGGTGGAGCGCTTCGTGCTGGAACAGGTACGGCGCATATTTGAGGAGGAATTTGTCTATCCCAGTTTCTGGACGTTTCTCGTATAGCGTGGCTCACGGCCTCGAAATGAGAAATGTCACAAACAAAGCATCCCAGGGTCGCCTTCTTCCAATAACACGCACGGCTCTTGCTCATGCCCGCTCCCAGAAATGCGTCACTCCTCGTACCTGACTAACCACCTCTCTCTCATGTTAATGTAGACTTGAACCCCTGATAAGCCGAGTTGATGTCCAGCTCCAGCTCCCTCGCCTGCGCCTCGCTCAGTTCCTCGGTCGCCTTCATCTGGTTCAGCGTGATGAGCCAGTTCACAATCTTGCCCCGGTTCTCAAAGTCCCTGTCGGTCACCTTGTTCACCGACTGGATGACGTCCGTCAGAAGCGGGTGCAGCTGGTCCTTCGCCAGCAGGCCCAGCCGCAGCGCGTCCAGGAAGGTGATGAAGTCCTGCGTGGCCTCGAGGATGAGAGCGCCGCTGGTGTTGCCGCCGGCTGGAGCGGGCGCGGAGCCCGAGGACGCTGTCACGGCCGTGGACGGCATGCCGACGCGGATGCGCTCCGTTGCGCGCGGGACTTCGAGCTGTTGTCGGCTGTCAGATCTGTCTTTGGGTTTGCCCCTCCTCCTGACACTTCCATGTTCCTCAAGGCCCTAAGTAAATGTGAACTTACATCCCATTCGGCCTTGAATTCCTCCAGCCCCACGAACGCCCTTGCGACAGCTTCATCGGCCAGGATCGACTTGTACTGCTTCAGCGACCTCTCGCAGATCTCAGTATACTCTGCCTCTGGTATGGCATCTTTGAGGAATGCCTTCTCTAGCTCATCGAGAGTGATTATGATACTGAAGATCTCGGCGAGTGAGTCCTGTAGGTCTCGCTCCGCGCGAGTGTCTGCGAGTTTCACTTCCTGCGGATATGATGTTAGCGACGCTCATACTGTGGAGCTTCGGGACGACGTGCCTCATCCAGGTTTATTGTTGCCGACAATGCTGTATTTGGGACGTAGCTGTGGGGCGTAGGCGCATATGCTTGCCTTGGCATCATCTTATCGTCGACAATAGGAGGTGAGATGTAAAGACCATGTTGACGGTGAGAAAGAGCCACATGATGTGTGAGAAGGCTCATCCACCTGCTCAAGGGCTCTTAGGCTTCCACGATTGTGCCCAGGATCGGCCTCAGGGTCTCAAGCTGCGGGTTAGACCCTGGCAGGGGTGGGGGTTAGTTCCAGCCGGGGTCACTACAAGATAACGATAAGCCTGGAAATTTTCGAGAATTGAGGTCGCATTCTGCCGCTTCAGGAACTTTTCGATAGCCCCCAAACACCAGCCTGCGAACTTGCGCTTCTCCTTGCCATTGAGCACATTCGCCCGCAAAAATGGCACCCACAAAGAAGAACGCAAAGGCGACCAGGAAGTTTGAAAAGAAGCACCTCAAAGGTGTCATCGATAAGCGCAAGGAGGACTCAAAAGTCAAGAAGCGAATCCAGGCAAAGAGCAAGAAGCAGACAAAGCACTCCAAGGACGATGAATTCTTCAAGGGCCCCAAGGATGCCTCCAAGGATTCCAGCGACAAGAAGAAGCCAGGCGCCACCGTCAGCAGCATGAGCGTCGACGACTTCTTCAGCGGCGGCTTCGAGATTCTCGACAAGGGCAAGGATACCAAGAAGGCTGGCAAGCTGGGAAAGAGGAAGCGAGGTGGCAGCAAGCAGACGACTCCTCCGAAGACGGCAGCGATGCAGAAGCACCGGCATCTGCTGATGATAGCGACGCTGAGTCAGGCGAGGACAATGTTGGCATCGGCAAAGAGGACATGGACGCGTTGGCCAAGGACGACCCGGAATTCTACAAATACCTGCAGGAGAACGACCCCGAGGCACTGGAGTTTGACGAAAACGTGGACATGGCCGAGATCGACGAGCTGAGTTCCGGAGAAGAGGAAGACCGACCGAAGAAGAAGCAGAAGAAGGGCAAGAAGGCGGCCGACGAGGAGTCAGACGACGAGTTCTCGCAGCACAACGAGCTTACAAAGACGATGATTGCAAAATGGAAAGCATTAATAGAAGAGAAGAACTCCCTCCGGGCGGCGAGGCAAGTAGTCTTGGCTTTCCGAAGTGCTGCGCATCTCAACGAGGACGACGACGAAAACAAGCAAAAGTACTCCATCACAAGTCCAGAGGTCTTCCATGACATCCTCATGGTTGCTCTGAAGCAGATCCCAGACGTGTTGCAACATCACGTTCCTGTCAAGGAGACGGCAGGTGGCAAGGTGTATGTCCCAACCGACTCGAAGAAGTTCAAGACGCTCTCGATACTCGTCAAGAGCTACACGGCATCCGTCCTTCACCTGCTCGGAACCCTCTCGGATGAAGCCACCCTCAAACTCACACTCTCCGCCTTGACACCATTACTACCCTACCTCCTGTCTTTCCGCAAAGTCTTGAAAAATCTCATCAAGACTGTGGTGCACTTCTGGTCGCAGACTTCCAGCAGGGAAGCCACTAGAATCACGGCATTCTTGGTTATGAGAAGGCTGGTGGTCATCGGCGACAAGGGTATCCGCGAGGCAGTCCTCAAGGTCGCATACCAGGGCCTGATCCAGGGCAGCCGGGCGACGAACCCCAATACCATACAAGGCATCAACCTGATGAAGAACTCTGCGGCTGAGCTCTGGGGCATTGACCAGAGTATTGGGTACACAACTGCGTTCACATTCATCCGTCAACTCGCCATCCATCTGCGCAACAGCATCACTCACAACCAGAACGAGTCATACAAGGCTGTCTACAACTGGCAATATGTGCACTCGCTAGACTTTTGGTCCTGTGTGCTGGCTGAGCACTGCAGTATGCTGAAGGAGGCCGAGCATGGCAAAGAGAGCCAGTTGAAACTGCTCATCTACCCGCTCGTCCAAGTTACGCTCGGCGCCATGCGCTTGATCCCCACGGCAACCTACTTCCCCCTGCGATTCCAGCTCATCCGCTCCCTCCTGCGACTCTGTCGTGCCACGGGCACATACATCCCGCTGGCTTCAGCCCTGATCGAGGTCTTGAACTCTGCGGAGATGAAGAAGCCTCCAAAAGCCACGACCCTCAAGGCGCTGGACTTCAGCGTCCAGTACAAAGCGCCCAAGTCATACCTGCGCACTCGCGTCTACCAGGACGGTGTCGGCGAGCAGGTTGTCGAGCTTTTCTGCGAGTACTTCGCGATCTGGTCCACCAACATTGCCTTCCCTGAGTTTGCTCTGCCCGTCGTGGTCATGCTCAAGAGATGGAGCAAGGAGGCCAGGGGCAACAAGAAGGGCAACAGTGGCAACAAGAACTCCAAATTGGTGTCGCAGATCTCCCTCTTGGTGCAGAAGCTGGAGGCGAATGCCAAATTCATCGAGGAGAAACGGTCCAAGATCGACTTTGCACCCAAGAATAGGACGCAGGTGGACAAGTTCCTAAGCGGGTTTGACTGGGAGAAGACGCCGGTGGGCGCGTTTGCGGTGGGCCAGAGGAAGCAGAGAGAAGAGAAGCGGAAAATGCTCGAGGAGGCACGCAAGGAGGACGACAGGAAGAGGAAAGAGGAGGAGCAGAAGAAGATTGAGGGCAGTGATGACGATGAGGAGGCCGAGAGTGATGGAAGCGAAGGTAGTGAGGGCAGCGAGGGATCCGAAGAAGAGGAGCTTGAGGATGAGATATCAGAGGGTGAAGAGGAGACCGAGGAGGAGACCGAAGATGGGGCTGAGTGATCTCGCCGTGGGCTGGCTTTCTATCAAAACAGATTGCAGGGCGAGAGTATGTTCTAGTCAGACCGAGGCTCAGGTCTGTACAACTTTGTCGAGTTCAATACCCATACTATTTGTGTTATGGTCCAATATGCAAGGCACGAATCGTTGTACCCAAGAGGCCCAGCAGTAATGATGGGCATGGTCGCATATTCAGCCAGGATTACCGTACTGTCGCTTACCCAGAACCAATTCACATTGTCGACAGGATATTTTCGTTGCACACAAGCTCTCATCACTGTGCCACCCAACGATCATGCCGCAGACAACGGTCTGCTTCACACAAGGCTGGAAACACTGACATCACCCCGGTACTACAACCTCATCTTGTTCCACAGAATATGGCCGTCAATGCTGCTGACTCGTCCTATCTACCTAGGTGCTATACGCAGCATCAGCCTCGCCAATGTCAGACGAAAGGCGCGCTCGGCCTCGTACCGGGGGCAGTCTATAGTAAATTATTCTACAAGTTCATTATAGTTTATACTCCACAGTGTAGTAGAGTGTACCCGTGGAGAGGGCACTCTCAAAAGGAGCACCAACCACGCAAAGCCCTCACCCAGACAAGCTCCGTTCGCGAAGAGGCAGGCAAGTTGTCGGGTCGTACCTGTGCCTCCTTGCCTCACGAGCACATTAGGGAATATAGTCGGCGTCGGAGTCCGGAGAAGGGGCACCACCACGGTCCAGGGAGCCATCATCGTCGTCCTCGTCATCCTCATCGTACTCCTCCTCGTCCTCGAGGTCCTCCTCAACCCCCTGGCCCTCGCCAGACTTCGACTGGGTGCGCCTCGTACCCGTGCCCGGCTCCTGAGAGGCAGTGGCAGGAGCAGCAGCAGCAGCTTGAGCAGCCTCTCGCTGCTGCTGCGCCCTCATCTTCTCTCCCCTCTCCAGCTTCTTAAAGAGGTACGGGGAAAGGCCCTCCCTCTCCAGGTACTTCTCCTTCGTGAGGCCCTCCCTCCCCCATTTCGTGTGGGTGGCACTCCACCGAGACTTCGACATCCCAAGCTCGTTCCACGGCTTGTCCGCCACTCTCTTCGGGCGAGCTTTGTTGACAGGCCCTCCAGGTTGGGATGTGCCGGGCGCCTGGGCCGCCTGCCTCTCTGTGCCGGGACGCGTCGGTGTCGGACCCGTCTGAGGCGGGCCTGGCTGGGGCGGACGTGGAAGGATAGGCCTGTGTGAAGGCTGGCCAGCTGGGGCGCTCGAGGGCGGCACGTATTGTGAAGGAGGGACCAGGCGAAGAACCGGCTGAGAAGCTCCCGCGCGGCTGCCATGCGCGAAGGCGGGATTACTGTGGTGCGCCGCGGAGCTGCCCCTGTTTGCCGCGGAAGCCGTCCGGTATGCCGTCGGACCAAGACCTCGCTGCTCCAGCTGCGAGTCCTACTCAGCGAGCGTGGGCGGAGGCCGAAAGGTCGGTGCTCGCAATCCCCCGGCGGGGTTGCTTCCGAGCGCATGAGGCATGCCGGGGTTGTTCTGGAAGCCAGGAGGCGGAGGAGGCTGGAAGCCAGGAGGAGGGGCCAGCGGTCCACGCTGTGCCATCGCCGCAGCTGGATTCAGACCAGGCGGAAATGACGAGGGCCCGCCAGGTGCGTTAGAAACGTCCTGAAGACCAGGGGGCGGAGCGAGTATTCCACCACGCTGTCCCATCGGCCTCATTCCACGAGGCTGTCCCATCGTGCTAGATGGATTTACATTAGGCTGAGACGACGAGGAACCAACCGGTGCGTTGGAAACGTTCTGAAGACCAGGGGCCGGAGCCAGCATTCCACCACGCTGTCCCGTGGTCCTGTGTGGATTCACATCAGGCCGAGAGGAGAATGTGCCGGGTACATAGGGCACATGCCGGGGGCCAGGGGCCGGGGGGAGACCAGGCTGCGGAGCCAGTGCTCCTCCACGCCCTCCTGTCACCGCAGTTGGGCGCGTGCCGGACCGAGGTGTCGCGAATCCACTGGGCGCGTTGGAGATGCCCTGGGGGCCAGGACGCATAAATCCCTGCGGCTGAGGCTGGCGAGTAGATGGAGCATTGGTAGGATTCGGGCGCAAGAGACTGTGTCCCGTCGCCTGAGGACCACGGGTGGCAGGCGCGGCTGTGTTCTGAGGCTCGACTTTGACCTGAGGCGTATTCTGGGCTCCGCGTTGTGGCCTCGTGGTGTTTGGCTGTGCAAACCCCCTCCAGGCGGGAGTATCCGGTGGAGGGGTTTCAAACAGCCCAGGCTCAGACCTTGCATCGTTGCGAAGTCTGTCTAGCAGCTGTCCATAGCTTTGTCCCTGGCTCGGTACAGGTTGATTGTCTGGACGAGGAGCAATGGGCCGGGGAGCAATGGGTCGGGGAGTGTCTGGTGGAGGGGTTTCAAACAGCCCTGGCTCAGTCCTTGCATCGTTGCGGAGTCTGTCTAGCAACTGCCCATAGCCTTGTACCTGGCTTGGTACAGGTTGAGTGTCTGGGCGAGAGCCAGGTCCAGGTTGATTGTCTCGACGAGGAGCAACAGGACGCTGAGCATCTGGGGGAGGAGTTACGAACAGCCCTGGTTCAGTCCTTGCATCATTGCGCAGCCTGCTTAGAAGCTGCCCATAGTCTTGTGCCTGACTTGATGCAGGCTGAGGGATGGGACGTGGAGCAATTGGACGGAGAGCGCTTGAAGGAGCGCTCGCCGGTCCAGACGTCGCCGCAGTGGTAGATGTCAGCCTAGGCATACGGCTACGAGGAGGTGCAGAAGAAGGGGCCGAAGGATAAGCGGCGCGAGCTGAGGTGGCTGGGGTCCGAGGAGGACCACTAGGAGAAGCAGCAGGAGTAGCATGACGAGAATGACGAGGCCGATCAATCTCTCGTAGAGAGGTGCCTTCTCGGGGGGTGGCGAGGGATCCCTCCCCATCGTGGGATGCTCCCCTAGAGAGACTTAAGAAGGAATTATTAGCAGTGTGTTCTTACAGACCACCTATACATAGCAATTGTGGCAGGTACCGCGGGAGAAACTGACACATTAGGGTTGGTGGCCTGGTGCTGGCTGTTCTGATCCTGAGGTACGCCGCTGCCGTGTCCATCACTGGGTATTATGTCAGTATGCGTCCGGAAATTCACGTTGAAGTCTTACTATTTAGCAAATCAACTCACTTGGTAGGACCGTCGTTGGTTTGTGATGGACCACCTTGTCTCTGACCCAAGTCGGCAGAAGATGGATGAAAGCGAGCATTGTATCTGCAAAGGCCTTTTAGCAGTTGGATCGACAAGCGTTTGGTGATTCAAGGGTCTGGGATACTAAGATGTGCAATGGGGAGAGAAGAAAGAACATACCTGTTGGCATACGGACGTCGCCAGTCAGGACCACCTTGGCCCTTCTCCGGCCATATATTCCAGGGAGGGTCGTTTCCAGGAGGGCCGCTCATGCTGAATGCTGATGGTAGTTGTTTTGACAATGGGTGTTTGTGTTGTTTCGAAGGGTGTTGTGGAAGAAGGAAGCTGGCCCAGCAGGAAGGCTGGTCAGAGGGAGGGACTCGAGAAGGGAGTCGAGTGGATCCGGTCAATACAATCACGAATCTTCACTTGCATTGACGCGGGGTATGAATGGTTGGAATCCACTAATGAATTTCTGAATGGCGTCATTTGATATCGAGTTGTAAACAAATATGAATGGGCCTCTATCTACCAAAGCAGCTGTCCAAGCGTTGGTGGGTCCGTCTGCCTCCTCCAGGCAGGCTATTCCCCTTGTGAAGTGTAGACAGAAGGTCTACTTGTTAAGCTGTGTATAGACTTTTTTGCTTCATGGTAAGGGATGTATTTTCTTTCTACTTCAGTTCACATGATCAGGGTATTTCTTCTTTGTGCCAGAATCTGTTATCTGTAGTCCTTCTCAATCTGTTGTGCTTTCGTGATATACACTTATCGGTACCTTTCTGAAGTACCTGGGTAATTTGTGGTGCAGGCAGATGTGTACAGATTTGTTTCACCAAGTCTTACATGCCTGAGGTAAGGAATCCAAGCTCGGTCCTAAATTCAACCGACGGCAAGGCACAACTATTGATTCCCGACGTCCTGCCCGATGGATGTCCTGTCACAGAACCACATCACAGTCCAATACCAGGCGTCTTCTACAAGTACAAACTGCTGATCACCACAAAGTTCCAAATCTAATGCACCACAGAAAGTCAAGGAATATGGAAACCCGCAGCCTGCTAGTCCAGATGTCAGGTGCGCCTGGCTCCGGGAAAAGCACCTTGGCAAACTTGCTGGCGCAACACAGCTTCATCAACGGTGTGGTCATCAACCACGACCTGATCAAATCCTGCTTCCTCGACAACGGTATTACATTTCAGAAATCAGCCGAGCTCACGTATAACCTCCAATGGGTACTTGCCGGCGACTTGCTCAGGCAGGGACGGAACGTCATTGTGGACAGTACCTGCAACTATCAGGAGACACTCGACCAGGGCACTGCGCTTGCACGACAGCATGGTTACGATTACGCTTACATCGAATGCGTAATGTCCATAAACGACATTGGTCTGCTCGAAAAGAGACTAAGGGACAGGTTAGCCTTGAGGAGTCAGCGAACCAGCGTGAATGCTGAACCCGGGGATGTGGACGCCGCCCGCAGCAGCAGCGGTGGCAATGCACTCGCTCGCTACAAGACATGGATCGAAAGTCCTGTGCGACCAGACTCGGTCATTGCCGTTGACGCAACTGGAAGCCCTGTGGACTGCCTGAGTTCCGTGCTGAGTCAACTGGGGCTTTCGACAGAAGCACCGTCATCCAGTACCTCTATGGAAAGTCCCTCTGCAGGCTTCGCGTAGCCCTATTTCAACTACATAGGTCAGTTGGTTTCACTGAATTCCAACATAGATATGCAGCTCGCTGACGATTTGGTCCTACTGTGTGGTGGACATCTTGACTCCAGATCTAGATTCAAGTCATCTGAAAATCTGCTTCGGGAGGATAAAAATGCTTGCCCCCCCCCCCCGGCAATTCTCAGAGGTCTGTCCATCGGCGGTAACAACAAAACGCTGTCAACCGACGGAGCATATGTATTCACTACCAATATATCTGTTCCTAAGCTCCTTGTACAACAACGACACTATAATTCAACTGTGAGACAACTCAAGTGTATTGTTCCGAACTCTTCAAGGTGGATCAAGTTGGCCCATAAGCCTAATTTGAAAGCCGGAAAATCCAAGGATTCTAGAGTTCACTTGACGTCAGTGAGCGACTCCACAAGCTCCAATGTCTTGTGATCATCCAAAGCCACAGCATACCGCACAGCCATGGCTTGGACCTGTTCCTTCGGCTGCATGACATAAGGACACATGATCCATCCAACCCCTGCGAGAAAGCCTTTCCGGTACTCCTCAAGTAAGTCTTTCTGCGAGCTAGAGAAAGTTGGGCCACCGAAGGTGGCAAGCGCTTCCAGATAGTGATCCAGAATCTCCATCTCATGAGCCCTCCTATCCTCAATGGACAGCGCTCCGCCCATAAAGTACGCCACGTCGTGAAAGGCCGAGCCGATATGGATTATCTGCCAGTCGAGGAAGCGAGGCTGGTCTTGGACGAGGTACGTGTTCCCCGTGTGCGGGTCGCCGTGGACCATGCACTGGAACTTGGGGTTTCGCGATCGCCAGTGCTTCTTCAAGACAGCCGTCATGCGCTTCTGGTCCTTGAGATAGTCGTGGATACCCGATGGGCGGTCATCGGAGAGGACAACTGCCTCGTAGGTCTCCATCAGGGACAGGATGGCCTGGTCGTAATGGGCCGTCAGCCAGGGGTAGTCCTCTGCCCTGGCGTTCCACGTCCCGGCGTGCAGGGCCGCGAGCTGCTCGACGCCCGCCAACACCCGCGAGACGGGCCATGACTTGGCTGGGTCGCCGAACCGGCACCCCTGGGCGTTGAGGTCGTCCATGATGACGATCCCCTGGTCAACCCCGTTATGGCCGGCCCAGTGGGATCTGGGCAGGCTGATATGGGCGAGTTTGGGCGCGACTCGGTTGAAGAACTCGACCTCACGAAAGTAAACGTTGACGATCCAGGGATACAGGGCTTTGATCTTCGGGTCAAAGCCGCCCTTGATGCAGAGGAACTCCTTTCTGCTGGTATTGGAGGTATTGTTATCATCGTAGACAACTGTGACAAAGACTTTGCTGGCAGTCCCGTGAACGACCTTCGTCACTTCCACGGTACGCATTCGGTGCCCAAGCACATGAGTAAGCCAATTGGCGACGATATCCTCCGGCACAGCAGGAAGCATGGATTCGACAGTTTCTGCAGCTTCGTGTACAGGGTCAGAGGCCATTGTGCTGGAGGTCCTATGCTTGGACTCAACCTGATTGGGAGTTGCTGTTGATGGTTGCAAAGACTGTACATGCAATCATTAGCAGCAGATTCTTCACCAAGGCAGGCCCAGACGAACTTACCAGCTGACCGCGGACTCTATGGAAAGGCAATCCCAAATGTGGTGGGGTGTCTTGTCAAAGATCGAACGACGAAACATGTCAGCTGCTGATGTGAGACACTAGCTTCTATTGGTGGTTATCATCTCCGTAAAAGCCAAGGGCCAACACATCAAATGAGGCTAGGAGCAGTTCCTCAATCCACAGCAAAGCTTTATTGCATTCTCACGAAGCAGGTTGCAGGAGGCCGGTATCCTATGGGCCAAATTTCGGCGTAGAATAGAGCGGTGTGACCTTATGTTGTACAGCAGAATAAGTCTTGACACTCGTAACAATCTGTTTAAGCTCACCTATTATCATACCAATTCATCTCTGAAACTGAAGCCATGCCTGGGTTAACCAGTATCCTAAACCTCACTCTCTATGTTATGCCGTCTGTTGTGTGTTCGGAGATTGCCAAGCCTTTTCATTGGATGATTCCCTTCCTGGTGGATTGGTGGCAGCTATCTAACATGTCGACATGATGAATAAAGTATGCTCCACTTGCCTCTTATTTCTCACCCTATGATTCCTTTCTTTCACCCATCTAATACCTCATGAAGTCTCAATAATGGAACTTATCTTTGTATGTATTCGACATTGTGAAGAGCCTTGTCAAGTTTTTGGACAATCTCCGGAATGGCTAGTGCAAGCCAGAACAGACTATATCCCGGCGGAAAGCACCGCAAAGATAGCATTTGTAGTACCTGAGTGTATTACATAGCAGATAAGTTCAATCACGTGGACGCATGAGGACAAAGAGTCAAAATGCAACGCAAACATTGAATTCTCTCTTGCTGACTACCCAGCCCTTTCAGCTCTGGATATTCTTTGAGACCCCTTCCTCACCCACGTGAGACTGCCACGTTGAGCCGGCGGCAGCTACCAACTTGCACAGCCCAACAGCAAAGGCCCAGCCGCACGGTAAACTCTTCCCCAACATCGACCCGACTCACTCTCTCGGTGTGAATATCAGTTCAAGCTTCGGGCAAGCAACCGTGAAACCATCCACCATACCATCCACAAATGCCCCTCTCGTCTGGCCCGGAGCCAGCCCTACATTATACCGGCGCAGAATATTGCTCGTCACGCTGCGGATCTCCATATAGGCCAATTGTTTGCCAACACAGTTGTATGGACCTGTTAAAGGCATGTTAGCTACATGTAGGCACGAAAGGAAACGGTGTGGCGTAGTATTTGATTCGTAGGGTATGGAACACTTACCAATCGAGAAGGGCGAGTACACAGAAGAATTCCTAATCAGCTCAAGCTTCGAAGTCCATCGCTCGGGGATGAACTCATTAGGATGTTCGAAATTCCGCTCATCTGTTGGAACCATATTAGCTCGGGACCCCCTCGTTAACCCTCACCCACGGTTGGAACCCGTACCTCTGTGTAAAGTGTAAGTTGGAACCTGTACAATCGTGTCACCGGGAATGAACAAGTCCTCGCTGATCTCCAGGCCTTCGGGTGGCGTTATCCGCTGGCCGCCTGACGGAACGACCGGCATGATCCGTAATGCTTCGTCGATGCAGGCCTGCAGGTACTTGAGCCTCGACAAGGCGTTGGCGTCGGGCTCCGTGTTTTTCTGGAAGAAGGCGTCGAGCTCTTCCTGGAGTGCTTTCGCCACCTCGGGGCGCGTGGCCAGCTCCATGAAGAGGCATGAGAGCGCGGCAGCTACTGTGTCACTAGGGAGATGTGTTAGTTCGCACGAGCACCTGAGAATTGCCTGTGATGCACCTACCTTCCTGCGATGGTGATGGTCAGGCCATCAGCGTTGAGATTCAGCCTCTCACCCTCCGTCCGATGGGGCTTGGAGTCGTACTCGTCGATGATCCAGCTGAAAACATCAGGGGTATCCGGCGGGTTCTAATCAAGGGCGTTAGTATCGCGACGACCTCTCTCCTCCTACTTGGAAATGTGCTCACTAACCTCGATTCTCTTCTTCACCTGCTCCGCAACCCACGCCTTAAACCTCACATTCTCAGCGCCCACAAGCGGAAGGTTCCCAATGACCCGGAACGCCCACATCACGTGCCCAAACACCCCGAGCATGAACATGTAGCTGTGCAGGGTCCTCATGGCGTAGTGCACCTCGCCGCGGTCCAGCATCCCGAAGCTCTCACCCAGCGACAGGTCGCCCATGACGTCGAACGAGTAGAAGTTGAACCACAGCGAGGCGTCGAGCGGCTTTTGCTGGCCCTGGCCCTGTCCCTGTCCCACGTGGGAGTTGATGTGCGCGACGAGCTTGTCTGTGTAGTGCACAACGCGCGGCTCGTAGTTGCGTAGCGCCTTGGTGCTGAAGCCACGGTCCCAGACCTTCCGCCTCGCCGCGTGCCCGGCGGCGTCCCTGTCTGTCTGGATGGAGCTCTCCGGTGCGAGGACCTGGTACCACGGGCCCTTCAGGCACCTGGGGTTGAGGTGGACTGCGTGGAGGGCTTGTGGGTCGGCGATGGACAGCGTCGAAGGGCCTTGTTAGGTCATTGTTAGCATTACTTCTGCTCTCTGTCTTGTGATATACTGCTCACCTATCCTAACGACGTCGCCGTATTGTGCATGAAGATTGTCAAGCTCGGAATACTCCTGATGTCTCCTAAACGCCACTCCAGTGATGTAGAAGTTCGACACTCGTGCCAGGAGTGGACCAGGGAATCGGTTCAGGCGGTGGAAGCCGACCCGGTAGACGACCATGCTAAGATGCATGCCGACTAGCAAGCTCGCGACGAGGTAGCATGACCTCCAGAGTGCGGATGAGAAAGTCACCCCATGAAGGGATATCTGGCACAACGTAAGTGCCAATGGAGCTGCTGCTGCTGTGGTCAAGATCTTAAACACGTCAAGATCCCATTCCCCTTTTCTCAACGCGAGAATGTGAAGGGAGGCGCCGAGAAGGAGGAAAGTCGTGCCATCCGGTAGGTTGAACATGTTTGGCCACTGATGATTCTGTCCAGATTGAATATCTGATTCCTGTCTGGCAGTTTGTTTTCGACGGAGATTAAGAGGTTGCGGCCTTCCGATGATCTGACTTTCCTGGCTCGCAGACCCTCAGAGGGGCATCAAATAGCCCTCCCTACGCCCCCTGACCGTCGAAACTAGGTGAGGCGAGGTGAAGCGTGACAAAATCAAACAGCGTGGCCAACTTTAATACGAAAGGCACCTTTACGGGCCCGTATTAGCAATGATAAACTGGACGCTGTGCTCAGTGAGACCCCTGACGCAGTGCGACTATATCACTGCATGACATGCGCCTCGCGAGTGTGTATGCGGCCCAGAACCTGACCGAGACAAAGTAAAACGGGCGAGTGAGTGCGTTACTTACAGCTCAGACATGGCTCACTGGTTTTGGCTCCTCAGTCTCCTCTCCCCAGCAAAAAAGGGGCCCACTCCTAGTGGAATGGCTGCCAGCACGCCCGCCCAGGGTTTTAGTATACGATTGTGAATGCGGCGTGAGGATAGTTTCCGCTTTGGGCAAACCGTCCCGACGTTCACGTAGTACTGCAGAATGCAGGGGTAATTCATGGGGGCGTTCCAAACTGCCGTCTTACCAGATGAGATGTGGCCGCATGATGCAGCATGATGCTGACCGTACAAGAAGGGCGTTGGCAGGAGCAGAGATCCGGCCTAGTGCCGGTAGTCTATCGATCAGCGCGGGGTTGAGTCGACAATACGTCTGTGTTCAAGTCCGATTTGCGAGAATATCTGGTATGAATCTCGTATGCACCCGCTCAGTCACCACGACGCCTGTGCTGCCTCGCCCGTGTCCACGTGGTAGGGAAGCCAGAGGCCTCTCTCCTGTACATTGGTCACACCCTCTGCGGGAACACCCGAGTGGTATTGCTCGCTAATTATGCTCTCCTAGGTATTGTATTGCAAGGCCCTTACGCCCCAGTGCCTCGACACGCCCCCTGCCTGCCTTTCATCATCGTTCTCGTGACCCGCCCATATGCATACACTCATTACTAGCACAAGACTCCCTACCTCAAGCATCCCCTTCGAAAGCCGACCTTGGCCCTTCCAGCAACCCCCTCTCCATTGGGCCGTGGCCCGGAACACCAAAGTGGTGCCAACAGTTCGGCGCCTGCAGTATGTACCTCGCCATGGCCTCCCTAAACCTGCTCTTATACTCCTTTGGTGACGTAACCGTTGGCTTGTTCCTCCCACCACCTGCGAATCCGCGGTCCTTGATCCACGACTCGAGACGCTTGTCCCAGGTATATGTACGTATGCAGTCGATGATGCCAACGACCAGTTCCTTGCGAGACTCGTCGACTGCGATCATGAGCGAGTAGTCCATGACATTCTGTCTTGCCAGGAAGAGCGTATCGTTCCAGACCTATTGATATGTCAGTTTGATCACCATCCTCTCCCGGCCATGGGACGAGCGCAGCTCCGGGGTGCGAGGAAAAAACTTACAGAAGCCCTTAGAAGCTTCTTACTATGCTCCCTTGCGAAAAGCGGGCTCTCGTAGATGTACTCGACCATGTTCTCGTCCAACAGCACCTCGTTCTGCTCGCCAGTGGACTGTATCTTGCGGTTCCTCATAGATCCCTTGAGATCAAAGATTCGCGTTGGCGAGCGGTCATAGAACAGGTTCTCCATCACCAGCAGGTCCAGCTTGATCTCGGTGCCAGTAGCTGGGTTCTTGACAATAACTTGGAAGAAACCCAACATTTTGGCGATTACCGAAGGCAGGTCGTGAAAAAGAGCCTCTGCCATTATGTTGAAATAGGCTGGTGCGAAGCGCAGGAACGCAGAGGTCTCGATCGGCGACAGGGACTTCATCACCAGCCTGTCATCGAGGGTCTTCAGGAATACCGATTTCGTCTTTCCGCCTTTGGAGTCCCATTTAAGGCAACGCGACAGTGACTCGATGATGCGATCCGCGGCACCGCATTTTCGGCGCAGGGCGTCGAACTGCTCTGCGTAGAAGATCTTGCAGAGCATCTTTGCTGAGCCTTCCGTAAACTGATACTTCAGGTGTGTGCCCGTGGCGCGCAGCAGGCTCTTTTCTAGCTCCTCTTCACCCATGAACTCGTCACCAGGTTCTGATGGGTCGAGGGACTTCGTGTCGCTGAAAGCCTCCCCTTCGCTGTCCTTTTGCTCGCTCATCTTCCACTGCCTTTGAATGACTGCTAGCTTGGCCTTGTAATCCTCGGACCCCAAGGCAAAGGCGATGAGGGAGCTTGGCTCGTCTTCCCTCACGATCACGTCAGAATCGGTGAAAATGTGATCCGTGAAGTTCATGGGGTAATCAAGCTGGGGCCAGCCACTCGCAGAGCGTTCAGCCCAGAACGTGGTGAGCATCTTCATGAGACTGGTCTTTTGATGCTTTGGCAACTCAAGAGGTATCTCCTCGCTCGAGTCCAGCGAGTCTGCGATTTCTTGTACATCGGGCAAGATCTCCTCGAGAAGCGAGCATTTTTTTTTTTTTTTTTTTTTTTTTTTTTTTTTTTTTTTTTTTTTTTTTTTTTTTTTTTTTTTTTTTTTTTTTTTTTTTTTTTTTTTTTTTTTTTTTTTTTTTTTTTTTTTTTTTTTTTTTTTTTTTTTTTTTTTTTTTTTTTTTTTTTTTTTTTTTTTTTTTTTTTTTTTTTTTTTTTTTTTTTTTTTTCTTTTTTTTTTTTTTTTTTTTTTTTTTTTTTTTTTTTTTTTTTTTTTTTTTTTTTTTTTTTTTTTTTTTTTTTTTTTTTTTTTTTTTTTTTTTTTTTTTTTTTTTTTTTTTTTTTTTTTTTTTTTTTTTTTTTTTTTTTTTTTTTTTTTTTTTTTTTTTTTTTTTTTTTTTTTTTTTTTTTTTTTTTTTTCCTCGGCATCGCTACCGACGACGCCCTCGGCCTCGTCGTCAGACCCAGCCTGACTGGCTAATTTCTTCTCGTTGTCATGCTCAGTGCCAGTGCTGTCAGGCTGAGAAACGGGCTCGGTCGCCCCAGCCGTATCATTACCACCAACAGTCTCATCTGACGTCCTCTCCGACTCGGGCGCGGTTGTCGCGTCGTCTGGGTTGAATTCCGTCATCTTGGTATGGCTCTGTTGGCTGCCCTGCAAGTGATCATCATCCGAGGGCCCTGGCTCCAAGACAGCCTGGTCTACATCGTCGTAAACTTCTACTATCGCTTTCGCCGAAGTTCGCGGCAAGAACGCGCGAGAAGATTGGAGTTTGGCGGCTCTCTGCTTGCGATCCCGGATGCGCTCTCTCTCGAATTCACGGCTCAGCTGCTCGAAGTGTCGAGCAAGATTCGACACCTTGGTCTCCTTCCTCTTGTGAACGTACCGCGGGATCGAGGAACCTCCGGCTTTCTTAGTCTTGAGAGCCGCGAGCCCAAATCTATCCGAAAGCTTGGACTTGTCGCTCTTGGAGGACTCGGCGTTTGATATGCGCCGATTGTCCCCTCCTGTAGGCAGCTCAGCGCTCTTCGGCACGGTGACCTGAAGTGGCCTGCCAATTCCTGTCTGCGTCCTTGGGAGAACGCCTATTGGCTGAGAGATGGCACGAGTGATCGGAGGTGAGACCGTCAATCCCGCCCTACGGGATGGACCTCTCTCTGGAGCCTTCGGGACATCTTTGCCTTCTCTTCCACCATTGGCATCCGCCGCCACAGCTTCCCGTTGCTGGCGCCGTAGCTGTTCCACCTTCTCTGTGAGTGACAGCGAAGAATCGGGCCGCAAAGAAGTAGACCGCGAATGATTTCGGGAAGGTGCCTTGGAGTGCACTGGAGTCGGAATCTGAGTGACTGGTAGTACATCGGGAATGTCTAATGCTTCCGTCGACGGCAGAGAGTCCACCTTGATCTCGTCAACTTCCACCTGAGGCAACTGGGACTCTTGGACTGCTTGTTCCTGCTTGCTATCGCGGTCTCCGATCTCAGAGTTACCGTTCTGCTCGGCTGAATGGTCCTGCGTCGGTTCCTGATCCTTTGGAGGCAAAGGTTCGCTGGACGATACTGGAGCTGGATCATGAACATCTGGTTTTGGTGGCTCGATATCATCAGAATCCGCAGCCTTTTCCTCTCGCCCGCCTTCAACCTTATCCAAGAGCTCATCCGCTTTCGGCGAAGTCGCAGGCAAGTGCGGCTCGCTCTGGGTTTTTTCGTTGATTTCAATCACTGAATTCTGAGTCGTTGGCGGCGACGTCTTCTCGTCTGTGTCCGCCGAGGCAATACTGGTACCATCTGCAGAAACCGGCAGAGACTCTTTGGAGTCATTGTCAGAGAACATTTTCTTCAACTGGTTAATGGTTATCTGCCTGACGTCCTTGTCAGATAGGAAATCGGCCTCAAACTTGGCAAATGCAGAGTCCCACTCTGCAACCCTCTCGATCATTGTGCGGACAACGCGATTGAGTGGGATGACTTCGTAGTACGCCGAATTGATATATGTGGCTTGCAGTTCGCGAATCATCCTTGGCTGGTCCTCTGATGCTTTCTTAGTCAGTCTTTCGATTTCGGCCTTGCAAGTATCGGCCTTTTCGGGGAGGACGCTGTCAATCCGGATGCTCTTGAGCCTTGTTTTGACCGAGTTCATGAAGCGGTTCCACCGTTGCTCTTCCTTGGTAAAGATGTCGTTTTTCAGCCTCAGGTCGTTGTCAACTTTCCACGTCAGGCGAGTGCGTGGTACTATGATCTCAAGGAGGTCAATCGGGTCAAAGTGTACCCTCATAGACGTGTCGTGGTAGTTGAAGTAACGGATGTGTTCCTTCTGGTAGTCATGCGGGCATTCCAGATCTGGCCAACATTTGAGTCCTCGGCCCCAGAACGATAGCTCCAGGTACTTTCCGAATGAATACTTCCTCGCAGTGGGCGATAAAGAACCGAAACCCATGTCTCTCTTGCAAATCTTGCAATAGCTCCAGAGGTAGATGGGGTCATCTGGGTCTTCCCCATCTTGCAGGATCACCTCATCCTTTTTCAGCAAAGTAGGGTCGAACGGTAGAGGAGCGTTTTTCTCGATGAAGACAGTGATGTGTGCCTCATCGTGGACATAAGTACGGTGATGCTGAGCCATCTGACGGTCGCAGCCATTAGCATGGCAGATGGAGTCAGCACTTCCGCAGAGATCCTCGATGTATTGACCCAAAGTGCAATCTGGGTCCATATTGTCGGCAGGGTCATCATGGTAGAAGCCAAAGGCGATCAGTCCAGGCTCAGAGCAGGGAATTTTCGTCTCAGTGCAGATGACGGAATAAAGAACGACAATGTTCTGGTGTGAACAAGGGTCGAACAAGTCCAGAGCGCCTGCGATGAAGTTTTCCCACTGACGAGTCTGTGTCCTGTAGTTGTACAGGGCCTTGTCGTACTCAGCGTCGTGGACCGCGTGTAGGACTTCCATTATCTGTCGAGGAGCCTTCTGCCCGATTTTATGCACCATTTCTGGTTTGATGAGTTGGAACTTTTGTGGCTTGGCCTTCTCGTTCTCCCCCAGTTCCTCAACCATGTCTTGATCGCGCAGCCGCTTTAGATATACCAGCCGGCGCTCTTGCTCTCGTGCTTTGACAAGCAGATATGGCTGCGTAAATTTGACGAATGGCGAAGCAGATAGAATTTTGGTCTCATACTTCGCAACCATCTCACTGTAGAATTGTGGCGCTGGCACATCCTCAGGAATATGACTGTCGTGTGTTGAATGAGCAGAGTGCAGTGATAGCATACTTGGGGTCTTCTCAGGAGGTTGCGGTGGCATGGGATCAGGAGGCTGACTTTCCTCTGTCTTGGGGTCCGAGTCAGCTTGAGACTGCGTATTCTGTTCGCTGTCCACAGGTTGGTCGCCGTTTGTCGACAGAGTCCCCAGCACGCTTTTATTCTCAAAACTAGGCAGCGATCTGAGGCTTTGGCCAAGGCCATCTTTCGACGGTGTCGGTGCATTGTCTGGATCCGTACCCATGTACACGAAGTGGTCTCGCAGCAGCGCGGCCTCCAACTTCAAGTTGTAGACGACGTAGATCATAAACTCCGTGACGCTCTTCATTTTGTCGAGCACTTCTGTTGAGGCACCTCGAAGAGCGATGGTGCAGCCCAGTTCTTTCTTGCAGCCGGAAATAAAAATGTATGTCTTCTTCCGGCCCGGAAAGCTATTGTTCACGTAAGTCTTGACCTCAAATCCGCCGGCTTGACCGACTTGGGTAGGCAGAACCAGCATGTCCAAGGTCTCGATGATATCTGCCTTGGCACATCGCGAGACGGCTTCGATGACCGCAAGCTTGACATTGTATGCGACAGCTATACCAGCCTCCGAGAGATATTGTAGAGCAACTCCTGAGACAGACTTGTGTGCTAGCAGTACGTGAGGCCGGAGGTTAACAATGCGATTCACCACCATCCGCAGGAACTCCTTTTCCTGCTCGATGACAGGCTGCAAGCTCATGAAGTGCTGTTGCTGGTGTCTTTGGTACTCAATGGGGAAGGACACGAGTACGATGCGAGGATTGAGAATCCGCCTTGGCATGCTCTTCAAGGCAAGATTCTTGGTGAAAATGACCCCTGAGACATAGCTCGTGTCGCCGGGTTTCCCTCCTGGTATCCTTTTCAGCTTGACGTAGTGTCTGATGTCCATCAAGTCGCCGACTCGAGTGTCGGGGTCCACATCGTTTGAGCATCGAACAAGGATTGGTATCAGAGCCTTTTCCCAAGCAAGGGGGTTCTGAATACCATTGTCTTGAAGCAGCTGCCCGAAAAGCGTCTGAACATGCTGCAAGCTGGCTGCAGGTAGCTCATCGTCTTGCGTCGACTTCTTCCGAATGGTGTTGCTCCTCATGAGCGATGTTGGCTCGATGGGTGTGGTCGGGTCAAATATTGCAAGCGATTCGGTCGATGCCCCTGGGCCTTTAAATATGCCAGATCTCGGTCGAGGCGATCGAAGGTGGTGAGCTGTGTTACTTGTGGTGCTCATGTTCCTCCGCCGACCTTGCCTCCCATGATTTATTACGGTGACGCCAGCATTCCCATCATCTGGCGGTCCACGACTGGTGAAGCTCAGACCACTGATGCTCTTCTCACCTCGTGCCTTGTGCCTGCGGCCTGCGTTTAAGAATGGACCGAAATTTGACTTGTCAGGATCGAGGCTGGACGGAGTTATGTCACTGCTATTCATGGTGGCGAATATGCTCATCTGCTGCTCGTCGCCGCTTGATTCGTCAGACATGTACGGGGCAAGTTCGGGATCAATGATGTTGTCATCATGGAAAGCCGGAAGCTTAGGTTTTCTTTGCAGTTCCTCGTTGGCTGACTTGCGGAACGGCGCCGAGTCATCTTGTACTGGGGAGCCCTTCAGGCGATTCAATAGATTATGTTTTGAATGATGCCTCTTGTGGCCCGAAGATTGTGGCCTGCTCGCGGCTAAGGACCTCAGAGAGCGCGATGAGCTTGGCCGACTCAGTTGTGGAGCAGCGTCGATTTCGAGAATCGCAGAGCGCCTGTTTGCGGAATCACCTCCGGTTCTCCTCATAGCGGGGATGGCCATCATCGGAGCTGTCGCCATCCTGTTGTCATCATGATCCTCTGTCCTCTCCGATATACTCATGTTGTCGTCCATGTTCGCTTTCGCGAATGGTGCGGGCTTCAAAGGATTTGACCGAAAGATAGCAGGCAGATAGGAGTCGTTGTCCGAATCTGAACCGCTGTCATATCTGCTGTTTATAACATCCAGGCAAGTCTTGCAGACTCGCAAGTTGCCTGCAACGCCGAATCTTTGACCAGGTATAGTCGAAGTACACTTGGAGTCGAAAATGCAACCGCAGGTCCGACAGTGATGTTTTCGCCGAAAAGCCGAGAACGGCGCGCCGCACTGGAAACACTCTTTGGTCGTCTCGTCTGCCATCCAAAACTCCTTGCTGAGGACCTGCTTCCTCATCATCTCCAATCGGTTGCTGACACCACCAGGAGGCCCCTCGACAGCGGTCGTGCCTGGGATTTTGATGCCGCCGCCGTGAGACTGCTCTGGCCTTTCATTGTGACCAAAAGACTCGTGGTAAACAGACCCATGCGCTGACATGTTGATTGGGCTTGGTTCAGCGGTCCCTTCTATCGATGATGATCTGGAATGAATCTCGGCCGATGTCCTGGACCGACTTATCCGGTCTATCACGGCCGGCTTCTTAAGACTGTCTCTTGGTTGACGCGGACGGGGAATCTCAAGTCCACCAGCTGTCGAATTCGATTTGACATGGCTTAAGGAAGTATCGTCTGAGGCAGCATCGTGACTGAAAGAGCCGTCCCTCCGCTGACCCCTAGGGCTGGTGATCAAGTCTCCATGAGAGAGGTTCCTGGCATCTGATGGGTCATAGATACTCGAGCCCCTAGAGGCACTTGTGGTCTTCAGCTCAGGCATCTGGTTGATGGTCCGCCGGCCGGCCTCCTCGACACGGCTCGTGACTCCTCTCGTCACATCATTATCCTTGAAGGCGCTGACTGTTATTGGTGCCACGGCGGTCGCAGCAACCGAGGGGGCAGCACCCTTCACTATCTTGGGGAGGCTAGGTGCACTCTTTGCTGTGCTAACCGTAGCAATGGAAGATGCCTTGGACGACTGCGGTGGCTGGGAGGCGCCTTCAGCTGGCACCGGCGCATGTGAGGGTGTCGCACTTGGTGGGTGGTCTGAAAACTGGCTCGCATTGCCCTCGGCGCTGTTCAAGGACGCAAGAGATGCCTTGCCCTTCCTGGATAGACTTTCGTTGCGCTCTGTGACTTCCGGCTCTTGCAGGGCTGCCTTTCCACCCACACCAACGGCTTCTTTGAAGCGACTATAGAGCCCGCTGATACCCTGATGCACAAGGTCTCCAGGGGAGCCTTTGCCTTCTATGGGAGCGGAGGCGGGCGGCGGGGCGAAGTCGTTGAAGGTGGTTAAGACACCGGACTGGCTCGCAGAGGTATGTATCTTGTCAAGCGCCTGGGCCATCTGCTCCTTGTCTACCTGAGAAGTAGTCGAGACGGAGTTGAAAGAGTCGCGGCGAGGTTTCAGGTCGCTGAACGAAGAAGCGGTCGCGGGGGACAGAGGTGTCCTTGGAGGGTTTGTGGGATCCATATCGTCTTTTGCTCTCGCGACCAATGCAACAGTCGTCGACCTCTTGGAAAGGAGGAGCGGGTTCGGCCCACAGTGTCGAGGATGAGTGCCTCGCCAGGTGTCTTACGAAGGTCAAGGCAACCGAACGACGTGGAGGGTCGGCGAACAGATACTCATGGCTCAAGAGTCGAAGGTAAGTCGCCTTACGAGAGGCTAGATAGGTGGAGTAACTTGCTACCAGCCGCACATGCTACGTCAGTTCTAGAAGCTACATGCTTGAGCAGGTGGGAAGGCAGCGAGGGAGGAAGGCAGCTGGAAGTTATAATGGGCTCACATCAGGCCAATCACTGGGCAGGCGAGGGAGCACTGCGTGTAAGACTGCCGTTCCCGCACCTGTGCGTGATGTTTGTTTTGCGGACGAACTAGACTGGCCTGTTCACAGGTTCATGACATTTTCGTAAGCGAGCAGGCGCAGGTGCAGGGCCTCGAAGGTGACAAATGAATCCGGTCGGTATGTGAGGAGAGCGTGGGGGTGGTGGCGATGCCTGTGACACGGCCGTGTTGAGTTGGGTGAGAAGGACACAAGCGGAGGTTGCTTCTGTGTCTGACTTCCAAGGTTGCCTCATGAGGAGGGATGGAGGGCAGGTCGAGTCCAGTCAAGGTCGAGGAAGCTGTACTTGGGTGCTATCTGGGTAGGTACTCTAGTGGCCCATTGGGCTGACAGGTCGGGACGGCACCGTAAGCCTACCGCTAACATTCGCTCGCCGTTTATTCATGGTGCAACTGTAACGCGGGGCAAGGATCGGCATGAGGCTGCTGCGTCATTGGGGATTTTACTGGCAGGTATTGCTGGGCTCTCGACCTACCTGCTGGGTACGTGCGGTCCTCGAGTACTCCATGCAGTGTAAAATGCAGTACAACGCACAACCTTGCAAGCCAAGAAGCACATGACAGCGAGTGGAGGACCCGCTGGGGAAAGGCTGCAGGGGGGGCACGCATCACGGCCCTCCAGACGCGCCTCACTTTATCGAGTCGCGTTGCGTTGTCGTCCACCCCGTGTGATCGGCCAACCGTGGGTTCGGTCCTGACACGACATGCCGACGCTGCTGACGGCGGCACCCCAACGATTCGAGTGGATCGTCCACGACGCATCACAACAATGTCCACCGCCTTCCCTCAGGGTTTTGTCCAGGCAGACCGCCTGATTAGACGCCGTTATGTCCAGATCCCAAGGAAGCAGAAGGACCTGCTGGAGAGGCCTGACGCCTGGTCAGAGAACCTCAGCCATGGGCCCCGTGGCATGATCAATGTCCCTCCAGAGGTCCTCCAAGATGTCAAGGACTTCCATGCACGCAAGCATTCAAAGTTGGCACAACAACCAAACTTCTCCCGGCCCGCCTCTTCAGCTGGCTCAGTCGCACCGCCCAAGTCGAGCAGGTCGAAGCAACCGTTGTTCAGCCCCAGACTCGGCCAGGACGACCAAGCTGGCGATGATGAAGCCACGCAATTATCCTGGTCTCCCTCTCCATCTCGTTCTCCGCCAGGTGGTCGCCCGGTTCAACCTACCGAACAGCCGGGGCTGGCGTCACCGCCTAGAAATCAGCCGGCCTCCCAGTCAACTTTACTGAAGATGAAGACACCGCCTATAACCTTGGGCGTCGGTCCTCCAAGCAGCACCGCGCAGAGCGATGCATTGCCGTATGAGCCTCTCTCGATTCTGGGCGAGGAAACACACCCACCAGTCAATCGAGGTGCAAATCCAGTCGCAGCAACGCAGTCAATTCTGCCAGCGGCCACACCTCCATCTGCTCAGGGGGAAGTCATCCCAAGCACTTTCATGAATACAGGGCAAGTCGGTAGTGTGGCAGCACGCCCTTTCAACAAGCGGAGGCGTATAGAAGACGTAGAACTGTCAGACAAAGAGCATGACACAACGGTGGAAACAAGGCCGCCGCCCCAGTCCGGTTCGAAGCCACGATCCGTGGCGCCTCACAAAGACCGTGATACTTCAAGCGCCAGTGTCTCCACGCCTTCATTTCCTTCTCAGGCTGCTGTAGAGCAGCACCAGCATAGTGCTCTTCTGCAGACAGCGTCCGCGGTAGATTCCAACGAGCATAGCTCGTCTCATTATACACCAACATACGAAGGTCGGCCTCGCGGTACTTCGACACAGCAGAAAAACGTCCTTCGACAGACCGCATCCGGATCTTCCATGGCCCCGGCCCCGGCCCAGCCCCCGGCGGAACCAACTGGTTTGGACCTTGTCAAAGAATCCCAGCTCCACGTTGGAAATACCATCGGTCAACGCACGCCGTACGAGGAGTTCAAGGCGGCATACCCGGACTATGAAGAAAGCACCAGAGCCTTCATAAGGGCATGCCTAGCTGTTGAAAGGCTAGAGAGTGAACGGGCACTCCCGGAGTTTCTGTACGATGACTTTGTTCGAGTGCACTCAACAGTGTACATGGACTACTACGGAGAGGCACAGATCAGAAAATACAATGAGGTGCTCAAGGCCACGCAGTGGTATAATGAGAATGTCAAGGACATGGTCTACACCAAAAAGATCATCCGAAGAGACAATCTGTCTGAAGTCTTGAAGGCACATTCAACTGCAGTGCGTCAAATCAGGGAATCCATTCGAGCAGCAATCGAGGCTCCTCCGTCGACTGATGATGCCAATTCGAATCATGAGAGTGATGAAGACATGGCAGATGATGGCGAGCAGGTTCAAGGAGAGGAGTTGGGATCAGACGAGTCTGAGCCAGAGGATATTCCTGGAGCAAGGCTGTCGCCAGAATTCCACGTTCCCTCTCCGGGGCCAGCGGTAACCGCGAGACCCGCTATGGTTGAGAATGATGAATTGGGGGAGATAGGCGAGCCAGCTGGGCCATTACCCGCTCCTTCTCGAAAGACGCAGCATGCCGGAACAGCGGAGGAAGGTCATTTGGTTAAGTCGCCCCTAGACAACATAGCTGCACCCGAGGATTCCCACAGGTCCAGGGCTTCCCCTGAGCTCAGCTTTCACGAGCCGGAAGCAGTTCTGGACGGAGCCGCCCCTTTGAAAGAGGTCACCCAAGGGTTCGAGAGGACGCCTCCCGGCAGGAGATCCCCGAAGCCAGGCCAGAGTCGGCGCGACGCACCCACACCTGCTAATTCCACACCGAAGTCAGGAACTGGCCAGAGGAAGCTTCTGGCACCACTTCCATCTTCGACGCCATCAAGTGTCACGGGCAGTTTTAATAGGCCAGCCAAGGACAAAGCAATATCTCCCCCGACCCGAAACACGGCAAGGCAGAGCTCGCCAGCATTCAGGTCACAGGCCGAGTCTTCTGATGAAGAATCAGACTCATTTGATCCGCCCGTTGCGAAAGCAGTGATACCACCGTCGAGGGCAGCAGAAAGCGACGTGCCAGCATTCCTGACACAGGCTCAATCAGTATATGAGATACCGGGCACGCCCGACCGGCTGTCCGAAGAGCCCATGCCACCACCACCTCCGCAGTCCGTGGAAAGGACTCGTGCAGCACCCCAGCCTCGCAAGGCCCCAGGGCAGACGGGATCAACTGCGACGACAGCCACCGCTCTGAAGCCGGATGAAGCGGTTCAGAAGAAAGTGCCTGCCCGCGAGGGAGCTGCGTCCCGACTATCGATCAGCTCGAGCATGGGAGCTAGAAATAGCCCGGCACCATCGGACAGGTCCCGTGCCAGCGTGCCTTGGTTCAAGAAGCGGGTGGGCGAGACAGACGAGGAACGGAGCAAGAGGCTCAAGGAGCACATCAGGAAGAGGCTGTCGGGAAAGACGCCTCAGTCGACCCCAGCAAGCACAAAGTAGCTGATTATTGCAATGTGGTCTTGGGGCGTGTCAATGAGCTAGGATGCATGTTTACAGGCGGAATGCGATTACACTAGCGTGGAATTATGTTTTAGGAAGTGAGATACCCAAACCCCAGAAATGATGAAGCTTTTCTCCCGTAGATCTACGAAGTGCGTAATGGCTTAGCAGGCTCAGGATCTCAATATAGCAGCTGATCGATGTGAATGAATGGACATGACAGGGCGAACAAAAGCCCAACTGTTGAGGCCGTCTTATAGTTTTAGATGCCGAGGATTCGGGAAGGTTGACGCTGGGGACCACTTCTTTCGGGGTGCCCCAGTCGGCACTGCATCCCGAATCTCGCCCGGTGGCCGACACGCTCGGTGCAAAGGGCCTGTCTTTAAGTAGCGATCACGCGAGTGAGTGTCGATGATCAAATTGGCAAGTTGTCTGCATGTTCGAAGTGACTCGCATCTCGTCTCGTCTCGAGGTCTCCAGCGTGCCTGGATGCCAGTTAATGTGCTACAGCACCCCCAAATCTGGCAGTCAGGAACCGAGAGATCTACTGCAACCCCCTCGAGGCTGCAGTGTTGCAGCGGGCTCTTGCAGGCGGTGGGGGTCCGGTTGTGATCCTGCCTCGAGCCTGCCACGGGCCTGCCTGTGGGCTACGGAAGGCGGGCGGCAGCTGAGTGAGTGAGCGAGTGGTCGGTATCGGCGTCTCAAATGATAGGCCGACTGGGTGGCCGATCGGGCTGCGTAACATGGCAAACGGGCAACTCCAGCACACCAAACCCTGAACCTACCCTTGTCAGATCATCGGAGTTCCCAGACAGGAGAGGAAGCGGAGCCTGCAGTCAGTCGTGCAGTTAATTGTCTGATATATCCCCGGTCTTATCTCATCTTGACTGTCCGCCCTTTTCCACCCCTTCATGATGAGCATTGGCCCTTCACTGAGGCTGTCCGCGATCACACAGAGGCTACACAGCAGCAGTTGCTGCAGCATCTCAACATCACTCACAAGGCCACTTCGCCTGGGCCACGGGTTCCCCCAACACCGCCCGCAACGCGCCTCTGTGTATAGACTTGGCTTTGCTTTCACGAGGATGGCATCGACACTGCCTCGACTGCCCGTCTTCGAGGCCATCTCGAGCCATGACCCGAACTCGACTGTGGCCGTCCACTCGGCCTCCCAGAGGACGTTCAGGTACGGCGAGCTGCTTGGCGATGTGTGCCGGATGCGCAACCGGCTCCTCGAAGCGGCAGGCAAGGACGACATCCACGGCGAGCGCATTGCCTTCCTCGTGGAGAACAGCTACGACTATGTAGGTAAGCTTGAAGAAGAGAGGCCGAGAGAGCTGGCTGTTTATCATTGTTCATTGTCCTGCTCCAACGTTCGCTGAACATGCTCCGTAGTCACATGGCTGGCAGTCCTGGGAGCAAGGGCAATAGCCGTGCCCCTGTCGCCAGCTTTCCCAGCACCAGAGCTGCAATACGTCCTGGGCCACAGTGAGGCATTGCTACTTCTCTCTTCGGCGAAGTTCTCAACCAAAGCGGAGGAGACCCTCGGCCTGCCTCTGGTGTCGCCACCGAAGCACGTCGAGCTCCCTAAGCACCCGGGCGCGTCTCCCCATGAGTCGGTATCCCTGGAGGGCGACGACCCGGGCGAGGCTGGTATGATGCTCTATACGTCGGGCACGACGAACCGGCCCAAGGGCGTTCTCATCCCACAGTCCGTCATGACGGCCCAGGCCCGGTCGCTGCTCAAGGCTTGGGAGTACTCGCCCGCCGACCGGCTGCTGCACGTGCTCCCGCTGCACCACATTCACGGCACCATCAACGCGATCCTCACGCCTCTGTTCGCGGGCAGCAGCATCGAGTTTCTCTACCCATTCAACGCGGACGCCGTGTGGAAGCGTTTCGCGGCACCGTTCCTGCACAAGCACGAGCAGGCCGAGGCGAACGGGCCACGCCGTTACGAACGGTGTCAATGGCACCACGAACGGTGTCAATGGCCATGCTAACGGCAGTGCTATTACCAATGGCGACGGCCCTTACGCGGGGCGACCACAAGAGAAGATCACATTCTTCACCGTGGTACCGACAGTCTACTCCCGCCTGCTCGCCACCCACAAGGCGCTCCCACCCCAGATGCAGGCGGCGACCCGCGACGCCATCTCCCCGGCCAACCTGCGCCTGTGCATCTCCGGGTCCGCGGCGCTCCCCACGCCCGTCAAGCGCGCCTGGAAGGACCTGTCGCACGGAAACGTGCTCCTGGAGCGCTTTGGCATGACCGAGGTCGGCATGGCGCTGTCGTGCGGGCTGGACTTTGCCGACCGCGTCGACGGGTCCGTGGGCTGGCCGCTGCCATCGGTCGAGGCGCGCCTGGTCGACGTCGACACGGGCGAGGTGATCGCACACGGCGAGGAGGCGGACGCCGAGGGCCGCGAGCGCGCCGGCGAGATCCAGCTGCGCGGGCCCACCGTGTTCAGGGAGTACTGGCGCAATCCCGAGGCCACGGCCGCCGAGTTCGTGCCGGACAGCGCGGGCGGCACCGGCGGGAAGTGGTTCAAGACGGGCGACGTGGCGGTGCGTCGGCCGGTGCCGACGGCGGGCAAGGCGGCGGGCCGGCTGGCGAGCCAGGACTGGACGGGCTCGTCGGACATGTACTTCATCCTGGGGCGCAAGTCGGCCGACATCATCAAGTCGGGCGGCGAGAAGGTGTCGGCGCTCGAGGTGGAGCGCGAGCTGCTGTCGCTGCCCGAGGTGGCCGAGGCCGCCGTGCTGGCCGTGCCCTCGGGCAAGTGGGGCCAGAAGGTCGGCGCCGTCGTCATCCTCGACAGGGAGGCCGGGCCCGAGGGCGGCCGCTGGACGCCCATGGACATGCGCCGCGCCCTCAAGGGCCGTCTGGTCAACTACAAGATCCCCCAGGTCCTGCGTGTTGTGGACCACATCCCCCGCAACGCCATGGGCAAGATCAACAAGAAGCAGCTCGTCAAGGCCGTCTTCCAGGACGACTTCAGCGGGGATGAGTTGTAGGGCCGAGAGGGCTTGGCCTGGGATCATGTGGCTGAGGCCTGGGCGGACCAAAGGGGAATGAGGACGAGTAGAAGGAAGCTGTCGCCAGAATCTGTGACACTGAAGAATTGCTGTACTGTATATCAACCACTACGTTATAGAGGGGTCGCATCGAGGCTGGCATAGAGAAAAACACACGCATAGAAGCCTACACGAGGATCCCGACATGTCCTTCGATGATGTATCATGTGACTATCATTTCTTGCTGCTTGGCCATTTCTGAAGATTGCCTGCCTCCGGCCGCCCAAGACCCAGCACAAAGGAATAACGCAGGGTGGGCCAATGTTGAGCACCGAATCTGAAGGAGTCATGGCAGAACTCTGTTCCATTCGGGGTCTCTAAAACTAGCGAAATAATCAACGCCTCATTTCGTGATGGGCGAATGGGACCCATATCTCGTCCGGTATTCACCTGAAATGCAATGCTTTTTCTCCCAGCCCGACCTTGGCCTTCCAAAACACTTTATGCAGGGTATTTTCGGGGCTATGGCACTTTGCCCCGTGGAAGCATCTTCAGCTTCATCAGGGGCTATACCGTGTAGCAGGCAGAGCCTCCACAGTCGCACCCGCCTAGGGCCCATGGTCGAGTATGTATGCCGTAGAAATTTTGTGACGGTTTGTTGAGCATGACTGCGGGAATTAGACCGTGATCTTAGCTTTGGCCCGCGTGCTACCAGCATGTGCAGCCTCGGTGTGGCTCGAGAACTCGAGCATCTCGTTGGGGGGGAGCTTCAGGACCTCCTTGACGCGGCGGCCGATGGTCATGAGAACCTCCTTGCCCTTCTCGGGGGTCCGGCCCTTGCCGCCGGCCACGTCACCGTCGCCACGGTTGGGTATGCTCTTGCCGACGGTACGAGTCCAGACACCGATACGGTAGAAGGCCTTGCGGACATTGACGACAACGCCCATGACCTCACCATCCTCCTCGTCCTCGAGCGTGTTGCCGATGGCGGCCAGCATGACGTGCAGCCACAGCTCGTCGATGTTGACGTTGCGCTTCTCCTTGAACTGGTAGGACCACTTGCCGCCGTGCTTGTTCTGGGGGTCTTCCCACTCTGGCCGCACGCCGGCCTGGAAGAGGTGGTAGTCGGACTTGAGGGCGAGATCAGAGACCGGCGCGATGTTGTTCTGTGAGATTGGGTCAGCTCTGCCTCGGAAAGGCTGGGACAGGGATAAGAATGGTCGGATTGACGCTTACATAGATGCCCCAGAACTCCTCGACCGAGTTGAAGGTGATGACCTGCTTCAGAAGATCATTCCAGTTGTCGCCCTGTCGTTGGACCAGAGTGTCAGCGAGCTGCGATTGGCGCGGTGGGGTCGACAGCACGACAAACCTTGCCAGAAGGGGGCTTGGTGAACCAGAGGGTCCAGTCGTGTGCCAGAGGATGCTTGACGTTGAAGTTATCCTTGTCGTCAAAAACGGTGACGGGCTTGCTGGAGGACGAGGCGGCGGCGTCGGTGGAGGCGGAGGGGTCGTTGCCGCCCTCAGGCGAGACGGGTATGGTGGACAGATCGACTTGCTCAGCCATCTTGGTTTGATGCTTTAGGACGATTGTCGCGAGGGAGGTGGGAGGCTGATGCGGGATGACTGCCTGTCGCAAAGAAGATGTTGCGCGGGTGTGGGTGTGAGCGAGGCGGGATGCGGGAAAGTTCCGGTCTCTTGCAGTTGGACTTGGAAGGGGAGGTGGGAGTGGCTTTGAAGGTGCCCTCGGGGGAAGGCACGACGGTTGCGCAAAAAGTCGAGGTTAATTGTCGGTCGGTCGTGGCTGCTGCTAGAGGCGGCGGTGGTGGTGTGGTAGTGTTGTCGGTGGTGGGTAGGGTATTGATGCAGGTGGGCTGCAAAAAGTTCGCGACTACCCCAAGGCTCGGTTCAGTGTAAGAGACCACCGATTTTGCCCAACGAGCTCCAAGCTTCGGCTCTTATCAGGCTCTGCGCTACCGGATGTCTTGCCAAATCGCACGAGAGAACCGGGCAGCAGCAAGTGGTCCTTTCTACCTATAGCTTTGCGCCAGGCAAAGTGCTTTCGTCTCGTCTCGTCTCGTCTCGCTCGTCTCACCAAACGGATTTTCGGAGTTTCCACCTTTCGAAAGTCAAAAAGCTGTTTGAGGCGGGCAGAGCGATGGTCTAGTCCCAGTCCTCCTTTGCTGAGCCGTCCCGAGTCACTTATGTAATACTTCTAGGCAGGTACCCCTGTACACACAAAGGTGGATTGCCCGTGTGCGCCTGTACCTCTAGGTAGTGGCAGCTGTTTTGCACTGCAGCAATACATAATAGTTTGCTAACACAGTATCTACCTGGTAAAACATCATTATGGATTTACTACTATCAACTTACATGCTGAACTTATTCATCTAGAAATTTGAATTTCTGGAGATACAACCACATAGTAATCGATGGCTTCTGTGGACAACAACCACGTACAACAACAGTTACCATGAACATGGACCGGGCAGACCTCTCATCACTCTTCTCTGCATCTAAAAATCACCCGCAGTCCTTTACTTGCCTTTGCGGCGCAGGTTTAATAAAGCCAGAACTAGGATCGATATTCCTCTTTCTGTGTCATACAGTTCCAAGATCATGGTTTTGGTGGGGGAAGGGGTTGATTCCTGAGCTGAGTGCCTGCAGAAAGGAAGCAATGCTGCCTAACCGAGTCGGGACGCTGTCCTAGACGCGCACGCACGAGGGTGAACTGCAGCCCACAACCGCATCCGTAATTGCAGGCAGTCATCACCATCAGCACCACTTCATAGCAAGTCGATTCCTACAGCACACAGCACAGCACAGATCAGACCATACCATTTCGTCTTTCTCACATGGCCACTCAGCAGTTCTGAAGATCCCATAGTGTATTACGTTTGACTCGATTGACCCAAACGACCGTCATGTTGACCGCGTCTGCATCGTTGGAGATGCCGCGGGAGCAACACTGCAATGTTTGGTGTTCAGAAGTCGATCTAGTTGCGTACTTGCAGGAAAACTTGTCCATTTCTCATGCAAATCTCAAAGGAAGAGCTCTGGTCCTGAAGACGATCGTCTAGGAAGATTGGGTCGTTTTCATCCCCGAAGGCTCAAAAACTCCAAGTGGAGAGCACCAACGTCAGATCATCACGGACTTCTGGCTTCGCTTGCAAGGGCTATCTGCTTACCACACTGGCAGTTTCAAAGGAATCTGCTCGAGATGTCATCCTGTTTGGGGAACACAACCCCTCAGTTTTGTTCGTCCCCTCTTCGAGAAGCCCAATGCCCTAGAGTGTCCAATGATAACAGCCTGGTTGCGCCCCTGTGTTCCGCAACCAGATTATATGTTTCGTGAGCCAAGTTCCCCATTGTTCCCACTTGTCTTCTAGCACTATCTTCGTCACCTCAGGTCGTTATCCTATACACAATTGCTGTCACATCCACCGGAATTGTCATGTTGCGTCCCTTTGTTCTGTGCGAAACCGGCCACCGAACGCGCCGAAGCCTTCACCAGGCCACGAGCTTCAAGGGGACAAAGCCGAGGAAATGCCCCCCCCCCCACATGCCGTCCATTCAGAATGATAAAAGGCATTGGTCCACTTTGTCGCCGCCCTCTGAGGACGGGACACGCTACAGCCCAACGATACTCGACACTCCTTACGTCGACACGACCACTGTCGACAACTTGGAAGACAAGTAGAGAGGGCACGGAACGGCAGAGGCGACAAGAAACGTCGCAGCCTCTCAAGAATCGGTTACCATGTCCGCGACACGGACGACCACGCGTGCTGATGTGAGGCGTGATGACCCAGGTGCGCCCGGTGCGCCCGGTGCTCCTGGGGATGCTCCCACTGGGACAGCCGAGCCTGCCCCCCGGGACAAGGAGCCGTACTACAGCAAAAGGCCCAACGCTCCTCCCACGACAGAAGAAGCCGTCCCTAGTGCAGAATGGGCCAGATGGCGGCTGACCAAACAGCGGCCCGACATTGGTGACAAATTTCCCGAGTATTTCCCGGACGTGCGCAGGCAACTGTACGACAGACTCCAGGCGGAAGTTAGAGCGGCTGAGGGACGGATTCCTGACCTGCCAAGGTTCAAGAAGCGTTCTCTCGAGGAACTGAAAGAAGGAAATTACAAGCCGGCACAACTGGGGTTCGCTCCTTTGACCAACTTCTACGAAGAAGCCGACCGACAAAATGCTAGGCTTTCCCGCCGACAACGTCTCGACAGTGACCAGGAAGGAGACCGGATCCCCTCTCTGTGGTTTGAAAGAATGTCGCAGGACTTGTTTGCGCGGGTTTGGGAGTTTTGTCACGATACCTTTGGCCTTTACGCATCAATAGCCGACAGCTATTATCAGTATGACTGGACGCTCCGATGGCTGGACAAGCTGCCTAAAGAGTTTGTGGTCGTTGCATCACAGGTTGCAAGAGGCGACATGACCGTCGTGGCTCCCAAGAGTTACGATCCCAACAATTGGGAGTTCCTTTTTCTGGACCACATTTTCCGGGTGAAGCTCATGGTCGGCGTGATAGCCAAGTTGCTCGAGAAGAATGTGTTCAACTCTCTTCTGTTCGGAGCCGCCGATGTAGAAAAAACAGCCCTGGTGTCCGATGACCACGGAAGAGCCTTCCTCGATAATTGTACGTGATCTCAAACCTTGACTACTTTCTACTGATTGCTAACGGTCTGGCTTGAAGCATACCAGCGAAATCGGACCCGCTCAGAGACCGTCAGGAATTATATCCAAGCTAATCGGTCCCCCTCAGGCACAGGCCTTGAAGACCTTTGGTCCGATAATTTCTGGATCGAGGTCGATAGTGTCACAATGGGAATCCTAGACCTCCTGCTTCCCTTGATCAACCTTCTCGGCCAGGACATGCCAAATTACGCTTGGCCACCCCTGAAAAAGGTACACCAAGGGCTCCACGACATCGTCGCCGAGGCTGCCTGGTTTACCAACGGCATGCGGGCTACCAGATCGGTCTTTTGGATCCAATTCGCCCTACCGGGCGAGCTGAACGATATCACACATGAGCATGCCATTGACGACATCTGGAACCGGTCCAAGGCTAAAGCAGAGGCACACGACAACGATGTCAAGGAAGCTTGGAAGACCGAGAGGGACGCCGAAATCAGAAAGAACCACCCGAGAGAGGTCATAACTGAGGCACACCGAGCAGCCTATGCAAGAGATCATCCGGAGCCCTTTATTCGCCGCACCGCCAAGGTTCAGGTGGCCATGTGGCCCTTCATCAAGCGCTTCACCACCATAGGCGAGAGGGACGCGGGCGATGGTGCTTACAACGCGGGCGAGACCATCACGCAGATCATGAAGGCGCAGTGCGTCTATTACGACGGCGACGATTCGGACCACGCCGACATGATGGAGCGGCGGACGCTGAGCGAGCAAATCAGTAGCCGTCGCTGGGTGAAGTGGGTCACCTGGCGTGCCATCCTGCTTTATGCCGTCGTCTTCTTCCTGTTTCATTTCGTTACGTCCCCAGAAGTCCAACAAGAGCTGGAAAACAAGCCAATGGCCGTCAAGTCGTCATCGAGCGGCCAAGAGGTCTTGAAAGAGAGGACGACCACTACTATCGTAGCTGTCCCCGTCGGGACTGATATTGTCACAGAGACTGTTGTGGTGACCAAGTCCACGGTCGATGAGAACAAGCCCTCCAAGCCTTGGTTCGGATTTAGAGCCCCGTCTGTATCCAAGGTGACAGAAACAGTCACAGAGACGATTGCAAAAAAGTTCGACGGAGGAGCAGATGACAACAACAATGATGAAAATGACGAAGAGGAGTACGACAGCGACAGCGACGAGGATAGCGACAGCAGCGACGATGACAGTGAAAATGGCGGCAGTGGCTTTATATCTACGGGGGCGGGCATCGCTGCTAAAGTCATTTTGGCAAAGGATAAGGTCACTGATGGCATTGCGTCCGCAAAGGATAAGGTCACCGATGGTATTGCGTCCGTAAAGGAAAGTGTCGCCTCGGAATTTGCTTCCACGACGGATAGCGTCGCGGAGAGCCTTTCTTCCGAGAAGGACAGGATTGCCTCGATTGAGAGCTCCGTCAGGGAGAGCGTCAAGAATAGTATCGCCGACGAGAGCAGCAGAATCAGTGCTGCCAGCCAGAGCTCTGTCAATGAGAGCCGTGCCTCCGTCAGGAGCTCCATAGATGCGAGTAAGTCCTCCAGCAGGAGCTCCGTCAAGGAGAGCCGTGCCTCCAGTAGGAGCTCCGCCAGTGAGAGCAAGGCCGCCAGTAAAAGTTCTGCCAGCAAGAGCAGAGAGAGCAGAAAAAGCAGCGCCGCCGCCGAGAAAAGCGCTGAAGCTGAGAAAAGTGCTGAAGCCGAGAGAAGCGCTGCCGCCGAGAGAAGCGCCGCCAGTGAGAGCAGAATCGTCAGTGAGAGAGTCGCTGCCAGCCTTGCTGCTGAGGATGAAGCGAGACGAATCGCGGCTAGCATTGCCTCGGAAGAAGAGGAGAAGGCAAGCAGCTCGAGTAGAGCATCCAAGAGCCGAGCTTCCAGCCGGAAGACTGCATCGAAAGATTATGGAATTGACACGACCACTGTGAACACAAACGTAGAACCCCCAGTCAGCGTTGTGGACGTCACGACCAGCAAGGTCGCAGTGCCGGAAGAGAAGGACAAGGAGACCATCACCATCACGGTGCCGGCGGACAAGGTAGTCGTCACCGTAACGGGGCCGGTGACCCAGGCTGAGACAGAGGGTGTGGGCAAGAAGGTTGAATACAAAGGTATGCTGGGCCCTTGACCTCCTGACACCCAAGGTGAAAGTGCAGACTGAGACGGGCGCCCCTGTGGCCCCCGTGTCGGCGTCCTCGGGACGTTGTCGTCAGAGAATCCGATGCTAACGTAAACATTCTAGCGAACATGCTTGCAGAAAGTTGGCGTTGGGTGACCGGGCTTTTCTGGAGTCTTTGGAGATTCCTGCGCTATGTGGTGACTTGGGGCATTGGACCACACCTGTTTTGGACTTTCTTCTTTCTTATACTTGGCTACATTGCGGTGAGCCGCCTGTTGGAAGACAGAGGGAGAATTCAAATCCAGGTTGGAGGCACGGCTGCTTGAAAATCAGCGGTGACCCGTGGTTAAAGGTGAGTCTCGGTGCAGGCTTAATAGCCTTTAAATTCCGGCCCCCCCCCCCAAACACCCAAGGCCTCGGCCCTTGCGTACAGATGAATATTCCGATCTGACAAGACGACACAAACAGTATGGCAGTGGACAGTGGATGCCAGGATTTGATGATCCTACCGTCACCGAATATCCAGCGGTCTTTTGTCAGAATCGGCTCTCCGTTAGGATGCTATAAACAGGCAGGGCAGTCATGTTCTCCTGAACCAACTTAATTTTCACGTATCTACACAATCTCATTTCCATTTGCTATGTTCACAACTTGGTATTTCCATACGCAGTGCTCAAGCTATCCAAACCTTAACATTGTCTCTGATGGGAGAGCATCATCTACTTGTCCATGTGGTCAATGCGAATGCCAACTGCCCTTCTGTGAGCCTCGAGCTCCTCCACCTTGGCCAGCTGCATCACGGCCCCGCCCACGTTTCGTAGACCTTCGGCCGTCAGGTTGGCGCTGGTGATGTGCTTGATGAAGGATCCGAGGTTGACACCCGAGTACTGCTTGGCGTATCCATAGGTTGCTGCATTTCGTAACGTCAGCTGTCATCTGAATAAAGGACTAGGAACAGAGATCGTAAACTTACGTAGGGAGTGATTCACACCAGCAGAGTAGTCACCGACACTCTCGGGCGTCCACTGCCCGATGAAGACACTTCCCGCATTCATGACCAGCTCCGAGACCTTCTCGGCATCCTTGAGCTGCAGGATCAGGTGCTCTGGTGCATACTCGTTGCTGACCTCCATCGCCTGCTCGACCGTCTTGACCTGGATCGTGACCGAGTGGGCGATGGCCCCGCGCACAATCTCAACTCGCGGCAGCGCCATGGCCTGCTTGTGCAGCTCGTCCTCGATGGCCTGCAGCCCCTCTTCGCCAAGGTCCACCGCGATGAGGATGACCTGGCTGTCCACGCCGTGCTCAGCCTGGCTTAGCAGGTCGCTCGCCACGAACGCGGGGTTGGCATCCTTGTCGGCGATGACGAGGACCTCCGAAGGGCCCGCGGGCATGTCGATGCTCACGCCGGCGTTGGTGTCGTTGCTGACGTACATCTTGGCGGCAGTCACGAACTGGTTGCCCGGGCCGAGGATCTTGTCCACCTTGCTCACGCTCTCGGTGCCGTACGCCATGGCCGCAACGGCCTGGGCACCGCCGGCCAGCACGATGCTCTCGGCGCCCACCTTGTGCGCGGCGTAGACAATTTCAGGAGTGACGCTGCCGTCGGAACGCGGTGGCGAGGCGAGCACAATCTTCTTGCAGCCGGCGACCATGGCAGGGACACCGAGCATGAGAGCTGTAGATGGTAAGACAGCCGTGCCACCGGGGACGTACAGACCCACGCGCTCAATAGGCCTGGAGAATCTACTGCAGACCACCCCAGGCATGGTCTCAACGCGGAGGGGCTTCTCTTCTTGTTGCGCAGCGTGGAACTTCTTGATGTTGTCGAAGGACACGTCGATGGCCTTAATGGTCTCGGCGGGCAGCTGCATGAGGGAGTCGGGGAAAGGAGCCTTGATGACGGTGGAGGTCAAAGAGGCGGCCTTCTCGAATTTTTGAGTGTAGGATAGCAGAGCCTTGTCGCCATTCTTCTTGACGTCGTCGATGATAGGCACGACGATTTTCATGATTGAATCGGCAGACTTCTGTGATGGTCTGTTCAGCACTTGCTGGAGCTGGCCAGGTGCAAGCGAAGCAAGGTCGTGGCGCTTCATAGTGATCCTGTCTGATGATGGCACAGGGCTCGAGGTGGCAGGCGCGGTGACGGCTGCTGTAGTGGTGCCGTCGACGGGCTTGATGCCCTCCTTCTCAGCCCATTTGCCTTTCGCGTCACCTGTGCGCCTCTTGACCTTCCAGCTCTTGGCGTCAAGGCTCCTCTCGATATCCGCCAGGTTTACACCGGCAGCGACAGCCTTTGTGAGGGCAAAGTAGATGAGATCAGCAGCCTCGAAAGCAACGTCCTTTGGTGCCTTGGCATCGCACAGCTCCTCAGCCTCTTCCATGATCTTGGCCCGCAGGAGTTTCTCATCGTTGAAAAGACGCGCCGTGTATGACCCCTCCGGAGCGGACTCCTTCCTGGACCTGAGCGTCTGCTCCAGCCTTGGTATCCCCTTGAGCTCCCCGAAGCAACCAAACTGCTCAAGGTGGCAGAAACGGCCCTTCTGCCTGACGACAAACTTCAATGCGTCACTGTCGCAGTCCAGAGAGATCCCCACGAGCTCCTGCGTGTCTCCTGAGCTCGCTCCCTTGTACCAAAGACCTCGCTTCCTACTTTGGTACACGCCAGTCTGGGTTCGCAAGGCCTCTCCGACACTCTCCTCGCTGCTGTACACCAAGCCAAGAGCAATGCCAGTCTCATCCGTAACGACGGTCGGGATGAGGTTGTCTGGGCGGTCCGAGCTCCAGGTGGAGCACAGCACCTTTGACACCGACAACTTGCCGCTGGCGTCTTTGGCCGTGGTCAGACCGGTTGAAGGAAGAATGGGAGTGGCTCCCAGCTGAGCAGCGACATCGATGAAGTGTTCAAGAATCGCACCCTCGACGGGCTTGATGAAGAGGTTCTTGACCTTGGTCGACTTCGCCTTCTCCAGGAATGGGCCGATCTCACACTTGGAGTGGTCAAAGTCTGAGATGAGGAGTCCATGCTCCGTGGCCGACTCGAGTGCATTGATCTTTGTGATGGCGGGTGCCACTCTTGAGCCATGCTCGGTGTACTCTGGCAGGTTCTCTGGCTTCACGAAGACCTTTCGTGCGCCGGCATCGAGCAGGGACAGGACGTCGTCCCTGGAGTGCAGTTGAGTCACGTCCAGGAACGGCAGGAAGTCGACATTGTGCTGGCTGAGGAACGCTAGGGTCTGATCCAGGTTGTCTGGAGTGACTTCAGCAAAGACTGAGCCAAGGCAGCTGATTTCGTCCCGACTCAGACCCTCTGGCCCTGCCAGGCCTGGTAGCGCAGCGAGGCTGATAAGAAAGGGGAGGGGCAGAGTCGTCTCCATGGCGTTCTCCGAATGACGATGACTGGGACGACTGTAGTCCGGGCGGAGTCCAGAGAAAGCTAGCTGGGAGATGAACTCGAAGAGACCAGGAAAGACCAATCCAAGTCGAATTATACTGTCTTCTTTCCTACAAGTCACACCACTATCTTTGGTATGAGTCGAAGGTAGAGTCATCTAATTGGAAAAGTTCAATTCGCTAGTATCATGTACTACGTAACGACTGGAGCTCCTGCATCGGCAGACCGCGGCAAGGTACATGCACTTGGCAGGTCCCCGTCCACTGAGGAACATCAGTGCATGGGCATACCTAGACAGTCCACAGACCAGAGCGGTCGGAGAGATATCTTTCAGACACCCGGGCCTCCTACTGAGTAGATTACCTGAAATCCCGACACTTGCCGCCGTCGGAGGTCGAAGTGAGCTGTATCCATCACTTCTACCTAGGTAGGCACCTACGTAGATACCTAAGTACCTGATTGACTGCTTGCTGCCCCTCGGTGGATCTCAGCGTTTTTAAGGTTCGCACCCCTGCTGTTGCTGGGTACAAAGGTACGAGTACTTGCCTGCAACTCTCGGCGGCCAATTGTTTCGCCAGTTGCCGACTCCATCGGCGAACTAGGGAGGTGCCGGCTGGAGCTCAGGCCGGCCTTCCTCACCACGAGCTCCTTCAGCGTGCAAGCTAGTCCATCGCAATCCAACCTCTTTCAACTTGAGCCCAAAGTCATGGGTGAACGTCGCTAGTTGATATCTCTACGCTCACAACCATTTAAGAATAACACAAGGCACTGATCCACTCTTACCCCAAGAGCCTCTAGGCAACAACACTGCCTCAGGCTCTCGCCAGCCCTACATCCTTTTTCCACGTCGCCGCGGGTGCAAAGTCGCGACCCTTGCTCGTCCGCACAACCTCACGCCATCAGGTCACCGTCGCACTCGACATACTTCACGATGTCTTCGACCGCCGCGCCTCAGACAAACGGCGTGCCTTCCTCCTCGCCTGGCGGCTCCGCCTCTCAGACCGTCAACAACACCCAGTCGCAATCACAACCGTCCAACTCCCAGACACAACCAGCTACCAATGGCGTGGCCTCAAATTCGCAACCATCGCAGTCGCAATCACAGCCCCAACCATCAGCAGCAGCACAAGGCTCCCCATCAGCAGCGGCTACGGCCTCCCAACCTGCGCCACCAACCTCACCCACCGCCACCGCCCCGCGACCGCGCGACCAACGCACAATCGAGCTGCTCCTCAATGCCCAAGGTGTCACGGCCTTCGAGTCTCGCATACCCCTTCTTCTACTCGACTTCGCCTATCGACACACGGCCTCTGTGCTTAGTGACTCCATCTACCTCGCTGCCGATCCTTATACCACTCACGCCGGATCGAAGCCATCTGCTACCGCGGGCGGCACGGCTACAGTTCCAGGCAGCGGCGGGGATGCGATGGTCACCGCCAATGCGGTGAAATTGGCCATCGGTGCACGGCTGGCTTACCAGTTTCGGGGCGGCGGCGGCGCGACGGGTGGCGGCGCTATAAGCAAGGATGCTCTTGCAAGCATAGCTGCGGAGAGGAACAAGGTCGCGCTGCCGCGCGTGCCGCCCGGCGAATGGTGTGCGACTGCCAAGCGAGAAGTTCGTGCTCAGTGGCGTAGGTTGGGGGCTACGAGACGTGCTCGCGCGGAACGGCGAAGATGACAGTGGAGACGACGAGGACGACGATGATGAGGAGATGGTTGACGCCATGGAACATCAGCCAAATGATGAGGATGTCGGCGGCGACGGAGTTGAGGGTGGTACAATGGAAGACATCTTTGGTTCAGGGCAAGATGCACAGCCCGGCGAGCAGGTCGGCGAGGAGGACGTCGATATGACTGCAGAGTAGGACTCTGCACAGGACACACTCACGCCGGGCTCTACCTGGACGGCACCCGGAGCAGTGGGTTTATGGAATCGACATCACTGCTAATAGGTTCTTCCAAGCCGCGGCCGGTGCTAATCTGGGGCAATCCGCAAATATTGCTCCCCCGCTCGAGAATGGATATACGCTATGGACTGAACCTGTACAGTCGCGGACCAAGGACCATGCGTTCTTGGCGGACAATTCGACAACGATAAGCCATCATTTCTCGAGTTTTTCGGACGGGCAAATCGCACAGCTTGACGGCAGGAACTTGGGCGGCTCCAGTCACACCTCAGAAAGCAATAATGCTGGCGCCGGTCAGAGTTCTCGCACGAAATCCACTTCATCCACATCGGCCCCTAGACAAGCGAATGCCGGGAATAACCAGTGGTCGCTGTACCAAAATCCATTGGACCTCCTAGGCATTCCGCGATCAGCTATGACAACACCTGTCTCCAGTCGATCCACATCGGCAGCCGGTCGGTCGGCTCAAGCTACTCCAAACTTAGCGTCAGCGCGTGGCGCATGGCCACAACCAGCAAATGATTCATCCAACGCGCAAGGCGGTATACCTGGTAGTCACGATTTTCCTCGATCCGAATAGGGTATGTCGACCCACGGCAAGTCTTGGAATCTCGCGTGCGGCCAATATGCAGGAAACGTGTGATCCTCAAAAGTCCAGTGCGATAGAGGTGATGAAGTCAAGATCTGGCGAGATCAGCTGGTAGTATCCATGGAATTGATAACTAGAGTTCTCGAGAGCTCGGTGTCATCGTGGGCAGAACACGCGACGTGGTCACAGATGGGGTCGGCCTGACGGGTATTGTGTCGAGAATACTCCAAGGGCGCGCTTTTGGGACCCCCGATCTGCCAAAAGTGAAGATCGAGCAGTCCCGCGAGCAAAACACACGTAAAATCGGGGCAGAACTCCTAGTATCAGACCCGGAAACACCGAAAGGGAAGTGGGGGAATGGCAAGGTCTGTCGGCAAGGCCATGTGCTTGACGGGAAGAACTGGGGCCAGACCCCTAGGCTGAAGATGGGGAGTAATGGGTTGAATATTTACCGGCCGCTAAGTATCAGTGTTTACGGAACTTGGCGAGGGCCGACAACTTTTCTCCCTCTTTTCTCAGAAAGCCCGGTCTATATCAAGATTGGCGGTGCAAGTCACACAGCACCACGAGGCGAGTTTATGCAAGAGTCTGTTTACGTGGAAGCAAGCCGGTCTTTAATAGGGAGCGAAGACACAAAATGATAATTCCATGCTTCTAATGCGTATTTCTAATGCCCCTATGTATCCACTGTGAATTTCAAACCAAGACGCCTTGCTGTGCAATGATGATGGTGGATGACTCTCGGGGCCATGTCCATAGTCCCTTACAATCTCTTGAACCCGCAGCGGAAGCCCGCCAAATTAAGTATGCAATCGCCCTCACTTTTCTGCTCCCAATCGTACAGACAAGCCCCCATGCGCATCAAACAAGTTGGAGCCTTCACCTCTCAAGCTCCTTCTCCACGGAGAGATTCATCATCCCCGTGATCATCTCGGCGCTGAGATCCTCGACCGCGACCTTGGGTGACGGGGCCCTAGGCGGCGCCACCGCTTTCGGCGGCGAGAGCATTTGCGCCTCTTCCTCCGTTTGCTCTGCCTCGCCCATATCGTCTTCGTCTTCGTCGTCCTCGTCGTCGGCGTCCTCCTCTTCAAGCACTAGGCTCCCCATCATACCGCCGTCGAGCTGCTCCTCATCGTAATCGCCGCTGAACACGCTGCCCTCGCCGTCACCCTCGCCATCGCCCTCAGCATAGCCATACCCGTCATCGTATGACCCCCGCGAGATGTACGAGTCCGCGAGTCCGTCCCCTTCGACCTCCTCGTCGTCGTCCTCGGCGTACTGGCTCTCGAGGTCGGCCGGCCTCCGGCGGGCGTCCTCGTCGTCTGAGTCAGACTCGGACGCCGAGAACTCGTCCATGTCGAGCGGCTTGTCGCGCCAGTAGGCGAAGTCGGTGTACTCCTCCCCGCCGCCCTTGACGATCGTGGACACAGGCGGGAAGTAGTGGTCCACCACGTCCGTCATGGACACGTAGGACAGCTTGAGCTTGTTGAGCGACAGAAGGTCGAGTGACACCTCGGCGTTCGAGTTAATCGTGAAGATCCTCGTCCTCGGAACGTCCACCGTGCGATACGAAATTTGATCCGTAAGACGGTTGCCGAAGCCGGCGTAGAAAGGGTGGGTATCCGCGCCATACAGATTACGTATGTCGCGTAAGGTGGCCATCTTGAATACCTGCGGCTTGCGCAGGTATATTTCCCGCCTCAGCGCTGCCATTGTCCTGTCTGGGGACAAGATCGTTGGGCCCCGGGGCAGTCTGTAGCCATCCTGCACAATGCCGCCCAAATACGCGCGGGTGGTATCCGCTTGTCCAACTGAGCGTGAGGTGAGGTACATGATATTATAGCCGTTGGCTTCAATGTCCGAATAGAGCTTTGCAACCCCAGCGTGTGTCCAATCACGCCCTATCATGTTTAGCACGTGGCCCAAAGCGTCGGATTTTGTGATTGTTCCGTCGATGTCCGAGATCACCACCGGAGTGTCGTGTTTCCACAAGTAAAGAGACCCCGAGCAAGTCGCGCGATTCACCGTAAAGCTCATGGAGTTCTCGCCGGGCTTCAGATTCAAGGCATGCAGCTGATCGCTAGTCAGGCGCAGGGTCTTGGCATAGTTGATGTTTGGATCGCCCATCCCGCTACGGCCGGCCTTGCTCGAGCCGGGTGACGAAGGCGGAGTTTGCAAATCCATACCGTGGCCCACATCCGACTCAGTTCGGCGGTGGCCTGGGAACACAGCCGTCGCAGAGTCGCGGCTGCTGTCATCGCTATGGTAGCCCGGGTCAGACACCGCATCGGCGTCGAAGGTCTGGGATCGAAGTCCAGAAGCAGACTCCATTGTCTTGCGCATGGCTGCATCTTTGGCCTCCTCGCTGCTGTATATCCAGAGATTTCCGTGCTCATCGATTCCGAAAAGCGCGCCAATATCGTAGTTTCCCTCAAGCTCCTGAGACAGCACCTTCCTGGCTAGGATTTCGGCGTGGATGGCATCCTCCTCATTGTTTTTGAACCCAGTCATATCCAACATGAGATCGCCCGTCTCGGTGACATGAGTGGGCAGGTTCACAGCCTGCAGCTCTCTCGACAAGTTTATTGCGCGCTCGAGGGCCTCGCTCGGTGGCAACGGTGGGGGGCTGTGGGATCTGTCGGAGAGATCGGGAAGGTCGGTTGTTTCATTCAGATTGGACTCTTTGCGCTTATGGCGCGCGGACTCGCGCAGTATATCATCGCTGTGTGGTCGGAGCGAAGACCAGTCCCCTGAGACGGGCCTGCCACCCGAGAGTTCGGGCGATGTCATCATTGGGGAGAGTATCCCTTGAAAAATGTTAGCTTGGAGAGCATCGGGCACGATGGAGCAGTGACAACCAACCCTTTTCCCGCGGTGCTGAGCTCGAGTAGATCGGCCCAGGAAGCGGTCTGGTGAAACTCGTGGATGACAGCTTGTCAATGTCCCTTTCGGCGTCCCTTTCAGCGTCCAAGTCCTCCAAGTCCAACAGTGGCGGTTCTTGCAAAGCAGGCGGCATAGTAGCGGCCCTCCCGGGTGTTGAAGGTTCTAGCGGTGGGCTCGACGCAGGGGACACAAGAGGCGACGTCTGCAGACTCTGGGGGATGGTGTCGCTAGTCTCGAACACAAAGAAGGCCTCGCCGCCCTCGCCCAGCTTCATGGCGTAGTCCTGCTTCTTGCCATTGACCCTGAACTCGACCTTCTTCTCGTAGGGGCGCAAGAGCGAGAACTTGCCGAAGCGGACGTGGAAGGGCGAGCATGACAGAGTGCCGTCTTCCTGCTCTACCACTATCACGTCGATGGCACCGCTGAGGGTGGCTGGATTTATGGAGTTCCATGCTGTCGAGACAGAGTCCGACAGGTTGCGCACGTACTGCATGGCTGTGGGAGTGGATCGGAAGGTAGAAAGGCGTGGCTATGAGGCTGGGGATGTCGTCGTGGGTGTCCCACTGGTGATGCAGCGCGGGAAGCGTCACATGCGGTTTTTGGAGCTGGCGGACGGCGTGGAGGGTCGATGAGGAGCGTGTATGTAGGAAAAGGGGGTGTCCCCGAGCTGCACGGCGTTTGCGCAATTCTTTAGATAGGCTGATCGAGCGTTGAGGGGGGGAAATACGGGTCTGGTCGGCCACGGTGAGCCTCGGAAAGTCGAAGCGAGTGGGAACGGCTGGGAGTCTAGCGATGGGGCAAGGCTGCTTTGGGAAATGCGGCGGGTTTGGGATGTCTGCTTGTGATTCTGGCAAGCTTGTGACAGCGGTGGCGGGCGAATCAACGGATGCGAATTTGTTCTGGTTAAAACTGGGGCTGACTGCCTGTCTATTTGCGATAGGAGGACAGTCCGAGGTAGAGAGAAAGAGATAGAGTATTGCAGAGGACCGAGATACCGATAGGACGGGACAGGGCAGGCTCAGGAAGAAGAGTCAAATGCTTTGCCAAGAAAAACCGCGCAAGGGAGAGAAGAGAGAAGAATATCTGGATCTTAGTTAAAATAGCTCGGTGGCGTAGGAGGTCTTCTTCTTAATATTGCTGTATGCCATGACACAGCAACGAGGGGCCAGGCTTGAAGAGGTGCGATCAACGGGCAAAGCAAGGGTTTGCCAGGAAACTGAGAGACAAAGGCCGGGGGACACGGCAGTATGGCAGTCCTGGCCCAGAGTGGTCAAGTCATTGTTGTGTCACGAGGCTTCAGACCTCTTCGCATGGGGTCGGGGATAATAAAGCCCTCCAGCGCCCAACAAATACATGTACCTGGTGGACAGAACGGATGGACGCCCCAGCCTCAGGTCCGAAGCGAGGAGGTTGCCGTTACGTTAACTAGCCGAGCTGGGATTTCCGTCCGCTGGCCGTCTGCCCAGGCGGCGTCCCGATGTCTCACCACCTAAATGGATGCCACCAAAAGACCAGCTGACTTGACCCCTGATTCGCACTCGGGTTGGCCTTCTGCCCTGCCTGATCGTGCTGACGGGCTGGCCGTTGAGGACTGCCTACCCAGGTACCGTCTGCACAGGTCGGCCCTTATCATGAGGGTGGCCGAGGGAGTGACCGTCCGGTTGAGACGGCCGGAAACGGACCCGAACGCGATCCTGCTGCGATGTCCCATGACATCATGGCGTGGTGAAAATTCTATGGATGTATAGTACTGTATGTAATGCGTTTGACAGAAGACCCATGTACTACTGCTTTGCACGACTTCTAAAGAGACGAGCCGGCCTCCCCTCAACTGAGAGCACTGCAAAAACACCCATGGCAGCACGGTCGACGATCCTCCACAATCCGCAGTCAGCAAGTCGCCCCTTCCTTTTGTCTAGATGGTCCACAGCTTTGGGCACGAGTCGACCCGTGTGACAGTGTGACCCTGCCACCACCCTGTCCAGGCCTGCACGGCAGGGCGAATCCGGCCAACCCCGCCGCCGCCAGCCCGCTGCCCATCCCCCATCAACCCTGGAGCTTGTTGGGCACTCCGTCTTAAGTGCTGACGGTGAGGACGAAACACGTCCCAACATTCTTTCAAGTTCAACCTGTCTTCCTGTGCTCCATTCTCGGGGTCATTTAACTCACCATCAACTGCCCACGTGGACTGTCCATGTCCTGATGTGGTGCGTGTGTCGGTTGCTGGGAGCACACACGGTGAACATACTCAATTAGCTCCTCCGACCTCCTGGTCTGCACGACACTACTCTGCTAACATATGGGCCTTCTCTCGAAGACCGGAATCCACGTGCGACAGTCCAAAGACATGCTCTTCCATACTTCCTGTACACTTTGGGCATTACCAGTGATAATGCTCCATGTTTTGGGTACCATGTTTCAACTCCCGCGAGTCAGACAGCAATTGATCCCTCACACCTCCTCTCAGGACGAATGTCATGTGCTTGTTGAAATATGCTTGTGTCGATCTTCTTGTAGCAGAACACTGGGCAGCTAGCAGCGATGCCGAATACGACTTGCCAACACCTATCTATTGTAGGTCACCTTCTAATAGGATGACTACTGAGGATGGTCCTATGGAAGATGATCGATCTCTTGGAATTATAACGTAACTTCCTATTGACTCGTGTGAGGTAGACACGAGTATAATAGGATGCCGCGTCGCAGGTTCTATGTCGTGACTTTCTCTATATCGCGAGCTACTATCGACGGCCCCAGTCAATAGCCATGCCAGAGGGTTCTCGGGCTCGTTGGCTGCTGCCGTAGAGTTTCTCAAGGCACGCGTGGACAGATTTTCCTGTTAAACCAGCCCTGGCGAAGCTAGGTCTCGTCTATGCCTAATAGGGCCTCAACCTCCTTAAAGTATCGCTAAAGGCCTCGTCGACACTCGGACGTTCATCCGATGTAAGACCCTCGCCTGCCCCGGACAAAGCCGTCCCTGAAACAGTCCTCTCTATGCGTCGAAGGATTGCCAGTAGCCTTTCTGCTGAGGTCATCACTCACCGTGTCGCCGTCTGACGGCAGGATGGATAGACGAGGCTGACGCCCATCTAGGACAAACTTGCCTCAGCCCTGCCGCCGAGACCTCATAAAATTCCCAAGGCAGCCGCACCCAATCGCCCATGGCCCCTGCATGGAAATGCAATGAGCCGCGACCCCATGCGAGCGATCCTGGTAATGGTCATGTGCAATCCATTGCGCTTAATGCCATATAAAACAGCACACTGACGAGGATGAGGCTGTGTCCCTCAACCGTTCCCGGTTGAGGAAACCGGGGACATCTCAAAGTCAATGGCGGACAAAATCGCCGGTGTGCATGTTCTTTTGACCCCGCAAGGCCGTGGACGAACACTGGCATGCGGACTGGACTACTCGCAGACAGTACCGTCTAATATGAGGCGATGGAACCTCCGGACCTGGTGTGCGAACCACCGTTGCGACTAGAATGGCACTAGCACGTGTGCAAGATAAGCTTCCTGCTGGTCCGCGGCTGTTCTTGGTTGCATCTCGTCGTGACGCGGCAACTAGCGACCGAGGCATCTCAAGCCCATCGCCACGCCCGTGCCACGGTCTCGACGGGCTGGGTCGCGCGTCGCCATCGAGGGTCCTCCGGCGCCGGGCTACACGTTGTGCAACTGCACATGACCAACAGGGAGGGGGAAGGGAGCAGATCAAGCACAATGGGGGCGTGCCAGCTCAAGCACACTACTGCAACTGTCATCGCATTGTGCCGGTACGAAGGGCATGATTGGGGGCAGGTCTCCCGTTTGCAGTGTCGATCAATGTGCGGGAGAATCCACTTGTCGGCCTGAAGACCTATCCCATTGTGCCGGCGCAAATGCAAGCACGCACTCACACGCTCACGCTCACATCGCACAATAGACTAGCTTACCGTAGGCCTGCCCCTTCTGCCTGTTTTCCCGCGCTGCATGCGAGTCCATCAGTGGACTGCTGCCATGGTTACGTGGATTTATGCAAGTCTGTCATAGTCGGCCCTGGAGGTGGCATGTCTCCGGTTCGAAGTGCCGAGATGAGGCTCTCGCTTTGTTCAAGGTTATATTGAGCCGGCTGCAATTTCGCGGTTGGAAGATTCGCTCAGGGCTTAGCGTCATAGCTGATGCGCGTTAGGGTGGGAAAACGGAGGTCAGGGCAGCTGCTGGTACCTTGGACCGGCGAATGAGGAACCCCTGAACCCTCAGATCGTGGAGACGAGCTTGGCTGGCCTTCTCTTACCGACTTCTCCATACTGCTTGCTACTCTGCCTCGCCCCAAGGAGTCACCAGGCCGTCGCCATCGCATGAGAGAAAATCCCTTCTGTGTTCTGTCGCGCGGAGAGGAGACGTTGTCGCTCGCACACAGAGACTGCACCTGATCCTCGTGCATGTACCAGCTTGCTTGTTGGCCTTCCGTGGCTTGACTCGGCCGACTTGGACCTTGTGTGCACTATCCGTCCCGGCATTAACAGCATCTACCACATCGCATTTTTACTTTTTCCTGTTCTGGCCCCATGATCGGTTCTATGTTTCCCTCCTCCTCCTCCTCCGCCTCCGCCTCACCACCATCCCACCCCGATCCCGATCCGCTCCACCCTCCCTCCTCTCCTCGGCCGGCACTACTCCCACTCCGATATGTTATGGATCTCTTGGACGTCGATTCTGCCGCTACTCACCCTCATTTGTCTGCTCATCGCCTGGCTCATCGAGCGTAAGAGCGCCTTTGTGCATGTCACCGTGGCGACCTGCTGCGTCCTCATCTACGTCGCCGCCTACATTGACCAGAACGACATCTCGGTCGACAACATCTACATGAAAGCCGCCTCTCACATCGACTTCGAACATCTGGACCGCCTCTGCGAGGAGAATGCCACCATGGTGCTCTTCAGCGTCGCAGCATTATGGTACGGGCGGACCCGGCACATGCTCGTCCGCACGAGCACGCGACCGTGCTTGGACTCTTGGGGACGCTGTAGCTGACGATAGTTTCCCACAGGCTGCTTCGAAGGGCCTCCCAGACGCTGTGGAAGCCCGTTCCCGAACTGATCAACATCCTTGGCGTCGATGTCCCCGACGCCCCTGATGTCGTGCTTTCTGGCATTGGTCTCGACAAGGCGACTGTGAGCTGGGCGAGACCGCACCCCAGCAAGCCGGTGCACAAGTTCCTCATCCAGGTCAACGGCGTAGTCGGTAAGCAAATTTACGAAGGGCAACCGGCGTCGTGTTGGAGATCGAAGATCTGTGCCTAGACTCTAACACATGTGTCGCGAAAAAAGTGGGCGAGTCTCCAGCAAACCAAGAAACGGCCATCACCGTGACCGGGCTGAAGCCAAACCATTTCTACAACGTACGGGTCATCGCCGTCGGGTCCAACAGCTTTCAAGCCGGCAGCCAAGTCGTCCGCCTCCAGACCTTTGACCCTAGTGGCCGACCACGCCTAGGAAACTCCCGCCTGCCCCCGAATTTTGAACCTGAGGAGCCGCCCTCCACAACACAAGGCGAGAATGCCGACGAGAATGGCGCGCCGAGAAGTCCCTTGCCGGCGATCGAATCCGCAACAATTCCAGACGGTGGCCCGACTTTGACGAGAGAGCCAAGCACGGCTGGGGCGGTGCCGAGACGGAATACTGTTGGCAGGAGAGCATCTCCGTCAGTGAGCAGCATAGAGCAGAAACCCATACGCAAGGATAGTACCTCCGAAGCCGAAGTCAGAGAGCTTGGACAGAGATTCAGCAGCATCAAGGCTGAGATCGAGGACACCATAGCGGTCATCACGAGGGAGGAAGAAGACAGCAAGAAATTGTTGGACGAATTGGAGCAGGAGAAACAACAGAAGAAGGCCGAGCAGAAGAAGAAAGAGGAGCAGACGGAGAAGCTCAAGAAGGAGATGGGCACAACCGAACGTGCAATGCGGTCGACCGTGCAGCGGAGAACGCAGTTGGAGAAGGAGCTCAAGTCGAAACAAGCCGAGCGCTCTCGATATTACGATAACATCGCGAAGATGGAGAGACAGATCCAAGAGTGGCGCAAGGAGAAAGAAAGCTTCGAAGAGCAAAAGAAGTCCGTCGAGGAGGACGCGAAGTCAAAAATGGCAGAAGTCCGCCAATGCAACGAAAAATTGCAGGCGGAGTGTTCGCAGTTGGAAGCGGACTTGAAGTTCAAGAGAGACCAAGTGAAGCTGCTGGAGGACGACCGGAAGAAGCTACCGGGAGGCGAGGACGACGAGGAGTGGAGGCAAAACAATCTTGAGAAAAGACGTGAGTGGCAGCGGAGGGAGCGGGACTGGAACATGAAGCTCTATCAAGAGACCAAGCGGGCCAAGGAGCTCGATGATAGTCTCAATTCGATCCACGCTCAGCTTCAGCAGATCCCGCAGGCCGCTTTCGCCCTCTACAACCAGGCAAACACCCCAGGCGCCGAGTTCGATGCTTCGTCGCAGGCCCAGGCAAAACGCCGAAGCCACCACAGCAGCTCGCTCTCGAATGTGGTCATGTCGCCCGCGCCTCCCTTTGCTGCGCTGGATTCGCTCCCACAGCCACCTGGCTACAGCGGCACTCGACCTCCACCGGGCTTTGCTGCTGCGCCGTTTATCGATTTGTCTTCTATAGACATGGACGACATGGATGGGGATGAGCTCAGAGCGTTGACAGCTGGGGCGCCCCTGAGCCCCTCGGCAGCCGCTCTCCTACCCAGCAACATCTTCACAGATGATGAGCATTCCGAGGATGAGGCACCTAGCAGCCCTGTCTCTCATCGCGAACCTGCTAGTCCGTTCGGACCTGTGCAGACGGCATCACCTGAGCATGATCCTCAGTCGCCTCAATCGGCTCGCTCTGGCAGTATCTTCTCAAGCGCTCACGGGTCCCAGCAGAATTTGCCGTTTCCTTCGTTCCCGAACGACGATAACGAAAGACGTTCGATCAACTCGGGACATTTCGCGTCTCCTGCCCCAGCACCTGGACAACCTGCTACTCAACGACTGGCTTCCCTGTTCTCCTTCCAGCGAGGCAAACCCGCGCGGGCGATAGACGAGCCTCCTCAGCTGGGCAGTCTCAAGCACGGACAAAGTCAATCATTTCCCCGTCAGACAGATGAACTGGATGGGGTGCCAAACAGGCGCCGGATTAGCCTCTCAAACTGGAACGTTTTCAATCGCAACTCAGTCGGCCCGGATACCATGGACACTTACGCTCCCCCACCGGGGACGAGAGGGTTTTCAGCTAGAAATCTGTTGCCCTTCGGTTCTCGGGCGATGACCGGCGTCTTTGATCGCGACCAGAGCAGCCCGCGACCGGCCTCTATTTCTTCGTCTGAGATGCCTCGGCCCTCGACCGAAAGTGGATCCCATCTCTGGCCGCCGCCGTCAGAGCAACAAGGCTTCCCTCGTTCAAGACTCGTCTGGTCACCCGAGAACAACACGTGGTCCAGGAACCCTTCCCGGCGTCCGTCGATCGGCGGTTCTCCTTCGGCTCTCAAGACGACACTCGCGTCCGCGGACGATGAGATCCTTGACGAGCATGACCTACTGAACCCGCAGGTCTCCCCTTCACAGGTAGGGGTGATCGGAAGTCGGCCTACGAAGAAGTCTCTGAAAGCACTCAATCCCACTGTCCCGTCCTTCTCTCCCAACTTCATGGGAAGTATCTTCAGCAGCAAGGACAAGGCGAAGAGTAAGGACAGGACCAGAGAGGCCAGAGACCAAGCCAAGGGAGCCTTTGAGGATCCACCGGCCTCGTCGGGGAACGACTCCGTTGCTGAACGGTCCGACTCACGCCTATCAATGTCTGTCCGCAGTCGTGCATCTATCAGCGAGTCTCACGATTCCCTGTCGCTCGACCAATCTTTTTCGAACACACCATCGGAGCCACCGATGAGCCTCAAGGAGCTTTCGGCCAGCGCCGGGCCGGACAACGTGGTGCGCAAGCTGTTCCGTAAAGGATCGGCTATCTCATCGCGGCTCGGCGGTTCCAGGAAGGCTACCGGGCCAGGTTCAGCTGCCGGCTCGGAAAGGGAGCACCGCCCGAGCTTTGGTGGCAGCGACGTCGCCGAGAACAGCTGGCCCGGCAAAGACGGCGCTGGGGAGGATCTGCTTGGCAAGAGCTTTGATTCACTCAACTCTAGCCCGTCGATTGGCACCAACAAGTCCAAAGGCGGCAGGTGGTTCTCCATGGGCAAGAAAAAGGAGAAGGCGAGCCTGGACATCGAGAGGGAGAGGACTGCGGATGCTGAGACGCCTACTGCTGAGGAGCAGCCGGCCATGCAGCTTTCAGCTTGAGTAGTGGGCGGACTACTGAGTACCGCGGGACTGACTTTGTGGAAACAAATCCGAGTCAAGATGTTTCTGCGTATCCAGCCCACAAGACAGACCTTCGTTGTTGTCAGCGTCACAAGAATAGCAAATTAAAATTGAAATACTGCCAGCCTTGCAAAGCTTTGAATGGTGCACCCGATCATGAAACTTGTAAAACCGCTCACTTTGAAATTGTGCTCGACATGCTATGTAATGTCAAGTTAGCTGTATTACTTTCACCTTTGATCATATAAGTAGGTGTAGCTCCTGTACCATGCAGCTTCCAGACACGGCCCGATGCGGCAGAAGCGGTGAGAGCCCAGGAGGTGCCGAGCTTAAGCTCCGGGCGGCAGATTCGATTTCGGACGTCCAAATCAGTCGATCTAAGCTCAACATCAGACATCAAGCCCACCCATTGTTACCCACTTACACGACCTGTTCCCACCTCATAAAGTCGCGAAGCAGCCCTTTCTGGCCCGATACCATAAACCACCGTGTCCGAGCACCGCATTACGACCCAGCCGAACCACAACCTTGTCTGTCAATGGCCACAATGGCCGCCGAATCATCACCATCGGGCGCCGGCCCGGACTCGACGTCGACAGGGCGACTGCCGATGCCCTCGCGCAACCCACTGCCCCTATCCGCGTCGCAAGAGGCACAAGTACGAGAGATATTCTACGAGAGGATACGAGGCTACTGCGGGCCGGAGATAAAAGGTATATACAGAGAAACAATCTTGGCAACCCCTCCCCGCCAACCCCCCACGCCTCCTCCACTTGAGCAATCAGCACGGCTAGCTAACTGCTTGCCCCGCAAACAGCATTCGCGGCCTGCGCCCTGGGCCGCACGTTCTCTGTCCCCTTCGCCTGCCGCGAGCCGCACCGGGTGATGAACGCGTGCATGAAGGCGCACGCGACGCCGCAGGAGGAGGACGCGGCGCGCGAGGACTGGTTCGCGAGGAGGCAGCGCGCGCGGGAGAGGCAGGAGAAGGAGCGGCGCAAGGCGGAGCAGCAGCGCTTCATGCGCGAGTGGTGGGGGCTCGAGGAGAGCGAGCGCGAGGAGCAGCTGCGGCGGGCCGCCGAGGAGAAGCTCACGCGGGCGGAGCGCGTCGGGGGCTTCGCGTCCGGGAGCAGGAGGAGGTTCGAGGGGGAGGAAGAGCCGGGCAGGAAGTAGTGAGGCGGAGGACCTTCTGGATGGGCCGGCGGGTGACACTGAAGGGACGGACGCCCACGGCTTGGCCGTCGGAGAGGTCGGGTGTGTTGATGGACTTGCATATTTCGGCGTTTTGGGGGAAGATGGTTCCGGGCATGTCCAGCGACTTGATGACCTGGGTTGAATTGCGCTACGCTACTCTAGAGGCATCTGGATTAGACGAGCCACACAAGGTGTACATATGTACGAACGGTGGTGGAAATAGATCTGATATCCAAAAAGGGCGGAGACTGTGGCGCTGCTCAAGAACCTCAAGTGACAGTTTGCAGCTCTATTTGACGACCTGTTGGGTGCTGTAACTCAGCGTGGTATCATGAGGATCATGTGAGTTATTTCCTGTCGTATTCATAGTACATGTATTGACTTCAGAATCGCAGGGGCTGCGAGGCCGTAGATGATCATATTCGGGCCTTGGCAGGGCTGGCTTCATCGAGCAGCTTCTGAACTGTCTCCGCGACACCCCAGGACAATTCATATCCTCTGCCGCCAAGGCCATACGCATGCACAACTATCTTTCCAGGGGCAACCTCCTCACTCTCCAGCCTTGCCCCGCCCTGACGGGCTGGCCGTCGCCCTACGACATCTTTCAGGACTCGCACGGAGCCAGACTCGTCCGCAATCTTGGGGTGCGTGGCCACGAAAGCCCGCACCAGCCTTTCCCTGACCTCCAATGACGGCTCTGTGTCCCAACTGTTCGGCTCCTTGGTGCCACCTATTATGGTCCCGCCTTCGAAGTTCCGTGGTACACAGAATGTCCAGCTGCCGTCTGCATTTTGCCTGGTTACTGTCTCGTGGCAAAGGTTGGCAACGAGACATGTTTGTCCTTGTTTCCTCCGATGTCAGCTCACACCGAGGCCGCTACGGGTGGACGTAAATGGAATGGACGGCGTACCCCTGATGATATACGACTTCGGGTCATTGAATCCCATGCCTGAGGCGTTTACTACCGCCTTAACGGGTCCGCCTAGATCACGCATCTCATAGACCTCTTCGGGCCGGCTGATTTCCCTCCGGAGGATCCGGCCACCGCGGAAGACGAACCTGTTCAGCAAGAAGCTGCAGTACACCATAGGGTTGACACACCACGTGTCGTACTCGATCCCCAGGCTGATCTTGTCATCCGGCAGCTCGCTCCTCTCCAGGACGCGGAAGCCCTCGAGTTCCAGAGCCTTTGCACTTCCCTCGCCATGCTCGCGGGTCAGCGCTCGATACTCAGGCGCAGGGTTCTCCAGATACTCGACTCCCTTCATGAAGGTGATACCTGCCTCGGGGTTCGACCCCTGCAGTGACCTCATGCGGCGGAAAGTGGCTAGGGCGAGGCGGTGATCCCGCAGGTCGTTGGGCTGGGCCTGCCCGTCGACAGGGGGCGGCACCCATCGGTTGTGTGCGCCGCCCCAGGGGCTGGTGAAGTTGATCTGGGCCTTGGGATCGACGAGGGCGGATGGCGTGGGGAAGTCCCTGGCGATAATGGTGACTTCACTCGCTCCTGCCGCTGCGTGGCCGGCTTCTTGCAGCTGAATGGCGCAGCTCAGGCCGGTGACGCCGGCGCTGAGACATGGTGTGTTAGTTCTGCTGGGCTGCAAGAGGATCAGGTGGCGAGGAGTGGGGGTGTATGAACCCTATGACTACGATCTGGGAGGACATGGTATGGGACGGTCTGGTTCGGCCTGCTGGTTGTGGTGGTGGTCGCAGACACGGCCGAGACTGGGTATAAGTTTCGGTCGTACCACGCGTGGGCCGAGGCTGGTGGTGTGCAAGCAAGCGACGCTGTCTCTGAGAAGTTCACGTCTGGACGGCCGAATTTGGTGGATTCGGGATGAACGAGCTAGATTCCGATGAAGAACACCGTGCCATTGTGAGTCTACACATCAATTTTGCTCGTAACTCCTGTCACTTGTCGAGCTGGAATAGCATGATATCGAGGTCCGAAGTCGCTGATCGGAGAGCCGAGCCGGCAGCTTGGGTCAGCCTGGGTCAGCCTGGGTCAGCCTGGGGTGGAGGTGATCGGAGCCGAGGCCTGTCGGGCACAGAAACGGCTCATTCACTGCGGTTCCAACGCTTGTTGCGACCTCATGCACCTCCCTTATCGATATTCCAGCCTGCTCACAAATATCGCATCCAGTCTATCGAATTTTGCCGCATGATTTCCAATAATAGTGTCAAAAATGGCGATTCAAGGACGATAATTAAGGTCCGACTTGGACGCCTTGGCGGGGTCTGCAGCCGTGCAGAGCAAGCACGTGCTCCTGTTAATTATAGAGGATCGCAGATCGCACAGCGATGCGCACCACCGCCCGACGGTGCTTGGTTCGTGAACAGCCCGGCCGCGTGCTAGACCATGGCCCATCTAACGCCTGCCATCGTTTGTCGCGCCTAGATGCTCAGCTTGTGGATCAGCGAGGCGAGACATGCGCCTAGTCGGCCAAGTACTTTTGTGCATGCGCGAATTGGCTTCAGCCGACCGAACCATGGGAATGGGCGGCCGACATCGACTCGGGCTGCTTGGCTGAAGGGGGTTGATGTGGGAAGCAGGCTTGGGAGGCTGGGCCGTTGGGCGTCGAGCCGGACAGAAATGGCCACGATCTGCCTTCGCCGTCGCTTGGGTGCTGGGTCGGGTCAATGTCAAACAGGAGAAGAGGCCATGGCAAAGCTTACCCACGTGGGCGACCAGAGGCATCTTATAGGCGAACGCAGCCCACGTCGCCAAGGCTCGCCCAGAGCCTCGAGCAGGACACCATCCCAGAATCATATAAACCTCCTCCGTACATCTCTTGGCTTCCACGCCCAGTCCAGCCTGCTGGATCTGCCAAGTCAAAGAGATTTGCCCATCCTTCGACAATGATTCTGGTCAGACACCCAATTGAGGACACCGATGGCTGCCACGGCCGGCCTTGGCCAACGACCAAGCCTCGAGGCGGACCCTTCCGCTAGGGTGTGCCTATCCTGCCGCCGGTTTGTCGAAGCCCCTAGTGGGCAGGAGGACCCAACGGATATGGACACCAAAGTGGGCAACGACGCCCATCAGACTCGCCATCCTCGGGGGGTAATGGACGCCCATGGGATAGCATGATGGCCGGTGGGGTCCAGGCGAAACTCGGTCTTGGAGCACGTGTGCGCCCTCCCTCTCTCCCAGCGGCGGACGAGGAGCAGCATGGCAGAGGCGGTATATAATGTCTTGCCTCTCGCCCACCCTTCGACATGCGCCCATGCTCCGAGACCTGGCACACAGCGTCAACCCCAAGACAATATTTCTAGGCTTGCATCTTGTCATCAGCCGCCAAAATGCTTGACCAATATACTTACGTCTTTGTGATCGGCACGCTCTTTGCGATGCTCGATGCCTTCAACAATGGCGCAAGTAAGCTTCTTCCCACAGCTTGGCCTCCTTCTTGGCCGTTCCTCCCTCTCCCGTCTCCCGGCCTTGGGTGTGCTAACCGAGCCTGGTAGACGATGTCGCGAACGCCTGGGCAACCAGTGTGTCCTCGAGGTCTATCTCATACAGGCAGGCCATGATCTTCGGTACCGTCTTCGAGATGCTGGGAGCCATCACCGTCGGTGCCCGGACAGCCGACACCATCAAGAATGGAATTATCCCCAACGCTGCCTTCCAGGGAAATGCCGGAGTCCAGATGCTCGCCTTCACGTGCGCCCTTGCCGCTGCCTCGTCGTGGGTCATGTGGTGCACAAAACACTCTGCCCACGTCTCCTCAACATACTCCCTCATCTCGGCCGTTGCTGGTGTCGGTGTCGCAACTGTCGGTGCTTCAGAGGTCCAGTGGGGTTGGAACGACGGCAAGGGCTTGGGTGCCATCTTCGCAGGTCTCGGTATGGCCCCGGCCATCTCTGCCGGCTTTGGTGCCACCATCTTCATGCTCATCAAGTTGGTCGTGCACATGCGCAAGAACCCGGTCCCATGGGCCGTCTGGACCTCGCCCTTCTTCTTCCTCATCGCCGGTACCATCTGCACGCTCTCCATTGTCTACAAGGGCTCTCCCAACCTGGGCCTGAACAAGAAGCCCGACTGGTGTCGCCTCAGTCACCATGGGCACCGGTGGTGGGGTCGCCCTGCTGGCGGCCCTCTTCTTCGTCCCCATATGTCCACGCCAAGATCGTCAAGAGAGACGCCTCTGTCAGGTGGTGGCACTGCCTCCAGGGTCCTCTGCTCTTCCGCCGCCCTGTCGTCGCGGGGGCAGAGCGCGCCATCGTGCCCAACTACGCAGTCGTCCAAGAGGATGGGGATGATGTCGACAACACCCACACCTCCCCGGGATCCATCAGCGGTGACTCGACCCAGGCCGAGAAGCAAGCAGACCAGGAAAAGGCTGTCGTCAACTCCGAGACCAAGCAGCTCACCTACAAGGAGCTCCAGGAGCAGGGCGAGGAAAGGCTGCGCGCCAAGCTGCTCAAGAAGCGCGGGCCCCTGGGCTGGGCTATGCGCACGCTGCGCGACAACCCCATGGGAGCAGGCCAGATCTACGAGCTCCACAACATGAAGATGCTGTGCAAGCGCATCCCGGCCATGGTCACCGTCGGACTGCTCTACGGCCTGCACTACGACATCCACGCCGCGCAGTCCGGACACGCTGGCACCCCCGAGGGTGCGCGCATGGAACGCGTCTACGCCAACGCCGTGAAGTACCCCAACGAGGTCGAGCACACGTACTCGTTCGTGCAGGTTCTGACGGCCTGTACCGCCTCCTTCGCCCACGGCGCCAACGATATCGGCAACTCGGTCGGTCCCTGGGCTGTCATCTACTCGGCCTGGTCAACGGGTGAGGCCGCCGCTGCCAAGGCGCCCGTCCCGATCTGGCAGCTCGCCGTCCTGTCCGCCACCATTTCTCTCGGTCTCATCACCTACGGTTACAACATCATGAAGGGTAAGTCACTTTTCATCCGGTCAATCAACGCAACACCGTCTGGAGATCTGACAACTAACTCATCATAAACAGTCATGGGCAACAAGATCACATATCACTCCCCCAGCCGTGGCTGCTCCATGGAGATGGGCGCCGCCGTCACCGTCCTGGTCTTCTCGCAGTTCTCCCTCCCCGTGTCCACATCCATGTGCATCACCGGCGCCACCGTCGGCGTCGGCTTGTGCAACGGCACGCTGAAGGCCGTCAACTTCCAGCGTGTCGGCCTGCTCGTCATCGCCTGGATCGCCACCATCCCCATTGCCGGCACGCTGGGCGGCATCCTCATGGGTCTGTTCCTCAACGCGCCTCATTTCGGTTCCTAGGAGGACTACAAGAGATGAAAGACGGCGATTTGGATTTCATGCATATGCTTTGCTTGTTGTTTTAAACTTGGGAAATTAGGAATGGGCCGGAAAATATTTTCATATCTATATGTGCAAAGCATGCAAGCGGTTGGGCATTTTTCTTAGACTCACTAGAGGCCTTGTTGGCGACGCATACCCTTACAGTATCACACATATAAAGATATTACGCATCATTCCTCGATCAAGTCTTGATTATTGCTTCTTGACTATGTGGCTATGCTTGTTGGACCCTCCACACTTAGCGAACCGCCCATGCCCTACTTCTTCGTGGGCGTCTTGTAGTGTCGGATGTAGTCCTCGCCCTGGCCGGCGCTGCTGCCACTCGATCCGCAACCGCCGCAAGTCTTATCCAGGCGCTTCTGGCATATGTCGGCCATCACAGACACCACGCCTCCCTTGTCGGTGGTAGAGCCTCCTTGGGCGGTGCTAGAACCGCCAGTGGTGGTGTTGGAGCCACCCTGCTTGGGGACGGACGTGGGAATTTTCGTTTCTTGTGGCTTGTAGGTTTGAGTGGTAGCTGTATTTGCCTTGCAAGGCCTTTTTGTGTGTGCGGACCTTGAGGGTGGACTTCGTTGTTTGGATTTCTTGTTGATTCTCTGATTCGAACCTCTGGATGTGGGAATGAATTGTTGTTTGGGAATAGACTGGGAAACAAATACGAAGAAATCCTCAAGTTCTGGCCCTTTTATATGTCTTCGAGCAAGGAGTTTAAGTCAGGCTTAACGGGGTTTCACTTCTGGGGTACTATTCAGTCTCAGAGGCAAGTCATCTAGAACTGTGATTAAATTACATCTTAATTTCTAAACTCTGTCAGACACTTCGATGGTGGAGCGGCATCACTGAGAAACGAACACCTGAGTCTGACTCCGGTGACCTGTCCAACCTCTTCTTCACATCTTCCGCCTCTTACTCGACCGAGTTACTCCTCCCTTGGATGCCTAGTCCAGTGAAGAAGCCTCGCTGCTGCTGCTCGAGTACAAGACGTTGGGGCCATGCAGATCCCTGTTGGTATACACGGGCAAGTCGTCCTCGTCAGTGCGGTGGTTGATACACGGGGCCTCGAAGCCACCACCGTCGTCCGAATCCTCGCTCATCTCGTCAGTGTCGAAATCCAGCGCCTCGTCTGACGCACGGCGTCTGTCTTTGCCCTGCGGCGAGTCACTCTTGGGCTTGGCCGGAAGAGACCGGGCCCGGGGGTCGCCCATCTTGCAGAGCGCATACTGGCGGCTGCTCTCGTGGTTGGTGGCGATGATGAAGTACCGGGTGCCTTTGAAGTCTCGGACGAAGTGGTCTAGGTCGCCTCCACGCAGGATGGCGCATGTTCCGGGCTTGTAGGGCACCTTGATACCGAGCTCTGGCACACAAAGGTTGGCGCCTTTGAAGACAGAAACACCATCAGTCTAAGTTTCTTTGACATGAAAGGTATGCAGGACATCTCTGTTCTTACCTTGATAATCACCCGTGGAGAACAATCCGGTCAGTCCTCCACTGATGTCCTTCACGTCTCTGTGGCGCTGTGTATAGCCATTGACTCCAAAGGCGAAGAGGCTGATGAAGTCCTCCTCGTCTGTGGACACCCGTGCAAGCTCAGGCAGGTTCTGGAACATCTTGACACAGTCCTCATAGTATTCAGGATCCAGCGGCTTGGTCAGGAATCTGGTGATCTTGCTTGCCATGCCGAGGGCCGCCTTGGCGAAGTCAGGAAACACAACAGGGGGGTATTCGGCACAGGGGGTCCTCCCGAATCTGGCGTCCATAGTCCGCACGATATCCTTCCCGTGAGGATCAAGTTTGTGAGCCCAGCAGCCGTAGTGTGCAACAGCTATGACGGCGTTGGCGAGGCGATCAATAGTCACTGCGGATGGGTCTAGGTCTGGGTGCTGGCGGCGGATGAAGTTGTCGACGACGTGGCGGCAGGACTCGGGGGCGGGAAGAGGGCTGAAGAACTTCCACATGTCCAGGCACCTGATCAAGACTTCCATGGCCTCCTTTCCAAATAGAATCTCACCCCCCTTCTCAGGTTCGCGAAGACCACCTGGCGCTTCTTGTCGGTGACGACGAAGACGTCCTCCTCAACCAGGGCCCAAGCATGCTCAGCCGCTGTCTGGTCGATCAGGTAGTGGTGAACAAGTCTTTGGCCAGCCGCGAACTATTCCAGTGCGGCCGCCAGTTCTCCTTGACGGTCTCCAGGTTGTCTGCAAAAGTCCCGGTCCTCGGCGAGACCAGCTGCCTGCGACGCGTTTCGAATTTGTTCGCGCTGGACTGGCGTCTTGAGCAACCAATAGTCCTCTCTGATAGCGTCTCGGAGTCCGAGGAAGAACTTTGCACAATGATTGTTGTATTTGTTGGTGTCCTTTCGCAGCTGAATCCGCTTCTTCTTCCTCGACTCTTCGTCCAAATCCGCAGTCTGAAGCTCTTCCCGCTTCAGTCTGGTTGATTCCTTGCGCTTGTTCAGATCCTTCCAATCATCCTTTTCAACAATTGCAAGGGCCATGAGGTACTGTTGCAACTCAACGGTCATGGGTGGATCGGGAGTGTATTGCTTTGCCTCGGCGGCGGATGAATCAGCTCGCTTGGTGGCTCCGTAGGATTTCGGATCGTCAACATCAACATCTTTGGCTTGCATCAGACGGACGGCCCTTGAACCGATGCGGAAGATAACCACAGTCTCGTTGTCGTTGTCTGCAAGGACTTTGTATTCACTGTCTTCAGCGAGTGCTTTGGCGACTGCTAGAACGTCGGTGGTCGGCACCATCGCGAGAAGCTGTCGGATTGCCTTCACATCGTCCGTCTCTTGGATACTGTACTGCTGTAGTCTCTCGCAAAGGGAGGTCACGATGTCTTTCTGTTTTCTCAATGGTTAACATATGTTGTTAGCACGGATTGAGAGATAACTTACCACACGCACGTCATCCGGGTGAGAAACATTGCCAGCCCATGAGAAGTAGTAACCCCACGGGTCTCCCTGGATTCTCTTCTGCAGCTTGCCAAGGGTGATGAGACCCGTTCTCTGATGGACGTCGGGCTCGAGATCCTGCAAAGGCGAGATCTTGGCTGCTCTCTTTGTCGACTTGTTCTCCTCGCCGAGGAGATACTCCATGGTCTCCTCATCAGGCACGTGAGGGGGTGCCTCTGCCTGCAAGAACGGCATGATGGTCAAGTTACAATGAATTCTGATTGAAAGACAAGTGATGCTTGGGGTTTGTAAGGTGCAAAGGGAGAAAGAAGAAATGGTGTGTGGGGTAGTAGGGAAGCAAACAGAGGAGGCAAACTCCTGTTGACTTATTCTGCCAGGTGACCTGTCAACAACTGCAGTGGGACACTATGGGCTAGTATTTGAAGACCACGTGAATTTGTAAACTTGGGAAGACTATCAGACAGGACTGGTTCTGGGAGGGGAGGGGGTCAACGATAGTGAATGTGAGGACCCCCGGAAGCCAAATTATTCACTGACAGTATCAAGCCGGCACCCGTGTTCCCTGCCTTAGACAGTTCCAGAACCCAGCCAAAATACACGAGCACACATCTCCCTATCATTCTCTGTGCAACATATGCTCCACACTATGTCAGCTTCCTGCTCATCGCCAGTCGAATCACAGAGGAGAGTGCTTACATCCACAAGTGTAGTCTGGAGTCACATAGCCAGAGAAAGAGATATCCCCACCCAAATGGTTAAACAGTGAGCAGACCCAAGCTTCTACTAGCCAGGTTCTATTGGGCTCTTGAGCCCCCTCAGGCACTGCTATGATCTAGGCTCAAACTGAAGAATGTCTCATCTTCCTTTGTTGAACGGCTACATGCATAACTCAGAGTAACATCACTGGCTCAAAAGAAGTTAGCCTCCGAGGAAGGTGGATGCTACTACAGCCTCAAGAGTGAGACTCGGAAGTGTGTAGCCACGGGCAGCAATAACCTACCTTGACAGTGCAATAGACCATGCCATCAGCCTTCACATCCGTCTCAAGGTGTGCTGAGGAGAGTCCGCTTGAAGCAGTCTAAACAAGCACATAGTTGACATGAATGGGTGTATGGACGCTTCTTTCGAGCTCCTTGCTCCACCATCTCCATCCGACGTGGATCGTCTCGGACACGGAATGGTTCAGTGCGTGTCTATCTGTCAGTGATGCCAAGCTGCTGCCAGTTTACTTGCTATTCTGGCTTTCAGTCGAGCCTTCCGGCGCCGCTTCGGGCGCGTCTTTCAGGGCCGCCATTTGTCTGACAGTAGATGGGAAGAACTGTAGCAAGGTGCTCGTATCAACACCTGGCCAAAACAGAACATCTGGAGTCCCATATTGATTGGCTTCTGCGACTGCCATACATTCTTCGACATCAGTGCCTTTGTGTTGGCTTAGGAGCATTCGCACCACGTTCGTGTGGCCGTCCCGTGCGGCAAGCCAGGCTGGGTTGTCCTTCTCTCGCATCTTATGGGACTCACACATGGTGTTGATGTCAATATGAGACAGTGATATCTTCACCATAGCCTCATCGCCTTTCCACGAGGCTATAGCCAGTGCCGAAAGCCTCAGGCCGAAAGCCTCAGGCCTGCAGCGCAATTGCTCCTCTTGTTCACATCGATACCTCCCCGGTTCAGGAGCGACTCGACTATGCGTAGCCTGCCGAGCTTTGCGGCCATAGTCAGTGGGGTCTCCAAGGTATCTCCTGTGTCGAAATAGCCATTGATATCGATGTCGTCTCTGGCGAGTATGGCTCTGACGTGAGCTCCTCGTTTCATCGCGATCATCAGTGGATGCGGAGATTCTTTGGAGTCAATTTTAAGACTCCTACGGGCCAACAGTAATTCGACAATATCATGCTTGTTATGTTCGAGCGCGACAGCAAGTATGGAACCCTCGAAAGCGGGTGGATTGAATTTGCGGTGAATACTCCGGACCATGGCCTTGTCCTCCGCGGACGGAGTGGCTATCAGCGGCGGTGATGACAAGCCCCGTGGGGTCAAACTCGTCGTACTGGTCGATGTTGGGGAGGATATCATTGCTTGAAACATCTTGTATTGCTAGTGGGATTCATTCAGGTAGTACCATCCAAGTACCCGAGGAGGCAGGTCTTCCAAGGCGTCAAAGAAGTCGTCTAGACCCCAGAAAGGAGATGGGAGGTGCGGCAGGGTCCCGGTCCTTAAATAATAGATGGGAAATGGTGCGTTGAACAACCGTATACATGTCAGCCCCACAATCCGGTGGGATTACTGCCTCGATGTAAGCGTCGGACGAGATTCCTAATAATGCGTAGATACGGTCTCTTGGATCGCCCGCTTGACTGGAGCGAAATTTTCTAAGAAGGGTTCCTAGGTCTCGCAGCGTAAGGGCTCGGCAGAATAGCCCTTCTCGAGCCTGAGCAGCCGGATGGCGTCTCTTTCGAGGTCAAGACGAGTGTATCCGGACGAGTCCATTTCCAGTATTACACGAATCAGGCGAAGATTGTGAAATCGAGAGACAGGATACCTGATGCAGTGGCAGCATCTTCAAGGCCTTGTTGCCAGGACAGAGGGGGGTGGGTTGAGAAAGGTGGAGGTCAAGGGTTTGTGCAAGTCAGACGTACACGACCCACCTCCGGTGTGGCACTATTGGGCTGACGGGGTGCTTACTTGTAGAGACCTAAACTTTTGGAGATAGAAGAGGGTGGTAGAGGTTTAAAAAGGCAATGGAGACACTTACATTGGAAGATAGAAAACTAAAAGAGAGAATATATATAAGAGTTGAAGAAAAAGAAATCTCGGTTGGTAGAACCGGGCACTTTGAGCCAGTCGGCACACAGTAGTCTGACGAATGGCTTGGGTCGAGGTAGGAGTAACCGTCAAGGTACAAGTGAGACCAACTCCAAGAGTTCTTGTCATAGCTGTCAGCTAGACACAAGGCTATATCTACAACGGAGAGGTGTGACGAGTGTTGTCATTTTTGGCAGGATATGATGTGTTAGTACGTTTGTGACACGCAATGTGGAGGGAGGCTTGCAACAACCAGGCCGTAGTCTAGCAAATCGATGGTCTTCGAGCGCCGTTTCACACGATGCCGATGGTCTTCTCACTATCAAAATTGAAAATGTCCTCCCGCCCATACCCTCTCTGGTTCGCGACAACCAGCTTCCCCGTCGTGCCGTCGAAAAAGTCGCAGTTGTAGTGCGTATGTCCAAATGCCCAGACCTTGACCGAGGTCGACATCCAGCATGGCTCCTTCTGGAGGTCCGTGACGAAGGCGGACTGCACGCCTCGCGAGTCTTCCACATGCTCCGGGTCGTTGGCTTCCGGGGCGGCCGTCGGGCTGTAGTGGGTGAGCACAACGATGCTGCGTTGCGGCTCGTCCCTGGCGATGGTCTCGACCTCGGCGTTGAGCCAGTCAAGGTCGGCCTGGTGCGCGGCATTGTGTCTGTCGACGGACCAGTCCGCGAAGTTGGAAAAGTCAGAGACGAACAGGCTCACTGTGCTGCGCTGTTCGTCGGATATATGAGAGAAGAGCGTGCAGCCCAGGATTGTCACTTTGGACAAAAGGTCAAATCGTCTGCGGTTCAAGAAGACGAATCGGCCGAGGCTAAAGTGACCGTTTTCGTTCTGTTGTTGTTCAAGTACTTTCCTGGATGCAATTAATCTCTCGAAGGCCTCCATTCTTGCCACGGCATCCTCACATCTGCTGGGGTACGGCTCGTGGTTCCCAAGCACGTAGAAGACGACCTCGAATTGGCTCAGCTGCCGGGTCACGAAGTCGAACAGGCTGTCGTCACCAGCGATGCCGATATCACCTAGCAAGGCTGGATATTTTGCCCTCGGTTCGATTTGAAATTCGTTGTACATGGGCAGGAACTTGGGTGTCTCGAAGTGCAGATCGGACATGATCTGAAGAGCGGCAGAAGCTGGTGAGCCTAACGCATGGCTTGGCAGGCTGATGCCGACATCGTTGGAGTCACTTGGGACTTGAGCCATCATGCTGGCAGCAACATTTTGGTGCTGGATATCGAGGAGTCTGGCGATCACAGCCGCGGGCAGACCGAAAGATGCAGCACTCGGGTGTGCGCGGTCGCGGATGTGACAAGAGTACGGCAGCCGGAGAAGAGAGGTGGAGGTCGGAGGTTTGTGCATGTCACTCAGAGACACGGCCCCCGGCCCCCACCGACCAGCACCAACGGGCTGACAAGATCTTGGCCTACGGAGATCCGACCGACCTCCTGAAGACGAATGGTAAGGGGCTCGAGAAGGAAGCAATGACGGTGACCAAAATGGAGGCATACAAACCATAGCTCCTACGCGAGTACTCCTGAACTGGACACACAGCACAGCCTGCTTGCTCTCTTGCTCTGCAGATGCCACATCGTGGACCAATGACCTTCGACAAGAATGTGAGACATACAAGGCCAAGGGCACCACAGACCTTGCCTACTTTGGCATCTGAGTGCCCTGTGAGCTCGGAAAGATGGCGATCGGGTGGCATTGAGACTGATTCAGCATCCGAAAGGGGAATCTGGGGTTGCACGTGTCAATTGCAGGAAACCTGGCCGCTTTATGTCGGGCATCACCACTGTCTTTCCTCTGTCTCTTCACCTGCCAGCAGCAAGCACAGCACTTGGTCCCATGAGGGCTCCATCTGCGCTTCACTAGCCGCCCACCGCATGCGCCTGTCAGCGCCAATGCCGGCGGCGAAGAAACGGCCAAAAACGCTGGGTAAAAAGCTTCCTCACGACCGGCCTCAAATGCGGCCGCCGCCTCACACATTTAAATAAACGGGCGGCCGGCGACACCCCCCCGACGAGAGTAGTCGAGGCCGACCGTCTCCCTCGCAAGCGCTGAAGCCGCCGGCTTGGCGAGGGGCCAGAGTGTGAGCGGCCCAGATCAGAGGGATTGCTGGCGGGAAATTTCAACAAACCCAATCACGGGCGAGGCTCGACGGCAGGGAACAAAACGGACGCTGATCTCCCTTCCCCGCGCGAAACCTGCCCTCTTTGGTCGCCGGGCGTCTAACTGCAGCGTGACGGGGCCAATGATTGGACACGAACCCCTGACACCACTTACACCACCCCGGTCTTGTCCCTCTTGTTGCTATTTCGAACGACAGCGGTGTCTGCCCTTGTACCACCGGCACGCAAATCTCGTGCGAGAGGGACCTGCCTCCCGACTCCTCACCCAGTCCGCTACCTTCCTCTACGGCAACATGGACTGTGTGCTCTGCCGTTCCAGAGAGCCGCCCAGCAGGCAGGACTCGAGTCCCGTCCACAATCGCCCCCCGGACAAGGCCTGGCAATGTACCCACAGCGCTTAAAATAACCATAGATATGCTGCGGGTGAGCGGGTGCGGACGCCATGTGCTTCTCGAATGACCTTCGCCCACCGCGCAAGGATCTAGCGTGCCTCCCGGCTTCTGTCTAATCAAGAGGCTTGTTCGCTTTCGCGAGCTTGAGTTGGGCGGTTGGCTCTATGTACACTCTGTAGATCCTGATATAGTCTGCTTTTCCGCATCTGCCGGGCCACCAGTAAATCACTGTGCTCTTCCCTACCACTCCTGAGTGTTGGTTCCGTCGAATTCTAGCCTCGAAGTCTCTTTTTCAGTCTTAGGCTTTGTCTCTTCACCAGCCAACATGCGTCGGTAGTAGGTTGGGCGTCCATCATCCCACCTCCAGCTTCCCCGCCGAGCCTGGGTGCTCGCTTCGAGAAAAGGAATAGAAAGGGCAAGGCAGACTCAGAGACGGAAGATCTGCTCGAAGCAGACGCAGGACACCCAAAATGTCATCAGGACCTTCCCAGCAAGGGACATTCTCACTGTTCCCAAAGGACCGCCCACCATCCAGGACCCAGAACTCCACGCCAGGCCGGCCGTCAATAGACTCGACACCTCGAGACTCCCAATCCAGAGCAGGAAGACGCACACCGCTAGAGCGCAACATGTCCGTCCGCGACGGCAAGAAGACCTCTGCAACAGCACACACAGGCCCCTCAGTCGGCGCCTCCGAGCCCTGTAGACGCAGGCGAGAGCACAGTCGTGTGGCCCTCCGAGAGCAGACAGGCAGATCCCATAATACAACGGCCGGCCGCCGTCGTCACGGCCGAACCTCCCGCCCGGTGTGGCACTGCCTTCTCGGAGGCTCAGACCCTCGTCCGGGCCAACAGCGACCGGTCCAGGAACTCGATAGCCAAGCCGCCGCTGGACAACCGAGCGACACAGTATGGAGAGGGTTCATCTGAGGCCCCATTGCGGTCCATCTTCCCAGAATACAACCCCAACCTCCCGCTCTCCCAGCAAAACTACTATCCTCCTCAGTCAAGTCCGACCCACCCAGCAAACATCCCCGCCGGAGCCATCAGCCGCCGCCTATACTCGCCCACATCCGAGGAAAGGCCCGAGAATCCAGAGGACACCACCAGCCCCCTGCGGAGCCCCATGAGCGCCAACAGCTCCCGGACCCACCAGCAGACGGCCACCCGCAAGTGGCCGCCGCCGCGGGTGAACGTGAAGCCCTCGACGCCGGAGCCGAGCACCACCGAGCAGCTGCGGAAACTTCTGGAAGGTCGCCAACGGGTGGAAGGCGCCGGCGTCCGAGGGCCGCGTGTACACCTTCACGGTGTCGAGCGAGCGGGACACGCCCATCTACACGCTGGCGTCCAAGTCGTCGCAGCCCTTCTACCGGCTCAAGCTGGACCCGACGTCGGCGTCGGCGTACGTCTCGCTGTCGCGCTTCGACCCGAGCAAGCCGTACAAGCCGCCCGTGCCGCCCAAGGACGGCGGCTCCTCAGGCAGCCCCAGGGGCGGCAGCAGCGAGAGCGTCGGCGGCGAGCCGTCCACCAAGGGCTGGCAGGAGGTGCTGAGCACGACGCTGGAGGAGGCGGCGCGGCACCACGCGCCGCACGACGGGCTGGTGGCGCTGCTGTACCCGCTGCCCGCGGCGAAGCTGGCGGTGGACAGCCGGTACACGAACCCGGCGGCGTTCGCGACGGCGGAGCGCGAGTGCGCGCGGCTGGTGTGGGACGACGACAGCGGGAACCACTTCCTGGTGCACCCGGCGCTGGCGATGCCCTTCTGCGTGACGGTGGAGCGGAACCCGGCGTGGAGCCGCACCGAGTACACGCTCGAGCACGTCGAGAGCCCGCAGCACCTGGCGCGGCTGACGCGCGACGGCACGGGGACGGGATGGCTCGAGGTCGACACGGGCATCGCCGCCAAGATCGACGCCGTGTACCTGGTCGACGTCGCCGTCGCGGCGCTCATGCTCGTCGCGCACGCCGACGGCGAGTTCAGCCGCGTCGAGGTCTTCGACCCGCCGCCGCCGTCGCTGCGCAGCGAGAGCAGGCAGGGCCAGGGGGAGCAGGGCCAGCAGGGCGGGAGGGCCAGCCGCCTCAGCCGCATGACCCCGCGCGTCAACAGCGGGGACAAGAAGGAGAAGAAGTCCGGCAGGGCGCGCATGGAGGAGTTCGAGCTGGACCTCGAGAGCCAGACGAGCGACCTGAAGAAGCACTCCAAGAGGAGGAGCAAGGACGAGGACAAGATGCCCGGCTGCGCGAGGGCCATCATCTCGCTGCTGGGGGTCATCTTCAAGTGCCTCATCTGGTGCGCGACGGTCCTGTTCAAGGCGCTGACGGGTTGTATATCGTTGTTCGCGAGGTGTATAACTTCCGAGAAGTTGTAGGTATGTGATGGCGAACAGCGGGCAAATGTTATTATTGTATGAATTGAATGAATAAAACGAACGGGCAAGACACCGGGTAATGGTTCCGAGCGAGTCGAAGGATGCATTCAAAGGCTGGTCTTTGGGGGAGTGTTCTTCTCTGTATTTTCTTTTCATTCCCAAACATGATACCTCCCATGCAGGGCACGATGTCCGGGTATAAAGGACGGATTCTGATGGTCCTACGGGGTTGAACATCGACGGCCCTGCCTGCGGCAGCAAGAGCAGAACACTAAGATTCTACTTCTTGCGTTCCCGAACCTTGATCTTCTGGCCCTTCTTCGTGATGCTTCCCACCGTCGCCGTTTTCGCCATCCGTGCCCGCTGCAGCTCGAGCTCGTTCTCCGCGTCCGTGAGGGCCTTCAGTTTCTTCCTTGCGTTCCGCAACTTCGTACGTAGCCGCTCTGCGTTCTGTGCCCTCTTTCTTGCCTCGCGGTCTTTCTCATTGTCAGACTGCTCGGAATCGTCATCGTCCATGTCCACGTCGTCGTCGCTGTCCTCTGGATCCGGCATTTTCTCCTCTAGTTCCTCTTCTGACGCGGCAAACACGATCTTCTTCGGTTTTAATTGTGGCTTCGCTTTCCTTGGTGCAGCATCCTCGTCACTGTCAAAATCGTCTTCCTCGTCCTCGTCGCCATCGCCGTCCACGCCCGCAAACGCCCCTGCGATCACAGCCTTTTGCTCGAGGTCTCTGACCTCCTTGGCGACGACGTTCCGCACCGTCCGTAGGTAGCCGATGTCTTGGGTCTTGAGAAGTCGGACGGTGTCCACGTCCAGGGCCTTATTTCCTCTGTCGCCGGCCACGGTGCCGTCCCACTTCTTGCCCACTGCCAGCTTCCCTGAGGAGAATTTGCCCCGGGAAACCATGCCAAAGTAGAACTCATCTTCGTTTCGCTCGGCAGCCTTTTGCTTGAGGCTCTTGAGGACGGTCTGTTTCTTTTTGTGGTCTTTTGCTCGAAGGGAGTAATCCTAATCCAGTGTCAGCTTGGTCGCGGTCGACCGAGACGGGCTGTGGAAAGAAGTCGCACCTTGTGCTTTTCGAGGAGGCCGAGTTTCTCACGGCCTTTGAGCTGACCCCTCTCGCGATGCGAGCGGCGCTGTATTGAATTTCGCATGGACGACATTTTTGCGGTTTGTCGCGGTGTTGAATGGTCACTGAGGAGCAGTTATGGTCGTAAGTCCAAATCGGCTGGGGAATTGTCTGGGAAAATCTTAAGGCTGCGGCCGATAAGATAAGACCGTCGGCGCCTACAAGGTACCTAGCTAGGTACCTAGCCTAGATCCACCCACCGGCATCGATCTGGCCATGAACATCCAGGTAATAGTAGCAAGACCAATTTTCAAAGCCCAAGGCCCCATCACTGAGCTGACAGTCAGACTTTTTATGGGTGACAAGGTGCTGGACAAGTCTTTGCATTAATTAAGGTTCAATTTACTAAACGCAACAACAGGGCATGTTTGGAGAGCATCAGCCGAGAGCTATGGGACCAAACACGAGCGAAAGGTTCAGTCACCATCAAAACAGTTCCAAGGTTGTTAGGCGCCTCTGCAGGGCGACCTCGTATGTGGTAATTACGTTGATACCAGTGATTCACAGCTGGGCGGTCGGTATGTTCTTGACCTGGGGAATAGCGGATTCGTTAGCCGGGTTCGAGCAGGCCGGCCAGCCCGAGTCCACCACGGAGCCAAGCCTGAATCCGGGCCGTGACGCCCGGCAATTCATTTGACGGCGCGGCCCCTCAGAACCCCAACCTTTTACCGCCCGGTATCCCTCCTCAGCATCATCTGTCCACGTACAGGAACCCTCCCTGACTGAGTGCCCATTTCGCCATGGCCGGTTCAACAGGTGGCCACACGGTCACCAGGAGCCATCGCAGGAAGGTGGCGTACCAGGAGCACGTGTGGTTTGATCCTAATAAGTACTGCTGCCCCAGGCTGTTTGAAGCTTGCACTACACCTTGTGAAGGCTGCCGCGGGTTCGAATCCGATCCACAGATGGCGCAGGCTTGAACCAAGTTGATTATAGGGCAAGGAGGCCTTCAGTCATCATGGCTTACTGAAAATAATTTTCTTCGCGCGATGTGGTAATACATCGCCGCAGGCCGGCACCGCGGGTTCGGAGCGACTACGATATCAAAGACTGGTTCCGCTGGATCGTGAGTGCTCTGCCGTTGTGGCCCCTGTCAGCATGGCCCAGGTTATTCGAAGGCGAGAGGTCATTTCGATTCAACTCTGGCTGAGACTGCCTGTTGAGTGCGCCCGTGTCCACAGGTTTTGTATTTGGAGGGCTCTCATCCTACACCATTTGTCTATGAATCACATGTCGACCAAGTCAATCAAGTATGAACTCAAAGAGCGTGGTTGTTGATCTGTTTCGAATCACCAGTGGTAGGCGTCTGGCCTGCAGCAGGGACGGGCCAGTGAGATTGAGATTGGCTTTGGCTGCCCGGGCATGGCAATGCACCACACCCTCCCCCGGGTTGCCGATCCAGGGCGTGACCCGCTTGTCCGTTGCGACACACAATCTGACAACACACATATCGATTGTGTGTGTGTGGGCAGCCCCTTTTCCAGGCCTTCTATTTCGGGGCCCACAGGCGTCTCTCGATCTCGGTAACGAACCCCAGGCGGTTTTCTTAAATACGAAGCCGCCATGACCATGATGTCATGGCTGCTCGCTTCTCAGACTCTGCAGGGCGCGTCCTCCCGTTCTATACGAAGCCCGCCCTCTGGTTGAATCATGGCATATCGCTGCTCCCCGGCCGTGAAACCACGGTGGGCCTAGATGGCCTTTCTCCCGAAGACAAGACTGCAAGAGCCTGCAGGCTGCAACAGGGCTGCCGATCACCTTTCGTTTCCGATGTCCCGCCAGTGGGTCGAGCGCTTCTTCAGAAGCAATGAAGATCCAGCGTCCGCATGAGGTCGACAGCTATCCCTGTCTGTTTGCCAACTTTGGTAGCAGGAGCAGTTGGTGGGCAGCTGGGAGCTGGGAGTTGGGAGCTGGGACCACGGACGAGACCCATCCTGCCAGCGTATTGTCTGACAGAGGACTGGAGATGTAGGTCTTTCCTTTCTTCCCTTCCTGTTCGCTTTCTCCAGAGCACCGTGTCCATCCTTTCTTGGGACACATAGTATACGAGACTCTTTCTTGGTTCGCTTCGTTGCGGGGTCCTCGTCCCATTGCTAGACAATGGCTATCCTGAGCACCCACCGTAAGCCTCTCAGGCTGATATTGTTTGTTGTCTTCGTTTTGGCCCTCTCCTTTTTCACTCTCTCCTCTGATTACTTCGAGTCGTCAAACCTCGCTCTCTACATAAATCACCCGTACGCATATGTCCGTAGCAGTTATGACTGGGCGAGCCGCAAGCAAAGATACCCTGTCTCATCGTACGAGACCATTTCCCAGGACCCTCCCCATCAGTTGCCCAAAATACAGTTCGAATTCGAGGAGGGACAGGGCGTCCAGGAGTCCCGAAGGAAGGAGGTCAAGGACACCTTCAAGAAGTGCTGGCACAACTACAGGAAGTACGCGTGGGGATATGATGAGCTCAAGCCCATCTCCCTGATGGGAGCAAATAGCTTCTCGGGCTGGGGTGCCACGTTGGTCGATTCTCTGGACGCGTTATGGATCCTGGATATGAAGCTGGAGTTTAAGGAGGCCGTTCACCAGGTTGTCTCGATCGACTGGGATTTCCACCCGGACCACCAGATATGCAGTACCTTCGAAACTACGATCAGATATTTGGGCGGCCTCCTCGCCGCGTATGACCTCAGCAACGAAACGGTCATCCTGCAGAAGGCGACTGAGCTCGGCGAAATGCTCTACAGCGCATTCGATACCCCGAACCGCATGCCAGCCAACTCGTTCAACTTCCAGAGGGCCAAGGAGGGCCTGCTTCTCCCCTCCAACCGCGAAATTTCCGCCAACGTCGGGAGCCTGTCGATGGAATTCACTCGGCTTTCGCAGCTGACCGGAGATCCGAAATTCTTCGACGCGACCGAGCGAGTCAAGAAAGAGCTCAAGCGGACGCAGGACGGCACAAAACTGCCGGGGCTGTGGCCCACCTTCGTGGATGTTCAGAACGGCTTTCTTACCCCTGATAGCTCATTCACACTCGGGTCCATGGCCGACTCGCTTTATGAGTACCTCCCAAAGATGTATGCGCTGCTAGGCGGCCTGGACGAATCCTACATGGAGATGTATGTCAAGGCTGTGAACACGGCAAAGGCCTTCCTCCTCTTCCGGCCGATGCTGCCGGACACGGAGAGCGACGTCGACATCCTCTTCTCGGGCACCGTGCTCGCCAACGGCAGGGGGGTCATCGACCTCATGCCACAGGGCCAGCACCTGACCTGCTTCGTGGGGGGCATGTTCGCCCTCGGCGCGAAGCTGTTCGACATCCAGGAGGACCTCGAGGTCGGCGCTCAGCTGGCGCGCGGCTGCGCCTGGGCGTACCAGGCGATGCCCACGGGGGTCATGCCCGAGGAGTTTGGAATGGTCCCCTGCAAGGAGGCGAACATGGGCAAGTGCGCGTGGGACGACGAGCGGTGGCAGAAGGAGGGCAACAAGAACTTCCCCAAGGGCTTCTCCAGCGCCCACTCCCCGGGGTACTTTTTGCGGCCCGAGGCTATCGAGAGCCTCTTCTACCTGTACCGCATCACGGGCGACTCCAAGTGGCAGGATATGGCGTGGGACATGTTCCAGAGCATCAAGAAGGTCACCGAGACCAAGTATGGCTTCTCCGCCATCGAGGACGTCACGAGGGGCGGCTCGCCCAAGAAGCTCGACCAGATGGAGAGCTTCTGGCTGGCCGAGACGCTGAAGTACTTCTACCTCATCTTTTCGGAGCCCGACTTGATCAGCTTGGATGACTATGTCCTCAACACGGAGGCGCATCCGCTGCGGATACCGAAGCCATGATTGGAGAGACGGAGAGGATCTCGGGGATGATCCCCGCGTTAGCAAACATGACATCTTGCCACAGTCTATGAGAGAGCGCGACTACACATCAAGCCATGGTGTGACCGAGAGTCGTTGAGATGCGAAAGGAAAGCCTTCGCGCGGCGCATCAGCAGACAGGGTGTATTTGGTGAATTGCGATTCTCCCAACTACAGCGGCCACTTGCGACCATTTGCGTCTTGGGTTGACGGCGTATGGTATTTAATGGATCGGAGCGGTCATGACTTTTGCACACTGTATGGCGTTATTGGGCGTCAGACGGAATAGACGCACTGAATAAGGCCATAAAGGAAGCGAGTTACTACACTAGATACCGCAATTCTTTCATTATTTCAATTCCTCGAACACTCGCAGTGAACGAGCAAAGCTCTGTTCGTCTATTGTCCAGGTGCCTGCGCCAACGACAGAGAAGCAAAAGCGCTTCGTGATCGAAGTCACCGTGAGGCCGGCGAGAAGCGGTTCAGAAGAGAGATCAACGGGCTCATTTGATAGAACACTGTGGCATCGCATTCTCAAATTATAATTCTCGGCGCTGTTGCAGAACAATCGCGATCCCTGACTGGCGCAGCGATGTAGCACCTTGGGCATTTCGACGTCCCCTCAAGAAGTGCCGTCATCTCAAGACCATATGTATGTGAGATACTCAATCATGTACGGTCCACCATCTGAGGTTCATTTAAAGGGGGTTGCAATGATTTTTAGCTGTTGTTACATAGACAACAGAGACTATAGTCAATGCTATCATCCGGTGATAATCTTGGGTATCCTCACGCTCCACCAAGTCAGTATGAGAACCTGCCCATTAAATCTTGACAATCCCTCTGCATCCTCTGCAAGTAGACATGCTCGCAATGCTACTACTCCTTCCACGTGACCATACCTTTACCAATGCGTCGCTGTTCGTTTGATCCCATCCTATTGCACTTGGCCTACTCCCGTCTGCCAACTGCCATGAACCTGTCCTTACGTTTTTCTCCGTGGAGACCTTGGCCCTGCCAGGGCCTTCCAAGAGATCAACGCAGAGGGCGCTGGATGTAATTTAGTTAGTGAACCTGCGGGCTTTCTGGTTTCCGTATGCATCTCCTGTGCTCGATCCGCCGGCTTGACTGCTCGATTCACCGGCTTGACTATTCCATCCACCGGCTTGACCGCTTGATCCGCTGGGTTGACTATTCCATCCGCCGGCTTGGCTGTTTGATCCGCCAGCTTGATTATTCCATCCACCGGCTTGACTGCTCGATTCGCCGGCCTGACTGTAGTTACTCGGCCCAGCAGCCCGTGGCTCTGCCGCTCACATCCCCGGGCCGCCGGTGCCGCCGTTACGCTGCTGCAGATGTTCAAGGTTCACCTTGCTCAAATCCACATTGAGCGGGCTGCATTGCACGGGTCAGGAATCCGACGCCTCAAATAGCGGGATACGTGGGAAAGGATGGGGACAGCAATGGGCGAGTTCATTTGTCACGTACGCCTTCAGCTCGTCGGAGACAACGCCCCCTCTCGCCTCGACCTGCTCGACGAGCCGGCGGCGCTCCTGGATCTGCTCTAGTATGAACTGGACCGAGACATTCAGTACGTGACCCTCGGAGCGCCCCTGGCCCTCTAGACCGGGCACGATGGATGCCATCTTGTCGAAGCCGTCGCGGATGGCCTGACGGCGTTTTTGTTCTTTGGGGGAATGTTAGCCAGCCGCCGGTGGGGTGACGAGACCGAGACCTGAACAACTGGGTGGCGAACCGGGCTTGGAGTACATATATACATGTGTATGTACATCGGTCCTCCGAGGATCGACATGCGCCTGCGCCTGTGCGTAGGCGTATGTGTATGCCACATAAATCAAGGTATATCTGGGGGAGGGGGCAGCCTTTGGTCGGTGGGATCAACACGTACCTGAGGAAATATGGTTCTGGCGCTTCTGCTCCTCTGTCAGCCGGGGCTTCTCGTCTTGGCCGTTGGCGCCGTCGCGTGGAGGCGATGACTTGTCGGGAGAAGACATGATCGGTAAATGTGCTATATACGCGGGGCGAAGATGTGATCGCAAGATGCCGACGCCGTTCTGAGAAGTGGATGTGCTTATTATGATGAGCCTGCTTTTCTCTTGCTCAGCTCCTGCTCCCGCTCCTGCTTGTGTTACGGTTTCCTGTTGGGAAAGTACCAAGGGACCTGAGACCAATGAGACAGAGGTGCGTGACCTCTGCGCAGTGTTGGGCGAGAAGCGAGGCAAACATGTGATAGACGATGTACTGTCGCAGATCCGCAGCATCCCTGCAGCTGCATCTACGTTTCCCGACACAATCTGCATTCCCGCCAGCCCTTCCGGAACTTGTCAAGCGTTTTGCGGGGAACCTTGGACTCCAGTGATAGATCAAACCGCTGGGCGCCAGGCACCTGGGGACCACGTAGGGCCAGCAGTACCCCTGAGCTAGGTCCTAGTGGGGTCTGGCTCTTTCCCGGTAGACGTCACCTGCTGGCCCACCCGCTCAACTGCTTGATAGACCGCATAGTCCAGACGGGAGAACACATTCTGGAGACATTTGCTCGTCGCATACCGTCCTCCAGCCTAATTTCTGGAGATCGCGAAATCGCGAAATCGCCATGGCATACACATCAGTACCCTCCGACAACCCACCAGACTACATCCAGTCCGCCCGGGAACATGGCCTCCGCCTGAGGCAGAGCGCCCCGGTCAAAAAGGGGCCGCTCCCCTTCGAACTGCCCATCATCAGCCATCTCAAGGGCAAGAGAGTCATTCTCGCCTCGGCCTCGCCAAGGAGGAAAGCACTCCTGGCACAGGTAAGCCAGACCCATTGCTCCCCGGCTTGAAGCTGGAACATCCTCCGTGCTGACCAGCTCTTGCCCACAGGTCGGCCTTAAGGACCTCGAGATCCTCCCCTCCACAAAACCTGAAGACCTCTCCAAGAAAGAATACACCCCCCACGAGTACGTCTCGGCAACGGCCCGCCAAAAGTGCCTGGACGTCTACGAGTCCGCCGTCAGGACGCAGGCGGAGCTGGCCGAGTCCAAGGCCGAGACCCCCGCCGACCCGGAGCTCGTCATCGCCGCCGACACCGTCATCGTCACCAAGGACGGGCGCATCCTGGAGAAGCCGCGCAGCGAGGCCGACCACGTCCGCATGCTGCGCCACCTGCGCGACACGCGCATGCACAGGGTCCTGACCGCCGTCGTGCGTCGCCCCCAAGGCCGACGCGTCGCACCCGGGCTACGAGATCGCCGCTCACACCGAGGAGACGAGGGTCTTCTTCGCCAGCGAGAACGACGGCCTGCCCGACGACGTCATCGACTCGTACGTGCGCACCCGCGAGGGTGCCGACAAGGCCGGCGGGTACGCCGTGCAGGGGATCGGCGGCCTGGTGCTGATTGAGAAGCTCGAGGGGAGTGTGGACAATGTGGTCGGGCTGCCGGTGCGCAAGACGCTGGCACTGATGGAGAAGGCGATATTCCAGCAAGGTGAGGAAGAGGTCCAGTGGAGCGATGAGGAGGAGGAACGCGGGGAGTGAGGGAGAAGGATTAGGAAAGCGTGATAATGAAGGAGAAGCTCGTTCCAGGCAGATCGCTCAGGTCGACGCGGCGAGTCTCGATGGAGGGCTATCTGTACCATAAGGAACGCCCTCCCAGACTTTGATCCCATCTTGGATCCCACCTCGACCTGCCCTTATCTACCATTCGATTTCACCAAGACTTCTAATGATGGGGGTTGTTGGCGCAGCGGTTTCCGCGTTAGGCTTCGATTGATCTTGTGCCCTTGGAAGCACATCCCCGGCCTGGCAGTTCTGCTGCACAACCACGGGATCTCTAGGACGACAACTGGGAATTGGGACCGCCGGCTTGGAACGAGTAGGTGAAAGAGATCATAGGCCATGTGGGGTCGAGCCGCCGTACTGGTGACGGAATATCCAAAAAGACGCCATAAGAACGTGTAATGTTTTTTTTGCCGGGGGGAGGGGGGAGGCGGGCACGGGGCATTTCTGGATTGTGATCGCATAACCCATGGTCGCTTTTCAACCCAGAGCTCTTGTTCGATTCCTGTGTATGAGAGTGTTTATATCGACTTTTTCTGACATACTCGTAGGATTGCATATGAGAGTATTCAAACTCAATTGATTTCAGGCAAATAAATAGTGAAGGGATTGCCCTTCCTGGGATGAAATCTTAACATCGTGAGCAAACAAGAGGTGGGCTCATTTTCGCATTCGCCCTATCCAAGAGAGTTCCTCCAAGTACGAGAGTTTTGAGATAAGAGCAGGGTATCAAGACTTTTACATTTCTTCTACTGGTACGTATCTACCTGCAGCTTCAGGAAGCGCAGCAGTTCTATCACAGTCATAGGCACATCATCTTTCTGGTCTTTCAATGATGGTATACCCGACACGTTGGCACTTACACTCCCACTATCCACATTCTTGGGCCCAATCACGACAATCGCGCCGTAGCCCTTGGCCTTCGCCTCGCGAACCTTGAGGCCCACACTCCGCGGGCTGTCGTCCAGATCCACCGCCAGCTGTGACGGGTGGCTGACTGAGGTCGGCGCCGCCTCGCCATCGACCAACGGCTCACTGCGGCTGTTTTCCGTGCCCAGGAGAACATCCATGGTGTCCCGCGCCATAGTCACGACGGGCTCCGTGTCGTTGACGGTGATGATAGCCACCTGCCTGGGGTTAAGCCAGAACGGCCACTTGCCATTGTAGTGCTCAATCAGCAGCGCCATCAGCCTCTCCACGGAGCCAAGCACGGCTCTGTGGATCATCACGGGGCGGACTCGGCCCACGACAGCCTGCTTTGCAGGGTCGGAAGAAGTCAGGCCCCTCTGCTCCAGCTCTGGCGCGGGGGCCTCGTACTCGAGCTCGAACCGCTTGGGCAGCTGGAAGTCCAGCTGCACCGTCGCCGTCTGGTGCTCCTTTCCGTCCGAGTCCTTGAGGATGATGTCGATCTTGGGCCCGTAGAACGCCCCGTCGCCCTCGTTGAGCGTCCACGCCTGGCCCGCGTGGTCCAGCGCGCTCTTGAGCGCACCCTCGGCCTGGTCCCACTCCTCCAGGGTGCCGATGTAATGCTCCTGCGGCCGCGTCGACAGCACCAGCCTGTAGGGTCCCAGCTTGAACGTCTCGTACGTCTCGCGTACAAAGTCGAGCGTGCGCCGGATCTCGTCCTCGATCTGCGAGGGGCGGCAGAGATGTGGCCGTCGTCCTGGTGGAAGCGGCGCACGCGCGTGAGGCCGCTCAGGGCGCCCGAGACCTCGTTCCTGTGCAGCGGGGAGAAATCGGCGTAGCGGATGGGCAGGTCGCGGTAGGAGTGGCGGCGGGCGGCGAAGATGAGGCAGTGGCCGGGGCAGTTCATGGGCTTGAGGCCGTACTCGTCCTCCTCCTCGGCAGCTGCCCCATCTTCCAGGACGGAATCGGAAGGAGGATCGCGTCGAGAGGGGGATGTGCTCGTCACGGTGAACATGTCGTCGGCATAGTTCTCGAGATGGCCCGACTTCGCCCACAGGGCCTTCTTGTAGATTGTGGGGGTGATGACCTCCTGGAAGCCATACTTGACGTACTTTCGGCGGAGGAACCCGACAAGGCGATTGAAGATGCGAGCACCGGCGGGCAGGAAGATGGGACTGCCAGGGGAGTAGACCGAGGTGGTGAAGAGCTCTTGTTGCACGGCGAGGTCGCGGTGGTCAGCGGGCGGCTTGGGTAGGGGCGACTGCTTCGGGGGAGGGCAGCTCGCGCACTGCCGTCGCTGTTGACATTGTGGACGTGGTAATGGCACTCTGCGCAAGGCTGGAAGCCGCGCATGTCGAACCGATCGTAAGGACACCCTAGCGACCCGTGTGCCCAGCATGGCGTTGTCAATCCCAGGTCTGGACAGACCCTCGAAGCTCCAAATCCTCCAGGTCCTGCCGGTGCCGACTCAAGCTCGAATCCGGCTGGGTGGGTCCATAGCCCATGCAGATGGACCCCTGTCGGGCCGGCCGCAGGGACCAGCTGACCGGGGAGTGTGACATGGGCGTCCCGCCTCGCCCGACGTCATCCGGAGATAGCCTACCTGGGGAAGTACATTGCCGCCTCTCACCTCGTGCGACGTCGTGAACGGTACGAGTACACGACAACAAAGCACAAATACACCATTTCAACGCGTTCGAATGCAACCAGACATCATCGTGGATCCCTAAATACACCAGAGCAATCGGCAAGGCTGCCTGCTGGACCGTGACTCATCCACACCGACATTTGGCCGCGAACGAGCGACGCGCTGCCTCACATTATCGAGCCCCCGGTCGCGCTTGGAAGATCCGACCAGGCAGCACACCAAAACCGCGTTTCGCCACTCCCGCTACCTTGCGCATCTTTGTACTTCAACGCGACCACTATTGCTAGAATACCGTCGACCTTCAGCGAGTCGCTCGTTGTTCGCAGTTTGATAAATATCAGGTGCAGGCGCAGGCGCTGATACGAAAAGCAGTCAAGCTCAGCGCCTGCGGATATTATTTCTCAGAAAGGGAACTCGAGTTTGCTGTTCCCACGATCTAAGACCTCCCTTCACGACTGGGTCATCAAGGATGAGCAGCTCGAGGTCGAGGAGGCAGGAGATTCCTGTGGAGAGCTCATGGCGTATGGTCGAGGGTGAAAACGACAGCTTCGATGCTTCCATTGTCGCCGATGAGTACCTTGACGATGATACTCCCTTGTCGACCGGGCCATCTCAGTTATCAAATCTGTCACAGCTCTCATCGCAGTCCCGGGGAAACTGGCACATAGGGAGTTCTCAGGACGACAGCACCATTCAGGACTTTATCAGCAAAGCCGACGACGAACGTGTTATTATGAGGTCTCCGTTTCAGCCGTCAGTGCCCGTCGCAGCTAGGAGATCCCCAAGGAACCAGAACCAAAGCCACTCGCCAGATCCAGAGTTCTACATGCCAAGAGTCGACGTGGACAGCCCGCGCCGCGGATCATCAAATGGCTCGTCTCGGACTCTGGTGCCGGCCAACGCACAATCTGTACGGCAGCGTGCGGTGGCAAGGCCGGCTCGTGGGAGTCCCACGAAACGGCGGCAACAACAATATGCGCCTCAAGAGCAACCCCCAACTGTCAGCCAGCGCATGTCTGCGGATCTTCCTCACGCCCTTTACAACATCCTCGCCTGGGCTTTCGGTGTGATCGGTATGGCCTTCCGGTATGCGCAGAAACCGCTTGCTGTCGCACTCGCCATCTACTTCACTTTCGGAGGACTCATAATCGCCCAGAACATGCTCACTCAGTCAATATACACCTCGCTATCGCCAATATGTCGCATACCTGGGGCTTCTTACCTGGACCTACCTTTTTGCCCGCATGGGCCCAACATACCGCACACAGGGGATAAGGCACCCGTGGAGTTTGACGGTCTGATGGACGTCCAAGAACGCTTTGAGGAGGTTCTGGAGAAGAGCGCAAACGGTGTCTCTTTGCCAATGGAAATGAAGCGCTCCGAAGCTTCGATCCGAGATTTGCGCACCTTGGTCCGCTACAGCTCACTCCAGGGCAAAGATGAGCTAGTCCTCGAGTTCGACGGCTTCATTGACACGGCCCGGTCGGCGTCAAACGAGCTACAGAAATTCAACTCTCACGTGGGCTCCGCAGTAGACTCCGTGATTAGTATTAACCGGTGGACGAGTCGCTACCTCGATGGCCTGGTCGCAGACCAAGAAGGCCAAGGTCTGCTGAGCGACTTTACTGCCTGGGTGTTCTCGCCCTTCCAGCCGGCAACCTTCTCCGAGCGGAACCTACTCGACAAGTATGTCGAGCACACGGCTTTGGTGGGCGACAAGATCGCCGATCTGATCATCGAGGCACAGGCGGTTTTGAAGACCCTGAACCAGGCGGAGAATCACCTGGGGATCATTTACGACTTCGTCACGCGCACGCAGGAGACGGTCCAGTCCCGCAAGGATGACGTCCTCTGGACCATCTGGACGCTGGTCGGGGCCAATTACCGCCGGATCTCCAAGCTCAACTCGCAGCTCTCCCTCCTGCGCCGCGTGGACTCGCAGAGGAGCGACGCCGTCAAGCAGGTGTCGGAGCTGATCGTGGAGCTGGAGAAGATCCAGGCCGGGCTGGACGACCTGCGCGATAGGGTCGCGGAGCCCGAGGTGGCGGCAGCTTCGCCCAAGGGGCCGATGCCCCTCAGTGTGCACATCGAGACGATCGACCGCGGCGTCGAGAGGCTCGAGCACGCGAGGAGCCGGATCAGGGCGATTGAGAATGACCGAATCCACGAGGTGCTGGCCAGGGGGAAGATCGAGGAACGCCTGATAGAATCGACATGAAGATTGGGCGAAAAGAGATGTCTTCTAACGAATCTTTTTGGAAAATCCATCACTGAGACCATGAAACATAGAGCCACGGCGGTTGGAAACAGGGCGTTTGAACGGAAGGAGTCATTGTACTTTACTGGATGATATGGATTCACAGAACCAGCCTGCGTCATTGTAGCTTGCTTTCTTGACTTCTGCAGATATTGGTAGCGAATACATGATACCCCAGGCCTTACTGTGTGCCTCGTCACTGGAACCCTAGTATCACTTTTCAGACTTTGAGTTATTTGGGCATCGCATTACCCCAGACCTTCAGTGGGTACACAGTTCGGCGCACCGACTGCGCCGCTGATGCCTGTGGAAAGATGAGCTTCTCACATGCTAGGGAAAGACGTGCAAACTTTCACATGAATTCATCCCACATGTGACTTCGTTCTTCTTCAATAGTGCTTCTTGATTTCGATAGTAAATAACAAACAGAACCGGCTCTTGTGTGAATGGTTTTGATGACTTGTAATATAATGTGCAGAGCTGTTCCAGGTCATATTGGCCAGATCACAATCAAGCGCTCGAGATTTTGGGCTTCCAAAAGGGCCAACACAGTGTGATCTTGACTTTCGCTTTTGTCATTATGATAGCCTGATCGATAGACTGGTTTGGGAGCTATCGTACACCGATATATTGGCGAACTCATTGCACCTCAGGATATATGGTCTTTTCGATGAATACGGAGATTTGCACCTGCAAAACAGAGGGTACACCAGTATATCAACTCATACCATAGCCATTGCCAATCAAAGTCCATCACCTAGGCCTAAGTTGTTTACTTGCACCCAATACCCATACACCTAAGTTGAATTAGGCATATAAATTGGGTATATAAGTTGGGGGTATGAGTGTTGGGTGTATTGGTGTTAGGTATATGGGTGAGGTGGTGATGTACCGGTGTACCCTCCGTTTTTGCAGGTGCGAATCTCCGTATTCTTTTCGATTATGTGCTGCTTGTTCTCCCTAGTTTCAGATCACCGAGCGCATGTCATAATGCAATGCGAGGTGTGTGCCGCGAGATCGGATGCGCAATAATAGTGTGAAGCAGATCTGCCAAAGTTTTCACATCGGTTAAGGAGCCAATAAATGGTTGCGATTTTACCCAACTGCCTTGTCATGATTATATGGGCTTTCTCTCTCAGGAACTTGTCTGTACGGAATCAAGAAGCAAGGTAAGCATCAAGTGAGCACTAAGCGACATTCTAAATGTAAATGGTGAGAACAGTTCAGTACCTATGCAACGTCTTGACCGTGACGCTGAGCGAGCCTTTTGACGCATCTGTCCCTCACCTCGAAAGTATCAAAGACGCCGATCACTGCGGCAAAGCATTGGCCAGATATACGTACCCCCTGTCTATCCTGTGGTAGGTCCGTCGTCTCCAAAGAGCCCAATCCAAGACTTGACATGTGCCCAGTCCCACTCCGCTCAATCGCCCAGACCTCTCGGCACGTAAGCGAAGGAATGTAACGCAAGACTACTAACTCTGAGTGGACAACGTAGGATAGGAAACTTAAAACTGGCAAGTCCCCACATGTTGAATGTCTAGATGTGCGAACATGCAACATGTGGGGGACCAGAGGCTGAAATGGTCTTGACGTCGTTAGTAACGATATACTTGAAAGCGTAAGCAACGATATGCTTGAAAGCAATTGGAGCCGAGATCCCTATCCTTATCCACCTCATATGAGACCCCGAATAATATTTGTCTTACTATTCATCGTTTCATAAGGATCCGGCTGTGTAAAATATCTTGAGCTTTATTTGAGGGAGCAGACTAGTACTTGACAACATTAAAACCATCTCTTTTGGATCTAGTTTGTCTTTATTTATCGGGATGTACCGTTGATCCCTCAAAGGGGGTGTATATCAGCATTAGTTGGCACCTCCTTTTAGACAGCCTCGAGCTATTTGGACGGTACGTATCCACGACTCCGGAAAACCGGCATCGTACAGGACACAGCCCTCTTACAACACGGACCTCAGCTCGGATGTTTAAACGGCACGGATTACTTAATGCAGTGGGTCGTCAGGAATCTTTTATCATCCTGCATGTTGTCTCACCGATATCCGACGTGTGCATTCTCACCTGCTGAACATTTATCCTCTTGTTGCCTTCTTTTTCCTTCTTCGTTTCTTCACAGCGGCGACGAGGACCTCACCCAACAACACCGGCCAGTTCTCGGACATGTTCGAGGAGCTGATCCTGCCGTACATCAAGATCTGGCTCCGGGACTGGTGGCACCATCGCCAGTCTGCCGCGAAGCCGACGTCCCACCGCCGCTCGCTGTCGGCCGTCGTCGCCGACGACCCGGCCGAGGCCCCCTGCCTCCGGCGCGTGAGGGACCAGGCCGACCTGGAGCCGTACAACGTGCAGGACGACATTTCGGGGATGGCAATCCAGTTTGGACACTTGGCACTGTTCGCTCCGGCCTGGCCGCTGGTATCAGTTGGGTTTCTCATCAACGACTGGATCGAGCTGCGCTCCGACTTCCTCAAGCTGTGCACGCAGCACCAGCGTCCGCACCCGGTGCGCACCGACGGCATCGGGTCGTGGATCGACGCCCTCGACGCCCTCGACACCCTCGCGTGGCTGGGCAGCATCTCGACGGCGGCCATCGTGCACATGTTCTCGGGCGGCGGCGGCGGCAGCTTCGAGGGCAAGCCCGCCTCGTGGCTGGGCCTGCTGGCGACCATCTTCGTCAGCGAGCACATCTACATCCTGCTGCGCGTGCTGGTCCACTCGGTCCTGCAGCGCGTTGTCGGCAGCAAGCAACTGCGGCGCGAGAAGGACGAGCGCTACGCCTTCCGCAAGGGGCACCTCGACGAGCTCGAGGCCCAGAGCAGGATGCGCGACGCCCTCCTGCTCAGCGCCGGCGGCCACGTCGAGCTGCGCCGCAAGAGGAGCGATGCGCGCATGGCTGATCTGGACAAGTTCTGGGCCAAGCAGGCACTCGATGGTAAGAGCGAGGAGGTCGGCGCGGCCTTGATACGTGCTGCTCGGACCGCCGGGGACAAGGCCGACGGCGAGGTGAAGAAGGACTGAGCTGTCTGTGGCCAAGACTCGATGATACTGCGAGGGCAGGCCGCTGAGCGGGCGTAGTCCACTGGCTGCAGAAAACATCGCATGGGTATACTTGCGAGAACAGAAGCTTCTCTGGGTAATCTTCTCGTTAAACACGAAAGACCGCTATTGATCAGTCCATATCAGCTAAACGCTCAATTTGAAAATCAGCCTATGTGCTTTCCCAGATATTCCTGGAACCTTTCGCGTGTCTGTCACCTGTGAAGCAAGCGCAGGGTGGCTCGACTGGTATGAAGCCATCGCAAACGGACATGAAATATACCTTACTTCGGTGGCCTTCGTTCCAAGCAACGCGCCGAGTAGCAAGCAGCTCAGACGCCATTTGAGACTGCACGCGACGCTGGCAGCGAAGGGAACCAGCCATGTGTTTGTGGCGTGTTATTAGTGAGAATCCGAGAATGATGTATCAACCAAACCTGGGGCTTCTTTGATGGTGGCCAAAGACGGCCGAATTATTATGTATACGACCTAGTATGGCCCTACTAGATCTAATAGATCTAGCTGAGCATATAACCAATCTCTCATTCTAGTTTGCAGCGCCCTTGGCTTAGATCCAGCGCGATATTAGAAACTCTACTCCACCGGCTCCCAGATAGAAAGTCCGACCGTGCCTCATTTCTCGTCTTCAGAAAAAGAGGGCCTGCTCTTCCTTCTCTCTTTTCCTCGCAGAATCAAACACAGGAAACCGCCCGCGCGAAAAAAAAAAAAAAAAAAAAAAGGAGGGGGGACGGCAATCAGTAGACGAAATAGCCCTGAGTGAGCGGCAGTGTCTCGCTGGGTTCGGCCTCGCAGGCCTGCCCGTCCGCCTCGACTGTGTAGCTCTCCGGGTCGACGCGCATGCGCGGCATGGCGTCATTGTACCGCATGTCCTTCTTGCCGACGGACCTGCAGCCCCTGACGGGCTCGACGCGCTTGCGCAAGTTGTACGTCTGCACGACGCCGTGCTCGATGGACGCCTGCGACACGAACAGCACTGATGTCGCGGGCACCAGTGGCGCGTACATCGGCCGCGCGACGATGGGCTGGACTGTCGGGATGGAGGCGTTGGGATCGCCCTGGTTGGAATTATGTGTTAGCTTGGCTATGGCCACACACAGGGTGGAGGGCAGACAGAAGTAACATGAGAGACGGTAAATATGTGATAAAGCAAAGAGACTCACCATCATTGCCCACGACACTAACCCACTCTTAATCACCAGGTTAGGCTTCGTGCCGAACCATGCCGGATCCCAGACCAACAGATCCGCCAACTTGCCGACCTCGACACTGCCCACGAGGTGTCCCATCCCCTGCGCGAGCGCCGGGTTGATGGTGTACTTGCTGACATACCTCTTGACGCGGAAGTTGTCCGCGCCCGTCCCCTCGTCCTCGGGTAGGTGGCCACGCTGCACCTTGTTCTTGTGCGCCGTGTTCCACGTGCGCAGGATGACCTCGCCGCAGCGGCCCATAGCCTGCGAGTCGGAGGACATCATGCTGATGGCGCCGAGGTCATGCAGCACGTCCTCGGCGGCGATGGTCTCGGCGCGGATACGCGACTCGGCAAACGCCACGTCCTCGGGGATGTTCTTTGACAGGTGGTGGCACACCATCAGCATGTCCAAATGCTCGTCCAGCGTGTTCCGCGTGTACGGCCGCGTGGGGTTCGTGCTGCTGGGCAGCACATTTGGGTGCTCCACCACGCTGATGATGTCAGGCGCGTGCCCACCGCCCGCGCCCTCAGTGTGGTACGTGTGGATGGTCCGCCCTTTGAACGCGGCGATTGTGCTCTCAACGAATCCGGACTCGTTGAGGGTGTCTGTGTGTATTAGGCACTGCACGTCCAGCTCGTCACACACGCTGAGGCAGGCGTCGATGGCCGCGGGCGTGCTGCCCCAGTCCTCGTGAAGCTTGAGCCCGCATGCGCCGGCAATGATTTGTTCGCGCAGGGCTTTTGGGTCGCTGTCATTGCCCTTACCGGTGATGCCGATATTGACCGGGACGGTGTCGCATGCCTGAAGCATCTGGCGCATGTAATTAGCGCCGGGGGTGCATGTTGTCGCAGATGTGCCAGCACTGCCATCCCAGGTTAGAACGTGAGACCCCAAAATAAAGGTTCCTGCGCCGGAACGGATATTGAAAGACTGACCTTGGCCCCGTGCCACCGCCCAACATGGTCGTGATACCACTTGCAATGGCCTCGTCCGCCTGCTGCGGGCAGATGAAGTGAATATGTGTATCAATGCCACCAGCGGTGATGATCTTGCCCTCTCCAGCAACGACATCTGTGCAGCTGCCTACCACCATGCCTGGCGTCACACCTTCCATGACATCTGGGTTGCCTGCCTTGCCAATGCCCACGATCAGCCCATCCTTTACGCCAATGTCTGCCTTATATATTCCTGTCCAGTCCACGATCAGCGCGTTGGTGACAACTAGATCCAGCGTCCTCGAGTCTGGCCGTCCGGTAGCCTGTCCCATGCCTTCGCGGAGCGTCTTGCCGCCGCCAAATTTGCACTCATCACCGTAGACCGTGAAATCCTTTTCGACCTTGACCCACAAATCCGTCATGCCCAGCCTCACAAAATCCCCAGTCGTCGGTCCAAACATGGCGGCATACGCGGCTCGGCTCATCTTGAAGCCTTCAGCGCTGAGCGACGAGTCAGCGTCCGGCTGAGGGGTGTGCGCGAACCCGGCCTGCTGCAGCTTCGTCACGATCTCGTCCTTGCGGGAGGCGCTCACCACCCCCTTGGCGATGCCGTTGCCGCCCTGGATGATGCGGTTCCCCGCGATCTCGACGAGGGTCACGGTCTTGGTGTCGCCGGGTTCGAACCTGACGCTCGTACCAGCGGCAATGTCCAGGCGATACCCATAGGCCTTGCTGCGGTCAAAGTCGAGCTGCGGGTTTGTCTCGGTGAAGTGGTAGTGGCTGCCGACCTGGATAGGCCTGTCCCCCCTGCTGGTGACCCTGAGGCGCACCCTCCTGCGGCCGCTGTTGCACTCGACATGGGTCTTGAGCGGCACAACGGCGCCGGGCTGGCGCGCAGGCTCGAAGTCCTCGGTACGAGGCAGAGAGAACAGATCCGCGTTAGGGATGGGCAGGAATGAGCCGTAGAGCGCGCGAGCAAGATCGCCATCGTCACTGGAGATGGGATTGTGGACCGTCACCAGATATGTGCCTGATGGAAAGGTGCCCTCGACCTGGATCTCGTGCAGGGTGGCCAGCACGGACGGCAGGACATGGCGACGGCCCAGCATAGTCGCGCCGAGGGACATGAGGTCGGCGACACTGTGGTTGCCATCGCGGATCAGCTCCTGCAAGTTGTTGGCGATGAGGGCCTGTGGGTGGGCGTTAGCCAGTTAAGCATGTACATGTTGGTGGGCAATGAGAGGCCCGGCCCTGTGAGCAGGGAGGCCGTAGCGGATCAAGGAAGCTTACAGTGGCCTCGGAATGGTTCAGCTTGACACCTCTGGCGAGACGCCGCTGGGCGAGAGAGCCCAGCTGCGAGATTGCGAGCTTATCAAGCTGGCGATGGGGAGTGTATGGTTAGCATATCCGGGCCTGTTGGGGGAGAAAGAGCTGCGAGCCAAAATATGTGAGGGAGCATCGGAGAGGCTGCGGGTCAAAGCAAAAGCTTGACTAGGCAAGCCGAGCAGGACGCGCACCGCACATCAACGGCACGGCACTGCACTGCACAGCACTGCACGGCATCACATGGCTCCAGAGGAGATGGACAGCAGCACTCACCTCTTTTGGGGCAAGATGCATCTTGCCTGCTTTGGTGACAGTCTCGTCTTCACACACCCGTCGTCACGGAGCCAGGAGCAAGCAAGTGTCATGGAATATTCATATGGGGTCCGGTGGTATAATAAACAGCCAGGGCGGCCGGGGTCAAAAGGGAAGGGGGTGGGATCTCGGTGCAGCGTCGCGGAACGAGGTGTACGGATACGAGTGAGTAATAAAAAGAAGTCAAGCCAACGTCTCGGGAGCTGCCACTGGGCTTGTCTGGTCTGGGATGGGCTGGGCTGGGCTGAGCCGTGCCGGACTTGGGCTGGGCTGCGTGGCCCTGGGGATAAAGGCAGTAAGCAAGCAGGCGACCTTGATAGATGGAGGGGAGACCGAGATAGACAGCTCGGTGCTCGCTGGGTGCTGGTGCTGGTGCTGGTGCTCATGCTGATGGGTGGATGATGCAGTCTAGCCTCTGACCTGTCAGGCCTGTACCGCATCCTGCAGTCATTACCCCGCAATAAAGGGAGGGAGGGACACACAGACACACAGACAGATAGATTGGACACTGGACGATCGAAGCCACGAACTGTAAACAAAACTTCTTCCTCCCAAGGTTGTTTCGCTCCCCAGGGGCCCTGGACTGATAAGAAGCCCCGCCATCCTTGCCCCTCCCCCCCTCCACCACCAAAAAATCCCAACCCCATCCCGGGTCCCGCGACTCGACCCGCTGGCTGCCATGCATGGTGCCACGATGCAACGGCTATCGCCCTGATGAACAACCACGCCCTCCCTCCTCTGCTCACCCACTCCACGCGTCCGAGCCCTGACACCTGCAGCAGGTCGGATCCGGATGTGCGACTGCCTGCTCCGATGGACCTGGGTCTGCCTTAGTCCTGGAGACGAGCTGTGATACATCATCTTCTCCCCAGTCAACCCAGCGTGCGCCATCTGGCTCGTCACCGCACAATGGCGCTTTCCGATGCTCGGTGCTACTGTGCGTCGAGTAGACAAGCCGTACCGTGTTTCCGCGAGTCTTGAGATATCGACCCGGCAGCATCGGACATGAGCCAGGCATCAAACATTGATGCCGAAGGCTCCTGTCGAGCCGACACATGCTGGATCAGGGGCCTTTCTGTCCTGTGAGGTGCCGCATACCGCCGTCGTAAATAGATTAATGTCCAGGGGGACCTCCCCGACCCCGCCTAGGTAACCCGTAGATACAGGACGTGACTTTCGAGGACAGCTCCCCCAAGCTACACCAGCTGCCTCCTAGGACAGGGGCGATGACGCCCACTCGTTGGCACCGGGACAACAAGGAACCCAGCCTGCACGTAGCTCGATCGCTCGGATACGCCCCGTGCAAGTACGCAAGCAGGGACGTTAGGCGACGACGCCCTAGGTGCTGTACGATTAACATGTGGCCAATGCCAAGGGTGACACCGGGCCCCGAATCCAGGCCACTCCCGTACCACTCCGCCGGAGAGTTTGGCCCAGTACCGGGATGCCGTTGCACCCCGTACGACGGTCAGAGCCCACAACGTCCAGTGGCCTCGAGAGGAGGTGCCGCCGTCTCATCTCGTCCCATCTCTTGAGCTGCCGCTTGCGGTCGAGGCAAGGCTCGTACATGCACAGCTACCTGGGCCCGAGAGGAGGAGGTGGCTGACCTATGTGCACTGCACTATATATATATATACATATATCATATTCAATTGCTTACAAAATACTCTGTCATTTGTCCCACTATGACAATTATTGTTGCTCTGGCTTAGTAGAGCAACTCAAAGGATAGAAATAGTCTATATATGTCATATTCTGTTCTACACAAGACCATCATCTCAGATGCAGAAGCTCCTGCACTGGTGGCTGTCTTATCAGATCAGCTGCCTTGGTCCAGTCTTTACCAGTTGGCAAAAGTCTACAGCTTGCTTGGGGCAATTTGTCTCGATGCCAGTGATCACTGCACATTTAGGTATTTGGGCGCCTGGGCGTTATGCATTCTTCAAGTGTTCATGAATTGTTATCATCCTTTCATGTACCAGCCTGCCCCTAGAAAATCAGAGCCGGCAATAAATAGTTACACAATCAAAAACCATACAGCAGAGCCAGTAACGTAAACCACGCCGTTGCCCTGTCCTGACCTGTTCTGTACGCCCCTCCTGCCAAACACCACGCGCAGACCGACTCCATCCAGATGTTGTGCCCGGAACCATAAAGAAATAGGGCAACAGAGAATTCATGTCAAGGCTCTCTGTTGCAACCACACGGTTTGGATCCGCATCTTCTTCGTGGTCATGCAAAACATGCAACGCAGGCAAACTGGGACAAAACAAGAGACCTCTCCACAAGAGCCGCCAGGTATACTTCCCTTGTCTCAGTCCCACAACTGTAGGATCCCACCAGGCCCCAGATCTCCTGGAGACGAGACGAGACAGAAAAGTTGTTGTTTGTGCGCTTGCACCAGGTGGAGCCAAGCCGGTTCGGCAGGGCTTTGCACATGACCGTCACCCACAGCTGGCAAAGTGAGACAGCCCGTTGAGCTCGACAGGTGTGGCAAGATGTTTCGTACTTTTGTGTCGGGGAGAGGGGGGTTCCGGGCCGGATGTCGAAATTTCTCTCGGGACTTGGGACTGAAAAAAAAACAAGACGAGAGCCGCACCGAAAAGAAGAGGTATCATCGTTGGATTTGGAAGAGGGCCGGATCGATGGCGTGTGAATCAAGGAATGGGGCCGCCTAACCGCTCTTAGCCTTCTTGCGTCCCGATTTCTTGGGTTCATCCTTCTCAGGCTGCTCTACCGGCTTAGCAGACGCCCTCTTGCGCTTCTTGTCGGGGCTGGCCGCCGGGGTCGCCGCCGCCTGCTGAGCGGGGGTAGCCACGGTAGGCTCAGCCTCACTCTTGCGCTTGCGGGACGCCTTTGGTTTGGTTGCTTTGGTGGTACTGGCGGGCTCCTCAACGATGGGCTCCGGGGCGGGCGCGCTCTGCTGCAACTGTTCGGCAATAGCGGCCTGGTCGTTGGCATGATTGGCGTCACCACCACCGAGAGGAGGCATGGGGATGCTGAACTCCTCGGCATACTCCATCGCCTCATCGTCGGTCATGTTCTTGGCGTTCAGGTTGCCAGCCTTGTATGATGCCACCCGGGCATTGTACAGGCGCAGGTTGTACTGATAGGCCGAGTTCCAACCCTAATGCGATCTGTTAGTGACTGAGAATGACAATGAGGGGTGGATACTGACCAGTTTCTCTTGGGCAGACATGGAGCCCCACCGACGCTGTCCCTCATCCTGCACAGCACCCTTGGGGACGCTGTCACCAAGGTCGGCAGCGATGATGGGGCGGGCGGTCTGCATGTACAGGAAGTAGGGGGTCAAGGGACGCTTGGGCGCGTTGGGGTCATGCTGGCGCTTCTTGCGCTCCTTCTTCTCCTCCACGACGGGGACGGGAGCAGGTACGGGATTTGGGATACCGGTAACCTGAGGCAGCGACTGCGACGTAAACAAATCGGCAATGTCCGCAAGACCGGCATCATCCTCAAGGGGCTCCCCAATCAGCAGGTTGGTCTGGCGGAGGAAGTCCGTATTCGTAGAACGGATGAACTCCTGGATGGTAGCCAGACGATGATAAACCTGTGGTCATATTAGCATGAAGTACTGAGTGAATGTTGTGGTAGTGCCGCCATGGCGATGAGATCCGAGGAGCAAGAGGCAAACTGTTGGATGTTGCAGTTGCAGCCTCGGGGTGCGAGCTCAGTTGTAGGACAATTGGTGTGGCATCATTTCGACCAACGCGACGCGCGCCAATGACATGACGCGACGCACTCATGTAAACAATGCAGCCAGGGTGTGAGAAGGTGGAGGTGGTGGTGGATGCGGATAGATTGGCTTGTGATCACGTGAAACAGGACCGATTTCTCGAGGTGCATTGTGAATTACATGTGCATTTGGGCGATGGATTAAGGGTGGTACAAGACGGGCATTTTTGGTGTGATAGCTTGTCCGTTGGGTTTTGGGAGTTCTGTGAGAAATCCCTTTGGAACGGAACGGGCCTGGGTGGAGGGTCAAAAGCAGGCCAGGCAGGCGGTGATGGACCATGCCGGCTCGCTTGTGAAAAGGGCTGTGGTGGTCGGGTTGGGAGCCAGGCAGGTTGGTGCCGAAGCGGGTGAGAAACGGGCAGAGCCAAGTGGTGGTGAATATTGGCGATAGTAGTGGTGGCAGGCAGGCGCGCGGGCCATGGGCATGGTGCAGCGGCAGAGGAGGGTTGGGGTGCTGGCACTTACAGAGTTCCTCACTTTGATGAAGTTATCAACATCGATGACTCTGCCCTGCAGGTTGCTGCCGACCAGGTTGGGCTGCTGGGGTTGCTGCTGCGGCTGCTGGGGAGCGGCAATGGGCACGGGCTGAGGGACGGCCGGGGCCAGCTGCTTCTCCTCGACCTTCTTGGGGCGCGCCATTTTTGATGTGGTGGTTTTGGTGGTTTGGCGGTTTGGGCAGTTGATCTGGCTGCGGGCTGCAGCGGGTGGGCTGCAGAGTTGGTGGTTTGGTGGTGAATGGAAAGCGCTGGTGCTGGCGCGGTGGAGTGGTGGGCCAGGCGCAGGGTGCAGCTGGTGTGGTGGTGTCTTCGGTCTGATGCTCTAGTGATAATTGCTTCAGTACGCGGTGGGTGGAAATGCCCTGGGAAGCCTGGAGGTTTAGAGGATGAAAGAGAGAGGAGGGGGAAATGGAAGCGACAGGCCAAGGTGGGCGGGGGACGGTTTATTGGAAATTTGGGGGACCCCAGAGCTGCTGGCTGATTTGGAGCGTGTGCAGCTTTGGGACGGCGCAGGAGTCCGCCGGTGCAGGTGCAGGTGCAGGCGCAGGCGCACCGCACCATCTGCACCCACACTCGCGCCTGCACTTCTACACTGGGCATTTTCCTGTGAGCAACGGGCGACGGGCAGCCGGCCGACCAAAGTCTCTAACCTGCCCAGGTACCCGCGCCCACAGCGAAGGACAGCAGGCAAGGCCAGGCAGGGAAGGCAACGAGGTGTGGGAACTGACTGGACTCCCCAAGCAGCAGCAAGCTTCGAGCCAGCCATCAGCTCTGCTTCCTCCCCAGTCCCCTCAGGCTGCCCACGCCTGGGCACTGACTGAGGTCATCCATTCTTTTGCCCTCGCCCTCGCCCTGCCTGGCTGCCTGACCTGATTGTCCTCCCCAACCCAACCCGGTCTGTTCCCTTCCTACAGCCCACCCACCGTGGAACGATGCGCCTCTGCTGCCACCGTATTCTACTGCGCTACACTGCACTCACTGCTGTGCCCTGGGCCGGCCTGCAATGCCTACGAGAATCCGGATCAGAAAGGCCTCCTTTTCTCCCTTCTGGGTCCGGTTCCAATTCCAATGCTGCACAGGTAGAAGACCCTCCGAGTTCGGGCTTCAGCGCCGCCTGTAATCGCCCTGCACCTACACCTCCCTGCCTCTCGACCTCTGTCTCCGTTGGACCTACCAGCTCTGCCAGCAACCCGCGTACGCACCATCCCTCGAGCCAGCACTTTGCTCGATGCTGTTTCATCCAGCAATCCAGCAATCCAGCTGCTTCTGTTGCTGCATCTGCATTGCTTTCTACATGTACAATACTTACTTTGAGGATATCTCATGTTCTGACTGCCTGAGAGTAATGTTCATGAAAGTCTTCACGAAGTCACCATAGCCCCAGCGTCTTCGCAGGTGGTGCGGTGCAGTCAGTCAACGTGGACGCGGTCCTCAATGCAAACTCCGAAACGTTGCGCTCTTTCGACGCAGCGATGTGTGCAACCTGCCAGACATCATCAAATGAGGGGCTGGGGATTCACAAAGAAGCTCGAGCCAATTGTGTGGCTCAGCGCTCTGCTTGGCAGGGGTCGCTGTGGGCGCCAATCTCATAGGTGCTCTGCCCAGGCGCCGAGAGGGGAAGGGAAGAGCTGTCCAGACCAGAGACGGGGAAAGAGGGAGAGCTCCAGGCCCCCTCCCCCAGAGAGGGTGAGACGTGCAAGCACGCTCTGCTCTACTCCCCTCACAGCTCTGCTCTGCTCTGCTCTTCCCTCAGCTTACCCGCCTGCTGCCCGCACAGGCCCTCAAACCTCAGCAACCTCTTGGCGGCCACGGCGGGCACTCCAACTCCCGCATGCCTGCACCGGCCTGGGCTGCTGTGATTTTGGCTTCTGTCAGTTTCGCTGGTCTACTACACCTGCACCGCCCAGTAGATCACTCCGAGTCGTGTCCAAGCTAGCAAGCCGGCCGCCATAACGCGCTCAGCAGAGCTCTCCTGTTCGAGCCAGGCAGAGCTGCCCTAGGGAGGGTATCCGTTTATCCTTTGTAATGAAACTGCTGCACCTTCCGCCTTGCCATCGGCCTGTGCCCTGGATGACCTCAGGAGCCTTGGTAGGCGTACTCTTCCAACTCTTTATGCGAGCGAGCATCACGTTGTTAGATACAACGCGCCTGGCTGCGCAAGCTCCCAGCTTCAGTGCAAGACCTCAAAGCTGTCTTTCTTCGCGACCAATCTACATCCGTCTCCTACGTAACTAAGCTTCCGTCGAGCCCGGATATTCCAGCATGGCGATCACACATCGAGATTTGATTCCATGACATGTCGAGGACAACGCCAGCTCCCGGCCAGGCGAGACGAGACGAGACGCGCCGGGAGCCGTGGTAAGTGGGGACAGGCGATTGTATTCCCCGAGTTCAGTGTGGCCACATCCCCCAGTGTCCATCATTGATCCCAAAACATCAGCATTGTGCCACCAACAACTTACCTTGCCTCGGCCACAGCACCTAGCTGAGACCAGCATGAGCAGTCGCAAGCATTGAACTATCACCTAGCGCCGAACTCCCCTCTCCCCGGGGCTGTACCCGGCCACGAACACTCCTTGGAATCTACGGTGTACCCAAGTTATGCGCTCTAGCAACGTTTGCCTGCTCGCGTGCTTGGATGCCTGCCTGCCTGCCTGCCAGCCTGCCAGAAGATCGAATAACGGGATGATAGAGGTCATCAGGCTGTAGAACCCTTCCACATGCAAGCACGGCACGACGCGCTGGCTAAGCTTCAGCCTGCCTGTATAGACTTCAACGTAGCATGTCGCCGCAATTGGTCTTACCACAGCTTGTTCATATATGGCAAAGCCCAACCAAGTGGAAAGACGTGGGGAATGGCGGAAATCGCGTCAATAACAATATGACACCAGACCGTAGTATCCTCGAAGCCCACGCCCCGAGCTTCATGGAGCGGGAACTCCCGCTGCACAGGCGACACAGGGCTCCTCTGCGGGAAGAACCATCGTACTGGCCAGAAGAAGCAGCAGCAGGCCATTACCCACGAGCGCGCCCACGGGCAAATGGTTCCGCGACCCAGGGTCCAAGCCCAGGGGCTGCCCGCCACCACCACCATGTGGTCCAGGTGGGGTCTCGCGCAACGGCCCGAGGGGTCTTGGGCACGGGAAGATCGTGCTGAAAGACATTCCGCAAACGTCAACTTCTAGGGGTCCTGGACCCGGCACCGGTTAGTCTGCCAAGGTACACTAGGTAATTAATAACAACCGGCAGGGTGTCTGGAGCTCGAGCTTATACGCCCCATGCTTCGCGCGACAAGGCCAGCACCATTGTCGAGCACGCGTGGGGAAGCCTGTTCCCAGCTGCTGCTGCACCCGCAGCTTCTTCAGCGGTCGCGGCATTTCTCCTCCCGGTGATGAAACATGTGCCTGAGCATGCGGCCACACCTCTTGGAGAGCCACAGCACGCTTCGGCCCGTGCCGTCTCGCTTGCCTTTTGTGATGCCGAGTCTTTCCAGGCACCAGGCATGAGTCGCTCCAATGTTATATAGCATAGACAGCCTTGGAGGTAAACGAGGGGACGACCAAAACATTTCGTGGGCAGCCTCGCGGGCCGTTGTCAATATTCAAGCAGCAAGTGCTCTCCTCCAATATAGCACAGGCGATATTTCACGCGGCTATCTAGCCTGAAATGATTCTAAAGCAGCACTTCCGAGTAAACGAGCGTTCCATTCAAAGTGAAACAAGATCTGCCAGTGTGAAGAGCAAGCCGTTCGTTGATAGGTGCGGCTCCTGTGGGTGAACTAAATATGTTGCTGTTCTGCCGCGAGGAGCTATTCTCCCGCGTGAACTATACGAAGGGATTTGAAGACCATCACAGAAGCTATTCGAATACGAGACCCTCCCATGTGTGGAGCTTGGTGTGCACGTAGACAAGCCTCTTGTCAGAAGTTAACATTCGTAATCACTACCGTCTTCGCCCAAGCCAGCTAGAGAGGAATATTTTGCTAGACAGGGCATGGCGAGATACCATTACTAAAAGCAATAAACACTTTTGATGCATTCCTGAGGCCTTACTAGTCAGTCCTATCTAGAGAGCTGAAGCTTGGAGTAACTCGGTGTAGCCTGGGCTCTAGTCTGCCCCTCGATCCGTAGACCTGGAACGAAACCTGCGTGGGAGGTCTTCCACCTAAGAGAACCAGCCCCCGCCACCGCCCTCGCGACGATCATCTCGCTTGTCTCCGCCAAAGAAGTGCTTCGCAGCGCCTTCGATAACGTCTCCGACCAGATTATTGTTGTCATCATCATCACGGCGTCTCCCAGACGAGTTGTCGCCTCCGTAGCCCCCCTCCTGACGGCCACCACCGTAGCCGCCTTCCTGACGACCACCACCGTAGCCTCCTTCCTGTCGGCCGCCCCCGTACTCGTCGCGACGTCCAGAGTCATAGCCGCCTCCTCCTCCATAGCTCTCCTCGCGTCCGGAGGAGCCGTATCCTCCTCCTCCTCCACCATAGCCGCTGGACTCTTGTCGCCCATAACCGCCACCGTAGCCACCGGACTCCTCACGTCGCGAAGAGCTATAGCTTTCAGATTCCTCACGTCGCGAGCCACCGTATCCTCCTCCTCCGCCATAGCTCTGAGTCTCCTCCCGGCGGTAGCTGGAGGTCTCACCCTCCCAGCGCCTCTCCTCATGGTGCTGACGTCCACCGTAGCTCTCCTGAGTTTCCTGATAGCCGTAGCCGTGCTCCCGGCCCCGGCCGTCATCCCTCTGCTCGGTGCGGCGGTACTCCTGCCTCTCGCGTCCGTCGTCATAGCGGGTCTCTGTGTACTCAGCCTGCTCGTAGCGACGACCATCGTCGCTCCGGCCATACTGCCCGACGGACTGGCTGACACCACCGTCATTGTCACGGTGGGGGCGCGACTCATACGAGCTCGAGTTCTTATCGAACGCACCCTCCAGCAGCGACGACACGTTGCCGAGAAGACCGCCGCCCTTGTTGGGCTCATTGGAGTCGGGCAGGTTGACCCTGCCGCCCGTCTGTCCGGAGACGAAGTCGGAGACGCCCGAGGTGACCCCACCAATGATGGCACCTGCGGCCGCGGACGCAATCTTGTCCTCGACGGACTGGTCGCCGCCGCCGCCGAACTGCTTGTGCATGCTCAGCTTGCCAGAGCATCCGTGGCCGTGGCCAGTGTCGTGCACACCCTCTTTGTGGTTCTCCCCGTTCTTAACACCATTGCGGGACAGCTTGCGGCGGTATTCGTCCTTTGCGTCATCGGACATGTCGTTCCACCACTCTTCAACACTGCGGAACATCATCTCACGACCTTCGCGCGCCCCGTCTTGACCCTGGTCGCGCTGGGCAGGGTGGTGCAGGACTCCGTAAATGATGCGGCTGCACACGCGATCAATGTCGGCGCCTTCGTCGTCAATGGCCTCCATAATCTGCGGGACGCTCCATGCGACAACCTTGCTGGCCGTCTTTCCGGCGACTTCATTCAGGATATTGGAGAAGTGATCCTTTGACAGCATGGAGTGGGTGGGATCAGTGCTCTCGTCATCGTTAAAGACGATCAGCTGCTCGTTCTCACTGGACTGAATGATCTCATCAGAGCCGGTACGGAGCTCGTTCTTGACCTGGTTGATGACGGGAACAACGAATGGAGCGATGACCGAGAAGACGAAAACAGAGAGCTGCTCCTCAAGCTGTTCAACAATCTGGGGCAGGACAGGGATCTTCTCGATAGCCTCCGTGACATTCTGGAGGATCTCGTCGTGGAACTCAATCGCCGGCATGACCTGACGGAAGATCTGCTGGACGTAGAGTGTGTACTCCTCAGGATCACGAGGCGAGACGGACATCTGCTCAACCTGGGCAGCACTTGCGTTCTGCTGGATGTTATCCATCTTCGACTTCTTGTCGTCGCCCCCGAAAAGGCCGTCGGGGATCTTGTCCAGTAGGTTGCGCAGAATGCTGGTGTCTGTGTTCTGGCTCTGCTGGAGGGTGCCCTCAAGCTCATCAATCTCGTTCTGGGTGAGCTTGTCGGAAACCTCACCCGTGACGGAGTGCAAGAAGTCGACACCACCGAAGGTACCGGTGACAATTGGGTAGACTTCGTGACGGGCGCCAGGCAGGCGCATCTGGGTATTACGGCCAACATGGGGGAACACATCACGCTCTCCCAACTCAATCAGGGCAAGCTCGCAGTAGTTGCTGTGAGCCAGGTAGTCTGTTGCGATGCGTCAGAGCCAGATCTTGTGACTTCGTGAGGAATGACTGACCTTCCAAGCAGTGGAGTCCGGTACCCAGAAGTCGAAGCGCCTCGTACAGGTCTTCCTTCCTGTTGTCACGCTGGTACCGTCGGCCGAGCTCGATACACTTAGTAAAGAGGCGTCGGACATGCAGAGCACTGGTCATGATGTTCACGTTCTCGTTTGCGATGTAATTCTTCATGCCCGTCTCTTCATCAACGGCCAACTCGACACGCTCGTCGATGGGGCCACGCAGACGACGGTCATATTGACGCGCATCCTCGTTGTCGGCGTAGTTCTTGGGGTTGTCAATGTGGTCTGCGAAAGCTGTCAGCATCTGAATGGGTAAGGCAACACATGAAGTGACTTGGCTGAGTTACCTTCTGGGCGGTAGCAGCCGAGACGATCAGCAGTGACCTCGAACTCGCGAGAACCGTAGCCAAATGTCAAGAAGCCCAAGACGCAGAGTAGAAGGCGTATAGCCTCGGCTGAAACGCTCTTGACCGTGCCGACATCGATGGCTTGGGAATAATCTCTCAACCTAGAGCCATATTAGTGTGAAGAGTGGTAGAGATTTTGCTGTATATCGCTTACCAGTTGCCAAAGTAAGTACGCGAGACCGTCAGCTTGTCGAACTTCTTGCCTCCGACGGCTCGAGCCATAAGAATCTTCAGAAGGGTGTCCTCAATGTCGCCATGACGCCCTGTTAGAAACCGCGATTAGTACCGAGATCGCCCTCTGTGCAATTGGTCTCATGGTGTGCATGCTGGCTTACAGTTCTGGCCCTCGACCTTGGAAATGCCGGCGATGTTTCCAGCACCGAAGGCATGAGCGCGACCGGCAAAGAGGAAGAGAAGGACCATCCCCATCAAGAGGGGGGTCATCTTGAGGGAGGATGACATGGCGGTCTGTAGTCTGTTGTTTCAGGGCACTTGTCAGCTTGGATCTGGTGAACATGCGAGGCTCGGGAGAGCGGCTTTGCGATTGATTGATTGTTTTTGTTCGCGACAAGCTGAGCTGGAGTGGCCGCGAGTGACGATTGACTCGGGTAGGCAATGTCGAAGAAGAGGAGGGCAACGAACCTTGCTGACCGCCTTGTTGCTCAGGCTTGAGTGAGACCACAACGGTGGTGACGAGTTGGGAGCTCTGTGAAGCTCGAGTAGGCAGTGGCGGGGTAATTGCGTCGTTTGCTCGCGATGGGTGTCTTCAACCAGCCTTGGCAAGCAATTCGTTATGATAAAGTTGGTAGATGTGGAAGAACAGAAGAGGAAAAGGGGAAAGGAAGGGAAAAGACACCTTCTCAGGTGTGATCAACTTTGAAGGCGGCGCAGAGGGACTGGGTAGGGAGGAGTGGTCAAACGTGCCAAGACTCCACACAGAGCTCACCTCTTCTGAGCTCGAGTGGGGAGAGGGGCAGTTCCGTGGCAGATGGCGGGGTGCTCTGGGTCGCGTACGTCGTCAGCCAAGAAAAACAGCAGGCCTCTTGCTCAGGGGTCCGTTTCTTTTTCGTCGCATTATTCTCCATGCTACGGTTCAGTCACTGCATGTCCTTGCTCATCAGAGTTACCATTGATCACTAGGTCACCTTTATCTCGTGTCTCTGCTGCGGGCAGTCAGTTGTCGGGATGGACACAGCCCTGCTCGCCGTGGCAGCGACAAGACGGGCCCTTTGCTTGTGACAGCCTTGGCGAGGGGTTCCAAGATCGAGAGCTATGGGGGGAGGCCCTCAGTAGGGCTACATTCATGCTCCAACAAAAACCCAGCTGCGCATCACTCTTGGTAGCTGCCGGTATTGATCTGCAGTCTTCTAGGCCAGTCCTGGCCAGTCGATGGATGGCTCATTTCGTGCTTGTGTTGCAGGGACCTAGTGCAATGGATTCGCGATCAATTCCACAGGATCGAGGAAGACACGCCAGAGCGCAGTACGCCATGCTTTGAGGCCTCACCTCGTCGCAACAAACCTTGCAACCTAACGCATCGTGTGACCTAGCCCATTTCTTTTCTAAGAAGACCACCAACGTGGTGGAATCCCATGAGACAACCTATCGAATGTTATCATAGATCTTGCCGAGTATCCTGTCAAATGCCATGAGATCAACACACTGCGCTGGGCACGTCCCTTACTAGGCATTTGGTCATCCCTTGAGCTGCATCAGGGGCGGGCGCCCTGTGTTTCAGGAGGCCGCCCGGCCCGTTGCACGGCCTCCCACCTTAATTCCTCCTCGATGACTGCAGCTCCTAGAGTTCCTGCCGTGGACGGAGCATGCAGTCTGCTGTGTGTATGCCCTCTCTAAATATATTCAACCGTCGATGGGACCAATCCAGACTCGACTCCTGTAAAGTAGATGTCTCAACTGTACCAGAGCCTCACCAGATGGTCCCATTTCCCGTCACATCAACCTTTCACAACATTGGCGAGGACATCCTCCAGCCCTCTTGAAATCTACGGCCATGGACAGAGTCTACAGTAGCAACTCGCAATGGCGTCGATCTTCGATGCAGTCTCAGCAGACACCAAGGTCCAAGGACGCGGCCTGGCTGTTCTAGCTCTAGATTTCGTTGGTACAAGCGCTGTGGAGTTGAAGTCCGGCCGCAAAAGTTACCAAAAGGAAACATTCCTAGGTACTTTGGTATAGTAGCGCTCAGAGACATAGAGTAGATGCCAGGATTTCTGGGCCATTATCTTTTTGGGAATTCCAAGAGACAACACACACGTGGCTATCCCAGATTTGAACAACCCTACCAGCAGACGTATTCCGGTGGACCCGTACATGACTGTGATTCGAGATTTGGTGTTCTTACGACCATTGCTGCTCTTCAAGCGCTCCGGCTGGCTACTTGGTAAGGATGAAGTTCTAAGGTTCTTGGCATGTTATCTAGGTTTATCACGCTGTGAACACCCTGAATTCAGCAGAAGAAAGGCCTGAAGCTGTTGCATAGGGTACGCGCAAATCTCAATCGACGCAATGTAAGGATGTACTGAATGACTTTTCTGAGACCGTGAGATTAAGCAAGATACTAAGCAGACCAATTATAGAAATTTGGTTGGGGCCTTCAACCATGTTCTCCTTATCCCCCCCCCCCCAAGCCTCCCCTCTCTCTTTTTAATGAACCCCAACGCACGTTCAGCCAGTGTGTCTCCATGCGTAGACCATCAAAGAGAGCTCAGTTCCAATGTTCATTGATTCTGGCTGCCCCCAGACTCCAGATCCTTCACAGCTTTTTCAGACGTACCTTTTTGCGGCACATCAAGTGTAGTGCGCATCACAACCTCCTTCTCCAGAAGGGTGATCAGAAGCGCAAACGCGCTGAAAGCGAGGCAGACATACCATACCAACCTCAAGGCATCATTGTACACATGAACAACCTGCCCCTTGACCGCCTCGGGTAGCGATGACACGTACGTGCGCGAGACGTGCGAGTAGGCATTGCCTCCACCAAGCACATTGCGCGCACCCTCGTCGGTGATGGTGTCCGCCAGTTGGGCAAAGCGGCTGTTGAAAATCGCGGCTGGGATAGCGATGCCCCAGATGCTGCCGAAGGAGCGGAGGTACGCCCACAACGCGCTCGCCGGCACGGCGTCCGATGTTGGCAGTGCGGCCTGGGCGGCGGGGAGGATCGTAGTGATGAGCATTCCGGATCCCCAGCCTGCAATGATCTGGTATATAACTATTTTCGCAAGGGAATACGTCTCATCCAGGTTGATGTATAGTCCCGTGGCGAGGACAATGAGCCCATACGCAATGAGGTGGATCGGCTTGTACCGGCCCCATTTCGAGAGTGCGAACCCCCCAGACACGGCGGCAGGAACGTAGACCAGCACCGACGGAAGCAGGAGGACGCCCGACCGTCCTGTTGACACAAGCAACACGCCCTCGAAATAGAGCGCCAGGAAGTAGAGCCGCCAGAACGTCAATGCGCCCGCGAGGAACGTACTCAGGAACGCGACGGCGGCCGTTCTGTTACCGAACAGACGTGGAGGGATCGTGGGATTCGAGCACCAGGGGCTTGCCTCGTAAGCATGGAAAGCCACCAGGCCTGCAAAACCGACCAGGAGCGGGACGAGAATCCGCCACGATGCCCAAGGATATCTGGTATCTGCCCAGCTCAAGGCGATCAGGATGCTCAGCACACTGCCAATCAACAGCCAGTTTCCGATCCAGTCCACTCTCTTCAGCCCTTGACGTACGGTCATAAGCTTGGGGGCGTCAACATGTAGAAAGAGAAACAGCATTATCAATGCCAGGGCGCCAACGGGCAAGTTTAGCCACTGAAGGTAATAAGATATGTCAATCATCTGTATCACAATAGAAAGCGAAAAGTTGCTTCACGAACAAGCGATGGAAGTGACCTGACAGGACGGGGGGAAAGCATAAATTGGTGGAGTTGCACGTACAAAAACCCAGCGCCAGTTGGTCTGGGATATAGCACCGCCGATGGGAGGACCAACTGCGATTCCCAAACCGAATACACCGAAGATCGCAGCAAGATATTTACCGCGTTCTCTGACAGAGGTCAGGTCTGAGACGATGATATTTCCAAGGACGCCGACACCAGCGCCGCCTAGGCCCTGCACTACACGTCCGGCTGGCCGGCGGAGAGATATATTAACCTTCCTTTTCCAAGCGTCGTTGGTTAGAACAGCCATGGACCTAGGGCTGACGTACCTATAAGCATGGCCATTGAGTCCGCTCCACCAGCTACGCCACTACCAAGCATGAACATCAGGACTGCGAAGAGGGTGGGCCAGCGCCGGCCGAAGACAAACGCGAACTGGCCGAAGAAGGGGATGAAGACCGTGCTAGGTGAAGCATGTAAGCATATTAAAGCCAGAATCAAGCTTGATCCTTGATCAACTCCGAAATTAAATATTTACTGACGCTGTGAGCAAGTATCCGTTCATGATCCAGACATAGTTGTCTCCGGCATCGAGGCCAGCCGCAATCTTAGGCAAGGACGCCGTGGTGACCGTGGACTCGAGTGCAATGAGCAGCGTGGCGAGACATATGGGTGGGAAAATTGCCCAAAACCGCCATCCACGAGACGTGGCAGCCTCGGGTTTTGTCAAGCCGTTCTCTGGTCCAACAGTTTGACGCATATCGTGGCTGTCTTTTTCATGTGCGCTGGTTTCGGCAGGGACTTGCGCATGGCCACCGTTTGGCATTTCAGAATTGGCCATTTTGAGATGTTGATACGATGTTCACTAAACTAAAAGCGAACACAACGCGAACACGGCGAGAATGTTATGAAGTGGGATGCGTGAGACGGGATGTTCCTGACGGACCCGTCCGGAGTCCTCAGAGCTGGATGAGATGGGCATCGCGGGTCAGTAATCTTGGAGCAGACACGTCGAACTGTACATCGGATTCTAGAAATAACACAATTCGCCTTCTATATCAGAGTCCTGCTATCGGTAAGATGGATCGACAGACACACTTTAAGTGGCGCAAACTGAATTTGGGGGCGGCAAATCGGACATCAGACTGCTTAGGCCGGAAATCTTGCGAGCACGCCAGTCGCTTCAGTTCCACGTAGCACACAGATCTGTCAGGATTCCATTCATCCAATGTCCGAATTGATTCTGGCGGCTACTAGCACCCGTCAGCCTCATTAATCTCTGCGCAAGGTCTGCAACGTTCTGCGGCTTTCTGCAACGGTTCTGACGTGAGAATCCAAGATCCACTCCGGCCACTACCCAGGAATCATTCTCTGTCTATCGTGGCCAAATCATTAAGTCGGCAAATCCACAGTAAAACATGAATGGATGGTGCCAACACGGGTTGTTACTGCCTAAATCAATGCTTTTCCCCCCTTTTAATTGACTGAGTAGTATTCCAGAAGGGCAGACCATCCTTGCAATGTATTTTGCTCGTTGTGTGACTGTACATAGATCCCGTGCAGATCTCTGGTATGTACTTTTGGTTTCAGAGGGCCGGAAAACGGACTACGTACGCATATGCGCCCTCATCCGACAGAATCTCTTTACTTTATGCCCATGTACTCAGAGGCCATGTAGAGGACCGTTGTAAATCACATGTGAAGGTAGGTCCGGCTGAGGTCGGGTTCGAAAAGCACTACCTCGCAGCAGGATGCTTCAAGTCCACTTTGATGCAGAGAGGATGATTGCCTAGTAATAGTACTAAACGGTTTTCAGACGACTAAAAGGCAGATGGGCTATTTCTTCGGACCACCCAGAGCACATTTGCGGGCAGAGTGCGGTTGAAGCTACAAGATGAAAGGAAGTAGGTATCGCAACAAGTGGCCCCCAAGCGAGTCCTTCTGTCAGGTACTTCGTATACACGCAACAAGCACTTGAAAGGAAGTCACTTCTGACGTGATGGGATCAACATGGATGCTGACATGAGGCTAAGTCTTTGCCGGCATGAATATTACCAATTATAGCGGCCGCCACAGAAAACAAACAGGGCGGGAGATGTGGCCCATGGCGTAGACTCAATGCGGTGACGATAAGGGATCGAGATCCTTTGAGAAGCCGGAAATTTACCTGATAATTGCCCTGAGTCTGCAGCTGTGCTTTGGAATCATCTGAGATACTGTTGTTTTGAAAGTCATCTGCACCACATCACCAGCGGTAAGCAAGCGGCTCAGGCACGATGGCACTGTCTCTCGAGGTATTAGCCGCGGCGACGACGCCCGGCTGGCGTTCGCTACCCAAGATCTTTGCCCTCGCCGTTTTCCTACTTCTCATCCTCATTGTTGTCTCGAAGCTTCGGAGAGACTTATCTAGTCGGAACTTCAGGACCCAGCACGGATGCAAACCATGCCGCAAGTTCCCTCTGAGGGACCCCATACTGGGGCTAGATTTTATTATCACCAATATCCGGGCCTTTCGAAACCACCGCTTCCTCGAGCTCCTCTCGACCCGGTTTCGCGAGGCCGGGCCGACCTGGGAGGTCCGCGGCTTCCACCGCCGGTCCATCTTCACGGCCGATCCGGAGAACGTCAAGACCCTCCTCTCTCTACAATTCAAGGACTTCACCCTCGGCGGCCGGCAGCGCATAATGGGCCCTCTTCTCGGTCAGGGCGTCTTCGCCAGCGACGGCGAGGAGTGGGCGCACTCCCGGGCGTTGCTCCGGCCCAACTTCGCGAGGGAGCAGGTCGCCGACCTGGGCCTCATCGAGACCCACGTTGCCCGCCTGTTCCGCCTGCTTCCCGGGGACGGCGCCACCGTCGACCTGCAGCCGCTCTTCCACCGCTTTACCCTTGACTCCGCCACTGACTTCCTTTTCGGAAAACCAACCAGTACCCTTATCGACGCAAGGGAGAAGGACCTTGAGTTCGCCAAGGCCTTGCGGTACTCACTCGACCACATGGCGTTCCTCCTCATTGCGGGCCCGCTGCGTCGGTTCTGGAAGGGCGACCCGGAGTTCCGCAAGGCGAACCAGATCTGCCGCTCGTACGTTGACACCTTCGTGGACGAGGTGCTGGCGTACAAGAAGGCCGGGGCGCCGGTTGACACGGTGGTCGAGGAGGGCGGGATCCGGCGGAACTCGTTCCTCAGGGACCTCGCCAGCGCGACGAACGACAAGGGGAAGATCAGGGGTGAGCTGCTCAGCTTGCTGCTTGCCGGGAGGGATACGACCGCCAGCCTGTTGAGCAGCTTGTTCTATCACATTTCGCGGAGGCCGGATGTGTGGGCGAGGCTGAGCGAGGAAGTCGACGCATTAGAGGGCCGGAGGCCGACGTACGCGGAACTGAGGAACCTGACCTATGCGAAGTACTGCATCAACGAGGGCAAGTCATCTAAATTCTGAGGCCCAGACTGCACAGCTAACCATTGTTCAGCATTGCGACTATACCCACCGGTCCCAACCAGCGCAAAAGTCGCCGTCCGTGACACGGTACTCCCTCGCGGCGGCGGCCCGGACGGAGAATCACCAATGTACATCCCGCAAGGCCTCAAGGTCCTCTACTCCACATACTCAATGCACCGCCGCATAGACATATGGGGCGCCGACGCCGACGAGTTCCGGCCTGAGCGGTGGGTTGGCGCGAGGCATGCCTGGGTAAGCTTTCTCGAGACCCAGCCCCCTCCCCCCGTCATGGCAATTTCATGGAGGGCGCCTGGTTTGCTGACACCTCTGATAAAGGAGTATCTCCCCTTCAATGGAGGACCTAGAGCCTGTCTAGGCCAGCAATACGCCATCACGGAGACGCTCTACATTATCACACGATTCGTGCAGGAGTTTCGGAGTATCGAGGCGTGCGACAACTTGCCCTGGACCGAGACGCTGGGCTTGACGGTGACTCCGGCTCATGTTCGGGTCAGTCTTTGCCGGAAGCATTAGGAGGTTGCGAAGATATGTACACGTGTATCAATTGATTCTGCAAGGAGAGATGGCTGTCGGGCAGGACCTACACAGTCTGTATTTAGTTCAGAACAAGTCTAACGTTGGCGCATATAGAGGACTTTATAGATGATGAGACTAGAGCAGTGTTGGGTTGCAGTAGACGAACTCCTCTTTTTCTTCAATTTGCGGGTTTTGCTGTGGTAGGATTCTGTTCCAATGATTGCAAATCATCAGTTGGCGTGAAGTCATCCGTCTGCGTTAGTTGGAGACTGTTTAGGTTTTCTTCACACACAAGACGGAGTCATCATAGAATGACTCATTTCTTCATGTGAATCTTGATGTTCAATTTCTTGCCAGGATCAAGACGATGTAGCTACATAGAACATTTATTTTTCCTGACACACATGTATGTGGCACTGGTCTGGAGTTGAACCCAGCCAGCTGCTCAAGGGGTGTTACATTTCCCCTTGCCAGATCACATGCCCCAGCTCCCTGGTAACTGTGTCTCTCCACTTTCCTTGTGGCGCCCTCTATGTGCACTCCCTCTGTGGTGCTTATCCCTCAAAGCCCAGTATGCACTGCTAGAACCCGATCCATGCCTAGTAACGCCGTCCGATGCTCACTAAATCAGTTGTGGAGATTGCTCCGGGGTATCATGTGGGAACCGGTCCAAAAAAAAAAATTGTCGGAAAGCATAAAACAAAATGAGATTAGAAAAATCCAGGGAACAACGTTCGCGTGGCCCTCTTCCATTTGGGCTGTCCGTCTAGACTGCGAGCGTCATGAAACTCTTCACCAGCCAAGTCACGCATTCGCAGGCGAATTTCGGGTCTTGGGCCTTCGGCTTGACGAGTTGGCACTCGCTGCACGAGGTTGGCTGCGTTGTTGCTGGGACGAAATAGCTTCCTCTTAACGCTCGATTTCCAGGTGCCTGGTAGAGCACGGCCGCTTTCCACGTCCGAGTCGTCCACGATGACGCGGCCGCGCAATTTCCGAATGGCCCTCTCGCGTCGTACCATCGAGTTGGTGACCTTGGGACAAAACCCTTTCGGTAGCATAGAGGCCTTGCACTGCGGGCACAAGGAGCTGTGGCTGCTGAGGAATTCGTCGATGCATTCCGGGTGGAAGATGTGGCCACAGGGAAGTTCGCGGATGATGGTTACCCTATTCTCGTAGTCCTCAGAACATATCGAGCAGGCAGGCTGGTAGTCAGTTGCAGTGCTGGCGGCAGTCATGCCGGTGACGGTAGATTTCGCTGTGGGGCTGGGAAGAGCTTTCTCTGAATATGCCGGTGCAGGGGTGTTCGTGATGGTTTCATCGATTCCCAAGCTGTTATTTCGCACATGGGCTCGTGCCGGTGCCCGCGGCGTTGTTGGCGAGGGTGGCAGGCTATTCGGATTCGGCTCATAATTGTATGTGAAAAGTGGAAACTTTTCGACATGCTCCAGAGGCACCGTCACATGTTTGATGTTCATCGCCTCCAGATTCACCTCGCCGCTCATCACACGCCGTTGGAGCGAAGCCCGGCGCCTGTGTTGTACGTAATGCATGAGACAAGAGATGCCGGCCACAATGAAGAAAAGTGCCGCCACACAGATGAGTATAAAGATCCAGATTGTCGGCAGCGAGTCCGTAGTTGCCACATGAATCTGGGACCATATACGGACATAGTCGTCGGCATCGGGGTTGTACAAGGCAGAGATGTTCTCTCCGTAGGGTACGGAAGTCACATTGCCAGAATAGAGACTCAGCTGGGTCATCATGGAGGAGCCGACGGCTCCCGAGACAGCGTAGATGGGGAATTTGCTGGTGGTCTTCCAGGCGTCGCGGTCCTGGAGGTTCCAAATCTCGTCCTCGACAGGCGGGGGCCGCTCAATGCTATTGTCGGGCATGTAGGTAATCAGGGCGCGGATGGGGTCCAGGCCCGCAGAGGCAAGATATGACCTCGTACAGGTCGCATTGTACCAGGGCACCAGGGCAATCAGGTTGTAATCGGAAGGTGGCAGGTGCGCTTGTCGCACAGCCGTGCTGGGCACATATGCAGACTCGAGTGCCGTGCATGGGTCGCGGGCCTCGAGGTCAGGCACATAGAGCAAGCCTTGAATGACGCCATTGTTCGTCTGGGCGTATCTGGAAGACAGAATGGTAACGTTGTCGTTGATCTCGGCAGAATAGGCTATGTCGCTCTGTAAGACATTAATGAGAGGTCGGGAGCGACGGGCAAGGACGTCTTCGGGGCCGGCAGACGCTGCGTCGGGCTGGGAACGACTCACGGAGAGCGCAGTGATGTTCCTGATGATCGTCGATGGTATGCTATCGGCGCCAGACCAGACGGGGTTGCTGAATAGAAGTCTCGAGGGATGTCAGTATACGAAGCGACCAAGATGAAAAGCCGACAGCGAAAGAGGCCTCTTGTGCCGCTCATGAAGGGTGTGGGATGCGGGCTGGCGGCGTGTCACAAGACTGCCATTGCCCGGTATGCTGGGATGGTGTTGTTGACGTTGACAAGAATGGCTGGGAGGGAACAAAGTAGCACATGCGGGCGAGCGAGGCTTGGTGACATGCTCAGGTGACGAGAAACGTCACCGAAAGCACGATGTCGCCAGCGTCGCTCAGCCTGCATGGCGTGGGACAGGAGGGGGACAAGGACGGAAGGACAGGCAGGGCGAAGGAGGACACGGCAGGGCGAAGGAGGACACGGCAGGGCGAAGGAGGACACGGCAGGGCAGGAGAGGGCCAAGGAATGAAGACACGAGGAAACTCAGTGGAGACGTACACTGCATTTTGGATATCGTCGACGTAGGCTGTGACACGAGAGTCGAGTTAGCACCCAAATATATCCCCGAGCCGAAGAATTGGCAGTCGCATGGCAAATGCATGGCCTGGCATGGCACGGCACGGCGTTGTGGGTGTGCTTGTGCTTTCTGGGGCAATCTGAATCTGGCTTGCTGGGTCGTGCCAAGACGGCTGCCAAGGGACCAAGGCCTGGGGAAAGAACGATCAAAACAACCCCAAGACCACCCAAGAGATTTCCAAGAGTTTTGACGTCTCGGCCCTGGAGTAACCAGAAATGGGACCAGATCGTCTCAGACACGGCCGGGGCAATCAACGACAAGCAATAAGCATCAACCAATTTAAACTTACTGTTGCCCATCATTGTCGACCATCATTGTGCGGGCTGTAGAACCCAAGGCTCGAGGCACGGAGGCATCTAGGACGCGCGAGGGAACAAATGCACAAGAGAGGCGACACCAGGAGCAGGCGAGGTGGTCCGTAATCCACTTGTTGATTGATAAGTATGTGAAAGTGAAGAAGAGAAAAAACGTGGAGCAAGGCCACAACCTTGGAAGAGGCAAGGTATGCAGAGAATGAGGGATGAGTGAGATTAGACCACCCAGAGGTAGACTTCAGCCCGTGTGTGTGTGGTGGGTTGGAGGGGGGGGGTCGTGGCTCAGTTTACGGTTGGTAAAACTGCGGCAGGGCGTGCACGGACAGACTGGCAGGCACAGGCACGAGGAGGCACGGCTCGGGCTGAGGCGAGAACAGGTGTGTGCGACAGAATCCAAGAGGAAGAAGATTTGAGGGGGGGGATGGGAAAGAGCGCGACACTCGTAGGAAATGCCAAGACCTGTCGCCTGTCTGGTCTTTATATGGGCACAAGGGGCACGAGCACCCGGAGAGCAGCAAGGAGTCGGGTGGGCACTGGGCACCCCCACCAGGGAACGGCAGGCCAGGAAAGCCCAGCGTTGCAGGGGGGGTTTCCTACATGGCATCTGGGCTAGCTGCTTCGAGGCGGTCGCTTGTCTTCTTTCCGAGAGAAGTCGTTTCCGTCACCCTGCCCTGCTCCCACTACCCTCCCGCCCTCCTCCTATCATCATGCTCCTTCTCCTCATCCTCAAGCACTCAGCCGGGTTCCCTGCTGCACGAAGCTGCACCTAAGATGCCAGGGAGGCCCCAGCAAGGGCCCACCTGCTGCGCTGTACTGCGCTGCGCTGCGCTGTTCTGTTCTGCGTGTTTGCAATAGTGCAGCGCAGGCGTCAAGGCTGTGCTCGAGGGAGGCACAGCTGACGTCCATCAAATCGGATGCACACCCCGACAGACTTGTCGCTGCTGCTGCCGTTGGTCGGCTGAGCGGCACAATCCCGAGACGTGTGGAATGAATCGGCGGCGGTTTCCGTCAGAGTCAGCATCAAGACACCAGAAAGAGAAGCAGAATCTCAAACAGGCGGCCAGCGCTATCGCAATGCAGCTGTGCATGCTGGTGCGGGTTGGCAGTCCCGGCGGGCCCGATCTCGATTCGGTCATCTCATGCTCGACGCTGGCTTTGGGCCCACAGGTCAACACAACCGTCCACACCACGTCACACCAGCCATGGGCGAATCACTCTAGTTGCCGCCGCTCCAAGATTGCCGAACGTTCATTAGCAGGAAACGAAGCTTTTCTCAAGCTTTCCATCGCCCACATCGCCAAGGACGGGCGCCGTCGTAGGGCGAGCTTCCTTCCCGATACCCTGGTCGTGCCCAACTGGCAAACTGGGGTCCCCCAGGGTGGGTCTGATCTTCTGGCCCCTCTCCCCACGCGCGCGCCTTATTATTCTTGTCCCTATGTGCAAAAGCAGACAAGACCAGACTGTAAAGGCATTCGTTCCTCATTTACTAGTCTACCAGACTATGTGGCGCTCCCACAATTCCGAGGCCAGCTCCAAAGGGGCAACAGACCGCGAAGAGGGACACGGCCAGGTGCTGTTCGAATACCGAGTCGCGTGGCCCCCCCCCCCCAAAAATTTGTCTCAAGATGAGTCTGCCTAATGCTATCGATCATCCCACTGAACTATTCCCAGAGGGATGGCAAAACCCACAGATCCACCAAGTTTCCTCACGAATTCGGTCGGTGGTCCCACTTTCCTAGATACTGAAAGCCTCTCGGTCTGGATGACGTCCGCTGTTGGCAGTTGCGTCCGGCTACCCGGATCCAATGCCAAGTCCGCAGCTGGTGCTAGATGCAGATCTGCTGAAGCTTGGCCCTTTTTTGCCCTCGGCTGTCTCGGACCTTAGAGCCTGAACTTCAGCAGTGTGATTCAGGGATTTTGTCTCACCGAAGGCAGAAGCCAGATTTGACGCGTGCACTCCCTCAGGTCCCATGAACCACCCGAAAAAATTCTGAAACACAGCAAGCCTCGTCACCGTTGATCATCACATCACCTCCGGTCGGTCCTCTTGCCGCATTTTTGCATAGGCAATCGATATTTGCGGAATGCGTGGCCAAGACTTCTGACAGGTGACGTCTGGACCTTCCCGCACGTAGTCGCGGACTTTGGACCCGATTTAACACATGCTCGGCCGCCGGTATTCAAAGCGGGCGACAGCCTGCTTGGGCCCAGATATGATTCCTTTTCTGGCGACCGCATTGGGTAGAATAGTAATGGTACTGAACACATACCCACACTGTATACCTCTTCTACCAAGCAGTTGCTTGCAAGCCGAGGCACACCGAGGGGACACACTCCCAAAAGCTGGACGAGATTCATTACACAAGACGCTTTCTCAAGGGCAAGGAGACCCTGTTAGACGTGTAGAGCCTGGACCACACTGCAACATGCGACATCCCGTCCTCGGATCAACCAGTCGCCGGGTTAGAGCTTGGCGTTTGGAAACATGCATTTCGTAACCCTCTGAGTCGACAGGCCTTACGCGTCCGGATGTCACGGAGCCAGGTAATCTGCTTCGATGCCCACAGCAGTGGTGACGATCACCTCACACATCACATACAGTAATGCACATGAGTAAGATCGAAGGAACTCTAATGCCCATGGACAGTCATGAGTCGACGTGGAGGACGCCTCCCCTCAACCGGTAACGGGACTCGGCACGTAAACTCACGGGTACAGTCACCGAACGCCGTGATATCCGCGGGCCGGCAACACCCTGATCAAGCAGGAGTCAGATCCGGGTCAACGGCACCGGCATCATGCCTCCCAAGTCGCCAACGAGCCCTCTCCAAGCTTGAGAGGAAAAGCTAGACGGGTGCCGGCAGGTCGAGCGCAGCCCCTGCCGGCCACGAAATACGCGGACGCATGGTCGGCAGTAAAATCAATCTGATCATTTGACTGGTAAGGTTCGTTAGTCGAGGCCTAACACTAGCGCAGGGATAGACGTGAGGGCATCCACGGCTTCCACGGTTGAAACTCTCGCGGGTGATGATGAAAACGGTGCTGTCAAATGCCGTCCGAGGCCGTTCGGTCGGAAGTGATGCTCTCTGTCGATCGGCACGTCAGAGACACGTGTACTTTATCGTTTCACAGCACTTTGGCATATATCGCGGTTGTCTACTGAAGAACTCAGTCTATCGTGACCATCCCAGGAGTACTTACGTCGCATATGCTAAAGCTTGGTATAACGTCGCGCCTGCTCATGACGAGCACAGGGTAATGTAACCTTGGTGTTTTTACTGGACCGTCTTGCTCCCCAATCGTGACATGTTGCTCCAACAGTTGTATGACTCTATTCTTAACCGTTCATCGAAGTGTTGGATTTATACTGTGATCTTCCCAGTAGAGTGTTATATGCTCAGAGCTCACAGCAATCATATATATTAAAAACAACGTGAGTTTGTCAACGACTCCAGTCCGACGTAAAAACCTTACTATTTTCATGACATTTAGTCCAGTCTCGTTTGGATAGGACATGTGAAAGTGCCGCTACAGAAAGGGAGAATCTACCTGCCTCATGCTCCGGTCATCATATAATAGACGCCCAGCGCTGTATGTGAACTCTGTCGGTCTTGTTCAACTTAGAACCGGGCACTCTGACGAATCCGCGGAAAGATGACATTAGCAATCGTATTCTTTGCTTCTTTAAGTTAAGCTCAGGTGGAAAAAAATATTGTTAGCAGCACTTAAGTCATCAAGGCACAATTATGGCTCTACGAAGTTCCAGCTGCCAATTTTAGGGCCCTAATAGGTTTCAAGGAACTGAAACCAATGACAGAATTAATGCAATGACAAACAAAATACACAAGCTAGCAGTGTCCAATAAAGAGAACCGCTGGTCACCGTCTCCGCATGACCACATTCCGGGTTATAGCTTTGAGAGAGCTATGTGTTGGCGCAATGTGTGCATAGGTTTGAAGAGTCTGGCTTGAACACCTTATTTTTGGCCATTGAAACGCCTCATAAATCATCAGCCCCCTAGATCCGTCTACATCTAGGCTAGCTGGTGTAACTCTGGATAGCAGGCAGCACCCGTTGAGGCCGTAGACTCTGAGTGATGCTGGCATTTCCGAATACAACACTGAACATTTTCTTATCGCTGGCTTCAAGCCGAATACAAAGCCATGACAGTCAAAGTCTGGAACAATTGAAATAGCAGGATGGGTAGTCCTCAGGTCTTGATGATGATGAGTGTCGCGTTGAGGTCCATGATTTCATCAGTCCGCCATCGAAAGGCGTGGTCTTAGGAAGGAAGCCTGAAGGGACAGGCCTTTTTGGAGTTTGCGATAGCGCGTTCTGGCTATATATGGAGAGCTAGAATTTAATGTCAGTGAGCTGCAGAGGAAAACTAATTACTTCACCGAACTCAATGCTCTCAAAGTACGTTCAATACATCCACAGAGTCATCTACTGCTTATTGACTGGCTTCCTCATCTCCAGGACTTCATCCGCGTATATCATGACAGTTGTCCCCATGACCAACAGCTCAGACTAATGCCCACCAGGAGCCTCTGCCATTATTTCCACCAGCACTAAGGGCCTGTATGATTTGCGGCGCTTGGCTCAAGCATGCATCGCGCAGACCAATCAACACCGCAGTCTTTCATAATAGTAAATTATTTTCCAACCGCTAAGATAAGCATACATATGTTGTGTAAAACTATGAAAAGTAATAGGTCAAGATAGCTTGTTAGTCAATCTCCTTGTGTCTTCGGAGTTGGGCGGACAGTTACTATTTCCATAGCACGGATTATTTCGCATTAGTTTCCAGAAGGCGGTCTGGATATTCTAATTCTAGGTTTGTGTAACCGTAGTACAGTAGCCACAGGTGCTTTCTTAAACATCAAACTGACCACACTGCGCATAGCACACCTAAGACATGTAAAGACAAGCTTTTGTGGATACCCACCATCAGCACATATGTATGTGCCTCAGTTTGGTAATCAGGCCAAGAGAAAATACCTAATCGGAATTACGTGCTTCGCTCTATCAGCACGCCATTTTTGAGCAAAACATCTTCCCTTACCGGAGGATACTGTCAGACCACAATTGTGGAAGCCTTCGCTCGGGGAGAAACAGGAACATATGATTACTGTCTCTTCGTTCGTGGTCGGCACCTCGAGCTCACAAATAAGAAACGCTTCTCTGCACGGGTATACCATCCAAAATGACATCAAGCACAGAAAAGGATCCGCAGCAGACCCTGCAGTCGGTCGAAGGGCATGCTCGAAGCGATGCCGATGCGGCACTTGAGATGCTGCAAGAGCATGGCTCACAGACAGAGATCCTTGACCCTGAGAAACACAGGCAACTTGTCCGGCGTATTGATCTACACATCATGCCCTTGATCTGCATAGTATACTGTGAGTTGGCTCCGACGAGGAAAAATAACAAAAGGCGTCCTTTATTTTGCTAATGCGAGGTCAAGTTCTTCAATACCTTGACAAGATTGCTATATCTTATGCGAGTGTCACTGGCATCAAAGAGTCTGCCCACCTCCAGGGCAATGAATTCAACTGGATAGCGAGCATGTTCTTCTTTGGACAGCTTGCCTTCGAATTCCCCACCATTCGCCTGATCCAACTATTCCCCTTGGCCAAGTACGTCGCTGTAAACGTCGTCATTTGGGGCGGCGTCCTCGCTTGTCTGGCAGCCTGCAAGTCTTTCGCGACTCTCATGGTCTGCCGCGCCATCCTCGGCATGGCAGAAGCTGCCGTCGTGCCGGCATGGGTTGTCTTCACGTCCCAGTGGTATCGCAAGGAGGAGCAGGCTTTCCGCGTCGGCATTTGGTTCTCAATGTGCGGTTTTGCGCAGCTTCTAGGTGGTTGCTTCTCTTACGGAGTCGCCAACCACGTCGGAGGCGACGTGCACGCCGCTCTAAGAGGCTGGCAGGTGATCTTTCTCTTCTTGGGCCTGCTGACTTCCGTGATCGGCATCGTCTTCTGGTTCGTGCTCCCGGATTCGCCTCTCTCGGCCAAATTCCTTTCCGCCGAGGAGAAAGCGCTGCACGCGGAACGCATGCGCGAGAACGAGCAAGGCATCGGCAACCGCATCTTCAAATGGAACCAGTTCTGGGAGGCCATCAAGGACCCCAACACCTGGCTGTACGCCTTCTGGATATTTGCTGCCAACATCCCCAACTCGATAGCAACAAGCTTTGGCAACATTCTTGTCACCGGCATGGGCTACACCAGCAAGGAGAGCTTGCTGCTCGTGACACCCCTTGGTGCGTATGAGATCGTTGTGCTGATCGGCCTCACATACCTCGCGAGCAAGACTGGCCAGCGTTTATGGATCTGCATTGCGGGTCACATACCCTCGATCGTCGGCGCTATCCTAATGGCAACGACCAACAAAGTTCCTGCACTTGTAGGATTCTACCTCAGTGGCGGCATCCCTATCGGCTGGACGACCATCCTCGCGTTGCAAAGTACAAATGTGGCGGGATCGACCAAGAAAATCACCGTCACTTGCATAGGAACCATAGTAAGCACCACGCTTCCCCCTTTACTGCTCCCAGTCTGTCTTGTTTTCAAATGTTCCAGAATGCATCGCTTTGGGACCCGTAGCAGGTGATTAACACATACTAGGCCTACACTGTCGGGAATATCATCTCGCCTCAGACGTTTCAGGCCAAAGACGCCCCCAGGTATATGCCTGCGAAGATATCTATCTGCATTCTTTACGTCTTAATTACAATCGATCTATACCTGATACGTCTATTGGCAGTGAGAGAGAACAAGAAGAGAGATAAGGAGAGAGAAGAGCTGGGAGACAACTATGTGGTAGAGAAGAATCACGAATTCTTAGATCTCACCGATCGAGAGAATAGGGAGTTCAGATATGCGGTATAAAGATCCACAGTGACGTGATATTTCCATAGAAATTGGAAAGGTGAACACCATATGATATGTTACAGGTCACACAGGGAAGGGAAGAGACCCGGGTCAGGTCTTTTTAGGTCGCATTCCTCTTGAGTGTCCCAAGGCATCACGTTTCAATAGAAGTATCGATTAGCAGGAAATTCTCAGTTACTCTACCTAGGTACAAATTTGGAAGTCGCACGCCGTGTCCCTCAACACCCTTACTCTTCAGCACCATTAGTGCGTGGATAATCATACAGTCTCGCGCTGGATTCGCTGTCGGATGCAGAACGCAGAGACGCGTCCATTTCCTCGTCAGAAGACCATCCCGCACGACTGCCACAGGGCTTCGAAATTACCGGATTCTCAAAAGTCAAACCCTCGCACCCTTCCATGGGCGACCAAACAAATTTGTCATGGACCTTGAATATAGCCCAAGAACCCGGCAGGCCTTGAAAAGTTTCCCTAACAGGCTCGCAACACCTCTTCCGGACCCAGTGGATCTTGCCGCCCTCTTCGCAAATGGTAAGCATAATTTGGCACATCTTGGGTGTGTTTCTGTGAGATGGAAGAATCTTGGAATTGGGCTAGTCGGAAATGTAAGTGGAATTTGCGCAGTTTAAATGCTTTGCACACACAACACGGATGAGACATGCACAAGTGAATTCAAATAGTGACACATAAGAGTTATAGAGTCAGAGGGAATTCCTGACTAGCGCTTGAATGGGCGTGAAGAGCGGAAGGGGGTGATTAGAAAAGTTGTGATATAAGCATGGCGGTGTACTAGAGCACTTCTATCCTACAGCAGCTACAGGTTAGTTACCCTATATGAGGTTATTCCATACGAGGATATTCTATATGATGCTGTTTATAGCAGGTTATTTGATAGGGGCTTATTCTATAAGAGTTTATCCTATAAGGATTGATCCTATGGGAGGCGACTCTATTGGATGTTATCCTACGGAGGTTGGGCAGTGAGCACTGCCTAAGTGGTTTCCTACATAGATGCTATGGTCGCGTAGCGGACACTCGAGCGAGGCTCGTATCAGTTGTACAGAACCGGGCCATATAACTCAAGGAATCTCGTCAACGCTGTTCACCATCTTTGTCGGCACCGCATTGGTCTGCTCTCTCTTCTTCCTGCTCATCTCATACACGATCTCCCTCAGCCTGTTGATACTGCCCAGAAGCTGATGCTCTGCTAGTGCATTCCAGGGATTTAGCTTCATCTTGTCTTCCCAGAACGTCCGGCGCTCATCACTCAATGCATCTTGAGGCGGAAACTCTACTGTGGCGATGGTCTGGTAAGGCGCAGTTGCTTCGTCCCATACTACTGAGCCGTCTTCGGTGGGGTGGTGCGAGGGATCTGTGCCGAGTTGGGTCTGCTGCTATCAGTGTCTTTCATGCGCTGGGAGGTCGGACACCCAGGGATGAGAGCGTACCTTGAGCTCATACTTCGCTCCGTGTTCTCTGAAGTATTCAGCCAGCCACTCTCTCAACCGCTCCCTCGAGTCTCCACTCTTCACCTTCTCTTTTTTGGAAGTCATCTCATCATTGACCGGAAACAGTCCAATGTGCCCATACCACTGTCCAAACCTGAAAGCACTCTGTGTGTAGAAGCTGTGGCTGATCATGTTCGTGTTGGGTAGCATGAACGGCGCGCTTGCTTCAAGGCATCAGTCCTGAGCTTCGTTGCAGCGCCCAATTTCAACGGCGAATCAAAATACTTTTCACGCAACTGCATGATCTCCAGACATGTTTCGATATCCGTCAGTTCGATCATGGGCGCATTGTTGAAAAAAAGGTCCTGGGTCAGGGCTTCCTGGTCTGCGGATGGCAACCTTTCACCTTCAATGCCAAAGATGCGTAGTCCTAGTCCGCGAGGGCCGGGTTCTTGATCTGCTTGAAGGAATACGGGTTCGCTTGAGTAGCGTGCGGCGACGTCGTATGATCTCCCAGGGGTTTTGAAAAGGCCTTGTTGCAGGTGAGCTGGGAGGTTTGGCAGGACGGTCAGGGTTCCTTTGACAATTCCTTGCGTTTTGACGTGTGTTGCACGGTAGGCGTGCCTATGTTGGTCGAAGTTGTGTTGTTGCATTCTGTTCATTGTTGCGCCGATTCTCCGTGCGGTTTCTTCTTCATCCTACTTGACATGTTCGACGCCTGTGGCATTCCAGGCGAGGTACTGGTCGCTTGGTGGTGCGGTTGAGAGTGCGGCTTCGACATCGTTGTATGCATTTGCCGCGGCATCTGTGACGGTGTTGGCGGCTTTGTTAACGGCCTCCATCTTTGCAATTCAAGAACTCGAGATAACCGAGGCGCGGCTGATGTGCTAACGTCCCCGGCCCGGGTATGGGCCCCCCTCCCATCTGGGCCCCCATTTACACACAAAATCCCACTTTTCAACACCCATTAATTAATTCTAATTAAATCTTATAAGTATCTAGTCTCTAAATTTATATATAAATTTAACGTTTTTAAATATATAAAAATCTGCTTACGTAATATTCTCAGTAATTATTTATATATAAATTTTTAAATATCAAAATGCTAAAATGTTAAGGATGGCATAGAAAATGCTAAGACTTTATAACAATAGTATTTTAAACGTTATTTTACTATATAATATATATAATATTTTATTTAAATTTTATTTAAGCTTTAAACATTTTACTTTATATAAATTAAATTAAATATTATATATAAATAATTCTTTAAAGATAATATTATTAATAATAAACATTCTTTAATTTTTTAATAGAAAATTTATATAAGAGAATCTTAAATCTTATTTTATTTCATGAATAAAAATATATATATATATAACCTTTTAAACTATAGTAGATTATATAATATAATTATGAAATATAAAGAAATAAAAATTATATTTAATTTTAATTAAAAGATATTAATAATATTATATTAGTGATATATCTGTTAGTATTATAGTGATAATTGTAAGCATTTCTTAACATTTTAAATATATATAGGTTTAGAAATTCTTTTAAAAATATTGTTGCTTATATACGATTTTTAAAATATTTTTACCTTAATCTATATATAAAATAGTGCATATGACGCCATTATGGTTATTCTTAGATTTAAATTGGATTTATTATAGGGACTTTAAAGTGGGGTGCCTTTAGGTGCGTTTCCTAGGAAATCTGGGGGCCCAGATGGGGGGGAGGCCCATACCGGGGCCGGGGACGTTACATGCCCTGGTGGTTCTTTCTATTCTGTTGTTTTTAAGTTGTCTATCAATCTGGGCGACGTCATATACACGCACTGGATTGGGGATGCTACAATGGAATCTGTCACGGCTAGAGAAAACACCATCCACTTACCAACATGCGCGATTCCCAATTCGCATATTCTACTTATGTTTCAGAAACGATCTAGTCTGCCCCAGCTTGAGAAACCATTAGCACTACTCGAATGAGCAGTTAGATATTTTATGGAGCTTTTAGCCGAAGTCAAAGTTGATGAAACAAGAAATTGAAAGAAGACGCGAAGATAGAAACGTCGCCTGTATACTTCTAGCCCTTGCGCTCTGTGAACTCTGAAAGCTCGATGTCCCAGTTATCCACTGCGCCTTTACGCCAGAACCTGCTTATCATATTGACAAAGTCGAAAAGCTTACTTGGAGCCTCTTCGAAGTATTTCGAAGCTCTGTCTGACGTGCAGCACCGAGCCAGAAGTCCACAGAAAAATTAAGTGAGAACTGGGACGATGACAAAGGTATTGCTGAGGATGACTGAGGACGGGTGGATGTTGTCGCCATCGGGAGTTGTGCTCAGGATGGACAGTGCCCAGAACGTCTGTGCAAACTTTTTCAGTTCCTGTCCACACTATTCAAAGGGTGAGGTGCATACTGCCATAAACCCCAGAGGAGTGTAGATGATGCCAAGTGAGTGACTAGGCAGTGGGCCTTGTCCAGTGCCAAAGGCATTCACTCAAATGAGTAGCTCACTTCGGCCATTTCCTCATACGCTAACATGGCATTTGCTATCTGAGTAGACTTATGGCCACCTTGGCTAAATATATTGATCCGGCAAAGTGCAGTCCAAATTCTCGGTCACAGCTTCTGGATCCTTGTTAGAAGCCTCAGAGTTGATGGTTTTCACTGTCGCGCAGCTCGTGACAGCCCGGGACTTTGTATGAAGATGCAAACCAGTGTTTCATTTGTACCTTGGATTTCTCTCAGAGATCGTCTAATGTAAGAGCCTCTTCCACCTGCTCCGTTTTTTCCCTGGTACGGTCTTCTCCGTATTATCTTGCAATTTTGACGTCTCTTCAATACTCGAGCCATCATCTTCACAGTAAGGGTACGAGTCCTGTGACTCTCGAGGGTGCAACGCAGCATCTGGCATTGAACCAGGCTGGTTGGAAGGGTGGTTGCCAGTCCCGGTGGCACGGCTATAAGCTCCGAGAGTAGCCTGCGCCAGCATCTCCGGCAGCGACCGGCCGACATCTTCCACGCCAATGTCAATCAGGTAATACTTCCAAGAGTTTTCCACAACCGGCGTGGCAGAGGCGCGCACGCTGTGGAAGTCGCTGTCAAACCTCCCAGCCGACAGCGGTTGGAAGTCACTTGCCAGCGTCTCGAAAGACGGGGTCTTCGCACCGGACTTGCCTTGGCTCTCGATCTTCATGGCGCCAAAGGCCACCCTGAAGCCGCCGACGGAGCCTATCAGCACAGCGAGCCTCTCACCATCATTACGCTCGAATATGATGGCAGCTGCCACTTGGCCTTCGCCTTTCGGGAGGCGGAATGCCACCGGCCACCGGTCGGGTACCCAGTCCCGTGCCGATTGGCGCAAAGGGAGTGATCTTGGGGTGTCCTTGGCGCACCCAGCGGGCAGGAGGACTTCCGTTACTTTGTATACATCGGCATGAGGGCCGCTGCGGAGCTGGACGATGTGCTGTGGGAACACACCGTCTTCAATGGGTGGCTGCTGGTCCTGACGCACATAGATGGTCTTCAGCTTTCCCCGGACTTGCACACTGCCAAACTGGCTAGCCTTGACGCGGGCATAGTGCTGGCCTTCCTTGTCTTCTCTCCCAGTGGATATTTTCTTCAGATATATCGCCAGGAAGCTCGAGTCTGCGTAGTTTGGCGGGACAGGGCAGTCGATCGTTGCCACAAATATGCCGTCTTCTCGTGCGGAAAGATGCAGCTGGATACGAAGGCCCCGGTTGGTCATAGTGTAGGGCTCTCGAGGAGCACCCCAATCGTGATACGGCAGTATTCCGTTGGAGTGGGTGAATGCTGCTGGAGATGGCGCCAGGAGTCCGTGGAGCGCCTCAGGATCTGCGTCTCGGTTCACCCACGCGAAAAGAGATTGGTCGTCGGATGTCTTCATTATCTCTTCCTGGAGCCTCAGAAACGCCCTCCGGCCGCCCTCACCATATAGCATCGGCATGTTCACGCCAAATATTCCCATGGCACAATATGCCGAGTCCTCAGGCCGTGTTGTCTGTCGGCGTGCCATCCACGACATCCTCTTGGCGACGCTGGCGGATTCGATCGGACGCTCGCCCGCCACAATGTCCGCGTCGATTCTCGTGATTTCTGAGAGGAAAGGGCAGATGGCTCTCTTCTCGCCGAGACTGACCCAGTCTTTGGTGAAGAAGATCAAGTTGGCTGGCGCGAGAAGCTCTTGCAACGTCCATCCGCGAGTGAACCACCTGCTCGCTGCGAAAGACTCCTTGTTCTCGGGCGAGCCGAGGTTCTCGGACTTAAAGTCCTCGATGAAGGCGTAGCACACTTCTGACATCTCGTACCAAGTATACATGGAGTTAATCGCTTCAGACAGTTCGGCACTGCTGCTCTTGTCTATACAGCAGGTGTCGATCCAGATATAGTCATACCCATCGCTGCGAGCCTGGTGGCAGGCGCCTTGGACCTTGAGCAGTGAGTTTGGGTTCTTGGTCCGCTCGGTGCCGCGGACAATGTCGTCGTAGATCACTTCGTTTGGACCCCATGTGTGCGAAAGAATGGCATACCGCACGTTGTCTTTCCGCAGCTCCTCAGGGGTCTTCTCTACCAACTTTTGGGTGGTTGTGTGAAGAAGGCGCATTTCTCGGGATCTTGCGATGTGGAATCCTGGGTTTCCAGTATAGAGATCTCGATTGCTAGCGAAGGTCTTAAGCAAAGCAGTGTGCAGCCTTATTTGAGGATCTAGACTCCGAACCAACGAACCCTTCTTCACCCCCACAAGCACTGTGGGCGGATCCAGACACTACTTCGTTGCCTTAGCTGACCCGGCAATATCAGTATCCTTGTATGGTCACACTGCAGGATCTCAGCATCCTTTATGATCCTTCCACTGCGTACTGTGTAATACACAGTACTGCACATGTGCGTAAGACGCAAATTGCAGTACGACTAGCGTGGCGGATTCGGGCACAGCCGCACAGGCACAACACCACTTAATCAGGTGTTGCAACCTCCGTCAGCGTAGAACGTGCCCAGGTTAGCAGGTCAGTCGATCTATTTGCAAGGCTGTTCCACTAAAAGAGTAGTGTGCTCATATATACACTCGAGGACACTGTGTGCCCTGGCTTAATGTTCGTTGTACTGTTGCATTTCGGATGCTCTAGCTATGGTTCCACTTATCCCAGGCGTCAGGAATCTCGTTGCCTGAATTGTTTGTGTTACACCCTGTTCAGCTCATGCTTGCCAAGCCGCGAATCTAGACTGCGTCACAATACAGCCTCCTTGAAGGACACATATAAGCGACATTAATAAATCAGTGGCTTGACTGAAAGCTGGCTGTTCCTACTCCATTACACATTGGTCGGCGGTTTCAGTTCCTTCAATATCACGACAACGTTCATTCAAGTTCCCCTATAAAGCTGATACTCAACATCAACTCCAAGTTGGCAGCAAAAGATTGACGTCGGCAATATGACGGCAGAAAAATTCCAGCAAGAGGCTGAGGCCAATGGGAATGGACCTCAGTCCCAAGATCCACAGCGTCCCGGTGTGGCACAAGATCTGGCGGTTGAACGTGGGATGAAGCCTACGCAAGACACGAGTCTGCCTGCGGACTTGATACAGGTAGAAGAGCAGAAAGCGTGCGTTCAGTCCCCCTGAAACACTTCACCTTGTCCTAGTTTATTAATGACCCATGATCACCAGACCATCCGTACCAGAAAAGGTCATCACACCTCCTGCCAAGAACCCTCACATGGAGATGCCTCCAATCGTGTCGGAGCCCGAGCCGCAGATGGTGACGCCGCTGTCCAGGTTGACGGCAACGCCGACGTTCATCGACTGCCCCTTCTGCCTCCAGCGGGCTCAGACAAATGTGTCAACAGAGGGGACCTCAATGCAGACCATGGCGGCGGCTCTGTGCTGCTTGTTCTGCATATGTGCTGTCTGTCTCCCATATGTGTGCCCACTGGTTTGAGGACACGCACATCTACTGTTCGCGATGTAAGGCGAGAGTGGCGACTATACCGCATGATGGGCACATACACATATACCAGCCAACTGATCCAGCGATGGTCGCAACGATTTACCAATAGTCGCCTGATCGAGGTTATGGACTGGGGTGAGAAAGAGAATTGACTGGATTGTAATGTTGCGGTCCGTCGGGCACCAGCCTTGATATACAGATATGAGTTGTCTGCCTGTTTTGGGGGAAAGGGTGGGGGGGGGGGCCATCATGGTCTTCCGAAGCAGTACTTCTGGAATTGTTGTGGTGATATTAGCAACAGAATTTAATATCTCAGCCTTTTCCCTTGCTCATTTAGATTTAGTCTAGCAATCTTAATTATGTTCACTATTTCCCTAATCTATTTGTTAAACTAGTCAAGCACTAAATAATTAAGCATATACACCCAGGTTGTAAGGGTTTAGGTATTTATTTCTCTGAATGTACTATCTACTGGGACACCTAGACTACTTGAACTTAGGCAGTCCCATGGATTCCAGCTCATTAATATCTGCGCTCACTAGCCACCTCTCGAAGTCTAACTCCTTGATGTATTCCAACCTTATATTGAATCATAATTCATGCCTCCTAGTCACTGGTAAATACTCGAATATAGCAGTGCTAGTGATTGGACTCTGGAGCCTCTTCAGTGCCGAAGACCCTTGAGCAGCAGAAGAAATAGCTCGCTTGTGCTAGTTTCTCCGATTCCAGCAGGTTTTATTTAGTAGGATGCAATTCATCCCGTCTTCATTATACAAATGCACGTTTCGGGCAAAATGGAGGTTGGATTCCAATTCGCAGCTTCTGGTTCTCTAGCAAATGCCTCAATCTTGTGATGGTTTTCATCACTAGACCACTTCTGATTACTCATGCCTTAAGCCAAGGGACGGGCGGCCGGGGCGGTGCTTGCTTGACGTGTGTCACGCTGATGTGAGATTGGCCACAAAGAGAGACACCACCGTTCAGAAAACCTATCAGATGTTCTCATTGCAGTTTATGCCAAGAACCCGTACATGCTGCTCTCCTCGCCGTAGGATGGTCGGCGAACATTGACCGCTGCTAGAGATGAACGGTGAACACAAAAATTCACGATCAATAATAAAGCACTAGTGCATACCTTTTGGGCCTACACTTCAGTCGGCGACCATGTCGTCTCAATTGGAACCGTCAGTCAGCATTGAGACGGGACGACCGAAGGCAACGTTCCCATGCTCTGGAGCTGTGAAGATGTGTTTTATATCAGCTTGGTATATATACCGTCTCATCACTTCCGGAAGAGATGAACTTGAAAGAAGACAACAGACCTCATCATCTGCTTGTATCCTATATTCGTTACACTCTCCCGTCTACAGACCACTCACCATCTTAGCCTGAAGCCGCCTCAATACTCGACTGTCATTTAACCGCGACCATGTCTATCATCAAATATGCCTTAACTTTCTGGATTGCCTGTCAGGCTATCCCAGTCAGTGCAGAGTACAATGCCAAAGAGACTCTCGTGCTTGCGGACTGTGGTATCGGGTCCAATGCTGCGCATCCAGACTGGGCCACTTCCAACCAAATGCTGTACTGTGAGTAGTTTTGATCGTCTTTTCCGTCGAGACATGATGCTAATTACGAATACTGGGAACAGACAAAGGCTCAGTCTGGGTAGATGACTCCCAGTCCAACACCAACAAGCCTGACATGATCGCACCCGTGCCCTGGGACGGCTCATATCCCTGGCGATCCACGGGGACAGGAGCGAAATTTCCCAATGGCGACCTGTTCATGACTTGGATCGACCCCAAGCCCAAGGACCTCGAGACAGCGGGATCCGCATTCCACAAGTACGACTACCACGTCCTCAATTGCTTCGCCTACCACCGCGACTTTGTTGCGCAGCTACCGAGTGGCGAGTGGTGCCGCTCGGCCTACGTCTGCAACCATGGCGAGAATCCCACTGCGACTTCCATCACCATTGACGTGTCGAACAACAATGACAAGGCCACTCTAGACAATCATGTCTCTGTGGACACCATCTTTGATACCATCTCATATAATGAGAATGGAACCTGTGACAACACATGGACGGATGTTCCCAATACCCAGTGCAAGATGAAAACAATCTGCGACGAAAACGTCAAAGGTGTAACAAAGGGCATGGTGAAGGCCCTCAAAGATCTGGCCAAGAATGGAGACTCGGGAGTATTCCAGCAGTCGACTGTCGCCGACTCGAGGTGGAACCCTTGCAAGAGTGGCCGTGATACTTGTATTGGAGGATGGGACCACTTCGAGCGGGACATTACCAAGGTGTCACAGACTCTCCAAGTCAAAGTGAAGGACCAGAACGGAAACTCGAAAGGTCACCTGGACTATACGTTGGACTGCACGCACGCCAAGAGCTGCGAGGCTTGTAACAAGGCCAAGTTCTCTGGAGCCGTTGCGAGTGCCTTTGTTGGGGCCATCTTTGGTCCCATCTTTGGCCCTCTTCCTTCTCTTACTGCACAGGGAACTTGCTTGGCGAATGGGTGTTGAACAATTTCATGGAGTGAATGATTCACATGCCTTAGCCCGGAATATAATGTTGGAGGGGTTTGCTGGAAAGGAAAGGCCTTGTCCAGTTAAGAGGGAACGGCGTTATTTGAGTGCAAGGATAGCTTCTTCATAATGATGTGGACTGCGTTGAAGAGGTAAGAGAAAGAATTGCAGCTGGTTTTCCGGGTTTGTTATGCACCAGCCCTAATGTATAAATATAATCCTGTTTGCAGGACATTGATCGCCGTGCCACCGGGCCGTTCAAGGCAGCACGAACGACATCATGTTCATCTGACAGGCCTGTGTTCGAATGAACAACCGCTAGCCTCATCTCTCCTTCGCCTTCATGGGTTGCCAGTCTCGGCACTATTACCGGCACCGTGCATTTCCCTCAGCCTTATTTCCCACCCTTTCAGATTCAATCACATATCCTCGAGCATCTGCATCATTTTCCCGTGCAGCTCACATGCCCTAAGCCCGCCGCCAATGACAGACTAATCTATGCCCGGATTTCAAACTGTGGGAGACACTACAGATCTCATATAAGAAACCTCAGCCCCTGCCAGACAACCAAACGCTGTGATCGAAAGACCCAAGGCCAGAACCTCGGGCCAGACAGCTCAGACACTTATCCCCTGGACATATTGTCTGCTCCGAGTGACCTAGACCACCTACGTGGATTCCAGGGAGCCCAGTGGATCTAATTTACTGATATCTACACCCACTGCCCGCTTTTCGAACACTAACTCGCTGATAATCTTACCTGTGATAGGAGAGTTGTGTATTCCCCACTGATTGTGACCAGCTGCTAAGACGAGGCCCGGTGAATCCCAGAAGAGGACCCAGCTCGAGATCACGACCTTCCATATTCACGATCGGTCTGAAGCAAGCCTGCATGAGAAGCACCTGACTCTGGGCAAGATCTGGGGAGACAATGGCCAGGTTTTCCATCAGCTCCTGGCAGAGCTTTGGATTGAAGTCCACCTTACGCCACTGTGGCTCCGTTCACCACCTATGGGTGCATCCGGGAGGAGACTCTTGAGTCCACGGGCCAGCTGTCAGAATCACGCGCGTTGCATCAAGCTCGCACTTTCTTCCAGACTGCTTGTCGCGGTATCTGACTGACTGGACCCTGTCCCGGTTGCTCGAATACTCAATCGCCTCCACACTTCATTCGATGAAATCCAACCCCTTATCCTTTGTCAGTAAAGTCAAAGAGGTTGTGAAAAGGTACGGGTGGCACTGAGCAGTCTTTCTCAATGGTTTGTACCACTGGAACACGGTATGGTCAACCCAATCCAGATTTCGTGGTACTCGCGTGTCTGCATTTGAGTCGCCCACATGTCTCCCCACCGCATCGCAGTCGGCAGAATCGTATTTTCGGTAGCTTCATATCTTCTCGTCGTCGTGATCATTTGCGAGTTGTGCGTGTAGTTCGAAGCTTGCGGGTGCCAGACAGGCAGGATCCGCCCACTCTCCGAGACAGCCAGCCCCTTTGCCAGATGAACCACCAGCGAGTTTAGTTGCCTCAAGAAGTATGGCACGGTGCTGAACTGGGTTGTATGACGAGTGGCGAGACAAATATTATGCTGCGCAGCGTCCCGATTGCACCTCCGCCTTCAACTTATCAGTTTCTTGTGTGCAGCAAAAGACGTCCTCAATCAGCCCGTCTTGTACCTATGATAATGATTTGTTTGCGATCCGTCTCTATTTCATTATCCGACCTCATAGTTTCTAGCGGCGTAGGCCACAGGGGAATATTGAGAGCGATGGGGTGTGGGTCTCTGAATGGAGCTGCAGAAGAAGCGTCGAGCTCCTGCTGCTGGACAGGGCAGGCAATCTAGTCTCCAAAGGATGCTTTTGGGAGGCCCGCGGATCTCTACTGCAATCTGCCTGAGCTAACTTTCGAAATGGAATTATGCCTTGACTGCTTGCAACTCGTCTAAAGATTGTTGAGCGGAAGATGTTGGCGCTGTGGCCTCTGGTCGAGTAGGGGAAGGCTGCCTAGCTGGCAGTGTCTCCAGGTTGTCAAGAAGCATCATGCATTAGTTCTACCACCCAGATACTGTTGAGTGCTAGCATCTCCTACAAATACAGGGAATATTGTCAAAGTGTCGACTCTTAAATCTTCGAGTGGTTTTTTCAGATGTTGCCTGCAATGTTGAAGCCCTATCAATACGAAAAGCGATTCACAGCGACTCAATCGCAACAACAGAAGAGATGCTACTGTCCTTCCCCGAAACAATGCGGACTACCTAGGTACCTAGGTAATCTCATATACCTTAAGAGGCCGGGTGTGTTTTCAAAACTTTTGTACTGTTTTTGAGACGTTACCAGGGAAGCTGCTGCTTTCAGTTTTGCAGCTGCCCACCCAATGAAAGGCGTAGAAACCTGGACTCTTGACTTCCATCACTTCCCAGGACACACAGATCCTACCCCTTCCATCTTTGCATGGGTTCCTCCACTTTCGCCCTTTCTCTCATCAGCTTCAGAAGAGCAAGCAAGACGTCATCCACACTTCAATGCTTCCATCTGGCCTGCGGCTGACAACCTTTTACTTCCAAATCCTCCTACCGTTGTGTCTACCGGTTCCCTCATCTCCTTACGTTGTCAGACTCAATCACGCCAAATTTTCCAGCTGGACGCGCTCCTGTGCTGCCCCCAGCATGCCTCCATCAGCATGCGACCAGAAAAAGGCAGACATTATTCGTCTAGCTGAGAATGAGTGCTTCGCAGAGACCGAGACAGCTAAGGCCGTCTATGAACTGAAGTGTCTCAAGGTGCAAGCAAAGTATAAGGCCAAGAAGAAGCAGGCATGTCGCGACCTCAACGAGCAGGAGCTGGAAGAGTTGGGTGGGATCAAGAGGCTTTACGAGGCCGAAATGGAGCCTATCAAGGTCAGGCATGCAGAGAAGCTTTCTGAAATCAGGGAGCAATATCGCATAGCGACCCCAGAAGCTGGCCTACATGTGTCTGCCACTTCTGAGACTCCCATCTCACTGACTCTGGTGACCGCGCCGGTAAGACCCCCCTCCGAAGATCATGTCGAGAATGGCAAGCCTAGTATGCAAGATATAGCAGCAACTTGCTGACCAGCAAAAGGCTGAGGCTGGAAACGACAACTCTCCTGCTAGCAGCAGATCCATTGACGATACCGAGGAGTCTGGTGATGAGACGGACACCTCCATCCCCGCAATTGCCCCCCAGGCAACAAACAAGGCGAAATTTACCCCCCGCTTCAAGAAGCGCAAGAGGATATCGGGAATTTTTGACAGTGGCGATGAGGAACCAGAATTCTCTCAGAATGAGAACAAAGATGAACAGGATGATACGAGTGATGTCTCCTTCCCGGGATCACAGGAGGGACCTTCCGGAAGGGCTCTCAAGGCGTTCAGGAGACCCTCCACTCAAAGATCTGGACAAAACAATGTGTCGTCTGCCTTGGCAACAAAGACGAAGAATCGCTCCCGTCCAAAAGAAGTGGACAACGTCTTCAAAACTCGGACCAGAGCAACTTCAACAAGTGGCAAGACAGATAGCCAAGCTGAGGGAGGAGACGAGGACGAGGATATCGGCAGTGCTCCAGGTAGGTTGGGCTCACCGCTATTCGTCCTGTCTGCTCTTATGCAAACGCTTTTCAGAAGAGTTGCTGCTAACGATCTGGTTCCAACAGCTTCGCAGGCTCCACGCCGCAACCGAGTCCGACCCGGTCGACCCGAGCCTGGCAAATATAGGATGACCGCGAAGGCTTGGCCTGTGTGAAGCCACTATTAGCACGAGGATTTCTGGAATTGGCATCAACACCTGACGAGAAACGACTCCGGGAGACTTACACATCTGACAAGATATGGGCTGATGAACAGGGGTAATATTGGCGAGGGAAAACGCAGCACATGCCTCGGGTTATCATACGAGCGACTCATGCGTCGGATGGTTTAGTGTGGTCATCTGTGGGAATCATTGTACTCCCTCTCTGCAGATGGGTTCCCTAAGGTCTTTTGAAACACTCTGGAATCCGCCAAAATTTGTTCCAGGTTTTCTGAATATTGTTTGTGAAGGACATATTGGTCGGCAGAGACATTGGTGGCAGAGTTGCGGACTAGACTTAGTTCATCAGATAGCCACAGTGCCTTTCTGGGCGCTTCGCCCATTAGAACTGCCAATTTCTTCATGATCACATCCTCTGCGGTGCCATACTAAAGCTCATTATCCCCCAGACCTCAATCAATCTTCACAAGCGATGATGTACCAGGAGCCTAAGCAGGCTTTTCTGGACAAGGGACAGGAATTAATCACAAAGGACTTTAAACAACAAGGTCTTATGAAGCGTTTTCAACCTCAACGATTCTTCAATACAGCTGTCTCACACATAGATCAATCTCATCAATACTACCATGACCCAAGAGCGAGGCTTCATGGTGCATATCTAGCAACCAGAGCTCTACACGAACTATTTTGCTGATCTGCTTACGGTGCCTCGGTCCAAAGCGCAGGCATCATGGAGGAGGCATTGAATGTGAGACTCCAGGAAGCCATATATTCCTCACAACTTGATAAACCACAGCAAAAGTTGTGCAAAAAACAACAAAACATCCTACCCTAAGTTGGAGTGCGTCTGACCTTTGGTATCAAGTTTGGAAAGTAGGTGACGATGTTTCACAGCAAGACGGTCATCCGCGTCACGGCAAGCTCGAACAGACGTCATAGTTGGATCTCTAATCAAAAGTAGAACCCTGGCGTAGCCCGCTCGAAATCCTTTGGCGTCCCGACAGCCCGACTGAATCATCCGGGAAGTCCGCATCAGGGTACCCGCAATTCCCGGGGCGTTCGGCAGTTGGAGGCGGGCCGTGCCGGGGCTGTTTTGGCGAGGTAGCAGATCGGCGCCGTGGCGGCTGGGCGCACATACGCGAGAAGGCTGGAGCGTATCGGAGAAAAGAATGACAACATCACCATTACGCATAAAGATCTCCCGGGGTTGTACGAGTGCCCTGTGCAGCTGAAGCAATAGAAGCGCTTGGAGGAATGTGCCGATCTCGAGATCGCCAGACCTCGCTGTCCTCCCTACTCAGGCTACTGCGTGCCCTCGCCCTTGGTTTCACTAGCTCAGCCACAGCCGCATATGCCTTCTATGCCGGGAAATCTGGCCTTGCACCGAGTATCGAGGACGATGATCTTTCCGGATGTTGCTCTCCTGGAATGCGAGTACGTGTGCGGCCGCAGGATGCCAGCATGTCCTCTCCGGTGTGCAGAGCTCTGCTCGCCTGGTACCAACCGTCGTAATCTGGTGCTTACCGGTCTCTTCTGGTGCACCACAATTGTCAATAGATCGTCAATGACCAGGTGTGGCTAACACAACGCTATTAGATACACGGTGCTTGTGTAGCAGGAGCAGTGTTCCCAGGGTGATTGCCGGCGAGACGGTCCTTCGTCGCGTCTTTGGGTTGCTCGCACGGAAGTGACGGACTTTTATGGGCTGGCGAAGGCAAAGAGGGAGGCGGCAGGCATATTCGTGGAGGCGCATGTTCGGATGGAGGACTGGCTCAGCTTATAGAGCGCCAAGAACTGATCGTTGTCCGCGTGCTGTAGGGTCGAGGGCCAGGGAGTGTCCTTGAAGCCGAGAGTGAAGCTGCCGAAGCTGCACGTATACTTTAGATGACGGAATCCAAAGCAGGCGCATAGCTGGCCGGCGAACAAATGCCGTCCCGTCTTGGTGTTTCTGTCCAGAACTGACCGGCACAGCTGCCTTTGTGCGGTGTGGCACTGTGACACAATGCCAGCGACGGTTGTGCCGGACCTCTTTGTCTCGCAATCGTTCAGCCTCGTTGGCACAACGGCCATGTTACTCGGCCCAGGGTGATGGTTGCAGTGCGCCACGGCTTGACAAATATCTTGCCATGATGCCGGTGGTGAGCTGTTCCAGCTTGATTTCACCTGCACATGTGCGACCAGACGGCTAATAAAGATGTAAACAGCAATTGGATACTCTACCTGAGGTTCACAATTAATACGGATAAGGTCACATCTGGATCTGGCGCGTTAGGGAAGGAGCTGCCGGCTGAGGTCGAGGACCGGGGGTTGACTAGATTTGAAACAATTCATGCACCCATTCCCACAAGCTTAAGGTGCACCCGACACCCCAGCCGCGGCATGGTGGCACATACCGTCTGGGAGGAGAAAAGGTTTGAAACAATGAGGCAGACTTTTGACTAGATGGGACGATGGTTTGTAGCTCCTCGCCAGGCGTGGATTGGAATCTCCGGGCGCTTGGCCGTGTACGATGGGGCAAGGGATGGGCCACGTTGGGGCATGTGAAGGGAGGTCCGCCAGCAGATTGAACCTTCTCTCAACGGGCTGCCACAAAGTGCCGGTTTGGGGGGGGGGGGGAGATCTGTGCACCATTTAAAGCCAGGACGGAGTTCCTGTTGTAAATTTTCCTGCGAATTGCAATAGTGCCCTTTTTCCTCTCTGCTGTGCCGTTGACCCTTCATTTTATTCACGTCTATCGAGGCGAGCAGGTGTCGTCGTAAGTGCCCCATAAATCTTTCCCGTTCGCGACAGACTCATTCCACTGCACCCTATTTCCTCCTGCCCTAGCACTATGTACAGCTCATGCACCTCGGGTACTTTGGACGAACGAGCTCGATCGGCTGACCGAGTGACTGTCCCACAATAGAGAATCTATCAGCATCAGATTTGCTCTGAGCCATCTTCTTATTCGATCGCAGTCTCACCGTCTGGGTCGCGTCGAATTGTAAAATAGAAGAGACGATAGTCGAAGCTGTTCTGCTAGGCAGACAGACAGACAGACCTGTAGCAAGAGGCACAGGAGGACTGGAGGGCCAAAGCTGCCCACCTGTTTCACCAAAACCGGTAAGCAGGATCCGCTGCTGGAGGCGCCCTGATCATCAACCCCTGCCGAGGCCCGCTGGCCCCCGACTTGGCCCCCGACTTGGCCCCTGGAGACCCGCCCGCCCACGGGTCGAGACCACTGGGCACCTGCATGAGCCTTGTCTGTGCCCACACCGGGCGCGCAAGTCTGTGTGCGGCAGCATGCGCAGCTTCCCGGCCTTGGAACCGACGCCCTCGTCACTCGTCATTGTCCAGCAAATGTCTGCGCCGCTCCTCTACAGACTGCCCCAGCTGTCCCCAGAATTATCACAATTACCACATTACGGCTGCACCTCCGTCTCTTCAAAAATAGATCCCTCCCCGGCCTGCGGCCAGCTTGTCCAGCCCGTCCATCCTAGCTAACCACCAGGATGCGCTTCCTGCAGCCACATGGCACACTAGTCTAATTCTCGACCGTCGCCAACTCTGACACCGAAGCCGACGATACTGTCTTTTCGAGTTTGAACTCCCAAATACTCCAAGACTTTCCTCCGACCACGGTCCAGTGGCGACGAGCTGGCTCCCCGTCGTGTCCTCTCGAAGGCGAGACACCACCGACCCTACGACGGGATCCCCACCGCATGGCACTCGGCTCTCCGCTCCGTCCAACATGGTCAGCCGCCTCCCTCACCACCATGTCTCCCGAAGCTCTACTCCCCAGTTTTGTCGCCGACGCGATATGGCCCGACCACAAGTCTCCCCTCCAGACTCATAGGCTACACTCAACCTCATACCTCGACGGCCTGCGAGGCGTCGCCAGCTTGCTGGTCTTCTTCTGCCACTACACCGAGGAAAATCACCCATACCTAGTACCCACATACGGCCTGAACAAGGACGGCGAGTCATCATTGCTGCAATTGCCGCTTGTGAGGATCCTGTACAGCGGGCGGCCCATGGTTCACATCTTTTTTGTTATATCCGGCTTCGTGCTCTCGTACAAGCCCCTCAAGGCGATACGCACAAGAGACCTGGAAAAGTGTTACACTGCGCTGTCCTCGTCCACTTTCAGGCGGCCATTCCGACTCTTTGGGCCATGTCTGGTTTCGACGGCGATAATAGCTGTGATGATCCAGTGCGGCTTCATGTACAGGCCTCTGCCGAGCCTCTGGAGGCAATTCCTGGCCTGGATCGACGCCATGTTCCACAGCGTCACCTGGCCATGGGCCTGGGACTTTGACCTGCGACCTGCCTTCGACATCCACCTATGGTCGATTCCAATCGAGTTCGCCCACTCGATGCTGCTGTTCCTAACCATCCTCATGGTCGCCAGGTTGCGGACGCGGGCGCGCCTGGCCATCGAGGTGCTCCTGATCGCCTACGCCGTCACATGCGGGAAGTGGGCGGCATTTGAGTTCTGGGCGGGCATGCTACTGGCCGACATACACATCAAGCGGACGGCGCAGATGAAGCGCTACGAATCCATTGACTCGATTTCGGCCTCGTCACCAGGCACGTTACCCCCGATAATAGACAACCCGATCCTGCATTACTGCGTGCACGGCACCATTTTCCTGGCCTGCATCTTCACCGGCGGCTGGCCCAACTTCGACGCCGACAGGACTCCCGGCATCCGATGGCTGCTGGCGCACACGCCCTCGTCCTTCCCACCGGTGGACAACGTCACGCCGCAGAAGTTCTGGTTCGCAGTGCAGGCGATCGCGATGGTCTGGACATGTGGCGAACTCCATCCCGTCAAGGAGTTCCTCGAGGGCGAGTTCGCGCAGTACTTGGGGCACATCAGCTACGCGATATACATTGTGCACGGGCCCGTTCTCGAATGCCTCCAGAGGCAGGTGGCGGGCCAGGTTTACGTGGCGCCCAAGGGGACGCCCAAGCTGCCAGGCTATAGGCCCGAGGTCCTCCCCAGTGGGGTAAAGGGGATGGTTGGGATCGACACGGCAATGCAGAGGACGGTGTGCTGGGCCATGGGAATGCTGCTCCTGGGGCCGATTGTAATTTGGGTGGCAGATTTGTTTTGGAGATTGGTAGATATACCCATGGTCAGGCTGGCCAGGACGATCGAGACGAAAGTGCTCGACAATGACGTTGACCTCGGCGCGAGATCAAACGGCAACGCCCACTAGAAGCGCAGGAAGTATGGTATTTACTAGCATTGTGATATTTATTAGCAACAAAAAGAAAAGACTTGCTACTGTTTAAAGCTTAGCGATTTAAACTACAGCTCTATATCTATATTGCTCCACCCAAACACAGGCCCCGAGAGAATATGCGTGTGAAGCCGGAAGTCGGCCCCTGCCCAGCCTGAGTTGTAAGACGGACCAACGAAGAGCCATGCCCAGACATGCACTGACGCCGGTGTCGAGCACGACCGGACCGGTTCTCGCAGGCCAGACACGGCACGTGCAAGATTTAGAGCCGTCACCCGCAGCAAAGGCAATTTACTGCCACGTTGTTTCGAGCGCCGCGAAACTCCGCCGGACGCCGCACCGGACAAAGGGGGCGCCCAGGCCTGATGGATCATGTCTCGGCTGCGGGTTACGGGGGCTTTCTTAGCGCTGACAGACTAAGCAGGCCAGGCAGGGCAAAACGCAGTGGACTGGCTACTTTTCAAGTAGGCTTAATGCACTTCTTGCTCACATAGCATACACATGCCGCTCTCTCCCTCTCCATTGTGACTCCGCTAGGGACAGACATGTGACTTCGCGAATGCAGCCCCTTTATCGCCCGGGCCTGACACCCTGGATATTCTGGATGAGTCACGCCTTGATGCTCTGCGAATCCGCGTCTCCCGCGTCCCCGTGTGTGCTCTGTCTTGTATGTCCTCTGCGAACGTCGGACCCTCCCTGACGTCCTTATCCTCGCCGTCGAGTCACCGTCCTCAGGCAGCTCACGCGGCTTATTAATTGTCGACGGCCAAGGCTGCTGTTGGTTAAGTCGGTCCTCACCTCTCAGGGAGCTATATGCTTACCCTTTTTTTCCTTCACCTTCCTCAGGCATCGACTTATTAGTCCTCAACATTTACAACTCACGATTCTCATCACCAGACCAGCCACTGCTGCTCATCTGCCCAGCCCTGAACCAGGACAGGCCAATTGGAAGGGACGTAGGATACCAGAGACACTCATCACACATATCCACCTCATACACACCATGGACGCCAGCTGCCAGTGCGGTTCCGTCACCTTCAAGACGCCTCTCGAGAAGCCGCTCGCGCTGTACATATGCCACTGCACAGAGTGCCGGAGGCAGACGTCCTCGGCCTTTGGGACGTCGGCCATCTTCCCACGCTTCGCGCTGCCGGACGCCGAGCTGCTCAGCGTCTATAAGTGAGTTCCCACCATGCGTTACCTGCCCCGGGGCCCCTGATGTGATTTAAGAGGAAAATATGGTAGTTGTGAGTGAGCGGCGGCGTAGAGGGAACAAGAAAAACAAAATGGAGGGATGGGAATCGTGAAACAAATTAAGAGTAGGAGTGACAGGTCGGCTGATACTTATGTTCCCTCCCCAGACGGCCCACCCACTCTGGGCAGACCCTCTACTGGTGAGTCCGGAGGACCTTGATGGTCAACCCCCTCCCCTCCGCCAGCCTCCCTCCCGGATTACTGATACCGACAACTACAGCTACTTCTGTAAAAATTGTGGCACGAGGCTCATCCACACCACACCTGTGAGCTCCCCATTGTTCATTCTCGAGGACCCTGCAGATACTGCCCTGCTACATGCACACACCTGCCTGTCTAAGGCTGTCTTGATCATGCACCCCGTCTCGTACAGGCTACGTGTATTTTGATATGCCTCGTTCTAACGCGCCACCCACTGCAGAACAAAAGAGTCGTCTCCGTAAAAGGAGGGTGCCTCGAGGGCTTGGACTGGGGCAAGGCGATCCACATCTGGACCAAGAGCGCTGTAAGCAAATAATTCCCTAAAACCGACCCCCAACTCCATCGAGCCTATGTCCTATCGCCGACTGGCATCCGGTCCCTCCGGCATAGAAAAAAAAAGAGAAAGAAAAGAAAGGGCAGAAAGGGAAACGCGGCAAGACAGGAGATAACAGAGGCTCCCCCCCCCCATCCTCCTAAAGTCCAGAAACCCACACAGCCCATACGCCTACGCAAATCATATCAAAACTCACTACACAAAATTGACGCCACCTGATAACTCCAATAAATAGATGATACCTATCCCAGAGGACGCAGAGTCCTACGAGGAGTCCCAGACGACCGGGTATAGCGACTCACAGGAGACGCTGGACCAGCCGGGGATGCTGGCCGGGTCGGGCGGCGTGCCCGGCGAGGACATCCGCGAGACCCTGATGCGCGAGAGGCAGGCCAAGAAGAGCAGCGAGCTCGAGGGGATGTGTGGGATAGAGAAGCTGGACGGGGACATGGTGCGTGATATCGTGCACTGAGGTTGGGTGGGTAGGTTGTAAGAGAGGTTGTTACTATTTACTTGATACCAATTGTTGTCACCATTTCAAAATTGCAAGATCTATCCATGTAAGTAAAAGTTCGAGGATTGGATACATCAGGGAACAAAACAGATTTGTGGGAACAGTTATAAGAACAAATAGAACGTTGGTCAAACAACACAGAGAAAACGCATACACAAGAGCAGCAAGTCGCCCGGAGCTCGCACGCACATGAGACGTATGAACGGCCTCATATATTTCCACGGACGTGCGTATATCTACCACCAAGCAAGAAGCGAAAACTTGGTATTATCTCAGAAAAGACACAACCTTTACAACCCCCAGGGTCAATCAAGCTGAGCTGGGTATTACTAAAAACACATATGCTTCACTTCTCTTTCCAGTGTCTCCTTCATCACCACCACCTCAAGACTAACCCCAGCCCTCTTGCTTTGCCTACGAGTCGGGCAGCATCGTCTGCTGCGCAAGGTTGCCCAGGCTCAGTGCCGATTTCAACGTCAACCCACTCGTGTCGATATCCGGCTGCGCGGCGTTGTTGGCGGCGGCCTGTGTCGGCTGAGGAGCACCAGCCGCGGGCGGTGCGTTGACGGCCACTGGAGGCGTAGGGGATGCTGCGGGTGGGGCGCTCTGTCCAATACCACCGAGGTTGACTGATGACTCGAGGGAAGAGGCGGGCGGCGCTAAAAGTCCAAAGTCAGTAACGAAAGTTCACCAATGGAGGTTTGACGATTACGAGGAGACTCACGAGAGGCAGCTGGCGGCGCAGCGGCGGGCGGAGGCGGCGTGGGACTGCTTGCTGGCGGCTCTGCAGCGGGAGGAGCACTAGCCGGCGGCGGGGAAGCCGCAGGAGGAGGGCTCGCTGGCGACTGTGCCGCGGGAGGCGGCGCAGGAGTGTTCGCGGGGGGTGCGGGCGGAGGACTATTCGCTGGTGGCGTCGCAACCGCCGGTGGTGCGGCGTTGAGCGAGGGTGTCGTCGTATGCAAGCTCGAGGGGACTGCCACGCTGATGACGCCCACGCCGGCACCGCTGCCCGCATTGGCCTGTCCGGTGCCGTTACTGGACCCTGCGCCGGCCGCCGGAGCCTGCGCAGCCGGATTCTGTGCAGCCGGGTTGTTGACACAAGGCGCGGTCACATACACTGTCTGAGTGACGGTCGAGGGAAGCAAGCTGATCGTTTGCGTCGGGGCCGGGCCCTGGGCGAAGACGGTACTCGTGAGGAATTGGAACGCCGGTCTGGGGCAAAAGGTCAGTGCATATGCTTCGAGGCTGCGGACAATATCCAACTCCTGGGACTCACGCATTCGGATCGGGAGCAGCCGCAGCGTTGCCAGCGGTACTGTTCGAGGCTCCAGCTTGCGGGGCTGCTGCCGCCGGGGCGGCCTCCGGAGCGGTGTTGTTCGATGCCCCTGCGCCCTCTGGTGCTGCTGCCGCCGGGGCGGCCTCCGGAGCGGTGTTGTTCGATGCCCCTGCGCCCTCTGGTGCTGCTGCCGCCGGAGCCGCTTCTCCGGCGGTGCTGTTCGATGCTCCCGCGGCGGCGGCAGGAGGGTTCGTTGCCTTGGCTGCTGCCGTCACGGTCTCCTTTACCGTCTTGGTGACCGTCGCTGCAGCGTTACCATTCCCCTTTCCCTTTCCCTTTCCTTTCCCTTGTCCTCCTTCCAGTGCTCCCAGGAGTGCCAACAGTCCTCCTGCGCCCTTTCCTTTCCCACCCCTTGCTTCTATGCCGTCACTGTTAACCCGTCGAATCTCATGGGAGAAACCGCTCGCCTGTAAAAAGTCGTCAGCACTGCCAAGTCCCGAGAAACCACCTATTTGCCAGGTTGACGCACGTTGACCAGTGACAGATATCCTATTAGTAGCACTAGGTACTGCAGGTAAACTTTCATCTTGTCGTCGAGACCAGTGATGAGGCTCCGCCTCAAGCGAGAAGCCCTCTCAACCCGTGGTGAATTAAAGAGTGGCGCAACAGTCCAGCCGTTTTGTCGTCGGTTCGTTAAGATCGTAGGGTTCAATGATAAATCGAGTATGGGATCAACCCTTGGAGAAAGGAAGGTGGTGGTGTTCACCGGGTGATGGAACGAGAGGAGAGCCAAGACCAGCAACTTCGTAGGCCCGGGCCAGCGATGCGAACGAGATCGACCGGAGGAAAAGCAAAAGAGTTTGCCGAGATGGGATGGCCAAGGGGTTTTGGGGGGAATGGTATCTGGGCCGAAAGGAGAGACGGGACGTGCAGGAACAGGCCAGAAAGGAGGGTGCGCTACAGAGTGTGGATCGATCTTGCGACTGGCAAGCCCTCACACGCACAGCGGCATGGAACAGCAACCGGGCGGTTAGATGCCGTGTCTCTCGCACCTCAGGTACGTATACGTAATTAGCGGGCTCGGGGGAGACGAGGCGTCCGCGGTGTTCGAAACGACTGTGCCTGACAGAACTCTGAGGAGTCCCACGAGAGGATGACGAAGTGAAGTGTGCTGGTAAAGACTGATGCTCTCCCGAGCGAAAAGATGGGATGGGATGAAGGAGGTGGAGACGCAAAGGGGGCGACTTGCGAGAGGAGGAGAGAGAATAGGGCATCGCGGCCAGGCAATAGCGGTCTTGATCTGGACCGTCAGACCATGCGGGCGCCCAAAAGAGAGATTGCAAACCGGTGCGAGGCCCCCCAAGGGCTCGATGCCTGGACGCTCGTGAGGCTGTTTCGGCCAGGGTTGAAGACGAAGAAAGAGACAAGTTCAAGACGGTGGCAGCGTCAAATGCTTTGGTTGGGGACCCGCCCTCGGAGAGAACCCTGCACCGACCAGTAGGAGAATTTCCCTCGTAAGTGTCAGTCGCGGCGCTGGGTAAGCTTGTTGTTGCCAGATTGAGCCTCATCGGCAAGATGTGGAGGGGTGTGGCCTGGCCTAGGGGTGGTGAGACAAGCCCCTGACGGGACGTGTCTGAGGTTGGCCGTGGCGAAACACCAGCTCCCAGCCTGGCCCGCCTGCGCTACCAGCGAGCCAGCGATCGCGTGTGTGGCTTTGCGCCAGAGCGAGCGCGAGCGCGCAGCAGATTCTCGGACATGGCATGATCAATATCGCCGTTTTAGACGAAAAGAAAGAGAAACTTCATGCAGAACAGGAACAAAGGCTGTGATATGTTGCAATGCATAGCCAACAGTGAGGAGCCGTGAAGGAACAGCATCGACAAACAAACAAACACAACCGTGTAGCGTTTTCTCATCGCGCGGGCGAACACTCGATGTTTGGTGAGATCTTGAAGTCTCGCACTGACCAGCACTCCCGATCTCAACTTAGAGCATGTGTGGATGCAGTGCAGGATGCATCATGCCCTGAACTGAGGCTTTGCAGACGAGTTGAAGGTTATCTGAGAGGACGGGTCGCTGGTGTTTGGTACCGACCTGTCGTTCAACTGATGCAAACCCGCCAAGGCATTTAACGGGTAAGGTAGATGAGAGGGACGGTCTTGGGAGTCTTGGGGGGTCGTCTCTTGTAAGAGACCCTGTGGGCTGCTGCTTGGGTTGGCTTGGCCGGGGTCGTCTCCTGGTGTGCAGAACTACTGGCGCGCAGGAGGCGACGAGATCTGAGGAGCTGGGCTGGCTGGGCCGGGCTGGGCCGGGCTGGGCCGTACGATATTGCATAGGGCAGGAGGCATCTGATGCAAAGCCAGAGGCGAGGCCACCAATTTTGAGGCCATCTCGGCGGGCCAGGAGATCTGCCAAGAGCCGAAGAAATGGGGGTCAAGTCACGATAGCCCCTACTGTGCCGTATTTTCCGTTGATGCAGTGAACATGTCCAAGAGAATACACGTTCCGGGATTAGGTAAGAAGGGGCGCCACGGCGGGGCCACGGCGGGGCACAGCAGGCCATGGCATTGCGTCTTCAGGAACGGGGCCTGGCCCGTTGCCAACGTCGTCGGAGCGGAGCAACAGAGAGGCCCAGGAACTCCGAAGCCGTCCGAGTCCGAGTCCGAAAGTGATGATGAAGCTGGCCAAGGTGGTTGACCACCGCACAGCCAGCCTGACAGCAGTGACAGCTCCTATTGCAACCTTGCTGTTGCAGGTGCCCAGCCACTAGGGAAAGACAGTTGCTGGTGGCGGGCGGGATTGGAGCCGACCCGCGCTTACCAGCACGAAGGGAAGCCTGCTGAGCTAAAGCTTCTATGACGACAGTACTCAACGGCGTCCCACCGTGGCGCTGACAGTGGAGGCTTTGCTGAAGTCCGCAATCATGAGCAAACTTCCGGACATCCATAAAAACATCTCGTGAAGTTCTACAGAAACATTCACCGGTTGCCCGTGCTGCCGAAACGTCTGTGAAACATCTGCACATGAGAGGCATTCGCGGTGAAGGACACAATCTACAACCGTCGACACGGCTCCATTCCTCACAAAGTAAACATAATCAATCTTAACCATCATCCATTCTTAGACGGCAAATAGTAGCCAAGAGTATAACGGCCAAGATGGCGGGCACCGTCCATGTTCTGGACGACTACTACCTCGCCATAACTCTGCTCATCACAGTGGCATATCAGCTTTTCTTCTTCGCGATAGCCTTTACATTTAAATTCGACAAGCTCACAGGTACTGGGACTCAACCCACCCTCAGACTGTGTCTGACATTTACTCATGAAGAGAGGATCAACTAACACGGAATCTCAGACTTCGCCGGCGGGACCAACTTTGTCGTCCTCGCCATAATAACCCTCGCCTTCTCCGGGCCCAGCCCACATGCCCGGCAGATCGTGCCCTCCATCTTCATCATGCTGTGGGGGGTGCGTCTGTCGGGCTTCCTACTGTTCCGCATCCTCAAGACGGGCAAGGACGACCGCTTCGACGACAAGCGCGACAAGTTCTTCCCCTTCCTCGGCTTCTGGGTCTTCCAGATGATATGGGTCTGGGTCGTCTCCCTGCCCGTGACGCTCATCAACTCGCCCGCCGTCAGGCAGTACCCCTTCATTGGCTTCGGCACCGGCAGGGACATCGTGGGGATTATCATGTTCGCCATCGGCTTTGTCATGGAGAGCGTCGGCGACGTCCAAAAGTACAGGTTCAGGAGCACGCAGGACAAGAGCGCCGTGTGCGACAAGGGCTTCTGGGCCTGGAGCCGCCATCCGAATTACTTTGGCGAGATCATCATCCAGTTCGGTAGGTTCAAAGGTTCTTTTCGTCTCATCTCTCGGCTCTTCTCATTAGAGTTTTCGTTTCCTGACTCTTGTATCCCCAGCTATTTACATGATCGCTGTATCCTCTGCAGCCGACGGGTTCGTCCGAGGGCAGGCTTATAACGCCTTGTATGCGTCCATCCTGGGCCCGATCCTGCTCACCGTGCTGCTCATGTTCGTCTCCGGCCTGCCGCTCTCGGAGAGGCCCGGGGCGAAGAAGCGCTACGAGAAGGGCACCAACTGGGACGGGTACAAGCGCTACCTCGACCGGACGAGCATCCTGATCCCGTTCCCACCACAGCTGTACGCCAAGGTGCCCGTGTTCCTGAAGCGGACCGTCTTTTTGGAGTTCCCAATGTACGTGTTCGACCCGGCGAAGCACGCGGACGGTGCTCCTGGCCAGAGCGGAGCGGAGGAGGGCAGGGGTGAGCAGGCGGGAAAGCCCAGCCAGGCCACCGAGCGGGGCCAGAGCACGGATGGGCTGACGGGGGAGTCACGACAAACCTAAAGCGAAAGAGAGTCATGGCGGTCATTATATGTACCACTGTTCGTGATGTGCGGTTGGATCAGTGATTGACGGTCCAGATCCACAGTCGTAATGATAATCAGTAGACCGAGTATGCCAAAAGGCCAGTACCACGGCCCACAGCCCACGGAAAGTTACAAACTTATTCTGAACGTGTTGGAAGAAAGTGGTGTTGACTCTGGAGTGCACATAGTCATATACAGCAGAAACTGTATTCGAGGGTATCATAAGACCTTTCCGGGACGCCTTCCATGCAGACTCGTTCTGATCCAAGAACTTATTTTGAGCTCTCCTTTGGCTCTGGCACTGCTTTCTTGTCAGCCATCTTCATCTTCTTGGCCTGCCTCTTACTCATGACCGGCAACGACGTCTGGTCAACGCCGCCTCCGTCATCTACCCCACCCTCATGTTTCCGCTTTCCATTCTCATTCTTGCCCTTGGGTTGTTGCTGATTCTGGCCCTGCTGCTTCTTCGCACCCTTCTGCTTCTTCTGACCTCCACCAGCATCTTTTTCATCGTTCTCACGCCCTGGTATACTGCCCTCCACGTCCACAATATCCACAACGCCCTTGAACGCCCGCCTCTTGAGCCCCTCGTTGACCACCACGGCCCTAGGCCTCACCCCGAGGCCCTCGAGACCCTTTTCCGGCCCGAGCCCCCAGACGGCGAGCAGGTTGACGACGTCCGCCGGCGCCCTCAGGCTGCCGGGCCCCCTTCGCCTCGGAGCTCAGCACGATCCCGCGGCCCCTCGTGGCCCTCAGCAGCTCCGTGGCGTTGGCGATCCACACGGCCCGGGCCCTCTGGTCGCCGCCGGCGACGAGCTGGCCATAGCACACCTCGAAGTAGACGCCCCTGTTGACGGCGGCCATGCAGGGCTTCGGCTTGAAGTGGAAGGGGAAGAACTGTGTCAGGTCCAGGCTGATCATCGAGATCTCGGACATGGTCGTGCACGCCGCCGCGAACGCCTTGTCCGTCGTCGGCCGGCAGACTACCATGTCGTAGGCGGCTGCCACCGAGGGGAGGCGGTAGTTGGTCGCCGGGTCCGAGACCACGACGGTGGCGCGGCGGAGTGTCGTGGGCAGCTTGTTGTTCGCGGGGGCATCGCCGCGTGTAGGGGCCGGGGTGGAGGATGAGGATTGGTTGGTGTGATTGTGTTGCGGGAATGACGAGTGGACCGGCCCGAGCTGTGGTATTGGGTTGTTGATCTGCGAGGGTATGGGTGCAGAGAAGGTGTGGTTTATCGCGACTACGTTGTAGCCGAGCGACGCGCTGAATTTGAGGGTGCGCTCGAGCTCCGAGGCCGGGGTCTGCGGCGTCCAATGGATGTTGAGATCGTAGAGCATCGTGACTGTGTGCTGTGAGGTGCGACTCGTACAGTCATGTCAGGGCTGTCGCACGAGAAGCCTTTGTTCGGGCTTGGATAGAAGTTGCAGTGATGAGATCTCACAAGGCTGAACGGAGGCGGGAGCTATCAAAAAGTTCAATGTGGGGCGGATCTGCAACTGCATGCTTGTGGAGCTTCCCTAGGTAGCGCTACCTGACAAGGCTACCCTGTCGCGTTCCTTGGGTGGCCAGGTCGTCACCGGGCTCCATCTTGAAGCACTCCATACCTAAGTAAAACCCCAACCCAATCCACGCAAATCCCCTTCGTTGTGACTGCCTGGAGCGAGTTGCTGAGAAAAAAAGGATTGTGTTACCGCTGGGGTTTGATTACCGGCCGAATAATGGACGCTGCCTGCTCCAATTCAGCCCACGAGCCTACGGTGGCACAATCCAGCCGAGTCGAATGTGAGCGTAGCGCCCTATTGGTGTAGACATACGCTCATGCATCGTCACCGTGGAACATCTTTGTGAGGCGGCCTTGCAGCAGTCGATCAGGTATAAGTCTCGAACGACATGCTAGATGGTGAGAAACACGGCGATGATAATCTACGGTGACCCTTTGGTCGATAGATGTAGATCTACCTTTGTGCTCCTTGGGTATCTGTACCTAGGCAGCTTGGCATGCTAGGGTCAGGTTGATGCTGAGGGGCCAGAAAACCCCCTGTGAGCTCGCCTGGTCAACCGCAATTTTGGCGGGCTTGGGGTCTCTTGGCGCCAGCACCCAGTGGCCTACAAGATGGGCACAGCCTCAAACTCGGACGCGGCTAATGATATCACCTGAGTGATTGACACCCGAGACGAACCCAAAAACCACCAGCCGACACAAGAGGCAGCCACCTAGCCTCGCATGAACGTCGTCCCACGATACCTTGTCTGCACTCGCCCTTCATTCGCCTTCATACTCACGAACACCCGCCATCTGACGGATCCTCTAGCGATACCCCTTAGACCGTCACGCCGTCACGAGATCACGATATTAATCAAACTACCCAGCAACTCTAATCAACGAGACCCACACAGCTGCCTTATAAGCTGCGCACGGCAACCAGTTGCTTCTCAAAACAGCACACAACGTCACTTCACGCGTAGCCCACCATGTGTCTGATATTCACCTGCGGAGAGCACACTTTTCGGAAACAAGTAGAAGGGTACGATGGCGTCGTCTGCCGCTGCCAACGCTGCGGCAACTACTCAGCCCAAGTGATCAAGTCGAACCCCTGGTTCACATTCTGCTTCGTCGTAAGCTCTCAGCAGCCCTTCCCCAACTTGACCGAGTGTCACTGACCTGGCCACCAGCCTGTGATTCCACTGTCTATCAAGGGCTACGAGGAGGTCGCCTGCCCCATCTGCAACACCCACCAGCCGCTCCAGCAGCGTCCTGATGTGCAGTCCATGAAGAGGGATGCCGCAGGAGGGGGCGTCCCATTACAGCAGCAACCACCGCCGCAGCAGGGTGGGCCGGAGGGCTGGGGAGGACAACAACCTCCGAGAAACGATGGGATGAGGTACGGATAGTCCCGTCCCGGCGGGTTTCGCGCCTGAAGTCGTTTGTTTTGATTTGTCTGGATGGCAAGGCGAAGGCAAGATAGCGCCTGAGTATGGAGTCTGAATGGTGGTTGGTGACTTGATACCGAGCAAAATTGGTCCCGTTGCGGCTGTGTTGGCCCGATTCGATGCTTTCTAGTGGGCACGAGGACTGGACATGAGGTTCTTACACAGGAGAATACCCTATACAAGTATTGTAATTCAATTTCATTCACCATCTCATCTTGCGGTGGTTCTTCCAGGAGACTTGCGGCCCATAGATGTTGGGTCCTTCGAGCGCTCGAAGCTCCCCGATTTGATGGAGTCGGTGCCGCGACATTTGTCGAAACTGCAGCTTGATGGGCCTCACCGTCATCAAAGAAAATCAGGGCTTCAAGATATCTTGAACTACGAGTATGACCATGTAATGTCAATGTTAGTGGCGTGACAGGAGCATAGCATCGTCCGTGTTGGGGGTCACCACAAATAAGTACACGACGGTCCAGCTGATCGTGAGAGACGTAGAAGAATATTTCGCAGCACAAATATTCTCAGAAAAGGAGTTCTTTTCACATATTTTGAGATTTTCGTATGATAACACCCGAACTTGCTTTTCCTGGCTCCGTGGCGGGAACCCGGTGTTCGAGACGGACGTGTCTCACTCCGCCACCATGCGAGCCTCGCACAAGCCTCAAACAATTCCGCCAAACACAATTCACCAGTACATAAGTGATTTGAGTCTTACAAGATGTTGTTTAATATCGTGTAAAACACGAGATGTTTTGAGCCATGCTGTGGGTGATTTCGAGTACCCAATGGATCGCTCTGGTCCACCAGCTAGTTTGACTACAGGGTTAGGAGACGGTCAGCAGGGGACAGGCCGCGATGACGTTAGGCTCGAGCTCTTTCTCTCTTTGTAAAAGCTCCTTCCGCAACCTCTCGGCTCAGCTCGTCCACGACTCGCAACCTCGTTTACGAGGCTACAAGAGGTCACGGAGCAACAATTGACCACGACATCAACCACGGTATCGGAGAGGCTCAGCGATTGGGAAGGAACGACCATTCCACGGCTGGTCAACCTTCGGAAGCGAAGCGATAACACACTGTCCCAAAAGGCACGGGTACCTCTAAATCGGGCCAAACCTGACAGTTGACGATTGGGACACTCACAATGGCTCCACCCCAGCGTCCCATGGTGCCGCGGCAGGACACCGGGGTGATGACCCCTCGGCCAGCCCTGGGCATGCAGAACGTCTCCGTCGACCGCGTCCTCCGCCATTCCAGCGAGATCCCTTCCGGCCAGCCTCGGATACATCCCGCGCAGGGCTCCTCCCCCCAACCCCAGCCCGGTGCCATGGCGTCCGTTCGAGCTGCAGCCCGCGCGGCAGCCCGTAGGGCGGGCGTGCCCACGAACGCAATCATCACACCGCCAATCGCTGGCGCCGTGCCAGGCTCGCGGATAGCCGTCCCGCAGAACGTCCCGCAGCGGACCACCAAGGTCAGCGAGAAGCTGGTCCTCATCCCGGACGCCCCTGATGACGATTCACCTGAGGACGACGATATCGAAGAGGCCATGGCGAGGGAGGAAGAGACGGCCAGGAGACAGGCATTTATCCAGCAGGAGGAGGACCGGCCGCTCCGGGACGAGGAGCTGGACGTTCTCAGGAAGCGGGGTGGGATCCGCGGCAAGAGTTATGCGGAACGGCTGCCAAAACGACAACGCGCTGAAAAGCTGTCCCGGCTGACGGCGTATTGCACGGCGCAGGGCTTCAAGATGAAGTCAACGGCTGAGTTCCTGCGGACGAAGCACGAGGCGAAGACAAAGCTTTATGACGACTGCCTGTACGTGGTCTATCATCTGCCACTAATGAACGGTACGGAGGGATACCGCGTGCGCAGCAGGCCGATATTGAAGACACCGGGAACTGGAAAGACGGTGCTGGATCTTGAAATCGAGAGGAGTGAGAGGAGAGACGAGCACTACGGCTGGGCCAATGATGAGTTCACCGGAAGTCCTGGGGGAATCTCGTCGAGTCCGACGGATCTGCACCCGATTACGAGCAACGGGTCGGACGAACGAGGGCGGGACATGGGACGGGATGGCGACGACGACCGCGCGTCCCTCAGCCCTATCAATCGACTAGCCCCTGACGCCAAGAACTTTGCTGAGATGTTTGTATTCTCGTACGGCGTTGTGGTTTTCTGGAACTTTTCAGAGCACCAGGAGAAGGACATCCTGGGCGACCTCACATTCGCCGAGAGCGAGAAGGGCATCTCGCTCGCCACAAGGCCGTTCGAGCCCGGCGACTTCGAAACTGAAGAGTTCCACTTTGAATACTCGGCCGACATCAAACATCCTCGCATCTTCAACGACATGATCACGTTGCTTCCACGATCGGACCACATGGTGAAGTTGACTATCAGTCACGCCGTGGCGCAGAGCACGAAGCTGTGCAGCTTTGAGGAGAGGATGTCCGAGACAATGAAGCACGCCGAACACGTGCCTAAACGCCTTGCGATGACGGGCGAGCTGAGTATGGGCAGAACCGAGATCGTCAAATTGCTAGGGAGGTTGTTCAAGAGCCGGGTCGACATTAACTTGTGTAAGTACAGTCTCTATCTTATAACCATGCTTCAGCGAGAGAAGCACGTGGCCAGGTCGGTGAGGGGAAGAAAAGAAGCAGTTTATTGGCAACCTAGTTGTCCCGCGTTCCCTCCTGGCTGTATATCGCTGGGCAACCATCATCAGAATGCTTTCCTTGGATATTTTGCTAATATTCTCACAGCATCAAACATCCTCCCAGTGCCCAACTTCTTCTGGGAGTCTGAGCCAACACTGCATCCCCTCTACATGGCCATCCGGGACTACCTCGAGATCGACCCGCGCATCACCGTTCTCAACGAGCGGTGCCGCGTGTTCCTCGACCTGGCCGAGATCCTGTCTGACACCGTGGCCGACGCCAAGATGAGCGCCATCACGTGGATCATCATCGTGCTGATTGTCATCTCCATCTGCGTCACGGTGAGCGAGGTCGGGCTGCGTTTCGGGATCCTGCAGAAGAACAACGGCAAGAGCGATGGCGGCAACGATACTGAGCGCAGCAGCATCAGCAGCAACAGGGATGTTGAGCGCACGGTGGCTGATGTCTACCGGCCGGGTAGCATCGAGTGGAAGCTCGCCAAGGCCAATATCACTATCGACGAGTTTAAGGGCTGGATCACCAATAACGAGCAGGAGAGGGGTGCGATGTGCGGGAGCGAGATCGTCGGGCAGACGTTTGCGGGTGTGTAGATTGTCAAGGCGGGGAGCAACGGGCGCATCTACTCTTTTCCCTTGTCACTGATTGTGGGGGTTTGGATGTCTAGAAACAGTAATTGGGTGTGTGGGTCCGTGGGAATGGGAAGAAAGCGACAGTTTGACTGCATGTGACAGGCGTACATGATACCCATTCTAAAATAGCATAAGAGCATTAGCAAAAGGCCTTGATTCCTGCATTCGTGTCACTGTGAATTCTCATATGGGGCTACCCGGTCCCGTGCTTATTCAGGTTCTTCATGCTTATTGAATGACACTGGTTCGTTGGGCCACCCACTGTCATTAGATGCCTACAGTCTAAGAGAGACGCGTTGCACCGAACAGCTCAGATTACGCGAGCTGCAAGACGCCCTACGTGCGCTCTCCGGCCGCAAAGTCTTCTCCATTTGCAGCTAAAGGTGCATGACTGAGGAGTGTTCTTCGTCGAGGCGAAGCCGCCTCATCGACTTAGGCATCTGTCTCGATCCTGACGCCGGGACACCATCCGTGGGCAGTGACCGTTCTCGTCCGCGACCGTATCGTCTTCACAGCGATCCTTGCTCAGCGGTCGCCGAAACGTCTCTTCTGCCCAGGCTTTTCAACCCGGTTGGACTCCAGCTCGATACCAGGTGGCAGGTCCCGGTCTCCCCTCGCTGCGAGCCATAACATGCGCTCTAGATCCAAACCGGGCGATGGCCCCGCGGTGTTCACCTGCTGCCCGGTACCCGTACCACCAAGCTGAGCAGAAGATGGGTCACTGCCCGGGGGTGTGGACAAGGCATCTGTCATGGCCTGATCGCCCTCGGTGTCCTCCTCATCCTCATCCTCGTCGTCGTCCTCATACTCGTCCTCCAGGTTCTGCCTCAGGCCCGTCCGCACGTTCTCGATGCCCATGGCGCGCTCCTCGGCAGTGTAGGCATCCTGATAATCATCCCTGACGAACTCCGCGAGCCGCGTCTTGCACCAGGCGCGCGAGTCGAACCAGACGTCGCCTATGCCGTGGGGCTCCGGGTCGCCCTCCTCGCTGTCGTCCGAGTTGTCGTCGTCTTCGTCGTCGTCATCGTCGTTGGCCCCGTACCCCTGCATCTCCGCCTCGAGCCTGGCGCGCTTGTTGCGCTCCTTGCGCTCCTGCGAGTCCTCGGTGGAGTTGAAGCTCGTCTTCGGGTCGACGCCGGCCGCGAGCGCCGCCTCGCGCGCGGACTCGACGAGCGTCTCGACGTCGGGCTCGAGCTTCTTGCGGAGGAGCTGCATGACGACGCCCTCTTGTGTGCGGCCGGGGTAGTTGGTGGATGGATATACGACTACGCGCTGGAAGGTGGATGAATGCTGTTGCATTATCTCGAGGAGGTGGGTCATGTTTTGTTTGAGGATGCGCGCGCTGTTCTGGAGGCTCTGACTGATTGTTGAAAGAGCTGTCAATAAACCATTGCGCATCAGGGGAGGAGTGACGCGGACAATCAGCACTCACGGGTTAGGTAGCGGGTTGCTCCTGTAGATGTCAGCCTTGAACCGCTCAAGCCCATTGCACAGTTGGACCAGGCGGAGGCGGGTCATTTCTAAGGCGCGCACTTCGTCCGGGCTCAAGTTGAGGGAGCCCTTTTGTGATTGACCATCGGGTTGATCTGATGGAGCCATAGCTCCAGCCATGGCTCCGGCCAGAGGGCTCATGGAGGCCATCGTCGCAAGTCTCCCGACCACACAACGCGAGACGCAGCGCAAGAAAGCCTGCTACTTGATGTTTCCAGGTTCCAGCTTAGTCGCGTTCGATCAAAACGGCGGTAAGAGTGAGTCTGGAGGCCGTGCCACGGCTCCTGTCGCCGGGAAGTTGAGCTATTGATTTGCAATCAGCAATCGGATGTTGCTTAGATGTTAGTGAAGCTGTTTGTACGTCTGTAATGCAGGCTTGGCAGGGAATAGAGCTTCTTCCCTGCCAGTGCCTGCCGGGTGTGCTCCACTGACGAGGATGGTACCGAGGTACCTGGACAGCTACCCCAAACTTTTCGGAGATGCTGGCCGGCCCAGTTACCCCGCAATTCGCTAGCGGCCACGCTGCTGACAAACATTGTGCCTGCGCCCTGGTGTGGCAGAAAATGGTCCAGGCCCAGTTCTGGCGCCCTGAGCACGCCATTCGAACTAGAAATGGCATCACCGTCCACCTCGAAACGGAACGGCTGCCATTGTCGAGGCTACTGCAACGGGTTCCTCTGCCGAACGCCCACCCAGAAACGGAAGTCGGAATTGAGTTCAGTCAGTTCAGACCAATGCAGCCCTACCGAGAGTCAGAGACGGGATCGGCAGGCACGAACGCTGAGCACGTCTGAATCTGGAGAAGTGATGACATTCTGCTTCTGACTCCTCTTGGCAATGGTGAGCAAAACGCTGACGAGCACGTAATTGCCTAGCTTCTTGTCACGGTGGCGACGAGAGCATGGCCCATGCGGGCCACGAGCTCCGGGAGCTTAGAACCTGGCCTCGGGCTTCAATCGCAGACGTGAATTTGACTACCTAATTCCTAGGTGCCTTAAAATGTCCTCGCGTTTCCCGCCTCGTGATTTGATTTGACATGACCAAAATTTCGTTCGCTGACTCCTTGATTCCTGCCACCCATTGACGCCAGCTTGATAGCAAGTGCGTGTAACGATGAGATGATAATGATAATTGGAAACCGTAAATGTAGCAAACTCCGTCACAATAAAATTCAAAGACCAATTCCAAAATTGAAATTCGTACAGTCGTATGTCTCACCGTCCGCTTTGGATCTTCGGGACACACCGAAGTGGAGCGGCAGACACTTCGAGCAATGTCGACGCTGAGGAGAGGCGTGAGGAGCCTACTCGCCGGCAGCCCCAGCTTGGTGGGACAGCAGCTTCTTGGTCGGAATTCCATTCGGATCAACAGGAGGGAAGCGTGCCATCCTCTCCAAGTCATCGAGGTCCATGTGAGAGCGGATATACCTGTTGCGAATGTGAGCTGTGCCGTCTTAGATATCGTGAGAACCTCAGCCTAAACTCACTTGTTCCGCCCGTCGTCGTTGGGGTTGTGGTCCCAGCTCGTGAAGTGACCGAGCTTGAGTGCCTTCCAGACAAACTTCCTCTGCCTCTGGCTCAGGAGGACCTCGTTGGTGATCTTCTCAAAGTCCCACTTCGCCCTCGCCTCCGCTCCAAATGCCTCGAACACCTCCTTGACCTTGAGGTCCTCGGCGCTCAGGCTGGATCCTTTCTTTGCGAGGCTCTTGACCAAGTCGTGCACCTCGTACGGGTCGTCCTTCAGGTTGAACAGCTGCTCGCCGTCTGCTGGGCAGATGATGTACTTCCATGGGCCGCGCCGGATCATCATGAGCGGGGACACAGTTCCCTCGCCGGTGTACTCTGCAAAGACGGTATCGTGGCCCTCCTGGCCCAGCAGGTGTGGCATCATGGAAATTCCATCCATTGGGAAACCCGGCTCCGGCTTGGTACCTACCAGGTCGCACATGGTAGGCAGGATGTCCAGAGTGGAGACGTTCTGAGAGACGCGGTGGGGGGTGAACCACTTGGGGTATGAGACCAGCATGGGGACCCGTACAGAGCCCTCGAAATAGCTCATCTTGTACCTGTAATTATTTAGTCAATCTTATGTCTGACAAATTTGAAAAGCCGCACGACGAAACTTACCACAGACCACGCTCACCGAGCATGTCGCCGTGATCACCCGAGAAGACGATGATCGTGTCGTCGGCCAGATCGCAGTCCTCCAGCGTCTGCAAGAGCTTACCAATGCAATCGTCGACATAGCTGCAAGAGCCGTAGTATGCCCTCTTGGCCTTCTTGATCTGCTCATCCGAGAAGCTCTCATCCCACAGGTCGCACACTCTCAGCAACCTCTGGCTGTGGGGGTCGAGTTCCTCCTTGGGGATCCTGACCTTCGGCAGGTCGATATCGACTCCCTCGTAGCGTTCCCAATACTTCTTCTCAATGGTGTAAGGGTCATGAGGGTGGGTGAGAGAAACCTACACGATCGAGCAGACACCGTTAGCAAGAAGTTAGGGACAGTGATTCGAAATCTACGGCATGTCACGGTTGCTGGATGCCCGGTCATCCACATATTATGTTTTTTCCCTTTTTTAAAACGTACCGTCAAACTGAAAGGTCGATCATCGGATTTCCGGACCTGGTCGTAGAGGAACTGGGTGGACTTGTACATGACCTCCTCGTCATAGTCAAGCTGGTTGCTGCGGACGCACACTCCTGCCTGCTTGATGGAGCTGGCGTTGTGGTACCACTCGAGCCTGGTCTCTGGATTGTCCCAGTCCACGGACCAGCCAAAGTCGCCTGGGTAGATGTCGCTTGTGAGGCGGGTCTCGTAGCCGTGCAGTTGGTCGCCGACGAAGTGCATCTTACCGGCCAGCACCGTGTGGTAGCCCCGCAGTCGCAGGTAGTGGGCATATGTGAGGACGTCGCTGCCGATCTGGGATGCGTTGTCGTAAGCCCCAATCTTCATGGGAAGCTGGCCCGAGATCATGCTCATGCGCGAGGGCGCGCAGAGTGGCGATGGGCAGTAGGCCGAGTCGAACTGGACGGATCTTGCCGCAAGGCCATCAAGGTGGGGCGTCTTGATCTGGGAGTCCGGGTTGTACATCTTCAGCTGGGGCGCTGACATCTGGTCGGCCATGATGTACAGGATGTTGGGCTGCTTCTTGCCATTGCCCAAGGCGGCGTTAGTACCATTGCCCTGCCCATTGAAAGGAGTCTGTTCCTTCGTCAGGTTTGGTGACGAAGGGAGAGAATTTAAGTCGGGTGACATTTTATCTGTGTGTAGGTATAGACAACTCTGTAACCCAAACAGTATGATAGACCCAGATATCTCGGGAAAGAAAAGGACAGGCAAAGCGCAATGCAGCAGGAAGAAAAAAGATGTTGGTGATGGTGTGAAGTTGGCGCCGGCGGGTATGAAACCTGATATCAGAAAAGGTGAACCAGGCTTAGATCAGACAAGAAGCGGCAGAAGAGGAGCCCAAGACAGTCCGTCCGTCACGCCCGATTATGAATCCTTCCAGTTCGCCTCCGTGCCCCCCGAGCAATGACCAGAGGATGACCGAGGTCGGTGAGAAAGGAGCCCAAGGCGCGTATGCGTCTCGGCCCAGTAATTGCGACGGTTGACCGTATGCGTAATCAGACGCTCCGACTGTAAAGTACAGCCTCCTTCCTGATGGGTACGGAGAGATACAGAGATACAGGTGGGGACGAGAGGCAAGGTGAAGTGACGAGAGGTTCCACGCAGGGCTGGGGGTGTTCTCCTTCTCAAACAAGAAACGCGTATAAGGAGCTAATTCTGATCAACGTCTTTGATCACGCAATTCAAGTTGTCGACTGCTTTGATCACGCAATTCAAGTCAACGCTTGTGAATTAGGGGACGGTGAGTCTTATATCCCTTATGCTGGCAGGTGCAATCGCAGCCTGACAAATACTGCCGACTCGGAAAGGGTTCTCATTGGTTCATTCCAGCTGACGCAGTCAGGCGGTCAGCCGATCCAGATTCCGCCCCAGATTCATGCCAGTCTCTAGACTCAGACCCTTCATTTCTGTCAAGCCACAAGTGGAACATCCACCATCGCCTGTCATTGGACGGCCCCGAGTCTCGATTCCGCCAAGCATTCTGGCATTCAGTCGTCGAATCAGCGTTTCAATTGCCTGTTTGTCAGTGTTGGACGGCGTCCAACCTGGCAGAACCGTCCACAATCCGTCATGCCTCCCGGAGGAAGCGAGCAGCTGATCTGGCAGCCGCTTCGGAGAGCTCCACCAAGAAGCCACGCTTGACTGCCAGTTCGAAGTCGTCGAAGAAGCAGCTAAACGGCAAACCAGTATCTCTAGCGACAATCCGAAAAGTCTACGGCAAAGCTGACAGAACCTGGGGGAAAACGCCAGAACAAATCATCGATATCCTACAGAATGCTAGGGTTTTCTCTCCGGATGCGATGATCTAGGAATGGTCGACATCAGGTTGCGATGTTTCAGCTTTACGGACTTTGCGGAATATGGTTGGTGGTGGTTTGGAATTTCCATTGCCAGATCGTGGGAATAGTGCATTATTATTGGCGAAAAAGGTGTTGCCGGGGACTTTTTGCTACCAGTTGAGTGTCATTTTTGGGCTTGCTTTTCCAGATGTTTACGTGAAGCCGCATATGAGCATGGCGGATACTGCCATGTTGAAGGACATTTGCCGGATTCTTGTTGCTTTTGACTCGCGTGTTGCGAAATGAGGTTTCTCTCGGCCTGGGTTGCTTGTCGTTGATTGTATGTGGGGCATGAGCCAATGGTAGAATGAATTGAAGACCCTTGAAGAGCCGCCTGGGCCCAGATTATGCAGCGTGTCTCTGACTGACGAAGACCGCCCACGAGGACTGGTATCACGTTGACAACTTGACTAGGGCTGTGGCCAGGTTCCTCCACCACTGATCCCACCGATCGTTATCTCTCGAACTGGTGTTGCCTGTTGTTGATCATCTGTAGGGGATGAATAGGGGATTAGGGGGCGGACTGGCAAGACAGGAGGATCATCAGTCTTGCAGCAACACAGTCGGTCACCGCGGACCAGAGCCGGCGTCACAAGCTTTGCTTCCAGAGAGTAACTGTAGATCCAGATCAATGGATTCAACATCCTCGACATACCTCCTACTAGCGGTTAAGCTACCAGAGGTAATTATACTAGAAGTCATCCAGCCCCATGGAAGGCCGCCCTCCCATCCCAAAGGAGAGTACTCTGCTAGAGACCAAGAGGGTATCCCACAGGAGCTTGTCCCACAGGAGATTGTCCCACAGGAGGGTATCCCACAGGAGACTGTCCCACAGGAGACTGTCCCACAGGAGACGCTCCCAAAGGAGCCTCTCCTGCAGGAAGTTATCCACAAGGAAATGTTCTACGGAAGGATTTCCCACAAGACTTATTCTAGAGAAGATTTTCCTATTGAATCTTGTCCTATAATCCATCACCACGTTTTCAGCTTCATGGTTTTACACATGCACCACATCGCCGGCAGCAAACGCTTCGTCTGCGGTCGAATGCGCTACTGCGCCCTCCAACCGCCCTCCTCCCTCCACTCCCCCGGCGGCGTGCATCTCTGACGAGGGAGCATTCTCATATCAGGCTCGACGGCTCGGCCGGATAGAATTGAGTCTGGTGATTTGTTTGCATGAGTGAACAGCTCATCCCTCCCCTCTATATCGGGCATCTTGAAGCGGCTATCCCGCCGACAGCCGCCCTCTAGCCACCAGCTGGGCGAGACGTACGCATTTGTTATCGTGCCCAGGCGAATCGAAAACACCCGTCCAATCTCGATCCATGGACGGTGCGATGCCCACTCGCGCAGCCTGGCACAGTCTGCAGCAATCCGCGGACACCCCCTGGCTCGGTGGTCCTCCTTCCTGTCATGTGCAACCGGGCTGGCCGAGTCAGTTTGAGGCGTGGGCCTGACCACCCAGCGGGGGAACATCACCGACGGAGAGCATTCTGGATGACGGGCTGACGGCTATCGCGGGCTTCCCCAAAGCGGAAAGCGGACATGGGCTAGAAATCAAGGTCTGACATTTGCGTAGATCTAACTACCATAGGTCTTGGCTGGAAGCCATTAGATGTGCCCTCCTGCACCTCCCCATCCAACTCAAGATGACCCACCACAAATGTCTGATCTCGTGAAGACGCCGAAACACCGCCAATGACCTCTCATGGGCTTCTCATCCTCGCCTGCGCGTCGTCGGCGCTTTCTTCGGAGTGATAGTGGCAGTTGAGGAGCCCGTAGTGTTGTTGGCGGACGCCGCGATGGGCTGCGGGACCTTCTCTTTCCGCTTTCCCAACGCCTTGGCGGATGGCTGGTTCCAGTAGTACAGCATCTGGAGAGCGAGCACGAGGTTGAGTGCAAAGCCCGCGACGAAGCTGTATAGGATCAGCTTGTCGTCCACCTCCTGCAGTGTTGTATAGACGCGCGCCAGCGAGCCGAGCAAGTAGTTGAAGACCTGTCCGAGAGTAATATTAGCCTTCTGTACCCGCACAACATGTGATTTCCAGGAATGTGACTGTAAGTGGTCTCAAAGCACAGCTCCCCGGGATCGCCGGACTAGAGACTTACCGTGAAAGCGCTAAGCTGGCCGGTACCACCCTCCTGCCAGATAGCCAGAATCTGGGGCAGCTTGCTCGCGACGCCGAGGGTGCCCGCGCCGGCCTGGAGGAGGCCCATGGTCTTCGCGTCAAGCAGGCCCTCGGTGAAGAGGGCGCCGACGGCGCCGGCGAGGGCGGCGACGAAGAGGGCGGCGAAGCCGGCCCTGCCGCTATAGTTGAGGACCAGGACGGTGATGACGACGTTCTGGCCGAGGATGAGGGCGGTCTCGCCGTAGGTGGAGAAGGGGAAGCCGTTGCGGACATTGTAGGCGAGCGAGATGAGGTAGCTGGACGTCTCGAGCAGGTACGAGAGGAAGCTGACGCCCGACGCGGAGCGCGACCGCGCCAGGTTGACAATCTGCGGCACCTTGACCACCGACGACGCCGCCACGATGCCCACGCCCAGCGCCTTGGACACGGCGAGCTTCAGGCACCCCTCGTCGGCGACGTCGATGTCCAGCACTAGCGAGGAGTAGCACTTGTCGCCGATCAGCGAAACCCCCAGGTCCCGGATCGGGGCCGGCAGGTTGTGCGTGATGGGCTGCAGGACGGGCTGCAGGGCGTCGCGGATGGATTCCATCTTGGCTGGGAGTATGCCCTGGTCAGGTTGCTCGATCGGCAGTGACGGACGGGTCGAGGGCGACAAGCTGGGGCGGGCCTCTTGCTCGTGACGAAGGAGATTGGGGCGGCCGGGTCGGCAGGTGGTATGATGGTGCGATGGTTGGCGAGAGACACTTCTCACCACTTGTCACAAAACTTCCCGCAAGGCTGACCCGCGGGTGGGAAGCAGCTCCCGAAGGCTGTGGGGCCGCTGACCCAAGGCTTATATCTGATTGGTTGTGGAAAGCTCCGGTCGTACCAAGGTCCCTGGGATCCAGTTTCTTCACTTTTGGGAGCTGTCAGAAGATGTCATCCAGCATCCAGACCCGATGAAATGTCACTGGATTCTGTTGCCGAAAAGTTACCCCCTTGAATCAGTAGCCATTTGCATTGCTAAGTTTCGGTTACACATGATTACAAGGCCTCCCTTTTTCCTGATTTTTATTTCCAGAGTTGACCACAGCACCACCTGTTCGTAGTAGCTCCTGTACGCAAAACTTCGGCTAAACCTGAGAACCTCATCTGACGTGGACACACTTGTAGCGCCGCATTCAACCCCAAAGCTAGGTCCAGCTTTCTTGCGCGTTGATTTTAAAGAGACCAAGCCCTACAACTGCCTATTTCAATGTAGAAATTGCCATGAAGTGACAAGTGCCACTCTGCCTGGTCACTGAAAGATTGTTGAGCCAACTGCGTCCACCAGTGAATAGACGATGCAAATGAAAAGATCGTACCACACCAATTCCGGGATCTCAACGGTGTCATCGTGTCCCGACCCGTCAAGCTGCGAATGTTGCGCGCCTTCTCAAAGCCCCTGGCTTGGCTTTGTCAATGTGCCTGAACACCTGACCTAGCAACCCCTACTTCGCCTTGGGACGACCGGGCCTGCCACGGCGGCCAGGACGTCCAGGACGTCCTGCCGCGGCCTTTCCGGCAGCTTTCTTGACGGGGGCTTTCGCGGCAGCTTTCGCCGGAGCTTTCTTGGCCGGCGCGGGTTTCTTGGTGGCGGCTGTTCCCTTCTTCGCCGTCTTGTTCTCTTTGTTCTTGGTCACCTCGTAATCCTTCAGCAGCTCTTTCGCGTGCGCCAGATTCGTCTTTGGCTCCCAAGTGTTGTCCCCCTCGGCGTAGCCTTTCCACTTGACCAGGAACAGAACCTGTTTTGTCTTGGCGTCCATACCGGAGTCCAGAATCTCCTCGACCTCGTACTCTTCGGCGTCGGGCTCCTCCTTCTCGACCTTTGGCTTTCGGCCAGGTTTGCCGCGACCGGATTTTGGTACCTAAGTCCCCGCCAAAGACTGTCAGCAACGAGGATCTCGTGCAATACCTGCAAACGGCAGAAGAAACATAAATGTAGACGTACCTCCTTGACGGTACCGGAGGCAGCGCGGGGCCGCTTCTTGCTGGCCTCCTTGATGCCCTCCCTCGCTGCCGCGGCAGTAGCGCGGCCGCGACCAGAGCGCTTGTCAGCAGGCTCGTCCACATCTTCCTCGGCCTTGCGCTTGCGACCGCCAGCCGCCTTCGCAGACTTGGGTGACGCCGGGGTGGACACGCGCGAGGGACCCTTGGAGGCGCGGCCTGCCTTCTTGGCGCTGACTGGAGCTGGAACGTCCATCGGTGCCTCGGGGGCGGCGCTTTCGGTGGCGTGACCGTTTTCCAGGTCTGCGTCGGCGTCTCCGTCGTTACTGTCGGCGTCTCCGTCGTTACTGTCGGCGTCTCCGTCGTTACTGTCGGCGTCGCCGTCCTGTTCGTCTTCGTTCTCAATGCGGACGACGGTCTGCGCAACCTCTTCCTTCAGGATATCGGGAATAACAGGGCCGGAATCGAGCGGTTCTTCGTCGTCATCGAAGTTCCCGAAGTTGTCGTCGAAAAGATCTGTGCCGATATTGGGAAATGGGACGTCGTCCATCGCATCATCCCTGTGAAGCCACACATCAGCTGACACTGGCCATGCGACCCCCCGCGAGGTGAAATTGACAGTAGCATTGGGGGTTGGGAGGCTGGGCAGCATGAAGCCGCAAGTCGCCTTACATGTCTTCGACGAATGGAGGCATCGTGTCCTGTTGCGGCGGCCTCGATGGTCCGCTATTGAAGATGGTTCGGTTGACGAATGACGCGAACTTGCGCGGGCTCAGATATTCGGCCGTCTTGGATCGCGCGTCTGGGTTGAGGACCCCAAGACGCTACTCCTCCAGGTCGCAAAAAGCTGTGTGATTTTCAGAGATGATGTGCCGAATGGCGCGATTTGGGGGGATGGGATGAAGTGTCGCACAGAGGCAGTGAGGCAATGGTGAAAGAGGGCGCGTCATGGTAGTTGAACAGCGGCGCGGTAGGGCGCTCACATGTCAGACGCTGCGTTGTTGAACTTACACGAAATTTGATGAAAGGCTCCTTGGACTGGAGATGAAAAACCGCGCAAAGCCACTTGACCCTCGGCTTGTATCAAGACTCAATTGGCATGGAAGGTTGATCAAGAGGGTGGTGTCGGAGTCGCGTGTGAGAAGGAGCAGGTAAACACTGTCACAGGGCCAGTGCGCTGTGTGGGGTGTTACACTCATTTGCATTCCACACCGCCAAAACCACGCTAGTGACACCGCCGTGTTAATACATACCTAACTTGTATGCATACTATCATTTTAACACTATATTAAATATTTCTTAATGAACATTATTTAATTTAATTAAACTTAATATATAAAAATAAAAGGCGTTTTTAATTATTAATATTTTTTATATTAATTTTAAAGTTTTAATTATATTATAATTTATATTATAAATATAATTTTAAGTAAAATTTTAATTAAATTTAATATATTTTTAATTAAAGCATTATAAGTTTAACTTTAATTTAATTATTAAATTCTTTTTATTTAATTTTAATATATAATTATATAATTATTTATATTAAAAATATAATTTAAAATATTATTTATTATTTATTTAAAAATATAAAAACAATATTTTTTAATTTTAAATTTAAATTTAATATAAAAAGAAAAATTAAATAATTAAGTATTAGCTAAGTTAATATATATTTAATGGGTGATAGCAAACTAGTTATATTTAAATTAGCTATATAGAAGGAAGGAGGGTTGCGGCCGTAGGCTGCAGAACCTCCCTCTGGCTATAGATTATCTGGGGGTGGTCACGTGCTGCAGCACGTGACCCTTGCCTGCCGGGGCTCTGGTGCTAATTGCCCATAGTGCCTATCGTGCCCAATGCTGCTGTCCCCCTATGGCACGCCCATAACCATACTAGGAATGCTTTTTATTATTTAAAATATTGTTTTAATATATTAGAGTTAAAATGGTAAAGTTAGTTATATGTGCATGCAAAAAAGGCATGCGTTAATTTCGCGGCGTCGTTTTTTTTTGGCGGTGTGGAATGCAAATGAGTGTAGTGCAGTTAAACTCACGCCTAAATTTAGACCCAATTGTCCAGAAGTTGTGGAGTCAGTTAACAGTTGATGGGAGCTCACCTTGATCGCAACAGCCACTTCGTGCTCGGCCGGATTTCTCCGGACAAGGATCCAATCTTTGATTCTAAGCGACTCAGGTCTGTTATTTTCTAAGACGAGGAGCCTCAAGGCGGGTAATCCATTGATCAGGAAAAACTAGGCGAGTCATAGGGAAGGGTGTGCCGCAGCGTTGTGATTTCAGTAGGTATGTCGTCCCCAGAAGTGGGGGAGGAGCTTTGGCGCAAATATTATACTGTACTGCGGATACTGTACCCTGTCTTCTTACAACAAAGGTAACGAGACAATTTGCAAAGGATGAGCATGCACATGGTGGTACTAAACATGTAGGGTCTATTGATGCCATCACAGAGCTGCTGCTCGTTCTTGTTCATTGAGACGATTCGTAGCAATGATTGGTTCTGACTGCTTGGGAAATCATATTGCGAAAAGGCGTCTATGTCGGTCTATCGGGCTGCTTCTTTACTGACACTGACATGGTATCACGCTCTTACCCGGGAAGCCATGCATCAAAATCGAACCAGCATCGCTATACCAGAATTACATCTCCTGCAGACTCGAACGTCTGCCCAGCCGCGATGTATAAATGTTTCCGTTCAGTCCGGTCCTCTGGAGCCCCTTGTTAGGGCAGTATCCTTACTGCGGTGACCGAAAGGCTTAGTCCAATTCTTCCACCCTCTCATCATCCTTGATATCCTGAAACCGACCCTCTCGAAAAGCCTGTTCCACCGGATTCTGCACATCCACGATGCCAGTCTTCTTGAGCCTGTTCAAGAATTAGCGTCACCGTACAAACAAACAAATTGGTCCAAGGATCTAGTCAGCTTACCTCTCAAACAACACGAACAGCCTCTCGGCCTCCCTCTCCTTCTCCTCCTCGGTCATCTCTGGGAGATCCGGGCCACTTTCCTGATCCAGGAACTGTCCCGTGATGGGGTTCACTGGTCTCCCGCTAGGCCCCGCGCCATCTGCTCCGACAGCGTTCTGCGGCACGGGAATGTTGTTCTGGAACAAAAAGCCAGACGCAAAGCCGTAACCTACGTTTTCGACGAACTTGGAGGCGTCTTTGTCGGACATCTCGAACAGGAAATGCGAGATGGCGTCTCGGAGCTGTGGTGTCAGCGGGTTGGTCGAGTTGCGCAGGAGCCTCGCAGGAAGCGATTCTCCGCGCCCGAGGACCATTTCTCGGTCGACCTTAGCCGGGAGCACTTTGTTTCGGATGATCTTCTGCACATCTTCTGGCGCGCTCTCGTGTATGCTTCGCAGAACGCTGACCAGGGGCGTTACAGTCTGCTCGAGGTCGGTGTCTTTGTATGCTTGCATTGAGAGATCAAGCAGATGTATCAGTCTTTCCACTGCCGATGCTCGATGGTCGCCTTCTCGGTACAAAGACGTCTGGGCTTCACTGCTTTCCAGCTTCAGGTTGACCAGAGCGTTCACGAGAGCGCTGAACGGGCCGTCGAGTGGCCGTGAAGGCGTGATATCCCGTTTCGTCAGTAATGTGAGGATGTGAGGAACAGCCGGCGTAAAAGATTCAACCCTGGCCTTGCAGAAATGCGAAACGTTGAACATCAACTTCAGCGTGTCTGCGAGTGCCATATCCTGCATCGGATCTGCCTGTGCTTTTCCAGGATTCGAGGCGAGTTTTGCATGGTTGGCCAGTTTCGCGATGATAGTGTCTGCGAGCCCGTGGTCATCAATCAACTTCGCCAGATCGACATTCGTGCCATAGGTGGTGAGAAAGATCACCCTCGAGCAGAGGAACTCATCGTCCCAGGTGTCTCGCTTCAGTTGTGCGCATGCCTTCGTCTCACAGCCCAGGTCGACAAATACTTGCCGGGCCTCAGGCTTGATCAGCATGGCGTTGGCCAAACATCTCAGGGCGTTGTGTGAGGTCGTGGCAGAAGCGTCAAAGGCATGCCGTGTCAGCGTTGTTATGCCCTCCCTGGTGAATATGGGATCTGCGTTCCTCGGGTCTCTGCCGTGAACCTTGACTTCCTCCAGGGCGGCATCACGTTCTAGATCACGTTAGGAGCTGCAGGTATTGGGTAGAAAAAAGCACACGTGAGACAACTCACGCTCGGTTGTAAGATCCTGCTTTTCCAGGTCAGTGGCCAGCTTTTCCATCAATTTGCTAACCGCCTGAAGCTTGGCTATGTGGTATGTTAGCGGACGGGAGCTTGTGCCCAGGTGGTGTCACTGAAGATCCGGGAACTTGCCTGCACCTGTGAGACCTCCGGTCCATGGCTGCCCTGCGGAGGACGCCATAGCATCCAGGCTGTCCGAAGCCTTGATTATTCCACGCAACAAGCCAGCACTGAAGTCTTTGTCCTTTGCAGTTGGGAGCAGATCGGCTACCTCGGTAGTCGCAGGTTGGCTGCCGTGCAGGGTGATGCTCAAGCTTGCATGCGCGGGGCCTTGTAAGGTCGTGCTCCTGTAGTCGTGGTCTCGTAATGTCGTGAAAGTCGAAAAGGACAGAATTCCTCAGGCAGAATGCTTCAGGTGAAGATTAAAGGATGAATCCTTGGAAGGGGGAGGGGTGTTGAGATATCAAGGTTGTCGGCCCCGAGACCCTCTTTTTCGCATAGAGTCAACTGACAGAGCGATTCATCAGCAAGCACATGGGCCAGAATGCACGACGGGATGGCGACAAGGTAGGAAGCCCAATCAAGGAACAGGCGGCGGGAGCATGAGCCAACCGGGATGGAGGTGGAATTGGTGAGTGAGCTGAGATCGCAGCCCAGGCCTTCCCGCCGCAGACGCAGAGAAATGAAGATGTGATACCGGAGCTTGGTGGATGAGATCACCTGGCAAGTCCAGCCCGGGCCAAGCACAGAGGCTGAGCCCGTCAGTGGGCCGGCCCAGTAGTTACAGGCCTTGCTGCACGTCTGATGTTCGATGCCCAGCTGTGGGGAGCCTGCAATGCAACCCAGGGAGCGGCAGCTGCGAGGGTCCCCTGAAAAAAGGGTGGGGGCGCTGCAGGTTGATTTCCCCAAGGAGCAGCGCATCGGGCTCAGCTGCAACGGCAGCCGTTACGACGCTCTGTCCACACTGCACCCATGTGGCATCCTTCCGGGGTGAGATGGCAGCATGGCAGGCTAACAAGCTCACGGCTCTGTTGCTCCTAGAGAGTCCTCGGACATCTTGGAAATTGGTTTATTGAAGCTTCTTCCTCCTGCCGCATGGATTGCAGACGTCGTCATCACGTCCTCTCACCACACTTGCGTCAGCTGTATAATACAGACAGGTTGGTGATGGGTGGTATTTATTATACAGCTCTTTGGTAGTGAATACTATGTTATACAGGCAGGTCGTGTGGTGACCGCCCCCCAATGGAGACCAACATGGGCATCTGAGCCGCAGATATGCCTTCGGTATCTGATGTACCTGGGTACGGGTATGACTCCTTACCCCAGCTGCTAAACGCCTTTAAAAGATCAAACCCCCCTTTTCAACGCCTAACAATGCCATAATCATCAAGTGGAGATGTTCGAGTCGGATCGCTGCTTACTCAACATCGAGCTCCTTCTGCCTTTCTGACGACCGCTCATTGACGTCCCGGAAGACCTTCTTGCCCATCTCGAAGCTGCTGATCATGATCGCACACGCCGGTGCCACTTTCGCCACACGCGGCAGCCATCCTCTGAACAGGCCGGAGGGTCCCTCCGTCCGTACAATGTGCTGCAGGAGGCGAACCATCGTCTGCTCCTCGGGTGCCGCGCCTCTCTTCACAGCTTCGCCCGCCACGCTCCTTCCGCTCTCGTTGTACACTTGGGTGCGCGTCTTGCCGACATCGAAAGGCATGGTTGCGATGCAGGCAAACGCCCCTGACAGGGACCCTGCAAGGAAGCTGTCCACAAAGGTCTCGCGGTGGTTCTCGTGGCTCTGTGACATCCGCCGGGCCCTGGGACCGCCAGCCACAGTCCGTCCCTTGCTGCGCTCCCTGGCGTCTATAAGCTTCCCCCGTATCGTCTCGTAGCCCCACCAGTACATCCCAGAGAAGGGCACGTCCCTCCACAACGTCAGGCTGAGGCCCCTCCATAATGAACGATAGCCATGCGTCTTCAGCTGTGACCGCATGCTGTTGAGAGTGTCCTTGACGTGGCTCGTGGCCGTGTCCCCGTGAGAGGCTTGCAGTCTTGTTCGGAAGAGCTCCATCGGCCCGATGGCCGTGGCGGCGACGACGCGCGCGAGGATACCAGCCACGAGAGGCGCGTAATTGGCGTTCATACTAGCAACAGGGCTTCTCTTGTCGTATCTTAACCATTCGTATCCTGGGAAGTAGATCATGTTGGCCGGGATGGCCATGAGCAGCGTGGGCGATAAGCCTCTCCACAGTGTGAAGAATCCCTCGTTCCTGGCGATCTTGCGCATGCCATCGAGTGTGGACGTGAATGTCTTCTTTTGCGTCTCCTGCACTGCGCAGTCTGCCCTCGCCGGTCCATCGATGTGAGGGCCGACGACACAGACTTCGGCATTATTGTTCATGAAGAAGACCTCCCTACAGCACGAGGTCACGCCGAGGTTCGCGGGAGGCCTGAACATCTCGCGGGACTTGAGGGCGAAGTGCTGAGGTTCGGCTGTTAATGTCGGGGCGTGCTGCTGTTGGCTCAGGCTCTGGGATTGCCAGCGCACTCGGACGACGTCGAGCGGTGTCACTATCTGCAGTTAGCCTTGTGCCCGCTGCGACCGAGTGGTGCAAAGATCCATCACGTACTTGTCAGGCCAGTCAACAGACTTCCCGTCGTTGCGGACAGCATCTTCTGGAAGGGGGTGATGTCGGGGATTGTGCCGCTGCTGCCGTCCACACCATCCTGCTTGGGCGGCAGCACTTTGCGCAGGTCTAAATTGTTGGTGTGATCGAACCGGTCGTGGCCTTGCCCGGGCGGGCTGCTCTGCAGGACGGTGGCCATTCGGGCGCACCTCGACGCACGCGGTGGTGCGGAGCGACGAGGACGGCCGGCCGGTTCGGTTATTTGGTCCAGTCACGCAGGATGCGTGAGTCTGGAATAGGCAGGAGCCTTTAAAGGCCCGAAATCAAGTGTGTGTGACGCTGTGTTGGTGTGATGTGTGAAGAAGCAATCAATGGGTAAGCTTCAAGGTCTGGGAGGGGTGTTGCCTCGGGTTTTGCGTTATGCTTTTTTCTCAAGTACCTGGGTCACGGTCAGAATAGCTTCCGGCGATTCCCTTTGGATTTACAAGGGTCCCAATTGCGTCGATGACATCAGTGGCCAATGGTAGGTGTTTGGGTGGAGACGGCCACACTACAAACCGCTCTCGGCTCTGGGCGATATCGGAATTTGCTAGACAATCTACTTGGACCTGCGATAAGACCTGGGTTCGATCGCACTCATTAATACCATGGCCAACTTGTCATCTGCTCCGGTGTTAGCACACTTGGTCCACCAAAGAGGCCCCGTCTGGCTGGGTTTGACTCAAATGTAAGAGATCCCCACGGCGGACCGCCACTATGCCGTTCCTTACCGCGGGTGGTGCACGCAGATGCCGAAATGCATGTACATATACCTGACATGCACCACAGCTCGCAGGGATCACCAGCTTTCACATGTAACCAGCATCATCTTTCCTCTGGGAGATTTCACGCAAGGTGACCTATATGGTAAACCTCCTATGTATGGAGACAACCTCTTGTGGGATAACCTCCATGGGCACATTTTCCTGTAAGGGAACTTACTGCCAGACAACCTCCTATAGGGCAATATCTTGTGAGATGAGCTCCTGTAGAATGAACTCCCGTGGGACAACCTCCCGTGGGATGATATCCTTCAATTTCACCTCCTGTGGATTGAACTGCAAGGTGATAACTTTGGCATGTGTGTCCAGACGATATTTAGTATCCCTGCAGGTTGTAGGTCCCGCTCACCTCGGTCTGGGACGGCGGGGTGGGGTCACTGTGCAAGCCGCTGCAGGCTCCCGTCCGTTTGGGGTCCATTAGATAAGATAGAGCGTCATCACGGCCAGCCGAACGACCTCAGCCACTAATGCTCCCCGGTGACTCTATGCTGTGGATACACGCGCCCGTCCATCCCTTAAACAAAGCCACTTCCTTCACGTGTATATGTAGAGGTCGGAGAGGCACGTCGCTCAGCAACCCTATGGCCCTGAACATCACCTCAAAACCGATCGCAACCACAGTTCACAAGTAAAAGCCCGCTCGATGTATTTCTAAGCAGGTCGCCGCCAGGACCTGCGTAGACTCGGCCAGCGAGATGGATCCCCAAGAGGCCAACCCAGAGCTTGAATCATTCCGTGAGAAGTGGCGCGCCGAGGTCAGGGCTAGGAACACCGCATCCTCCGGGTCGCAACAGCAAGCACCTCCAAGTACCAGCCATGCCACCAGCTCGCAGCCCGCCGCCTCGCTCCCGCCCCGGCCCGCCCACTTCAGGGCCGGCAAGCCAAAGGTCCTCGAAACCGACGATGACTACGTACAGGAAAGAGTGTTTGGAGACATAGAGCCACAGCCGGCGGCGCGGCAAGCTGAGCGAGATGCTGCGGACCCGGTGACCGCGCTTGACCACTACGAGCATGCCGTTGAAAAGGAAGGCCAGGGGTCTCTAGGTGACAGCCTGCGGCTGTATCGAAAGGCTTTTAGGGTACGCATCGCCGCATGCTAAAACCGAGCTGTCTTTCTGCTGACAGCTGTGCCCCCAGATGGACCACAAGGTCGACCAGAAATACAAGAACAAGCACCATGCAGCTGCTTGGTAAACCAGCCCAGGCCACTAAACCAGATCCTCCTCCTGCGGTCCGAGATGCGCCACAGTCGCCCTCGGAGAACAGGTCCTCTAAGGATGGCCAGTCATCTGCGGAGGGTAAGGCCTTGACAGCGGAAGAGCTTGTCGCAAGTTTCGCCGGGCTTTCGATCGAGCCCGCCCAGCCATATATCAAAGGCATGCCGCAGCCGCCCTGTCCCATCGCCGAATTGCCGGAAGAGATCCTCGTACACATACTACAAGAACTCGTGGAGGCAGATGTTGGTGATTTCGTCCGACTGTCACGGGTCTGCAAGCGCTTCGCCTGGCTGATCGCTACCGAGGACAGTATATGGAGGCGGACATGTCTCGGCCCAAAGTTCGGCTTCGCGGGGATGCACTATGAATTCCGGACAAGTGTGGATTGGAAAGCCCTTCCCGAGGAGCGCACGCTTCTGGACGACCCAGAGGAGGCAGCACGTCGTCGCGAGGAAGAAGCTCACGCGACCACCGCTGCACTTCTCGACACAACTTATCGCACGTGGCAGCGCATGTTCCGACGACGGCCGCGGATACGCTTCAACGGCTGCTACATATCAACCATAAACTACATTCGGGCCGGACAGCAGACCAACTCCCTGACATGGAACTCACCCATACACGTCGTCACGTATTACCGGTACCTGCGGCTCTTTCGGGACGGCACGGCAATCACCCTGTGCACGGTCGAGGAGCCGTCGAATGTGGTGCACCACATGACCAAGGAGGCCCTCTCGCTGCACAAGGGGGGCGCGATGGCCCACCTGCCGAGCAGCATGATGCAGCACGCGCTGAGGGCGCGGTGGAGGTTGAGCTCGGCGGCAGACTTTGTCGACGAGGACAAGGAGGTGAGCCTGGCAGACACGGAGGGCAATCTGTTCATCGAGTCCGACGGCGGGGGCAACTATCTGTACAGGATGGAACTGGCGCTCCGCACGGCGGGCAAATCTGCGAGCAATAACAAGCTTGCGTGGCGTGGGTTCTACAGCTACAACAAGAGCGCGGAGGTGTGGGATGAGTTCACACTCAAGGATATAAAGCCCTTCTTCTTCAGCAGGGTGAAGAGCTACGGGTTTGCAGAGCTTGAAAGCAGCCAATGATCAAGCCGCATAGAGCAGTGCATGGCAGAGCAGACTAGATACCGAGGGCAGTTACTACATACAGCACCTAGAAGTAAAGACAACAGAACATACTAGCCCAAAGAGGCACGACGCGCTCCACTGGGATATATTTGGTAACGTGTGAGGAATGGCCATAAATGAGGCGCAACGATGGAGAAAATCTGGTTCGGCCAGTCCCGGGAATGGGGCACGGGCAGGCATGGGTGCCTCGTTCATCCGACGTCTGGCAGCTTTGCTAGGCTGCCCAAGCATGAAGTCGTCGTTTCAGATTAATGCCACCTACTCAGCGCCGGTCAGAGCGGGAGGGGAGGCAAACAGGATTCCCAAGCAGAGCGAGAATGGCTGATGGCTGTGCATGTCAGCCTGAGGTCCGGACCGATCATTATATTTTCTCAGCCAAGGGTCGTACACAACGCCTCGCTAATCTTGGGGGAGCCCCGGGCGCCGGGACTAGACGAAGAAGGAGCTGCTCAACCATGAGAAACGACGGCACTAAGGCCGCGGTCCGCCGAGCTCTCCAGCCATAGTGCATCTGGCTGCGGTACCGGGCCATTGGTGCGGGTCAGCTGGTACCGTGCACGTTTATGCTTTAAGTTTTTTGCTTCTCGTGCCCGGAACGGTGTGGCGCGTGTTCGCAGTGCCAAATTGCTCGCGAATGGAAGTGCGCGGGGCCCGAATACCAACCTAAATAGCCTAACTAGTAGCATTTTAGTACTTGGGTTGGTGTCGAAGATATTTCTTTTCCGTGGGGGCGAAGAATGATGACATAGACAGAGTCGATCGGAAACATTGTTGAGAGACAGTCTCATCATGCGACCTCTGCGCGCTGTTGTTCCTGACCGTTGAGAGATAGGCCAGATGCAGGCAGATTAGATTGATTAGCTAGCAGGCCGAGCACAGGGCGGCAGCAACCGCGTGCTGCCCCTGGCCCCAAGCACCGGAATGGAGAGGAGCAAATGGGCCTGAGAGGACAGAGGACAGAGGACAGAGGCAACATGCAGGCGTGTGGCGGGACTGCCTGCATCTTGACGACGCTGACATGCAAGGCGTCAGCCACAGCAGACGCGAGGTGAGCTTAAATCATGACAGTGGTGGCGCTCCTCATAAGCAGACGACACGCGTAGTAAATAGGTTCCAGCTGTGGAGTGGGGGGACGAGTTTGTATTGCAGTCCAGCCATGGGGTTGATGAGCGCGGGGTCTTGCATTTTTGGCCTCTCAGTTGGGCCTGCAGTTGGGCTTGCAGTCGGGTTAGGCAAATGAGTGGTGGTTGTTATCCAGTGGTTCTTATTGCACGGGTTTTTAGGCGCTGCCAGCGCATTCAACCCCCATGATGGCCAGGTGAGAGGCCAATGGGCAGCTAGGCAGCGCACACGGTAGAGGTATGTCTGGAGGTGGTTGGCCTCTGGTTGGCAATCTGTCGATGATGGTTGTGGATGCGCTGGCGGTACCGTCAAGAGGCTCATGCAGGTGCAGCAGGGGTGATGTGATGATTGAATGAGCCGAGGCCCAAACGGGGAAAGGCTAAGTAGCATTCCGGTACGCCATGTGGGACCAAAGAGCAAAGAGGAGGAGCTCTTCTCTTCCTTTTGGATTGACGAAGGAGCTTGGGCTGATTGAGCTGGATGACAGATGCATCGACGTGTTGAAGAAACGGGCGTCTGTCAGTGCCCTCTGGAAATAGAGCACGAAGGGTGGCCCATGCCGTCCTCTGCACGCGTACCTAGGTGCGTTACTGACGGTACTGTACCACGTCATGGACTGTACCTGGGTAGGTTTGGCTGCACACCACCGGGCAAATGTCCCGTGTCGCGGGTGGTACATGCACACATGCACCTAGTACAGACGACATGAAGGTTTGGAAAGTTTGAAACGAGCAGAGGAACGAACCAGCCCTGTCGTTGTTCATGCCGATCCTGCATGTGTCCGTAGTTACTAGACGATTATTGTCTGGCTGCCCGTGTGCCGCAGTAGGAGTCGAGGGTAGTCGAGACGCCCTCGTCGCTCGCAGGCCTCGATCATGGGCGATGACCCTAGCGCTGGAATCGGCATGGGCGGGCTCTGTGTCCTGCGTGCGGCCTATGCGGATGTGGGCCAGCCCACCCACCTGGGCACCTTGCACCTGCATGCTTAATACCCAAGTACACTATTGATCCTTGTAGCACCATCCATGGCTGCACGGCACCGGCCATGGGTACGTGAACCTGTGTCGGAAGCCATAGCTCCCCCCTCTTATTGCTTTGGTACTGTTATTAGTCCTGACTCTCGGGCCAGCGCGCATAAACCACCATGGCAGTTCATCAGGCAGGGCCACGGGATGGCGGGGCTGGCCAGCTATTTGCAGGGCAATGACGGTCTCAGTCCTCCACGTTTGAGATTGAGATGTCACATCCATCTGGTGGCCTGTCCTGCCCTGCCCTGTCCGCGCAAAGTCGAGATCCGTCCTCCCTCATCGCCAACCCACCGCCACCCCAACCAAGAGTCCTGTCCTGTCCAGTCTGACCCAAGTACCTCACAGTAGCCTTGGACAACTGTCAACGAGCATCTCATCAGCCCTCCCGCGAGCTAGCAGACCCGGTATTCTGGTGAATGGGACATTGCCCAACGCGACCAAGCGAGAACGGGTGGCCGAGCCAGTCCAAATCTGTCTGCCGCAGCTGTAGGGTGCACTCCTCACGGGCCTTTAATTTCGTCTCCAGGCACAAGGCCATATTTGCACCACCACCAGCTGGCACCAGCACCGCCCGCCCTGTGTTCTGCGCGGGCTGGTACTTGTCACTTGCCAGCGATTGATTGTACCTGCCTCGATGGTCTGTGGACCCTGTGAGTTGCCCCCCTCCTTCCCCAATCAGGCCGTGCTGCCGTCGGACAGGAGACGAGGGTAGCTGCGCGACGCGGCCTATTGTCTGTATCAGGTTGTCAAGATCGTGGGAGAAGAGGGTGGCAGTGGGCAGTGACTGTGACAGCAAGCAAGCAAGCTGGCAGCACCGGCGCTGATCTGATCTGATCTGGCCTGACCGGATTGACATGACTGACTGACAAGACAGATGAGAGTGACAGGGCCCGTCCAATTAATTTCAACTGCAACCTGTCCATCCGTCCAAGAGCGCGAACAGATCCGATCCCGTGTCGACTGGTCCATCTATTCCCACTTCCAGCTGGTACCCCTGAAGCCTGCCTGTCCCAATTCGACCCAGTCTTTTTCTCCCTCTCACACTTTCGCATCTCATCGGTCCAGTTCCTTCTGTCTATTCCATTCGTTATCGTTTCCCCTGCCGGCTGTTCTTGCGCCCGCACTGGGTTTATTTTCTTTCCTCGTGGCATTCCCTGACGTTCGCCACGTCTATCCCAATCTTTTACTTCTTCGATACCCCCACACACCTCACCGCGATAGCCTCGCCACCCCTTCACTATCAGTCAGTCGGGCCCAGCCGCACCCATCTCTCGACTCCACGACCTGTGTCGCCCTGCGATCCGTAATCCAGGACCAAAACCCAAACGAGATTGCTCCTACGGCCGCACGCTTCAGTCGAATTGTCCAGGTCGAAGATCCGTCCACTTTAATTTTCCGTAGCGCTGCTACCGATAATTCCTAGCCTCGATCGACCGAGACGCGTCCCGCCAGTCTATCGAGGGATCGTCCCCTTTCACGTTCCCCCTCCCCACCCCCTCGCAGCCAAGTCGTCGAATGTCTCATTGCCACGAGCCTAACAGAGAGACTTCCTTTTCCTGAGGCACGATGGGCATGTTTTCTCGTCGCAAGGGTAAGGACGGCAAGTCCAAGAAGAAGGGCGCAAACCAGGAACTCGACCAGCAACCCGCAAAGCCACGATGGACGGATGCATGGGCTCGCACCTCTGTCGAGCCGGAGGAGGTTCACGAGTTGGTCAAGCGGTGCACAGAGGAGATCAAGTCAAGAGGTATGCCGCCAATCTCGCATCTGGAGAAGCAAAGCATCCCGCATGCTCTACACAGTCCAAACCCCCCTCATCTTGGGCTGCGCCAGTGCTCGCTCCAAACTCTGGTCCAACTACCTCGAGTGCCACAAAAAGCTGATCTCATTTCTCCGCAGCTCTCGATCAACCTTTCCTGTTATTGCCCTTCCGACCGACGTCCGATCCCAGCGCGGTGCGGACATTTGTACGCCATTTCTTCGACAACTATGCACTTCGCGGCGAGACCTTGGCGCAGGAGCTGCGGATGGCTGAGCCAATGGTACGTTATTTTGGCTGGACTTGACTGTACAATGTTAACAATTGCCATAGGTTATCGCGGGAGCCATCAAATGGTGCTGGAGCCGTCTACAAGGCGGCGTGGTCGGCTGGGATGCCTACGAGCTGTTCAAGGTGGGCGAACAAGGTATGCGACGCAGTGCAGCTCCAAGGATCGACGGAAAAGAGGCTGACTGGGAATTCCGCAGACTCGAATATGGCTCGCGACTCGTTCAAGACATTCATTCCATTGAGCGTTGAGAACGGCGCCCGCTCGAGCATCATCTTCAACTTCTTCGACCTCCTCGCCGCAGTTGCTGCACACGGCAAGATGAACGGTTTCGGTGGTCGTAAACTGTCCCGGATGGCAGCCTGGTGGGCCTTTGATCACAAAGACACTGGCAATGGTTTTGATGGTGGATACAAGGCGTGGCTGAAGTGAGCTTGTATATTCTCCTGATATCATGTACCACGGACTGACTGTCAACAGGGCCGCCGACGCAACGAGTCACCTCTTCTTCGCTTACCTCAGAACACTCGCTCCGCAACAGCAGAGTCCGGGCGCTATTTCTATGCTACCGATGTCACTCTCGAAGCTTCTTCAGGAGACCGAGTATCCGCCTAAGAGACCAGTGTTGATGCAGTCATCCACATATAAAGTTGTGATGATCGTGGAAACCGTCTCACCAACCCCCTTCGCACTCTTGCGACGTGGAAATCATTTCCAGTACCGAGAGTCATCCTTGCAGCAGTTCTCCGAGTACGAAGATCCTGTGGCGGCCCTGACAGAAGAATGCCGACGAGTCTTACGAGCCGTTGCAGCCGCCAACCAGACTCAGTCCGTCTCCAGTTCAAAACATTCAACGAGCCTGCGCGACGCCTCTTGGTCGCGGTTTGAGGACATTGGCTTCACCAGCACGCTTGATGACGAGGAGGATTTTGAAAGTGCACCGGCGAGCCCGGGTCCGCAACGACAAGGCCTGAGAAACACTCCCGCGTCTGGTGCTGGTTTTGGTGGTAGACCCACCACACCATCTTGGGCTGATTTCCTGTCATCTGGCTTTGTTGATGACGGCTCCAACGGTCCCAACAACGTTCTTCTACCACCAGATAAAGTGCTGCCACCGATCGATACGAACGTGCGACAACGATCTGCCCAATCCCACAGGCCAAGACTAGAATCCGGGCGCGAGGTCGAGGCTGGCGAGCTTGCCAGCATCAACAGGGTCGATCTCGACGATGCGTTCTGGTGGGTATGGATGATCAGCTTGGCGCCTGAAGAGACACCTGAGAGAAAATCGGCTTTCGGACGTTGTGCGGTCATCGAGACGGTCATACGGAGTGGGCGGTGGTTGGTATTCGAGGAAGTGATCAAGGGCGCCGCTCCCGAACCCCAGGAAGGCGCCTACGTTGCTGAGAAGAAGAGCTTCTTTAGCTGGACAAGGCGCAACAGGGACAAGGATAAGGACAAGAGTGGCGTTTCCCGGCGGAAGTCCACCGCTGGCAAGAACGTCCTCGAAAAGGGCGATGGCCACTTGAAGCCTAGTTCAACAACCGGTGCAATCAGCAAATCGAGCCTTGGTCCAGACCAGCAGGCAAAGATCCAAGCCGCAGCCCAACAACTCTCCGCAAAGCAGGAGCGAGAGAGAAGGGACGCTGGGCTGGGCGTGGGCATTCGTCGCGGCCGAACTGATGCTGAGCTCATGGCGGAGAAGACTCAGAGTGTCATGACGCTGCAGCCGATGATTATGAAAGAGGCCTCGCCGGCGATGAAGTGGGCAAACAAATACGACAAGGACGCTATTCGGGACGCATACTTGGCGAACTCGAGTGCAGGGCGTGGGATCGGGCAGAGCACGATGCAGACAAATGGACATCTGGGGTCGAACGGGTATGGCATGATAGCGGAAGAGCCTTCGTACCCGCCTTCGCTTCTCCCGCCACCTTCGCCTTCGGCGCAGTCTCAGGATCATCGGCAGGGGGCTCTGAGCCCTGCTCCACCTATGAAGGACAACGGTCGCGACTCTCCGTTGCCGCCCATCCCCAAGGAAGAACCCGACAGTGTGGACCTGGCCCGTGAGGACATGGTCTCACCCGAGCCTGCAGAGGCGTCTAGCCCAAAGACGCACAAGAAGTTGCACAAGGGCGAGAAGAAGGGCGGATTCCGGAAACTATTTGGACGCAACAAGAGAGTCTCGCAGCTGCCAGAGAATGCGGCCGTGGATCTGAACCAGTTCCTCGCCCAGGACCAGGGCAGATACACGCCGGAGCCTATGGCGCAGGAGCAGCCCGAGACACCCAAGCAGGACACCCCTAAGACGCAACCGGCTGAGACACCAGCCACACAGGCAACTCAGGCAACTCAGCCCACTCCGCCTCCTCAAGCTCGTGACGAGCCAGCCGAGCCAGCGAACCACGAGCCAGCCTACGAACCATCGATCCATGATGATGTCTCTCGCGTCGACACGGCCGACGCGGAGGAAGCCCGGGATGCATTCGCTCGCTTCGACCAAGGACCTCTGCAAGACCAGCCGGCATTTGCCCCAGCCGAGGGCGCAGATGAAGAAGACGATGCGGCCCCTCCACCAATTCAGCGTCACAGGTCACCGGCTCCTCCCGAGCCATCACCTCAGCTCAAGCCCAAGCCCAAGTTCGAGCCTCAACAAGAGGGCCCCGCGCCCGCCATCGAGCGATGGGCACAGATTCGCAAGAACGCCGCTGAGCGTGCTGCGCAGAGTCAGCGCCAGAGCGACGACCAGAACCGTCCTTCTGTCCCCAAGGCAGAGCCAGAATCGGACACAAGTGGCGAAGAGAGTAAGTGAATGCCTGTCCAGGTCTGCAAACTCGCAAATCCACGAACGGAAAGCTAACGATTTCGAACAGCCATCGAGTCACGCGTGGCCCGAATCAAGGCCCGTGTCGCCGAGCTGACTGGCAACATGGAAGGTGTCCAGGGCCCTGGTTCGCGACCTCCAGTCCCGCGTTAGGAACCTGCGACTGATCACGACAAGGCCGGAGACACACACGACTGGACGGGAAGCCTGAGATGACGAGCACATGAAGAAAACAGAATCTGACTGGACAGCTCATCCACCAACACTCGTCTACAGATATACCTCCATACCTTTCTCACGCCAACGCCGCCGCTGTCCGGGCTTGGCTTCATTCAAAACCACATATCCACATACCCCGTCCTCGAATCTTTCGAGCCCTTTCCTTGCCTTTTATTCCTCAAGTTTCGACGTTTTCTTCGAATATCAAAATGATACCACTAGAAAAGCTTTTCCCGTGTTTTTGTTTCTTCGTTTCCCAACTCACTGCGACGCACAAAGCAAGCCTGTCCTTTTCTCTCCACATCTGAGCTTTTCTCACGAGTTAGCCAAAATTAATACCCTGATACATCTCTGTCGCGGTCTTTGGAAATACCATTCTTATCAGTGGAGAAAGAGCCGGTCGACGTGTGGCCAACGGAAGCGGCTGGTGCTGGATCAGTCGAAAGGGATTTGCGCGAAGTGTTCCTGGCTTGGCTCTCCTCTGACTGGCAGAGTGGACCGGGCTTGGAAAACCAGACAGGTCTTGCGCTTTCAATTGGCGTGGTCATTTTCAGAGCGGTGCTTTGAAAGATAGCATGCCATTGCGGTTCTTGTTAGACAACTTATTTCCCTCGGTCCGGGTAGCTTTTTGGAAACCCGTGTGTTTTGGTCGGTGCTGAGTATTCGCTACGCACCTACCTACTTTCCCACCGACCCGACGCTTTAGGAAAGATAATGCCAAGGCAGTTAGTTTCTCTTCACTTTGCTTGCCGATGATGTGAGTGTCTCCTGCCAGTGCTACAGCCCCGGGCACGCCAGGCTCCAGCCATGTATTCGAAGCGAGGAGGCAGGATGGAATTGTGAGACCCTCTACGCGTAGAACGTCCCTAGCAAGACCTGGTAGGTGTCTCCAGTGACGAAGGTGTGAACGAGGGATATCTTCGACATCAGACCGTCCCCAGGGGGTGACATTGCAAAGATAGCCAATTGTTCTCTCAGAGAAACCTACTCCAACGGTCTGTCTCACCAACAGCCCACGTCCAGTCCTTCAGATGCGCTGTCAGTACTTGCCTCACGCTGCGACTACTTGAACACCCGCCTCTCGTGGAAACTCGGCGGTCTGAGCTAGAGTGTTTTCTCGGAAGGCTGCAAGAGGGAAATCAAGCCTGAAGCGTGCTTGGTCACAGGCCGGCGCCGCCCTGCTTCCGTTCGCTTACCTTGTGATAGTAATCATTTGCTGAACACCCTCGACGCGCCCCGGTCCCCCTCACCCTCACCCCACCTAAAACAGCGGACTCCAACGCCGTCGGAGCGTGCCCCCAGCCCTCTGACACCCATGGGGGACTCCTCTGGCCCGCCGCTGACTTGCATGTACTTGACCTCGGGGCGTTAAGCCTCCTTCTCATGGCCTCTCCACATGGGATAGCCGTGTTGAGGTTACAGAGTCCCGGAATGCAGTACGCGAGGAGAGTTAAGTGAATCTCGGGGACTATTTCCATGACACTTAATTGCTAAAGCCGGCGTGCAAGCGAGACCTGCTTTGTTTTTTGTCCAGAGGTTGAGCGGGTGTTTTAAAAAGGCCGCTCGTGAAAAAGTAGAGTGTGGAGCGGGACGCTTCATGTCACATCAGGATAGCTGCGGAGGGGATAGAAGCCCAGGTTTGAGATACTAGAATCAGCTTGAACGGGTCTTGATGTGAATATGAAATATCATCACGCTAAGTAAAACCACACAAGCTTGATATAAAGTAGTCCATTCAAGTATACGCTATGCCCACAACGCCATGTCAATTGTTAGGTCTCCAAGATTCGAGATCGATAGGCATTCGTAAAGAAGGACCTTTTTTCCATCTCCAGGTCATAAACACAGAAACACACTCATACCCTGTCCTCGGCATCCGCCAGGTTCGCCAGGGGCACATAACCCTCCTCGTCCTTCCTCCTCCGGCCCACGACGCCCTTTGCGCGGTCGATGACGTCCGTGGCGAGGTTCCTGACAAAGTCCATCTTGCCGGGCCGCCTCGCCCTCCTGCTCAGGGCGGCCTTGCCGGCGGCCTCGTCCATCCAGCGCGGCCGGCTCCAGAACTTGAGCAACAGCGACGACGCCACGACGGATACGGAGCTCAGGGCCATGGCCGCGCCGGCGGCCATGGGGTGCAGGTGGAAGCCGAAGGGCAGGAAGATGCCCATGGCGAATGGGAGCCCGATGACGTTGTACATGCAGGCCCACGCCAGGTTGCCCTTGATGCGGTTGAAGATCGACTTAGCGAGGTGCAGTGCCGCGGGGATGTCCATCAGCTCGTCCGGCCTCATGAGAACCACGTCTGCCGCCTCCATGGCGACGTCCGTGCCGGAGCTCATGGCGATGCCCACGTCGGCGGTAGCGAGCGCGGGAGAGTCGTTGATTCCGTCGCCCACCATGGCCACGCACTCGCCCTGCTCGCGGAGCTGGCGGATGATGGCTTGCTTCTGGTCCGGGCTCACGCCGGCATGGACGTTCTCCTCGGCAATGCCAACCGCTGCGGCAACGGCATGGGCGGTGCTGGGCTGGTCGCCAGTCACCATGGCCACCTTGATGCCCATACGATGCTGCAGAACTGAGATGGCAGCAGCCGCACCTTCCTTGATCGTATCGGAGAGGCACAGATGACCAGAGTACTTGCCGTCGATGGCAATGAAAATGTTGGTCGTTCCAGCAGAATCGCCGGACTTGCCAGAGGACGCATCCTTGTTGATACGTTCGGAGGCTTCGATGGCCTCCGAGGGCACGTCGACGCTGTTCTCCTGCAAGAACCTAACGTTGCCAACAAGCACCGTGTACCGCGTGCGCTCGGCGCTCGTAGCCGGCTCCACGCTGGCTGAAATACCACGACCGACGGCAGCAGCGAAGTCGCCGACACTGCCCTCAATGGTGTCCTCGGCCCCGATGCCGATTTCTGTCTTGGCAGCGCCGAGAACGGCTTTACCGACAGGATGCTCACTGCCCATCTCCGCGAGACCAACGATAGTCCACCATAACCTACGGCGCCACTCGTTGTCTTGCCAGAGAGGAACGACCTTCATGCTCGCTACAGTCATCTTGCCGTATGTGATGGTGCCAGTCTTATCGAGAACAACCTGGGTGACTTTGGTGGTGGTCTCCAACGCTGCTCCGCCCTTGACCAAGATGCCGTTCTCAGCGCCAACTCCCGTGCCGACCATAACGGCAGTGGGAGTGGCGAGACCGAGGGCACATGGGCAAGCAAAGACGATGACGGAGATGCAAAGCTTGACACACACGAAGATCTTGCCACCGCTAGCTTCCTCCTCGAAGATCTTGGGTGGGTGGGTGAGCACATGACTGAGAATCATCCAGACAACGAAGGTCCCAAAGCCAAGGACGAGGATGGTCGGGACAAAATATCCGGCGAGGGTGTCTGCCAATCTCTGAATCGGCGCTCTCGTTGTCTGAGCATCCTGGACGAGCTTCACGATCTGGCTTAGCTGTGTGTCCCTACCGGCGCGGATGACCCTGAGATCGCATCGCCCGTGGCCGTTGACAGTGCCGCCGATCAGGTTGGAACCCTTGCGCTTCTGGACAGGCATAGCCTCGCCAGTGACCATGCTCTCGTCCACGTATGTCTCACCTCGCACCAAGACACCGTCAGCGGGGATTTTGTCTCCCGGTCGGAGAATAACTATGTCTCCGACCTGGATGAGCTCTGTCGGGATGATCTTCTCCTCAGCGGCGTTGCCGTCTGCCATTGGGGTTTTTGGCTCGCCGTTCCCAGCAACGTTGTCCCAGTTCTCCGCAGCCTTCTCCGCGGCAATGGGGTCAGCGTAGATGGTGGCCATGGATGGAGCTAGTGACATTAGTCGAGAAAGCGCTTTGGACGTCTGGCCCTTGGCACGGTTTTCCAGGAATCGACCAAGCGTGATAAAGGTGATCAACATAGTGCTAGTATCGAAGATTGTGCTCGGTCTTGAGTGAGGCGGGAAGAAGAAGGACACCAGCATGGCGACGCAGCTGAAGAAGAAAGCACAGGAAGTGCCGAGGACGACCAGGACGTCCATGGTCGGTGAGCCATGCTTGATCGACTTGTATGCAGAAATGTAGAAGCGCTTTCCAATGCCGAACTGAATGGGAATGGTCAGGACCAGACACAAAATGTCGCCCAGGAAGAGACCGGGCAGGAGCTGCCATGATCCAAAATCCAGGAAGGGCAAAGCCATTGGCAGAATCATGCCGATGATGAATACCGGAATTGCAAAGGAGAGAGACGTCTTGAAGGCCCGTCTCCATTCGTTTATCTCTCTTGTCTTGGCCAGAGACTCTAGTTGGGCGTTGTTGTCGTCGTTGTCGGCAACTAATGCGTTGTATCCCGCTTGCTCGACTGCTTCAACGATGGCCCGGAGACCTGTCGCGCCCGGTTTGTGGTTCACGGTCATGCGCGATGTTGAGAGACTCAACTTGGCTGAGCTGACACCAGGCATCGTTTGTAGCATTTCTTCCAGTGATGTGGCTGCGGCAGCATCTAGCACACCAAAGACTTTGAACTGCGCTGTGGATGTGGTCTGCGTCGCATCTGCGGCCTCGGCTTGGGTCGAGATGATCTTGGCGTCAAAACCTCTGTCCTCAATGATCTCCACGATCTTGTCCGATGATAGTATCGACGGGTTGTGTGTGATCACGGCTCTCTCGGCCAAAAGACTAATGTTGAACTTGATCATGCCTTCGACTCCTTTGAATCCGGATTCAATTGCCGAAGTGCAGGCGCCGCAGGTCATGCCTTCGATGCCAACGGTGGTTATTACTTGCGACGACCTCGTTGCTGTAGTCTTGGAGCTCCTCTTCTCCTCACGCTCCAGCGGCTTGGTCTCGACGATAGTTGCGCCAAAGCCTCGATCCTCGATCATCTCTGCGATCTTGTCGGCGGGCAAAACTACAGGGTCGTGGTCTATAACGGCTCTCTCGGATAATAGGGAAATGCTGAATGTCTTGAGGCCAGCGACGTCTTTGAATGCGCCCTCGATAGCCGAGGTGCAGGCGCCGCAGGTCATGCCTTCGATTGCCACGACGGTTCCAACGTATTGTGCGCCGCCGTCGTCCATGGCGTCTTGGAATGCGTCGTCCACATTTGCTTTCGGTGTTTGTATGTCTGTGGCGAGGACTTCAGCGTCGAATCCTCGGTCTTCGATTATCTCGGCTATCTTCTCGGCGGTGATTCTCGTGGGATCGTGCATAACAACGGCCCTCTCCATTATAAGGCTGACGGACACATTGCCCACACCGTCGACGTCTCTAAGTCCGCTCTCGACGGCCGAAGTACATGCGCCGCAACTATCGCGAGTCAGTATTGCCGACTGGCTTCCCGTTGGCAGGCAGCAGGAAAGACTCACGTCATGCCGCCAACTTTCAAAGTGGTGGTAGCCCATTGTGCGGTGGGCGGGGCACTTAATAATAAGTCCCCAGAGGGTATACTGATGTGTGAAGGAGCCATGTCGCCGGCAGCCCGTTGTGGGCGGCGTGTATCGACAGGTCGGGTGTGCCAGAATGTTAGGATGCGGCGATGCTAGACGGAATCTCAACGCATTTGGGAAAAGATAGGCAATGCAGGCTAATGGGTATCTCGGTAGGAGGATGATATGTATTATGGACTCGTGAGGAAACCAGAAGACCAGCTTCCGGGGCTGATATCAGCTTATGTACAGGTTGGCGGGGCGAGGCGCAGGCGCCGGACTGGACGGGTCCGGGAGGAGCTGCGTGCACGGAAGAGGTGGCAGTCTGGAGGATCGAGTCGGTCGGGGTGAAGCTTTGCAGGAGGGTGGTACTGGCGAGGGTAATCGTAAGACCACTGCGCTGTGGGCGCGATCAAGGTGTGAGACTAGCAGGGCAGGAAAAGGCTTAAAAACGCAGGAGAGAATGAAAGAGAGGCGGAGGTTGACTCGGTTGGGAGTGGGAGCCTATGTTAACAAGCGGGCGGTCCCTGTTTCCTGCGGGTTGAGATGTCGCAGCGTGGGAAAGAGCCAAGGGTTTAAGAAGTATCCAGGTACCCCTGACGCAAATCAGAAAATAAGACAAGCGAGAAAGAGGGTCGGAGAACACACTGGCTAATGAATACCTACTGTCCTGGCCACCGCACACAGGGCTGGGATTCATCAGCACCGGTGGGTGGCCCCTGATTTGTGATGTGAACAAGGAGGCGGATTCCGACCGGGGGCCCAGGTCACTAGTCAGTCCGGGCCACCCAGATCGACCTTGGACGCTTGCGCTTGAGCCTGTCGGGTCCTGTTTGAGGTGTGTCCAGGTACGTATCTTTGTTCCTTTCTTCCCTGTCCGCCTCCCCCGGATCCCAGAATTTTTGGTATGACCTGACCAGGACACACTTTACGTTAGGATGACCTCCAAAAAGGTGGCCTGCCTGCAGTGAAATAATCTCTTTCGAGGCACCCTGTCAGTTGATAGTTCAATAGGTTTAGCACCTGGCCTTTGGGATCCCGGCAAGCTGTACGTACGCGCTGAGCCGTATGCACCGTGAACGGGGCCAGTGCGGTGATAGGGCTCCGCCGTTTCTGGGCCGGCGAAGGGGCTGGTGCGTAACCCATTCAAGTCCTCTCCTGGAAGACAAGAGAACAAAGAACAAGGGTCAAAGAGAACAAGAGGCAGACAGAAGGCGATTCTTGTTTCGAAATCTCACGGCCGTTTGGTTTACAGCCAAGGCCTGTGTTCGCGATCGGGCCCTGGCCCGGTCACTGTTCTGGTGCCCCCCCAGAGTGGCCACGCTGCCACACAGATCTCTTATCTTTCTGACCGGGAATTGCGACATGTGGTCTGTTGCGCTGCCGAGCCTCCAAGGCCACCGCAATAGGAACAGTTGCCAATATCTGCTGGATCAGGCTATGGCCCAGCTCATATCGATGCGATATTACATGTGGCTGCTGACACGGTCAAATAGTTGCGAATCATGTAACCACACTGGTCATTTTGGAAATGATTATTTGGCCATTGTAGCCGTTGCACAGAATTCGCGCCGGTTCTCTGCGTAGTCTTGGTCGGCAACTCAAGGATTATAAAGCATACTATCATGCAGGTGGTCCATCCATTTCGAAACGCTGCAGAGCTAGCTTAGAGAACCCCAGTACCTACAGCTGCGAGGGATCCGAAAGGACTGCCAGGTACCTAGGTATCTCCTAAGCGGTATGTACAGAAAGGTGCTCCGAAAACCATAGTGGAAAGATTATCCTACTGGAGTTTATCCCGCTGTAGGTTTTCCCACTGTAGGTTATCCTATAGCAGGTTATCCTACTGGAGGCTATCCCAGGGGAGGTTATCCCATAGAAGGTAGGAGACTATCCTATAGGCGATTATCCCACAGGAGACAGGAGGTCATCCCACAGGAGTTTGTCCCACTGGACGTTATCCCACTGGACGTTATCCCACTGGACGTTATCCCACTGGACGTTATCCCACTGGACGTTATCCCACTGGACGTTGTCCCACAGAGGGTCAAGTATCTACCTACCTAGGTGCCCAGGTAGGTACCGTGTAAGTAAGGCGGCGAGGGACCGGCCACCCGGTCAAAGACCCCTGCCCCAGAGCCTCCAAGTCTCAAGAGCGTTTTGAGCTGATCTTGATACAGCCAGCTCACCCAAACACTCCTTAGAGCGTCACACAATTGACACAGAGCCCTGGTCCCCTCCGTATCCCACTTGTCAGGGTCAGGCCCAGCAAAACAGATAACTAATTCTTGCTGGTAATTATTCCCACGTGAACCGGCTAGACTTGCCTGCCGCAGCTGTGTGCCTGCCTGCCTGCCCCGCACAGGCTACCCCCCGTCCCTGATTGACGTCGATCAATGAAGCTTGATTTGACCGAGCCCTGACAAACAACAGCTTGGACGTGCAGTGTAGCTTCATCTCATACCTCTAGCCTCACGCTGCACCGTAGTCCACCATCATGGAGCAGACAAAGGCCCTCAATGCTCTCGAGGTATGTTCCTGTGCCCAACGCTAACGTCCCTCCGCCCGCTGACCAGCTCCCAGCCCTTCCTGGCCCTCACCAAGTCCGCCAACTCGCCGAAGGCAGCCGCAGACCTCATCACGCACGCGACGTCCGCCCAAGGCACCTACATCTTCACAGAGCTCCTCGCCAGCCCGTCCATCCAGGGCCTCGACAGCTCCCCCGACTACCAGCCCTACCTCACCCAGCTGCAGCTCTTCAGCAACGGCCTCTACTCCACATACGCGTCAACGCCGAACCTCCCCGACCTCAACGACCGCCAGACGCTCAAGCTCCGCCAGCTGTCCCTCCTCACCCTCAGCCGTAACAAGGAGAACCTGACCTACCCGGCGCTGCAGCAGCACCTCGGCCTCGCCTCGCCCCGCGAGGTCGAGGACCTCGTCATCTCAGCCGTCTACGCGGGCCTGCTCGACGCCAAGCTGAACCCCCTCCGCTCCGTCGTCCAGGTGTCCTCGGTCGCGCCCCTGCGGGACGTCCAGCCGGGCACCGTCCCCAGCATCGTCGCCACCCTGCAGAACTGGAGCCAGCGCTGCGACGCCACGCTGGCCGAGATCGAGGCAAACATCGCCAACATCAAGAGGGAGGCCGCGCGCAAGGCCAACGACAAGAGGGAGTGGGACAGGACCTTCCAGGCCGTCGTCAAGGCCGAGAGCAGCGAACCCACTGACCCGGCGGGCGGCAGCATCAACGCGAACAGCACGCGTGGCGCCGGCCGGAGGCTGGGTGGTGGTGCGGCAGGGCGCACTGGCCTGCGATCTGCTGGTGGCGGAATACCAGCAGCCGGAGGAGGAGGCGGAGGGGGAGGCGGTTTTCATGCTGCAGCAAGCAATGCTGGCAGCGGTAGTAAGCGTGGCATGGAGAAGTTGACGGAGGGCGTGGAGGATGACGACGACGAGGCGATGGATCTGGATGACAGTGCTGATCCCACCGGTCAGAACCAGAAGAGGACGAGTCGGCGGAAGCTATGAGAACCCGTCGACCAGGATGTCAGGGACTGCCCGCGGGATTGAACCCCCTAATGCTTCCAGAAATAGACGGACGGTCTTGTCCATGACTACAGTCTTCTGAGCATTGTACATATGTGCACGGAATCATTTGATTGAATCTTAAATGGAACCTTGAACTCCGCGCTGCGGTCTACGCGGAACAGGGAACACGCAGCTCAAGAAAGACGCGCCACCGGCATGAAAGTCAGGCATCCGTCTTCGTATTCTTGTGTGTCAGCAAAACTGGACGAGTTTACATTGCATAATCCTCAATGGAAACAGATCCCAACCTTTCTCAGTGGAATCGTACAGTGTTGTTACAAAGCAACTTTTATCCCTCCTTCCCCGCCGTCCGGTGAAGAGGAAGATGCGAAAAAGCGAAGCAAAATATTACATGATTTCCGAGCCATTTCAACGCCATCCCCCATCTTAATGTTGTAATTGTTCGATCTGGGCTGTCCCGTCTCGTCCAAGAGTAGAAAAGGAAAACATCGCCTGCAAGGTGGTATCGTATCCTGAAAACAAGACCATAAGAATGATGGGGAGAAACGCAGACAAAAAGAAGCGAAGAACGCAAGTAGGGTCAAAAAACGTGAAGCAAAGAAGTCATGGCATCGTCAGATTAAAGGCACTAGAGAAAACGGCCGGTGTCTCCCTATCTCGCAGAAACTCCAAAAGGTAACTTGATGGGTTGGCTGCTCAGAGCCGTTTGCCGGGCACGAGGATGAACAGAACCAGTAGTGCCGCATCCACCGTTGCCGTCACGGCCAAGACCATCAGGGCGCGCTTTGCGAGCAGTTTGCGGACGTATGGCTCCCGCACCCGGGAGAAGTTGAAAGGCGTGTACTCGCTCAGGCCGATCAGAGCCAGTACGGGGTCGAGAGAGTACTGATATGAGGCGAGGAAATAGACGCCAAGCGTGAAGGGCAGAATGAGCTGGAGCTTGAGTGTTAGCAGCGGTTGAGGTCCGGAGTAGAATGAGGGCCAACGTACCCATAACCTCGTCAGCCTTGAGGAGTCGAGGAAGATCAAGACGAACGCAGCCCAGAATCCACCAAACATCGAGACCAAGCCGATGATGAGCCTCATGATCAGGGTAGGCGGGATCAGGTTGCCCAAAGCCTTCATGCGCAGGAAGCCGGGAAACGCGTCTCTCTCCATGGCCTGGAACACATAATCCTTGGCCAGGTCGAACACCTCCGGGTCATCTCTGCCTTCCTCCTCGATGGACCTCGTGACCTCCTCGGTGATCTGAGCGGGCAGGACGATCTCCCGCTCCGCACCGGGCAGGAGGAACGTGTAGAGGATCTTCTCGGCCGATGCGCGGATGTCCTGCCTCGCAACCTCGTGGAAGGGGCTGTTGGAGTCGGTCATCAGATCGCGTGGCGTGCTACCCGTGCCGGGGCTGGGTCTGGCGCGCTCGCCGCTGCTATGCGGGGAGTCGTGGAAGCCGGCCGCGGTTGGCGACGCCCTGTCCTCGCGCAAATAGGCCGACATCTGCGCGTCCTGGTCCCGGTCCTTATCGGTGGCGTACATCGATGGGCCCGGCGCGGCGTAGTTCAGGTCGCCCATGCTCTCCAGGATCTGAGAGGAGCGCTTCGAGGCGTGTTCGGGTTCGGGCGTGCCTATCAGGACGGACCTTCGCATCTCGCGGACGTAGTGCCGACATAATGTCATGTGCTGAGCGACATCGAGCCTGTTGACCGGCACGGTATTTGTTAGCGATTGAGACAAGTTGGCGGGGCAGCCGCCCCCTTGCGTCCTGTGCTGGGTTTGGGTCTTCCGTACCAAAAGTCTAGATAGTCCACTGATCTTTGCTGATCTCTCATAAAGATGTAGAATGAGAACAGGTCGACTGGCGGCAGCGTCCGTCTGCTCAGAACTTCGAAGAGGGTCGGCAGCCGGTTCCGATTCAGGTCGGGCACCGGTGACGGTGTGTGTGTGTTCGACATGGTGAGTTGCTTGTCGTCGTCGTCGTCGTCGTCGTATTACTATTTCGAGCCGCCAATGGCTTCAGTTCTACGCGATTGGAGAAGAAATGCGCACACGAGGCCCGTGGGACCAGCGATTGTGCTTTCGAATCGGAAATATTGGAAGCTCGATTGAGAGTGGTGGGTCGAGAGGGTAAAGTGAGCGGTTTCTCGAAGGGGGTCCGTTGGGTCGAAACCGGCGAGGGATCGTTACGACAGTCAGGAGGGAGGGTGGCTTGGTGTTTGAGTGCGAAGCGAGCGGCAGGGTGTGCTCTGCGCGCACCGGAGAGATTGTGATTAGACCAATGAGGTCACTGATGAAGTTGTGCAGCCTTTTGATGCTCGGTCGTGCTCTTTTTAGACGGGGTGATGGGGAGGGTTGATGGAGACTTGGGATACCGGAGGCAAAGAGGTCGCAGATGGGCGCACGGGCCAGGCCCTCCGTGATGCCAATTGAGATTTGCTCCACGGGAGTGGGTTCACCTAATTTACCGTGCCAAGTCGTCTTCCGTGCAGGCCGTCTTCCTTCGAGTCGACGGCTGCCGATGCAACTTCAGAACAACCACTTGTGACGCGTGCTTTGAGTATCAAGACAAAGGGTTGACGGGCCTGCTTTACGGGACGATGAGGGGATGGTTTAATCTGTTCAGAAATAGAACGCAGCGCACAGGTCATGCCGTTGTGGATGGGATGAAGCCGAAGAAGTGTAGCAGAATAACCGGTGTAGACCACCTACACCACAAGCCAGGGTGCTGTGTTGGTTGGTGTACCGTGCTTGCATTCCGGTTGAAGTGCGAAAGTGAGACTACTAGAAACGCCGTAGTTGGGAGATATGTAGGCTGGTATCCTACGAGTAATGCTGCGTAGAGGACTAGACCGGATCGGTTCCTGGTGCGAACCTTGGAGAGGAACAAGGGCAGGAAGACGTTTGTTTTGGAGGGCAGACAGAGGTGCAATCACTCCCCGGGAGGGCTACCCCTGGCAATTCCCCAGCCACCACAGCCACAATTCTGTTATGTCAGCCGCGGGATGATTACGTCAGGATTTTGGGCCAATCACAGCCAACCACCGTTCTGAGCAGGGCCAGATTTTTCCGCCCACAACTTTTGGGATCTCTGACCCTCTCCGTTTTCCAGACGAGTGCAGCCGACAACCTCGAAGACGACAACGCCCCAACTTCCACCGACGACTCACGACACCGTACATCCCTCAGTGAGCCCGATCCTCCCCGTGTCGCCGAATTTCACAACCCTGCAGCATCAATTCTAACGAAGGTTCCGTTCACTGTAGAAATGTCGTCCAAGCAGAAGTCTGGCCGCTCCGCCATCCAGGACGTGGTCGCCCGCGAGTACACCATCCACATGCACAAGAGAGTATGTTTCACCAAGACCGACGAACGAAAACACGGTGGCGCAATTGGGTATCCTTCGATTGCTTTGGGAGCTGGATGCTGACAGGGTGGTTCTGGAACAGCTGCACGGTGTCTCCTTCAAGAAGAGGGCCCCCCGCGCCATCAAGGAGATCAAGGCGTTTGCGCACCAGGCCATGGTATGCTGACCCCTCCCTCACTGTTTCGAAACGAGGACTGTGTCCGCCGCGACCGACGAAAATCGATCAAGGCATCGAAGTCTTTGGAACGGCCGGACGGTTCACGCATGGCAGCGAGGACATATTACTGACTGGACCTCCCCCTCACAGGGCACCTCCGATGTCCGCCTCGACCCCCAGCTCAACAAGAAGGTGTGGGAGCAGGGTGTCAAGGGCGTGCCATACAGAATCCGCGTCCGCATCTCCCGACGAAGAAACGATGAGGACGGCGCCAAGGAGAAGCTGTACAGCTACGTCCAGGCCGTCAACGTCAAGAACCCCAAGGGCCTGGTCACGACCACCGTCGAGGAGGAGGAGCAGTAAGCGAGCGTCATGTTGATGTTGACAGGAGAGGGCTCTGGATGGGACAACCCGCGCTTGCGAACAAGACGACGAATGGGGCAGTCAGTCCTGGGTGTTTTTGAGGGTCGGTCCGTGAAAACTTTGGGTTCCTTGTCTGGTCATGGTGGCATCTGGCTTTCCGGAGTTTTCTACGGCTTTTAGCTTCATACTACCGAGGAAGCAAAAAAATGAGACATACGAAAGACAACAAACAACAACGCCTCAGCGTTGGCCCAGTTCGCCGGAACATCGAGCTTGACCGTCCGTTGTGAAGACTACTGGGGCAAGGGAGAAGGGACACGGCGTGTATCTAAGATACCCAACGCTTCAAGGGAACATGCGAAGGAGTACACCCAGGCCAATGCATGTATTCTGTGGAAGGAATGACCTCTATGCCTGATGGCAGAAGCCAACAAGATATACGGCCTCAAGTCCAAACTGTCCGACCCTGTAAATGCGGTATCGCCAAATCCTCCAAACCAGTGACCAATGCCAGTATTCTACACGTTGACTCCATGCTCCCAAATGAAAATGCATACACTAACTCAGTCGTCGTCAATGTCGCGGTGACGTGCCGTCACCTTGCGCTTGAACTCTTCGGGGTCCTTGTCCCAGAGTTCCGCAGCCTCGGCGTTCAGAGGCGAGTCGCTGAGAGAGATCAAGTCAGCCAATATGTCTCCAATCTATGGCGCGGTCGATCCTCCCCTGGCCAGGCAAATCAAGCCGCGCACAGTCTTCCGTCACAAGACGGTCAGAAATCTAACTCACTTGTTCGGCTCCCCAAGCAGACTCTGCAGACTCAGCAGGACGGTCCGGATGTTGTACGCCGCAGACCACTTAGATTTGAGAATGTCCAGACAGATGCGGCCCGAGAAGTCGACGTTGGGGTGGTAGATCGGGGTGCGGAAGAGCACCTCGGGGGCCTTGTAGGGGTAGTCGGCGGGGAAGTTGAAGGACAGCTTGAAGACCAGGCCGGCGTAGGGGGTGTCGTCGACGCCGTTGATGGTGGCGTGCCACTTGGTCAGGTCGCCGTCGGCGCCGGGGAACGCGGAGATTCCGGGCGCGGGGGACGTCATGAGCTGCATCAGCTCTGTCTGCAGCCTGTGGTGGGCGTGATGTTAGTCGCCTGCTTTTGTGCGCATATATCCAGGACGGAAGAGAACAGTGCACTGGGGTGAGGGCTTCATTCCCCTGGGGCGCGTACCTCTTGGTGACATTCTGAGAATCAGCCTTCCGAGCACCACCGAGCACGCCGCCTGCAGTCTGAGGGTCCTCCATATTCGCAAGATGTAATGATTAAGTCAAAATGGGGCCAGGAGAGGTATAGCAGCCCCAGATATTGGCCACGGAATCAAGGGCGGATTAAGAGACCAATGCTTTGAGAGGAAGCTGTGCTACGTGGAGGCTGCGTGACAAAAATAAACTGAGAAGGGAGACGGCCGCTGAAGGATAGTCAAGCCTCTGATCAAGAAACAAATTCCCTAAGGCACGGGCGCAATGCTGCGACAATTCCAGTCGTATGAAGGATGTGTAATGGTGAGGACGAAGGTGAGGAGGCGATAGGTGCTGGCTCGGAGAGGAGGTTGGTCGGGAGCGGCTGACGAATTGTCAAATCATTGATCGGGATTGTCCTTTGGTCTGCTTGCGGGCCGGCAGGCTCATTGTTTACACCAGGGAGTCGCGGACCCCACCTAAGCTCTCCAGCAACCGCCAGAGTTTTAGCAGGGCCAGTGGGTGGCCTTCCCCACTGCCCCCTTTGGTGCAGCTGAGGCCCCACCTGCCTGGAAACCGCGTTGCTCAGCCAATCCACTGGGTCTCCAGTCCATGCAGGGTCTCGGACAACAACATCCATGACCCATTTTCCCGCCGACTGGAGCCTGTCGCCTGTGAGAGCCTCATCCGCGCTCCGAACGCGACTCACTCTACGCGAACGGCACGCGACCTTTGTTGTTGCATCACATGGTGAGCTGGCACACCACATCCTCTCGTTGCATGAACGGCATTGAGCATAATTCCATGTCAGAGATCGCTGGTTCGCAGCCTCATCGCATTTTTATTTTCATTGCTCCGTTGACGCCCACTGGACTCGCCACCCCTGTCGTCGTTGAGCCGGGCTGGTCACTTGCACGCAGGGCAAGGCAAGGCTTGAACTGTGATTCTGAGTTACCTGTCCGTAGCTCCATATCTCAGCCTCCGAGATGCAGCACTCGCAGCTGGGCCCTCTGCCATCCGACCTCCCCTTCAGGGTTGTGTCCAAGACCATTGGCAGAGGGGCATATGCATCGTGAGCTGCCCTCCCTCGTCCCCAAGTCATGCCCACATAATAAGACCCATCTCAGCCCTACCTACATACTGACAGACCCACTACAGAATCAGGAAGGCCGTTCCTCTTGAGGCACCGACACCAGTCTTTGCCGTCAAGTTCATTCACAAGGACTACGCAATCAAAAATGGCCGCATCTCAGCTAAGCAGATCGCCATGGAGGTATCGCTCCACTCCCATATCGGCCAACACCCAAACATCATCGAGTGGTTCGCCACAGGGGAAGACGCCGTCTGGAGGTGGATTGCCATGGAGTTTGCCGACGGCGGAGACCTCTTCGACAAGATCGAGGCCGACAAGGGCGTGTCTGGGGACATCGCCCATGTCTATTTCTTACAGCTCATCAGTGGCGTTAGCTTCATGCACTCCAAGGGCATCGCACACCGCGACTTGAAACCGGAGAACATCCTGCTCTCTGACACTGGCAACCTAAAGCTCGCGGATTTTGGTATGGCAACTCTGTTCCAGTACAAAGGCAAGACGAAGGAGAGCTCGACCATGTGTGGCAGCCCGCCGTATATTGCTCCGGAGGTGCTCCGCTGTGCGTCTGGCGACAAGTCTATGAAATATCGCGCCGACTTGGTCGATATATGGTCATGCGGCGTCATATTATTTGTGCTTCTGGTCGGGAATACACCTTGGGAGGAGCCGACCGAGAAGAAGTGGGAGTGGCGCGAATATATCCGGACCAACGGTCGAAGTACCGACGAGTTGTGGGAGAGAGTGCCACCCGAGGCCTTGTCTCTCTTGCGCGGCATGATGAACGTCGAAGTCGAAAAGCGCTTCACTTTCGCGCAAATACGACAGCATCCTTGGTACACCCGACGCAACGAACTTCTCACCTCGGACGGCAGGGTCTTGGACCCAATACAGCTGGCTACTCAGATGCTTGCGAACCTGCGTATCGACCTCACACAGCAGCCTACCCCGTCCCAGAGGGCAAACGCGGACTTCATGGAACTAGATAGCCAGCCCACGGCCGCCGACTTCACGGCCAAGTTCTCGGCAACACAGCCAGAGACACCCATCAATGATGTTGCATTTGACTGGGAAAGGCCGGCCCTGCGGTCCATCAATGGAGGCATCTCAGCGACTCAGCCCACCGTGGATGCTAACATCTCCGTCGGCAGACCAAGCCACTCGCTCGACGTACTCGCAGACGAACCGACCATGAGTCAGTTCAGCCAGGCACCTGGCGTCCCTATCAGCTTAACGCAGCATGCGCGTCGCTTCAGGGACATTGTGCCTTCCTACTCACTCACGCGCTTCTACTCCCATATGCCGGCACAACTGCTAGTCCAGATGCTTAGTGACGCATTACACCAGCTCAACGTCCCGCTGCAACCTCCGGCAGTGAATCTGCACTCTAGGGACCATATTACTACTTTGAAGGTGAAGACGGTGGACGGGCGAAACCAGAGCCTGCACGGCGAGATAATGGTGGACATGTTCATGATACCCGACGGCTCCGGCGCGGAGCTGCTCGAGGTGCGGTTCGTCAAGATCAAGGGCGACCCGCTGGAGTGGAGGCGGCTGTTCAAGAAGATCGCGCTGCTTTGTAAAGATGGCATTTACAAGAATGAGTAGACTTTGTATATATCCCGACCTTATTAGGTTTTGCATTAGACGGACGGCACAGGAAAGCCAAGATTGGACGAAGGCATGGAGCGTCAGACAGACAGGAAACACTACATGATATGATGAGAAAAGACAGATAGCCCTAATGTACGAGGTAACAGATAGAGTGAGCATTTATTATCGGTATTCAAGTTGACAAGACCTTGATTCTATCCCGAACTATTATTGTATACCTTGATACCAATACCACAGCAACGCCCATGAACACTTCGGTCCACCTTCCCTCGGCTCACGCGACTGTTTGGCCGCCCGCGGCCTGCCAATAAGCCAAGGAGGTTTTCCAAGCTTCTTACACCTTATCCAAGGCATCTTGGTCGTTGGTATAAAAGCCCCATAGGTCACGATCCCACCGTCTTATCGTCATGTACATGGCCTGCTTCAGCTCCTGCCACGCAGGTCCGTGTCCTCTCGCGCCCATCTCTCTTTGGCACAACCCGCACAGGCAAGTAAACGAAATATAGTAGGCGTGTGCCATTTCGTGTACCAAGGTCTCGAGCAAACAGGTCAAGTCGCGCCTGACAGTGTGCTCTTCCCTTGACCAGGGGTCGCATGCCTCCACCCTGATCCTTAACTTGAAGGTCGAGGCACCCCTAGTTTCCATTTCCCCTTCCGTCCTACCCAGAGTTAGACTTCCACGTTCCTCGAGCGTCCCAATCTCGCCGAAAATATTTTCCCCAAATTCAAGCCTGACTATGGGATCTTGGTCCCGGGTGAGGAGGCTTGAGAAGAAGAAGGTGTCCAACGACTGCATGAGCATCCGAAGTTGGGATTCGGTCTGGTCAAGGACGAATTCTGGTCCCCCGGTCTTGAAAATATCGACAAAATTGGATCGCGCCGTAGTCTGGTATTTGTCAAGAAGCTCCTCTCGCTCGAAGAATTCCTTGGTCCTTTTCAAAAGTGCCTGAGGCTGGTAGGAGTGCTGTTGTAACAGGAGAAGCCGCCTCATTCTCCCCAACGCAAGAACAGGCGGCACTGGTTTATGAGTTTGGATCGAGGGATGATACATGTCTTGAGTTCAGATTCGTTCGAAAAGTGCGTATCCGTGAGGATGACCTGATGTTAAGTTGCTTTATCTTCAGGTCCAGACGGTTGAGACAAGCCCTTCGATCAATTCACATTTCTTCATGTTGGGGCTATATACGTCTCTGACGAAAAACCGCATAGTGGTGTATTCGTGTTGGTAGATCAAAAGTACAATGGAGATAGTCCGTGTGTTTCAGTCTCGAAGCAAGGCATTGTGCTAACCTGTGCCATGATCCCCCGGCCCAGAGCGCCTTCGCCAGCGAGAATGTCAGCCATAGAACTGACAGCCTCTGGCGCCTCTCAGTGTCTTTGAGATTGATCGTAGCACAGGACGAGCTTCATATGATTGTTTATGGTCCTCACAACAGATTCGTTCCAATACTTGTCATTACAAAGGTACATGACAAAGGTACATGAGACATTGCGCAGGTACTGTGTATCCAACTGTAGATACAAGCGTTGTCAACGGAAAAGTGTGCTAGAGCCTCGAAGTGGGAGAATTTGGACCTACAATCAATTCTGCGTCTTCCGTACTCTTTTGCCCTACTGCGTAATTACAGGTAGTTCCGGACATCACGAGTTTTCGATTGACACTGAGAGCAGCTGAACATAGGATGCTGACGACTGATCACAAGGAGGCAGATCTGAACTTTGTCGCAGGGCAGTACCAACGGGCGCCACTCTGAGATATCACCTTGGGTCGCATTTGCTCGGCCTGGCTTTAAAGAGAATTGATTTTGGTTGTTTCATAAGTGGGTCACTTGGCCTTGACCCCGTCCAGCTGGGGAACAAAGACATGATGCGTCACTTCCGAGAATATGGACGAGTTCTCAATGTTATTGTTCTCCTTTTGATACAAGTGACATGTTCAGTAGTCTCTAATTTTTCTGTTGTATGGACAATCACAGTGTCAGAGGAAAACATCGGTACACACAAGTGCTTCGTCACTTCTACCTGACGCAGTACTCCCTCTTGGCAATACGCAGGTTGAATACGTATTCCGAGTAAAAAGACGGCCCATCCGAGAGACGTTGGAGTAGTTGCTGCAAGTATATCAACCTCAATATCACTTGGGCACGGAAGCTGGGCAGCACAGCAGGATTGCATTCGAGATTGGTGGTGTAGATTGCCCTGATGCAAAATGTGCTTCGATGTTCCTGTATGTTTTGCAATGCAAATTTGAAACATTCAACATTTGTGAAGAATACGAACCTTGACTTACATCCTGACTCGAATCTACCTCAGATGTGACAAGACCGCCAATGGGCATTTGCTATAGACTTGAACTGACAGATACAGAACCGTCGGTATGAAAAACGTCACAATGTCTGGAGTGGTGTGGTTCTGGCCGCGTGCTGGAAGGTTTTGTAATGGCCACGGTCCAAGTGCATGCTCAAGTGGGGGATGTACCTCGGGCAGTGTGGAGGACTCCACCCTCATTCTCTTAGAAGCGAGATCATCCGTGTCAAATTGGAAACTCCCGAGGGCGAAGGTGGCTAGCTACGATTTCTTGTACCTGTCAGTCTAGCATCGGTTTGCTGCTGGAATTAGGTGTGATGCGTCGATTACGTCGATCTCCCGTAGGTGTGGATTTGGGACGAGCAACGTCGTGTCGTCATAAACTCCGGGCCTATGGCAAGAGTCCAGAGAATGATGCACATTCAATCCCCATCGTTCTCTTGACTTTTCCTTGTATAAAAACCATCTTAATCTCTGGATTTACTGATCAAGTCATGCCACGTCTACTATCAGAACTTACCTCACCTCTCATTCGCGGCGCATTCAGACCCCCAACTACTCCATTACTAGTACCCAGAGCAACCATGGCGACAGGTACCGTTCTTTTCCCCCCGAAAGAATACACTCGGTGCTGACTGTCTCTACAGGAAAAGCCGACAACAAGGACCTCCAGGCCAACTCACTTTTCGATGTGTCTCACATCACAGCCGTCGTGACTGGTGGTGGCACTGGCATAGGCCTCATGATAACACAGGCACTGCAGTCCAATGGAGCGAAAGTTTACATTACAGGACGTCGGGAAGACGTGTTGAAGCAGACAGCACAGGTGTACAGTACTGGCCCCGGAAGTATTCACCCGTTGGTTGGTGATATCAGCAAGAAGGATGAGACCATCCGCCTGGCCAAGGAGCTTGAGAGTAAGGAGGCCAACGGTATTCAGTTGCTGGTAAACAATGCCGGCATTGCGAGGGACGATGACACAAAATTCTGTAAGTTCACGTGGGGAGCCGCTGCAACGGACATCGAGACTGAGCTGTGCTAACTAAGAACATCACTCAGCTGCAAATGGAGAGCCTGACTACAAGGACGCAAAGGCAATCTCCGAGCACTTCCTGCAGACCAAGGAGGAGCAATGGGCCGATACATTGCGGACAAACGTCGCAGCACAGTACTTTATGTCCATGGCTTTCCTGCCGCTCCTCGGTAAGGGCGGTTCCCAGAAGCCCGGATACTCGTCGCAGATCGTCAACGTCTCCAGCATCTCAGGTGCAATGAAGGGCTCGAGCCGCGGCCAGTTCGCCTACGCCACATCTAAGGCCGCCTTCACTCACCTCAGCCGTATGCTGGCAACCACATTCAAGGAAGTGCCGGTGAGAGTCAATGTGATCGCACCGGGGCTGTTCCCAAGCGAGATGACAGCAGGACCGTCGGGCGAGGACAACAAGAGCCAGCTGGACGCCAAGCCGACGAACCCTGCCGGCAGGACTGGTCATGACACTGACATGGGAGCAACAATATTGCTCTTGGCTGGAAAGGGAGGCTTGTTCTACAACGGGCAGATTCTGTACCCTGATGGCGGTAAGTAGATCACACCTCATGAATTCTGTGTGGAAATGATGCTGACTTATCCCCAGGTTCGACCTTGATCAACCCAGCTGTTAACAACTGAGATCTTTCCCATCAATTCAATTTCATGCCACTATCCTAAGCATGCACTGAAATATCAGGTAGCTGGTTGACCTGGGGAGAAGGGTTAAGTGCCCATAACTCATCCATGCAGTTGACCTTGAGGTTGCTCGTGGATCGGCTCGACAAGTGTGAAGATGAAAAGAAAGAATTCTGATCCTTTTGATTAGAAAATTAAAACGGATTCAAACGCCTTGTCAACTCAACTCTCGCCGGTTGTCTCATGTGCTTCGATGGTGACAAGTTTCCAGTGGTTGACTATTTAGGTGGTCGCCCGCCGGCTCCATCCACCCACCAAACCCCAGACTAAACTCCAGCAACCAAAAAGTGGAAAGTAACACGTCGGATCAATGAATTGCTCCTTGCTGCCCTGATTTCCAAGCAACTCCGGTAACACGAATGAGCAGTCGCCAGGCGTCGTCATAGTACCCCTCGACAGGAGCCCGGCGTTTACGGCCTTTAGCGGCATTCAACTAGAAGGTGAGGGACACCAGCTTACGTCCGAGTTGGCCCAAGACATGATGGCACGACGAAACAGCAGACCGAGGAACATGATTACGTTTCGTTGGAATAACGGGTGGGCATAAATGGAGATGGGCATCTCGCTCCAGACAAGTACAGCTAGAAGAATAATTAAGACCACAGAATAAGCCACACACATCTCCAGCTCTACAAGCGTGACAAGATGTCGTCAACCTACACCGTCACAGACTACCTCCTCGACCGGGCCAACATTCACGACACGGTGACAAAGCTAGTATGAACAGCCTTATATCCTCACACCTCCAGTCGGGCGAAAAAGTGACCAGCTGACGGCCGGAAACCCCGAATAGGCATGGTACTACGACACCCACTCAGAGGCCGGCCTGCGTGACGAGGTCTTCGCCCCAGAACTTCGCGTCGACTACTCCAAGATCCTCGGCGGCGAGCCCTTCACCATCGCCGGCCCCGACTGGGCGGCCCAGGCCAAGGAGCTCGTCGAGAAGTTCGACTCGTCGCAGCATCTCTACGGGTGCGCATAAGCCCGATCCCTCCCCTTTCCGGCGATAAATAGTGTGAAGTACACGGGCGCTGATATAACACAGGCACTTCCTCATCGACCTGCCTCAGCCCGGCTCATCATCGCGCCCGGACAAGAGCACCGTCCTCGGGCAGTGCGGCGCGTCGATGGTGCGCCAGGGGGCCAGTGGGGAAGGTAGCCTGCTGCAGAACGGAGTGAGTCTCCGTCCGGACCAGAATCCATCGCCCACCTCACGCATTGATGTCCATACTGATGCCCAGATTTCAGGGCCAAGCGACCATCGAGGTCATCCGTCTGCCAGAGCCCGAGGCTAAGGGGGTGAATCCGTGGAGGATCAGCAGCCAGGCCGTTGCCCCGGCGTGGGTGCTGGGGAACAAGGGCGTCCTCGAGGGACTCCACGCACAGGGCTCGTAAAGGGGTAATCAATCAAATACGGAAACGTCTTGTATGTGTATTTCTGTCCCAAGGAAAAAAGTCACCGCGCTATGACCGATCGTGCTGCGCGGTGGGATATCTCTGTGTATGAAATCCAAAACCAGTAGGCAGACCAAATAAACAGACAAGCCCAAATCGTGTTGCTCTATCCTCACTCCCGTTTCCTGCCCTTTATGCAGATGGGCCGCCCGCCTTGCCACTCAGAGTCAGGCTCTCCTCAATGGCCTTCTTCAGGTCCTCGTCGTCCTCATCTCCTCCCGCGCCGGCCGCAGCCCCCTCAGGCTGCTTGCCCTGCGCCTTGAGCCTCCGGAACTCCTCCTCGGCCAGGCTCTGCTTCTTGACGTACTCCATGATCACCTCCTCCTCGGACCTCTCGGTCGTCCTGCGCGCCAGGTCCTCCCGGTGCGCCCGCTCCGATTCCTCCATCGCCTTTCGCAGCTCCTCGTCCGCCCCGCTCTCCCCACCGTGGCCCGCCGCGGCTGCATGGGACTGGGACTCCTGCAGCGCCCGCTCGAGGTCCTCGTCCTCGCTGCCGTGGTGTTGGCCCTGCGCTATGACGCTCTGCCTCGCTGCCTCCGCGATCAGCGCCTCGAACTCCTCGTCCGTGATCTCGTCCGCCCCGGGCCCGGCCTTCTTCTCGTCCGCCCACGCAGGCGGCGCAGATGGCTCGGACGGCCTCTGCTTCCAGTCGCCCAGCTGCCTCTGCTGCTCCTGCCGCCTCTGCTCGTCCGCGATCCGCCGCATCTCCTTGACGCTCGACCGGATCTGCGCCTCGATCATGGCGTCCTCGTTGGGGTCGCCGCGGGATGTCTGGTTGACCGACTCGCGGATGGCGCGCTCCATGCCGGGATCCTCTGGGGGCTCCGCGCTGGGGGTCACGCCAGCCTCTTCCTCGCGCTTCTTCTTCTTCCAGGCGTCTCTCTGCTCGTGGAGCTTTCTCCTCTCCTCCAGGGACATGTGTCTGGTATTCCAGAAACCCGTCTTTGGTGGGGAGTCAGGGAGCCTGTTGAGATCATCCTGGGACGCGGTCGCCGGTTGGTCAGAAGGCGCTTCGCTGGCGGTCTTCTCCTTGTATTTGAGGACGTAGAGGCCTCTCAACTCAGAGCTCATGGAGTTGAATCGCACGATGATGTCTTGCATCTCTTCGAGGTTAGCCGAGCCAAGGTCGGCTTGGCCCTGCAGTATCCGTGAGGTGACCACGTATTTGTCCACGCTGTGGTGGAACTTGGATCTGATTTCTGCGTGCACGCCTTTCATCATGTAGGCAGGTATTGACCAGATTCCTGCAAGACAAAGTCAGTATTGCAGTATTGCGGCTTGGACACACCATAATTCTCTTACCAGCAGCAGGCTTGAGGATCAGCCCTCCTATACCCTTGCCCACACCCTTAATGAATCCCTGACCGCCCTGCTTCTGCGCTCCTTTGTACGGCTGCGTTACCAGCCCAGAGACACCGTCATAGAAGCCAAGGCCGAGCTCCTTCCACGCAACCACGACTCCACTGCCAATACCTGTGACTTTCTCCGGTTTGCGGATGGTCTCGTCGTTGTACAGTCGAGGCGCGTTGCGGAATCCCTTGGCCAGACCCATACAGAAGTTCATCGGAGACTTGAATCCTGTCTCGACGATACGCGAGACATTCTTGCCAGTGTCGAGGCCCATTCCAAGTGCAGCCTCGACATCGAGGTTCTTCTTCGGCTTGCCCCCTTGGGAGCTGCTTGCGCCGTGAGATGACGGAGAAGTGCCGGACCTGGTAGGGGATTTGCCAGGTGATCTAGGCGTGCTGGAAGCTTGTTGCGTCGATCCTCCCAGGATAGTCGGGTCTGTGGAGCTGGCTGCGTCCGACTGTGGTGGGGGGCTCAGAAGTGCTGACGGCTGGGCGGACCAGGTGCTTGCGCTGTCGGAAGGGAGCGTGAGCTGAGACGACGATGCAGCGTCATTCGATGTCGCCGAGCTGTCATCTTTCTTCGGAGTGACCGATCCACTCGAGGACTTCTTGACAGTCTTGTACCAGTCTCTCGGTATGTCACCAATGGCCATGGCGATGCTGCCCATGTCTCCTACCAGGGCCGCCGTCACAGCGGAGACCGGGTCCCATGGCTGCTCTTCTGTGTCATGCTCTTGAGACCGGTACCTGAACACGTGTTAGCAACCTGATAAGAACGAACAAGAAGAGGGTCACCCACAGCTTCAGATCTGCATAGCGCAGCAGTCCTTCTTTCACAAGCACGGCCGCTGCCAGAGCACTCAGCCGGACCTTGGTCCGCCTGATGCGCCAGACAGCCGTGCGACTAGGAGCAATAGAGCAACGCAAATTGTCATAATCAAGTTGGTCATGGAAGCTCTTTGCTCCCTGGTCTGTGCCCTTCTCCTGCCTGATCTTCTCACCGAGCTCCTTGGCTCTTGCTTGGGTCTCAGGCCTCAGAGCTGAGGTGATGGCATCGGCAAGCTTCTCCGCAGTCAGCTGCTTGTAAGGGATGGGAGCCGGGCCAGCGCCGGCCTTCGCGATCATGGCGCCCCAGAACGGCTGGTCACCAAAGAACGGGACCACAACGGTTGGCGTCCCGGTCTTGATCCCGGCGGCAGAAGTTCCGGCACCGCCGTGGTGGACGACACAAGACACCTTCTTGAAGAGCCAGTCGTGCGGACAGTTGCCCAGCATGAAGACCCCTTCAGGGATGCCCACAGAGTCTGCCCCGATGCCGCCCCAGCCCTTGGACACGAGAGCGCGGATCCCTGCCTGAGTGACGGCGTCGAAGATCATTCTTGTGAGCTTGTTAGGGTCGTCGACAACGATGGAGCCGAAGCCGATGTAAACGGGAGGCGGGCCGCTCTCGAGGAAGGCAGCCAGGTCGGGCTCGGGTGTGTAGGAAGTGGCCAGGTCGAGGAAATAGAAGCCTGGGATCGATATTTCACGTCCCCAGTCGTTGGGTTTCGGGATCAGGGCTGGAGACCAGCAATATGTAGTCGGGATTCGCAGCCGTGTCAGTAGGCCTGGGGCCCAGATTAGAGACAGCGGCTCGAGGTCCAGCACCTTTGTCCTGAAACGATTAATGACATCCCCTAGCCCCTGCCATGTCATCATTTCCACCAAGGCATAGGAGACAAAGTTGGTCATGACATCGTCAGTATCGGTGCTTTGGATGTTGGCCAGTGGGTGAGGGAATGCTCGCGTGGGTGACCAGGGCATAGTGAACATCATGTGCAGCGGTATGCCCATCTTCTCGGCGATGTGGATATGCCCGAAGCTCGGCGGGTTTGCAATGATGGCATCAGCGACGAAGGGCTTGTCGTCAGGGTTTCCAGGCAGGCTGTAGTCGTCCCCAATGGGCTCGTTGGATAGGTCCGTCTCGACAGGCGGGCCGAGTCCATCACCTGCCTCGATGCAGGACCGCCAGCACCCAAGGACAATCTGTTCGATGCCCTTGCGCCGTTTCGTGATCTCGCCGCTCTTGAGGGCGTCTATGCCAGGCATGAGGCCGGGGTTCTTCACCATGAAGGCCATGAGCTCGGCCGGGTCTCCACCGATGCAGAAGAACTCGAGCCCGTTCTCTTCGACGAACTTCTGGAAGGTGGCATGGGTCGCGATCCGAACCCTGTGCCCGTAAGTATCCTTCAGCACCTTGCCCAGCGCGACAAATGGCTGGACATCACCACGCGAGCCGACGATCTGGATGACCAGATTCAGCTTGGGAGGGGGTGTTTGACCAGGCAGACCACCTAGACTGGGAGGGATGTATGCCGGTGGCAGAGGCCCTGAGGGAGTTTTCTGAGAGGGGAGTAGTTGGCCCTTCAAGGCCGGGGCCAAAAGCTGAGACAGCCTCCTGTTGGTCTGGCTGATATTGATATTGACACGGCCATCGTCTGAGTGAGAGCTTTAGCAGAGTGCTCAAAGGGGCTTTTGAAGAGGACAATTCCATGGCTGCAGCTCACCTGTGACTGCAGCACCAGCATTAAACCCATCTTGCGACAGATTCAGCTGGTCGTGGACCTCGCCATAGGCCGGGGGCGCTTCGTCACTGGCGCCCAGGTCCAAGGGGCTGCTCACGTTGTCGTGGATGTAGTTGAAGCCATCCGAGACCCCAGCAGCCTGGCGCAAGGTGGACTGCCGGGACATGTTCCCAGGGTTGTGCTTCTCGACCATGGTGCTCGTGCTCGTGCTCGTGCTCGAGTTCGAGTTCCAATGTAGGGGGTGAAGGTCTTGAGATGAAGAAGTAGTACCGAGTCAGCGTTGGCCAGGTGTAGGAGAAGACCTGCCAAGCCCTCGTACTAGGACCCTGGTATCGAGTGGATGCAGTAAATCGGGGAACAGGAAAGCCAACTTGGAATCAGTCCATAGAGAAAGCCGGTAGGAAGAGCAAGAATCGATCGTCATGCGAAGCCAAGTGTAGCTCAGCCAGGGACGTCACCGGCTGCGGGTGACCTGCTATGGAGGGGTAGTTGGTTGGTTTAGAGAGGTTGCCCAGGACCGGTAATGTAGACTGTTAGTGGAAACCTTGGAAAGCTTGGTAGGCCCAACTTAGGAGAGAGAGAGGGAGGGCCGCATTATCTATTCCACAGGTTAAGCCGTGGATGCCTATGCCAGGTAGAACGCCTCGTGCAGGCGGACATGGAACAGTCCAGCTCAGCTCCGTCTTGGCCCCGTTGTCCCATCTGCTCATTTCAGCGTCCAACGGTCGTGTTTCTATTCCCAAAGCCAGCGCCAGGCTATGACGACTTGTGATGTGGCGCTGCATCGCTCTATCGAGCTCTGGCTCCAGCATGCTGGCCAATCATTCTGCTCCATGTATGACGGGTTCGATACGACTGATACTCGTACTGTTTGCGCGTATACGCAAAAACGACTACTATACGAGCTAACATTTTGCATACCACCACCACTTCACTCAAGATAAAGCTTCCATATATGGAGCGCTCCATATTGTCCAGATCTTCTGGACTCGCTTCCTATGAGCACACTGGACAAAGCCACTGTACACTGCTCTACGAATGTCTAGATTTGCTCACCCTACTAGGCGTGGTTGTAGAAGTACAGACCGAAACTTATGCTGTAGCCGCTTACGCTTTTGCGAGGAGTTAAATACGATAGACTGTTACGAATCGCTTGCCAGTTGTATACCGAATCCGTCGGACCGCTCCGTGCTACGGCGAAGGAGGAGGCTGTAAGCTGGAACGGTCCGGCCCCTTTCCAGATCCGTATCCGTCGGGGTCAGCATTTACCCAGTGTACCCACGCCTAGGCAACCTTAAGTTTTGGGGGAGCATCTTCTATTGCACGCGTACTTAAACCAGCACCACAGACAGAGGCTGAGAGCACGGTTGTGGTAAGACTCCACGGGAATCTTCCAGACTTCTACGCCTTGCAACTCAGAGACGCTCCACTCCCGCTCCATGCCGCTACATATCACCATTGCAGGCCGGCCGATATTTGCGATGTGGTTCGGTATCATTCCCAAGTGCAGTTCCAATTCAAGTGCCCACATCCCATCTGACGCCTAAAATAAACATCTCGTGCTAGGGAGGATCTTCGGCCGCATCATTGCTGCAGAATAAAAGTGGCGTCGTTCCTCAAATCTAGTCCCGTTGCCTGATCGCGGCCACTTTCGTTCAGCCAGCGATATTCCATATGTTGTCGCCTCACACCCTTCCAGTGAAGGACTGATTGTCCATTACCCGCGATAACCCATCGGCGACCATCTAGCTCGAGAACTTCCGCGTAATCTTTGCAATGACTGCGAAGGGGTCAGCACTGCGAAGAGATTCCTGTATTGTATGGACAACTTACTGTGCAGGGCAACGACAGAGAAGATGAAGACCAGAGACAGCACCAGCACGACCACGGGGTCAACCTTAAGACCGGGAGACTCGTCGGTGTACAGCCCTATAAGAACAGAACATGTTAGCCATGTGTTTGCCAATTCTAAGCGCCGGTCCCTTGATGGCACTCCTCGTTCAATATCCTCGCGTGCGATTCACAGCGAGATTCGCTCGGCTGTGTCCTGCCACTCGCTCCTCTCGCTGTGACGAACACGGTAGACACAGCAAAGTGCCACCGACCAGCACGGCAGGAAGAGCACTCATAGGGGATCATTGAACAAGTCGTGGCTCATGAAGGGAACTCGAAGCGTAGTGGTGGTAAGGACCACGTGAGAGGGGGCAATCGTACTCAGCATCGTCGAGCTGCTCCCACCGGCACCGGCCGAGCGGGTGCTGTTCGGCCTCGCATTGGCGATCTTCTCCTTCTGGTCGGCAGCAGCGCGCCTGCGAATCACGGCGCGGGCTCCGCCCGGTGGTGGAGGGGAGTCCGGGCGGGCGGTAGACTGGCCGGAGGCGGGTGGGGAGTTGACGGGGGATGCGGGACGAGGGGAAGACTGTTTTGCACGGGAGGCATCGATCGTTAGCTACAGGATGTCCGGTCTGGATTGCCCAGAGCAGAAAGGGAACAGGGCGGTGATGGCGGCGAGCATCAGTGGCGATGCGAGTGATTGCGCTGGCGCATCTGCTCAATGGGCCGCGTGTGGTTTGGGGAGGGGCGTACCATTTTGATCCAGAGTGATTAAACGTGTAAAGAACGAGGTGCGTCAAGGGAATCGAGAAGGGCAGAGTCAAGCGTCTGTGGCTGTTGGTGAGCTCGAAGGAATGGAAAGGAAGCGTTGACGGTGCTGTCGGTTGATGGGTGGTGTCGCGTGGATGGAGCTCGACTCAATGGCTGCAAGTGCTGGTGCTGGGCCCCTAGAAATTCATTCAAACAGGTGTCTTCAATTGAAAGCGCAGGCATTGCCTACCACAGGGCCAAGAGGGACCGGCGCTAGCCAGATCTGCACCGGTAGGTACGTACCTTGCAGCACAGAACAGCAGCGGCAGCAGGAAGCAGCAGCGGCAGCCGGCAGGCCGGACGGCCGGCTCAGGTTCATCCGACCTCCCCCAACAAACTTCAGACCAGAACCAGGTGTCCAGGACCACCCCTGCTCCGGTCCAGAGAGAAGAACCCTGGAATAGCATATGAAAACGGATCCATCTGAATATGGAGCTCTTTTTGACTTCACATGGGGATCTGCAAGCTGGCCGACTTCTAGATCAATTCTAGCGACCGTTTCTTCTCGGTTGGTCTTGGGCAGTTCCGAACACCGGACTATGGGTCTTTATGAGCTTCACTGTTCCGAAACCTCTCACCCCGGGGACGCCTGACCTCGCCAGTCATGTCCGTTCCCAGCCTCGCGGAACATGTAGGCCAGTCGGCGTTCTGGCCGCCCTCTTCACACAACAGCCATCTTCACACAAGAGATGTATGATAAGCTTTGGATCGTCACGCGTATTCTTGCCTCCCGGGACTACTTGAATGACACTGGCTCTCCGCATGCTCCCCTGCGTTTCGGCACGTGGCCCCTCCTGGGCCGTCCTCCTTTCCTGCTGTGTTCCCTGGTCCAACGTTGGCTCGCCAGCCTCACAAGAGCCTCACAAGAGCCTCACTCCGGTCATGCATGTCAGAACGTCCAGCGACACAAGCACGCACACAACGGTTCGATAGAGCCGAGGTAGAAAATTGTAAGGTTCACAGCAATATAAGATTCCCCGTCTGTCTGCTCGCAGACACCTGTGTCTTCTGCTCTTGTATATGTAAAGTAAGCGAACAGCGGTGATGCTTGGGGAATGGTGAATCGACAAATGAAATAGAAAGGTTGAGTTTTCCTGCAGTCGGAAAAGACATGTGGGTAATAGAAGCCTCAGAAAATGCCAAATGCCTGCCAGCCTGGTCGCTTATTCCTCCTTTTACACGCACGTCATCAGGTTCCTCGCTCCCCCTCTCTGGCGCGACGGCAAAGGTAATAGTAAAGGTCGGTGTGTCCTCTTTTTTTCTTCTTCCCCTCCCGTTCGGAGGCTCGAGGCTCTCCTTATCGAACAGAAACTGCTCGCCGCCAATATTGGCGTTGCTCCCACCACCACCGCCAACCACCTCCCCGTGTCCAATCGCTGACCTGCTCCGAGCATCATCATCCCCAGCAAGGGCGTACGGGGAAAGTTTGGTTCGCCTGGACTCCTTGTCCAGAACCCGTCCCCTTATCCTCGTCCCCAATTTCTTGCTCCAGGCTGGCAGGACATCGCTGCGAGAGCCTTACTATTTATATGCATTAAACAGTAGAGGTCTATACCAGTCGCGACTGGCGATGCACTTCCCAACGCCTTCCGCTATGAGCAAACTCGAAAACACTGACGCAACATAATGCGTTGTCCCCTGCGTGACGACGATGTACCTCGTATGAAGTTGGGATATCGGATTGTCGCAGGTGGCAGGCGCAGAGGTGGGTGGAAAATAGAAGAACATAGAAAAGTATTAACTCTCTCAAAGAGTCACGTCGAGGACAAGGCTGACGTCTTGCACGTTCGAGCCGGCAAGGTCTTCAAGGACGGGTATCAAGTCTAGGAGCTCGTTATCGTGCGCGTCGGAAAACCAGCTGCTTATGGGGACGGCATGTTGTGGGTGGAAAATGTAGGATGTAGGGGAGTTGTCGATGATGATTGTGTCCTTCAGGTCTCGACCGATCTTGGCGAGGTCCTTTACGTAATTGCCGCCGTGGTTGTGGCAACTCTCCCGGAATAATCTGTGGTGGACGACACCGTGGATGTCCAGTTGATCCAGCAGAGGGTCGCCGTACTGTGTGTATCCCGTCAGCAGAGCCCACGATCGTAGGCGACGGCGGGACAAAAAGAACATACCTTGGACACCGACGCTGTGAACACGACAACCTCATAGAGCTCGCCCACTCTCTTCATAAACTGGTCTACGCCTGGTCGCTTGATCACGTAGACGTTGTGATAGTTACCCTCGATTTCCACGGGTATCGTGAAGTCGGCTTGGTGGAGAATCTAATATCTGTCAGCGCCTGAGACTAACACGCGCAGAGAATGGATTTACCTTGAAAGAACTGTGGACCAAGGTCTCGTCCAGATCGAGGACCAGACACTTCCTGCCCTTGAAATGTGGTTGTATTGGCGGCAACAAGGCGTCCTGAGGTGGCTGCTCTGACGCAGCGACCAATCCACCCTCGTTCTGAGGCGCGGCGGGTGCGTCTGGCATAGGAACAGGTGGAGGCGGCAGGTCTTCTGTGTCAACAGGTTGTGGTGGCTCCGGCGCCTGGAGGGCAGCAGCATCCACCATTTCGGTATCGCCATCCCCGTCCTTGGCAGCAGGAGCTTCCGAAGCTGATCCCCCGGCCTCGGCGTCTTGTGAGCGAGGTGGATCGACAGTCACCGTCGGAGCTGTTCCAATCAGGGTTGATTGTTTCGATTCCTCTGCGAGGGTCGATTGGTCCTGGGTCGTTGTCCCTGAGACCCTCTGCGCCCTAGAGGGCTCAGGAGGATTTTGTGTCTGCGCCACATCTTTCTCCTGCGCCTGGGACTTGCTGGCAGCGGTGTGCTCAGAAGGCGTCTGCGCCCTTCGGCTGGCGGTTGTCGGCCGCGGGGGCAGCTTCTCGACCTTGTGAGTCGGGGCGTCGGCCGGTTCGTTGTCCACCGGGTGAGCATCGTCAGGAACGCCGCAGCAGAACAGGGACAGCAGGCCGCCCTTCTTTTTCCGCTGGACTGGCGCGCTGGAAGAATTCGGCACCGAGTTGCCAGGGTTTGCCGCCTGGCTAGCATCGACAGCCGATCGGTTGCTGGACACACTTCCGTTCCTGTGGCGACCCATAATGCTTGCCTTTGACTCTTTCGAGCGCCCACCGATGCTATCTCTGGATTCGCTCGCAGTCGCTCCGCTCAGCCCCGTCGAGGTAGGTGACGATTGGCGCTTCTTGGACGATGATCTCGAAGGAACCTTCAGCAGGCGAGCCTTCTTGGAGGATGGCCCGTCTCCTGCAGATGCAATTTCTTTTTCTCTTGAGCTGTCGTGGACGTCTTGGGGTTTATCGATTAGGTCTCGGGACATTTCGCCGTTTGAGGTCGATGATGGGATCTACACTGGCAGCTGGGATCTAGCCTGCGATGACATTGGTCAGCATTGAGGAAGAGCACGTGGTGTCGACAGCCAGGCTGAAAAGGAGCGCGCGAAATGATTGACGACATCTCCTTGGGCGACATCCCCGGCCACCAGGTCATTGCGAAAGCCAAGGTTCTGGCCCAGTGCTGATTGGGGGTTGGACCCGGGGAGCGCAATGCATTGATTCTCGCGGGAGGCGATGAGCAGGTGAGCAGGGCGTGGGGAGGGGGGCGATGGCAGAGCGAGTGCCCACGGCCGTGTTCTGGGAGGAGAGACTGTGGAAAATCCTCACGTACCTCTGTAGTCGCAGTCAACTGGGGCTCCCAACCGCGTACAAGGTCCCAAAGCTCTTTAGACGGTCGCAGGGCTTGGGGGTGGCGCCAATCCAGTTTGTCGACGACGATGTTGTCGAGGATGAGCAGTTTGGGTTGTGGTCAAGTATGTCGGAGGTGTTTCTCGAGTAAGCAAGTTGGGTAATTTCGAGCTCGCAGATTCGACCAGGGGCTGATCTCGGTCGGGAGATGAGGGTGCCGCTCGCGCGCCAAAAGGAGGTCGAACGGGGGGCTGATGATGCTCTGGTCACCTAGGCGGGAGTGGGCAGGTAGAGCGGACCGAAGGCAACCCCAGTTGCATGCAAGCAGGAGAGGCGGTTCCCAGGCAGGCCACAGGACCGAAGTAGGCGCAGGACAGTTGCAAAGCCGCGTCGCCCGTCAGCCAGAAGGGATTCTGGGCTTGGAGGTACGCAGTGGATGGGGAAAGGAGCTCTGGGAGGTTGAAGAAGGTATCGGATCGGAGGCTGAAGAAGTCTAGCAGCAGAAGCGAGATTGGGCCAGCGTCCAAAGAAAGGCAGTCCTGGGAGGACAGGCCTGGCAGGGTGGATGGGTGGATGGGCAGGTAAATTGCGGTACAGGTGCTAGCTGCTAGATAACGCACCCCGGCCGGGAGGAAGGACATCTTGCCCAATTCCGCCTAAGGGGTGCCGTTCTGGCCGGTGAGTGGCTTGGAGAGGCACGTTAGTCTCCAGAAGCGGACCTGGCCCCGGACTGCACTAACAGCGTTGTATCTGCCCATCCATGGATCCTGGCCATGTCTACTCTGTGCCATGGCCCATCATGGCCCGTCATGGCCTAAGGCCCACGGCCGTGGGAGGGCAGGGCTTCCCTTTCGGGTGCTGGAGCTTGGGTCTGGTCTTATTAGCAACTGCAAGAAGGAGATGACACTGGACACTAAAAAGCTGGGTGGGCCAGGCCGGCTCGCCCCAAGGCGATGGGACCCGGAGCAGACGCGGGTACAGGAGCGACACGCAGGTACCTAGCATTTAGCGGGCAGTGGGGTGCCTGGTTATTATTATATACAGTAGTAATGACAATAATGACAATGTCCTCCTGCAGGATTTCCGAGGTTTGGTAGTGTCATGGTCTCGTCTCATCTGGACAACCTGGTAGGTTCTACCGGGCAAATACAGCAATATGTTATTATAGATTGGTACCCAGTCCACTGTCGCGAAACTTTGATGCCGGCAAAGCACTTCCCAGGTTGTCATGATCGAGGGTAGGCTAGACACGGACTGCCCAGGGCATGCTTTCGTCGCCACTCGGCGACATGGCAGCGGCGTCCGACATACAGTACGATGGCGTCCCGGGGTCCAGTATCGGACATCAGCCTCGCTGCCGGTGGCGCACTCACTCGGCCCAGCCTCAATGCGAATCATCACTGATGGCCCGTCCCGTCCACGACCACACCCGTGACCACCAGCAAATGGAGCAGGTCATGCAGAGCGCCAGGGGATGCGAGACGAGAGCGAGAGCCAGACAGCCAGTCAGCCCAGAAACCGAGTATGGGAACGAGGCATGACACAATCACCCGAGGGGCCACAAGCAATTACTGGTACCTATGAGGAGCTGCTCTGCCCAGTCTGCATAATGCACAACTTGGGGGGAAAGGGGGCCTGAGGGCCGGTGATGGGGTGGGCATCTGGGCACACAGGCACGTAGCTTCTGTTGCGAGGGGAAAACGCGACATTTGCGTACTGTGCTGCGAGACTGGCTGCGGTGCGTGGGTGTGATTTGGTTCCCGCTGAACCCACCAATCCACAATTGGAGCCCACGTTTCACACACGCACGGTGGAGACGGCGGGTAGCTGAAGCCAGAGAAGCTTGTCAGGGCTTCCAGAGGTTCCCGGCACGTTGAAGAATATCTCGCAGGACATATGAATAGTATCACATGTAGTCCAGCGAAGCATCATGGAAAGGCAGCAGCCTCGCCCACCGTCGCAGTTGTGCCCTAAAGCTGGTGCTGATGCTGGTGCTGATGCTGGTGCTGATGCTGGTGCTGATGCTGGTGCTGATGCCCGGATGTCCATGCCTGGATGCCCAGAATCTGCCAGCTGAGCACATGTTCCCTTGGGGCTCATGGTCGGACGGCTCAGCCAGTCACAACCCTCAGGCACACCTTGCTTGAACTGGGCAGCCGCTGCGGTCCGAAATCAAGCACCACTTGCTTGCCACCCTTGAGATGCGGACGGATACCCGTCTGCAGAGCCGTGGGCTGGCCCGGTCTTGATTGGTCCTGCTGCCGCCGAACCATGAGCGGAGTGGCATTTAGAGGAACCAAGCCGTCCACCCAACGCAATGGCACACCCTGGTTAGACTTTGGATCGAAATGAACTCATGGTCGGGCACAGGCCATGGGCAGATTGTCTCTGATTGCCCCCGTCTCTGTCTCTGGACGGGGATCGCTAAAAAGTGCGGTCTGACGACTTTGTTTTGTGGGTGAAGATGGAACGGTACATAGCCTACATGTAGGCACCACTTGCAGACTGGAGCTGGGCTGGACTGACTTAGCATGAGACACACCATGGATTAGCATGTGGTCTTCTGTCTGACCTTCAGACACAACCCATCTCACATTGTGTCTTGCTGACGTCTGCAGTGAGCGTGACTACATTCCTGAGCAGCGGCAGATGTGGGCTTCAACGCGGACGAGCCCGGGTCTTCAGCCTTCATTTGTTACGGAGAGGATGCATGCGAGTTGACAAACACACAAGGCCAGAAAGCAAGCTGTCTAAGCTCCGGCCATGACGAGAGCTTTCAAAGCTCGAGGACTACCGCGTCGGGAGCTCTGGGACTCCAGGGCTGGAGAAACACTATTTGCGTTCAATGGTGGTGGGCAGTCCCGAGAGAGTAACCAAACCCCCTGGAGCGAAGCTCGGGCCAGCTCGACCTTCTCCGCTTGGGGCCCTCCTGTGCCTAGAGCCTCGGGCCTAAATCCTGGGGTAGCTAGCAAGGGCCTAGGTTATCACATGCCACAACCTCCTTCCGAGTGTCAAGCCGCAACCCCGTTCAATGACATCGGGACAACAAGCATGACTTGCGCATCGGCAGAACCTCAATTTGGCACAACACGAGCAAAGCCTTGACTTCATTCTGGTCACCTGCTGCATGACATACTTTCTGGACATCCAACCGAATCTCAATCTGTCTTGCATGGCTTTTTAAACCACCCAGTCGCAACACAGTAGCCGCTGACGGACAAGGGCGGCCGGCTCGATCGCACAGCGCCGCCGCCACACCCGATGGCATACCCTCCTACATAGTCTCGATAGAATCTCGCCAGGCCAACCCAGCATGGCAGGCCAATCGACGCTGCGGCACTCAGCCGCTGAGGGCGCCATTCTGGAGTTCGTCGAAAAGTACACCACCCTGATCCGAACCCGCTTGCGCCAGACTTCGCGGACGACCCGCCTCCTCGCGACCCTTGCCCTCGTCTCCTCCATCATATTGGGCGCAGAGGGCTCCCGCCGCTGGTGGAAGCGCAGGAAGTCGGAGAAGGAGCAGGGTTTCAAGCTCGTGAGGACCAACTCGTGGCTGCACAACAAGGACGGCTCGCGCACCATCTACGTCCCTTACAAGGACGGCACCTCCAAGGTCGTGATCCACACGACCAAGCCGCTGACCTTTGAGGCGCATCGGAGGTTGTTCTTGAATCCGCCACGGGTCTCGGGCCTGGGCGATGGCACCGTTCCCTCCGCGCAGACTAAGCCGGGGCTCAACCTGGCCTTTCTCCACCAGTTCCTGAGCCTGATGAGCATCATGATACCAAGATGGACGAGCAAGGAGGCAGGGCTGCTCGTCAGTCATGGCGTTTTCCTCATGCTGCGGACTTACCTGTCGCTTGTGGTCGCTCGTCTCGACGGTGAGATCGTCCGCGACTTGGTGGCCGGCAACGGCAAGTCATTCATCTGGGGCATTGTCAAATGGTGCGGCTTGGGAAGCTTTGCCTCCTACACCAACGCCATGATCAAGTTCCTCGAGTCCAAGGTATCAATCGCGTTCCGGACAAGGTTGACGAGGTACATACATGACCTCTACCTCAACGACAATCTGAACTACTACAAGCTATCGAACTTGGACGGCGGCGTGGGTCAAGGGGCAGACCAGTTCATTACCCAAGACCTGACGCTGTTCTGCGCTGCAGCTGCGAACCTGTACTCCTCGTTAGGCAAACCTTTCGTCGACATCTGCGTCTTCAACTACCAGCTGTACCGGTCTCTCGGCCCCTTGGCGCTGACTGGTCTGTTGAGCAATTACTTCTTCACCGCATCCATCCTCAGGCGCCTCTCGCCTCCATTCGGCAAGCTCAAGGCTGTTGAAGGCGCAAAGGAGGGCGATTTCCGCAGCTTACATGCCCGCTTGATAGCCAACGCCGAGGAAGTGGCCTTTTATGGCGGCGCAGAAATGGAGAAGCACTTCCTCAACCGCGAGTTCAAGTCTCTCAAGACGTGGATGGAGGGAATTTACATGCTCAAGATCCGCTACAATATCCTGGAGGACTTCATCCTAAAATACAGCTGGAGTGCCTACGGCTATCTGCTGTCCTCGTTACCAGTTTTCCTCCCAGCCTGGGGAGGACTGGGCGGCGCATCAGAGCTCTTGGATTCAGCCGAAAAGGGTGGCCGCGAGCGCGGCCGCATGCAGAACTTTATCACGAACAAGCGCCTTATGCTGTCGCTTGCTGACGCCGGTGGCCGCATGATGTATAGCATCAAGGATCTATCTGAACTGGCCGGATATACTAGCCGTGTGTACACGCTCATCTCAACTCTGCATCGCGCACACGCCAACTCGTACTTTGCCCGGGGCAGACCCAACGAGTTTTACTCTCTCAGTGATGTTCAGGGCACAATGCAGAAGGGTTTCGACGGTGTACGGCTGGAGAACGTGCCTATAGTGGCCCCAGCTCTATGGCCGCAGGGAGGCGACGAGCTGATCGAATCCATCAGCATGATTGTCCGCCGCGGCGAACACCTGCTCATCTCGGGCCCCAATGGCGTCGGTAAGAGTGCCATCAGCCGAGTCCTGGCCGGATTGTGGCCAGTGTACCGCGGCCTAGTGTCCCGGCCAAAGGCCAACGGTGAGGACGGGATCATGTTCCTCCCGCAACGGCCCTACCTCAGCGTGGGCACGCTGCGGGACCAGGTCATCTACCCGGACGGCGAGGCGGACATGCGCGAGAAGCGGAAGAACGAACACGACCTCAAGAGTGTGCTCGAGGCTGCGAAGCTGGGGTACCTGCCTGACCGCGAGGGCGGGTGGGACACTAAGAAGGAGTGGAAGGATGTCCTCAGCGGCGGCGAGAAGCAGAGGATGGGCATCGCGAGGCTGCTGTACCATGAGCCACAGTACGCGTTCATCGACGAGGGTACGAGCGCGGTGTCGAGTGATGTGGAGGGGCTCTTGTATGAAACGTGCAAGGATAGGGGGATAAGTAAGTTGCTCCATTCGCAAGGCCATACGCACCGCAAATCATTTTTCAACACGAATCTAATTGGCATTTTCATCTAGCACTCATCACAATTTCGACCCGCGCCTCCCTGAAGAAATACCACACCTTCAACCTCGTGCTCGGCATGGGCGAGAACGGCGACGAGTGGGAGTTCGAGCGCATCGGCACCGAGCGGGAGAAAATGCACGTCGAGAGGGAGCTCCAAGAGCTGAGGGAGAGGCTGGCCAAGGTCGAGGAGTGGAAGACGAGGAGGGACGAGATCGAGAAGGAGCTGGCGCAGGTGTGGGTCGAAGGGGGCGACAGCCTGCAGCCTCCTGCATATACGGAGAAGGAGGACGGGCAGGACACTAGCGCCCAGGAGCAGGGCAATGTGGACGTGCCGGCATGATAAATGGATGTGTGTGTATGTATGTGTTTTATATCTGATCCACTTGACTGAATCTATTCACCATTTCGAAAGACCCGTTAGCAATTCTCTTCGTTCCGCCGTACCATCGCGCTCTTTGTTCTCTCCCACAACCTCGTCTAAATGAAATCAGAATGTTCATCAAAAGCTCCTCCAGATGCCTACGAGATCCTCTGCTGAACACGAGACCTCATAGTTCCTACAGCCAGCCCTGTGTACGAGTGCGTCCTCCCTGACCGGTGATCGAGCGTTGAGCCGCACTCCCCTGGGCCACCGATCCATTCCATCCTAAAGTGGTGGGTTGCCATGCCACGGCACCACCATCCATGCTACCCATGATGAATCCCATATTGTTTCCGCCGCGATCGGGTCTGTTGGGAAGGAGCACGTGAACTCGCCACCAGTGGCCCCCGAACTCTGCCATGCCGATGTCCTGAACGGACGTCACGTTTGCTTCCTGTCGTCTCACTGGCGAAAGTTTCCCACCGCTGCCACCAGACTCCACTCGTAAATGCCGACCACCATAGAGACCGAGTAGGATGGAAAGTGCCATGACGCCACGGGCCACGGAGCGGACGGCCCAGACGAGCACCACGATGACGAGTATGAGGAGCTTCAAGGGAGTGCAGAGGATGCTGATGAGTATCCAGGCCGGCCAGAGGACGAGGATCTTCAGGATGGTGATGTGGAAGTGGGTGATGCCCCTCAAGATGGTGACGACCATGACCAAGAGCCGCACAAGGAGGGCGATGGCGATGATTGCCACGAGGAGGCGGCCTACAGGGCTGAGGTTTGACGCCAGCCGCTCGCTGATGCTGAGAAGGCCGTTCATGATTGGCACACTGGCTGTACACCAGGTTCGTTGGGCCTGTGCTGGTCGAGATGGGAGTGTGATGTTTTCCTTGGGTACTGGCCACTTTCTCTGGAGTCGATGGTCTGCAGATCGAATGGAGGTAAAGAAGGCCAACCTTCGAGGGAGTTGGCGGGAAGGTGACCGACCGACGAGGAATGAGCGAAGCGACAGTCGAACGAACAGACGTCAGGCAGCTGACATCTCGGCGGAAGGCAGCGGTCGGGGCTTGCAGAAAAAGAAAACCAGGCAGACGTAGCGAGAAAAAACCAGGGACCACCAGGTTTGCCGTGATACTGGGGTGCTTGCCCGTGATATCGAGTGTGCGCCTGGACGAGGTTCCAATGCCCTGACGGGTTTCTAGAGACTGACGAATAGCCACTGTCAAACGATGGTCGCGCCTTCCCCAAGACGCCCCTGCTTCCACGAGCCCAGTATATCCGGCAATGTTTTCCAAATCACCGATAGCCAAACACAGGGGCCGGGGCAGGAGGCTGATAACAAAAGGAATTTTGTTAAAGTGGTGCAATGACCATCCGTCGTCGATTCTATGTCTACCCCGACTACAGTACAGTTTGGCCGGTGTCTCCACAGGTATTATACAACCAATGCTGCCGCGTTCCCGACCAATTCACTCTCTCCCCTTTTTCGCTCTCTTTCTCTCCTCTCTCGCTCACCCGCTTGGCTTAAGAGAACATCCTGCTCATGTCGCCACGGAGCCTCTGGTAATCGAACAGACCCTCGATGCTGCCGACAGCAGAAACAGCGACATCCTGATCCCAGATCCTCCTCTGTGCGAAGCTGATGACGTCGTTGGCAGAGACAGCGTCGATGGTTCGCTCGATCTCGCCAGGGCTCATCCGTCGGCCAGTGGTGACGATCTGTCGGCCAATGTCCTCAGCCAGGGCGGTGGTGCCGTCCAGGGACAGCAGGATGGAAGCCTTCAGCTGGGCCTTGGCGCGCTCGACCTCGGCTTCGGTAACGGACTGGGAGAGGCGAGACCACTCGCGCATGGCGAAATGCACGAGGTCGTCGACGCGGGTGAGCTTGTCGGTCACGAGGTAAATGCCCCAGAGACTATTGCGTTATTAGTATACACCCATGAGAATAAGTGGCCATGAGCACAAGGCTTACCCAGTGTCGCTGTAGCTTGTAGAGAAGCTCATGAAGCTGTTGGCCAGGTCGTTCTTGTGAACGAAGCCGCTGAGCTTGCTGCCCTGGTGAGGAGCGTTGCCCAGAGCCTTGTCGTAGTTGCCAACGATAGCCTGGGCGACCAGAGCAGTGAAGTAGTCGTCGTCGTTCCAGCTAACACCCTCCACCGCAATGGCAATGTTGGCGGTAGGGATGGTGTCGTCGCGTATCCGGACATCAGATCCAATGAACTCGGGCTTCTTCTTGGAGAGGAGGTAGGCGTGGGTCTCGGGGGACTTTGCAGACAGCTTGGCAAAGTTCTTGTCGGCGAGCTCGACGAGGGTGTCGTGGGGGATGCCACCAGCACCTACGAGGACCATGCGGTCGGCAGTGTAGTTGTTCTTGATGTAGTTCACGAGCTCGGTCCGGGTGATGTCACGGATGTTCTCCTTAGGTCCCAGGATCGTACGGCCCAGAGGCTGGTGCTGGAAGGCGGTGGCGTGAAGGTGGTCAAAGACAACCTCCTCGATCTGCTTCTCGACCTCCTCGGACTCGCGCAGGATGACGTCGCGTTCCCGCTCGATGGCGGATGCCTCGAGCTTGGAGTTCTGGAGGATATCGGCGAGGATGTCGACACATTGCGGCACGTCCTCGTTGAGGGCCTTGGCGAAGTATACGGTGTTCTCGCGCTGGGCTATTGTCAGATCTGATATTCTCCGAGCTCAATGGTGCGACGCGACGTACAGAGGTGTAGGCGTTCAGGTGCGCGCCGAGGTTCTCGATCTCGAGCTCAAGTTGTTGTTGTGTCCGGTTGGCCGTGCCCTTTCAAAATATTAGCATCCTGTGCAGCAGCCCGTTTGAGTGACTCCGTCCGGGTCGGTATACCTTGAAGGCCAAGTGCTCGAGGAAGTGCGCCGTGCCATTTGTCTCTGCTGTCTCTGCTCGCGAGCCGGCGTCGATCCACATGCCGACAGTGGAGGTCTGCGCGTAGGGGGAGTGTTGGGTGGCGACCGTCAGGCCATTCTTGAGGGTGGTGGTCTGGGTCTTGATGGGCGCGGAAACGGGAGTAGCGAAGTTTCGTCGCAGAGGGGCCGAAGGGAATGCCCTCTTGGTGAGGCCCTTGGAAAGGTTCAGAGCGAGTCTCCGGGACGCCATCGTGAGCGTTTGCCAATCGCCTGGGCTGATCTGGGGGACGGTCAATGGCAGGCCTGGGAGCGAATTGAGGCAGCAAGTACCTGGAGACTGGCGAGATACGGGGTTGGATGGGTGGGCTGGGTGGGTTGAGGCGTTTAATCGTCGAACAAAGCTGATGTCTTCCGGTAAGGCGAGGCAGCTAAGAAAATTGGCCTCAGGCCGATTACTTCCGAGCAAACTGATTAGACCGCTCTTGATTGGCCCAAAACTTACTTACATAATCTCAGAAACACCCCTGCAAACTGACAACATTGACTAGGTACCTTGCCTCCACTTCCATTCCTAACTGGAGGGGCAAGAGGAATAAGTGGGAGCTTGGGGCGATCACTTCACAGAAACATCACAGGAAGTTGGGCATTGAGACATTAACATTTGGGATATGATCAAAGTTCTGCGTTGGTCGTGAGAAGCCTTTACTAGGTGAACAAAAATAGTTGTCATGCGCTGTATACTTGGGCTCCCAGGATCAGCACACGAAGTAGGCGACCGGGACAGCTGCCCGAGAACTCCGTCCTCGAAGCTCTTACATCAAGGCATGGAGAGGTGCAGCTGCCCGCATCTGCATCGTGCTGCAGGGTTCCAAATGACCCAGGTATGATCCTCAACGTGGAGACAGGAGCCAGACAACCGTGTCTTCTCTTCGCATCTTTCCTCGTAGTCTCAGCATATTGAAAAGCCTCTCAACTTTGACTGAGCCATTGCCAGTCGATTACATCCCTTTTAAGACGGGACCCCGCCGTCAAGTCACCCGCTCATAGAGCCACACAAGCACCACTGGTAGACACCGAATAGAGCATTGTCCCGCTACCATGAGTGCCCAGGACGAGGATCACGACGAGTTGGTCTATCACGTTCCCAAGCAGAAGAAGCCCCCAGCTGGCCTGGACAAGATGGGATCCGCGATTTCAGTGTGGCCACCACTGGGCCAGGTCACCCAGGTTCAAAGGGGCAACGTCGGATTCATCGCACTTCTCGAGGTCCCGACCGACCAGGCCAACCAGCCGTGGGAGGTTGCCCTCTGGCATTCGGCTGGAGGGGACTGGAATGAGACCATACTGTCCCCAGCTGAGAGACCGCCTTCCACGTTGCAGGCGGCTAACGACTCAGTCTCTCGTGCCTGGTTCCAAGGCGTCATTCCCGTCAAGACCCTCCTCAATTTCACCGTCAAGTATCGTTCGGGGTCGGAGCAAGAATGGCGTTGGATTCGGGACGAGCATGGTGTGGGTGACGGCACTGTCATACTCAACAGCAACCAGATCACCGAAGCTCTTTCGGACGACTTTAACAACATCCTGAAGGGCTACGATCCCAGCATCACCGTCAAGCCCTGCCAATCCCAGTGCCCTGGGACTCGTCTCTGGGCTCTGGAGGCCAGTGTGGGAGCCGCGAAGGGGGAGGACTCCACCTTCACTGATTTCAACCTGGGCTTGCCATGGGGAGGATTCCTCCGTTGGTTTTCCCTGATCCGCATTTGGGCACCGTGGCTCGCACCGAGGCATGGGAAGACCAAGTTCGAACTTGACAAGGATGCCGTCCTCTCAGCATTTGTCAGCCCCGAGGGCCAGCACCTCGTCCTGCTGGCTGTCAGTGGCATCAATGATGTGATGGCTTTGTTCCGCAGCGACGACTCAGGGAATGTCCAGCTCCACTTGCGGAATGATGGCGAGAAGGCTGAGAGTACGCTTGTTCTGGCTGCGGTCGGTCATAACTTCGAAAGTGCGAATGCGGCCGTCATGTATCACGCCCGACAGGCCGTTGCTACAAGCAAGAGGCTAACCGGAGAGCTCGAACAAGAGATGAAGGCTCTTCAAGACGGTGTGAAACCAGAGTGGATGGAGAACTGGTACGATGGCCTCGGATTCTGCACCTGGAACGCACTTGGCCAAAGACTCACGGATGAGAAAGTTCTCAATGCGGTCGATGAGTTGACCAAACATAACATCAAGGTTACGAGTTTGATCATAGATGACAACTGGCAGAACATAGACTATCGCGGCGAAGGCCAATTCCAATACGGTTGGAACGACTTTGAAGGTATGTACTACCCTGTAGTTTTACCACCTGGTACTGACACGCGGATCTTTGACATTTCGTAGCCGAGCCGAAGGCATTTCCCAATGGCCTCAAGGATGTGGTCACGAAAATCAGGTCTAAACACCCACACATTCAACATGTCGCCGTTTGGCACGCTCTACTCGGATACTGGGCAGGACTAAGTCCTGACGGGGACATTGCTAAGAGATACAAGACCGAGGAAGTCGTACGCGAGGATCAAAACCGCAGGTGGCTCCCTCTAGGAGGCAAGATGACGGTTGTCAGCAAGGACGACGTCCACAAGTTCTACAATGACTTCTACAAGTTCCTCTCTGATTCTGGTATCGACGGGGTGAAGACCGACGCCCAGTTCATGACAGACACGTGGGTCTCTGCTAAAGCCCGTCGAGAGCTCATCACGGAGTACCTGGACGCGTGGACAATCTCATCCCTTCGGCATTTCAGCATCAAGTCGATCAGCTGCATGTCCCAGACACCAGAGATCCTGTTCTATTCCCAGTTGCCTCGGAACAGGCCCACGATCCTGTGCAGAAACTCAGACGATTTCTTCCCGGAGATCCCATCCTCACACCCCTGGCACATTTGGACCAATGCACACAATAGTCTGTTCACACAGCATCTGAACATCCTGCCTGTAAGTCATCTATCAATATACTGATATCTAGCAAATCTTCATGTACCTGTGTTAATCAGTAGAGCAGGACTGGGACATGTTCCAGACCGTGCATGATTACTCAGGCCTCCACGCTGCAGCTCGTTGCGTCAGTGGAGGCCCGATCTACATCACGGATGTGCCCGGCCAGCACAACATCGATCTAATCAACCAAATGACCGGCATCACCCCACGTGGGAAGACAGTCATCTTCAGACCTAATGTTCTAGGTCGGAGCATCGACCAATATGTTGGCTACCACGATGACTCCCTGCTGAAGGTTGGCTGCTACCACGGGAGAGCAGTCACAGGCACGCCTATCCTCGGCGTTTTCAACATCTCTGCTCGTAAACTCACGGATATCATCCCCCTTGACAGGTTCTCAGGGGTTCTGCCGTCGTTGCGCTATATCGTCCGGGCTCACACCACCGGGCTCATCACCACACCTGTCCAGACCAGCCACCCGAGCTCGAAGCTCACGGTCTCGCTCGATGTCAGGGGCTACGAGATCTTCACTGCCTACGCACTATCTCCGTTCGAAAGTGACAGTTTAGGCCGTGTCCAGGTGGCCAATCTGGGTCTGATCGAGAAGATGACTGGTGCCGCAGCTATTGTGTCGAGCGAGTCGGATTACTTGGAGAACGGGAGGGTACTGGTCGACACTCGCCTGAAAGCCCTGGGTGTTCTAGGTATCTACATCTCCAAGCTGCCGGAGATGAGTCTGGAGACCGATTTCATGGCCACGATCCAAGGGCAGGTGATTCCTCCTCACACCGTATCCGTCAACAAGACTTCCAGCTCTATCCTCGAGATCGACGTTGAGAAGGCTTGGACAGAGTTGGACTTGAAGCCGGGCTGGAGCAACGAAGTTGAGGTGAAGGTCTATTTTGACATTGAAGAGTGAGACATGTCCATAGTTTCTCATGTCTGCATTGAATACAGACCTCTATTTTCCCGCTGATCAAGTATCTGCCCCCCGCACCCCAGCCTCCTCGCCCTGACCTGTTCCAAGCCGTGCTGGCTGTTTAGACTTGTCTCATATGACCCGGCTCTTCCAATGGGTCGCGGCGGGTGTTTTGTTGAGCGTTCGTAGCATCGTAGTATCTGGTCGACAAAAGCTAATGGCTGTCTGTACACCGCTGGGAATCCTTCCAGAGTCAATGTTATGAGACGCGATAGAGGTCTTTGCCATTGATAATGGACGACGATGAATATTCGATCCAAATATATATATATATACATGAATGCAATATATCGAGCTAGTTGTCGCCTTCGACGCTGCCACAGCAAGGGTTGTGTCGACTTGGTGCAAAGTCTACTCGTTCTGCTTGGCCAGGGACGCACTAATTCCTTTAAGCAACACATTGGCTGTAGTACTCGTTGGTGGCCTTGCAGGTTCCCTGTGCGCAGGTTGTTGGTCCCGTGTAGCCTATCCCACCGCACTGAGCCCAGAGGGCCGCGCCGGCGCCGGAGCCGGAGCCCGACCCTGAACCGGAGCCCGAGCCCGAGCCAGGCCCGCCATCAGAGGAGCCCCCGCCGTTGGAGCTTCCAGAGCACGTAATCGGGGCCGGGCCGGGGATCGAGTAGCTCTTGCCGCCCATGTACGGCTGGCCAGAGTTGTCGTAGATGTTGACCTAGTAAAGGGCCATTAGCATCAACAGGATTGATTGTCTCAAGGCTGGGAAGGGAATATACCAGAACACCGGGGTCAGTCGGTGAGTATGGACCCGGCATGCTGACAAAGTGGCCTCCAGTGTTGGTGCCCGAGCCAGTGACCCGGATCTGGGCACACTCCATGTAGAACTGTGCGCCCCCCTGGGTGCCGGCGCTGTGCAGCGCGATGAGCTCGACGCGGAGGAGGTAGTCGCCGGGAGCAATGCACGAGGGCAAAGTGAAGTAGTGCCAGCCGCCGCCGGCGATCATGTTATCCACCGCCCATTTCCCGCCGGAAAGACCCTCGTGGGCGACCTTGAACCACTTGAGGCCGCTGGTGCCTGTGCTTGCCGCGTTGTCAACCTTGGCCAGGTAATAAGAGATGGGCCCCTTGTGACTCTTTGCGATCGGGTTGTCCGGGTCGTTTGCGCCCTGGGCACCCCTGGGAGAAGCATGTTATTAACTAGTGACAAGTCGTTGTCTGGGTTGGTGATGGACTCATACCCGATAACATGACCCCACCAAGCTCCAACCTTTGCACCAGCCGGGATGCTAATCACATTTGTGTCCTTATACATGATGCCTGTGTTGCAGGCGAAGTTTGCATCATTTGGGCTGTAAAGAGGGTAGTCGCTGCTCGGGGCCCGGACGCCCTTGAGCTGGCCTTGGTCCTGGCCGTTGACGGAGAGCTTCTGCATGATGGCATGGCCTGATGCACTGGCCGCGAGGGCGGCGACGGCGAGAAGAGACTTCATGGTGCACTAGATAAAACTTCTCAGCAACGAATTGGATTTGGACTCCAGGAGCCCTTCAAGTTGCGGCAATGGCAGACCATGGCTTTATAAGTGCCACTTCCTTCCTACGGGCTACAAAACTGAACCTCTAGGTCTCGAAAGCGATTTCATTATACATGACTATGGATACGGGCCGACATCACATCGATCACACAAATTCGGTCTGCGAGATGAAATCAGATTAAGTATAATCTCAGAATAGCTGGGCAAAAGACTCGGATCTCGGTCAGATCTAAGCTTCTCTGGACTCTACCCAGTAAAATCGGCAGCATGGGTTGCAGCGCGTCAAATGTTCGCCTGGTACGGGCTTGCTTCCGCCACGGTGGGCGACATGGGGTTTGATTTCACGAGGTCTGTGGCCGGGCGTGAATGCTCCGCACGGCGGCCCGTTATATTGGCAAGGAGTGGGAGAGGCGTTCAGGCCCAAACGGTTGAGGCTCTTGGCTTTTGAACTAATTGGTGGCGGAAGATAAAAATGCGAGTTTGACGGTCCGTAGCCTCCGGATCCAAACAAGTATCGGCAGCCTAATACGGAAATTATATGTTACTTCTGCTACCAAAAATAGGCATAATATATAATAGCTGTCGTCGCTGCGAATCATTGCTCCCTCTGTATGCCGATTCTTCAAACCGTGTTGAATAGCTGAATGAAGACGATGACTTTGTCAGTCAATCACAAAGAACAATGCAGTGGAATGTGCCTTCTCAGCCGGTGGCTGGTTTCATAACTTGCGGGTCCTCGATCGTCCAGTCTGCAAGAATGTGTGCCAAATGAATGCCGTGTTACATTGGAAAGTCAAATCAACTCTTCGTGGGATGAAGGCGGCCGAACCTTGGAAGTATATCACATGGTCAGCACATTTGCTCGTGATGATTGCCAACACTTGACGAGGCACAAGTAAGGATACAAAATTTGCCTGCGCGATCAGAAGCTCGGTGACCAGCTTCGTTCATAACAACAAAATGTACTGGCCTCTCAAATGTTGCCTTCAGCACCCGATATACCTTGTGCCGTCGAGGCTCCCTCGAAAATCCAGAGCTGGAACGAGATGCCGGGAGCGTGCAGAACGCGGCATACCTGACATTTCAAGGAGGTCCACGGCTGCGGTCCGAATTGCCGTATCATCTGACATTGCTCAAGGACCATAGGTCATGGGACTACATTCTTTGCCCATTGCCTGGGGGAAAGAGCCTTACTCCGTATTACTGGGGCTCTCCCACTGTAGATGTTGATGAGGTAGTCATAGTGATCTCGAGGTCTCGTGCGAGTCACTATGACCCGTCGACCAGCCCCTAGTCCTTGCCGAATGCGCATACCACTCAACGTCTATGAGAATTGCGACTTAAATCCTTCGAGAATCTTGAATGATAGCATTATCTCCGTCGACCCATGCCAGTCACGAAGAGGCCAAGCACCATGGTCGGAAGAACGTGGATCCTGGGACCCCTGGGGCTGAATAAGACTGATACAAGTATGGCGTTCGCGATCAAAAGTAGGGTCCGTTCCCATGGAAGATTATTCCTGTCCGCTGTCGGAACTTCGAAGTCAGCGTATCACGTACGGCCGAGATCTTCATCACAGTAAGAGTGTGTGGCAGCTGATCACAGGCATCATACAGGAGTCATTACAGCAAATTAGACGGATTGGCATTGAAGAGGCGAGCTAGATATGTACAGACCCCATGTAGATGCTCATAGTAGATCAACCAAGGACTTCCACCAGCGCGCCGAAGTCAGGAACCCCGAGCCCCGAGCTCGGATCCCAGCCCGCCGCCGCATCCCACCCCGTGACGAAGTCCTGACCGCCGTTCAACGAGCACCCCCCGATCGACCCAGCCGTCACATCGGTCAGTGCGGCCCTCACCTTGTCCGAGTACAGGGCCGGGTTGAGGAACCCGAGCACGGGCTTGCCGGCCCTCAGCCTCTTGTCGTTGATCAGGGTGATGATGCTGGCCCACACGGGCGTGCTGGCGCTGGTCCCCTTGGTCGTGAAGGCGAATTCGCCCTCGCCGCCGAGGAGAAACCTGGAGCCGACGAGGGTAAGGTCGGGGATGCCGCGTCCGGAGGCGTTGTACCACCCGTCGTGTGTCCCGTTCAGGCCCTTGATATAAGCCGCGGTGTCCTTGGCCTGCCAGCTCGGCGCCGGGAAGTAGTTCGAGAAGCCGCCCGAGGAGAAGGAGGCCGGCTGCCAGGGGATGAACCGGCCCGTGGCCCCGATGGAGGTGACGTATGGGCAGGAGGCAGGGAAGGTAGGCAGGAACTGCGGGGGCTCGTCCGGGTTGCCTGAGTTCACCGCGCAGTTCGTGGAGCTTGCTATGCCGGCCGCGCCGCCGTCTCCCGATGCCACGATAACGGAGACGCCACGTGCTGCGAGCTGCATGAACAGGTCGCACACGTGGAGGGCGTAGGGCCTGGGGGTGGTCTGCTCGTCGTCTGTGTAGGACACGGACAGGACCTTGGGCAGGTTCTCGTCTTCAACCTCCAGGAGGTACTGGAGGAATTCGAGCCAGGGCTCGTTTCCGTTTGCCGAGGTGTTGGACAGGTCCGTGCCGTTGGGGCCAATGTACATACCTCGACCTCCGGTAGAGAGGTATGATACCGGCAGCGGCTGCGTGAAAGGCATTGTGTAAAAGGTGTCCAGGAGCGCCTCTCCGCCGGAGCCCGAATTGTTGGTGTCTCCGCCGTTGATGGAGACAACAGTGAAGTTGTAGTCCGGGCTGTAAGAAACATCGCTTCTCCGTGGGCTGTGAGCGATCAAGAAGTCCCGGGCCGCAGACTGGTTAGGGTACTCTTCAAGGAAGCCAGCCACGCCGAGGGTGCTGCCGGAGGATGAGTCTGGCGGCGTGTAGGTGATGTTGTAGAGGTCGACCAGGCAGTCCGGGGTGACATTTTCCGAGCAAGATGCAGGCCATGTTGTCTGACGGCGGCTGGCCTTCGCCGTGTCCACACCACATCTCTCATTGAAGTTCTTCTTGGCCGAGCTCTCCAGAAACTGGGTGAGCGGGTAAACGAACTGGATATGCTGCTCCAAATCACTGGGCAGGCTGTACTCGGTAGCCCGAAGGACTCGGTGTGACCGGGGCGTTTCATATTGGGAAAGGTTGCACCTCAGCAAAGAGTTCACCAATCCGACAGAGGCATTGAAGGAAACCCATGACTTCTGGGCCAGACGGTCCTCGATGCCGTGTCCGCTCAACCACTCCATGACATCGTGCACAGCTCCAGCCGCCGGCTCCTGGTAGGCATCCAGCTGGCTGCGAGACAGATGTGCGCCATAGTCGGCATTGTCGACATCGCTAATCTGGTCGAGACGACGTCGCAGCTCGTCTAGGCCTGGTTGGCGCAGGCTGATGGAAATCCTCGTCACAGTCGTGTCGACCTCGGGTTGTCCAAGGTACTTCCACCCGGACGGTACCATTGCAGTCTCGTGGACTGTCCATTTGTCGGCTGGCCTCGCTTGTGTAGCTGTCGCCAGGAGAAGGGCCCAGAGGGCTGATGGGAGTAGCGGCGCCATGCCTTTTCTCTTCCCGCGTCCGACTTGTTGGAGGAAATGACCGTTGCTCAATGTCGAGGTGGGTACCCAGGCGCGTCGACAACGATGCTCCGAGCAGGAGCAACGATCCGGCGTCATGTTATACAAGCAACCATCTGCGAAATGTAGATCGAGCATCGAACAACGTTGTATCCGGCCGGCGACGCCGGCAGGTCGATGCGTGAGGGGATAAGGCGCATTGGAAATTACTTATGGGGACAGACCAGCATGACCTCGTATCTTCAACTCGTATTGGAAGCAACCTTGCCGTCAACAGCAAAAATAAAGGGGCGCCAGGGGTCCACCCCGGTCCATGACAAGCTCCATTTTAAGCTTAAAAAGACATCGCGGATCAATTGCGGACCTCAAAATAGCATCAAAGCTTGAACACTTTTTACCGAGCCCGCTACATACGTAGCAAGCCAGAGCTTGCAATTGACAGGCCTCTCTCCTGATGAAAGATGCCGTAGCAGCCCATATCGCCTCATTTCCCCACAGCTCAGGGCGCCTGAGGCTTGATGCCGAGGCGCTTCGCCTCTGAGGAGACGATCTCCGGCACAGCGTCCTTCAAGCTCCCACGGGTCGGCTCCCAGCCGAGGTTCTTCCTCGCCCTGCTCGCGAAACTCTTGGAGTTTATTCCCCACGTAACGCTTGACGAGAGGCCCTGGCCCCTGGTGTTTTCAAGAGTGGTCACCTCGACCTTTGGTTCAGCCATGAACCCCTCCTTGACCATCTCGTCGGCGACCCCTGGTTGGACCTCATTGTCAGCTTTTTTCTCGAATCCCTGAGGACTGCATCCCCCATACTTCGGCTCGACCCGAACCACTGAACTTATGAGACGGCACCACTACTGAAATGTATGATGATGGACTCACACTTCGCAACATCTCCCCACTTGAAGGGTCCAGCCTCGCAGAAGTAATACCCATGCGCTCCAAAGAACTCTGGGTCATTGAGTGTCTTAGGATCCTGCGCCGACTCGACAAGATTGACGATGAGATCTGCCAGGTCGTGCACATGGATGTAATCCCACTCGGTCAGGCCCTTGCCAATGACCGGAGCAAAACCGTTCTTCAGCGTGAACTTGGCCATGTCATAGACCTGCATCGAGCGGGTGTTCACAGGTCCCCTGCCTGGGCCACAGATGCACGGCGGGCAGACGATTGCAGTCTTCACAGCAGCATTGTCGTTGGCTGCCAAGACGATCTTGTCCACGTTCCGGTGCATGGCCCTGTCCGGAATGGACGTGACCTTTTCAATGTCAGCGATGTCGTCGTACTTTTCGTCCGGGTACGGCGCCTCGCCGTAGCGGTTGTCTTGGAGGTCTCTCTGTCACATGTGTTAGCTAAGACGTGTCAGGTACGAAGCAGATGCAGCGCAGATGTACCCATGTCAACATTCCAGTACCGCAGACGTGGATATATGCTCCCGGCTTCTCTGCGGTGTGACCAGCTGCAATGCCCTTCTCAATGGCCTTAGCAGAGGGCACGTCGTCTGCAGACTGAGCGGTATCTGAGGACGACGTCAGCGCGAGGCTGGGCGATGGCAGCGCGGGCTGTGGAAATACTGACGAACGACAATGTCTGCCTCAGCAGCGGCCTTTTCGACGACGGTCGAGTTATCCAGAGCACCGTAGACGAGCTTCACATTGGGGTACTTGGCTTGAACCTCCTTGCCCCGATCTTCATTTCGGACGAGGAGTGTGTACTCATAGTCAGGGTGCTTCTTCTCGAGGGCGTAGAACGCATCACCGCCGATGTAGCCTTGTTAAAGGTCCCAGTCAGACTATCGAAACCTCTTAGTGGAAAATGTGTAACTGCAAGGCTTACCGGTGACTCCGGTCCTGGCAGTAGTCAGCAATCTAGAACAGGTACATGGTGGGAAAACTGTGGCTTACAAGAAGATCTTGGGTGCCATGTTTTCTTGTGGACTGGTGCCGGGCTCCTGTGTGTTGTTCACTTCCTTCCAATGGCTCCTTTGGAAGACGCTCACAGTCGTTAATTACAGGGGATTCAAGAACAAGCCTCTCGTTACTACGAAGACGAGACGAATTTGTATGCGGGAAAAGAGTTGCAATGACGAGACTCCGTCCACCGTATGACACTCTGATTAGGAATGCAGTGCCCACATACAGAACTAAGTTGCACCGGTCGCCGCGTGGTTACCCATCAGGTGGGTGGTTCCTGACGTAGAGGATATGTAAGCAACGCCCTGCGGGGAAGGGCGAACGGCTTCTTTCACTTAACTCTAAAGCCCGTCTCTGCTGCAGCCAATTGCACTTACGTTGCACAGAGGTGTTCGTCGATACGTGTTCCCGTTGCTGAGAGAGACCACAATTTTGTGCATCATCATCAGCTTATTGTACGCCTCTTCCTGTACTCCTAAGGTGGATCCTGCCGCATCTATTTGTCATCATCAAGACGATAGAACGGCTGAAACGTTCTCGTCCTTATACACATGCGTATCGCATCGCCTACCTATTAATGTCCACGCGCATCTTGGCGTGAAACGGTTTAGCTAGTGTATAACGGCACTTTACCTCGACTTCAAGACGCGTTGTTGTACTCGCCATGCGACAGCTGGCTGATCCGGTGGTTGCTCAGCTTAAACGGCCAGACCACAGCCAGCAAGCGACCAGAAATAATCTTCATCTTGTATCCTCTGCACGTAGCAATTATAAATTGAACTTGAGGATGAGAACAACGAGACGGTAAGGGGCAGTAGTGAAAAGGCGTAGGAGAATTAGACAGTAAGTGATCCTAGCATGTACTCTATGAATGTTACTTAGAGTTTCTCGACAAGCATATATCTCAGTCACCCCATGTACCTGCTAAAGAGGATGAGCTGTGGCAAGGCCGCTTGCTAAGCCTGGGCTCCACAAGGGAAGGTCTTTTAGGAGAACCTCTGGCGGTGGCGTGCCCAGGTGGTCGTCTACAGTACTAAGGCACAGGATGTTGGTTGTTGCAAAAAGAAAAAAAAATGAGGTTGTGTAAATGAAGATGCATCGATGTCGGGATTGATCAATGCGATATTTCAAGTAAGTTTGCTGACTTCTTCAACCCAACGTTGATAGGATTTGGAGGGAAATTGAAAGGGTACTCCAGTTTTATGTGGTTGTTGTGTCCCTTTTTCTCTCCTTGCTTAGAAAACCTCGAGGGAAGCTAAGCAACACTATAGACTACTTATGTGCACAACCATAGCAGCGTAGGTACAGATTAGCGTACGAGACCGGGCTCACAAGTGCGATCATAGTTCCACTCACGCCCAATTTTGAACGCTTCAAGCAAATCTAAACTGTGTCACCGAAGAACAGCGACACATGTCAAGAATTGTCTCACTTTACCCTCAAAAATTCAAGAGAAACCTTGGCTTCATTCGAACTTGTCACAAACACCTCCAACACTGTTTTTTTTAAAAAAAAACGACTGTGATCAACTATATTATCGAGCAGAAATGGAGATTGATATCTGCGAAAAGAACGCTCCCGCTGGGCCGGACGAGTTCACAGACGCGATGGATCCACTGCTCGCGGCTGCTGCTCACAACAAGGAATCCAGCCCCCTGCTCAAGCTTCCCGACGAGGTCCTCTTGGGCATTCTACATTTGCTTCAGTCTGACCTTCGGGATATTTACTACATCCGTCGCGTTTGCAGAAAGCTCCGCGATCTGACCTCTGATCACACCCTTGAACCCGGATTGTTCAAGACAAACGAATCGCTCAGGGGTTCTCATATGCTTCACGGCGACAAGTTCCTCAGCAGAGAGAACAACCGCATGCCTTTTGGAATATTGCCACGGAATTCGGTGCCGGGATTCGTGGCTACCATCCGGAAGGAGACGCTTTGTCAGCCATGCCAGACTGCTCATCGGGAAGGGATGCTACCAAACGGATGCGTGTTTATGGAAACACCAGCAATACACATTCACTGCGCCGGCTGCAACAGTCATCACACGAGAAACGCCTTTTCGCACGCACAGAGGCAGAAGGAGCCCCGAGACCGGTTTTGTATCGCCAGGGAAGGAAAGCTACGGCTGTGTGAGCACGTGTCTATAGGCTGGGCTGACATCGAAGCCCACTTAGTCGCATCGTCAGCAAAAGGAAGCGAAAACGATTTCTTCAAAGCTGTGTCGGATTTTCATATTATGTGCAAACATCCTAGCCACAAGTTTGTATGCAGATCAACGTCGCGCCTAGCTCCGTCAGAAGCATCCTGCAACGATCACACGTGGCCTTGCGCACGGCTTGACCTAGAACAGAAGTCGCATCTCCATCATTTACAACGTTGGAAATCTCTCTCGCTGGTGTTATGTTGGAAGCCGCATTCGGGCTTAAAGACCCTGACGGCGCCCGAGAATGGACAAATCGAGGCAACGAGGCTCCGAGAGCTGTATGGTGAATTTGGGAAGAACGCCGCTCGGTTTATTGTCCCGGGTCCTAGCCAGAACACTACGCCTGAGATTCTCTGCTTCGATCCTGACAAATGTGGGCACATCCTCTACAGAAACGGCGAAAGACCTCAGGCTACCCCTGCTGAGCGACTTTGCACTCCACACCTTTCAGGCACGAACAGAAATTCACCCGTGACGGCCACCGAAATACCCTTTGATGGGGACCACCAGGATGCCTCTCGCTTTACTACGGGGCTTGGATGGACCGACCACTACGTCGAGTTCAACGAAGCACGAGGACAGAGCGGTATCTACGTCTACGAGTGCGACGAAAAGCACAACAGCCAGGACTCAACCCGATGCCTCATGACCTCATACAGGCGGACAATCCCGCTCGGCCACATCAATCGCCGCCTCGCGGGAGACCTGAACCCATGCCACCAGTGGTTCCACGCGGTAGACCAGGACTCGTACCCCAGCATCCATGCCGAGGGCGGCATCTGGGCCAGGGCGATGGCCTACTTTGACAGGACCAAGTCTCGGCCGAGGTGCCGGGACACCGCCTGCAGGAACTACTTCCAGTCGCCAGGCCCTTGGCACGAGCACGACATGCACAGCCCTTGCCGGATAGAGTATGACTTTGAGGAACAGTCTGAGTTTTGCCCAGTTGCAAGGGCGGCTGCACGCGCTGAATTCCTTCTACTATACAATAGTTTGAGACATTCATTATGGTCGTGGCTCTTGGACATAATTACTGTTGTTATCTCCAGGTTGGGGGCGGGTTTCATCCTCAGATATTTGCAATCCTAGATTGTATGTTTGAAAGATCGTCTCACAGATGGGCAACGTGCAAAGAGACATTGCGTTCAAGACGATGGAATTAGGTCTCATAATCAAGTTTATAGGTTTCAATTCGAATCCTGTGCCCGCTGTGGTCAACCTCACCAAGCTTACAACCTGTTTGCATAGTGGCAAGATGCTTTATACATGTTCTTCTCCCTTGGGAATTGATTGTATTAATAGAGTCAGTCCCCTTCTTTAGATATAATGTCTAAGGCTCACTGGCCAATGATATGTGCTCATGACTATCCTTAGACTACCAATACCGAGATAGATAAGATTTGGTTAGCAATTTCGGACTCTGCTCCACGGTTTCCCAGCTTCATAAGACCATGGCCAGCAGGGGCGAGATAGGGACAACACGGGCACTTTAATAGACTAGAAAGAGGACATGACAGAGTTCGTAACTAGCAACAAGCGCTCGTAGGAGTAGGGGAGACATAAAGTTTGATGCAGTAGTCGCATGCATGACGATCCGACGTTGTACCCGTGAAATCCAATGCGTAGGGTTGCCCAATCACGGCCGACAGTGTTTCCCAAAGGGGATTTCGCACAGATGTTGAGATGCTACGGTACCATGACATCGGTTTTGACAGCTGTCAGTGAACGTCTAATGAATGATGGCATGTTGGGTTGAAAATGCTCCCAGTTCGCAGACCAACCACCTCGAAGCCGGTCCTTGTGAGGCTGAAGACAAGTGCAAGCCCTATCTATCATTCACTGTCCTGCAGTGAAACAGGGGAGTTCCGGCTGATAAGCCCCAGTAAATAGCCGGCCCGAACCACTAACCCACACACCTCCGCGGATCTCGGGACCTCCACCCATCCCGCGTCGCTTGCCAAGTGTGTTCCACCTTGTCGATTCACCTCCTCCTCTCGCCCCATCCACTGCTCCGTCTGAGCCCAGCTTTACCCGGCAGTCCTACATCACACTCCGTATCTTGACCCGGACCTGCTCTGAGGTAAACAATCTCGATAATAATCAGGCAAAAGTATGGCCTGATATGCTTGCCCCGTGGCGCCTCACCGGCGCTCGGGGCTGCGCTGTGAACCAGGCCCTGGTTTGAGATCTCAGTGCTGACAACCGTCGACAAACATGGACCGCCCAGCTGGACCAAGACCATTCCACCTGGACGGCAATTGCAACGGCGCCGTGCTACTGTGGTATACCTGCAGGCAGCCCCCACCTCATAGGCACCCAGGTTGCATTGCCCAGGGGCCCGTATCTTCCTTAGCCGTCAGGACTAAAAGATAACGATGCGACCCAGGTTTTCCCTATCGTCGCTGGTGGCGCGCCTTGCTGTCTCGCCGTCCACTCGGCGCTGCCCGTTGATACAGCCCTGGTCCTGGCCCTCTCTGTAACAATATTAGCATGCATACTGTATCTCTGCAGGTGCCTTCTGCATTGTTCGAGACTTTTGTCAAAAACCAATGTCAGTCTACCCAGGCCTAGGGCTTATCAACTGCGGACTCTCCATCCTGAAATGGCAAGGCCCAGGCATTTTCCCCAGGTGTTGACCCAGGAAATTACCAAACAAATTTGGTATCCTGTCCACGAGTGTTCAGGGCATCACAGTGTGATGGGTCCAATATCAAGCTGATATTTAGGGCTCCGAGCTTGATGCTGGGGGCCGACGTCCCCTTCCTGCCGATGTCTCATCTTCTGGTTTCTCGTTTCTATTATTCTCTTCCCACGTGTTTTCTTTTCTTCCTGTATTCTATATCGAAGACTAGTCGAGTCTTTCGGAATCCAGTTCTCGAACAACTTCACCCGAGAACCGGCAGACCAGCAAGTATTCGCCGCCTCGCCGCCTGGTGACGAAGCCGGGGAGAAAACTCGCGATCATGAATTTCAGCGATGAGCGCCAGCCCTCGAAACTGGGCCAGCAAAGTCCCGAGCTCGGTGAGCACTCTGGAGACGAGACTGTGGCTGCAGTGCAGGACGGAACGGTGATCAACGCGTCTGGATACAAAGACCAGCTGAAGAGGCAGTATGGCCTCCTCGGGCTCGCGGGAATCGCCCTGACCGTCGACAATGCCTGGATTGCTTTGGGCTCGTCAATATCTGTCTCCATCGGTTCGCGACCCCTGTTCCAATGACATCTACGACTTATACTGATATCTCACCTGTCGTCTGATACAGCTAATGGCGGTCCTCCTGGCCTTATCTTTGGGCTTATCGTCGCGGTCTTCTACTATTCGTTCATTGGTCTCGGCCTTGCTGAGGTGTGTGTGGAGGCTTGGCTTCTCTTACTTACCCCTGACCCCTTCCTGATATCAACTTACAATTGCCGGTGATCGCCTCGGCAGACGAAGAGGTCCACATTGAGTAGCGATCACGACGAAATGTGGAAGCTAACAGTAAAGCATGACAGTTCTCTAGTAGTGTGCCAACCGCTGGCGGCGTCTACCACTGGGGGACAATTGCAGGCGGGCCCAGATGGGGACGCATGGTCGGCTTCTTCACCGGCTGGATCAACTTCTACGGCTGGATGTTCGACCTAGCAGCACTGATTCAGATCACTGCCAACGTCTCGGTCAACCTCTACGTCGTCTACCACCAGTCGACCTATGTCTACGAAGCATGGCACGTATACGTCGCCTATGTCCTGATAACATGGTTCTGCGTGGCGACTGTGGTATTTGTCAACCGTGTCATCCCACACACCCAGACGGTGGGCATGTTCTTCGTTATCGTGGGCGGCGTCGTGACCATCATCGTCATAGCCGCCATGCCGAAGCAGCACGCAAGTAACTACTTCGTCTGGGGTTCGTTCAAGGAGAACAACATCACGGTAAGCAGCTTCCGGATACAATTTTAACCCTCTTAGGAAAAACAATTTCCTATCTGTAGCCTGTACCTTCAAGGGATTGTCAGGCTGCAGGCTTTGAAACAAGCCATGGCCATACTGTGGCCTGGTCCTCCCTATATCCGAATGAAACTTTTTCCTCGATGCTTTGATAGCTGACTCCTTTTGCTGCAGGGGTGGCAGGACGGCGTCGCGTTCTTGCTCGGCGTGCTCAACGGTGCCTTCACCATCGGCACACCTGATGCGATAACGCACATGGCGGAGGAGCTGCCGCACCCGAAGAAGGATCTCCCCAAGGCCATCGGCCTCCAGATAGGGCTCGGCTTCCTGTACGCGTTTGTGTTCGCCATTGCCATCTCCTACGCCATCACGGACCTGAGCGTGCTCACCACTGGTATAAACACCTACCCTTTGGCGAGCATCTACGCGCAGGCAACGGCCAACGGGGACGGCAGCCAGAACCTGGGCGCCCAGTTCGGGCTGTTGTTCATCATCTGGTGCTCCTCGATGATGTGCTGTATCGGCACGATGGTCACGGTAAGAGAATCAGATCTTTTATTTGGGACCGTAGGATGCTGACTTGCGCGTGCACAGAACTCCCGCATCTACTGGGCCCTCGCCCGCGACAACGCCGTGCCCTTCTCGAGTTTCTTCTCCAGGGTCTCGGAGCGGCTGTCGTGCCCCGTGCCGGCCACGCTCTTCGTGGCCATCGTCGCGACCGGCCTCGGGGCTATTCCCATCGGCAGCTCGACGGCGTTCCTCGACCTCACAGGCTCCTTCATCATCCTCACGACGATCTCGTACGCGATACCCTTCATGGGCAACGTCCTGACCGGGCGGAGGCACTTCCCCAGGGGCCCGTTCCACCTAGGGAAGTGGGGCACTGCCGTCAACCTGGCGGCTGTTGTGCTGATCACTTTCTTCGACATCTTTTTCTGCTTCCGTAAGTTGTCTCGCCACTTCCTTCTTGTCCTCTGGCTGTGCGAACGAGTCCGTCCGGTGTGAAACGGACAAGCTGACTGATCTGTTTTCACCAGCTTTTGCCCTGCCCACGACCGCCGAGGCGATGAACTACAACAGCGTGATCACGGTAGGAGTCTTGGTGCTCACCGCGGCGTGGTGGGTCATTCATGCTAGAAAGAACTACCCCGGGCCGAAGGTGATGACGATGTATATCCACGACGGGCAGTCGGTAGAGGAGCCCCTCGCGGCCGGCGGGCTGAACACTGAGAAGCAGGAGAAGAAGGATGAAAAGTACTGAGGAATATCACTTCCTATGCGTATGAGGTATGTAGATCAACATACAGCCTGAACATAGGAACGACGCCTGTTGCGATCACTAGACGAGTTTAGATGCCTTCATATTAGAGAAGACATACAAAGATGATGCCGCCGTTTATGCTGTGTAGCATGTGCGATAATCCCACCGCGTCATTAGTACAAAATCGGCTGCTCCTTATGCCTGGAGAGTGATGACTCCTTGGAGATCTTTGGCTAACCTTGCCGTCTAACTCGATCTATCCCGTGGTATCCTTGGAAGTGACAAGCCCGCCGACTCGCTGCGAATCCGTGACAATAAAGCAGTCCGCCCAACCAATCTCCTAGGTTCTGTCCTGAAAATCTCCTAACTAAACTCCAAGCCGCCGTGGATAAACGTCCCTGGGCTCATCCGCACAGCCTCCTGCCCGGTGCACTCAGGGGGACAGCCTCCTGGCCTTCATGCTGGTGGCCCTCCGTGTTCTACGCATTCTTGGCTCCGTCGACGCCCCATCTGCGACTCTCGTCGCCATCCTCCCACTCCTTCTCAACGTAGCCTAGCTCTTTCTTGACCTTTTCCACCAGTGCCTTGTCTCCCATGTTCTTACCCATGTTGTCACTATCGAAGTAGGTCAGCACGAGACCGCATGGAGGAGACAGAATGCAAGTTACCTGATCTTGATGGCGGCATTGTTGTCCGCAGAGCTCAGCTTGATGACAATGTTCATTGGCGTGGACTTGGAGCCATCAGCCGTGCGGACGAAGTCGTTCGTCAGGAAGGTTCCCACGCCGAATGTCGGCTGGAACCCGGCGTCCTCGGCGACCTTCTTGTACTCCAAGCACCGCTCGATGTTCAGCGAGTCCGAGAAGACAATCACCTTCTTGTCCTTAATACCCACGCTGTCGTAGAACTTCCGCATGGTGCTGACAAACTCAACCGGGTCTCCCGAGTCCTGCCTGACGCCAGTGAAGACGTCGGCATACGTCTTGGGCTTGGGAGTGCCGTCCGCCAGGCCCGTCTTCGCGATGACATCCTTGGTCGCCGATATGAAGTCGTCCGCGAGGGAGGGCTTGTGCTCGGTAGAAGCCGGCGCGTCGGGGAGACGCTCGATGGTCTTGTTGAACGCCTTGAGGAACTCCGGGGTGCCGAAGGTGTCGGTCAGCGCGATGCCGAGGACGCCCTCGCCGAAACAGGAAACCCAGTGCCGCAGGGCCTCCTCTGTCGCGCGGGGGTAGTCGTTCTTGATGGCGGCGATGCCCATGAACCACTCGTGCGCGACAGTGCCGACCGGCGGGATCCCGAAGCGCATGGCCAGGTGGACGTTGCTCGTTCCCGAGAGCTTGCCGGGGAGGCCGCGCTTCTCGGCTTCCCTGCTCGCCTTGACGAGGCCCCTGAACACGAGCGCCTGGGTGTGGTAGTCGCGGCGTCTGCGGGTGCCGAACTCGGAGAAGACGCATCCGGCCTCGAGGAGCTTTGTTCCTTTGTCGTATGCCTTCTCTTCCTGACCGTCATAATTCCAGTCCGTGTCCATGAACTTGAAGTAGGCTTCTGAGGTGAGAGCCAGGATTGGGATCTCGTAGAGAATGGTGTCGACCCATGATCCCTTGATGTCGAGTTGGATGTCGCCGAGATCGGTGTCTGCTCCAGTGTCTTGCCCTGTTGGGGTGAAGCTAATTGTGACCTGCTCTCGGGGGTGCAGGCGGAAGTCCTGGAGGAACTCGAGGTAGGCGGGCGTGAGGTACTTGCAGTGCTGCTGGAGGAAGTGCAGCTCGTCGGGGAGGAGGGAGATGTTCCCAAGTTCTACAGCATGAGGTTTCGGTTAGTTCTGATTTCGTGCAGCAATGTATGTACTTTTGTGTATGGCATGACAGACTGGTTATTTGGGCCTCTAGCCAGCGGTATGCCTCTCGCGACAGTTTCTTCTCGGGAGTTCGGTTGGTGAATCCATATGTCACAGGCACGTCCTTGAAGTACTTAAAGACGGCGCATTGCATGGTAAGCTTGTAGAGGTCAGTATCCAGAAAGGATATGACACCTTCTGGGTAGGGGGACGAGCTGTTGAAGTCCATAGCGCAATCAGGACTGGCAGAGGGCGTTTGGTTTGCTTGCTTGCTGAGGGGTTGCAATCGCAGCTAACTTGGTGTTCACCAGGGCAGGTGCGGCAGGATTAATATGGGCAGTCGTCATCAGGTGTGCAGTCATACCTACCTAGGTACCTAAGGTAGCTAGCTGCCCCTCCGGTCCCTGGCTCCTGTAACAAAATGGTGGGAATTCATCCCACTTTGTTACACCCATGCACCCATGTACAAAGCACAGCGATTGCCATCAGTGAGACATGGACGTGGGGCAAACACCCCCTGCAGATATCCCAAACGCCTTTCTGGGCCTTCAGCTCTGGGCCATGGACCCTTGTCTCTCAGACACTGAGAGACAGTATTCAACTTGGACAATGTATGTACTGCACCTAAAGAGACAATTGAAAGAAATTATCTCAGAGCAGACCATCCTAGACTGGAGATTGAAAATAAACAAAGATGATATCAGAAAGTCTTGCACTGGAAACATTGCAAGAATATGATGCTCCAGAGGGGTCTAGCCCAAGCATAAGAGGTTATCCCGTAGGAGGGTAGGAGGATGTCCCATAGGAGGTAATCCCAGAGGAGGTGATCCCATAGGTAGGCATCCTAGAGGAGGTTATCCTAGAGGAGGTTATCCCAAAGGAGGTTATCCCATAGGTAGGCATCCCAGAGGAGGTTATCCTATAGAAGGATATCCCACAGCTGATTATCCCATAGCAGGATACCCCAGAGGCAGAAATCCTTTAGTAGGACATTACATGTCAGATTATGTCCTCGGGATGTACAATTTTGTACTCAGGTATCTGCCCTGGATAACAGCTTGGGCACGGGCCATTCCCCACCCAGCCTTGCCTGCCGCTGGTGCCAAAAAAGTTACTGCTAGTCGCGCAGGGTCTAGCTGAGCAGAGAAAAAAAGTTTGGATTTTCTGAGAGACCAAGAGACAGCCGATCCACCACTGCAAAAAAAACACCACTTGCCATTCACGGGTCGCCTTTCACCAACCCACGGTCGCATTTGACCGGTCACCTCAGGGAGGGGAGCAGAGACATTGTCCCAGCTGCACGGAGCCCCAAGACAACATGGACATCCACCGCTGCCGTTTTGTTCCTTTCCCGGCGTCTCCCATCAACGCCCTCGCCTTCTCGCACCCACTGCTGTCTGCCAAACGACAGGCTCGGCTAGCTATCGGCAGAGCAAATGGCGACATAGAGATCTGGAACCCCCTGAACGGGAATTGGTTCCACGAGACCACGATACATGGCGGGCGCGACAGGAGTGTCGACGCCCTGGTCTGGGTCACAGGCGAAGATGAGACGCTGCAAGACGGGAACGTCATCGCAGGGAAGTCAAGACTGTTCAGTATCGGCTACACATCCACGGTCACCGAGTGGGACCTAGAGAAAGGAAGGGCAAAGAAACATGCCAGCGGACAGCATGGCGACATATGGTGTCTCGCCGCCCAACCTGCGCCTCTAAAGGAGTCTCACAGCCAACCCCAAAGGCTTGTGGCCGGTACCATCGACGGTAGCATTGTGCTGTACTCGATCGACGACGACGACCTTCAGTTCCAACGGACACTGGTCAAGACCGCCAAGAAGAACATCAAGATGGTCAGCATCGCTTTTCAGTCCCGACAGGTAGCCGTCATCGGCTGTTCAGACAGCTCCATCCGCGTATACGACCTGAGGAGAGGAGAGCTCCTGCGCAAGATGACGTTGGGTAAGGATCTTATTGGCGGTTCTAAGGACATCATCGTCTGGTCCGTCAAGTGTCTGAAAAACGGCGACATTGTTTCCGGAGACTCGACTGGCCAGATCTGCATCTGGGACGGCAAGACTTATACACAAGCGCAGAGGATCCAGGGCCACAAGTCCGACGTTCTGAGTCTTGCCACTGCTGTGGATGGGCAGACCATCGTCAGTGGCGGCATGGACCGGCGAACAGCGCTGTACCGTCCCATGAAGAGCGATCCTTCTCGCTGGCAAAGGGTTTTCTACAGGAAATACCACGATCACGATGTCAAGGCCATGGCCTCTTTTGAGGGTCTGGGTATGAGTGTCGTCGTGACTGCAGGTCAGACTATTCCCAACCAGTATGACATGATTGCTCATCTTGCTAATGCTCTTCACCAGGTCCGGATGCCACTCCTGTCGTCAGTCCTCTGCGCCAGTCCGGAGTAGAGAATCACCGAACACTCTCGCACCTACCCCAATCTGTCCCGTTGCAAAGTGCGCCTCAAGCCCGCGTGATCGTTAGCTGGTGGGGCCGAGAAATCCATATCTGGAAAATGCGACTGTCGATGCAAGAGCTTCTTGACAGCGACGATGTCGAACAGAGCAAAAAGAAAAATCGTCCGCGGCTTGGCCGAATCTTCATTAAGGGAGAGTCGAACATTACTTCATGTTCCATCAGCAGAGATGGCTCGATCCTTGTCGTATCAACAGCCACAGCCGTCAAGGCATTTCACCTCACAATTCCCAGCGACGACCAGAAGCAAGAATTGAAGATCCGCAAGCTTGAGGTTCCATCCACCATCGAAAGCGCAGGGGCCACAATAGTTCAAATCTCTCCGAATGGGCGATGGTTAGGCTGGATCCAGGAGGGAAGTCAGGTCCGCATCGCGAAGATAACACGGGAGGACTCGGGGATTTCGATACAGCCACGCCCTGCAAAGCTGACCCGATTGCGAAGGAACATTCCCAAGCACGTACGGTTAGGCGGCCTGGGCAATTACGAAAGACGCGTAACGCATATTACATTCTCGCCAGACAGCAGTATTCTCGCCACCGCTGACTTGGCAGGGTACGTCGACACTTGGATACTGCATGACGGTGGCGTGCAGAATGGCGCAGCATCAGCAGAAGACGATGCCGCGTCCTCTTCAGACTCGAGCGATTCGTCAGGCGATGAGGATGCATCAGAATCTGGTCCTACCTGGATTCGTAATCCTAAAGCACCACTCTTTCCAAAACTGTCACAGGCGCCAGTAGCACTGTCTTTCTCTGACGACGCCCTCGGGCCGAAACTCCGGAACGAAGGCGAGGAAGGATCAGACAGCTACGTCCTCTTGGCTGTCACGGCAGCCTCGCGCATCTACACATTCAATCCCTTGGAGGGGTCTTTGACCAAGTGGTCACGGAGGAATCCCGTATGGAAGCTGCCTGAGGAGATTCGTGCCACCCGAGACCTGATCAAGGGTGTCGTGTGGTCAGGCTCCAGAATTTGGATGTACGGTTCTTCATTCGTCTTCATGCTTGATATCTCGCACGACGTCACAGAGCAGGAGTCGGGATCCTCGAAGAAAAATCGGAAGCGCAAGCGTGGAGCCGACAGTGGCGCGGGAAGTAAGACGGAGACTGGCGCACTCGCACCACAACGAGTACGCATGTCACTTGCAGAAGCTGGCAAGACAGGCGAGTGGGTAGATGTGGAGATGGCAGACGCCGAGCCAGGCAGATGGAACCGGTGACGAGGATGAAAACGACGACGTGGAAGAGGAGGTGGGTGGTGGGGAACTAGAGAAGTTGCGCAAGCGAGAGCAGTGTGGACGATCAGAGGGCGAGGAAGATGCGCCCCGGCGCGGGGGAGCAGCGCAAGAAGTGGTGGCATACTTTCAAGTACCGGCCGATACTTGGTGTTGTGCCGCTGGAGGGCGGAGACGGAAATGGCAAGACAAATGGCGTCAATGGCAGCAGCAAGAAGGCGGCCATAGAGATACCACCGATCGAGGTTGCGCTGGTTGAGCGGCCAAAGTGGGATGTTGATGCGCCCACTCGCTACGTGGAGGATTAAGCTGCAGACAGGCAGCCTCGATGAACAGTTAATTGAAGCAAATCCCGGCGTCTCCGCGTTGACAGTGCATGAAGGAAGTGGAGGAGCTCACCGCCTTTCGAGCCACCTATGCCCTGGATGGCCTCCACGCCGCAGGCACATTCCCAGGCGTATCAGAACCAGCATGCTCTGCGGCCTTGTCCACGACCACGTCACTTGTTCACGGGCGTCCTCCGGTTAGATTGTTCGCAGTGATGTCTAGGATGTTCCACTTGATGCCATATATCGAGGGACATTGAAAACGGAGAATAGTAGGCTTTCTGAGTTACATTTTTGAAGGCTGCCGGAAACAAGTTATGGGTTGTTTAAGGAATGGTCCAGGAAACAGTTGTGTTTCTTCAAGTAGGCAATCAGGACCAGGTTCTATAAACATAGAACCGTAAACATTTCGCAATGATGAAGTGAGTTTGGTTTGCCTGGATATACTACACAATGTACTTTGCCTGGAAATCATGGCATTTGGATCCCAGTGCCCAGATACACTCTGTCCATGATGATAAACTCTCTTATGTGTCCAGATCGAGATGCGCGCTCTTCTCCCTACGACAGGTCTCAAAGAAGACCTCTTCTGGCATGAAGCAAAAGTCGCTCAGGTAAATTGCCCTGGGCCTCTCATCGAGCAACTTGAAGTCATAGTTCAGCACGATGTGAGCAAAGAGGAGTTTCAGCTCATGAGTAGAGAAGAAGCGGCCGGGACTAAGGGAAGACAGCAATGTCAGCCAAGTCTCATGTCGAAAGATGGATGATACGACGGAAACAGTCCCAAATCCAAAAGCTGGCGGGAAAGAAGCAGGACCAACTTACCATGCGTGTCTGCCGTGACCAAACGCCAGAAACGTATCCGTGGTATTGACCATGCCGAGCTCAGCCCTGCCGACGAAGCGATCGTGGCGGAACACCTCCGGGTCATCGTAGAACCCCGGGTCCATGTGGATCTCAGAGGTAGGCATGCCTACCTTGGTGCCCTCAGGCAGGAGGGTACCATCAGGCAGACACCCCTCCCCTCTTGACGACCTGCCTCTCGACCCCGCGGGCCTTCAAGGCGCTGAAGCGCAGCGACTCCCTCAGGGTGCTGTCCATGAGCGCGAGCCTGCCGACGGCCGCCTTGTCCCAGACGCCCCCGCTGCCGCGCAGCACGGACGAGGCCTCGCGTCGCAGCGCGGCGAGGACCTCCGGCCCGGCGCACAGGATGTTGACGAGGGCGCTCATGGCTGCCGCGCTGCTGGTGTGGATTCCAACGAAGTTGAGTGCCAGGAGGCGCGCGCTCAGGGACCGCGGGTCGTGGTCTAGCGGATTGTTGCTCTTGGCTGCGAAGCGCGCCATCAGCTGCAGCATATCTTGGTTGAGCTCCTCGTGGGTCGCGTCCTTTGCTGCTGTTGCCTCGTCCAGGTGCTTCTGTATCAGCGGCACGAGGTACCGCGAGCAGCGGTGGTCGTAGTAGCGGGCTGGCAGGGCGACGAGGGGCCCGAGGGCGGGCTTGAGCATGGCGGGGATGAGGTATGCGATTATTGTAGCGCATTGCCCGATTTTGTTGACGAAGTTGGTCGAGTAGTAAGAGTAGTCCTGGTCATGGGCGACCTCCTTGCCCATGAAGACTCGGTTCGTGATGCGGGTCAGGATGGCCGACATGGACGCCTGCACGCCCACACGAGTCCATTTTCCAGGAACACTACCGAAATACTCCTCGACGGACTCTGATATCTCTTCGATCATAGCGCCAGTCATGGAATCCAAATTCATTTTGTTCAGCGCCTCGTTGTGAAACGGCCGCACAAACTTCCAGCTTCGCGGGGACGTATATTCGAACTCGACATCGGCGAGGAGCACCTTGTGAATGGAGAGGACCGAATCTGGTTGTGCAAGCAGCCATGGCATGTACGAGGGTGGCAGCATGACCTCTGCTTTGAAAGTCAGGTTTGGCGTGATGTACGGTTTTCCGTGCTTGCCATACTAAATGATTTTGGTCAGTGGGTGGGACACCACAAACCATAAAAAGAAATGTCTCACCTTTTGGTAGCCCTCTTCGACATTCAATTTCGAGTTCAAGAACTCTCGAATGTTTGCTCTCGTCCTTGAGAACCATTCATGGCGTAGACCAACCCACGGTATCCCCTCTGGAATGACTCGGAGTCTGGTTGCTCGAAGGTGAAGTATGAAGAAGATGATGGGAAAAGCTGTAAACAAGTAGACCTTCAGGCCCACTGAATAACCTGAGAATCTCTGAAACGGTCCTGTGTCAGGCAGACCAGGGACCTCGGGCATGTTGACCATCCTGACGTTACGGCACAAACTTGACAAACAGGGCTGGTCAATTACGCAGGTTGTCGCACTCCAGGTTTAAGGCAAGAGATTCCAATTCAAAGAAAGATGCTCTCTTATCTTCAGTTATGAGCTAATCGGAATAACAATAGCAAGGGATCAATGTGAAGGAAACTCTAGCCAGGCGACAAACGGACGAAGGCCGCAATGAGAAATGAATACGCTGAAGTTGCCCGATCGCCCCAATTTTTAAGAGCTGTACCCCATTAAGCAGCTAGAAGCTTCAAACTTTCACTAACGTCGGAGTGCGATATTGTAATAAAAAAATCGCACCGTTAAATCACACCAGCTCCTAGTGAATTGATGGGTCCAGCCTGCCGCCACACCTCACGTGTCAAAGTGCATCGCTTAGACAGCAAGTTTTCTGCCGAGTTAGTATGAATATAGGTATTTAGATACTCTCTTGTCCCACCGTCACCGAGTGTTGACTTTAGTAACCTCTGGGTCGGATTTCAAGACATGTGTGCCGTGACCGACCCGTTAGTCTGACAAGAGAGGATCAAGTATAAGACATACCATCTTAGGTGAACACATACATCGGTAAAACGGTGGAGAATGTCCGTCATGGAAGATGCGATAGGTCTTCACATGGCATATAGCTAGCTTTAGTAGATGGGGAAGGTAGTCTTTATATGGGGCAGGACATGGCCATGTGCACAGAACTTGGGAAAGTCGACCTGGCTGCCTGGAGGTGGGCCTCACCAATGGGCGAGTATAGTTGACACCGTTTTCCAGTTGTGAGCTTGGAAGATTTGAGGGACTCTCCCAGGTTTGAATCCAGTGCTTCCCCTGGACATCATCCATCAATTGCCTGTCTTGTGTCATGAAACAATGAATCCCTCTGAGCCTCCGAGTCACCGATGGGAGGTTGACGGGCCAAGCGCGCCGTTTCCCTACATCCCCGGCTTCTCCATCGAAATCCGCCCCTGCACGTCACCCACCGCGTCTGAGATACAGACGCAACTGCATGCCGAAGAGTCTCTCAAAGCCAGATACCCTCCGGGCACCCACAAAATCTCAGCAATCGAATACTGCATCGCACAACCGTACTGCGAGCTGGAGACCAGCCACCAGCCCCGGGGACACACCCTGCACGTGGACTCGATCACCACGCGCCCGGCCAGCGACATCTGGTGGAATAAGGTACAGTGCCACCTAGACGACGATAGGGAGTCAAAGTACACAGCCAAGATCTACGACCCGGTTTATGCCAGCGATGTGACGTGGGCTCACGCAGTCGCCAATGACAGCTTCAACAACGAAGTAGATGCCTGTACTAGGTTCAAGGAATATATATGTCGCGGGTATCTCGGGGGTTGTGACACCAGTCTTCTCAGGAGCATGGATGATGGACGTTGCCGTGCCGTCCAAAGACTTTGGAGGCGTGGATCATGTGACCACCAGGCCGGTCCCGCTGCTTCTGTTCGAAGCCGTCGAGGCAGCTAACCTGGCGACTACATATTTTCGGTACTATTACACCAGTGGCTACATGGAGCCTCAACCCCATCTCCCTCAGGCCTGGAGACACGAGGTCCTAGCCAAGATCTATGAAGCCAGGGCTCTCCTTGCTCACGCAGGAGTGCATGCTGAAGTTGCACCGGACGGTATCTTCGTTGGGACCAATGGGCTGGAAGATGGGAGACTCGATGTCAGGGTGTCCATCGCAAATTTCGAAAGAGCCTGTATCTCTGAACTCGGAAAGCGCACAGGAGAAAGGCCGGAACAGCCGGTGTCGCCTATCGAGACGTGCTGGGACGAAGTGAAATATGGCCTACAGCGGCTTGCGTGGGATGAGTGGAAGCGGCGGGAAGATTTGAAATACTACCGCCAGTGGCTTGTGCAAAGATGGGGCGAGTCGACTGAATATCGGCCGCTGCCTGAGGATCTGCGGAAACGAATCGCTTGTGGTAAATGGGAAGAAGCGTCGACATAGATTGTGGAACGAGATCGGGTTCGCTGAATGCATGTACTGGGTGCCCGTCCTCATGGTGATTATCTGCATCTACATGGTACATCTGGGCCCCTTTCCAGACTAGGTCCTGACAAGGTAAGACAACTCCTCCCACCAGCTCCCTATCATGATAAAAAGGGAAAGAGATCATGCGACTGAGAACTGAAGCCGGCTTGAGAGTAAGATTAGAGGAGAATGAATGGAAGTTTTTAAAAGATTGGGAGATGTATTACAGGGTATATGAGTAGGCAGATCAGGCTTTCTGGTAAGGTCATGATAGTTTAGTGGTAGAATCCAGGCTTCCCATGCCTGGGGCAGGGGTTCGATTCCCCTTCATGACAATTTTTTGACACCTTTTCTAACTTTCTCAGTGTGATCGTCCCTTTTATTCCGACGCCATGTGTCATAATTCCTTCCCCAGCTTGTGATCATGTCTGGTTCATGCTGCTGGGTCTGTGGTTCGGATGGGTATTGACAGACCCAACCGGTACGAAACAACTCTCAGTTTGCAATTTAGCATTGAAACGAGTATTTGAAAGTGATTTTAACACCTAATGTGATTGCATCGATTGGCCGCTTTTCTTCCTTGAGAACACAAAAAGACTTCTTGATGATCTAGGAAGTAGGTATTAACCGACCTGTCTCATGTCCAAGACGTCCCTACATTGTTCCTACTGGTAAGCATCGGCTGAGGCAAGTTCAGCAGCGATTGCATTGTCATGTGCTTATGGCTGATGAACGAACTCCAAAGGACTCAGGCGGTCCGTATTGGCACCCGTCGCTTGCTTATATGCTTGTGAATTGTTTGCCGTTATCACTTCCGGGTATAAGCAGATATTCTCCAAATTTTATGCCTCATTACCAACATCCAGACACGCGTATTCTAGTTCTGTCCGATGTTGATAACAGTAGGGTATTCAATTTTGAGCAGACAGCTGTGCGTGGCAACAACAGAACATTGAAAGTGCTTCTATTATCATCCTTCTTCAACAGAGATGATCACTATGCTGTACTACTGTCGGACTGAATGCCAAGTCAGGATGAACTTTCACACTTCAGAAGTGTGTCTGCACTGTGCAAAATTTTCGGACGAAAGTTAGGAGTTGAGACGATGACCTTGGTATGTCCCATGATTTGCCATCACACAACTGAGATGGTAAGCTTGACCAGGTCTGGAAAGTGTTGTAGAAACTGTGTAAAAAGGGCCCATCACGCTCAAAATTAGACAGACCGCAGACACCGTGCCCAGAATTTTCCTTTAATAGAGTGCCCGATATCGAGCAGCATAAGATGTGTCTCCACCTAACTACGGCAGGCGGATAGCAATAGAGGACGGAATTTAAGACAACGAAAATAAGACGAGACGAAATTCAAACTCATGACATTATGTTCATTCTCTCCTTATTGAATAACCCTCAAAGGGCCCTTCCCATCCCCAGCACAAGTGATGAGATCATATTGAGCTGGATAACCTATCTCGTTCCTGGTCTGGGCAGGTATAGAAGCCAGCTCGACAAGTATTTGGAAGTCTGACCTCGTTTCAGTGACCCGTGGTACTGATCCAGTGCGTTTACACTTCCGTAAACAAAAACAGACCGAGGCCACCCTGACAAAAATCATCCAAAGAACCCAGCAAACCGAATACTGTTGGTCATTGCCTTGTCTAAGCGAGAGCACATTAGCCTCCCGGAGTCTGCTTCGACTCCAAACCATCGCATGGAGGGATCGCTAGCATCCACACTTCGCGGTGCTTTCTCGGCGAGCCATTCATCCGCAGTTGACGCACGCCTGAGCTCAGCAGGAGGCGCAAACGTATATTCTTCCCGGTATCATGCCGGATCAGGAAATCTTCAACCAGCCCACCTGCAGTTCACTTGCTCGTCAGCTAAGCGACGGCCGGCCTTCTGAACAACCTGCATGTGAGACCTAGGCCAAGGGCCCCCAGGTGCATAACGCCTCCGCCCAGAACGAAGAGACCCATAATGTCTTGGTGGTCAGCACGCGCGTCTCGATCGCCTTGGTCGGCAAAGCGTCGTCGTCAGCCTGAACGGAATTGTCCCGTGGCCGACTGACGCTGTCGTGGGACTAACACAGTCCTGATCCACGCCGTGGCTTGAAACTGTCTTACTGTATGTCTATCCACAACTGGCTGTGACCTCCAGCTCCTTACATTGTGGTGCTTCAGCTGTTAGGTTGGTGTTGGGTAAGTTACACAGGTAGCTGTATAATTGTTAATTGCGTAGATAAAGCATCACCTGATGGTTGGAGATGAATGGCAGGTGCCCTCTTGTGCCACTCTGCGCGAAGACGTCCGAAACGGCCTGAGCCCCGTCTCCGAACGCTTTGGCCTGGCTTTCTTTTGTTGTCATCTCATTACGAATCTGCCAGAGGATTCTTGTCCAAGACTAAGGCTGGGCAGAGGGACGTTCGCAAAGCCATTGTGTCAGTAGCCAGGTCAGAAGACGCGAAAGCAGGACTATTTCGCTCATGAGGTGTACGAAATATATCGCCACAGACTAATGGTGGCGACCGAAACTCTTGTGAATATGGAGGCTATCAGTAGTCGGAGCGGTCAAAAGCCTCTTTTGCTAATCGTTACGCGTCACGATGTTTAGAGGTTTTAGGTATGACGGGTAGGAAAGTATAAGATGAGGATACGTTAGCCCGCTACGGGCATATCCGTAAACCTTAGAGAGCAGGGGAATACTATCAGACTTCTGGGCTCGGCATTTGCTGACTTAGGCACGCGAAACCAAGCACTCTTTTTCTCGGGCCGTTTAGGTTCAACCGGCTTTGCATGTCCGCACACAGGGCTCGCATAACTGCCAACGCGCCAATGGATTATGCTGGGCAGCAACCGTTTGCCATGACTTACACACTTCTGATAGTGCATGGTTATGACATGCCAACATCTTGCCGTGCGATAACTGGGGCCAAAACATACATCACACTAGCTCGTTTCCATCCGACAGTCACGGTCCGTGTGTCTCAGAGGGACCCGTTTCATCCCACTTAACGGACTGGACATCAGACAGGTGTACGTACATGATGAGAGGAGTGTGCAACAAGGGAAACTCCTCCCGAGTCAGCAAAGATCGGTCAAGTCGCGCCCACATGCCGCGCGTGGCTGCACGACAGCGTCAGCAAGGCAGCAGCAGCAGAAGTAAACTCCATGTGCGCGCACATGTGGCACCACACGCGCACACGCTATTGACGGCGAGCATTTCCCGCGGGGCTGTTTCCTTCTTGGCGGGCTACGACGCCAGCGACGTCGGCGGTGACGTCCCACTCCCGCGGGCGCCAAGCAACCGGGCTGCCCGCCCCACGCCGGAGGGCTCGTGGATAATACGCTGTCTCCATGACGATTGGTGAGGCCGGCTCATCTCTTTTCCATCCACCTCTCTGGCCTCGTGGCATGACAGCTTTGATGGATCTGGCCTCACCCCGGCCCGTACACACGGGCGCACAGGGACACTATCGACACATAGATCCGTCCGCACTCTTCTCTTGAGGAAAACCAGGAGAAATTAGAAGCCCGCGCGGTGTCTCGCTTCAAGGATCAGCCCTGGTGGCCCCAGGACTTTGAGTTATCCCGTTGTGGGGCCTCTCGCTTACATGGGAGGGTTGAGGGAGCAGGGCTCCAGGGACGCGCGTCAACCACGCTGCCCTGAGATGAGGGACCCGGCAACGTGGGCAGCCTTGCCGTCACTGGGCAGACGATCAAGTTTTGATGCCCGGCAGTGTACGAAAATCTTTGCGGTATTTGATGATTGGGTGGACCTCGATGTCTATTACACACGTGGCTGGCTGGTCCTTTGTGGCTCTGTCGAGGAGCAGTTGGCTCCCGGTTTGAAGTCATGTGTAATACTGTGACAGTGAGTCCAAGATTGTGTGACCTTCCGCTGATCATAGTCAAATCCTTCAGCAGGGCTGGATGTTGTCTGTTTGCGCAAGAAGCACACCAACAGATCCAGTTCAGTAGTGATACTATTTCCGACGTCAAAAGAACGATGGGACATGTGTGATAGAAACGTGACAGGACAGAGAGGATATCGGCCGCTGACTCGGATCCGAAACTGGACCGGGCTTTCGCACCCACTTTGGGTTGTTTATCTAAGCCGAGATCCATGCATCCCGGTCTCGATCGGTAGCCGGCAACTACTCCATGAATATGGAATAATTATAAAAAGGGGGTAATTGCTCGAGGCCTGGGCGTTTGCGCGGCTGCCACCATGGCAAGTTACGCTGGACGAATGTTGCACAAACGTCGAGGACGTCGTCACTCGGCGACAATGCTATAGACCCTGCACCCTGGAGGATGACAGCCTCCAATCCCTCCCGACACGGCCGCTAGCATGTGGACCCGTGAACGGCAAAGTCGATTGCGCAAGATGGCACACAGTACCACGATGGAGGCTCTAGTGCCAGCGAAGCGTTGGGAGAGTTACGCGCGCGTGTCTAGATCTCCCGATGTCTTGTGGGAGCTGTACCGCCCGTCAACGCGATAGTCGCGCTACCACCACGGGAACCTTCAGATATAGTGCCGGATCCTTTTTGCAATTTCCATCCGTAGACATTCGACGATCAGATAGCCGACTATGCTTGATGAACAGTCTCACTGACCAATGTCTGTGGATTGTGACCAGCGGTGGCATGTGGGCTTACGCTTGGAGGATCATAACAGGTTAGACCAGATCCGAGGCTTGCGCAAGTCCTAGGTCACTTGTTCGTCTCAGACAAGAGGATTGTGACACCCGTCAGCGGGCGAGATTCTCATCGCGGTCGATTTGGTTGAAATCCGACCAGATCTACCGGAGCGGGAAGCCGCATCCCGCATCCTGAGGCTTAGATGTCAATCCAACGTTCGAGAAAAAAAAGAGCGAAGTTCCAATACAGTTGTGAGAATACCGAAAATCTTGGTAACCAAAGAACCCCTGCACGACTTGGCACGACTTTTGCCCGGCTTACCCAGAGGGCTGGTTGAGGAATGCACAGGCCAGCCAGTTGATGGCCGTGTGGGGTGGCGACCCGCGACTTGGGCTGGGAGTTTTGGAACCACAGGCCAAGCAGGCCGCGCAAGCTCTCCCTTGATGCTACAGTGCCAGGACGATCGCTTCGCACTGAGTGGCTTCCCTCTTCTGGCAGTGACTGGGGGCGCTGAGGCTGAAGCTTGGAGCAGCAAGGGACCTGTGGTGAGGCTTCGTCAAAACCTTGATCACAATCTGTGTAGGGCGCAGCACATCAGAGTTTCGACAATGCCGCGATTTGGAATCGAGGAACCCTGACGCCAAGGCCCGACACACTTTTTGCCCCTTATTGTGCATTTCACCTGGCAGACTGTGGCCAGTCGGCATCCAGGCTCGTCATGAGGCCTTGCCGGTTGTTTCGTCTCCCTGATGGGTGAACAAGTGTTTCTTGGTGGATATTGACTAGATGCAGGTTCACGACATGCCGCGTGGGCGTCGTTGTAAGTGGTCTGGCGCGTCATGTTGGACCAACCGGCCGGCTGTATTACGCCGGGCAAATGAAGCGCGGATTGGATGCTCCAGTGTGCATCGCAGTGTTAGCGATCGGTAGTAGTGCCAGACGCAAGTGGACGTCGTCACCCACCCTGCCTGGAGGGGCACCGTCTCGCCTCACACGTGGAGGGTCCTGAGGGTGCGAGGAGGGACAAGCCGACTGACGACGACCCAGCTGCCCGGGCAAGCCTAACAACGACACCTCAACTCACCGCTGGGTGTCTGCATGTCTGTCTGTATGTCTGTCCGGCGGCGTCGGCGGTGCTGTCCGAGTCGGTCAACGTCCACTTTACTGGGCCGAGCAGGTCGGGCCACGTCAAGGTGGGAAGGGATACGTGGGCGCGGGCAAATGTCTGGGCGGAACCGAAACGACGACTACGTGGATTGTGACAGTTTCGCGAACTTGTCAAATTACTTGTGTTGATCGGCCTGGCAGAGACGCGAGACTGGAGACTGGAAATGGGGAACGAGGAGGTGGTGGACGATCATCCCATCTTTCTCGCGACCGTGAGGAGCGACAGGGCGTGTCCTGACCATGGGAATTAAGCATCTTTTTTGCAAATCTGAATCTGAAGCAGTGAGCCGTCCGGGTCAGGGTGTGCCGAATGCAGTGGTCGTCATCGCACAGTCCGCAGCAGTCTGAGGCTCGACACTGTGGAGAAGGGGCCGAGTGAGATGAGGGGAAGAGGGGGGGGGGGGCAAGCGGCACAAGCAAGGCTGATGAGGCGAGCAGACGGGAACACCTAGTCGGGCTCTGATTACCTAACACTTGTTTCCCAGTGCCAGAAACGTTTCAAGAGTCAGAGGTCGTCGATCCGCATCTGTCCGGGAAGAGCGACCTGTGGTACGCGTATGTCCAATGTAGTCCACATACAATTAATACTGTAGAATTCAATCCAGACTGTCGAGCTTGGCCACTTTACTATCTTGCTGGCAGGTGTCCAGGTGCGCTCATGGGGACGAGGCCTCATCATCCAGGACCAGGTTCTGACTCGGGCGGCGGACGACGCGGGCACATCACGTCGATTGGGCACATTTTCGTTTTCTGGCTGACTGGCCGGCTCAGGAGTCAGCCTGTGCTGTGCGAGCAGGTGGTTCCAGCGACGGGAGTGATGGGTGAATAGAATAATTCCGTCATGTCGTACAGCAAGCCACGCGAAAGGGAGGGAGGGGCTCGGGGCTGAGAGTCTGCACTGCGCTGCACTGCGCTGCACTGCCAAGAACTGAGCCTCGTCATCCTCCCCTCAAAGGGCACAAACACATTACGGACGTACAGTAGTAGCCAACTGTTACATACCGCATCGGAGATTAACGTGATCGTCCACGTACGAGAGGGAGACGGCCCCGTGGAAGACGGCCATTTCCATCAATGTCCCATCTTTCTATTTCCATTCTTCGTCATCAAACCAAAGCATCATGTCATCTGTTCAAGACAACCTTATCATCTTGCCTGGCAGCAGAAAAGAGGAGACATCAGCAGAGTTTCCCATGTGCAGGTGGTACACAGTACGGCGCCGTCGTTAATTATAGACGGCGCGTGTGCCAGAGTTATTCTGAACCCCGAGAGGAGCGTGCAGGCAGCAGCAGCTTGCAGCAGGGCAAGGCAGGGAGGGCAAGGCATCGAGGTGCGCCTGGCTTGTATCCAGCCCGCTGCGGACGGGCCACGGCCTTTGAAATGACGGGGCATGATTGGGTGGCTGCGACGCGCGTCCATCTGTTCGTCCAGCCCGGGGTTCCTCCTCCTCTTCTTTTCGTCAGTGAGGGCAGGTGGGGCCCAGAGTACTTGCCTCAAGGGTGGGAGAACTGGGAGGGAGGGAAGGAAAAAAAGCGCCCAGGCCCCACGCCCGTCCCCATCAGTCATCGGTTCAGTGTACTCGCCCGCCCGCCCGCCCGGCCTAGGTAATGTATGTGCTGGAACTTCTGCGGGCGGCTTCCACGTGCACCTGAGGCGTGCTGGCGTGGAGGGACTGCGCCGACCTGGGCCTGAGCCCGAACCTGGCCTGTGCCTGCTCATTGTCCGTGTTCTCTCTCTGGCCCTCGAGTCTATCTGTCTGTTCCTCTCTGATGCATTACTGAGTACCTGCGTCGCTGCATACCTAGTTACCCTCCGTGGACGGGCAGAGAGGGGAGAAAGCGTGCGTACATACAGGTCACCATCTATTGGGCCAGAAGACCAGGAAGACCAGGCAAACCGAGGACTAGCAGGCAGCCCTCTGCTGCGTACTGCGAAATCAGTCGTCGCGGGCACAAGTCGACAGGGCAGGGCAGGGTTCCACGGTTGGAGCAGTCCACGCAATTGCACACTAATCCCTCGCACCCCCCGGTCCACTCTCGGCTCTTACCCAGACCTCCCCACTGCCGCACCGGACCACTCCCTCTTGCGACTCGCCTGGTCTGCACTGTACGCAAGCTCCCACGTATCCATCCGCCGTCCCCATCTCCCTGTCTCCTCCCTCCTCAAGGCTCAAGGGTCCGGCTGTTTGGCCTGTCCACGATTCTTTTGCTGCTTGTCTCTCCAACCGATCGTGTCTTGTCATCTTGCACCATATTCCCTTTTTTCTCTTCATACCCACTCCGCCTTCCCGCCCACCAACACTCGTCCTACTCTTTATTATTGCCGTCCCGCCCTCCGCCTGAAACCCTGCCTCCGCTTGTCTTCCTCTCTCCCTCTCGCCGCCGCATCATTCAACCTATACACTCTTTTGTCCAGGCAGCGCGGATGGTGTCGGTGTTCATCATCTGGAGACCGAGGAACGTGGTATAGACCGAGCCGAGGCCAAACATCATCACACTACACGTACGACTGCGACTGCGACGGCCTTGATCGCGAAGAGCCTACACTCCCGCTAGACACCGACTGCTAGATTGGAAGACCATCGCTCCCCAAGGTGGCGATCTAGGTCGCAAGTCCCACTCCGCAAGCGCTTACGACGACAAGTCGCCCCACGAATATATCCTCCCGTCGACCCTCACAGCCATTCTGGATTGAGGAAACCCTACTCCAAAAACAACACGATCATGGACTCGAACCGAGGCAATGTGCCCGATAACGGCCAATACGATGAGGCGTGGGCACACGATCTTCGCATCCAATTCGAGCAGCTGCTTAGGGACAGGCGATTAACCGAGCTCAGCAGCCGGTCTCGTCAAGGCACACCGCAGCCTCGAGAGTCGGCCTCATCTGCTAACCTGCGAACTGCTGCCGCCGCCGCCGCCTCACCTGGACGCCCATCATCATCACATACTGCTACTCCGCCTGCGTATGCCTCGCTGCGTCATATGCCAAAGGTGCCCACAGCGCCGGCTGCGAATGACAGGGAATCACAAAAGTTTAGAAACCTTCTGGTTACCCTCTCACAAACACCAACAAAATACGAGAACCCGGGACTGCTCGACGAGGCGCTTCAGGTCATCCCGTTGGATCGGATCTACGGAGAGGCCGAGGAGGAGACACAGGTCTTGCAGGCACAGGCCGAGAGCATGGGCGACGGCCGGAAGCCCGAATGGGGCTACCAAGATTGCGTAGTCCGAGCATTGCTCAGGTACGTCCACTAGGCCGATATTCTTGCTGTGGAGATGATGATGTTCTGACTCGAGTCACCAGATGGTTTAAACGAGCCTTCTTCACCTGGGTGAACAACCCGGCCTGCCCAGCGTGTCTGTCACCAACAGTAGCCCAAGGCAAGACCGCGCCAACACCCGAAGAGAATGCCTGCGGCGCCCTCATCGTCGAATTGTACCGATGCTCGAACAGTGCCTGCGGGGCTTACGAACGCTTCCCCCGGTACAGCGACGTCTGGCGGTTACTGCAAACACGGAGAGGCCGATGCGGCGAGTGGGTAAACTGCTTTAGTATGCTCTGCCGGGCCGTGGGCAGCCGTGTCCGCTGGGTATGGAACGCTGAAGATCATGTGTGGACAGAGGTCTACTCAGAACACCAGAAGAGATGGGTCCATGTTGACGCCTGCGAGGAGGCATGGGATAACCCACGACTCTACTCGGAAGGATGGGGCAAGAAGATGTCGTACTGCATTGCGTTCTCCATCGATGGCGCCACCGATGTCACTCGACGATATGTACGGAAGAGCGAATATTCTCTCGAGCGAACCCGATGCCCAGAGGAGGTCCTATTGTATATCTTGCAAGAGGTTAAGAACATCCGAAGATCCAACATGGGCAAGGATGAGCGATTCCGTCTCGAGAAGGAAGACGCACGGGAAGACCGCGAGCTACGCACCTATGTCATCTCTTCCATCACCCAGGCCGTCACCCAGCTCGTACCTGGCGCCGCACCAGTTGCACCCAGCGCTCCACCTCAGCCCGCGCGACGAGCACCATCATCTTCCGACGACACCAAGACTCCGGCCGAAATGCCTGGCCGACAAAGCGGAAATGCTGAGTGGGTTGCCGCCCGGGGCGAAAACGGAAGAAGACAGCAGTTCCAGCCTCCGCAAGACCCCTCGCGCCGACCTCCTTTCCCCTAGACGATTTTCAGTCTTGAGCTTCGGAAAGAGCTTGGGCCAATGCTTGGCCATGGGATGATGACTGACCCGCCGACCCATCGACCGATGAGACACCGCCCACCGACAGACCATAATTCCCTATATCTCTAATATCTACTCATTTTATTCCTCCGGCTTGGAAACTGAGTTGGGCAACCACAACCCTGCTTGACGACGAGCCAGGTCAGGATTGGGGCATCCTGCCTCGACATCTCTTCGACTCTCATCTGTATCTACTTTTTCATCCCGACGACTTATCTGCATTTTCATTTGTAACAATCCATCCGCGTTGGCACCGTTTGTCAGCGCCGGCGCAACGGGGCTGTAGCCATGCTTTTGGTGTTTGCGTGGGTTTGAGGCGCTGGAAGCAACCGACTTCGCGTCAAGGCGTTTGGGGGAGGCAAGATTTCATTGCGCTTGCATACAAGTCAAACAAACACTGGGGACTGATTTTTTGATATACAAGGGGTGGCAATTTTAGGGGGTGGGCAACTCAATTACAAAGTGCACCATGAGGGATATGACGGTTTCTGTTGTCTTCCAAGACGGCGCGGGACTGGCCTCGTTGGAACCGAGCATGACGAGGTCAGCATGGTTGGGAGTTCCTCTGGCTGGCACGCAAGGGGCCTCGGGCGGTAGAGAGGAAGAAGGCTCGAAAAAGTCGATACCAAATATCCATATTTGTTTAGCCATCCTCATTAGAGGGGCTCAAAACCACACTGAGGGACCGAAAGCATTGTGTCAAGTACCTACTGTGAGAGCATGCAGGCGTGTTACACTGCCAGTCCCGCAACATCAGCGAGTGCTAAGGAGCTACAGATCCAGCGATGGTGCATGAATGCCGCTGCTGTTGTCTGCTAGTAGAACTTGACGATCGTCTTGTCTCTCAAGTCTGGTTCATGTGGAATGAGACGTGCCGACTGCCACTTTGGCCCAGTGCCTGCAGACCGTATCCCGCGCGTTCTTACTCTTTTTTCCTTATTCTGTTGTGTGCAAGAGACATCGTCATCAACGACGCGCCAGCCAACGAGCAGACGCTCGGGAATAAGCCCGGAGAGCCGTCGGATTATCAAATGGAAATATTTGAACATGCCCGCTCCACCCTCCACTCGCCGGGAGGACCGCCCCCAGGCCGACGGGCCGAGAAAACGACACTCACCCTGCGCTAACAATTTGCGGGCAGTCTGAGTGTTGAGGCGTGTTAGTGACTAGACGACGTCCCATCTGGGGGACCTCCCTCGCTCATCTCGCTACCTGCCAGGTTTAGCCCCCCAAGGGTGCTTGCTGCTCAGTGCTCACAGCCCGTTTTCGTGGCCCAGCCCGCCGGTGATAGGCAGCAGGCAGCCGGAGGAGCCTCATCACATCATTCTCGTCATCAGCCCTCGCCCCCAGCAGCGGCTGTGGCTCAAACCCTCCCCCTCCCCCACAACCCGGACCTCGACGTCCGTCCCTCCCATCAACCCCCTGGAGGATAGGATGCGCGCCAGCCAGCTAGCAGGACCGCGTGGGCGGCCAGTTGTCGTCAGCTATGTGGTTGGTTGGTTCCCTAACTAATAACAGTAGGGCAGGGGCCCCGGGGAAGGGAGATCGACCGCTTGGTGTTGCCCTGCCCTTGGCTGTCTGTCACTTCTCTGTGCCGGGCTGGGACGAATGAACGTAGCCACCCATCGAAATCTATCTATCTATCTGCTGACAGCTTACGACTGATCGTCCAACTTGTCCTGGGCGTGCACGATGAAAAGCATGTTGGTCCCCGGGGCCATGGCGCCCTCGAGAGCTGAGGGGGACAGGCCCGGTGTCGTGGGGCGAACCTTCATCTCCGAGATGAGACATTGGGGGGGGGGGTCACAGATTTTCGACGGGCGGACAGGTCCTGCTGCAGGGTGCGAGCTGGCCGGCTGGCTGCTTTGGTTGGTTGGGCCAGCAGATAAGAATCGGGTCCCCCGTGCCATATGCCATACATAGCCCTCTGTGCCCTGGTCTGGCGGCTCACGAGCGTGCTTGCAAGTGGTCTAAATTGAAGTGCTATTTTATATTGGTGGGAGGGACGATATGCAAGATCGCTCGTTGGAAAGGCATGCTCAACGGGGCTGTCCATGACGTGTCGATTATATGCCCGATCACGGCGCAGAGAGGCATGAGAGAGGAAAAGAACGCCCGGAAAGACGAGACAGTCGCGGACCACGCCGGGCCGAGACAGCACAGAGTCTCAACGCCTGGGCTGACAGCGGATACTGGCCGTCAACATCTCAGAACAGACCCAGGCGATGTTGAGGAGGCCCCTCTGCTCTGCCCCCCCCGGCATATGCGATGGCTGGATCAAGGCTGGCAGGGAGCCTCCTCATATCACCTGCGTCCACTCAGCGGCCTCTCTGGTGAGCAGGTCGGACAGTTCAGGGTTGGCTTACGGCAGTCATCAGACTTGCCTTGGGCCCGACCGGCGGCTGCTGGGCGGGTGATGACTTCTTGTTGTGCGACATCAGGACCCAAGGCTTTGTCAAGTGTAAAGCGATGATGGTGACATACGAGGCCTGCCTCGGAGGATACATGGCTTGCCATGCCTCGCTGTTTTCTTGATCGCTTCGGTAAGAGGCCTTGCGTGCCGGGTTATCCTACCAGCATATGGTACAAGACAGCTCTCCTGATGTTGACTGTCGTCGCTTTCCTATTGAAGTTACCAGTGCAGCTGCAGCTTGGATACTTTTTGTTCAAGCCATTGTCACATACTGGGTCCCTGCCTGACTGGACTTTGCTGACACTGGTCAAGCACCGATGAGCTGGATCGTGTCAACCCACGGCGACGGGCAAGATCAACAGGAGACACATGCACAGCCCATGGAGATCTCTATTTTTGGAGGCGAAGTCATGAAGGCTGTTTGACTACAATTTCGCTGAGAAATGCTTTGGATTTTGAGCTAATTCCCTGTGGTCGGTCTCGGGCGCGTATGTCTGAGACTTCCCCATATCACACGCGTGGACGGAACGGACAACATTCCTCCACGGCGCCAAAACAACACCCTTTACTCGACACATGTTTATAAGGGAGAAGGGATGCTCTACAACTGGGGGACGGTGCTCGCGTCAACTCTCACTCGTGTTTTCGCAGTCACTGGCAAGCCACCCAAGTGGGTCTATCCGCAGCCATGGCGTCCATTCATTCAATTGTCGTCTTTGTGTCTTTCTTTATCACCCTCGCGTGGGCACAGTTCAACCTCGCCGCAAAAGTTAACAATGTCGTGTACTGGGTAAGATCGTCCTTGCAGAGGCCAGTGGGAGCGACGGGGCTGACGTTCATCCATCCAGGGCCAAGGACCCGAGCAGAAACCGCTTCTGTATCATTGCCAGAAGCCCGAGATCGATGCCATCGCCCTCTCCTTCGTCTATCTGTTCCCGGCCCAGGCCAACGGCTACCCGGGAACAAACTTCGCAAACCAATGCAGCGGCGCCGTGTATGCCGGCCCGGGATACAACGGTGTGGTGGATCCGACAATGGACAAGCTGCAATCCAGCTGCCCCCAACTCGCGGCCGACATAGCCACATGCCAGAGAACCTACGGGAAGAAGATCTTCCTAGCTCTCGGAGGGGACTCGGGTGAATACGACCTGGACGGCGTCACGGATGGCGTGAGGTTTGCAAACATGCTTTTCGGCATGTTTGGACCGAGGAACAAGATCTGGGTCAAGGCCGGTCTGCCCAGGCCCTTCGACGTGGCTGGTGACACTGCGGGATCCGCAGTCGACGGGTTCACCCTGGACATTGAGCACCCTGCCGACGGTGAGCAGCACGCGCCTTGTATATGCTACATGCATGCTTGAGAATGCAGAAAGGCTGATGAAGAGTGAACGAGCAGACGGGGGAGCCGGGTACATAGCCTTCGCCACGCAGCTCCGCAAGCTGTTCCCCGCGTCCCCCCAGACAGGCCTCACCCTCACCGCCGCGCCCCAGTGCGCCGTGCCCGACGCCAGCATGGGCCAGCTGATAGCGAGCGTCGCCTTCGACGCGCTCTTCATCCAGTTCTACAACACGCCCGCCTGCTCCGCCAGGGCGTGGGCCAACGCCAACCCGAACTACGTCCCGGGCACGCGGCCGTTCCCCTCGGGCGGCTTCACCTACGACACGTGGACGACCGCGGTGGCCGGCGGCGCCAGCTCCGCCGCGAAGCTCTACATCGGCCTGCCGGGGAGCGCCGACGCCGTCGACGACGCCAGCTTCTACGTCAACCAGAACGAGACCAAGAACCTCATCAACGCCTACTTCTGCAACCGCAACTTCGGCGGCGTCGCCCTGTACGACGCCACGTACGCCGACGAGAACGTCGTCAACGGCCAGACGTTCACGCAGTGGACCAAGGCCGTGCTGACCGACTCGCTTGCGGATCCCGTGGTGAGGACCTGCCGCGGGCCTGCTGGTGGTGAGAAGGCCTAGACGAGGCTCTCGTGGTGGGGTGATTTCTTTTGTATGCCTTTTAGGCCCAGCATCTTCCGCGTGTTCATTGAAGGGCTGGGCCATATAGCTCAAATAAGTGCTGGCCCAAGTCCTATTGGACCGGGCCATCTCTGGGCATCTGCTGCCAACCGGGAAGGTTTAGAAATTGTTCTGGCTCTTGATGAAAATACATGATGTATGCCCATATTGCAACCCATAATATTGACAATTCACGAGGCTGTCTCATAGGCCAACACTCCTTCATTATCCGGTTCGGCTTTGCGAACTCTCTCATGTCTCAAGTGCTCGTTCCATTGAGACGAAATTTATCAGGCTGGTGATCTCTCTACCACTGTTCAGACAGAAGACACACACTGGGAACAGTTGAGTTGTAAATTTCTATGTGAATCTTCTGTCTGGGAGTTATCAAGCCGCAGATGGTCAAACCCTGGCGCATCCAACTTCAAATCAGGAGGCGTATGTCGATCCTCTTGCTCCCTTAAAAGTCGCAACACCACAGTGTACCAGCACATGCGATCATATCTACAAGAAAATATGGGATCCCGTCCGCTCTCCCTTAATCAAGCTTGTGAGAGCTGGAGTAGTAGTTGGGTCGGTGACGACCAGCGAATGCCCGGTGTTGCATGTTTTTTTCTTTTCTTTTTTGCCTCTCTTCCGTTGGTTCTTTATGTGTCGTGGTTGACCCACAGGTGGGTATCTGGCGAATCGCGGAGACGGCGTCATATAAGCCTCCCAAACTCTGGTGATAGCGATGCCTTTTATGTTCTATTATTTTCTTCGATATTTGAAAGCGGTCTGCGTCTGTATGGATTCAAGACAAAGTCAGATCGATTGGAAGTTTGGGTTGAGTTGTGACTGATGAAAACGGTCAACAGTGGCGGTCAATGCTGCAGGATTGTCTGTGCCTCCTCATTTGCCTCTTATTTTTTTTGTTTTAAAAACAAATAAGAGTTTTTCCTGTAATTGGTACGAGCCTCTTCAGACTCTAGGGTGCCTGAGATTCAGTCAAGTTGTGGTGGTAAAGACCTTCAGCCCTTGAACTACCAAAGAGCTCAACTTGGTGGGATAACGAGGTGCAATATGGTCATCACATTAGCATCTGTCAGCCTGATAGACACTGCTCTCAGTCTTCATTCATCTGCATTGTATACATCAGCAAATGTGGTGTTGATTTTGACAGGTCTGTGAGGAAATCTGGGTGAGGCAAAGCAAGAAGACCTGTTTGACAAGTAGATGGCTCAGATGTGCTATCACAAATTAGATCATGGAATATTCAGAAGGTAAAGAGTTCTCCGATTATTTATTTTGGAGCTATTGAATTGGAAACCTTCGAAGGAGCGAAGTGGCTCATTTGAATGGAGAGCCGGGGGCGTGCTGGTGAGACATTGAAGTTACAATGAGTTGCCTATCCACTCAGTCTTTCAACGTGTCCTTGTAAGGCTGATCACATGTCACATTGCCTGGAGCTACGAGACGTATAGATGGATTTACAGTTGGTCCTGATTATTCAAAGGGGGCATGGTGTTCTTTCGTTCTTCCACCGGAGTACTAGTAGTTTCCTCAAATGCTTTGTTTGAACTGACACATTCAAGTTGTTATGCAAGTATAGGCAAATAACAGTAAGCAGGCTATGGAAAGGTGGACAAACTGTCCCGGATATATTTATAAGCAGTCACAGATTCCTTGCTGCCAGTAACTTTTTGGAGACTGGCTGGGTGGAAGAATGGTTGTGTTTTGGTAACACCCAGGAGGAGATGGGTACGATTGGCAGTGGCGACTCCATAGTCTGCATACTGGCGAGCACGAAAAGAATATTGGAATAACCAAACCTGCCTGCTTACCGGTAATGAATTCAATTTAAAGGGATAACATGATTGTGTGGTCAATGGCCACTGCAAGATGATCAGGAACAAGGCTGGGGCTGTTCACTTCTCAACAGTAACTTTCCAGGTAAACAGTCTGCTGAAGTATTTCACTGTCAACCATTCACATTCGTGGGCCAAGAATGAGGTGAGAAGCCTCCATCAAATCTCTAGATGTCTTCCTAATCTACTAGCAAAATAAGGATTTCTTATGCCAGTATTAATATACTTACTAATCAGTATATGATAATAACTTTATTCATGCTAAGCTACCTGGGTATCGGTACATATATAAGATGTATGCGTATATAGTGTTCGCCATATGGCATGTAGTCCTTTTGCAAGTCTATTAGCACTGGGAGACATGTTCTGGAGCCTGATGAAAACCAGGACGCTTCCTTGTCTTTGAAGCCAAGGCTTCCTCTGATTAGTATGTGGGACCAGCATCGCTGCTATGATACAGAAGACATCCAGATCTCAATGTATTATTATTTTATATGCTACGCCGCTCTTTTCTCCCCAATATATGCTATATTAAATTAATATTCCTATCTCTTCATTTTAAAAGGACTATATGCTTATTCAATTCTTGCTATTCTATACATATATTAAGTACTATGTATACTGGAGACTCTATCACGACCATGCCGGGCCTAAAAAGTTACTTAACCAGACTCATTTTAATGCCGAAAGGCAGCAGGCTAGAATAATTTCACCCTTTAAAATGCGATTTTGGTCCGTGAGAAAACTAAATTGGGCAGGAATAAAAGCTTCCGCTAAAGATGAACTTTAGAACCAGAGGTAGGGAAGATTGCCATAAGCTGGCGCATTGCTCCATAACGTAAAGAAACTAAGAATATGATTTAAAAGCCGATCCTAAAATGCAAGAAAACGCAGTATACGGGCTAAATTGCTTTAGCAAATTTCTAGGCAAAGCAAATTCCTTGTTTAAATAGAGAAATAGAAAGGTGTTAATTCACCTCTCTTAATCTTTGGGTTCTGGTATGTTTAATTCGGAAGACTATAATGACCGCTAAAGCCTTAGAGAATATCCAAAGCAAGGAAGAGCTGTTTAAAAAGATAAGAAAAATGGGCTATATTTTACCGCGCAGGAAATAGGATGGACCTTAGGAGCTAAACTATCTACGCTTTACTGCTAAGCAGCCCTATTACATAGATAATAAAGTATATAATCGCTTAGTTAAATAACCCATTAGCTAAATAAGTAATCATATCATTATAATAAAAATACTTTTAATAATTACATATTTAATTTTAATTATAAAGACTTAATTTATATATAAAAAGAATATTAAAGTTTATCTTTATAATGCTTAAGGGTAGTATAGTTAATTTCTTAAGGATTTACTTTATTAGCCTACTTAAAAAATTATTAATATTAAAAAGGCATTTTATTACCCCTTATTACCTTGATAATATTTGCAAATACATTATTTAAGTTCTTTTAAATATATTATTTCTTATAAGGGCGTAGCTTATTTATAAGGGTATTTAAATAATTATTCTTATCCTTAAAGAAGGCATTCTTATTAAGAAAAGTATTTAATTACTTCTTAGCCTTTTTAAAAAGTAGTTAAATATTATAATTAATAGTATTTTGCCTAGTTATAATTTAGCTTATTATTATTGCTAAGTTAAAAGCTTTTCTTAGCATATAAATAATTATTACTATAACATTTTTAAATATTACTGCCCTTATTAAAGCATTATTTACTATTAAAAGGTTTTCTTTAATTAATAATATTATAAGGACTTTTTAAGAATTAAAGGGGATAATGTTAATATATAAAAAGCTATTTATTATATTCCTCTTTATAAAGGCCTTTTTAATAACCTTTTTATAATACTTTATTATTAATTATTTATTAATAAGCATTATCTTAAGAATAAATAAAGTAAATAATGCCTTTTAATAATAATAATGCTTAAAAAACTTAAATAACTCCTTATTATATAGCTAAGAAATATATAATATATATATAAGCAAATAATATATAATAACCTTTTTATATTATACTTTAATTATTAAAAAAGTTAATATATATATTAAAGAGCTATTAAGTAATAATAATTATTATTTTTATATATTTTAAATAGCAATTTTAAAAAGAAATACTTTTATTAACTATTTATAATAAATCTTTATTATAAACTACTTATTTTAATTATAAATAAACTTATAATTAAGCAAATTAACTAAAAACCACTGCTTTTAAAGCAATTTTCCCTTTAAAATCATTACAAGAGTTAATTAATAACCGTTAATAATAATAACCTTAAGAATAATGGTTTAATTAATTAAATGATGCGGTACGGATGGGCAATGGTGGATTCTAGGTGAATTCACCGTGAATTCACCGTGAATTACGAATTCACGGTACTTTCACGGTAAATTCACCGTGAATGCTAACATTCACGGTGAATTCACGGTGAATTCGTCATGAATTCACCGTGTGTATGTATATATAGGTAGATTCCCCGTGTATTCCCCTGGAATTCACGGGGGCATTGAATTTCATACCTTTGCAACCATCATTAAATTAACCTTTAATATACTTAATATTAAAGTTACGAATAACCTAAGGACTTATTACTTAAAAATCTTATGCTTAATAACTCCGTTTTTATTTATATTAATAATATTATAAGTCTTAATATATTTTCTTATAATTTAATGATTTATAGCTTTTAAAAACTCTTTTAAATATTCTTTTATGTTAGCTTTTACTTAAATAATGCTTAAAGGAATGTTAATCTTTATATAAAGTTAAAGATAATAAAAAATAAAGTAATTAACTTAATGTTTTTTAATATAAATATTATTATTAAAAAAATGCATAAGTGCTTTATAAACTTATAAACTTATGCCTTTATAAAAGGGTAATAAGCATTTTTTTTTAAATAAAATTTATTATTAAATTAATTGCTTTAAATAAGAAAATAGCTTTATTTTATATGCATAGGCTTTTTAATAAGGTTTTGCATTATAAAGTTAATTATAAAGAGTATTTAATTTAACTTTATATGCATTAATAGCTTTATTAATTGCTATTATGCCCTAGTTAATTTCCTTTAAGGTAAATTATAACTTAACTTTATAAGTATTTAAAGTATTTATATTAATTAATTTAATGTAAATAGAAAATTCTTTTATAAAGATAAAGTAATGAGAAGGTAGGTGATATTAAGGATAAGGAGGGGGTAATGATGTATTTAGGTAAGGGGTTATTTGGCTAAGCGATGACATACTTTAATACTTAGATACCTACTGTGTCAAACTGTCTGCCGTTACCAGAGATATGTATAATAATACCTCTCTACTGCAGGATGGTTGTTCCTGGCTCTCGAGCTGGATCTGCGCCGCGCGGGCGGGGAGACGGGCCCACGCACACGGAGGCGACCTTCGATCCACTTATCCGTCGAAGTGCTCGGCCAATGTGGACGTCACGGCGCCGGGGGCCTTGGCTTACGGGCCGCGGAAGACACGAGATGACGCAACGAGAGCCGGGGGCCTTGTGATGGAGCGGCCGAAAGAGTGCCAACGGATGTGGATTACATTACACATGGCGCAGTAGCTAGACGCTACAGTAGAGCACAGTCTCTATGCCCATCGAGCTCAACGACATCAGAACGGACCAATCCACACGCCAAGGGGGCTGGATCAACGGACCCGTCAAATTACGGACGAAAAAAAGAGAGACCAAGGGACTCGTTGATCAACTCCCCATAGCGGCTTGGAGCGTATGCACAGCAGATTGACAGCATGTGCCCTTCGTGCTGACATGCATGCATTGCAATCTGCGCGCCAAACCCCCAGGCGGTGGCGGCCTCTTGGTTATTAGCAGGTCAGCGATCAACTCCACTCCCAAGCCCACCCGGGTTTCGTGAAAAAAATTGTGCCAGCTCGGAAATTCGATTCCCTCCAGACAAAGTGCTTGCAGCCGGCTAAGCCCAGCCCAGCCCAGCCTCAATGGCCGTTGGGCCGGCCGTGCAGCTCCAGCTGGATCGCAGGGGGTGTGTCGGGCGCCGGCTCCTGGGCTGGGGCTCGACCAGGCCAACCAAACCATCCAATCAAACAACCAGCTTGGCCTGGACTCTCTTCATCCCCCTGTGGGATGGGCTAGCTATTGAATCTTATCCTGCGCGTTGGATGGGTGATTACTTCGCACAGGCAGCCCTCTTCTGGGCTCTCCCTCCGCGCTGGGACGTCAACTCCCATCCCAATTGAACCTCCATCCGGGCTACAGTCCGCTAATTGCGTTTGGGGTTGGTCCTGGGGCCGCTCAGCTGTCTCAACAGCGGCCAAGAAACGCAACAGGACGGCCGGCCCCTTCGCTAAGGGGGAGAATACGTCACGGAGCTTCCAGGCCGAGGTGACAGACATTAGCTTCCCCCGTGAAATGTATTGGATTGGACTGGGCCGGATTGGATAGAATGAAAAATGGCATAATAAAAATCGCTGCTGCCGTCTCCTGACAGACAAAACGGCTGGCCTGACCGACTGACGACAGTGGACCGGAGCCCACCAAACTGACGGGAATTAAAGGGCTGAGTCGCACTCGCATCCCTCTTGGGGCGGTCCCGACCTACCCGTCCAAACTTCCCATTCACAAAGCTTGCTGCCCTTGCTCTATCTCTGTGCTGCTTGCAACCCCCCATCGAATCGAGGGGAATACAGCATTGATTGAAAAGAACAACTAGAGAGCATGAAGTCCTCTAGTCCTGACCGAGAGAATAAAATGTTTCCCATCCCGCCCAGATCAAAAATGCCATCCTTCTAGTGCATTTTGCATCTTCTCCCGCATTGACTTTCAACGCCACCCGCCCACTCTGTTACCACCTAAGCTAGGTAGTACTGGAGTGCAGTGAGGACCCAAGGGCTTCCCCGGTCTTGGTCTAAATCCGTCACTGCCCTACTAGTTCTATCGGGCTGGGATCCGGGAAGAACCGATGGACCAAGTGGGGTGCGCTAGCCAATGAGACAGCTGGGATGGGGAGGGTTACTTCCCGAACGGGCAGGAGGACGGATTGGGGGGAGGACGGGAAAGGGGCAAGGAGTACGGGGCTGCTGCACGTACCAAGTCTCCCAATTTCCAGCCTGCCCCATGCCCTGACATGCGAACGCTCCGAACTTCAACTTCACGAGGCCCAAATCTCCGCCCCTGCCCCTTCCCCAGTCCTGAGATCTGGCGAGCTCAACCGGGGAGATCACACAGGGGTTGGAATACCGCCCAGGCCAGACTGGAGCGGCTGGTGGCTGGGGCAAGGGGGCGATGGAAACGTGGGTTTTCACCAGACACAGCAAGAGATGAACACAATTGCAAGGCAGACCAGATCGGAGCAGGCATCTTCAGAGACAATGGTCTTTTTTTCTTTTTTTCCGATTCTGTTCATCTAATGAATAGAATAGAATACAGCTAAGCTATAGCAGCCATCCCTCGCTGCTCCCTAATAAAGATTACCGCTATAGCACACTGGCCATTGCGGGTATGATGGATGCTGGACGATGACTTGTATCGGTGTTCTCGTACTGGTGCTGATTGGGGTGCGTCGTCGAATGAGCGCCGAAATAGTCCAAGATCCTCCTCCATCGAGTGGGCTCCTGTGATTGCCCGCCCGTATCCGTCCCTTTCACGAACCCTCTTCACGCCGTTTGTACACAAGAAAATAAATGAAACCCTCTCTTTTTTTTTCTCGTCCAAGGAGCAGCCGCAGCATTCTGTCCCTGTCCGTTCGTCCTTCGCCTGTCGCCCAGGCAACCCGAGGTGCTCAATACTGCTGAGCACCCACGTCAATCCGATCCTTCCGAGGTTAGGCTGAAACTGAGGTTGCCGACCCGACCAGGTACACTTGATCGTCCCACTATTCCAGACTTCGCTTGCCCGTCAACTTCCTTGGTGTTTCCACTAAGCGTCAATCGGTGCGTTCTCAAACAGCTGCATCGGCGATGCTCGGTCCTGGGCCCGGAGATGGTAACTGGAACTATTTCCAGTCCCGAAATGAGTCGGTTGTCGCCTCGTCCCCCAGGAAACAACATTTCCAAACTCGTCCTCGCCCTCGTGTCGAGAGCAGAGCCAGGTTGGCCTGCCTCCGGTAGGTTGGTAGTATTAGGTGCACAACTCCTCGAGTGGTGCCTGGGTGCAGGGCGAGGCAATTGATCTTTTCTGAAACCGAATTGGGGGATTTTGGGTATAACAGCCCTCCTGACAAGAACCCCAATGTGAGGCGGGCTGGGAGTGATGAGAAGAAAAGTGTGCGGACATGCCGAATCGAAGTAAAAAAGTCTTGAGACGAGAAAGTAAACATGTGCGTGTGAATATCAAACTCGCTAATGCCATGACGCTGGTATCCAAATCCAGATGCAGTCTTATTTTAAATCCGTCTCCATGAATAATCAATACACTTTGTATGCCCAACAACGAAGATATGAATTACCCTTGTCCACGGGTCGCGGTGAACAAGGACAAGGTACGATGGAAAGAGTTCGCAAGCCCGTGAGGGCCGCATCGCAGCTCGTGTTCTAGTGAGCCACGGCATTTGGCTGTCCATCGAAGTATGTCACGTTGTATTGTGATGATGCTTGTGGAGGTCGTGGGAACCCGTTCACTTGGCTTGGTGGGGTGGGGGTGACTGGACATCGTGGTGGGAGCTGCGTGTAGCCCTCGACCTGACCGTTAACACCAAACGAGGCACCGTCGGGGGTGATGGGTGGCGTCATGTAGCCATCGGCGACACCAGGTGCTGAGCCGTGACCCTTGAGGGGAGTGCTGTAGATGTCGGCACTCTGGGGCGAGCTGCCGCACTCGGCTGGAGGAGTCGCGGGCCCGTTGACCTGTGGTCGTTGAATGGCAGCCTGTTGCGCCAGGAAGTCGGCGAGCTTGGTTGAGACGCGAGAGAAGTGGTTGGACGAGTACTTGCGGGAGAGCGTGACGGAGGGCTGGTGCAGATGTTGAGACAGCGTCAGCAGCGTGTCGCGGCAGTCACGGTCCCACTCGCCATCGTTGACCTCGGGTCGGTTGAGGATCGCCCGTGCCAGGGCGTGAGAGGCACGCGCCATGATGGATGGCTTCGTGGAGACGAAGTCACGGTGGTAGAGGGCGATCTCGCAGAGGTAAGCGGTCATGTCCCTGACCTCACGGTCGTCTTGCTCGTCAGCCCAGATGATGGACTGGAAGAAGTCGACAGTGGGGTGGCCGATGTTCCACTCCAGCGTGTTGAGGACGTGCATCTCCATCTGGGTGAACATGCCAGCGTCGTACAGACCACAGCACATGTTGTTGAGCTCGTTGATCTGGGGGACCCGGTCCTTCTTGTCACCGTACTTGGCAGCGATCAGGAGGGCTGCACAGCCGACAAGCTGGTAGTGCTGCTTGTAGACCACCCGCTTGGAGCAGTACCTGTCAAGCAGGTTGATGGTTAGGAACAGGGTTTCCCGGAGGAGTGAGAAAGCAGCATGTGCCTCGATCAAGAAGTCGATCAGGTAGGGCCGCATGAACCACTGGATCTCACGCTGCATGTCGATGAGGTTGGCGTCGGGCAGTGTCTCGTCCTATTGCGTGGTCAGTGAGTGTTCTCCGGGAGACGACTCGGAGCAGTCGGTGATTGAGCAGCAAGGGGACCCACCTCCATGTGCCTCGCATGTTGCATGATGTCCTCGAGATATTCATCGCTGGCCAGCCTCGAGAGCTCATGGGCAATTGTGATCTGCCTGTCGACCTTGGCGTCCCACCTCCTGGCGCGAACCAGGCTCGCAGCTCGCTCGGCAGAGAACTGGTGTACCCTTTGGTATTCGGGCTCGAAGACCTCCTCAACTGGTTGAGAGTGGGGAGCCATCTTGCTGGACTGTTTTGAAAGTGAACCGGAATGGACGATCGTCGATGACGGCTTCGGCAGTTCGAAATGTACACACACAAGTTCCCCAGGAAGCTTGTTTTGGTGGTTGTTGTCGACGGGGCGTTCAAGATTCGAAGTAAGAAACAAATCGGTTCGGCCGGTTGTCGAGACGGTGAAGGAATGAAATGCGGTCAGAAGAGACTATTAAATGGTCTAGTCGAGTCGACTATTATTAGTATTATTAATGAGTGTGGTGTTGTTGATTGTAATGAATGAATGGCAGCTTGGGTTGATAATGAGTGACAATGGCTGGTGCCAAAAAGGAGGAAGTTGAAGAGTCGAGAGCCACGTTGAACAGTGGTTGAAATGGAGATGGGATGGAAGAGTGGCCGGGAGCACAGGCCGGTTTTAAAAGTGGAGTTTTTTTGGCGACTGTGCTGCAAATGCAATGCACGGCTCTATAGCACCGACAAGGGTTCTGATCAGCCTCGAGTTCGATTCTCATCTTTCAGGGGTGAATCAAGACAAGATCTCAACGAAGAAATTCAAGACAGCCCACAATGGGTTTCCGCCATTCTCCGTAGGGAAAGGAAGGGAAGGGAGTCTCTTTTCTTCCTCTCTCATTCTTTCGGCTTTCTCTTCTGATTCGCCCGATCTTACACACACCAGACCGGGCCAGCGTGCTGGGATCTGGCGTGCGGAGAATAGCACACAAACGTATTGTGTGCCCATTGAGTTGCCTCAAATGGGGTCAATTCTGGCAGACAAGGGGGGAAAACGCCTTCAGCGCTTTCCTCGACCATTGTGCAAGCCTGAATGCGGGACTTGAGAAATGGGCCTGGAAGGACAATTGCACAGGCAGATTCTTTCGCAGATGCCCATTTCTTGGGTCCTCCCCATCCACATCTCACGATCACACGACCTCAGCGCGCTGACGCTGTTCACGACAGCAAAAGGCACGAAAAGGGAAAGAGATCATTGCTCAAGGAAGGTGGGTAGACAGGAGAATCCCTTACCGCTAACGGTCGATTGTCTGGCAAGACAGACAAAATGACACAATTCCTGAGGTCGGGTAGGAGCGACGAATTAACGTTTCCCACGAGACGCGATTACCTCAGTTGAGGATAGAAAGCTTGTCAAGGTTGGCTGTGATGGGTTGGCCTGTAGGCATGTACCTGTGAAGGGAGCGAGCCACGGTTAGGATCATTGGTCATGCCGAAGATTCGACCAGGCCGACACCCCGTGACGCAGCAACAACTCTGGCATCACGTCAGGTGAGACCGTGCCAGAGCTTGATGCAGGTACGAGGGCCGGTCCAGCCTTTTTGCCCAAGGACAGGACAGGCTTGGAAAGTCACGCCGGCAGGCCCCGGGGGAGGGGAGTCGTTCACACATACCTCTCGCTCTCAACACCTTGAAAAGCTATGAAGCTTTGCCGTGAACAGGATCATGTAGTGCAACGGTGATCCGAATCCTCAAATGATGTTGCTGTCCTTCTCTTTTGATGACCGAGTAAGTTGCGTACACTTGCTCGGCTCCGGTGCTCTGCTGGTGGGACGGCGGGGGCTGTCTGCTACCAGGTCGGTGAACAACTCGATTCCGTTGACCGTTGACCTCTCAAGAATCCCGAGGGGCCGATTGATTGATAGGGAGTCGGGCGGAATGGTTGGACGAAGGGATCGGGGGTGGGGGAGATTTGAGATTCCCTCGAAGCCGAGCCGAAGAATTCCAGTCGGGTCGAGTACACAATGCAGAATGGGATTGAGTCTAGATGGCACTTGGGGGAAGGTATGACAAGAGGGGGATATTAGTTCCTCTCTTGTGCTCCTGGAACCCAAGATATATATCTTGACTCGTTCTGCAAGGCTCTCACTGTCTCTGGGGTTGAGCTTGTCCTGGCTGGTCCGGTCCTCAGGTGGAACTCGGGGCTGGGAACTAGAGCGGCAGCTGGGTGCGGATGTCGATGCAGCCCAGTGGGTAGTATTCTCCTTCCCTCCGTTTCCGAACGTTGTCAAGAAAGGGAGATGGCGGTTTGGAAGGACTGGTTCGGGAGAGAGGAAGGATGAGTGAATGGCGGATGGCGAGTGGAGGGAGAGGAGGAGAGGAGGAGAGAGAGGCAGATATTTGCATGCCAGGAGAGAGCAAGGTGTAGGTGTAGGAGGTGGGACGTCGACAAGGAGAGGGATTGGACAGGAGGTCCCCATCAGCATTTTCCTCGCAGCAAGGACCCAGCACAGGGGGGTGATCGTTGCTGCAAGACGGACACAGTGCTGCACCCAAGCTAGCAGGCGTGCAGGCGTGCCAGACAGGGGTGGCATCCAGGGACCAGGATCGCTCTCACCTCCAAAGTGCTCTTGCTCTGCAGGTGGTGGTGGTGGTACCTACGACCCAGCTCGGCAGGTAGCGCTGTACAGTACCTGGGGACGGGTACCGATGGCTGCAGCTCCAAGCAGCAAGGCACCACACAAACTCACAGACACAGACACACACTCTCACACCCACACACCGCGAGACAGGGTGGTCTGTTCGGCGTACCTGTCCACGACGCGCAGGTCTCTTAATAGAGACCGCAGTACACAAACTACCTCTTTCGCTCCCCCAGGAACGCCAACCAGAGTACGTGACTCTGTATACATGGCGTGTGTGCGTGCGTGCGGCGTGCGTTGCAAGTGTGCCCTTCCCTCGCCTTTCCTTCTTCGAACCTGCTGCTGCTGTAACTGTCTTGCAAGAGCAGCAGAGAACAGGGCACCGGGGCCAAGAAAGAAACAGCCAAGCAGGGCACGGAGCGACGAACCCATGCCAATTGCCAATTCAACTGTGAACCACACCCCGGCCCACTCTCAAATCACCCACCCAAGCACACACGGCTAGCAAGCAAGACGGAGACGGGGCTGGACGGATGAAGCGGGTGCAGCACTGCGAGACGGTATCATAATCCTCAATGCCTAGCCTACACACGTACAGTACACTCAACGCATGGTCTCCGTACCTACTGTACCTGCTGTAGGAGCACGGGGCACAGAGCACAGCGGCTTTTTTGTGCCTCGAAAAGCAAGCAAGCCAGCCGTGTGCGTGTGTGCGCGTGTGCGTGTGCACCGGCACCCAAAGTCTGGCATCTTTTGACTTTGACCCTGCCTATCCGTAGACGTACACCCCACATCCCATCAGGTGCTTTGCTTCAAGGTTGGCCTTGTTCCCGGTCAGAGGGCGGCAGCCCCAAAACACGCCGTGGCGGCTGCTCTCATTGTTGGCTGTCATTGTCAGGAGACTCTGGGCAACGAACGGGCAAGAAGGGCGAGAGGGACAGTCGACTCAGAACTGACCGCATTGTGTACCTTGCGGTCAGTGGGTGGATGCGTGATCGGTAGACAAATGGGTGATGGGATGGGGATGGGCGGTATGCGTGCAGATGCAGCTTGTCTGAGCTCCATTTTGTCAATCCATCCGGAAGGCCGAATTTGCCTGCTGCGGGTCGCCACTGTGTGGCATCTTGGATTCCTTGTTGGTGCTCCTCCGCAATGGATCTACTGACTGTACACTGCTGTACTTGGCTATGTACGTAGACTACAGTCTTGTAGACCGACCACCTACTAGTCTACAGTATAATGAGGTATCCCAAGGTTTGTTGTGCCATATGTCGTGCGTCCCGCGCAACTGACTGAGACATGTCCACCCACGGAAAGCGCATCGCCGCTCATCAAGAAGCTGAAGCAACCATTCATCCGCCCGCCTGTTATAATCAGGGCCCATCCGTGGCCGAACACAAGCAGGGGTGGCATAGCTAAGCTTAAACACGCGCCATGCCACAGGGCCTTCATCGTCCGGCCCGCCAAGAGGCGTGTGAGGACGGTCAAGTGTGCGCCCAGCGACAGGCCACGACTGGACGGACGAGAGCGCTGGGATTGGCCGCCACAGATAGCCTCTGGCCCCCTACCACTGCTACACCTCCCTAGCGGCCCAGGCACCGTGCTAGACTACCTAGGTAGACACCTACCTCAGGTACGTCTTCACAACGACAAAGTTGGGCCTACCTCGAAACACCGTCTGGGAATCCCCAGCCTCGGCCCAATGTCGCCACTGGAGCTGTCTACTATCTATCACTGCAGGGACACCGTCCAACGTTGCTGCAGTGTGCGTTGCAAGTGACCAGACGGAAGAGAGGGAAGACCAGGAAAGATAGCATCAGTCCCCTGATCACCGTCCAATTGCACGTGTGCGTGTCCGAGCCTTGCCTTGCCTCACCTCCCACACATCGAATTTCTAACCTTCGGCTGACACGAGCGCACATGAGGCACGACGCACTCGCGTCAAGCGGTGTCGTGTCTGCGTTTGTTCCGTGTCGCGGTCGGTGTCAAAGAGCTTCCCCGCAGCTTCCTACTTGGGACTTCTCACAGAGGGATTGTGTAGGATTGCGGGCCCCTCGGCTGGGTCGCAACAAAAGTCACTGTAGCTACATAGGTAGCCACTGGGGGCTGGGTGGCTGATGGGAGCCTCGTGTATCTCCGGAGGATGGAGGGCGGTGGGCTCGGTTTCGCCCTCCGGCCAGCTGTTACTGTACCAGTTATACCTGCTTGTATCAAGGAGCTCCCACAACCTCCTTACCGGTCTATCTCCGAGCTGGCTCTGGTGTGTTCTAAACCTGCTATCTTTGCCATGGCCAAAGGATCGTTATGGGCTGTCCATATAATGTGGCACCCTGACATGCTTGGATTTGATCTGCTGTCAAGAATGTGCTTGTCCACTCAGTGCATTGCATCGCCTCAATGGATTCATCTTGACCGCTCGCTGTCGAGCCGGCCTTTGTCCCCAGATCCACGGAACGACGTCGATGCCGTCCAAGCACAGCTTGATGCGCTCCACGAGGATGCCTGCAGACAGCAAAAGCCAATGCCATGGCTTGTGATACGGAAATGTGCGCGAGCTGTGCGCGTCCTGGTGGAGACCGCATATGCTCGATGATGAGGGATTGACGAGCTGTGCAGCCGGGGGAGGGGGCGATTGCTCCTCAGGGGAGACGGCGCGTTGGGCCTTGGACAACGAATTTCCAAGTTAGGCCTTAAATCACATCACATAATTACCAGTTGCCCCGGTATACGTACTGTGTAATAAGAGAGATATCGCAGGTCTGGGGATTAATTTGACGGCCGTTTTTTTTTGTTCTCTCCCACAACGGTCCAGCTTCTGGGTCCAGCATCTTCCCGGCTATGGCGTGCATCAATCTCCTGGAATTCGGCACCGGCCTGAGGGACCGAAGTTCTGTAGATTGCCCATTAATCGAGAATGCGATTCGTATTTTGATATTCGACACTGTAATGCCATGGCGTTGGCATCTGGGGTTGAGCTAGCTGTTTGCCTCGATGGAACCTCAACTAGCTGATACCACCTCGCGGAGAGAGCCTCGCAATGGCTGCCTCTCCCAACCTCGGTACAGCCACACCAGCGCAGGCGTGACATCCTTCCATCCCAACAGCTCAGGAGGAGGTTGGCCATCAACACGACATTCACCCATCCACGCAAGAAATTCAGCAGACACGCAAGCTGAGGAGCCAGCTCGGAAACCATGCCGGAATCGTGGATCCACAGGCGGTTGTCGACAGGCCACCACCAGAAGCCCATGGGGTACCATCCGCCCAGGCGCCCCACGCGTAAAGCATTTAGGCAGGGTGGGCTTCTCGTGAGAATCAAGGTTCTCCATCCTCAGATCCTCGACAGTCCACTTGACCCGTTCTGGCTCGATTGGTTACCAAACAGGCTGGATAGATCGTACGTACCCTGCCTCAGCTTATCCAACAATCACGAAAGCTGGCAGTACTACGCACTACGCCGCAGAGGGCCGGTCAAGACGCACCAGCTCGGTGACAGCGCCAACGCGAATGGCGGGAGGCTTGGGTGGAGGAAGGGCCCATCCCGAACAGAGCACAGCCCAATCACGGGCCCAGGACGCGAACCTGCACGACACCAGGTTCGCCGGACCGTAAGATCTAATGCGTGTCATGGCAAATAGCAGAAAACAGCAGACATGCGACTGACGTTCAAAACATGGCGGCTTGTGGGCAACCACCACACACGGTCGTTGGCCGGGCCCTGACCAAGCCCCGCGCCCCCGCGAAGAGGTCGCTGTCGCGGGCCCCCCTTTCGTCGTCATCATCATGGCATTGAGATGCCCCTCTCCCTTCACGCATCGCATTGAGAGAGGCCATCTCGACAGACCCGCTAAGCAACCAAGGAAAACACGCCGCCGAGTGCCCACATGAGACGCGACTCAACATCGCCAAATCCCATGGGGCCTATGCGCCGGAGATGATCATTAGACGCTGGTGGCGCGGGCTTGCCCACCCAAGCCACACCGGCCAGCCGCCGCCTGTCTACGCGGGCAGTCTAGTTGCTTGTCCATCCCCATAGCTGGCCCCTGCCAATAACCGTTACCGAAATACACCGCGAAATTGCGTGCAATGCTAGGTACTATCTCGGTCCTTGGGTCAGAGACGGGCCCCTTCATGCGGTGCGACCCAGCAAGTTGGGACCGTCGACGTCTGAATGGCCGGCGGCCCCATCTGCCAGGTATCGCTGTTGCTCGCTGCCGTGTGTCGTGAGACTGTTTTTGACGTATGTTGCCAGCTGCTGGCCTGCCAAATCTGTCCCTGCTCGATGCAAGCAATCAATCAATCAAGCCGAGGCGGGCGCAACGCCTGTCACTCCATACAGGTGGTTACGGCTATTTACAAGGACGCTGGCGTGAGACGCTCACCCCCACACTCTGCCTCCCTTTTCAGCTTGCAATACGGCCTCGCAGGTTTCAAACCGATTGACAGAGGAGAAGCAAGCTCGACATCATACAGTCTGACAGTCAGGGAGTCTGGGCTGGTGAGATGCAGTGCACTGACAATACAATTCGTGCAGTGCAGGCGCAGTGCCGTGCAGGTCTTGTTACGCAGCAGAGATGCTGATCTGCGGCATTCAATATCCGAGCTTCAGGGGCTTCACTGTCGCGGCGCCGGGGTCCTTCTTGTAATCTGTGCCTGTGCCTGTGCCTCAGGCGGATGCTGACTTGCCATCTGAGATCATCTGAGGTCGGTGTGCTGGGACGGCCTGCTATGGACGTCGCTTATCACTACACATGCCCCGGATTCCGCGACCACTGCTCGCCATTGACTGGGGTTTTAGAGTTCTGGACTGCCCCATACCCATCGCAGTGCCCAGCATCAGCAACCGACTCCGATGAAATACGCCTGATACTTCTGTCGTCGAACCGTTTCGAGCTCTACTGGGTGCTGACAGCCGGCTACCACAGCAAACCCCGGCAGTCCGTTGCACAGCCGGGAGCAGATCTGCCATCCAATTGGTCAGGTTTCTCAAGGCTCAGGTCCTGACATCGCAGGTCCGATTAGACGCTACCTAGTTTGGCCCCGTCTCAAACCTGCGCGCGGCTCGAAGGAACCTACATTGACCAAGATTTGGCCACACATTCGATATGGTCGCAGTAGGCTTCAAGCGAGGCCATCGTCAGACTGTTCCTTGATTGCCATGCGCTTCAGACACACGATCAGACCTACTGAACCAAACAATGCAGAACATAACCGGTTGGCCCGAACCACTACCTGCGGATCATTCTGCACCAACCATCTGGGGACTTGACCATTGGCTCCGAGGTCTGCCCTACTGCACCCTCACAGTCACAGTCTGGGGGATGATCTCGAATCCGCTGCTCCAATGAGAAGACCAAGAGGGACAGTCTGAAACTTTCGCTAGCCATCCTAGTTTGTGGTGTTCCTTTGCCAACTCATCGCTCAGCCCTGACTCCGGACGTGGACCAGATTTTGCTGGCGCCAGACAGAACGATCGTCCAGCCACATGGGCGACCTCGGGAGCATTTCGCGACTCGTGGCGGAAGCGAGCACCATCTGTCTCCCTTGGAGGCGCGATGATACCATAGTACGACAGGTGGCACTATCAGCCGGTCCATTGGGCGATATCTGCTTTTCTCTTGCAGGCCCGCCCGCTCTGCCGCTGCAGGAAATACTTCATATCGTTGAGACAGCAGACCGTGGGCCGGCCCAAGCCACACTGCGCACTGGCAGCAGACCGGTCTCGTCATGGCCTCGATAGATCTCGCGCCCTTCTAGAAAGATCGCTAGTGTGATCTCGCGGAATAGCTGCCGTCGGGAGGTAAACTAGCGGTCACGAAAAGCAACAGTATTCTTGGTCTCAGACCCCATCCACAGCCACCGACGACCGAGCCCGCAGGAAGCTGTCTGGCCCTTGCCTTGGCTTGGCCTGCCTCCTTACTATGGGGCCCCTGGGCGTTCGTGGCTGTCGTGATGCCGTGCGAAGCTTTGGCCGCCGCGGCACCGCGCAGCAACAGGATTTCCACTGGCAGTCAGACGATGGCGGGAGATTCGCTACTGCATGTGAAGAGGCTGCCAGCGCACCTCGACGTCCCTCTGCACCCCAGTTTCCTGCAGGAAAGGAGTTCCCAATGACCCATGGCTAGCCAAGGATCATGCGCATACGTCGACAACATCCAATCCGTCCGACAGTGTGGGGTATGCCATCTGTCGGTAAGGGAGACGCGCCATTCCCTGTTGGGCCCTAACCCAGCGCTAGCCTCGCACCCCCTTCCCCCGAACCACAGCAGCAGACGAGTTGCATGTTCGACGAACCACTTTCGAAGCTTCGTCGCCTTTCTATTCCGGGAAGTCTGTTTACATGGGGCCTTTTGGAATATCGTGAGGTTGGGGAGTCAGGTTTTCCCCTCAATTCACGCGTGGCCGGTTGACGCGTGCATAACGAACTCACCACTTTGTTTCGACCAAGTTCACGATAGCCGCTGTGCAAAACCCCAGAAAAAGTCTGTCAGCGGTGAGCCCCTCATCCCCGCCTACCCACCCTAGGCGTCCAACGGAACGTCGCCGGTTCACGACTAATAGCAGTGAAATATCTGATTTGATTTTTTTTTCTCTCCCTATCTCACCTGCATTGAATGCCAGCATACGCTGCCCTGCGAGAAATTGAGAACCCCCCATGGACGGCCAGCCGAGGTTTTTATTAATGCAGACCTCGGACGAGTCTATTCGGCACTGTACCAAGATCATCTGCCCTGGTACGTAGGTTGCCTTCATCCAGCCCACGTCATCGGTTGAGCGTGCTCAGCTTGATGAAGAACTTGACAAGACTAAAGACTACTACGTATTTGGCAAGCTCTTCCCGCTATCAGCATTTGCTTCACTGGAATACATATCAATTGAACCCAGCTTGCAGCACTTTTTTGGTTCTGCAGTGATGATCTCGACGGATTGTCCGATGGCTGACCTGGCAGGCAATGGCAGAGATGCCCGCCCCAGAAGAGGCAAGCGCAGCTGCTCATCCGAAAATTTCTAGCACCTGGAGCCAACGTGGGTCTCGCCTGTTGACGGAGCAATAATGGAGACCAAGAAAAGCCGGGGGAAGCACGGTCATCCAGCAGCGTCAATCGCAACTGCATCTACGCCAACGATCACGGCGTCCGTCAACGAAATCAATTGAACAGCACAAGGCACACGATTGAACTAGGCTGGGGATTGGAGAAGGCTCGCCGGTAGCAAAATTTCCCCATGTTGCCCAACATGGGAAAGTGACCTTGGTACCTCGCCTCGTGTTCGCTTGTGGACCCGCTTTATCTTCTTCCTGCAGCATCCTCCTCCGAGGCAGGTTCGTTCGAGAACCCTGGCACTAGCAGCTGCCCGTCCAGGGTTCAGGCTACGATTAATCTACCTAGGTACTGTGTCTGAATCTGTCCTCCGAGATTAGGAAAGCACGGACACTCGCCGCGCACACACACACACAGTACTGCATAGATTATCCAGCCCACAGTCGACGGGGCTTCTCTTACGTCGAGGTTTATTTTTGTCTAGGTGACGTGTCTTGGCCTGCGGAACCTCAAGGCTCATTACACGTATATGCTTCTCTTTCCCGTGACTCTTGCCTACCGCACCGTAGCATGCATAGCCTCTCTGGCCCTCGGAGCTTTTTCGCGAGGCACATGTGTGACGATCCACGCGATCTTGACCCTCCTGACCTGGTTACGACTCGAGCAGAGCTGCAGGAGACCAGCGCGCCCCGGCAGCCCGGAGCTCCAGGCCTGGCACGAGAGCTCCCCGTTCCGCCCCTTGGGCCTGCAGAGGAGCGGCTCAAGATTTGCCCTCAAGCTTAATTGGCGCCTCTAACGGGCACAGACTGTCTCGCCATGCCCCAATTGACCAATCGAACCGCCCCGGGGCAGCTTCCAACTGGCGAGGCCGTCTCTGCAACTTGGGTTTGATTCAGGCCCAGGGAAAGTGACTTTTTGTGGAGCCTCGTCACCGCTCACAGACGGGCGTGTGGCACTGGCTGAGAACAGATCCTAAACTCTGTTGCTGAGAGCCAGAAGAGCCTGATATTGGACAGCCTTGCCCCGATCAGTGGAGCCGGACGCGTACAGTGCCTGAGGAGCCTGCATGTCGGATCGTGGAATCCCCCTGCCCAGTGCAGCTGCTCCAAGCTGGGGCACACTGTGGCCTGTGAACCTTGGAACGACGGGCCTGCCTTTTCGAAGATTTCTCGAAACAAGCGAGCCAAGCCTAGAGCTATTACGCCGCTTCCAACTGGCCGGTGGCCAAGTAGGCGGACCCATCTCGATGGAGTCAGGAATGCGGCACGGAAAAGTCAATCAGTCCACTCGCAGCCATCACTGTCGGTGTATCAACGAGCGGTCTCATACCGCCTCTCCTTGCTATTATTACGCTGCACTGCCGCATTGAGTCCGCTGACTGTCTTCGGCCGTCGAAGGAATCCAGACCTGTCACGGAAGAAACAATTGAGCTTCTGCTGTGGCAAGGAGATCACCAGAGACATGTCCATCCATCCATCGAGTTGCCGCAATTCGGCTTCGGCTATGAGCTGCAGCCCTTCCTTCAACCATCAGCCTCGCGCGCAGCTTGGCGAATCCGAGCACCACACCATCTTCTTTCCCGTGACAGTGCCATGTCGGTGCCATATTTTTTCAAGAGCTCGTTGCGAAACAGGGCCTTGTCCATGCCTTGGCACTGTCCGCCCTCCGTATCCACGTTGCCGAAATCACTGCTCCGGCCCGCAGGAAATAATTTCTTTGGGCTCCGGTTTGCGAGCCCGGCGCCCTCTTGTTCAGGCCGTACATATCATCATGACTAAACTGCAGGCCCGGTGATCCCGCCCTCCTCTGAGCCTCTCCGCCCGCGCACAGCGCTGTTTCAGTATGGACCGACTGACATCGGACAGCCTTGCTACCTGCTGCGTGCCGCGGAGACGCACACGCACGGCGTTGCACTGCAGATACAAAGCCCAACGTCGGGCACCTGTACCGATACTCTGGCACGGACTCAGGAGATTTCACTCTTGCCGCCGGGGTTGCCTGGCCGGATTAGTTCGGTTGATTTTTACCCAGGACGGACCCAACTTTAAATACTTGCTTTCATCCTCAGACTTGCCGCCCCCTTCCGGAAGAAAGCCGTCGCAGAGGCCTCGGCCTCTCGGTCGGCCTCTCGGCACCAACCGGAGCTCCCCGATACCATCTGTCGTGATAAAATCCACCAGGCCACCAGACAGCATATCTACTGGATTGCAATAGCACCTGCAATCGAAAGATTACAGCTCTATGTTGCCTACAATAGAGCCTGTCAGGCTTACAACAATGAGCTCGCACCACGACGATCAATCCCTCAGCCTGGCGGCACAGTTTCACCCTGTCTTGACAGGCATTTTGCTACAGCATCAGCACCGTTTCTGCATCGGGAAGGCGTCTCGTCAGATGCACGTTTGGAGGTGCCACTGCCTCCAAATTGCCAAGGCCCGAAAACGAGCTCGGCGATCAGATGGGATGGGTTCTTGAGTCGGGGTTTTGGAATGGAATCGACCGGGGTGACGCGCCAGGCGCGTCTCGAGACGCGCTCTACCGCAGACGGCCCTATTACCTTGGACCTGGCTTAAAGCGCATGCGCGCGCGGGGGCTGACCGGCGGCAGGGATACTGGCGAAGCTGCAACTCTGGCCGGTCACTGCAGAGGGCTGCAATGAGCTGACTCCTGGCTTAGCGACGCCCACTGCTACACAAAGTCCGGGCCGAAGTGGACGGTGAACAGGCTCTCACTCGAGGGACCAACGAGACGGCAGCAATTTTCGACGCCGTCGATGGAGTTCCCACACACCACGCGCTCAAGACGCGAGCTCACGCCCAGCCCGTGTCTACCTCGAACCGGATCTGCGGTAGACTGACCCCCCTTGCCCGGACGATATTGCCACTCGGGCGCTGCCCATCATTTGATGAGCATCAGACGCCGTCTCAGGACCCTGTGTGACCGTGAACCGAGCCACTCCCCGTCTGGCCCGTCATACCCGAGGATTCGAGACCATGTCCGAGGGAGCGTTTGCTTTGCTTCGCCTATCGGCCGTGCTCTGACGTCAAGTTTTTTTTTCCCACTATGCGCGCGAGAGGCGTATGTGAATTGCCGGCTGCTATTTGTCAACGGCCTCTCTTTGGGACACGGTTTTTCAGGCCAATGAAAGCTGGCTATTCATTGTCCAATTTTTTGCTCCTCGTGTTTCTCAACCAGGGCGTGGAAGGACATTTCAAGTGCCGTCTGTCTATCTATGCGCTGACTGGCTGTCCAATGTGGCACTGCGACGAAGCCCTAGCTCGCTCCATCCACGTCAATTGGCCGTGGATTGCAAGATGCCCAGGTTGCACCACGAGTGTCTGCAATTGTTCCACCAGACGACTTCTCAAGTGGGGGGATCAGATACCCGCTCAAGTGTTGGCGTTCAAAAGGACAAGATGAGTCAAGTGCTGTCTTGCCTGCACAGATCGCCGCACAGTTCCCCGCCACGGCCACCAGGATAAGCTGGGCCTGGTGATGTGTCGATGCGTCACGCATTTCCCCGCGGCGCAACGGTAAGTAGGCGCCGGCCGTGGGCATAGGACCCCTTGGCCTGGGCCACACAGTGAAGTATATAAGGTTGAAGTAATTGGGATATATGCATATCCATATCTTATTTCTGGGCTCAAGGGTCCAAGGGTCTGCTCTACACGTACCAGATCACCAATCGCCCAGCCGTGTTACACAACTTGGTCCTATTTGTGGCATATGATTACGTTGCAGAAGCTCCAGCCGGAAGATCCCTTGCGCAACAGATGGTATGCAGTCATCCTGCGTGATGATGTCGTTCTGTCGAGGCCCAGCTACTGTTTGTATTACCGGGCTCGTTTGCAGCCTTGCGACCCCTGTTTTTGCATTGTTCGTCCACAGCCAGTGCAGTCAGAGACCGAGTCTGGAATAGACGGCTTCCCAAACGGGCAATCCGTCAGACGAGCGGCCGAGCCCTGGGGAGGCAAAATACGCCGGCGACCCTGTTCCTGCCGTCGCGAACAAATGGAAATCGCGACTAGAGCTGCATGTGAGAAATTGGAATCACATCGTCCGCGCAGTCGGTAGCTCGAAAGACAAACATCAGATGCGCGACGCATCCCGCCAGCCCAAGACAAAGCACCAACCAATCGTCCCATCGCGCTGGCCCTGAACCCCTCATCGAAGGTCGCAGCTTGCTTGGTAGCCCCGACAGGGATAGCAAGGCCTGAGGTCAGAATTTACACGCGACGAGTTGCTCTCCAATGGTCGGGTGCTACCGTCTGCGCTCCAGTTGGTCGCCTTTCGAAACAAAGTCAGGAGCCGTCACTGGAAAACTTGCTTCGCCAGGCAGCCCATCAGCCAGAACGGGCGCAAGATCACACTATTTCTTCCGCGCCGAGCGTCGCAGTGAGAGGGGGGGCGGGCAGCAACGTCTGTTCGCCCGGCTGTTGAATCCGGCCAGGCCATTGGAGAACGGCCGTAGCGTCTGCTGGGTAGCTTTTCACGCTGGCCATTGTCACAAGCTGTCTCGTCTGGCTCATTCGCGTAATTTTGTTCGATTTGGTGCGACGCGTGTCTAGCCTCTCAGCTGGAAGAGTTGCAGCAGTTGGCAGGTAGCATGCGAGGACGCCATCGAAACATAACACGGGCCTTTGGACAGGTCGAACACAACATAATCTTGACAACGCACCAGGCCTGCCTGCTCAGGTCCAGCCAGGCGTGCCAGGGTGCCTGCCTGCTAATTCCAATCGAGCCGTCCACGTCACCAACAAAAACCACTTAAAAAAAACACTTTACGCGTTGGAGCCACGGCTTTCGCGCACTGGACTCAACCCCCCACGGGCTGCGGCAATCTCCCGACAGCTGGGATGCTCGATCTTATGGCAGCAGCACCTGCATTCCGCCTCGACCAACCAGGCCGTCCCACCCGCTCCCGCCCACGCTCCCGCCGCCCGCGACTGCAGAGATGCTCATTTCCGAACCGCGCAGAACCAAGCGACCGAGAAAGCCTCGAAAGCGGAATGCTACTTGGGAGCAGGAAGGGGCCGGTTCGGCTAGCAGCAACCGACCATTCTCTCTCGGGCACGCCCGGGTCCCCCCTATCGCAAGCGTGCCTGGCTTGCTGCCAGCCTGCCTGCCTCTGGTCCTCGCCTGGCATGAATGCTCATCTCGTAGGCGCGATGTCGTGATAGGTCCCTCGCCTGCGATAGGAGCTGCCTGGGATGACGGGAGAGCTTGGATCCCAGGTTGGTCCCTCCCCCACGGGACCATCACTTCTACGCGCAGGACGGGTCCAAATTCGCATCATGCGGCGCCAAAGACCATCCAACCGCCCTGCTGCCATCAGGCCCCTTTGGCTGCTCACCCGCGATGCAACGTCCCGCGCTTGGGACAACCCTGTGGTCTCCCTCCCGCCGGAGACAGCTGGCGGCCCCGTGATGGTAGCTTCTGCCCGCCGGGGTCAGTTGCCAGGGCTCGTTGGCGAAAGGACCGCCTCGCCACCGCTGGGTTGATCGTCGTCGAGCTGGTTCTGGTTGATCGACTCGGCGGACCGCCAGTGGAAGGCTATCCCTGGGACGTGAAGACTGGGCTGCGGCTTGTTCGGATCCCAGGGTTTAGAGGAATGCCCACTATCTCAGTGGCGTTTGGGCTGAGCTCATTGGCATGATCTTATACGTGGGATCTCTATATGCTCTTAGATGAGCCACGCTACTTTACTTCGGACTTCTTCCTCGGCGGGGCATACACTTTGGATCCCGCCACAGCCAAGTGGCTTGCTACGGCCAGCGGCGCGAGCTGGGAGATGGTATCAGCCAGGGAGACAGCTGAAGTCGGTGTCCTTCACGTGAGATTCTGGTATCGAAATAGAGTACCTCCCGCACCTTTCACCTTATTCGACGGAAATTCCCCAGTATCCGCTGACGAGAAGGGCACGTTGTCTTGGGGAAGGGCGAGCTCTTCCACTGCCGTGAGACATACGCTTTCAAGCCTTATCACCGCCGGTTTGGTACATGCCACTCAGTGTCTGTTCGTTCACACGAACCTCTTGTGGTCTGGGCTTGTCTTTGATCAAGGCTGCAGTTCTCGTTTGGAGAGGCGATGACGTGCAGACTTAATATCGGCCGCATTTTCTATGATTGGTGCCGTCCACTTGATGTAGGACGTGGCACGGCTGACTACCAACATGACATGGGCATCAGCTATCGATCCCAATATGCCATGCAGCCTGTCAAGTGCAAGGGGCCGAGACGCACCGCCTTTTTCTCCTGTCCTGTCTATTTCTCAAGGCAAAGGCGTTTATCCAACGGAATGATGGGTTTGCCAGGAACACTCCGCCCTGACTGTCTCACTCACGTCGAACCGAGCCACGCGGCCTGTGAATCGCCGGGTTGCTTATTAGATTACACGAGATTGATACGCACAGATGGGGCAAATGACGCCCCGTCCACATACGCCCGAGACATGTCATTTTAAGATGTGTCGGATGCGAAAACCCAAGAGGCCCCCCTCTGACTGAGACAGCCTTCTTGACGCAGGCCAGATACCTGAGAGTCTTAAAGAGGGGTGCGTGCCGGCTGGCTGGGTCCTGCAAGTGCCCCGAAGGGCCGCCAACATCTCTATTTTTGCGCGCGCCTGCACCAGAGCCCGTCCTCTCAGACGTCGCCAAGGCACGCCAGGAATGGACGATGACGCTCAGACTACTATCTCAAGAGCGTCTCTTGCTCCAGCACGCTCCGGCATTGGCCAGCTCACATGTGGCTTGACCAGGACCAAGAAGTCGGCCGGCGAGGATGAGGCACACATTATACCTAACACCTCGGGCTCGTTCCTGAAGCAAATGCCATGAGCCCTGGTGAGCTCCAGATGTTCGCAGTGCAGGAAAAGCATACACGGGGAGGATGCTATCAGCATAGAAATCGTGGCTCAGACCGATCACAATGAGGCAGAGCGGCTCGCAGTCTGAGTGATTGACCAACAAGTGTTGGGCGGGCAATATTCACACAAGCGATCGAGCTGATTTTTGGACCGGGTGAGAAAGAAGTACGAGTTGTTTCGAGGGTTGCATGCGAATACTGCTCTTGTGTTCATTCGACAAACTCTATTAACTTTTGCCTCCTCCTATCCCGAGGTGTCTCTATCTTGCAGGTCTGCACAACCGTTCCATCAGTGTGGATCAATGTGATCCGCGAAGTACCGCCCTCAGAGTCGACTTCTTCCTCCATCAGTGTCCGCCCTCCGCTCGCCCTTTGATGCTCAAAGACGATCTTGCTTGGGTTTCGGGCCTGGAGCTTCTTGAGCAACGTCTCCCTAGGCTCGCCCAACTGAGGTTTCATGAATGGGTCATATCTCAGCCCGCCCGGGATCCGTTGCATGCCTAGGACATCGCCTCTCTCGGTGCCCAAGTGGGCCTTGTCCATCCCTGGCGCGAAGGACATATAATACGCCAGGAAAGGGAGAACACCAGATAATCTCTCGCCGCTGTACCCGGCCGGTGGCTTGAGCCTCGCCTCGAGCTTGATGACGCACGTGGGGAAAAGGTCGTGGTCACAGAAATCGTCTTCGGAGAGCTGGACTCCCCCCAGGAGTTCGAAGATCTTCAGGTTCGACTTCCGCCCGTTGGCAAGGTGAATGGTTGCCACGGTTGCAGCGTTCATATCCACGTTGGTGAAGCCCAGGGACACGAAGTCGGCATGGTACAGGATAGGGGTCTCGCAACCACTGTCGAGCAGCATCTCGAAGAAGTGCGCCTGTCCAGTTGTAGTGGACAGACCTGCGTCTGTGGCAACAGGCCCGATCTTGCTGAGGGCGGCACCTCTCGCTGTCTTCTCGGGGAAAACATGCGACCAGTACGTATCGCCCCTGGCCCTCTTTAATACTTCGGCATCGCTCTCACCATCATCGGCCCACACCCACTTTCTCTTCCTGGTGCTCGGCTTGCTGGGGTTGCCATGCCCAATTTTCGAATCTCGGCTCTGTGTACGTCCCACCCGACAAGTCAGGGCGGTCTCCTTCCGGAAGCACATAGGTATACGAAAATGACACTGGTCATCTCGAAATTGGACATCGGGCTCGATGTGCTTTGTGACATCGAGAATAAGTGCTTTTTTTGCATTCACTCTGTCCTTCCAGCCGGCCAGCGGCGGCTCCCACCAGAGATGTCCGGGGCCATGCTGCTCGAAATACCCATCCAGGCGCTCCTTCCTGTCGACCGTGAACTCGGCCCACGTCCGACAGGTTGTGTCGACGATATGGCCCGCGAAGATCAAGGTATAGGTTGAGGAACACCCAATGGTTCCCTCCTCATACCCATGGATCGCGGCCGAGATGTTGGCCCTCATGGGCTCGCACTCAGGCTCTGTGCTCTGGGCGAGCGTTTCCTGCAGGACGGCAAGACGGGACGTCACGCGCTCCTCTTTGAAGGCGCGGGTCTCGTTCCGGGGCACGTCGTCCTCGGGGTCGGCCCTGGCGCAGATGTCCTCGTATTCCCTCGCTGCGTCCTTGCGTCGCTCATCCAACACGCCCAGCTGCAAGGTTCCTGGTGTCTGCTTCTGGTGGTGCTGGTAGATGTGTTCCCACTGCAACATGTTCCTGCGCGCAACTTCTTTCGCGCTGGGGTTTCCGGCGTCGATGGACGATGACCCAATCACCAATGAAGGCTGCCACTCGACGTCATCTCTCTGTACCGAGGCAGGCTCAGTCTGGTCGCGCGACAGTATTGTGTCCAAGTCCTCAAAATCCGACAATTCGTCTTCTTGCTCAGACCTTTTACTTGGCCCTGCCTCCGTCACTTGCAATTTTGAAGAGGAATAGCTAGCAGCATGGGTTGACTTTTCCCGGGCCTCTGCTATGGTGGGATACTTGCCGGGCTGGTACGCCTTGACAGACCCCGCGGCTGGGCCGTCATCATCTTGGTTTATCCTGCTACGTGATGGGCGGACGAGTTGAAGCCGGGACCGCAGTTGCCGTACGCTCTCTTCCAGTCTTGCTCGAGGTTTTGCTGAACGGTCTTTGCGATCCATATTTGCCGGATCTGCTCAAGTCGGGCTCGCCATAAGGCCTGCTTCACACGGGAATGACCAGACACCTGGGGAGACATGCTGATACCCCATGCCTCAAGGTCGGCCTTTCCACGGGGTTCTGCACTGCATTCAATCACAGCTGCGAAGTCGCGCTGGAGTTCGGAACAAAGACGCGACGCTTCCAGTACCAAGGCAGACGGCATCTTTGAGCGGCAACAGTGCTTCAACCCGGGACAGCTGGGTGCGTTTTGTTCGGGAGCATTCCGAAAGCGGCGGCTTTCGACTGCTGGCTTTCTGCCGCGCATATCCTTTATTGTTATCCCCATTCTGGCCGAAGGTGGAATACCAACCAGGTCTCTGCGGCGCGGCTGGAATGCAGCCCAAGTCGGCGTCCCGCCGCCACTTTGGTGGGCACGCTCTTAGAGGCCGGATTCAATGTTCACCTGTGTAGGCGGAGAAGAAGACACGGTCATTGTCCTCGTGATGTATGCAAGCGTGCAAAAGTGTGCAACCAGATAATATGTCTATTGCAAGCGATCTCCCACCCCGTGAGAGAGATTGTTTCCTACCTTCCTCTTGCTTTTCTTTCTTTTTTTGCGCGCACAAGAGGTCAGCCCGTACAGTTTCCCGTCTGTCTGCCTCATTCTTTGAGACGACGACGGCGCACTTTGGCTGTTGCATGACCTTGGAAGGCCTACCCTTCTGTCATAACCAGTTGAGTATTTACAGAGCAAGATTCCTGGTTATCGCTCGAAATGGCGACGGTCGATCTCCGTCCGCTCGATGATGCGCTCGTCAACAGACTCCGAAGCGATATCCGCAATCGACCACACCTCTTCGGTTCGGTGGCACGGGCCCACTGGGAGGCCCTCTTCAACCACTTCGAGGGCAGATCGGACTTTGAAATCAGGGCATACATTGCGCAAAATTTCAAGAGTAACCACTGGATAGGCAATGAGGAGTGGTTTGTTGATAGTTACACTCAGCAAATCTTCCGAGAGTATGAACCGACCGAATTCGTTCAGTCAGGCATGCCTGCGCTTAATGACGAGGCTCGGAGCCATTACAATCCCAGCAACACGGTTCGTGACTATCTCTCTGGTCCCTTAAGAGCAATGTCCTGCAGGGGATGGTTGCCACCTTGTTTGGCCATGGTGTACTCCTTCAAAGCCTCTATATGTACTGACAACTTTACCTTATCTCCCAGATCGGGCGCGACAACTTGTTCCCTGCACTGCCTGTGGTCGAGGCGGGCCCGTCCGTTCTCAACCAAGAGCAATTCGACGCGTTGTCGCCCGCCCAGCGCCAGCGATATCAACTTACCAGCACGTTCGGCGGGTATCGCTTTGAACGTGTGCCACAAAGAAGCACAACATCTGGGGGAGACAACCAGGGAGTACCGGCCGATAACACGTCCGAGATCAATGCACCCCCATTTAACAACTCCATCACTGACGACCCCGTCGACAACAACGCCGGCACCCCGGGCACGCCAAAAACCACACCAACAGGGACAAGCATATTTGGGATCCCCACGCCGCCATTTTCAAACCAGACCGGTACCGGCAATGTCCAGAGGCCGGGCCAGCCCGGAGGAACGTCCGGTGTGCCGCCTGGGCCCGCGCCCCCGGATCTCCCAAGGGATACGCCGCCGCCGCCGCCGGGAATATCGTCTGGGAACCAGCCAGGATCGAACACTGTGCCCCCGGGTGCCGGGATAGCGGGCCCAGGGGTCAACGACACCATCAGGTACCCCGTTTTGCCCGTGTATCCGGACTTGCCACCAGTGCCAACGGCTCCCAGTAACCCGCCCGTGACTACCGGGACAACACCATTCGGTGTGATTCCGCCGGTGGTGCCAATTGCACCCACTCACCCACCCACAACTACCGGGACCACGCCGTTCGGTGTGGCTCCGCCGGTGGTGCCAACTGCTCCTGGTAATCCGCCGGTGACTACCGGGACCACGCCGTTCGGTATAGCTCCGCCGGTGGTGCCAACTGTCCCTAATAATCCGCCGGTGACCACAGGGACTACGCCATTTGGTGTGGCTCCGCCATTGGTGCCAACTGCACCCACTCACCCACCGACAACTACCGGAACGACACCACTCGGTGTCCCGCTTCAGGGGACTCCCGGACCTACATCTATCAATGTCGGAACCACATTAGTGGCTGACGGAACCACATCAGGGACCGCCGGACCCAAACCACCGGGCCCAGTCCCGCCACCAGTTCGCCCCGGAAACGCGCCGGTGACTCCCGAGAACACGCCAGGAGGTAGAGATGCGCCGCCGCCCGGTCCCGGAATCCCGCCAACGACCACAGGAGGTCCGCCAGGAGGCACACCTCCACAACCAGGTAACCTTGGAGTCCCGCCGATGACTCCGTGGACCACGCCCCGGAACGCCCCGCCGCCAGCCCCTGGCGGGATCCCGCCGGGGGCGGCTCCCAGGAAGGACGGCAGTGTGCCGCCCCCCTTGCAGCCATCACCATCTGACATGCGACATTCTTTTACCTGGCGCGGCCAGGTGCAGCCGCCCATCGGCACGCGCATCAGGGAAATCCTGGTACTCCTCGACGAAGGGGACGTTGACCGCGAAATGCATTGGGAGACGTATGTCGCAGAATTACAGACATTCTTGGAGGACATCGAGCGTGGCGAGGGCCCTGAGGTAGGCCCGGCAACGGCACTTATGGTCCGGCAGGCGCTTGAGAAAATCCAGGCGCACAAGCTCTTTGAAACGACCCATTATGGGCCGAACACCCCAAACAAGATCGTCACCGCGGACATGATCCCTGCACGGGAGCCCAGGCTCAAGTACAACGGCAAGCTGCCTCTTATCCTGGGCAGGGACCACAAAGACAACGAACACTTGCAGCCAGAGGATTTCCCCACCCACCCGCGGGCGGAGATGATTGTCAACGATCAGTGGCTCACCGATGTCGAGAGGCGAGCCGGGCTGACCGAGGAAAAGCGGTTGGACGGGCAAGCAGGGCTTTCACAGGACGAAGAAGAGTGGTGGCGGCTCGGCCAAAACCAGACCCCTGAGCGGAGGAATGCTGCTCTCAGGCATGAACAGACATTCGAGCAGTGTATCGCCAGCGACGGCGTCGGCTTCCAGGGGTGGATCGAGACGCGGCTCGAAGGCGACGGGTCTCTCAGCAGGACCCTCTTCAGCGGAGCCAAGCTCGGGAACGGCAAGGACTGCTTCGCGCGGGAGAGGGCAGTGCGCCGCGCCGGCCTGCAGGCGGCGCTGCGGCAGTTCAGCAGCAACGAGAACCGGGCCGCCAACACGCCCTGGCGCCGCGTGCGCCTGCCGCTCTCGGCCGCCGAGGTCGAGATCATGCGCAGGAACACGGGCGCCGGGCCGGGGCGCAAGTACGAGCTGGCAAAGCTGCAGCCGCACCAGGTCCAGGCGACGGACGGCAAGGACGACCCCCAGGGCTTCACGGCCAACATGGCCAAGTTCTGGGCGGACCAGAACAGGGACATGGCGAGGGCGCGCGAGGCGGTCGTCAGCCGCATGGGCTTCGGCCCGCCCGCGGCGCCTGTGCCTGGCCAGGCTGCGGTAGGGGCGCCGTCGGTGCTGCCGCCCACGTCGCTCTGGGGCGCCTACGTCGACAGTGGGCTGAGCGCTGAGGATGAGTACCACCGGCAGATGTTGAAGGAGATGAGGACCGTGAGGAAGTTGTTTGAGCGAGAGCTGAAGATCGCGCCCCGGAACCTCCTGAAGGATATGAACACACTGTACGATCAAGGATTGAAAGGCCTCAATGATACCTACACCCCTGCTGGCGGACAGCAGCAAAGGAGCCCCGCTGCTCTCGACGCACGAGACTTGGTCAGGAGCGGCGGTGCCTTGGTTCTGAGGGACCTTGACAAGATGGAGATCTACTGGATCCGGTTCCTGCTCACCCAATCCATCACGCCGGAGATGACGCAGGAGCTGGAGCCCCGCGCGTCCCTGTTTATATTGTTTGCCGACAAGCTGGCCCGCATCTTCAGCGACGTCTCGGATCCGCTGTTCCCAGATAACACCACAAAGGTCAGCGTCGAGGATCTCATTGACTACATCCACGACAGGACAGACGGCCCCGTCCGGAGGATCAGGTTCTACCCCCACGACGTGCAGATGTGGCTGGAGCGCCTCCACACCCAAGGCCGCTGCCGTTACCAAGAAGACTGGCGGTGCTATGGCTGGGTGATGCGCCCCGTCCCCACCTGCCACCCAGAGCAGCTCGTCAGGTGGACGTCGCCTGAGGAGACCTGGCGTCTCCGCCCCGACGAGAGGAATGAGGACGTGGTCCTCGCTCCTCGGTTCGATCGCTTGCGGAACTGGCACTCGCTCGTGAGAAGGGGCCTCCAGAACAGTCCGCTGGACCAGAGGGTCGAGGATTACTTCCTTGTCCTCGCATACCGCTGGGGTGTTTACATGTCGAAGCTGACTGGCGAAGGCGGCCTAGAACAGCAGTGGAAGACACAACCGTCCAGGCCGAGTGGTGAGATGTCGAGGGCCATCGGTGACTACAAGAATGAGTTCGACAGGATCACCCAGTGGAACAATGCCCCCGCCCAACCCCCTCGTGAGGCTCGTCAAGGCGACGCTAAACGACAAGGCGAACGACAACAACCTGACCGCGGAGGCATCGCTGCAGCTCATCCGCGACAACATCATCAAGGAGGCCGTCAAGAAGGACAGCATGCTGTGGCCGGCACGCAGCGCGAACGACTACCTCGACCCGCTCGACGAGAAGGTCCGCCCCAAGGTCTGGGGCTGGGCCAGGCCCGAGGTCCGGGGCAAGGTCAAGAAGTTCTTCAGCGTGAACAGGTGGCCGGTGCAGCTCCAGACGGAGAGGAGGCAGGACATCATCACGCGCGACAAGGACGTCGACACGGACCTGCTGTGGAGGCCTGAGCTCGAGGACCCGACGCCGTCCAAGTACTACCGGCCCAAGGCCAGGCCGTACGTCGACGAGAAGGTCCAGTTCAGGGCGGGCCACAGGAACTTCCTGATCGGTGACACGCCGCACCAGAGGCAGGTGATAATAGATAGGATGTTTGCGCAGATGGGCAGAGGTAAGATCGCGCGTCTACCAGTTCCACCATTCCCCCCTCCCCTCCCAACCGCGTCGCTCTACCCCCGTTCTCCCAATCCTCACTGGAGGAAGCACGACGTTGAGTGTACTTTGCTGACCTTGAAACCCCGTTGCAGCCATGACTGCAGGAAGAAGACGACTACAAGGTAACAACCAAGGTGACAACCAAGGTGACAACCAAGACCAAGATGCGACCCAAGATGCGACCCAAGACATAGAGCCGCCGGGCTTCATCGAGAGGTGGCAGAACTACCTGCTGAGCCGCTTCGACGAGGAGGACCCGGACCGCTACCAGGAGCCCGGGGCGAAGCTCCGCAAGTTCCACCCGGACGACATCCCCGAGAGCGAGGACAAGAGGAAGCTAAAGAGGAGGGCGGACGGCGGTGCTCCGGGCCAGGGGGCTCCAAAGAGGCGTCGACGTCGTGTACCGGGGGCGTTGGACGACGGGCTGGAGGGTGGGGAGACGACGAGGACGACTACGACGGTGACCGGATCCGCCAACCACAAGCAGGAGGAGTGCCCGCAAGGGAACCACCCCCACAAGTACCACCCGCAGATGTGCCCCCCGCGGGAGCACCGGGCGCGGGAGCAGAAAACGCGGGAGCAGCCGGCGGAGAGGAAGAGGCAGAGGGCACCTGGTGGGATTACGCATCGATGGCGCTGGCCATCTAAGACAACTCTGAGAGACAGCTGGCTCGAGAGGCGACAGCCAGTCTAGAGGGCGTACATTCCTGTTCCGCGAGGGCCAAGGGGCCTGCTCATGCTCCCCAGACGGGCACTGATCTGGAGTGCTGGCTGTTTCGGTCGGTGTGGTGCTGTTTGTTGGTTCTCTGTAGCAATGGTCTGTAATCTTGATGTTGCATCCAATAATACTGTTTATCGTGAGACGGGTCCAATTGCCAACATTGTGTGCTTGAGGAAATCGAAGATCTCGAATGTCTCGAAGACGTGTGAGACGCTGTTCGTATTAACATCAACGTCGACGGTGCTGACTGCTGGCTATCGGACATTGGACACTCTGGACAGTGATGAAGGGAGCGGCTAAGTCCATTTCTGAGATGGAGTATGGCATGCTGTCCCTCGTGGGGAGATCAGTACCGAGTCCGGCTGCAAAGGTTGAGGCTCACGTTGAATGTTGATGCTGCTAGTGGTCTGCAAGAAAGCAGTTGGAGTTAACGGGCAGTGTAGGGTCATAAGTACTCTACTGACGTCGCCGTGAGCAATCCATACGATTTCGTGTTAGTTGGATACTTGTCATGAACGGTTAAGTGTTCCCCCTGTCAATACAGTCAAACCGTTACCTGAGTGCATTTCTAACCGGCAGTCGCCCGGCAATTGCAGCGGTCCCTGTCTCTCCACCTCCACCTCCAATCTCCAACCTCGCTGCCTCGTCATGGACCATTTCGTGTCACGTAGCCAATGCTTATTTTTTTCTTTCTTTCTTCAAGGCTTCACCTCCCCTGCATAGACGCCTCTTACACCCATACTGTAGGCTACTTACCCCGCAGACATCCCCGCGAACTACTCCCGTGCCGGTTCCCAAACCAGACCTTGCCATGCTCGGGGCATCAGACACAGTCTTCTTGCGCTGCGATTCAAGCCATCCGAGATCGCTATATTGTGTCAATAATTATGGTCCACAGAGGCATGGGTAGACCAGATAGGTTGGTATCAATGTATCAACAAATAAGTAGACTACTCTCTTGATAAGCCAACATGCCACCCATGGCCCGACTTCCGTGGCCACTCCAAGATAAACGCGACGCCCCGATACGCGTGCCCACCCTGCTACCCCGGAGCTTGCCCCATCCCTACTTCGTTCAAATCAGTCAGACGGGATGTGACGTCTGGACAATCTGCCGGCGCGATAAGAAGCCTAACATGTCCCGGACCGTTGCCACTAATTCCAATGGTGGTATTGAGTAACACACCACCGATAAATATATCGCCCCGATCTGCGTCTCTCCCTCTCTGAAATGTCCCTCCCCCCCCCTCTCCATCCACCTTCCTGGCTTCTGGCAGCACTCCACCATGTCCGACATCGAGAAGTCCCCTGAGAAGGGCCCCGCCGCGTCCGGCAACGACGAGAAGGTCGGCACGATCCTCAAGCACGCCGACCGCAGCGATGCCGACGAGGCCCTCAAGGTCCTCCAGGGCGAGAACGGCGAGGTCATCGAGCTGACCGCCGAGGACGAGCGCAGGCTGCTGAGGAAGATCGACTGGAACCTCATGCCGCTGCTGTGCCTGGTCTACGGCCTCAACTACCTCGACAAGACCACCGTCTCGTACGCCTCCGTCATGGGCCTGAAGCAGGACATCGGCCTGTCCGGCCACCAGTACAGCTGGATCGGATCCATGTTCTACTTCGGGTACCTGTTCTGGGAGTACCCGACCAACCGCCTGCTGCAGCGGCTGCCCCTCGGGAAATGGAGCGCCTTCAATGTCATCATGTGGGGGTTGGTCCTCTGCTGCATGGCCGCCACCAAGAACTTTGCCGGTGCCATGACTGTGCGGTTCTTCCTAGGTGTTTTTGAAGCTGCCGTCACCCGTACGTATAGACATGATGACCTGTATTTCCCTTCGGATTGCTTCTGAAACTGCTTTAATTGGGCTCTGAGCTGTGTGATGGGTAACTAACACCGCCTAGCCGGCTTTGCTCTCTTCACGTCGCAGTGGTACACCACCAAGGAGCAAGGCGCCAGGACCGGCATATGGTTCTCTTTCAACGGTTGGGGCCAGATCCTCGGTGGCTTTGTCGCATACGGGATTGCAGTCGGCACGGCCAAGAACCCTGTTGCCATTGAATCGTGGCAGCTGCTGTTCCTGGTAATAGGACTGTTCACCGCGTTTGTTGGCGCAATCTTCCTCTTCGTTATGCCCGACAACCAGATGAACGCTCGATTCCTCACAGAGAAAGAGAAGGTCCTGGCTATTGAGCGCATCAGGGTGAACCAACAGGGCGTGGGTAACAAGCATTTCAAGCTCTACCAGTTCAAGGAGGCCATGACGGACCCAATGGTCTGGGCTTTTGTGTTCTACAGCCTGGTCGCAGACATACCAAACGGCGGAATAAGCAACTTCTTCAGCCAGCTCATCGTGTCATTCGGCTTTACGAACGAGCAGTCCTTGCTGCTGGGAACTCCCGGTGGAGCGGTCGAGGTGTGTTCTTGCTCTCAGTTCCTCCCGTCCAAGAAGCCAAGCTTTTCCAAGCCTATACAAGCTTTTGCATTCCCCTCTGTGGCTTGCTGACATCTCTTGGCAGGTCATCGCCCTCGTCGTCTGCGGTATCCTGGGTGACCGCCTGGGAAATCGACTCCTGGTGTGCACATCCGGCATGATCCTCGCCATTCTGGGGATGCTGCTCATCACCTGCCTCGACAACAACCACAGCATCGGCCGGCTTATCGGCTACTACCTCACGCAGGCAAGCCCCACGCCCTTCGTCGCCATACTGTCCCTCATCTCGACCAACGTCGCCGGCTGGACCAAGAAGACCACCGTGGCTGCTATGTACCTGATCGGATACTGCGTTGGGAATATCATCGGGCCGCAGGTCTTCCGCGAGAAGGATGCGCCGCAGTACAGGCCTGCTGAGATCACCATCGTGGTGTGCTACGTGGTCAGCCTGTTGGATGTTGGGTTCATCTACTGCTGGTGCCGGTATCAAAACAAGAAGAAGGCAGAGCTCAGGGCTCAGCCTGGGTATGTCAAGATAGAGGGGCAGGAGTTCTTTGATCTGACGGACAGGGAGAACCCTGAATTTATCTACTCTCTGTAAGACTAGCTAATGTAATTATAAGGATTTACATCCGTCATGATTGCTCATTCTGCCTCGAAGTGTCTGTCCCTGGAAAAGTGAGCGTAACGCATCTCATAACAGGTATGCCCCTGTTACCAGTTTGATACCCACCCTAAAGAGACAGAAGAGAGAAGAAAAGTTGTCACTGAATAGTGTGGAGCAATGGGAAAAACAACACGGCTCGTGAAATCCTATGTACTTGAATGTGTGCAAACATGAAGCCAACGTCGCCGTTTCCTGACCTGGGTAGGTGTAGTGGATGATGATATAAAATCGATATTGGTTTCCTTGTAAAACGAAGTTTTCTTTTATCTCTCGAAGTGGACTTCCGGCTTGGTAGAGGAGGGTAATCTGTGCTTGAACATTTGAATCTATATTGTCTCCGAGTCTTTTAGAATATCATGTCCCCGCCTCGTAGCATCCACTAGTATGCCTCAGCCCAAATGGCGAACTCTGTTGATCACAAAAGTGCAATACAAGACATCTAGGTAATAGGCAACAAAGAGTAAAGGCTTAACAGTGCTTTAAACAGATTCGCTCACCAGCGGTCCGGATCGTTGCCAACTGGAGGCTGAATCCACTCAACCGGGATCTGAGTAACAAAGTCATACCAATAGTCCCCAAACACATGATAACCTTCATTGGTAGGATGCACACCATCTCGCAGGAGCTTACTTGAAAAAGACGTGAAATCCACCGCCAACATCCGCCTGCCCGCGTCACGTCGCTGTCTCACCAAGCCAGGGATTAGCGCGTCGAACTGGCGGGTCCTGTGCGCCTGGGCCTGATCCCAGGTGCCGATGATCATGGCGACTAGGACGACTGCGTCGGGACAGGCGTCCGTAATCTTGTCGACGAGCAGACCGAGGCGCTCTGCGGCGGCGGCCGGGTCATTCCCTTCGGTGGAGATCGCATTACTTGAATTCATATCGTTGGTACCCGCGTGGACCAAGACGATGTTCGGTCTCTGGGTGAGCGATGGTCCCACGTTATCCGTGATGAATTGGATTGTCTTGCCTGACCAGGCCGCCTGCAACGGTAGGGGAGTATTAGATGTGTCCTGGATTGTCAAGGTAGCTAGCAAGTCGACTTACAAAGTAGCCGTCTTTCATCGTACCAGCTGTCTCTGTCCCAGCGAATACGACCTGGTCCTCTAGAGTAATAATAGTCCCAGTCAGCTGTCCGTTGGCTGTTGTATTGAAAAGTGAGATGTCTTACGGGACAGATCATCAAGCAACCTCAGTCTGTACCCGTTTCCGTCGCCGCCATCTTGGTCGCTGAGGAAGCCGACTGTTATTGAGTCCCCCACGCAGAGGATGCGCAACTCTGTACCAGGCTTCAATGCTTTCCCCGGCTTGGTGCTTTTGTACCTGAGGACTTCCGTGTCCTTGTTACCCTTATTGCAACCGAAACGGAAGATACTCGCCAACTGGCGAAGGCACCTCATTGCTATCTCGGCCACCTGTGTTCTGGGCGGCCCGGCGCTGGTCGCCCGACAGTTACTGATTCGCGGGGAGGCTGACACTCTTCGTCTCGAGAACTCGCAAGGTCTCCTCGTTTACTATGCAACTGCAGTCGTGGCTTTCGATCATTAATCTGTCTACCGGCCGGCGGTGAGAAGGGAGAAGTGGGTTTGAGGAGCCAAGTTTGAGGATGACGCAAACTTGAAACAGCACAGACCAGCCCGTCTTGAGCATTCCACAATAGGCTTGATCAATGTCATCGTCAACATCTGAAGCCGACTATTCGAAACAGAAAAGATACTGGCAAGTCTCGCATCACATTTCTTCCTCTAGCCACTCGAAAGGAGGTCGCATGTCAGCATCTAACGCACCCCATTTTTGCTGGTTAGAAAAACGATGCGGTTAAGGTTTTTGGGTTGAGTCCAAGGGGTGTCGGATTACTTCATTAGAAGTATCACGCCAATCAACCACGGCTTCTGCATGTTTCCAAAGTTATCACGCAAGTGGACGTTTGCAAACTTATCGACATGCGCTCGCCGCATCTCCTCTGGACCCTCACAGCATTCACAACATTCGGCTGCCGCAATTGATCAACCCTACTCTTATCTGCGGGGAACTCTTGGTATCACACCCTGGCGGCAGCATATTGTTCAACATTCACACCGAAACCGGAGTAACATCGACTTCACGAGTTGCTCGACCTTCTTGCCTAGGACAGGATCTACTCCAACGCCAAGAACAAGACTTGAATGTATAAATACTCTACCAGTCGATATCTCGATCCAATAGTTGCCGGTGCCGAAGAAATGAGTGCACAAAATCCCCTCATCTCCGGAGGGCCAGAGATGAGCGTCCAAAGCAGCCCAAACATCGCCGTCGTCGGCGGCGGCATCGTTGGCGCCTCCATCGCGTGGCACTTGTCCCATGAAGCGAATGTCACCATCGTGGCCGAAGACATTGGCGGCACGGCGACGCCGAACTCGTTCGCCTGGCTCAACGCGGCCGCCGGCAACCGTAAGCACCATTCTTCCCTCCTCAACGGTTGCCCGTCCGTCATGGTTTGAAATGTTCCAAAATGCATCACTTTAGGACCCGTAGCAGGTGGTTAACACGTACCAGCCAAGTTCTACTATGATTTCCGGCACCGCTCGATGGAACGATGGAGGGAGATAGCCGCCGAGCTGCCGGACCTCCCCATCCACTGGGGCGGGTCGCTCAACTGGAACATGTCGCCCGACGAGCTGGAGGCCTACCTCGACGAGCACTCGGCCTGGGGCTACGACATCGTGCGCGTGAACCGCACCGAGATCCAGCAGCGCGAGCCCGCCCTGCAGGACAGCGTCATGCCGGAGTGGGGGCTCTACGTCGCCGAGGAGGGCGCCGTCGAGGCCCACGTGGCCGCGCGCCAGCTCATCGCCGACGCCAAGGCCAGGGGCGCCACGCTGCTGAGCGACAAGGTCACCGGCTTCCTCAAGCAGGAGGACGGCCGCATCTCGGGCGTCGTCACGGCCGGCGGCGTCGAGGCACGCGCCGACCACGTCGTCCTCGCGGCGGGCGTCGGCAGCGTGCCGCTGCTCGCTGCCGAGAACGTCACCCTGCCCGTGACGGGCGTGGCGGGCCTGCTGGTCAACTCGAAGCCGACGCAGGCGGGGTTGCTGAACGGCATCGTCAACGCGGAGCAGCTGCACCTGCGGCAGACGCTGGACGGCCGCATCCGCTCCGGGTCGGAGTTCTCGGGCGGGGACCCCGGCGACGACCCACAGAAGACGGCCGAGAAGCTGTTCGGTAGGGTCCAGGGGGCGGTGGAAGGGGGCGATGAGCTGGAGTTCGATTATTACACCGTGGGATACAGGCCCACACCGGAGGATGGCTTGCCAATTCTTGGGTCGACGGGACTGGATGGCCTTACTGTTGCCGTTATGCACTCCGGGGTTACGAATGCGGCCATCGTGGGTCAATTGCTGAGCCAGCAGATTCTGACGGGCGTCAGTGATCCGGCACTGTCGAATTTCGAGCTGGGCCGATTCGCTCAAAATCCTGTAAACAAATAGTACATTAGCATAAGAGTCTGAGAACAAAGTCTCTTCCAATTGACCTGTAGTTCTCAGTACAACTCGTTTTCAACTCTGATTGGGTACCACAATGCGATCTACCGTGTGTTCAAGCTATGAGCGAGCCCCAATCTTAATTGTCTAAACAAACAGGGCTTATAGGGACAGTCATAAGTTCGAACCCAGGTGATGCTGAGTTCAGGCCGATCTATATGGCGTGTGTAGACGGGTTGTAGGTAACTGCCAAGCAGGTTCGAGTTCGCAGAGGATCGGCGCCCAAGCAGAAGTCCATGGGCGGGTGAGCCCTGTGCCTCCAGAACTATTCTCTTCCCCGATGAGAGCCCCACGTTCTGTTTCGCTGAAATGAACCTCCAGCGACGAAGTAGGGGGGAATGTGGCAGCATAGCTATATAGGCCACACTGTATTGTCTAGAACATTCTGGATGATTTAACCTTTTGGTGCCTGAGGCTTTAGTAGCGGTCGGAGCGCCCCGTCTCAGGGATCATCGGAATGGGGGTCACCCACGTCAGTGCGGCATTTCCAGTCTTCAGATCCGAGGTATTTAAGATCCGAGTCCGTTGTGTTCAAACATAGTCGGCTTGGACAGCGCACGCATCCCACGGAGGAACGGGTCTTCCCAAGGATGGGCCATTCAAGAAATGGCTCGCATGTATGACATGGACAGGTGGATTGGCTTCGCAGAGCTAGACCCCGTCCAGGACAAAAAAAACGCGGCCTCACAAACTTTACCTCTATTTACACAGCCTCTAACCGAAACCACTACAATAAATCAACAATTTTAACTATATTAATCAATCAGGCTCCTTTTAAATATCATTTATAAGTATTTTTGTATTTAAAGAAAATTTAATAATTAAGAGATAGTAGTGTAAAGTGAAGGTGTTATGGTAGAATGTGTAGAATGTGGGGAAGTTTTGGTGGTGACTTTAGTTCGTGAGTGCGCGTTTTTTTGTCCCGGCCGTGCTAGATAGGGAAAGTTACGTGACTGAGCTGGCTGGACCCTGTAAGAGTAGCATTGACATGACAAGTTGTGGTCATTATCGGCGAACTATGCTGTCGGCATAAGGCTTCCAAGAAATGGCGGAGAATAAAGCCCACTTTCGGGAAGGACAGCCTATTGCGGCCAGGGGATTTACAAAGTGCGTCTCAGACATTGGGCTTCAACCAGCAGCTGATCGAGATCAAATTACCGTATTTGATCAAACATACTCCACAATCTCCAACGCCTCCCCCACACTTCCCCGGATACTTGGGGGAGCATCCCCCATGATATTGACGCCTTTCCCCCTCTGCCGAGACACAGGCACGGAAGAGTTTTTACCCACGGTTTAAACCCGAACTCGACCTTGATCTGTACCTAGTATTATGCAGTCTATAAATCCAGGGCATATGCCAGGTTTCACGCAACGATCCTTCCTCGCTTGACGATATCCTCACTCTTCTGCGCAGGCTCAACACCCAGGCTACGAGCACAATGGCGAACCAGGGAAAAGAAGATGTGGCTCCTGCTGAGCACACGTCAGCAAACGGCAAGTCCATGATCGACGACGCAGCCGACGTAGCACACCAGGAGTCCGCCTACAAGACGGAGACGGCCGCCGTCGTCGTAGAACCCTATGGGCCCTCCGGCTTCCGGGGCATCTTCGCGACGCGCTATGTCACCCTCTGCGCCGCCTTCTCCGCCATTGGCGGCTTCCTCTTTGGCTACGACCAGGGCGTCATCTCGGTGACGCTCACCATGGACTCGTTCCTCGACAGGTTCCCCGACGTCTCGGACCATGCGGCCGGCGCCGGGTTCAAGAAGGGCCTCATGACGGCCATGATTACCCTTGGCGCCCTCATTGGCGCCCTGAACATGGGCTGGGTCGCGGACTGGCTGTCGAGGAAGCGGTCCATCATGGTGGCTGTGGTCATATTCTGTATTGGCTCCGCACTCCAGACTTCTGCTGTTGATTATGGCATGCTGGTTGGTGGCAGGTTTATAGGAGGATTGGGCATTGGAATGTGAGTTTGCTGCTGCCCCTTGTGGCGGAAATTGTTTGCGTCTTTGTTTCCCTCTTAAAAGCGATACGAGGAGGCCAAGCAGCTCAGCAAATGCCTCAACTGTCGTCTTGTCTTTTTGAATTTCCTTGTTTGGCTGACTGTCCCAATTTTCCCAGGCTCTCGATGGTGGTGCCAGTTTACATCTCCGAAATCTCCCCGCCAGAAATCCGTGGCTCCCTGCTTGTGTTTGAAGAGCTCTCGATCGTCTTCGGCATCGTGGTGGCGTTTTGGATCACATACGGCACGCGCACCATCCCGAACCACTGGTCGTGGCAGCTGCCATTCCTGCTACAAATACTTCCCGGAATCCTGCTTGGCTTCGGCGCCATCCTGCTCCCGTACTCGCCCAGGTGGCTTGCCTCCAATGGACACGAGGACGCGGCGTTGCGGTCACTCGCAAAGCTCCGCGCTCTCCCTGACACGGACCACCGCGTCCGGCGGGAGTGGATGGACATCCTGGCCGAGGCGAGGTTCCAAAAGGCCGTCATGGCCGAACGACACCCAACGCTCGCCGGGAGCAGCGACAAGACCAGCCTCATCAAGCTTGAGATCGTCTCTTGGACCGACTGCCTCCGCGCCGGGTGCATTCGCCGGACTCACGTTGGCGCTGGCCTCATGTTCTTCCAGCAGATGGTCGGAATCAACGCCTTGATTTACTACAGCCCGTCGTTGTTTGCAACCATGGGTCTCAACATCGACATGCAGCTCATCATGTCCGGGGTGCTAAACATCTCGCAGCTGGTTGGCGTCGTCAGTAGTCTGTGGACCATGGACCGTTTCGGGCGGCGGAAGATCCTGCTGGTTGGAAGCGCTTGCATGTTCTTCGCACACTTCATAATTGCTATCCTCGTGGGCAAGTTCTCGTACGACTGGACAAAGCATGTCACCGAGGTGAGTGGCTCCTCTAGGATCTGACCGTTGTGGTTGTGGGCGGTTCTTACTGACTCTCTACTCCCAGGGCTGGGTTAGCGTCGCATTCCTGCTGGCCTATATGATAGCATTCGGTGCTAGTTGGGGACCGGTTCCATGGGCTATGCCATCTGAGGTTTTCCCATCTTCACTTCGCGCGAAGGGTGTCGCCATCTCCACCTGCAACAACTGGCTCTGGAACTTCATCATCGGCCTCATCACGCCGCCGCTTGTGCAGGAGACGGGATTCGGCGCGTACGTCTTCTTCGCAGTCTTCTGCCTGCTGAGCTGTCTGTGGACTTGGTTCTGCGTCCCCGAGACGAACGGCAAGACGCTCGAGGAGATGGACGAAGTGTTCAATGACCGCGCGGGCACGGCTGATGCGGCAGTGAAAGCACGTATCTTCCAGGAAGTCTCGCAGCAGCATCAGACAACAGACGTCACCACGTCTGCGTCACTTACTTAGACGCCAGCCTCGGGCGGCCTTACACCTCCGCTTGAAAGCCCTCGAACAATTCTCCTCTGGAGATCTTCGTGAGAGAAATCTCGTCCTCATCGTGAGGGAGGCCTGTACGCAACCCCCAGGCTTTATCAGTCCACATAGTAAAATACAAACGATTGTTCCATATCAAATTGATACTGTGCAGCCCTAAGTAGATGCTATTTCTATCGAACACAAATAAACAGGACGTAACTATTAGTGGACCAGGTCCTTTGATGAACTGTATGAAAGCAGGCATACGTGAGCAATGCCAATTAACACCCAACAATCCGTCGTCGAAATTCATGCCCTGATATTCATCCACGCAAACTCTCCCCAAAATGATTATAATGCAAATAGTGTTGCGTCTTTTGCGTGCGATCATAGCGCAACCGCGGATGGTTCATATCAAGCGCAGTTGGCCGGCTTTGACGCCATACGGCGTTGAGAATACATCATTCGGGTCAACAGAAGCCTTGATCTGCTGCAACCGCGCGAGATTCGGGCCCCAGTACTTCTCCTGTGGCACAAAGCCGTTTGGTAAGCTGGTGTAGCCGGCGTACGACAGGTACTTTCCAGGCTCGTTGCCCTGCATCTCGAGCACCGCTTTTTCGATGAACGCGCGCGTTGTCTGGTTGGTGGTTGACTCGGTGATTGCGTATGGAGTGAAGAAGTATGACATTTCGCGATGGGGCAGAGAGGTTGCATCAAAGGCAACGTCGCCGACCGCGCCCCCGTACAGGTCGATCAGGACAAACCACCGATTAGACCCGGCATCAGCGGTCAGGATGTGCTGGAACATATTGTCGATGCTCGTATTGCTGGGGAGGGTCGAGCGGGTAATGCATGTACCCAGCGCGGCAAAGTAGGACTGGGCAGGAAGTATGGAGGAAATGCTGTCGAAAGTGCGATTCATGTGCTCCATCCAATTCAGTCCCGCCACGACCGTACGCTTGGTGATACCGGGGATGCGCGCCTCTAGATTAATGCTGTTGAAGTCGGATTCCGGGCCAAAAAAAAGCCCCGTTGATCTGGAGTTGATCCTTCAAGAACACCACAGCGGCAGAGAATCGACGGTCGAGATTGATGTCATTGGTGATTTGATGATAGGCTTTAAATGATGCGGACAGAGACGCCGGATCTGTGGACTCCACGGTGAAGCCGAAGTTGAGAACTTCTTTGGGTTCCGGGTTGGTTTGGAATGTGAACCGGGTGACGGATCCCGAAGCTGGCGCCGGCTCCGCGGATGGCCCAGAAAAGGTCTGGATGTTCGCTTGAAGACGTGCGCACAATGGTTCCGTTTGCGAGAACCACTTCTGCCTCTTGCAAGGTATCCAGGGTCGTACCTTCGAGGCGAGAGTGCAGCCCAAGGCCACCGACTGTAGCGTGTCCCCCGATGCCGACTGTAGGAGAAGATCCGTGGGGCATGTATCTCCCATTGGCGGCATGCAGCTACTCGGCAATGTCCTTCAGCTTGTTGCCTGGGCCGACTTGAGCAAGTCCCGCTGAATTGACCTGGACATTCGAGAGATACATCACGTCGACCACGATGGCTCCATTGGCGCCGCCGAGGGCTACAAAACTTAGTCTCAACACCACGCCGTTGAGGGATCTGAGGTGAGATACCTTTGTTTGTGTAATCGTGGCCACCACTCCTGGCTTGAACTTTGCGGCCGGATGAAGCAGCGCACTGGACTATAGCTGCGGTCTGGTTCGTAGATTTTGGGTACGTAACCGCGAAGGGCTCGTACGGAAGGTTGAGGTTGTATGGGCGGACGACGGTTTCCTGGAACTAGGTTTCGTCGGCGAACTTCACCTGCGAAGTTTGACCGTCGACCGCTTCAACAAGACAGTCTCGCGCGTCTCTGGGCGTCAAAGTGGCTCCCTCGACCGGAACAATTATTCCGGCTATGGCCAGAGCTGCAACGACTGCTCGGATGGCATGCCTAGACCTGGAGGTTGACGTGTTTAACATCTCGCCAACGAAGTTGATGAATCTTGATATCACAGTCTAGGAGAGAGTCTAGGAATCGAATTGATGTCTTGCTGATGCGATCACATTATTTCCCAATGAATTTGGGAGGCTCGTTTTATAAGCGTCCTGATGGCATATCCAAACTCCTTCCGTGGTTTGGTGGCGGAGGCCGAGCAGCTTTCTCTTGTCGGACATCACGGGCCCCGACTTCTCTATTCATCATTCGTCTCTTGAAGTTTCGCCGCGTATGTTTACAGAATACTAGATTTGGAAATCGTATTGCCAAGGCATTCAGCAGGGCCATTTGCCATGCGCAAAGCCCACTATTGAACTATATTTGAGTTATCTTCACTATTTATGTACCATCGTACATTTGGCTTGGCGGTGTCGGCGGAGTAATCCGGCCGAGCGACGGGGCTCGGTGACCTCGGGGCCCGGCCAGTTTCAATGCAATAGAAACCCCAGCAAGGACAAAGTCTCGGGACTGAAGCTTTTGTAAGTTGGCGAAGTCCAATAATTCTGAGTAAGCGGTCAATTTCGTGTGATGAGCATGACAGGTTTTGTAGTTATGCTTGGTTTGGGGCTGGGGTTGTCCGACTGTAAAAGGAGTGTGATTTCCCTGTCGATATTCAGTGATTCAGGAAACACCGTGTGGAGATTGCTTTTACTGCATAGCGAAAAGTCACAAAGGACAATGCCTGGATGATGAGTTTATTCTGACCTTATCTTTGTATCACTCTGATTTGTTTATGTTTCCTTACTGATCTTACGGTCTAGTCAGGAGACTGGGATGAGACGGCGCTGTTCCTCACCGGCCTCTTGATCCTCAACGCGATCCAACTTCTCCAGATTGTCCAGACCACGGCGAACGGCACTTATGATCTTTCACTGCAGTGTGTTTCTGAAGGACTCACATCAATTGCTAGACTCGTGCCAGCCTAGTCATACTGTGTTCTTGATAAATCATCTTCGATTTGACGGCTCTGACCTTAGCACTCAATGTCTTCCCACGACACCGGTGTTTCTTCATGCAGTCTGCCCTGAAAAGGTCTTTTCTACGCTTTTCGTAGATGAACCTCGCTTCTTGTGCTTCTCATGCATATGTCGATGGAGATTTGACGAGGTCAGGAATGGGGCATCGCAGGTAGTAAAGAAATATCCTGACTTTGCCGCGGAAGCCGCGCCTCGGAACTCGACCTCGCCGAGAACTCCGACAAAGGTGTAGAGCCATGCTCGTCATCTGGGGGAGAACTCTGAAATATGATTTACGACCTTCAGTGTTGCGAGTGCTCCCCTGGGCGCGTGATTGTCGAGCTGGTCGACATGAAACCAATTCCCAGAGGCGTCCTGTCCCTTGCTCGAAGCTGACGCGTAAATTGAGAGGATTTGATCGGTGTGTGCGCCTGGACCGGCAAGATTGCTGCCAACTGCGTCACCAACACTCTCAAACCCTGTCGCTTGCGAGCGAGTCGAACCTCGCAACCTGTGACGAGACGATACCGAAGTACGATCTTGTGGCGCAGTTTTGTGCCGAGGCTCCTCGCGAGTCCGCACAAGTCGCGACATGGGCTGACAGTCGGAACGGAAGAAGGGATGAGGGGATAAGAGTGGACAGCACTTCGAGGTAGTATAGCTTGGACGTCCGGGTTCAAGAAGCTTTTGTCGATCGAGTCATCGTGCAAAGGGGCCTGAAACACTGAGATGCCATAAGAGCCATCAATATTGCTGATTAATCCCTGTTTGTGACCTGCTCTACTTAGGTTAATTGGGCGCCTATCACCCGTCTGGGAAGATTGTGCAAATGATCCGAGACGACATTGCCCGTCAAGATTGTCCCTTCGGCGGGGCTACGGCCAGACACTTGCATCTCATGAGGCACCAGTGTGCAGTGGAAATCTACCTGGGTAGGATAAAGACCATGGACGATTCAAATAGGTATCATTAATGACTGGCCACTCTATATTGAATGAATGGACGGGTTAACTCCAGGTCAATCTTTCCCCGAGCTCCGCGTACCAGCTATGTAGGGAAGAAATAAGGAAAAGCTGTCAGCCGCGGGCGCCGACGGTCCTACTCGTCGTCATCCGGGGGCCGACTTAGTTGTCGTTGCCGTTCTGACCCTGCTGACCGTTCTGGCCATCTTGTCCGTTCTGGCCTTGCTGGGCATCATCCGCATTGGCATCGTCCGCATTCGCGTCGTCCGCGTTTCCACCGTTTCCACCGCCACCATTTCCGTCGAGGGCTGCATCAACATCGATGCCAGCGGCCTCCAGAGTGTCGAGGTCATCTTGGTTGCCGGAGTCCGAGATGGCCTGGACTGCCTTCTCGAAGTCGGGACCAGAGTCAGCGGCACCGGCTGCAGAGAACACACTAGTCAGCTTTGATCGTCTACCGCCCGAAGTCGGTTGGAATGAAGAGGGATCTCTTCGGAATGGCCACATACCATCGCCGTTCTCAGTCAAGAGGATTGCTGCCTCTGCCTTGGCGGCGGCGGCCTCACCACCTGCACCATTGTTGGCAGCATCATTCACATCGTCTGCTGCTGCGGCATCCTGGTTGTTGCCACCGTTGTTGTTTTGGTTGTTTTGACCATTGTTGTTGTTTTTGTTCTGAGGCAGGGCGACGGCAAAGCCAGCCAAGAGAGTGATGACGGCGAGTGACAGCTTCATTTTGAATAAATATGTACTGGGTTAAAGAGAGTCTCCGGGACCGTTGTTGTGTGAAGTGAATGAAGGGAGCACAGCTGGATCACAATTAGTCTGATGTTTGCGATGTCAGAAGATAGAGAAGGACGATCCGACTAGACTCACCTCTTAAAGAATGGGATGAATGCGATGAAATGGGACGAGGCTGAAGACCAAGGAACAAGGTAAACATGACTCCATTAGGACGATTTAAATATCAAGAAGATGACTTGATCTGGCTTGGCCGAGTTTCGCGGCACTTGTGTGATCGACGAATACTCAGGCTGCCAAGGAACGGTGAACCACATTCTGAAAGCGACAAGAAGAAGATCACGCAGTGCTTGACCATGCTTGACAATGTTTCTGGAAGTGGCGCCCATCACTGCAATCTTGGCAAAATTGCGGCAGAAACACGGAGGGAAACAGAATTAGCGCTGTGTAGACTTTTGTGGTTCACAGATTTACTTCACCGGCGGCCGATAAACGCGCAGCTTGCCGTCCATCTGGGTTCCACAGACACAGGCAGCAAAAAAGCGGATTGTTACGGGTGCGACTCCTGGCGCCTCCTTTGTGTACACAAATTCGAATGTTGACATTCTCAGCTTGGATGAATTCCGGACGATCAGCCCTGCCGGTGCCTGTCAGCCGATGGGCGGCCGGTCAGAGATCGGGCAACGCTCCACGTTTCATGTTTGATCTGCGGCGTCAGGAGGGCGGGTTGGTACCTCCCGAGTTGCGCCCGCCGGCGGCTGGCCCACTGCTGTGGCCCAGGAAGCTTAAAACTCCTCCCGTGCCGCGGCAACCCTTTCGTTGACCTCGTCGTCACCGTGTTACAAATACTCGTGGGGGCCAAGAGAAAATGGCGACACCGACCTCTGGATATTCGTGTCGAGGGGGGCCTCGAGCGAGGAGAAGGCGGTGCTGAGAGTCTCGACGTTTCAGACGTCATTTACTCAGAAACCAGCATCAAACATTCCACAGTAGATGCACCGGCAATAGAGATCGTCAAAAAATATGGCATGACAAAAAATATGGCATGATACAAGAGTCAGGACTCGGTCAGCATCGGTGCAGCATCGCCCAAGCCAAAGCTGATTCAACCAGACGTCGTTGAGTAGTCCACCGGGGTGCTGACCCGCAAAGGCGAGTGGGTGATGCCTCGGAGATCTTACCCGAGTACGAACTGTATTGAGTCAGATATCATCAGGACCCGCAGGCTGATCGTCTTCCGTGTGTATGGTAGCTAATACGTCATTTATCGATGGAGTCTACTGATTTGTCTTCAAATTTCATCTGTTGTCTATAAGCATTCGGCCTCTGAGCACGCAAGCCACAACGGGTTGTCAAGCTTTCAGTGGACCCTTCTAGCCACCTAGGAACCGTGGAACAACAATTATAGCTCCAAGCGACGTTATGCAACTTACTAACTAGTGTTATTCTCGAGAATATAGTCAAGTTTTGACGTTTAGGACCCTGGAAGACCCTTCAATCTCAGTTGACTTTGCATGTTCACGGTATTTCGGAGTATATTGTACGTTAATTCCATCCTGGCGCGTGGTCATCCCAGTAAAGTTTGATTTCGCACATTCAGTAGCAGGAAAATGACTGCAGTATCCGGGAAGACACCGCAGTAACCGGCCGAGATCTGAATCTAGACGCCAAGCTGAGTCTCAATATATCGCTCTTGCATTTGCGAGCGACCACACCATGCTTGGGACCCGGGTCAGACCAGAGTAGTCATGTGCCTGCCCATTCGTAACCATCAAGGCCTGAACGAGTCTCCGACGTGACGAGTGAGGTGGCAGACAGACGTATTACCCCAGAATGAGGGGATGGCAACAGTGTTTTCGCCAACTTTAACGTCAACCCACGTATACCGCCCACCGTTGGGCGTGTCAGTCACATGCATCATCGCAACCTTGGGTTCCTTCGAGATGGGCTTGCGTTCCTGCCTCCACCTACATCGATCGCAGCCGTCAGTGCGTCCAGAAGCCTTGGTTGATTGGGCCGCATGCGTGTCGCGCGCGTTATTGCGACTGGAATCCGCCATGCCGGGCGTCCGTGCTGTTGACTTCCGATTGGGCCTGAGTGTTATATCGGGGATGCAAACTATGATATACCGGCTGGCCTCTCTACACGTCGAGAAGAGCTGGTCTGTGTCCGAATCCCGAGCCTCGCGGGACGGGCGATGGGACGAAAGAGCCAAGTCCCACCGGTTCAAAGACTAATTGGTTCTCGGCAGTTCGTGATTAATTAAAGTCTATTCCGCACTAAGCAGAGCGGCTCGTCGAGCGTCGTGCGTACTTGGACCTTCAACGGTTCACCGATAATTGTCGAGCATAAGGGTCTTGAGAAGGGTCTCGCATGTTCACAAAATGACAACCTGCCAGTCACATGTGCCCACCCAGATTCCCGTCAGCTCCCACGCTGCCACGATGCGCAGGCAGGGTAACCTTCGCTCGGCAGGACTTGCAAACAGTGAGCTATAAGGTTTGGCTTTCGGAAACTTCGCATGGGACTATGCTGCTTTGCATGCACGCGCATATGGCATGCAGCTGTCCCTGGCCCTACACACGAGCTGTGGTTCGTCTGCTCAATCAACGCTCGCCATTTGAACCTTATAAACCCTTGCCTTTTTTCGCGCTCGGATCCGGCTGTGCGCTTCCAACGGAGATCAGCACAGCAAAACTAGTCGGACTCGGGATCTACGGAGAGGCTAGCAATGTGACAGATGCCACAGTGCCATTATTCCATATTACGTCAGTAATGTCGTCCCAGGGTCGTGCGCGACCCCCACTGGCAGCGCTGAAATTACAGTTTAGACTGCTTTACTAGGGCGGCGGTCAGTGTGGTGGCATGCACCATTGACAAGACAAGGTGACTGCATCCCCGGATTTGGGCAGCGCTGCGACCGCAGCGCACAAGCTTTCAATATTGGTGCCGGATCATGTCCCCGGGGGAGGCGATGCAAGGGGCCATCGTGATGGCCTCGCCTATCACGGCGTTGTGTGACTCGTGTGGGAGGGTATGTGACCTGCACGAGGAGAAAGAGCCTCATGTACTCATCAAAGTCATCAGGGGTTATGTAGCTAGGTATTATCGTTATGTACAGTAAGAACCAACAACATTACAACTCGATTCTCCTCACTGACACGTCTTTCGGCCTGGTCACAGGCGACGGCGTGGTCGAGACCGTAACATCCATCTTCACCTCGATACCCGATCGGTTCGCGCCCGACTTTGACTTGCTGACGGCTCGCGAGTGCTGCGGGAAGATCGAGGACTGCTCCTTGTCCGCCATTATGTGTGTCGTGACACCATGATTGTCGTATTGATCCATGCCCAATATGTCCATGGCCTTGTCGTTCTCTTTGCCGCGATTGCTGAATTCCCTTTTCGCTTCTGTGCCGTCTGTGCTCTGCACAGGCTGGGGCTTTGGTCGGGAGTTTAGACTTTGCATCGGTATGTCCTGCTTGTCCTCCCGAGGGCCGCCCGCGAGTGCTGCACCAAACGTTCTCCCACCATCTGTTGAAGACCGTGTGTCGTCAAATCTGCTTCTGTCCACCTGGAACGAAGGGCTCGGTGGTGCTGGCATGGCCATCTCGATGTCGTTGTCTCCGAGCCTTCTGTAATTCGTCGAGCTAAGCTCCTTGGTGCTCACAAACAAGCTGGGGTCCTTGCTCTCGCGGGTACTCCGGGAGTTTCCGGTGCTGCTCGTCGCCTTGATCTTTACGGAATTGGCGCCGTAGTTGTTCTTGTCTCCGTACCCTGTCTGCTTCGTCCTCCGTGACCGTGACGCATAGCTTGCCATCCACTGCGGCTTGATCTTAGACATTAATGGCCGAAGAGTCGGAAGACAGGCGCAAATAATGCCCGAGCACAGCTCGCTGATGGACCAGCCGGATGTCGGAACATTGTCCCACGTGAAATCGGGACCTTGCTTGAGGTAGCCGAGGCGAATGAGCGAGATGGCGCAGGTGCTGTTGGCAGAGTGTCAGCATACTGGACCAACATCATCTCGGTTCATGAGGTATGACAACGGTTAGACGTACAAGAATCCTAGGCAAAAGATGCCGAGGAGGATATACTTCTGCTGCCGGCGAAGCTTTAGTTTCGCCAGTACGGGCAACGGCATACCAAGGATGGCAAGGTCTGTTGCGATGTTTCCGGCGGCATTGATGTACCAAAATGGTAGATTGGGCACGCATTGTCCTTCCAACTCGGTCTCCCAAAACTTTTGCACCGGAGTGCAGGTGAAGATGACGACGAGGAGCTGCGAGAAGGCCCACATCATGATGACTACTCCGGTCATCCATATCACCCTCTTCATCTTGTAAACCCCGAGTACACGGTAGTACTGGATCAAGAAGGTGAGCTTGATCATCATCAGTGTTGCATTGTATAACACTATTGAGACCCAGAAGGACTGTGATCTCGTCAGCCACCATCAACCCACAACTTCATTACCACTGGCAGCCTGGCTTCCAAACTCACCCGAAGATACAAAGGAATGACGGAAGGGTCGAGTGTCGCGGTACGCCTTCCAAGGCCGTAAGGAATGGCTAAACGAGTCAGCTTCCTGTCTCACAGAGTTTCGTGAATCTGGTCGACCTACTTGACAGCGCGGCGCCGCCGGCGGCTACAGCAAAGCCCTGAAAGCATGTCAGTGATTGAGCTCGGAGGAAGGGGCTGACATCGACGTCGACGACATACCAATGTCAAAAGGACGAAGTAATCATCGAGCCCCAGCTGCTTGAGCAGCACTATCCTCGTGTAGAAGCGGAGCCCGACGGTGATGGTCGCCAAGGAGAGGACCAGGATGATAATGAGCAGAGAGAGCCATGCGATGTTCTGGGCTGCCAGCCCTGGGTCCACAGGCGTCGACGTTGAATCCATGACGGTGTATTGGTGAGGCCTCCCTGAAGCAGGAGATCGAGTCCAACCGGAGGACGAGGAGGTGTTCGCGGGCCAAGTGGAAGATATATGGTTGTCCGTCCAGCCGGGTCTGTGAAAGAAGTTGCAACCCCTGGCACCGTGAGGCCCAAGACCGAAGTGGAGTCGAAGGGGCGGTTTCACTTATACGTGAACATGTGAGTGGGCAATATTCTCAAACTACCTTGAGGCTGGCTGTCCAGGTCTGGTGGGTGGATCTGTAGGATGCTGCCTCTAGGCCGAGATCCAGGGGAAACATGCGCCAGGGTCGACTAAAACCGAGTGAGACATCAGATGGGAGAAATATGAAGACCCGCTGGGATTCGGCAACAGGAGGTGGACTGGCGCCGGGCTGCTTATGTGTAATTAGAGCTGAGGGACTGACTAACTTAGTTACATGTGTATCCTTTGTTCTACCCCTGTGATGGACGACGAGCTTGTGCTTAGCCCCAGTGTACCGTCAATATCTACCGCGCCGGCCGCCATCAATCATGTCCTCGGTAGACGATCCCAACCCAGCGCGAAGGAAACTGGGACCAGGGGAATGGATGGATGGGTGGCAGCGCTGGTGGGTGGTGCCGCACGGAGTATCCCTTTCACGAGTCGTACCGCGAACTATTGTGGGCTTGAGCACCCAGCTTGTCTTTGGTATGACGAAGGTAACCCAAAAGATGAGATGGCAGGGCTACATTCTCCAAGCCAAGCCCATCCCAGCAGCCTACGATGTCGTCTGGGAAGATGCGGCCCCTTCGACATGCTTTTCGAGGAGGGGTGACAAGGCTCAAGGGCTTGCACGTGCCGGTGATTCTTGGACGGGGAAGGAAGTTGTTGGCGTGAGGACATCAGGGGCTGAAAAAGGTCTCGTTTTGTGCATGAGACGCCAGTGGGTGGTAGCTGGGCTCGGCAGGCGCAACCCGTTGTCTGCTCTTGTACCCAGGTACTCCGGTTTTGTATAAGGCCAAGTGCCGGTCAGTGTTGGAATGTTGGCAAAAGAGGTCGCTGGCGCTGGCATACTCGCGGATAGAGGCTTGGCAACGACCGCCGGACCGCCGGCGTGCAAGGATGGCAGCGACGATCATAATGAGCCCACCACAGCCCACCGTACAAGAAGCGGCTGCAGCCCGATAAGCGTGCGGATCCAGATATTTATGGAGTACAACACTCCCAGGGTCGGGAGCAGGGAAGGGCAAGAGTACCGCATCTGAAACGCCCATGCTCGGCGCGCGCCCACCACCTGCCGCCTTTAAGTCGACAGCACGAATCAGTGACCGACAATTACCGTGGTAGGAGCTGATTACAGTATCCGCTTCCAGGTCATGAGCGTACCTGAAGAAGCGGAGGTGTGGATCGCCTGGATGCGAAGACGATCAACCTTGGAAGACCAAGGCGTGAGCAGAGTTAGACTCCCAAGTGCAGGCGCGCTTGATGCTCTTGCAGCTAAAAAGTGAACCCCTCCATTGGCTTGAGGCCGGGTGCTTGGGCCTCTTTGTGAACATCCGACGCTCCATTCCACGGCCCCATCGGCAAGTTTCTTAACAACTTAATCTTGACGATCTTTTTTTTGGGCTCCTCTTCTTCGGCTACTGTGCGCCCCTTGCTCTTCGCTCTGGTGGGTTCCTGTGCTAACATTGACTCGAACGACACAGCAAGCGATCCAAGATGCTACTTATGCGTCTAGGCGGCTTCAACGGATCGGGCATCTCTGTCACCCGGCCCAAACCACCGAAACTGTTCAACCCTCCCAATCGAGGATCCAAGGAGGGAATAATCGTAGAAATGTTTACTGTGGGATGTGACGTCCCCCTCCACTGTGTCTCAGTATCTTACAATGTGACGAGAATTACGGATTCATTTCTTGCCCCTATCCCTTCCCACCTATAGAAAGACGCACGAGGGAGGTTGAGGCCACGCAATTAACTTGCATGTGCCATATTCTTGCTGCCACAGGATTTTGTGGCATGGTTTCCCTTGCACTAGCCCAGCGCGGGTCGTCTCCAGCGGTCTCCGGGTGGACCTGGGGGCTATATGCGCGGACGCTCGGGCTTAATATTAGCCGCCTTTTCAACCACCAGGACTCCCGCAACGACTCGCCTGTTACTTAGCACCGTCTGATGAACCGTTTGACATTGCTTTGCAGACATGGTGGACCGTCGTAGCAGAGAGACAAGAAACGAGAAACGAGCGACCTCCCAAGATCTCTTATTGGGCGTGACCGAGACGGAAATTCCGGACAAGTGGGGGAGTGGCTTGTTCGGACAGCTCTCAGAAGGGGCTGGATAATGATTCATCAGGAGTTCTTCATAATTGCCGCGACTGTTGTTAGTGAACGCTGAAACCTGCGCCTCTAATGAAGGCTGGCCGCTTACAGGACGTACACAGTACATTCAAGTAAGTCATCCATGCCACAGCTGTCTCATGGAGGGCGAAGCTACCTCAATCCTGGTTCGACCGCCCGTTTGTAAAGGTCTCACCAGCCTCGACCCAGCACGTTGGAGCTCACTAGAAGTAGGTAATCGCTGATAACGAGGGCAAGCCCTGTCGGGTAACTCAGATGCGTTTATCTCCGAGCCAACATTAATAGTTTCCTTCTTTAGACGGATGCAATACTCGCGTTCTACACTGGCAAAAGACGAGGTTCCGACCTGAGCAACGTGATACACATTCGCAAGTGTTGAAAGTGACCAGGTGGGCCCGAATTTACTAGATATCTCGGCACAACGGCTGGAAATTCGTCTCGCAAGCAGGGTCGAGATTGGATGACGGATCGAAATGCAATCTGTGTAGAAGATGCGATCGCCATAGGCATCAAACTTCATTCTCACGTTGTTCCTTGGCTTTCAAAATCTTCCATCTGGTTTTGAACAGCACAGACGGCGTAACGAAAAGCGAAATACTGAACAAGTAATAATTACTGGTCGATGTCTTGGGCGATGTTGGTTTGTGCCTCATGGCAATATAAAAGGCTGCTTGTGTATACCCGTGTGTCGAAAGCAATCAATCTCAGTTTAATGTTCAGTGTTCCGCCATATCGGATGTCTCTCTTCATAGGGATATCTGTGAATCAACGATACTATACTGATACTGCACAGAAGCTTCGCCATGGAACATTGAATGTGCAAAATTGATTCCTTACCAGCCTTGTGCCGTGGAATGTTTCACGAACACTGCTACAACATTTTTGACCCGGAGAAATATTGTCATGCTCCTCGACGATGATACCATGGTATCTCAGGCAGAAGCCACGATCGTCGGCGACCTACAAAGCCGGTTACATTGCCACGTGGTGATTTGGAAGAGCAAGATGCCATGGCTTGACAAGTTGGCCTCGTGCAAGATGAAGCCTCGGGGCAGTCTTGACACTAAAGTGTGACGGACCGTGCGGTGGTGTGCTGTCTTGAGGTATGCAACCATTATCACAACTTCGATGTTGTTCGACACGACTCACACGCTGTAGCCAAATAGAAAGCCAGGAAGTCGTGAGAAGCACGATGTGATGTGATACTCTATGCAGTATAGGCTTTCAAGGTTGTCAGTAGATCATTCTGATCGTCTGAGCCCGTGCCAGATTTCCGTCAAGATCTTTCCGCAATATCGGAAACAATCCGGCCACCCTAGAATAGGATGGCGCCATGGCTGAGACTCCTGAACCATTCGTGTTGCAGACGGAGGTGGGACGTCGGACTACCCGGTGAAGGGGGGCCAGACGGGCTGGGGTGGACCTAGACGGGGCTATGTGGCTAAGAGGCCCCTCCCCTTGCCTGTAGGGCAGAGAATGCTTTGCTGTTCGGCATTTTGGACTCGTCGATCAGCCAACTTTGAGCCAATTACCCCAGATTGCTGTCCATAATCTTGGAGGCGCAAAGGATAAATGCTGCAGATCATAGAAATGGGCTGCATAAGTCTGTGTTTAGCCACGAAGCCATGCCACTCGCCTGACTGAAGACGGCAAGGTGATGGCTTATTCTGGCATCCAGAGCGACAGGGACCTTTGCTCACGAAAGGCCTCATCCACTGTCGTGCATCACATGCACCTTTGCAGTTATTCTGACAACTCCCCAAAGATTTCGATTTCCCGTTCGCCATTTGGAAAAGAAGACAGAGAGGCCCGGGGGGTTAAGCCCAGGAGAATCCCGGGTACTGCCGTCTACGTCGCTTGCTGGTGGCAAAGGCTTAACCAAAGTGCAATCACTCATCAGACGGCCGGCCCAGTCAAATGTCGCAAACCGCGGCCTTCAAGTTGTGTCAGGCCGGACCAGTGACATCAATTACCGTATACAAGCATCCTTTCTTGGGGCGCACAAAATCCCGGGCACCTGAGAGGGGTCCTGCCACAGCTCTTCACAAGGCTATCCGCGAGTGTCGGCCAAGCAGCACAAGTCCCGGGACGAGGCCCGCCGCGACACGGCCGAGAACGCAAGAAGTCCGATGCCGTGGACCCGCTTTCCTTTCCGTCGTCCCGCGAATCCGCCGAGATCCTTGGCCCCGATAAGGTTTCCGTCTTCGCAGAGCTGCTGCTCGGGTGGGGATCTAGTTGCGGAGGGCAGAGGTCAACATGTCTACTCGATACCCTGAATGTGGGAAAGGACATCATAGAGACGTCTCGTGATTTGTGCCGAATTGAGGACCTCGTTGTGGAGGGTGGCAAGCTTTTTGCGGTTCCACTAGAGATCTTTGGTGCTACAGCACGATGCGATCGCGAGAAGTTGCGCTGGGTGTAGGACTGACCCGTGTACATGGTCTTTAAAGACCACCGTTACCTGCATGTGGTATCTTGCATTCGATTGAATCAAATCCAGCATGATGCATCCTGGCGTGCGAAAACGGTGCGTTGTCCTCGACGCAAAGATGAAACCTATTGATCGCGGCATACTCATCATGTGAACTTCAACACACTCTAGCAGGTTTTAAGGTTCTAGCTACGTTGTGTTGACGCCAACCTATCGCGATGATCATTCGGTACACTAAACAACGTGGCACTGGATTTGTTTAGCATGCATGTGATGGCCTGACTATAAGGGTGGTTAAATATAAGCAGAGTGACTAGGGATCCAGTATGTGCTCAACGCATCGGAGGACTGGGAGTCCACTGGCGCGGGTGTGGATTGCAGAAGCGCGGCTTGCTGGGTGAAGTTAGGACGGGGCATTGGGGGTTGAATGGGACTGGTTTTTTTTTTTTTTTTTTGCAAATGCTGGGATCTGTCGAATTTGACGTTGAGCAAGAATTGGAGGACTGATTGTTGTAAGGGACCTCGGGATGCACCCAGCCCTAACTGAAGCTCAGCTCTGAGTCTGCCTCACATGCCGTGACAGCCGGACAGAGCTTCGAGTCTGCCTCACATGCGGTAATAGGCGGACGCTACCCCTGAGATCAGGAAGATCCGCCCGAGGCACAATATCAGAATCTGCTTATTCTGTGTCACATCTATAGTATCAAGTTAAATTGTAGAGATACTCATGGAAACACAGTTTGAAGGCTGTTGAATTTTGTATAAGTCTACTCTTTTAGCTATACAGCTAGAGAGAATTAATATATCAGTATGTGTAGAGCGGCTATGTCAGAACGTAAAACTTTTGTCGAGTCCTTGTAGATAGAAAATGTGCCTTATCATATATTACTGAAATGAATTGGGCTTGGCCTGCATCCTCCATCGGTCAACACTGCTTGGCAGGCAGATGGCACTTCAGTCAGCCCAATCTGCCATTATTGAGCAAGAGAATCTCTTCAGAAGTTGAATGACTTGATAAGTCTGCCTAGATATTGATCATGTGGGTGATGCAGACAGAAGTATATAAGGAGTTTGATTGAGCCGGTTCTGAACATAGCATCTCATTGCATTCTCCAAGTTCTGTAGCGACTTGTCCGTTATAAGCTTCCACTTGGATATTCCATCAATACTTGTTATGCACTGGTTGTCAATTAAAACACAAGAAGCATGGTCCATTATCCGTTGCTCTTCAGTCTAGTAATACTAGCAGTGATACAAGCGGTAGCTCCTTATCCAATAGCCAGTGCCATGGTGTACGGCTTCGAAGATGTTTGTCTCCGTCATCGTGCGTTCTGTTCCTAGTCTGACGGAAGGCATCAGATCCCGCCGTCCGCATCGCTCCAGTGGACACCATGTTTCGATGACTTCACCTGCGCGAACCTCATAGTGCCGCTAGATTACGACGACGTATCCGCCGGCGAAACCACAATCGCCTTTATTCAGCAAGCATCAAACCTCACCGACGCTCAAGATATTCTCATCAACCCCGGCGGACCAGGCGCCTCAGGGGTGGGCACCCTGCTCGCAGCCGCGCAGCTCTTCCGACCGTACCTGGGCCAGAAGCACAACATCATCAGTTTTGATCCGCGCGGCGTCAACAACTCGGGCCTACGTCTCGACTGCCTCCCAGACGCGCCGGCAGTCGCGCAATACTATGACAGCCAGATCCTGCAACCCGTAGATCCGGAAAGCGATGCATCCATCTCGGAGGCCTATACGCTCGCCGACGGCTTCGGGCAGTTATGTTCCAACGCCCATCGAGATGACGAAGCAGGCTACGCCAACTCCGTGGCCGTGGCCGGGGACATTGTTGCATTTCGCAAAGCTGCGGGCGCCGAATACGTCGGAGGCCGATGTACTATCTACTCGTCGCCGTGTACGATTCTGTGACGAATTTCCCTGTCGTCGCAACCATCATGGAGCAGCTCGAGCATCGCAACGCCAGCACCTTCGTGTCCACGGCCAGGCTCGGGCTGGCGCCGGAGTCTTCTTGCGACTTCAGCGGCCTGACCACCTCGGCCCTGCAGACCAAGTCGCTGATCCAGTGCCACGATGCGGACGGCCGCTACATACTCGACAGCGTCGGCGAGTGGGCCGAGCACGTCGGCTACCTGGTCAACCAGTCCGCCTACGTGGGCGCGGCCTGGGCTTTCGCGGGCGGAATTTGCCAGAGCTACGACGTCCGCGCGCCTCCGAACCAGGTGTTCAGGGGCTACGCGCCGGGCACGAAGACGGCTACGCCGATGCTGTTCGTGCGTAACACGCCGGACCCCGTCACGCCGGCCGCGGAAAAGATGCGGCGGTTCTTCGACGACAGCGCTATGCTAACGCTGGACGCTGTCGGTCACCCGTCCATCCTATTCAAAAGCCAGTGCATGAGCAACAGGGTCCGGATGTTGTTGCACGCACATCCCTAACCCTGGTTTGCAACCACTTTCTAGAATGCTTAAATAGTTAGATTTCTTTTATTTCCTTCTTTTAAACTACTCTTAGGAGATAAATGCTTTTATAATTATGCTTTTAAATCCCTTACAATACTTATAGCCTTTTATAATTATAAGCTTAGTTTACATAAAACAATCTTTTCTTTTTATAAATTATAAATAAGTTATATAAAGCATATCTTAATTACATTTATTTTATATTATTCATTTCCTTTTATTTTTAAGCATATATTTATATAATGGCTATAAATACTTCTTTAAACCTTATTAATTAAGTAATTTATTTAAATACCTATTTCTTTCCTACTTAATTTATTATATTATAATTTTATTACTAAATTAAGGGGTATTAAGAATTTATAAACCTTAATGCATTAAACGCAGCCCTTTTTAAGCAATTAAATATAATTTTAAAACTAAATTCCTAATTTACATAATATAAAAAGAAAAAAAAAATATTTAAAAAGCTTTATATAATAAGTATTAAGAGCGTTTAAGCAATAATAAGCTTTTAAAAGATAAAATAGCACTTATTTTATTTTCTCCCTTATCCTTTAATAAATTAAAAAAAGAATATAATTAATATCTTTAATAATAAGTTGCCCTAGCTTTTAATAAGGTAATTAAATTTAATAAAAGATAAAAAATTTAAGAATAAATATAAAAAATAGTATTTAGCTTAATTCTCTCCTTATATTTAATTAAAATAATAAATATAAAATAGTTTTTTATTTAATAAGTAGTTTAAAATATTAAAAATAACTTCTTACTTTTTAAGTTAAGTATAATAAATATCCTTTAAACTTAATATTAGCAATACTTAAAAAAAGCAAAGAAACTAAGTATTAAACTATAATAATAATATTAAGACTTTATAAATTTATATTTATAAGCTTATATTTATAAATTATTTAAAATTAAGGAATTTACTAATTTAAATAACTTTTTATAAATAATTATAATATATATTACCCTTAATTAAGTAATTTTTAAGCGCTAAGAATTTATTAAATAAAATACATTAAGAAATTTAATTTATTTCTTAAAAACTTTATTTAAAAAATTAGCAGCATTCTTATATTATAATAAGCTTATATTAACCTTTAGGAATATTATAATATTTATTATATTAAAACTAAAAGTATCTTTTAAAATAAGGAATAATTAATTAAAAAAGTAATTAAGAAATAAAAATGCATTATCTTAATTACATTAATAAAATAAAATATATAAATGCCCTTATTAAAAAATTAATTAATAAAAGAAATATACTTAACCTTTTGCTAATTATTATTATCTTTATTTTATGCTTTTAAGGGAATAAATCCTAAAGCTAAAAATACCTTTAAGGGAATTTAAATATAATAAAATTAAAATATAATTACAAAAAAATTATTATAAGAATTTAATTTAAAAGCTTACTTAAAAAAACCTTTTGCCTAAAGATTAAATATAAAGCTTATTAAGAATATTAAAAACCCCCTTAAGCGCGTTTTTAAAAGCTATTAAGAAATAAAATCTTAATTTCCTTCTTTAATTTTATTTTTCTTTATAAAATAAACTTATACTTTCTTAAACCTTAATTTTAAAAAACTAATTAATTAATAATACCTTTATTATATTTTTATTAACTCTTTATTAATTTATTTATACTTTAATTAATTTATTATAATTATTAATTATAATTAATTCCTTAAAAATATATATAACTTTAAATTTTATGCTATATTTTTTATTTTTAAGCATAATTTTAAATAATTGCAGCACTATTTACCTTATTAACTTAATTAATTATCTAGTTTTAAGTACCTTTAGAAAAGCTATTAAGATAAATATTATTAAAGCAAGAACCTTATTCCTAAAGGTTTTAAGCTATGGAATAAGACGCTTTAAAAACATATTATATAAAGCGAATAGAAAAAGGATTAAGAATTTAATTCTGGAAAACGTAGCAGTTATAAATAAATTTTATATTAATATAATATTAAAAGCGCTCTTATAAAAATCAAGTATTTAATATTATAAAATTAATTTAATGCTATGCTTTAAATTACTTAAATAAAGCATTATTCTTCTTAAACTTATTTAATAATATAATTTAGTTTTTCTTAAATATATATTATTATATTTCCTTTATTTCTACCTTTTATTGCAAATACTTATAAGCGTTATAAGTATATATAGGCCTATAATTTTTTAATAAACTTAATAAAACCTTTTAAGCCCTCTTAATACTTAAATAAGGATTAAAAGGACTTAATAATTCTTTAGCATTTTTAATTTAAATACTTAGGGGCCAATGCTTTTAAATTGCTAATTTAATATACTTAAGATATAAAATTTAAGGGAATTAAATAAATTAACTATAAGAATTGCTTTAAAGCCTTTGTTAAAAAGGTAGTTTAACGCGAGCTATTAAAAGGCAAGAGCTTAAAACCCTTTTTTTAAATTTTATAAAACTTATTTTATTATTTATAAGCATTAAATAAGTTAAATTATAAGCTTATAATAATAAATAAGTTCTTAAGATTTATTTATATCTTTCCCCTTATATTAAAGACTTAAGAATAAGTATTTAATACTTTTTATGCTTATAAGAATTAGGTAAAATGGTAATATAGTTTAAATATTTATAAAATTAAATAAAATGCTAAGGCTGCAATAATTAGCTAGTTTATAAATATTAAATATATTAAATAAGTAAAATAAGAAGGTATTAATTTAAAACTTACTCCCCCTTAAACCTTGGAAGTAAATAGCGTTGCGAAAAGGGTTAGTAAAGTAATAATTAAATATATTTTGGCTATGCTATTAAGGGCTAATTTACCTTTTAACCTTTAGCTAAAAGTAATACAAGCTGCAACTTAATTGCATAATATATTGCTTGCTTTAAGGAAAAGGGGGCGCGCCTTAAATACTTTTTTATATATATAATTTTCCTATTATTTTTAGTAGTTTAAACTAGCTTAGATTTACCATTTTACAACTTATTTATTACCCCATTAAGGTAATATTTATATTTATAAGTATAAAGCATATATACTTAAAAAGAAATATAAAAATAATATAAAGAAATACTTTATAAAAGAGGAACTAAAGGCTTATATTAAGTATTTAATTAATTATATAGCGTTTAATATTTTTTAAATTTAAATTCCTTTACTTAAGTAAATAATCTTTATAAAGAATATATAATTTAATAAGAATATATTTTATAAATTAGCAATAAATAAAGTAAAAAATAAGCTTTTAACTTTTAAAGTAAAATTATTAAATATTAAGATTATTAATGTTAAGGAAATTTAAGATTATATTTATATTGCATTCTTAATACTTTATGCAAAAGATAACTTAATTAATTTAAATAATAAATTTAATACTTATTTTATATTAAGAAAGGATAAAATTAGCACTTTTGGTTAAAACTTAGGGGTAAGGACTCTTAAATTTAAAAGATAAAATCCGCTATGCATTACTTTTTTAAAAAGCTTAAGAAATTAAAAATAAAAACTTTTAATCCTTAAAAGGACCCTAAATATATTAAAATAGGGCTTTTATAAAGGGAAATATACTTTTATTAATAAAGCAAGGGCTAATAAACTTAAACCTTTTTTTTAAGAATTATATATGCTTAAAGCTATAGGAAATTAAGAATTTTCTTAATTAACGTAAATAAGGAGGATATAAGAATAAATTTAAGGGTTTAAACTTATAAAAAAATCTTTTTAAATATATAATTAAGATAAATACCCTTAGGAATCCTTTAATTAACTATTATATTTAATAAATGTGATTATGTTTTACCTTAATATAACCTTTTAAAGTAACTTTATAATTACTTTTTTACTTAATTAGCTTAAAAAATAAAAATAAAGGATACTTAAGGATTTATATTTTTTAACCTTAAATAATGTAATAGCAGCTGCTATTTAAGCTCTTAAGATTAAATTTAGGCCTTACTTAATATAGCAATACTATAAAAATCTCCCTTTAAAACTAATTATATAAAGAAAGGCTTAAAAAAGCCCTTTTTAAAATAAATAGCTTAAGATAATGCATTAAGAAATGCAAAGCCTTATTAAGCTTAATATTTAAAGGACTATTAAGTGCTAAAAAGCAGAATTAATATCGCTATTCTTAAAATAAGTATATAAATATAAGCTTAATAAGGATAGAATAATTAAATCTTTTAAGGCGCGAATTTGCATTTAAGGAAACTTGCAACCTTATTTTATTATAAAAAGCATATATACCGCAACCCTAGCTGCAAAATCATTCCATATAATAATGGTAATTACTATGCATTTTAATTTAAAGATTTAATAATTTAACGTTATAATTATATTCCTAAATGCTAGCTAAAAAGGGTTAAATTAAATTTATTATAAATTGCTTAATAAATTTAAGGAATTGGGAAAATATAAAGTGCTCTTAAGGGCACTTTATAAACTTAAAAACTCCTTATTTCTTTAATATAAAGATTTTAACCGCATATTACAAAATCTAAGCTTAAAACCCTTTTTAAAAAAGCCGTGCCTTTTTATCAACCCAGCCTATAAGGTAGCAATCCTTTTTTATATAAATAATATTTTAGTTATATATCCTAAAGATAAATATAAATCCTTTATAAGAATTAAAAATGAAATTTAATTTACATATAAAATAAAGGATTAAGAGAAGGCTTAATGGTTTCTAGGCATATAAATTCTTAAAGATTGGAAAAAGCACATTATAATACTTCTTTATAACTTATATATTGAAAAGATAGCAAATAAATATAACTTATTAAGGAGTGAAAATCTTTTACTATTTACTTTAATGCTTAAAGAGAAACTTAAGCTTTTTTTTAAATAAGCCTTAAAATAAAAGATTTAAAAGTTTTAAGAAAAAGTTAATTTTATCCTTTATATAATAATTATAATATGCTTAAATATAGCATTTCCTTGCTTTATATTATTAAGATTTCTTATAAACTTAGGTTTAAGTTACCTTAAGGCAGCAAATTATATAATTTAATATTTATATGCTATTTAATTCCTTAAATTATAATTTAAAGGGAATTAAAAAGCTTAAGCGCTTTTAATAGCTAAAAATGCTTTATTTATTAATAATAAGGAAAATTAAAAATCTTTCTAAGGGTATATAATAACCCTTTTTAAGGGCCTTATATATTAAAAAACGTATAAATAAGCAATTATTTCTACTTTAACCACTAAGGCTAAATTATTAGCTTTAAAGCTTATAGCTAAAGAAATAATAGCTTTAAAACGCCTATTTAAAAATATAACCTTAAATTTAAGCAAGCCTTAAATTATTTATTGCAATAATTAAATAATTATATACTTAATTATTAATAAGTATAAATAGCTAAAAATAAGGCTTAAGTATATGGATATTTAATAAATATAATTAAAATAGGAATTTAAAAGAGGTACTTTTAATATTATATACTTAAAAATTAAAAAGATGCTAATAAATAAATTTATTAAAGTTTTATTATGCGTTTAATTTAAATATTTTAAAGCTTTTTTAAATCTTTAAAATATAAAAAAAGTAATAAAAAGGAATTAATTTATTTACTAATTATTCTTATTATTAAGTTTTTATTAAAAATTTTAAAAATTATATTTTTTAAAAATTATAATATAATCTTTATATAAAAATTATTTTATAATTAAAAATTACTTTTTAACCTTTATAATAATATATTAATTAATTTAAAACCTTTTTTTAATTATTATAATAACCTTTTAATTTTTTTAAAAATTTTTTTTAACTTTTAATTAAATTCTTAATTATAGTTTTAAATTAAGATTTAATAATATTTACTCCTTAATATTATTTTTAAAATTAAAAGGCTTAATTATAATAATAATGCAATCCTTATACTTTTTTATAATTTTTAAGTTATTAATAACTTAATCTTAAAGCTTTTAAGCCTTTATATTAGCTTTATTATATTGCTTTAAAGTAATTATAATTTAAGCTTTAAGGCGCTTTATTATATTCTTATATTTATTCTTTTTAACCTTTAAAAGCTATTATTATAAGGTAGAAATCTTTTAAGTATTAAAAGGAATTATAAGAATGTAATTAATATAAGCTAAATTAAACTTTCTATGCTTATATATATTTAAAGCCTCCTTTTAAATATATTAAGACTTTTTAAATGCTAAGGAATTGCTAAATTAAATGCAATAAAGATAGAGTATAAATAATAAAAGGGATATTAAAAGCAACTTATAGGAATTGCCTTAAGTATAATAATAATAATAATTACCTTTATTATTATAATTTATGTAAAAATTATTATTATAGTTATATATAAGGCTTTTAATATAAGAGAGATAAGGAATATAATGCTTATTAATCTTTTTAAGCTTTTTTATATTTTCCTTCTTTTTTTTATACTTTATCTTAACTTTTTTCTTAAAAAGGCATTTTACTTTAAGCTTTAAGCTATTTAAATATGCTTAAAGGTTTTTTAAAGCTATATTAAAAATTAATATATGCTTTAAAATTAATTTTTAAATTAATTAAAAAACTTACTTTTAGGCATATTATTTAATAGCATTTTAATAAAAGTATTAAAGCTTTTATTATCCTTATTAATAAGCTTTTCATTAATTTAGCTATATTTATATTTCTTTTTTTAAACCTTAAAAATAAGAGAAGGTAAAATAGCTTGCGGCTTAAAAGCTTATTTTTTATTGCTTTTAGCTATCTTTAATATAATTAAAAAAATGCTTAAAATTAATAAAAATAAGTATTTTTAAATATAAATTTAATTAAAAAAGTTTAAAAAAGAGCTTTAATTATTAATTATAGGCTGCGCTATAAGGCTATAAATAGCTAAAGTTTAAGTAATAAAGTATATATATTATAGGAAAGGTTAAATGATTAACTGCTTAACGGGCTATAGTTAATGTTTTTAAGTATAAATTAGCTGCTTAAAAAAGTAGGGCAGTTAATAAGGCAGAAACCACCTTTTAATTAGGGGGTGTATTATATGCACATCCCTAACCCTGGTTTGTAATTACTTTTTGGAATGCTTAAATAATTAAATTTCTTTTATTTCCTCCTTTTAAACTACTCTTAGGAGATAAACGCTTTTATAATCATGCTTTTAAACCCCTCACGACACTTGTAGCCTTCCACAGATGTACTTTGAAAATGGAGTCTTGCCCGAGGAGGGACTGGTGTGCAAGGCTGACGTCCTGCCATTTTTGAACGGGTAGTGAAGATTTAGGCGCCTATAACATGTCTTCCTCGGTCCGTATCTAAATTTTGCCAAAACATCGGTGCTCTTACCAGAATAATCAAAGACGAAAATCCAGTTTCTTGATGTTTATCATGTCTTGATCAATTCGGAACATAGGCAATGAACACCATTTCATATATTCAAGGACTTCAGAAGCTCCAATTGATCAAACACTGACGGCAAACCCTCGCTATACAATTATTGCTCGCACACCAAGACTTTCGTGCTTAGGCATTGGCACCAGTGCCTCCCAATCGTAACGGACGTCCTTTGAGAAGTTGTCGTTAGCACGAGGTGAAAGAAGAGCCTCTGAAGTATTACACAGAGTAATTTGAGCAGAAACCGCTTGGGGTGGCGTTTTTGATCGAGAAGAGAAGACTCATATGGACATGGGGACCTGATTTACCTCCTCCGTTGTCTCATACAGACGCATGTGTGGAAACACACGCAAGGTTAAAGCAGCCGTGGCCAGATAGAGTTCACAAAGACCCAGACTTTGGACTATATGTCAGCTTCTCGGCTTGCAAAACGATAAGAGCAGTGAAGCTGTGAGAAGTGCTTACTTCATCCCTAAACAAATTCTGCTTCCCTTCGAAAAAGCTGCTTTTCTTAGTTTGGAACAATACAGGTGTCCTGGCCAGTCGGTCACTCACCGAGAAACCCCCGATCGAGCTCCTTTCTATGCTGGAGATCCAGCCAGCGCTCGGGTTGGAACTTGTGCGACTCTGGAAACAACGTCTCGTCGTGGTGAGAGATAAAGGCGGACATCCCAATCGCGTACCCCCGCGGTATCACGTATCGAAGGGGTTGTCTCTGCCACCGGCCTCGGTATACCAGGTCCTCCTCGGTCGCGATCCGGGATGACCTACCTGATGCCCCATAGGAGAGACGTAGACCCTCTTGGACTACACTGTTAAGGTATGGAAGCTTCTCCAGCGTGGCCCAGTGTGGCAGGTTCTGAGGGTTGGGGATTGCTTCTTTGAGTTCTTGCGTCAAGGTGTCAAAGATCTCAGGGTTCGCTAGGATATGATATGTCAAGACACTGAGACACCTGGATAGTTGTCAGTAAATCTCCACCATTTCCCCATCGAACACAGGCATCAGAAGCGATAAGGGCTGTCTCGCTCCCGCGTGTCTGGCGACTTTTGAAAGAACAGAGAGGAAAGAATCAAAAGTCGGTCGGAGAGCATAAGCATTTGGAGAAGTACCCACCAGGCTGTCGTCTCAGTACCGGCTCCTAGAAGGCCCAAAACCTCTGCATACATACGATCGGGGGCTTTTTCCTCTTTGCTCAAATTAGATTCCATTAGGGCCTTGACGAAAATCGGGCGCGGGCAGTCGACCCCGGCTTTCAGATCCTCGGTGGTCTTTGTGACCAGCTTGGGTATGTCGATTTGCATGGTGCGTATGAATAGCGCCGTATCCTCGGGCAGATATTCCAGAAACCTGGGCAGGTCTATCAGCAAACATCACATCGGTTTCAATCTCCACCTTCAGACCAACCTACCATACGCCGAGATTCGCCAGGCTCTTCAAGAAAGGAAAGAAGCGGAACAAGAACCAGTTTTTCAGCATGGCCAGGTTGCACTCTCTAAAGTTGGGTCCCCACCCGGGTTGGTCCAAGAGGTTGAAACTCTCGCCGAAGCAGTAGGCCGAAATGACATCGGTGGACAGGTTGCTGTATGCTATGGTCAAGTCGAAGGGCGTCCTGTTGCCTCTCTGGGCCATGATCTTGTCACAGAGCCGCTGGGTGAGCGCTGCAATGTCTTCTTCAAGGCTCATGATAACCGACCGCGAGAAGAACTTGGCAACCGGCGCTCGTCGAATGCGGTGGAGATCGTGGTCTACCGTGCCAAATTCAGCCTTGGTGCCGCTGTTTCACACAAAGGGGAGTCAGTGGGTGCGAAATGTCACGGACCATTTTGAAGGAGCACATATATACTGACACGGCGACGCTGTTGATTTGATGGAGTGTCCTGTCACGCTTACGTCCACCAACAGCGTATATTTCGTCCGAAAAGCTAGGGTCACTGCAATGGACCTCGTCGGGACTTATGCGAACCAAGGGACCTGTCTCGGCTGTTAGCTCTGGGAAACAAGGAGTTGTGCTTCTTAGTCTCACCATATTTCTCGTGCATGTCACGGATCTTGGTAGTATATCTTCCGAGACAAATGACATCGTAATAGAACTCGGGAAAGTAGGTTGCTGCCGCCAGCTTGGGGCCGGGGATCGGGCTCAAGGGGTGTAACGGGGAGACGTTGTAGAGGATCAGAAGTAGGCGGTACCCTAGGAAAATGACCACAATTGTAGCTAGTATTCCAGCTGGGTCACGACCAAAGAGAGAAATGATAGAATCCATGGTTGCCAGGATGTGATAATGCGGTACTTGAAACTGGTCTCAGTCTCGACGAGGGAGAGGGGATTCGGACACCTTTGTATAAGAGTCCATCGTGGCTTTGCTTAAACCTGAGCTTTTGCGGTGAGGGGCTCGTGTCTCAAAGCAATATATTTTCTATATCTAAGCGCCCACTTCCCGTTGGGCCGTAGCCTGCACGTGTTTGGGCACCTGGCGTGCTGTGATTGTGATACAGCTCCCCAGGATCCCAAATGTTTCCCTGCAAATGCATGCAGCCCTTACCTTTTTTGGAGGAGGTAACTTAGCCATATACTTTGGCTGTAAAAGTACAGATCTTCGATAATTCTGGAGAAACCCACTGTTCCTCAACATGTTCTTCCAGTAAGAAATCTTGGTCAGAAAGACTTCGCCACAAACGGGCCAATCATGAACTGCGTGACAGGGAAACATTTGGGATCCTGGGGAGCTGTAGTTGTGCAACCAGACCGACGAACAGTTTAGGTTACTGTTGAAATGTAACTCTGGGTACTAAGACTGAGCATGCTGACATGCAGCAAGCGATAGCAGAAACTGGGAAAAGAGCCGATGCTGAACCTGTGGAGCCAAGAAAGATCGTCTGCTGATCAAGTCTGGCATACATACTGACCTGCAGACATGTTCGACTGAGGAGCAAGATGCCGAGGAAGCGTTCTACTATTCAGATCCAGTGCTGCGAGCCGATGAGGGTCGAACCCTAGCGTGGGACCCCCCTGTCCTTGCAGTTGGCCACAGCTCCAAAAGAACGCATTGTGCTCGTCATGATGATATCAACTCACAGAAGAGAAGCCTCACTTTTGCGCAGACTACAAATTAGAACCTCAATCGCCTTCCCCCGGCCAGCGACAGGATCAAGGAAACCTCCACCCCCAGAAACAATCGCCCACTTCTCCCAAGACACGGTATCTGCTGCAGTCAGTATGGGCTCCGGCGCATCCAAGTCCGCCGCGCAGAGCACTATTCGCAAATTCCCAAACAGAGCTCCTGGGTCAGCAGTGCCACCACCCTCGACGGGATCCTCCGCCTCCAGAGCGGCTGCGGCGTCAAGACCACCGCCGAGCCGAAAGGCCCAGGCCCCAAAGGCGTCGCTGGCAAAGGATGAAGGTCCGTCACCGTGCTGCTCGGCACCGCCTCCCCACGGGGAGCCCCGGCCCAATAGAGAGACCCTTTGCTAACGACGACGCGGGCGTGAAACAGCGATCCTCCGAGACGGCTCCGACCCGCACATGTCGATGTCGCCACCCCCAGACAGCAGCCTGCAGCCGGGCCTCGCCGAGCGGCTGCGCCAGATAGGCGTCGTCCAGCCCAACCCCGACCTACTCGCCGTCGTCGACCGCATCCCCGACGTCGTCACAGCCCGCCCATGAGCAGCCCTCCGGCGGGGGCCCGGTCTTCCCGTCGCCGTCCAACAACGCCGTCCTGTCCGCGCTCGAGGCCCGCGAGAGGCTGGCCCGCGAGGCCGAAGAGGAGTTCGATGGCCTCGGGGTGTCAGGCGGCCAGGGCCGGAGGTTCCTCACGTCGGGCATGATCCAGGACGTGCTCGTCATGCGGGAGCGGGGCGCGGCCGACGGGGAAATCGAACACCGCTTCAACCTGAGGAGGGGTGTGGTGAGGAAGCTGGGCCCTAGGAGTCTGTTCCAGCCTGTTGGGGGGCCCGCGCCCTGAGGCGGTCGGCCCGGCGCCATGCTGGTATGGCCCCTTGTGGGACGCAGAAATATTTACAGAAATATTTAGCAGCCGAGGCACGCCTAGTCTGTGGTGGATTGATCGTCTCACAGCAGGAAACCATCTACAGATTCCAGCATCTTCGCTGTGACGAGCCACTTCACAACTTGAATTGGTCCAGAGAAGCACAGTGGAGACCGCTACTGCATTTCAACTACTTCGGACAGGAAAGGACATCCAGATCCTTCAGCAAGGACTGAGATGACAGTGCCATGCAATGCACTCTGGGAAACCTTTGGAGGCGAGGCAAGAAAAGTGATGGGTGCCCAAAGAGAGGGTCAAAGAGAAAGGTGTTGATATACGCCGTCTTGAGGGGTCTACTGCAGTCATTTGTGTCTCTTTGGAGCAGGGAATTAGCGTCAGCTGTGTGTATTGCCACCCAGCATTGACTGGATGTGCTAAATCCCAACTACAAAAACAACATATCATCAACTGCTCGCGTGCGGATGTGTTACATTACAGAGGAAAATGGATGCACCCACGCCTCTGCGTGTGGTTTGGCCCTTTAAAAGCGACTTCCTGGATTTTCAACAGGATGTAAGTAGATGTTCATTTGGTGCCACCGGTCTTTTGAAGCCTACATGAGGCATGTAGCGGATAGGGCCGAATTCAAGACAGACACAGTAGTAGTCGATGATGCTCAATTGTTGCCCAATTCATTATGACTTGCGAGTTCCACTGCCCATGAGAGACAACTGAGAATTTTGGATGTAATAGAAAACCATCGCACCATGCTGAGCAAGTTTGATAAATGCAACGCCCAAAAATCATTTGCCGTTCCCAACTTGCCCTGAACGGTCATGGCCAGAAAACCTCCCCAACACCCAAATCCACATGCTGCATCCAACGTACGAGGACGCATGAATCATCCCATGTCCCGATACCAAACTCTCTAGCACGAAATCCCCACTCCCTGGCACGACTGTCCCAAGACCACGTGCTAGGGATGCCTTACCAGGCAGTATGACCTCCATCCATGCGAAGGTCTGCGCCAGTCATGAAGCTCGAAGCGTCACTCAGGAGAAAGACAGCCGCACCACGGTACTCCTCTGGGTAGCTCAGCCTGCCCAACATGTTCTGCTTGGGCCAATTCTCCTTCCTGTTGGGGAACTGCTCGAAAAGGGGTGCTGTCATTGCAGTCACGATGTAGCCCGGGGAAATAGTGTTCACACGGATGCCATGAGGTCCCCACTCCATGGCCAAGTTCCGCGCGAGCTGGATCACGCCGGCCTTGGAGGCGTTGTATGCTCTGTATCCTGGTCAGCATGTGATTGTGATAAAGTCTAAGTGGCATGACTCACGGGCAGATCAATCCCTTGTTCGCCACCGTCCCGCTCATGCTGCCGATGAACACCATCGATCCCGGCCGGTCCAGCCTCCGCATCTGCCTGGCCACGGCCTGCGCCGTCATGAAGACACCGGTGATGTTGATGCCAAACATCTTGTCGGCGTCCTCCATGGTGTACTCCAGAGCGGGTGTCTCCTGCTGGATGCCGGCGCACGCGAGAAGCCCGTCGATGCGGCCATTCTCATCAGCGATCCTCTCGATGGTCGCGTTCAGGCTGATGTTATCACGAACATCGATGCGGTTGAAAGTGACGCTAGTTCCGAGCTCCTTGGCGCGCTCCTGCACGCGGTGGAAGTCTGGGTCGGGCCTCTCCAGGCGGTCGAGGGTGTAGACCTTTGCGCCGGCTTCGAGGAGGGCCTCGCTTTGAACGAGGCCCAGCCCGCGGCCGGCTCCGGTGACGATGATGACTTTGTCTCTCAGACTGAACTCGGGCAGTCGGCCGGTGTTCTCGAAAGTGAGCCCATTGCTCCGGCTGGCCGTCGCGTGGAACTGTCTGGGCCGTGAAGGGGCTGGTGACGTTGTCGTGGGGGCCATGAAGATGCTGGGGCTGTTCACCACTGCTCGGCCAGCCAAGGGCAACCTGGGAAGGAGCCTTGGGGCCACAGCCCTGGGAGCCAGTCTACTGATCACTCCTGACATTTTGCTGTGTCTTTCCTGCGTGAGTGTGAGTAAGCGTTGGAATTGCTGATTGGTGTCCTGATGGGTTGGTCTCCTGTGGTCTTTTGTGATCTTTTATGGTCTTTTATGGTTGGCTTGACCAGGGCTTGGTCTTGGGCAAAGGAGTGATGTGCGCGCGGTGTAGGGATATGAAGCGACTCACACCTGAGCAGGCAGGACCACAGCAAGACTGATAAGGAAGGAGAGTGAGTGTGAGTTTCTCGTGATGTGGGTCAGCCACCAACAGTGTCCAAAAGACGTCACAACTTCAAAGTCTTCAGATCTCGGGGTATTGCCAGGCTTTGTACCCGAACGGGATTCCCTTTGCGAGAAAGGCGCCGTGTGTAGTCCAGGTGGGCGGGAGTTGATGGATCTTCGACACCGGAGGAGGTTGCCCGCCCTCGAAGCCGAGCCAGGCAAGGAGTAGCTCCTCTTGTCGTTCTTTCCTCGCCTTCGGTTCCTGCCGTATGTCTGCTGGGCGTGCTAGTTCCCCTAGTCCCTAACCCCTCTCGCCGCTGCCGTTTTGGCCTGCTTCGGCCTGCCGTTGTGGGCATTGGCGGGGCCCGAGGGGATGGTCGACCGCGAAGGCGAAGTCCAGGCTCTAGAGAGCCCGTTTGTCTTGGCAGTTCTTCTCCCGCTGCACTGGCCATTGGGCTCAACCAGCATTGAGTTTCACTGCAATGCAACATCGGCCAGTTGTCCCGTGAGAACGAGGACAGCTGACCTGTCAATTCCTCCTGGGGGGCTATAATAGCAGGCTACTCCGGCATGAGGATGCTTCTCTCGTCCAAGTGTCCAAGTTTACCCGGCACTCATCCGCCTCTGCCTGGCATGTCTGTCCGTGGTGGGGTGGACAATGGACTGTCGTCGACCTCGAATGTGGGGCACCAGAGGGGATCTGGGAGCGGGTCTGGGGTACGTCGAGATCGCCCAGCGGGTTCCTGTTTACGGTAATCCGAGACATGATCCGTCGGCCTCCTCCCTCCCTCTACGTAGGTCTCCTCGTTCTCGACGTCAACTCACCCCGTTCGGAGCATCCAGACAACCTTGGCCCTGTCATTCTGGCGCTGACGCTGCTACTAAGTAGCACCCGGCGCTGGCTTGCACTTCATCTGTCCCACGTGGAGCAGCTCAAACTACCTGGCTCCCTCATTCGAAGTCAGCCCTACGCTTTAGATCACACATACTCGTCTGTCTGCGTCACTAGTAACCGTTTGCAAATCCCAGGCCGGGTGGTCTGCCGGGTCTAGCATCTGTCCATCTCTGGCTGCATGCAAGTATCTATAGTACATATGTGGACTGTATATGCATGTGGGTTGCATCTGCAATCCACTGCACATGCGCCTACTTATGTATGGCTTGCATGCTGCGACTTGCCTGCTTGCTAGACGAGTGTCACGCCAACTGATGCAGTACTGAGCAAACGTGGCCAGTCATCTGTCCTCATACCCAGTTTCTTACCCTCAGTCTCACAAAAAGCGATACGGAGGCCCATCTTTTCAAAGGACGATCATGTATACACCTGTGAACTGTCAATTTCATCTAAGCCTCCATCACGGACTGGGTCAGCCGGTCCGTCCTGCAGCCCCCTTCCCAGATACCTGTGGGCCCTCTTACACGCGGCTCACATCACTTGCACTTGAGTCGCATACGAGACAATGCCCATCAACTCGGTCGACCTGTAGACAACACTTCATTGTGTGTCGATCAGACACCATCGTGTAACCTCAGTCCTTCGACCTTCATCAGAGTGGACGCCATGATGACCTCCGTCAAGTCGCCCTGGTCAACACGCGAATATCGGTAAAATCTGCTGGGTCAAGCACCGGTTCCCCTCGCCCAAAAGCGTAGACACCAAACATGACACCAGTGAAGGCGCCACCGACTGGCGGCATGATTGTCAAGTCCTCTGCAGAGCAGGAGACATGCGCCTGGCTGCCCCCTTGCCCTTGGCCTAAACTCAGCGTGTACGTGCTGCCTTCACAGACGAGGGTGAGCTTGACGGGCACGGTCGTGTTAGGGGCCGTCGCCACACTGGCTGAGATATCCCTCGATGTCGTCTGTGACAGAGACAGTTCAGCATCACTGCACGTATTCCACAGTCTCGGGAAAGGGAGCCTCACCTCAAATTCACCCGGTCGTCCTTTGGGGGTTCGGCATACGAGGCGTGGTCCCGTGGGGTCGCTGATGATCCCACCACGTATGACACCGATGGTGGCGTACGAGAATTGACTCCACCATAGCACAAGACCAGCTTCACAGCCTAACCTCTGGATGTTGAATTCCATAGTGACTTCAAATGTCTGGAAGTAAGACGTCTGCTTCCTAAGGAGCATGGCGGGAGCCTCTGGACTCGAAAGGTCATAGCAGTTCCCCCAAAGCCGGAGGTAACCAGGCCTCTCGGTGAGCGAGTATGGCTGCTTCAGCGGTGTGTCTGTAGACAGAGAGAGTGTCAAATTGGACCACTGGAACATAAGTGTGTCGTAATGTGTGGAAAGCCACTCACTCTTCTGGTACCAACCGAGTTCGAGGTTGGGTCCCTTGAGATCCGCCTGCCACTCCAATGGCACGTCGGCTGGCCGAACTCGCTCTGCTTGTGAGTCTCGTCCTCGTGTCAGAAGGGTGATATTCCTGCCTTCGTTGAAGACCGGCCAGTCGTCAACCCAATCTACCTTCACCAGGAACGTCTCTCGGCCTAGGATGCACCCAGACTAGTCAGAGCTTTCACACGCCACAATCTTTGTTAGATCAAAGCAAGAGGTGAAAAGCTAATACTGACCCAGCTGCGGCTCCAGCCATTTCTTCATCTTCTCATCCATCAACGGCCTCACCCCGAGCAGAACCGCCCACCAGCCGCCCCGCCCGTCTTCAAAGACGTCCGCATGGCCGGTCCTCTGGACCTCCTCGTCGGGGCCGTTGTACCACAGCGGCCCGTCCTGGCCCTCCCACGGACCGAGCACGCCCTCGCGGCTGCGGAAGACCCACTCCTGGTGGCCCGCCTCGGTGCCGCCCTCTGCGGTGAAGAGGTAGTAAAACCCGTTGCGCTTGATGATGTGCGAGCCCTCCGCGATCCCGTGCGGGGACTTGCGGATCACGGCCGGCGGCGTGAGGGTCCGGCCTGTGGGGAGGTCGATCTCGCTGATGTGGATGGCGAAGTCTTTCTGCTTGGAGTCTGGGGCGCGGTCCGAGAGTCTTGTGGTTGTTGAGAGGTACACCTTGCCGTCGTCATCCCAGAATAGCTATGCGTGAGGGTAAGTTTCATATGAGCAGCAGAAAGAGGAACAGGACATGGGTTTGGTGGTCTCAGTCCAAGGGCGGTACCTACGTCTTGATCAAAGCCAGGGTTGTCAAAGTAAACCGGATCAGACCAGGCGTTGTCGTCCCAAATATTATCTGTAAACACATAAAACCCTCGAGGGAAGATGCGTTCCTATAGAGTACACAAGAGTAAGCTGCCATTCTCCCACGGCAGACAGTGCGTCACTCACATCAGTCGCAGGCCTGTACCTCTGAAAGAGGCAATTGGCAAGATACCACCTTTTCTCCCCAGCACGGTAACGCAACGTGCTGGCCCAGCTGCCTGCGCCGGGCTCGACGGTCCGGAGCTCGATCTGGCTCCTCCTGTTCAGCGCGTGGCCGATGAGCTTCCAGTTGAGCAGGTCTGTCGATGTGTAGATTGCGCACCCCGGGAAGTATTCGAATGTCGAGGTGCTCAAAAAATACGTCGCGGGGGTATCACCGCTCGGCGGAACAACACAGATGGTCGGGTCCGGGTTGAAGCCGCGGAGGACGGGGTTGCGGAAGGTGAGCGGGTCCGAGGGGTCTGTAGGATCGGGTGAGGACGCTGCACCGCGAACTGGGTCCGACATGACGGCGGATCTTGCTACAATTTTGCACGGACAAATTTCTCAGGTCGATGTTTGTGAGGATCACGTCCGGTTTTCCACCTTCCGATGCGCCAATTTTCTTTAGTAGTTGGTCGTCTGTCTACCTCTTCGGGTGGTAGTGGCTGGCACCTCGGGCCGTATTTGGCCGTCGGAATCAGGAGAGCTGCAGGAGTCTCTCCACCAGGGCGATTAGGGAAAAGGAGGGGGCCAGTAGACTATGCATGAAAACAAAGCTTCAGATTCCTACCTGTTTTATGATAGGTCCTCAGCCGGTAAATGATGTGACGGGGAGTCATTTGGTAACCTCAGGCCGGCTCCTCGAATGTGAGTCGGCGCTCAGCTAGCATCGCTTCCTTTGGATTTGCTCCTCGAAAGGCTTCTCAAAACATACAGTATATTTCCCCATCACAAGCTTTCGACGGAGGACCTTTCCCAGGTATCAGCACAAGTTCAGTCTCCCATGGCATCACGTTCACCGTGTATTGTTTTCTCAGGTGGCCCTTTCATGGCGCGCTATGCTCCGCGATCTGATAGTACCTAGATACTTAGCCTCATATAGAAGCCAAGAGACCAGTCGAACTCTGACCAACTTCCCAGAGGGCGACGCCGGCTCCGCCGAAGGCGTACGCGCGGTCATCGTCGACAACGTCCTGTATCGTGTCAAAGACTTTAGAGATGCCCTCGCTCGTGGGCAGGAACACTCTCCAAAACCCGGTCCCAGGCCTTTCCTCATAGTCGAAATAAAATTCACCGTCCGTTTCCGACTTGAGGACCTGCGCCTTTTTCTTCTTGATCATGTCCAATATCTCGGTCATGAGGACGGGTTCCCCAGCGCCTCTCAAGACGGGCGCGACTGCTTCAGCATCCGCCGGCCGCTTGACGAAGTCGCCCGATGTCTTGTCAACAAATAGCACAGGATACTTGTACCCATATAGAGGCATGCCCATGAGGAACTTCCTAGACGCCCACCTGGACTCTGCAGGTGACTGGGACGGATCCATGGCGCCCGCTTGGGACGCCTCGACAAATGCCACGAGATTGTCCCTGACCCAGTCGGCGCTTGTGTTCGGGCCAGGCTCACGAGCCTGCCCTTGAGTGATCGCCCGTCTGATCGAGCTGCCGTCCGGGAAGCCAGTGCCGTCATGTAGCTCTCGACCACCCGGGCCCGTCATGTCGTATGTCATGACGCTGAAATAATCGATATAATGCGAAAGGCCCGCGAGGGGTTGAACAATCACTGAAACATCTCAAATCAGTCGCTCTTTCACGAAGCACTCGTTAAAACAATTTGTTTGGCAAGCACATATGCATAACGAGGACTTCCAGGCTCGCTTGTCCCCGCTCGTGCCTGCTCAAATCCAATCTTGAAGCTGGCATGGAGATGTGAAGAATGAGAGAATGCAGCCCAGGACAAAATAGCTATAAAATCAAATTTGTGGAGAAAGGAAATGAGGAACCTTGCTTACTCGAGTTGTGGGCATCAGTCATGCCATCGCCAGGTGCCCGAACAGGCGGCATGACCAGTATCAAAAGCTTGTCTTTGGCATGTAACACCTCCGACAGTTTCGTGAGAGGGGGTCCCAGGGCGTAGGACGCGCCAGACTCGAAGACGACACCGTCGAATGACCTCTCGGTTACGACGTTCACGATGGCCTCTGAGAGCAGCCGCCATCTTGTCTCGTTGAAGACCAGGTTCTGGAAGTTGTCCTGGTCCCACCCGTCCAGAATAAACCGCGGCACAATCTGGAGCGGCTTCGCCGCGCCCGACGACGTGGTTGACTTCTGCAGCCTCTGGTACCACTCCTCATCTTCCTTGGCCGGCGGACCACCCCTGACGGCATACACCTCGTCGACGTTGGCCTCGTCCGCGTGGACGGTGTACCAGACGGGGCTGACGATATCAAATTTCTCCCGGTAGTCCTCCACCAGCTGCTTGCCGCGCGAGTTCCACGGCGTCACGTAGCCCAGCACGGGGAGGTCTGGGTGGCGCTTGGGGCCGCTCGACTCGACCGGCTCCGGCGCGGTCGGCTTCTGCGTGATCGGGATGCCGGTGCTCTGGGCTCCCGTGTTCGGCACCTGCACGATCGGCTTCTGCGTGGGCCCGCCTTGCTGGCACTGAGCTGCAAGTGCGAAGAAAGCGAGGACGATGGGAAAGTACCCAAGAGGCCCAAGCGCCCTCTTGCCGCATGCGATGGACATTTCGTTGTACCGGAGTGACTGTTCGTTTCGGGCGATGATCCCGGGGAAGCTTAATCACGAAGGGTATGCGACCTCGAGAGAGACTCTGCCTGGGTGGCCCTCTCCCAAAGTATCCAGGACAATTGAGCTCGCCGTCCTGGAGTGACGCAAATGTCCGAAGCTTCAAATGAATTGCGGGCCTCCTTTCAATCCAAGCATTGTCGGCCCATCATTTGCGCAGATGCATCTGCCTTGTGAAGTGGAAACGATTTGTTGTAGAAAACAGATTCGGACAGCAGGTATCTACAGGCGCATGTTCCGCTTGCAGCGAAGACACAAGGTGTTCCGAGAGCAGGTGGGGGTGGCCCCGGTGAGAGTAAAAGCTTAGGGGGCAGTGGATCTACAAGGGGCACGCCCCACTACCGCTGCACTCTATCCGATCCTCACACCTTTTGACGCCAACGACGTGATGAAGGAAACTAGGGTTTTTTTTTGGGGGGGGGGGGGGGGGGTTTTTTTTTTTTTTTTTTTTTTTTTTTTTTTTTTTTTTTTTTTTTTTTTTTTTTTTTGGATGATTTAACTCTCTCTCTCCCAGCTCTCGTTCCTCGTGTAGAATTTTCTGTTTTGTACATTGGAGGAGCCCCGGAGGGGTGGGGGGGGTGCTCCGATTGAATCATATCCCACGGGCAGTTAATATTCACCACTCCTGACAGCTTGCAGGCTTGCTTCCATCAGTCAGTTCGACGACCTGATAGTTGCTGTTGTATATACCAGATGGACATCCATCTGAGACACACATGCCGCCTGTGGCCGTCATCACGACCTGACCACTTGGGTCATGAAGCTCGACAATCTGAGCACCAGCCTGCAGCCCGCCTTCAGACGAGCCGTAGTTGAGACCAGGGTTCAGTGGCACGCTCCGTGTCTTGTCCCCGGCCACAGTCAAAGTATAACCAGCACCGGCTTTGGGATCCAGCACGATCGCCCAGTGAAGAGCATTCTTGCCCTGGTCAAACCCGTCTGGCTTGGTGTCGTTAGTGCAGTCCACAGAGTCGACAAGTATCGTCTTAAACCAGGCTGCGCCGATCGCAACTGCATCGCCGGGTGTGTTCATCTCGCTCGCGGGTGCACCGCTGGCGAAGGCTTCGTTGAAGGACTTCAACAGAGGCCTCCATCCATCATGTGACCATTGGTCCATGTTGGCGTATCTAGAAGATGCGTCATCTGTGGCGGCTTCCGGCCAGAGGTTTCCGATGTAGTGTGCTTCAGGGCCATCGTTAAAGGTAATGAACTGGACGAATTCAGGGCGAGGATTCATTCCAAGAATATGGTCCATACGAGCTGGAAGATTGAGGTCTCCCAGACGATAGAGATTGGTTCCATACTTGAACACGTTAGCCTCTGGTTGTCTACCAGTTGACCAGACGGTAACGGCGGATATGTGAATGACCAAGACAACTTACTGCATTCTTGTACTGAAGAGGGCTGAGACCTATCGATGTATTTAGTTAGGCGTCTGGAAGGCAGAGAATCATCTTGAGTGGACGTACCGATCATATATCCCTTGTTTCGACCGGTGGCGGAGGACAGGACCTTTTCGTCCTTGGAAACATCGCCAGGCTTGGAAGGGTCGGAGCCAACAATCTGGGGCCAGGCAGATTCCCAGCTGGATACCCCATCAAGTACTGGACCCCAATTCCCCCTGTTTTCATCAATGTTACAATGCAGTCTAATACAAGCTTTGAGAGGTTCAATCCACTCACCACCATTCGTCGGAAGCTTCATAATATCCTTCAGTATCGTCAAAGTCTGGAATGAAATACACGGAGTCTTTCATCCCTTGTTTCCAGGCTAATGGTAAAAAGTGAATGTGAGTGAATGAACAGCATGGAATAGGACTCCGTGACTTACATCCCCAAGTATCGCTCTTGAACCCGCCCGATGAGAACGCTGGGTGCAAGGTCAATATGTGTTCTGATAGGAATGGTCAAGAAAGTTTATTCTCGACTGTCTTACTACTTATCATCTTTTCGCCTTTGACAGAATGGTAGGCAGACCTGCCCATATACTTGTCCCAAATCCACTGGTAGTCGAGAGGCTGAGAAGTGACGAGGAACAGTCAGTTAAAGTAGGACTTTCGCAATCGATCAGAATACTCACCCCATTGCAACCGTCTTGGTCGGTTGCAAAGCATGCATAGGGCTAGAAATGGCTGTCAGTTTAGAAGTCACCGTGACATAAATAACAGTACTGTAGGGGCGCACCGAGTCGCAGGAGGCGTTGCGTGAGTAACAACCGTTACCAGTAGCATACATGTCCATGGTCACATATAGACCGAACCCAGTGTTTTCGGCCGCGTCGAATAGAGAGGATAGGGTCTGGTCTACATACTCCTGGGTGGTATCTCCTACATCAAGTGCGAACGCGGTGAAACTATCGTAATATCGTAAACATTTTGCCGCCTTGACAATCTCGTAAGTCAGTCACTACTCACCCCATATTCTGTGCATCTCGAACGTCTTTCAGAGCGTGTTCAGGAGAGATAGTCCCAAGCTAATGGGTGTCAGTGACTGAACTTTGACTGTAGTCGCTTTGGTTGCGGATGACTTGCCATGTAGTGAGCGAACACCTCGCGTGCAAGACTTTTTGTCGCCCAGGAGGCTACAAGGGCGAGGTTGAAGACATTCCGTTCCATGTGGTTTAAAGACATTTCAAAAGGTTGCGTAAAGTATTGTATCAATGGAGAATGTCCGGAATAGCACAGAAAAAGGTCCTGGAGGTACGGCAAATATAGTTGTGCTTTACCCAGGTAGGATTCAAGTGTTTGTTTCACATTTGCAATGTTGTTCTTGTCAACAGGACAGACGTATCACCATCAGCAGAGCGGCCGGCCGGACTGGGCAGTGGCCATGGTCATAAATTTGATCAATTGGCTAGGCGCTGGTGTGTAGACAGTCATCACTCCCACGACCACTTAGGTGGCCTGCAGACCGGTAAGATTGATGTTAGCAAAGATGTAAGCAGCATTTGATACATGACTCCACACTGATCCATGGAAATAATGCTCATAAGCATAAATTAGCGATACACGCAAAAGTCAGTGCACAATTAAATGTTCAAAGGATTCATTGCCATCGGCATCTGGTCAGGGATCCGGAGATGGCTGAAGCTGCTTTGAATTCGCTGTCAGCATGAAGCATATTACTATTCTACCCAAGCTCGCAAATCGAATGACCTGGGCCACACTAATAGAGAACAGTCACTAGGAAATTTACGAAATCGATGGGTCTGCTCTCAATCGGCAGGATTAATTCGGCGTAAATGTTGCAACGAGCAAGAAATACATTTCTCTGGGATCTAGTCTATACTGGGTGTCCGACAAGTTTTATCATCACAGCTTATACTCCCGTAGCAGAGGCGTCAGCAAAAATGCCAGTAGCGAAGCACCCAGAGACACGATGTGGCTATACCAAAGGCCATCAACATAGGACTCTGTGATCGCATTCGCGACATCTCCCCTTGCCTTGTAAATGTACTCAACACTGGCCAGCGCCTTTTCAAGGATCTGAAATACGGTTAGACTCTTTGTGTACCACAGCCGCTCAGAAGACAGCATACCTCGCTTCGTAACTCCTCACTGAGATGCATGCCCACCAACCGGGCCTGGAGAGTGCTCCTCAGGCCGGCCTGGAAGGTCGCACTGACAGCAGCAAGTGATGAAGCAATTAAGCAAACGATAGTTGATTGTTGGGTGTTGAGGAGAGAAATCTCCCCGCTATTAAACGCTTAGAAGGAGCCTATTTGTAGGCTAGCGCTAGCGTATGGGCATATAACCTTCGCACCTTTCAACACACCCCCCATTGCGAGTATTATCGTTTTAATGATAATAAGAAATATTCCATTTTAATAGCTAAAAATATAATTTAAATATTTCGCTGTAATTTATATTAAAACTATTATATAAACATTATTTAATATTTATATATTCCGCTTATATTATTTCTAATTAATTATTTAAATGCCCTCCTTAGCAGTATAAACCCTATACTTATTTTAATCTTAATTTCCTATAAGCCTCTTTAAGGGTAAGGCAAGGCAATGCTTTTATATAAATGTTGGTAAGATTATCTTTAAATGCAATATAATAAATATTATATATTTCTTTAATTTCTTTATAAATAAAGTAATAATAAATAATAATATATTTTAATTAAGCATTAATTTTATAATTTTAAATAAGGTTTAATACTGGCTAATTATTAATATATAGAATAGGCAAACATTTAATATGCTTAATGCTTAAATCTTTTAATGCTTAAATCATTTAATAAAGATATAATAATGCTAATAAATATATTATATATTCCGCCTTGCAAGTAGATTTTGCAATGGTAAATTGGCGCTTTAATAACTAAGTAACTAGGCCGCTATTAAGGAGTTATATATATTTATTAAATGCTTTTAAATTGTTTAAATTGGTATTATAGGAAGCGTTAATATGTATATTAAGTATAGTGAATTAAAATAATAATATTTATTTTGGAAATTATAAAGCATAATTTAATGTATACTAAATATATTAAAGCACCTTCTTTGCAATATTTAAATAATGAATTATGGGCTTTGCATTAAATATTAAGAGCATTATATATAGAAACGCAAGATTAAGTCTTATTTTAATAATAAGAAAATTAATAAATTTAGTAAGTAATTAATATATCATTGCATTTATCACAATATCATTAGGTTTCTCTTATCACAGAAATAAATTCAAATCCATAAGAGTTTATTTCTAATTACAGTTAAATATATTAAAGCATTTTAAAATTCATTAAGCATATCTCTTTTAAGAAATGCAAATCTTATTATTAATTTATATAATTTTTAATCCAAGCAAATATTTATAAAAACCAAAATCCTTATACTTAAAACATTACATAAGCTTAATGCAAAATTCATTAACTTAAAAGGGACTCCTGATAATAAAAATATTATTAATATAAATAATAATAATAATTTAATCTTTAATAAAAACGCAAGGATTAAATATTATTTCCATTAAATATTTAATTAATTCCTCTTTAAAAGTACTAAATTATTCACGGCTTAATTATTTAAGTCCATATAAGGCATTAAGAAATTTCAAAATGACTTACTAATTATTAAATAATATCCAATATCCTTGCAGCAATTACATATAAACATCATATTTTAAACAGCTATATAAGTATGCTATTTTAATATTGAATTACTAAAGCCACCAGCCTATTATAGCAGCAATAATAATGATTAATCTTAAACTATTATAGCGCATCATAGGGCTATAGGTATTATTATAATTCACGCCATAAATTTATATATATTCGCAAGCAATAAGTTATGCCTTATAGCGAATAAGCTTACTAAAAGCATTAAACTTCTTTATATATACTTAGCAAGGATTAACAATATATTAATTTGCAGTAATAAGTATTTTAATCTATATACTTATATTTAAAAGTAATTTAAGTTCTTTTTTAATAGCTTATCGCTAAGCATCCCTTTTATTACTTTTCATAACCTATGCATATATATTAAGGATATTATTAGCATTTACTATATTAATAAGCAATGCTTAAGCAAAGATTTAATTAAGGTAATTAGCATTAATTAATACTAATTAAGCAAAATCCGGTATAAAGTTTGCATTAATTAATGCTAAGTTATTAAAATCTTTGGAATATTTTATAATAATATTTATATTTTCTTTTGCTTTTTATGAAAGCTAAATCTATTATCCTTAAAAATTATATAACTATATAGGTTTCGTAAGTTTAAGTAATTTATTAATAGATTTTATAAGTTTAAGCGGTTTATTTACGGGTTTATTTACGGATCCTGCATTATTAATAAGTTCCATTAGCTAAAATGCTAATAATACCTTTATCTTAAATAATATATTTTCATTTAGCTAGCCAATTATTTATGTAATTTTTATTGCTAAATTAAATTAAGTAATATGGCTTAATATTACAATTATAATAACTTTCTAAAGTAGCATAAATAAATAAAAGATAATTTTGCTTTTAGCCTTAAATCCTATAAAGTATGCCTTTTTAACTTTATTTAATAATTTCATTTCTAGCTTGCAAGCCTTAATAAGAATGTAAAGGTATATAGGGCGAAAGTATAATTAAAAATATTTAATATTAGGCTTCCATTTATAAAGCGCCTTAAATAGCGTTATTTAACATAATAAAGCTAAATGTAATTTTTAATTCCGCAAATATATTACATAGGAAATTACTTTGGGTTATAGGAATAAATAGTCTTTATTGCAAATTATCATGTAAGCATTAATAACGATAGTATATATAAACCTTTTAAGCATGCCATTTAATTTATAATAGTAAAGAGGTAATTTCTTATAAATAATTCTATATTTTTGAAATATTGCAATAATCATTTTATTTACATATTTATCCCCATTATTTAAACTAAATGTTTTAACTTTCGCGCTAAATTAAGTTTTAATTATATTTAAGAATCCTTTAATAACGTTTAAAACATTATCCTTTTAAGCAATAAAGTAAATTTAATAAAATTAAGTATAATTATTAATAAATAGAATAAAGTATTAAGAACCTTTTAATAATCTTATTAAAAATTTACTTAATAAATTAAATTGAATATACTTAAATAGCTGCGTAAATTATTATTTTAGTAATAAATATAGGCATTTCTTAACGGACTTTGCAAGTTAATATAATTCGCAGTAAAAATCTATTAATTTATTCAATATAACGTCTTTATCTCCATATAAGCGTTAAGCAGTTAATTTTAATAAATTACTATGGCTAAAAGCTTTATAAAATTCATTATATATTATAAATATTATAAAGTTATTTTTTACTATTTAAATTTTAAAATTTCTATATTAAAACTTTACTTATAATATCCTGTAAAATTTATTATCTTTTAATAATAAAAAGATATTATTTCCTTATATATTTAATTAAAACTTCTTTTAAACTATGGTTTAGCTAAATAAATAAGTATTCTTTAACGCGTAATTATATAAAACGTTAATAAAAATGCTTTTAATAATTAATTTATTTAATAATTGTAAGAAGATTTCTATAAAGTTAATGCCTTTTATAGTAAGTTAATTACTACTTGTAATAATAATTATACCTAAATATAGTTATAAGGAGCTAAAGTTTTTTATGCATCTTATTATATGCTTTAAAGCATTGGAATTAAAAATTTATAATATTAAAGTATTTATAATTATTAGCAGCTTTATTGTATATATTAAAATATTAGCATATAATGCTATTATATTTTCCTTATTATTATTAGAAATTTTAATAACTTCTTTATTTATAGCTTAATTTGCAGCAGCTTATTTCTTACCCTTTTTTTATTTTTAATTAGCTTTATATTTAGTAAGCTTTATATAATTAATATATAAATAGTTAATAAATATAAAGTTTTGCGTGCAATATTAAGTATATTCTTTATTGCTTAATATAAAGTTAGCACTCATTAATGCGAACTTTATAGTCTTTTTTATACCCTTTAATGCCAACCTTTTTTAAGTAAAGATAAAGTAAGCTTTAAATTATTTAATCTTTATATAGGAAATAATATTTATTATTTTAGGTTTAATTTTAAAAAATATTATAAGGTTTTGGTTGCTTAAGTTATTAATAATATTATTTATAGTATTTAGCAGCATTATTAGGAAGAAGGAGCTTTTAACCTTATTACTTTTAAAAAGTAACTTTATTAACCTCTTAATTAATTATCTTAATATTAAGGTTTTAATATAAAGTTTTATTTAAAGGTTTTAAAAGGTATTTAAATAGCCTTATAAGTTAAAGCCATCCTTATATTGCAAGTTTATTAATTAATAAAAGAAATAAATAGTTAAGTTATTAATATTATAGTTAAATTAATTAGCTAATATTTTTTAAGCATTAGAAAATTTTCTGCATAATATAATGAATATTATAAGGCTTGGATATATTAAGCTTAGGAGTATAATAAAGGCTTAGTTATTAAGCTTTTCTTATTTTATAAAGGCTGCATTCTTATTTAGTTATTTCTTAATACCTATAATGTATTTATTAAGGCTAGTAAATTAAAAGCTATAACTTTATATTACCCTTTAATTTAAAAAGTTCTCTCCTTTTAGGTTTAATTTTAAGAAAGATAATGGGTTAAGCTTAAAGTTAAATATATTTAATATCTTTTAAATAGTATTTATATATTTTTAGGTATATTTTAAATAATATTTATATATTTTTATTTATTTATAGTAATTAGCATTAATTAATATAAGTAAATAAATAAAAAGGAGTAAGTAATTAAAATATTAAATAAGGTAAGAGTGCTAAATTATTATAAGTTATTATTAGCCGTGGTAGCTATTATAAGGTATAATAATAGTATATAGGCAAAGGCTAGCAATATTAAAATCTTAATGATTTGGGTATAAAAATGATTATAAAAATGGGGGTATTAATATTTCCCAACGTTTTAAGATATCTTAAGCAATGCTAGGCTTATAACTTAATAAAGCAATTAAGCAAATAATAGTTAATTATTGGGTATTAAGGAGAGAAATCTCCCCGCTATTAAACGTTCAGAAGGAGCCTATTTATAGGCTAGCGCTAGCATATGGGCATATGACCCTCGCACCTTCCAACAGCAAGGCCGACAACAGTACCGAACCCTGAGGCGAGATACAGGGCCGAGATAGCCGGAGCAACCTGTGACTTGTCGACAGAGGCTTGGACGGCGATGAAGACGGCAGAGAGCGCAACGCCAGTTCCAAAGCCGCTGAGATAGCGCACGGATCAGAAATTTGCTACAGTCATTGGGTCGTTTGCAGTGATGACACTCACCCTGGGAAAATGTATAGGCTCTCCAACCAGTTGGTCCTACCATGCCAGCGCAATAGTAGTAGCGTGTAAGCGCTGGCAGACATTAAGGTAGCAAGATAGATGAGCCATTTGTATCTGCCGGTGCTAGAAAGTACGTGTCAGCATGCATGTTAACAAGGCTGGAGGTTGACTGTACACTTACTTTCGAATGAAACATCCAGATATTATACCTCCAACAGCGTTGCCAATGACCGCTGGCATAAGATGAGCTCCAGCTGCAGTATTAGACATCTTCTGCGTGACCTGAAAGTAAAGAGGAACGGAGAACATCATCTAATAAGACATGATTAGCCGAATAGCAGAGTGACCTTCGAGAATCATGCAACTTACTCCTAGCTGAGCAGCACATTGCAGAGCCAGCACGAGGAAAGATACAACAGTATGCCGACTGCAGAATAGATTGAGTGGTAAAAGTGGGTTGGTCGCCCACCACTTCTCGACGACGACGAACAAAATCAGACACAGTCCCCCGGCGCCAAAGAGGGTCGGTATCAGAGCATCTGTCCAAGGGATCTTATTCCCTCCAATCTCCAGAGGCAGCAAAATAAGTATCAGGAAAGACGCCAAAAGTGCGGAACCCACCAAGTCTACTTGACGGAGCTTGCCGAACTTGGATTGCATGGCTACCGAGTCCTTTGACGTTTTAGATTGCGTTCTCGTGGTTGGCAGAGAAAACCAACAAAGTAATATAGAGACCGCGAAGATGGGAGCTTGGCCGATAAAGGACCTGACAAAATTTAGTTGCAATGGTCAGGGATAGTGAATGAGATCTGACTTACAGCCTCCAGCCAATTAGATCAGCCAGCCAGCCTCCAAGGGGGCCACCAATGCAGCGTCCGCTCACAGCAACTACGTTGACATAAGACCTCCAGGTCGCGACTTCTCGCACGGGGAGAAGATCCGTGATGACCAAGGACACGAGCACATTTGACCCTGCGCTGACGGCTCCGGAGATGACTCTCCCGGCGATGGCGGTTCGCATGGACTGCGCAGCTCCGACGATGAGGCAGCCCAGGCCAAAAACCGCGTAGCAGAGGATGATGATCGACTTCCTCCCGAAGATCTCGCTGAGCTGGCCGAAAGTCGTCTGTGACGCCGTCGAGGCCAGCATGAACCCGGTGTATAGCCAGCTCGAGGACTCGAGGGCCATGAATTCGGAGGCGATGACCGCATGTGTGGCCATTACGATCGACCCGTCTGCGTTGGCGATGAAGACAGCTGTGATCGGAAATGTTAGCCCAAAGTTTGAGTGCATGGATACCGGAGCGAAATTTACCTAGTAGCATGGGAAGTACAATCCACAGGATCGCCCTAGAGCTTAAGGGTTCGTGCGTTTCGAGGCCTTCCGTTTCCGCGGGCGTCACATTTGAGTCAATGGAAGCCTCATCATCCTGACTCCGAGATAGTAATGAACTGCTTTCGGAACTTCCATAATCACCGTCTGAACGAGATGTATCGGTTCCGTAGACAGCCTTCAGATCCGGTTGCTTTAACAATGCAGACCGCTCTGTGGAGGGACTTGAGGCTGAGGAGCTTGTCCGACCACGGGAGTTCGGATCTGGCATACTAGAAACCTTCCTGGGGCGACAAGGAATAACTAATTTGTGTCGAGGTGAGATTCTAAGAAAAACATCACAATCGGAAAGAGATCAAAATCGCGGCAAGGAATTTTGTTCAACGTGGGCGCTGCAATGCCTAAACCTTATTCCATTGCGGGCTTCGACCCGACTCCAGGGATCCGGTTGTCTCGGCAGGTCCCAGATGTATAGTTACACCAAACCGGCGCCTTATTGAGTAAAATCCTCCTACGCCCACGATGCCAGTTCAATGCGTGGGCAGGTAGACATGTCCATCACAGGAACAAGTGGGGATCTCGCCGAGGGCCGTTCGAAGATCGATTGCGCCATCCGGGAACAAAATCACACGTGCACTTGCCGAGCTCATCAACGCTGAGAAACCGCGCAGCAGAAGTCCGCCGCCGTCTTGGCCCAGTACCTGAGGTTTACATGGCATTTTGCAACACATGGATAACGTCTTGACAAGGTTGGGATGACGACTTACAAGCCCAAGGCAAACTTTAAGCCTAATTCAACCTAGCAGCCAGGTTGTGGGACTCCCCACCCAGAATATATGCAAGCCCGGCGAGCCCGCTGCAGGCTTGCTCCAGACTCATGTCTATCTCCCCGTCCTGGCCTATTAGAGAGATCACCGACTCCCGAGCCAGGCGGAGAGGCTCCTCCTTATATCGGAGATAACCCCCATAGATATAATTTGGGCGGTTCAGGATAGGCCTAACTCCGAAAGACGACGTATTGTGAGTCGCGTTCCCATCTCGTCGTCAACCACCTCAGGCATCATTCGTAGGTGAGATGTAAAATCTACAGGGCCCCACATGAATTTACTACATCCTTTGTCGTAACAAATGAGACCGCTGCAAATTCCCGACATGGACTTGACGTTTGGCCAGACATCAACTCATGCCCACTCGTGTCGCGGAATACCTTGGAGATGTACCTGGGTATATACTGGTACCGTCCCTCTCAAGCTGATTCCTGCGGCTGAAACCAAGCCCACAGAACTGTGTCAATCTGTGCGATAGACTTAGTGAGACCTATACGGCCATCACAGTGTATCAAAGATCACAATGTCAAGTATCCGAGAATGATGAGCCAACGGTGTGCATTGCTCCTACGAATACTCTTGTATAGCCATCGGCTTGACTTCAAACGGGGAATACGAGGCTCAATGTAGGGAATGGAAAGGGCCGGGACCTCATTATGTAATTATATGCCAAGCGATTTTTCCACCGCATCTGATGTGGCAAAGGTTTTCTGCCCTTGTCTCGTTATGTACGACTCAATATCTGACCGTCTCACTTTCAGAATTTGGCCCACATGTAGAGGCTTGAACTTAGGTACAGTTCTATATCTATAATCGCAAACTCCTGGTGTCCTCACACACTTCAATATAACAATATCACGACCTGGGTATGTTGGTAGGACTCGTGGCTAAGGCCACAAAGCCTCGGGGAAATTCTCCGACCCCACAACCCCATAAACCACACTTAAATCGTCGTGTAACTTCTCCGGGGCATCCAGATATTTGCCCTCCTGCTTTGCCCAAGTGTGGCGTTTGAGGGCAATGCTCCAGGAGAAACTCGAGTGCGCAACACCAGCGAAGTCTGACGCCCTCAAGAGGATCAGATAGTCGACAAGCGCCTGTTGGTCCCACCTGAAGGCCTCCAGGGTTTTCAAGTCCTCAGTGCCTCGCAGTACGTCAAACTTGCCCAGAGCTGTGAGGTTGTTGCGGGCAGCATCTTCGACAAACCGCCGTGTTCCTTCGACGTCCCCCGAGGCCACGTAGATTCCTTTTGGGCTGGACCTGCTGGGCTGTAAAGCCTGCTTCAGGTAGTCCTCGGCCTGCTTCTCGTAGGTAGCATGGGTCCATCCGTACTGGGCGTTCCAGGTGACCTGCGCGTCATGCTCAACGCGGAGATGTGCCCCGAAATACGCATCAGGCAAGACCTCGTTCTTGAGGTCGGTGTCGGCGAACGATAGCCTCTTCGCTAGGCCCCTCAGGACTTTACTAGCCAACAACCTGATGTCCTCCCGCAGCTGCAAGGTCAAGCCGAATGACAATGCGAATGCTTCCCCGTCAGAGTAGATGGGGTAAGACATGTAACAGCGCTCGAGATCGAGGACTGTTGGGCCCGGTTTTCCGCTCACGGGCCCGGCCTGCTTTTCGTCTAGCCAGGCGTAAAACCTGTCGCGCCACATCTCTGTCTTGATCAGCCCATCGCCTGTGAGAGACTCTGCTTGGAAGCGCAGTCGATTTATGTCGCCTGTGTGATTGCCACCCTTGATGACCTCATCAAAGGTTGAATAAATCGCCATCTCCGGGCAGGACTGCTGCATGGATTTGTAAAAGTGTTGCGTGTCGAACATGTAGCTGAATTCGGTCGCATTCTGTGTCTGATAGTTCGTGATATCGTCATCCCGTAGGAGGATCTGAGGGAGTACCAAGGCAGCCCCGGCCTGCATGGCGAACCGAACACATAACAAGACCGAGTTGCGGATATTCCCAATGCCCCCGAACGACTGGTTGCAGGTGAAAACTAAGCTCTCGTTCCACTGCGTTGCTCTGCAGACGGCCTTGATGGACTCATCGTCCACAGGCGGGATATTGAAAAGGTCTTCATGCTTAACCTCTTTAGGAGGTGGTCCTCCGCCCGGTCCACTGCCTTTACGGAGAGAAGGCAGTATCTGAAGGACGGAGTGTCCGGCCTCGTTCAACGTTACTCCCGTGAGGGTCTCGAACTCATAGAGGAAGCTTATGCAGAGGGTGACCACGACGAAGAGAATCACATACTTCTCGGTCTGGGCGCTTCGTAGCAGAACCATGTTGTCCGTGATGGCCCTGCTGGCTGCAAATTGTACGACGAAGACATGTCCAGATTGTCGGGACCCACGGGAGTCGGACACAGCAAAGGATTGACGAGTCAGAGGGCACGCAGTCCACTTAGATAATCGGGGCGTTTCATGTTGGTTTGCTACCCGAGTCTGTGCGCTTGGCCTGCTGCTGGTGGCGTGGCCCAGAGAGCAGCTCACGTGAGCTCTCAGGCAGCCAACATGTTCAATCATGAGATTCAGATTTGGCACATCTAGTATCTGTATAACTTGGCTTCGAAGACCAATCGAACAGACTGCCCGAGACACATGACGAAGCCTTCAAATTGCGGCTAAGTAAATAGGCAAGAGCTTGACTCGAGTCATTCCTTCACCTCGTATCGATTTTCGACAGTTCGACTTGGTACGTGTACTCAGCCCGGATTCCGGCGACCTCCTCTCCTGAGGTATCTGAGTCCCTGTCATGTAGCCGCGCCCAGTCTCCCGCATGAACGCTCGCAAAACTCGTGCCTTGGTCCGTCGGGTTCAGGAATCTCTTGCTGGACCCCTTGGGTCGGACCGGTGCGCTCCCGAAGGTGACCAGTGATTTTCGGTTAGGTTTGGGCGCAGGTGGAGGGTTGTGAGCAAGCGTTGTTTTCCTGTAAACGAACTTGTTGATCGAAGGGATGGAAGATGCTATCAAGCCGATAGCGCTTTCGACGTTGGAAAGGAGGACGATGTAACCCGTCCAGTCTGGATGCAGGGTCAGAAACAACTCATGTCATCTGTAAAGTTTGTCGTCGGGCTATGGCTTACAGTTCAGGTTGTCAAGCGGTGTCCAGTAATGTTGAATAAATGGTGCCCTCGCCATTGTGGTCAATGAGGCTCTGTGGTTTTACGGTGTGTTAGTGAGTTGCGGACATGTTGAACATAAAACCAAGCCCAGAAGTCCAAGAACTTACACAGATCCGAATGATAACAGCCCAACCACCGACAGTTTTTTGAGCAACTTCATGGGTGTTCCCATAACCATTATTCCGGGCAAGATAGCCAGTGATAGGTCGGTGACGATGGTTGAGGCCGTCGAGGTATAGGATAGCGCGACCATAGAGCTCATTTCTGCGCACTGTCCTTGCCCGGTCCAATTTGCCGAGACTGGCTTGCAAAGGAGAAGTATACCAACGATAGTGACGATAAAGGTGGAGATGGTCAAGCCCAGAAGAGCGTAGATGGCGATCTTGTACGCTCTGTTCGTGGCTGCCACACGAAACAACGTGACGCAGATGGAACTTTTGATCGTCGCCAGGCCAATGACGTATACCATCATCCACAGCATGAGATACTTTTTTCCTTCCACAGACAGCCACATATTGATCTCCGCGTCCTTTGTCCCGAGTCCGACGGTGGTGCCATGGCATGCGAGCGCAACATCGACGGTGTATATGACCTAGGCAAGCGAAGGAATCCCGTCAGTCACGTTAAACCCAAAAATCGCACGAGTAGGATGCAAGTCTTACTACACCCGCAAGTATCAGCCCATCATCCCAGCCGAAGACATTGTCGAAAGTTCTAATGTACGTTCTGAGGCCCACGGAAAGTAGAGACAGGCCAAGGCAAACAAGAGAGACGACGAATATGGCAAGGCTTAGACCGCTAAGCGATACTGTTCTTGCATCGTCGTCGAGCATTATATTTGCTGCAATGTGGCGAGCACGCAAAGGCGAGGCTGAAGGGGGAGAACAGTAAGAACATGCAAAGAGACGATCTTAGCCTCCGGATGCGGCCGGGAGAAGAATTCTAGACGAGCCGGAAAAAATGAAACGTATCCGCGGGACTACGAGGGTATATCGATATACTTTTCCGTCGACCTTGAGTCGTCACTATGTAATGGAGACCACCTACCCCTGAGCTGAGCCGGCCAATCCCGTGGCAGGGAAGTACCTAGGTAGGTAATCTGTCAGACGAGGATCAATGAAAAGCCTCCGAGTTTATCGTCGAGGTGGGCTTTTCCGTTCGCGGCGAGACATCCGTTGGGCCCAAAGGATCTGGTTGAGGGCAGTCCTCCGAACCAAGAGGGCGATCGTTTGCCTATGCAGGAAAATCCAGGGACCACGGAGGAAGTGAAACGCGAGAATGTTGGGTGTCTGGCACCTAGCGAGCCCTCATTGTGGGCAATGGTTGGCGGTAAGAGGCATTGATGATCGAGATGGTACCGCTGAGATGGGTCGACAGGACTGTCTTCCCTGCTGCCATGCTCCATGGTGGTCCAAGTTTCCAGACTTCAATCTCAGAAACCGGGAAAATTACTATGCTTTTGACATGTCATCTGGGAACTGGGTTTGGTATCAAGGAAAAGTGGAAGAAAATGGCTTGTCGCGTGTCCGAGTTCCTAGTGGCTCGTTTCACGCGAGACTAGTTCGCAATCGCCCACAAATGGTGCAGATATTAGGTAACAGATGAACCAGTTTTGGCTCAAGGTTTTGTGGAGCAACATCATGCGAATCCTGACCTCGCGTCGTAAGCGAAATGTTCCTTAAACGTTCCTTGATCCACGCAAGAAGAGAAGATGACCAAATCGAGAAGTGCCCTTGGAGCACCAAGCCAAATGCATAAGATCGGCCTGCAGGACCCTTATACACCTGCCCACACCGCACATTTCGAAGGTATACAAAGACTAAATCTGCCCGTATACCCAGAGTCGATAAGAGCACCTGGTCTGCTAAATTTTATCGTTCTAGAGTGCTAAAAAGGGGCTTGTCTCACAACCTGCCGTAGTCCCGTTCAATCCGGTATGTGGGCCAGCCGGGCTTGGTATTCCCCGGCGTGACGTTGATAGCGTGTTGTGAAAATGAGGATGACAAGCCAAATCACCAAATCTCTTCCAGTACCACTAGGAGATTCCCAGGATAATTCCTCAGCAATGAAAAGCCATCTATTTCAAAGTCGACGGCTTCTGCCAGGAGCCGGTCGATCCCGTCCACACTGTACTCATAGGTGGCTTGGGGGAACTCTGAACAAAGCTTCAATGCACCAGCATCAGTCTCGATATACCTAGGTACATCCCCACACGCAGCTGTTATCTCATGTTCAAGCAGACCAACTGTGATATATTCGGATATCTCTCTCCCTGTAGTCGTACTTCTCAACCCCCGCCCTATGGTGCACAACCCAAGCGTAAATCTTGTTCCCCACCGCCTGCCCAATTCCCTCCCGCCCGCCGCGTATCGAATCCGCCTCCACTGGCGAATCCACGAACCCATGCTCTTCCCCAGTGCCACCACGCAACGCTGCTCCATGCGGCCCGCAAATGTCGACACCGCGGAATCACCGCGTTGCGGAGCTCGCGTGTTGCAAGCCTCAAGCTGGGGGCGCCCTGAGAATTTTCCGGCATCATGCAATCCTTCCAGCCTCTCTCGCTCCTCAAGCAGTCAGCCTCCTCTATTCCTAAATTTGACACTTGACAGACCGGGGTAAGATTGACAGCACTGACGAATATGGCAACTCCGAGAGTCCACGAAGGCAAGCTTGCCATTGTCACTGGCGCCGCGCGAAGTATGTGACATCTCAATTGTCCGAAAACAAGCGCGCTCTGTGCAGGGGGACTGACGGAAAGGGGGTTGCAGGTATCGGCGCCGCCATCGCCACCAACCTGGCAGAGAAGGGGGCCAATGTCCTCATCGGCCACCTGACGGAGGCGTCCGACAAGCCGGCGGCCGAGCTCGCGCAGGAGCTGGCCTCGAAGCACAACGTCACCGCCGTGCCCTGCCGCGCCGACATCAGCACCCCGGAGGGCGCAAAGGCCGTCATCGACACGTGCAAGGAGAAATTCCCGGCCAACCCCAGGACGGGGAAGCTGCAGGTTGATATCATCATCAACTCGGCGGCCGTCATGCCCACGGGCCCCGTCGAGGGTGTGACTCCGGAAGAGTTCCATAAGACATACGCGACTAATGTCCTGGGTCCCATCCTGCTCGTCGGCCAGGCCAAGGCCTACCTCCCAACTGACCGCTCCGGTACGTATACAACAAAAAAAGCATCCCACAATCCGTCAACCTTGCCGGCTGCTCCATCCCTACCACAGGAGATCCTTCTGGGGGGCTGGGCTTGGGGCACCGTCGATGTGGGCCTCTTGACACGTGGCTGACGTTTGCGACAGGTCGCATCGTCAACGTCTCCAGCATCGGGCAGAAGTGCGGCCTGCCCTACCTGACCCTGTACAGCGGCACCAAGGGCGCCCTCGAGGCCATGACCAGGACCTGGGCCCGCGAGCTCGCCGAGCAGTGCACCGTCAACACCATCAACCCCGGGTCGGTGCTGACCGACATGTTCCGCAACTGCAGCGAGGACGTCCTCGCCGCCCAGGCCCTCTGGAGCCCCGTCATCCCTCTGTCCGGCGCCCGCGAGTGGGACACGGACGAGGTCAAGGCCATCGCCAAGAGGTGGGGAGGCAGGCCGGCGTATGTTGAGGAGATTGCCGGTATTGTCGCCATCGTCTGCAACCCTGAGTCTGGCTGGATGACGGGCAGTGTTGTGTCTGCGAACGGCGGCCAGTGCTTCAGCACTTAGATAACGTTACCGGCCTGATCTGCGCGGTTGAAAGTATAATTCTCCTATTGCGGGTCCTATACAACACCTAGGTATATATCATAAGCGTGATCCAGTTTCTGTCATTCCTTACAAACCGTATATTACACGATGTAGATGGTAACATGAGATGATACCACCGAGAGCCTTAAGCGAAGACATAAATTCGGGTCTCATCATCACTACTATATGGAGTCAAATCAAAGTTTGTGAGACGTATGGTTCGACTGTTCGAAGCTGGGACGGCCGATCAATATTTATCTGTAGTCTTGGACCACCAGCGATGTCAGTGCAGACTGAAACTGGTAGACATTGGCAGTCTCTCGCGTAATATGTACAACTTAGTCCATATCGAACGAATGTTGGGTCCTGCCACCGTACTCCTTAGAGCTCACCCGCTCGCGCATTGGGTCACACGATGATGCCTGCAGAAACGCGTCAACCAGAGCAGATATGAGCTGCGCGAGTGCGTGACCAGCCGTAGTTCCTCAAGTACTATTCTTGTCATTATTGGCACCGTGGACATGCTTTACATCACCTAGGTGCGCGTACGGATAACTGTCGGGAGTTTTGAAAATAACTCATGGCTCGAGATGCGATCGGGGTTTGACCGGATTATGTATTCAACACTTTGTGTTAGTTAGTATTATTCATGTGCCTCGGAACATTCGTCTCCTCTAGGACATAGGTTGCACAGGAACATGGCTACAGGCTGATTCCATAATCACAACTGATCTGTCACTTTGAAACAGCCAGGTTGGCTGATTGTATCACATAACAAAGACGATACTGGGACTCGCAGCCTACTGACTTCTGGGAAGGATGTGATTTGGCTGTGTACTTGCTTGATGCTAAAATTGACAACTCGTTTGTGCAATGCTTGATCTGAAATATCATGGTCCACATCGCCGCGCCACCAACGCAGCATCGAATGCGTTTGAGTTGCTGAATATTGTCAATCACCCATTGCCCCGGGCCGCCCTTGACACGGGAATCAATTCTGATCTTTCGCTTAAAAGCTTACTTGGTCCCAACCTTCGGGCAATACCAGTACGCTGACCTGCTGTAGGACGTTCGAACAGCCGTCGAGTCATGGCTGGCCCCCAAAACGTTGACATCCCCGAGGGACCACATCAAAAAGACGCGCAAAATATATATTACTTCGGCAGGAATCGAACACGCGGTCATCACATGATCAGTTGTGAATCATCATCTATTTGCGGTGGTGGTCGAACGACCTTTACCACTTAGCCACAATGGCAATCCCAAGAATTAGAGCACGCTCCACTTATGGAGTCAGTTCCGTGAGCAGGCCCTCGCCGTCTCACAATTACCATGTTGCCCTGCTGATATAATTCAATGCCTGATGAAGGCAGAGCATGCATCCTGTCGCCGATATAAGTGCCCCCAAATCTAGGCCCGTCTATCTCTGATCATTTCTATTTCTCTCACCACAGCCCCCAGTAGCCCCAACACCAGCTGGGCCCGGCTGGTGCATCATGAGCCCTCGAGATCCTGCCCGACCTGCCAGCAATGTCCGGCCGGGTCAGAGAATGTGACAACCTTCGCGCCCCCGGGCCAAGTCACCGGCTCCGCAACCCTCTGACCGGCTATAGCACCCTCCTCCTCCGCGAAGCCCCGCAGCCGGCGGCACACCTCGCCGACGTCGTCCACGGGCACGGTGAGCAGGACCCCTCCGCGGTCGACACCGTCTCCGCGCCGCGCGTCCGGCGAGGACTCGCGCAGGGTGACGACAAGTGCGCCGCCGTTGAGGCGCAGCGTCGCGGACGTGCCGTCCTCGGAGGAGGAAGAGAGGCACGGCGCCCCGAAGACGCGCTCGTAGAAGCGCTTCGTGCGCTGCAGGTCTTGCACCTGGAGGGTTATGGTCGAGACCACGTTGAGGGGCTGCCACCTTGCTGGGCCTGGGCCTGTGTCTGTGTCTGCGGACTGAGGCTGTTGCCGAGGTTGTGGTGATGCTGCTGTAGATGTATGTGCAGCAATTTTGCCTGTCCAAAGCGACGGCGGTGGTGATGGCGTCAGGTCGACGGTCGTGTCCAAGCCCGAGATACTCCCCGGGCCGCTGCCCCCGCTCGCCGTCGCGAACGTCCAGTTGTCTGTATCGCTGCTCCCCGGCCTGGAGCCATTACCGTGCTGCTGCTGCTGCGGCGGCGGCAGTAGCACATCAGCAGTAGCAGCGCTTGTTGTGAAGTCCCCGACAGGCGCGGTGACGAAGTGGTCAAGGCTGGAGCTGCTGTCATCCCGCGCCGGCTGCGCAGGGGGTCTGCCGCCGCCGCCGCGCACTGGTACGCCCACTGGCGCTGTGAAGAAGAGGTCGACCGGTGAGTAGCCCTGCGCCGAAGGCCTCGACCAGTGACGGTACACAGTTGGATACTTTCTGCTGCTGCTGCTGCTGCTGCTACTGCTGCCGCTGCCGCTGGAGGCGCCCCAGGGCGAGACGAGCGAGCCGAGGGACGACTTGCGCGCGCCAGCAATTCTGGCAAGACCGCCAGCGGCGGCAGAGGCGGTAGTGGCAGGTGCGCTACTGACCCTCCTCTGCTGCGCGTACGGCTGGATGCACTGCTGGGTCGCGAGGTAGAGCTGGTGGTCGATTATGCGGTCGAAGTCGAATGGCATGTAAGAGGGCTGTTGGCACACGCACAGGGTTGAACTCGCATCTGCCAGCGGGTCCAACTTTGTGATGCGCAGTAGTTGCCTCGTTCCTCTCTGCAAAGCGAGCAGTGGGAAGTCGAGGTAAAAGTTCAGCGGAATGTGTGAATTATCGCGGGTTGTGACTACCACTCACTTACTTTTCCCGAGATGCGAATTGGAAATTAATGCGCGGGTAAGACACGACCAGGTTGCATCCTTGGAGAGGTCGCGATGGCGGCACGCGTTGAGGGGGCCGTCGTTGTTCCCTTGCCCCGCGGCTGCCTTTATTAATTACTTGGCCTCACACTCCTTGCAGTCGGCTCGCACTAGACCGTGTCTGGCGGCGCGGTTGGATCTCCAGCCTCAAGACGGCACGCGATAGCTCGCGCCTAGGCAGAAATGGGAGACGATAGGCAGCTTTTGACTGTTAGGGGCGTGACAAAGCGTGAACAGCGGTGATTGCCGTCTTCTTTCATTCACGAAATGGGCTTGCCTGCTTGAGATCTAGAGTATTGGCCTTGGCTGTGAATTGTGACGCGTCTCGGGAGCGTGTGTAACTTTGGAATGAGTACCCAATATCAGCATGACATAAGATGGCTGCTTGGTGTGGCTGGTGCTCAACTGAGGATGCATCATCCTGCAAACACGGTAACGCTTCTAGTATATCTATACAAATAATCTCCGCCAACCTCGGCTCGGACTGCGCGATCAAACGCCATAGAATGCCCCTTTGTGTACCCGTAACCCGTCGTGATGCCTGTGAGCAAGGTGCTGAATATGTGAACCTCTAACCAATGCTTCCAAAAATCATAATGCTGCGTCTCTGTCTCTTGTATGTATATCGGGACTCGCGTCCTGATGCTGTTCTGCAACCATCAAACCCCACAGCGCAGAATCACTTAAGCCATCCAGCCCATATCTTCGTCCAGTATGTGTACGGTATCGTCTGCTTGGTCCTGCTGGGTCTCCTCAAAATCGGGGTCCAGCCATCCATTCGCTAGGTATAATTCCTTGTCGTCGGCATGTACGGTTCCACGACCCGTCGTCTCGGCATCGCTGCCCTCGAAGCTCACCCTTCCTTCGACGAGTCAATCCCACAGCCCATCTCCGCCGTCGGTCGTGTCTTCCTCGTCATCAGCGAGAGCCGCAGCCGACGGCGACCCTCCTACCCCATCGTCGGAGATATCGGCCGGCTCAACCGTTATCTCGACGTCGGCCGAGCGATCCTCCTTTCGCGGCGTATCCTCCTCGTCCGGAAGCCAAGCCTGAGTGTATGGGTCAGGGTCCGATGTGCTATCTGCTGCAGTTGACTCCACATCTCCATCGCTGGTGTGCAGGTCTGAGGTGTCGAGGTCGCCAGTTGTGGGTGACCCGATGTCTAATCGAGGCGAGGGCCAAGACATCAAATGTGGTGAAGATCGTGAGAATGCGATCGGAGACCTGAGAAGACGTGTGGGAGCCTGAGGAGGAGTAGACAACAAATCCACCGTCGGGGCAGACGTCTTCGGCGGTTGTAATGGCTTTGAGAAATCGAACTCGCTTTTCTCGTTTTCTGTCCCGCTGACATAGGCAGGAATTGGGCTGGTCATTGGCCCTAGATTGGAAAGTGAGACTGCAAGTCCTTTCAGTGACTTCTTGAACTTGGGTTTGTTTGGCATGTCCCTTCGTCCTGACAAGGACATCGCAGTCCCACCCCGCCTCATACCGAGCTCTAAGCGCTCCTCGTCTGCGGTGTCGTCGTCCGTGATGGCGTCCTCGATATCTGCAAGGTGCCTGCGGTGTCTCGCGAGCATGGGAATGCTGCTTCCTGAGCCTCGGCGCTGGTGTCGGAGCTTGGCCTTGTCTGACATTGGAGATGGCTGTGAGTTAGGCCCAGCAGTGACCGGCCCGGTCGAGACAGCTTTGTGCAGGCCATGAGCAAAAGACGTCTTAAGCCCCAGTCTCTCCACCCCAGTGACAAGTCTGCGCAGGTTGACCTGGCTCTGGCTGAAGATACACCGCGTCCTGACGACCTGGATTGATCGATCGATGGCCAGTTCCACTGTGCAGCGATCCCTTATCCGGCTGAGTTTCGGCCACGTGGCCCGCTCACCCGCCAGGGTAGCTCGTTCCATGAAGTCGACTGAGGGGTTCTTGAGGATGCGTGGGAGATCCTGGACACTGAATTCAGGCAGAATTGTGATATCGCCAGAATATTTCTGGCTCAGGACACTCCTGAGCTTGGTGACAGCGGTGGGGAAGATCCCTAGCTCGGCCAGGAAGTGCAGCCTGTGTAGGACTTCGTCTTTGGCTAATGTCGTGAGCGTGGTAGCCAGGGTCGAGGTATGGGACGTCCCAAATAGTTCCGGCCGAGAATCGTCGTGCTCTGAATATAGCCTGTCGTCTTTGGCGAGGAAAGGGACGACATGTGGGTTGACTTGTGACACGATAAAGTGGTTGACGTTGAACATCTCTGCTAGCCTCGTCATTGGCAAGTCGTTATCCACAGAGCCATCGACCCATCGCTGAGGGCTCGGGTTCCACGGCATATGCTCGCCAGTCTGCGGATCCTTGACAAGAAGCGTGGCACCGCTGAAGATGAAGGGCACCGAGCATGAAGCGGCCACCGCTGACCAGATCATAACATTGGGCGCAGTGATGTAGTTCAAGAGTCGCGGAAGTTCGTAGATTGACTCAGTGGAAACCGAGATGTTGCAGATCTTCCTGGTCCGGTTGTATGCTTCCTGGAACGTGATATCGCCGAGTAGGCCTCGCATCACCCGCTTCAAGTGCTTGATGTCCGACCACGAGCCCTCGGTGAGCAGCCTCTTGACATGGTCAAGTACCGTCTCCTCCTTGCCCTCTTCTTCAAACACAGCAAGGTCGCCATAGGGAAATTGTCTGATGACCTCAGGCACCTCGTCCCTCGTCCTGGTGCAGAAGACGGCGCAAACAATGGAGCCAGCAGAGGCGCCAGAGATGATGCGGGGAAGGAGATCGGTCTCGAATATGGCCTTCAGAACACCGGCATGCATCATTCCAAAGGTACCTCCCCCACTCAGCAGCAGGGCTGACCTGCCATAGCTTTGTCGGGTCTGCACCAGGGCTTCGAGGATGTCATTGTGGTCCAGGTCGTCGGGTAACGCGCCGGGATAACCGCTCTTCTCTACAAGATCCTCGATGGTCTTTACTGCAGACTGCACGTATTGCTCGATAAGATCTTTCGTTCCCATGTATGAATGCTTGTATAAGTCGATGTTGCCGAGGCCACCGAGCTCACGCGACAGGGCAGTCCTCACGAGATGGAGCATCCGGCGGATATCGCAGGCGGTACGGGCGTCGTCGAGTTCGCGGATGCGCTCGCGCACGACGTCGGGTCGGTAATTGCCGTCGACGCCATTCTCCTCTGCTTTCCATTTGTGGTTCCCCTCAAGGAGGTCGAGTTCCTGAGCTGCCGAGGTCCATTGCGACGCTGAAGTGGCCTATGTCGGTTGCATATGGGTTAGGGTCGCCAAGCTTCGCAGACACGACGGGGGAGAAGGACTCACGTTCTTCATGCGCAAGGCCAGGATATGTTTGCGCTCCTCGGTTTTACGGGTCTCATCCGACTCGGGGCTGGTCTTTTCATCTTGGGCTGGACAAAGATACCCGTTGGCTCCCCTTATGAGCTTGGAGAGACGGTGCGCGGGCAATGCGCCGGAGGAGCACGCCTGCTTCACGGCGGGTTGCTGTCCATCGCGATGGGTGTGGGCAGGAGACTGTAGGACGTGGAGATATTGGTTCATCGCAAAGAGTGGGAGGAATAGGACGGTCGTCTTTGTCGGCACATTTGGAAATGCGTTGAGGGTGTTCGGTGAGGTCCTTTCAGGTCGTCATCAGGACATGTACTTGGGGGTGTACCGTCTTTGTTTCTTTGCGAGTTGGAGCCGGTGAAATATGAGGAATTGGGTATGTCCAGTTGTGTTTGTCTGTGTTCAGGAACAGAGAGGCGATTCTGGGCGGGTGGTATAGGTTGTGGTGTGTAAATCGGCGTCAGGGTGCTCGATTCAAGGATAAGTCACAAGAAAGAGACAAGGGAGAGACGGAGCGTGGGAGAGGATTGGTAGTCGGAGGTCCAAAGTTGGACGGTGCTCGGAACGGGAAGCGGTCCAGTTACGCTACTACGGGGAACAGCACAATGCAGATCGAGACCAGATCGGCTCAGGATCGATGCCGTGGAAAGGCGGTGGAGAGTCAAGACAAGTCAAGTGCAATGCCAATTCGACGAACAAGAGCAAGAGTAATGTAATAACTCGACAGTCTAACAAGTGCGACAGGGAGAACGGAGGCCATGCACGAGGACAAGACAAGACGGCGGGACGAGGCAGGCAATGCAAGGACGATGCTAGGCTAGTCTGCACATGGCCTGCGTCGCCGGTGCGGGAATGACATCTTTGGGGAGAGGGAGTCGGGGGCCCCACTGGGCCACCGGGCCCACCGTTGCAGGATGGAAATGACAAGGCCAGCGCGATGATTGGGCGCATTATGCCATTGATGTGCGAAGCAAGAGGTCACCTGCGACCCCGGATCTGGGATTCTGATCTACGGCTGCGCACCCTACTGTCGCAGCAGCGCTCTGTTCCGCCTAGTCTACCCCGTACTCTGCAGTGATCCACACCACCTTCTCCAGATTTGTCTACCTGGGAACAATTAAGCGGTACTTCCAGACCAGTCAGACTGCAAGACTACCTGACTACATCTCATCTTGCTGCTGCCCACACGGCAACAAACAAGCCTGATGGACGGTCAGCTGGGGCTGGAGTGCAGATCATGTCCCAAGCCGCCGCTTGCACCCGCACGGCGTCGTTTAATAAACTCCGGGGCTCGGATGTCCCTCCCGAGAGGGCGAGGGGGGACAGGAAAAAAAAAAAGAGAGGGACGCACAAGTCGGGATGTTCGAGGATGTCGGTGCTTCAGCCTGCGTCAGCTGTGCCTTGTGACCCTTTCCGCCCCTCGGCACACCGCCAGCCAGCCAGCCAGCGGCAGCTGCAACGGCAACCAAGAACGGCAGCCAACGTCGAGCATATGTGCGCCTTGCTACCTACCACCAGCGGCAGCTTGCCCGGTCTGATGTGAGACGAACCATGCTGAAGGAAGCTGACCTGACTTGACTAGACTAGACTTTGTATGACCTCCCTCCCAGCTCCTGATTCAGTCAGTCTCACCAGGCTTCACATGCACGCCCAAAACCACACAGACGACGGACAACGGTCCCACACCCACAGGCAAGCAGGTAAGCCATACACTGACTTACCTTGAGGTTGAACAACAGCCCAACCCACAAGGTTCAACCACGGGCACCCATCCCACTTGCCCTACCCGGATCTCCGTCGTCATCACACGCAGACCTGTCTAGCCTCTTGAGTCAGGCCAGCCACTTAATTATTCACACTCATATACACACAGACAGGACGACGCCGCTCTCCCGCCGGTTGGCTCAGAGTGGGCAAGGGCCGCCTCTGGTTTCACGCTTGGGTGGGGGAAGGAGAATTCCACCGAAATTCCCCCTCTCTTCCTGATTCCCGTGCCCCGGAAAAAGAAAAAATGACAAATTTAGCCGCGCTGGCCGATGGAGGTTTCTAGTCCGTGGGCTAGAAGGAGATAGAAGAGTAGTCCACAAGAGAAAACGCACGGCCTCGGATGCTTGTGATAAGAGAAAAAAAAAAGGTGACCGTCGGGACAAGGGAAAGAAGAGCGCAAGTCTGTGAGCCGGCCTCATCGTGCACTTTTGACTTACTTCCTCGAGAACGTGCAGCCCACGCCGGCAAGGCTGCGTCTCTGACTGCAGGTAGCAATTAAGTGTCTTTGGCTGAGACACCTACATCTGCATCCCACCACACCAGCGGCCTCTACGCGTGAACCCAATCGTTGGACCCGAGTGACCTCGAAGAGGACGTTAGGCCCCAGACATCACGCGGGTCACAGGGCCCCCGCCCCATACAGCGCCACGGCGCACCCCACGGGGTAATGGAGGGGCAGCCTCTGGCTTGGGAGTGGGTGGGTTGGTGGGGAAAATTTCAGGTAAGCTGGGCAAGCATGTGAAGATTGACAAGGCCCTGTCGAGTAGGCTACACGAGGGCTACTAGACAGTCAGTCTCATACACCAAAACTTTGTGCCCGTCTTTCGTTCCTCGCGTAACCTTGTGTTATCATATGCTTCAGACTGGACATGAGTTTGTACGTACTAAGTGGATTACACATAGTCTTGTCGATGTGACCCTCTCGTGCTGGCCCAGACCTGGCCATGACACACTACGCGGGCTCGAGGTGTTCGGGCATGCTGCTGGACAAGGGTCCCGGAGAATCCCATGATCAAGGGGGTTCCGCACGCACTTGATACAACAGTATGGTGTACACGGGCTCCGGCCCGGAATGTCAGATAACCAACATGCTCGGGTAACATTTCAGCTAATTCTAGGGTATCGTAACTCCAATGCATCGTCAAAACCCATTACCAATACCATCATCTTGTAGCCTGGACAACAAACACCGCGCTGAAATTCAGCAGAGAACATGGGAAACAATCACGACCGCTCCTCGACCTGTGCCAGCAACTCCCCCGAGAACGCCCTCACGGCGTCAGAGAGCCGCTGCATGGTGCCCTCCTCGATGTAGAAGTGGCCGGCCGTCGAGACCTCATGAGCCCTGAACCGGGAGCCAGGGGCGGACTGCAGCCTAGCCGCCCAGTCCCTGAATCTCTTGACGGTCACAAACACGTCCGAGTCGCCGTAGATGGCGAGCGTCGGGTTCTCGAGCAGCTTCTGCCTCTCCTGCTTGGACTCCGCCGGGCCCGATGCGGCAGCCTGCTCCTCTCTGTCCTTGCTCCTGGACTGGGGTCGCCTCCCGAAGAGGCCCGACACGGGGTTGCCCAGGTTCATTGTCATCAGGCTTGTGGCCCACCCCACCGGCGGGGAGACCAGCAGGTAGGCGGTCAAAGGGGACGGCAGTCCGGCCACCGGTGGTAGGTGATCTAGCTCTTTGCCCTTGTCTGCTTCTTCTCCTCCGGTGCTGTCGGCTGATACTTCCTTCTCCTTCGGCCGACTGCCCTTCTTCCGGTGGCTGTGATGCTGGTGCATCTTTGTCCTTTTCATGAGCTCTGCCACGCCGGCCCGCACCTTCTCCTCCGCGTCCAAGGCGAAACTCCTCCTTCCCCCATGATCCTGGCTTCGTCTCTTGTCCTCGTCGCCCCCTATCCGTAGGCCTGCGGTTGCTCTTCTGGGCGACATTGGACTGGCTGGCTCCATTAGGGCCGCACGCGCACTGGACAGTATGACATTCTGCTGTTCGGCAAGATGCTGGGCTCTGAGACGTATATCTGCTGCTGCAGAGGCATTCTTGGGAGCCCTAAATATCTCCAATACAGATTCCAGTGGTGGCAGGAGCTTCGTTATCATTGCGCCATAGGAGTAGCCGCATTGGAGGAAAACTGAGGGGCTGGCCACACTCTCTGGTTCTGATGCCCCAGAGGTGCCGGATTGGTTGGTGGTCGGCGACAACGGCAGGTTAGGTATGCTCTTAGGAGACTGCCCTTGTCGGAAGGGGTCAAGGTAGTGCACATAATAGTAAACAAATCCCACGAAAGACACATAGTCACTTCTCTCGGCCTTTGACGTCCAACTAGTCCTCCCGCCCGAGTTGCCCGCGCCGCGGAAGTTAAAAGTGCCGACGAGAAATCCCTGCCTCAGCAGAGTGGCAGCCAAGGTCTCAACGACCGGGTCGTCATAGCAGCCTCCCAGCGGCGCGTACGGGTGAGCGAGGATGGCGGCGTGCTTGCGCCATGGAGGGGCTCGAGGGTTTGCAGTCAAAGACTGAGGGTGATAGATGCGGCACTCAAGTGTAGCGTCGTCGTGCACGCTAGGGATGGTGATGGAAAGTGCTGGATCAGGAAGCATGGTGCGTGTTGCTAATGCCGATACCGTCTTCGTCGGAAGCCGGTGTGTCGTGCTCGGTGAAGCACTCCAGGATGTCGTGCGGTGATCGCGGTCACATCTGCCCGAGCTCGATTTCGTCCTCGGCTGAGTTCGGATCCCGTTTGTTTCTCCGAAGACCGCTGAAGACTCGGCAGCACTTGCAAAGAATGAGAACTGTGACTGCCAAGCCAGAAAGACTCAATCCCGTGATGATGCCGACGAGCTTCAGCTTCTCGACATCAAACTGGATGGTCCAACCGGTAGAATCCCAGGAAAGACCCGGAAAATCAAGGCCGGGGAAAGGTGACTAATGCATCGCTGGACGAGATTTTGTGAGTCAAGAGCCTTATGAATGTCCTGGCAGGCCAAGCGAGAGAGTATGAAGTTTCGTGTCTGCTCGAGGGGATATGGAATGTGGTAAAGATATCGAATAACAAACACATGGGGTTGACGTCAGCTTGGGACGAGCAGGGGTCGAGCAACACAAAGCAAGACGGCTGGATGGTGGGGTCGGATACGACAGGTCCTTTCCAAGCAGTCCGCTGGACACACGGGGCAGCATCAATAACTGCCACTGCGGTGCACGCCAATGAATCAGTTTGCTCTCTCTACAGTTGACTGATCGTCTCCACAGGACCCAGAATCGACGACATCTGGCATATCTCTTGGCCGCAGAGCCACCAACAAATACTGTGCTTGAATTACCAGGAATAGAATCAAACATCCGTTGGCGGCCAGACCTGACGACACAGTACGGGAATAACACCAACCCCTACGCAAAAGCAAACACCAGCGTGATCCGGCCGGGCACCAACAGCCACCAACATGCATGCATCGCCTCATGTTCCGCCGGTCGACGGCCGTCTTCAGCTCGACTGTTCTCGAGACAGACAGTCTCGCGTAGCCAAAGACACTTTACCTTTGATGAGATGCAAACCACACAGACAGCTAGACCACTCCGAGTCCTCCGCCGCTAGTAACCCGGAGGATCGGCCAAGCTACACAGCGCAATCGGCCTACCCTTCGGCATAAAGATGAGTGGAGTTGCGCCATCCATGCCGAGTGCAGATTTTTGTCACGAGGCCGCATACGCCCCCCCGGACGCCCGCGCGGTCTGATGACTGCTCTGCATGTACTGGGTGTTTCCGTGAATTACATGTTATGGTATAAGCTGCCTTTTTCTTTAGTGTGTCAGCATTATTATTTTGCCCTGTCTTGTCAAGATCATTCGTCTTGACGTCGGCTTCTCCTCAGTCCTCTGCTTGACATTTCACTGTCTGCTTTACTTCCAGTCGTTTCCGGTCAAAACTACAACATCACCAGATCACCAGAATGGCTTCAAACAATGGCAATGAGGATGCTCCTCGAGTTGAGGACGAGAATGTGTCCGCTGCAGAGCCCAACCAGAGTGTCTGGCGCTCAATATGGCAAAACAACAAGGGTGCACTTCTAATCCTCTCATCTGTTGTCTGTGGCGCGTCAATGGACGCCATCGCCCGTTTCTTGCAACAAGGCGGTGCCGGTTTTCACACGCTCCAGGTCTGTCCTATCATCATGTTCAAGAGTCCCAGAAATTCCAGGAAATACTGACAGGCCTACTAGATCATCACGGCTCGTATGGGTGTAACGTTAATCCTGAGCACCGTGTACATGTGGTGGACTTCTGTGCCACATTTCCCGCTAGGTCATCCTGAGATCAGAGGCTGGCTGGTGTTGAGGGCGCTGTTTGGATTCGTGGGCCTCTTCACGTTATACTGTGAGACTGTCCCCAGGAGACCGCCCAGGATGAGATGCCTACATACGCCGAACGGAATACTGACACCCCGCAGACTCGGTCCACTACCTCCCCCTCGCTGAGGCGACCGTCTTCCGCTTCCTAATTCCTATCACCACCGCCTGGGCATGCTACATTGTACTGGGCCAGCCCTTCACCCGCAAGGAGCTGATTGCGGGCTTGGTAGCCCTGGTGGGCGTGGTCTTCATCGCGCACCCAGAGTCCATCTTCGGCAAGGTCGACGACCATATCCACGCTGATACCGCCCCAGGCGACCTGGACGATGTCACTCCAGCGCAGCGCATGTTTGCCATCGCGCTCTCTATCTTCGGTGTTGTAGGAGCATCCGGCGCATACACGACCATCCGCATCATGGGCAATAGGGCCCACGCTCTCATCTCAGTCAACTACTTCGCCCTGATCGCCACCGCCGGCTCGGCAGTCGCGCTGCTGGCCGCGCCGGGCATAGGATTCTCAATGCCCCGATCCGCGCGGGAGTGGGCCCTGCTGGCCCTGCTCGGCTTCCTGGGCTTCGTCCTGCAGTTCCTGCTCACGTCCGGCCTGCAGCTGGACAAGAGCCCCAAGGCCACGTCGATGCTGTACACCCAGGTGATATTCGCCCTGATGTTCGACTGGGCCATCTGGGGCGTGCTGCCAGGCGGCTGGAGCCTTTTCGGCGGGGCCATCATCATCGCGAGCACCCTGTGGTCGGCCTTGCACAAGCCGCAGGCCCCCAAGAGCAGGCCGGAGGCGAAGAAGGCCGTGGACGAGGAGACGGCGCTGCTTGGGCCACAGACCGAGGGCGTAGAGGAGGTCGCGAGGGTTTCCAGCGCTGGACGTGCATAGCTACTTCATCATCGGGAGCCTTGAGCGAGGTGTCCATTTCTTTTGCATTCTCGGAGTCGATGGGTTGATTTCCAACAGCATTTGGGGGGCATTGGTAATCACCGACAGCAACTGGCATTGAAATATATACAGCGAAAGCGGGATTCACATAAATGGCCCGTCTCATACCCAAATACATATATTTGGCAAGGATTCAAAGAAACTGCCTGTGTGCATGAGACAGTACGTGAGGCAGTCTTCACCCATTACATTAGGCCGGGCCCGACAGGACGACAGAGTCGATCGTGCAGGTCACTGTCGTGCCCGAGACGGAAGCCTTCGCGCCAGTGATGGTATACTTCGTCGCCCCGTTGTAGTTGCTCGGGCTAGACGTGCACCACGAGGAGCTCGAGCTGCCCGTCGCGACGATCTTGACGTTCTTGAAGGTGAGCGCGCCAAAGTTCCACGGGACGTCGTACCTGCGCGGCCACACGCCCGTCAGTCTCATCCACTTCGCGTTATCCCGGGCTCGCACATGCCCCCGAGATTCATTCTTGCGCCGCATGCAATCAGGCGTGTAGAGGGACGGGAACGGACTCACAGCTCAATAGCAAATATGGCCTGGTTGAAGCTCTTGGAGCTCAGCGGGAATGTGTCCGTCTTGGTCGTGCCTGTGCTGCCGTGCACGGTGGTCGACTGCCAGTTGGTGCCGTCGACCCTAACGTTGCGGAACGTGTTGGTCTCGCCGGCGTAGGTGTTGAAGCCGGAACCCCAGGCCAGCGACGGGTTGCTGCAGCACCAGCCGGAGCCGAAGTACCACGTCCCGGACCTGCCGTCCAGCACGTTCTGGTACACGCCCGTGTTATCGGTGGGCTGCAGGCCGGGCCACAGGTAGTAGGTGGCAGCCTTGGGGAGGGTGGGCACCACCATGGAGCCGGAGAACTCGGTGAATTGGGCGCCGCTGGCCGGGTAGTATGTTAGGAAGTACCATGTCACGGCGGAGGACGGGCTGGCGAGGAGGGAGAGCAGGAAGAACGAGGTGAGGGACTTGATCGAGGACAACATCTTGTTGATTTGCAAGATCAAATGGGAGTAGACAGGAGGTTCTTGGATATTAAAGGATAGCCAGACTCGGTGATAGAGGTCTGATCACTGATGTCAAAAGTGTCAATCCAAGAAACATGGGATGACAGGAGGCTTGATATAACTTTATATCAGCTAAGAGTCCTGATCGTCTTTGCTGTTCCTCGAGTGGTAATGACCCCTGGCCCATCATCTATTCACGACAGACGACGGGATTCTCGGAGCCGGCAATGAGGAGCAAGGTTGACAAGATCCATGTCGGTAGATGGTGGTCAATGGTGGTATTGAGACGGGACCTCGACTGTTTTTGGAAGGTTCCTCTCGAGATTGCAACGAGCCCCGAAAGATTGGGGTGTTTACTAGAGTGAGTTTGGGTTGAGGGGGAAGGACTGGTGATAGGCAATCTGGCGTGGATAATTAATGTAGAAGCCGATATGGGTGTGCTGATCGTTGCCGGCTCAGGCCAGTCTATAGCTGCAGCATATAAGCGCAAGGAATACCAATGGCCCGCCGCGATCCGCCTACCCACCACCGTGGTATTATGTTGAAATGCCAGAAGTCTCGGCGAAGCTTGATTGATCCCTTGGCTTTCCATTGGGGCGGTACCGTTGCGGGTAGGTGTTGAGTTCAAGATCCAGATTAAACATCAAGAGTCAAAAGGTGCAGCTTTGTCGGGGAAATCATGAGAACCCCTGGATGCCCCTGCTCTGTAGGCAAGGTCTGAGACTGCCTATAGGTCCCTCAATTCACTAGACAGATGTTGCGAAAATCATCACCATCGCCTTGATGTCATGAGCGTCATGGGCATCGTGTCTTATTTTCTGTCGGTGCTGAGTTGAGTACAGCATAACTTGAGGCTGGACGTCGATCTTCCCGGTCGGCTGTGGCTTACGTTCACCAGGTCCTGAACGATCCGAAGAAGCTCGCTGTTGTCGACGCAAGAGCTCCCCGGTCAGGAATGGCGAGCGGCCTGTGAGCTGCACATCGTCGGCTCCAGCAAGCCCGACGCACCCATGACTTTGGCTTGCTCACATTTTCTCCACGGGTCAGGCCGGCCGCACTCTGTTTGACTGGCTTGCGTATGTACTGGGTCTGCCTGTGAACTCGGGAATGCGACCATTTACTCCCTTTATTCGCGCGCTTTCAGAAAGCCACAAGAAATATAGAAGCACCCAGGTGTGGCGCAAGGGTGAGAGGAATATCTTTGATACTGATGGCGATGGCTATACGTAGGTACTCCCAGAGCGACCCAAGACCTATGTGAGAAGCCATGGGGGTTTGACAATGGAAGGGCATCAGTACCAACTGATATAACTGCCGATGGAAGTGCTAATAGAATTGAAGGCGTCTCCAATGGCTGTCAACGCCAAGGGGCATCATGTTGGGCGAGCTGAGGACGAGGGCGGCGACAGTCACGATGGCCGTTGTGATGTTCGAGCGAGGTTCGAACGGGGAACGCCTGGGATAAGCATCGCTTAAAGCCTATGAATAAGTCTGTAGGAGGAGAGTTGAATCAGAGAAGGAAGGACTGGCTTGAGAATGTAATGATGCGAAGTGAGATTGTTTGAGTTGCGATAAGCCAGAACCGTCCGAACACTGCCAAACCGGGATGGCGGGTGGAGTGAACTGGGCATCGACGTCCCAGGGTTGTCGTACGGTCTCCAGGGGTGGTCTTGAACTGCAGGCGCCGATCATTACATAAGCCCCTTTTTCAGTGAACCTTGCGGAAACATCTTTTTTCTTTCCACGACTGTTGACTGCATTTCATCCCCGTCCTTCCACACATGACATCTCTTGACTCCTCAAGATGGCTTCGGTAAAAGACCACTTCCTTGACCTGGAACGGCACCGCCGCCAGCTTGAAGAAAATGTCGAGAAGCTTCGTAAAGCCATCACACACTGGCGCATGTGTGATGCCGACTACGAGGAACTCAAGGAAGAGGTCGAAGCCATATCCGGGCCTGCAGACCGCGCGGACCTGGATAGGATATGCGACGAGTTTGAGGGCCAAGTCATCAACGTCAAGGAAGTCAAGGAGATCTTCGGCGAGCAAACGGTGAAGTCTAAGGCGCAAATCGTCAACATCCTTTCACGGCGGATTGACTATGTCGCAAAAAATGTGGAGACACTGGAGAAGCAGCTGCAGGCCGCGGAGGAGAAGTACGAAAAGGCCAACATCGTCGTCAACCCGGACGTTATGGACGAGGACTCGGGGCTGCCCATCACGGACATCATCGAGGAGCTTGACGACGATGACAACATCACCGCGTCCCGACTGCAAAGGCCAGGCGACTCAACCTCGGCCATTCGTGAGGCGCTGGAGAAGGCTGGTGTCAAGGATCTGCCTGAGACGAACGAGCGGGTGCAGGCCGATGTCGAAGAACTCTCAGATGATGAGGACACACCGATGAAGGACGAGCACAATGGCCGCATTGAGGACGCACAAAAACAAGGCAGGCCACAATCTGAGACGGCATCAACTATCATGGAAATCGACTCTACGGATCCTCCAGCGAAAAAGGGCGTGTCCTTTGCGGAAGACACAAAACCAGGCCACGACCTCAACGGCCGGGACCAACAATCCCGGACGCGGGATCATCTGGAGCAAATCATGAGGCAAGCCAAGGAGCAAGAGGCACCGATCTCGAACCCAGTGATACCAGAAGGCGAGTCAGACGACGACGCTGAGCTCCGACGGGAGATGCTCAGGTACGGCATGACGGACATTGCCCCCATCGTTGCCGAGCTTGAAATCGATGAGGGCACAGGGTCAGAGTTCGACGACGACGAGTACAGCCTTGACGAGGATGACGGTTTTGAAGACGACGAAGATGAGGACGAGGACGAGCATGGCCGGACCAAATCTCGTGTCGTCGATGACAAGTATAGGAAGCGTATGCAGGAACTTGAGGAGAGGTTGGGCATAAAATCAAGCCGCCAAATCGACGAGGAAGAAGAAGCCAAGGCCGCAGGTAGTATACCGGAAGAGGGCATCGCACGTATCGCCATCCAACCAGCGGCTTCAAGTCAACCAGCACCCACAAGCCAGCCCGCCAAGTCATCAATGAAAGGCGGCAATGAGGATGCGCAAGAGCCGAAGCCCGTGAAGAAAGGCGTCAAGTTCGCCAACGCACTGGATATAGCCCCCGAAGCAGACGCCACACCAGCTCTGGCTCCGGCTGAGCCAAAGGAGCCGTACGTCGACCCCATGAGAAGCACCATCGTGGAGCGGAGCCCAGCCGCACAGCCAGCAGCACCAACAGCAAGCGCACCCAAGAAGGCCTCGCGGTTCAAGAAGGCACGAGCCACGGAGCCAGCTTCCAGCCCAGCCGAAACCCAGCTCCCAGTCAGGACCAAGGGCCCGGCTGAGGCCCCGGCGCGCTTCCTCGACCAGGAGATACGGACCGCCCCAACCGGACCGGACGGCAAGACGCTCGCCGGGACTATCGTGGAGCGGGACATGCCCTCGGGCGCCGTGGAGCCGGACGAGTTCGACGCGACGCTGCTGCACCAGGAGGCCGCTGTCGAGTACCACCGGATGCGCAACCGGATGATGCAGAAGCAGGGCGGCTTCGTGGCCGAGAAGGAGGAGGCCATCGAGTACCCCGAGGACGAGGAGACGGGAGGGAAGCGCGTGAGCCGGTTCAAGGCTGCCAGGTTGGGGAGGCAGTGAGGCCGGACACGGGTCGGTAGGGGCCATAATGAACAACCTAACATGCTTGCTGTGGGTTTCTGCGACTCTCTAACATGGTCCGGGCTTCATTGCTTCTTGCCACTCTGTGCTACGTTGTCTAGGACTTCCTCACAAGAGACATACCAACACGTCGACAGACTGGAAGATCAGCCCCATGTCCAGCACAAAACTCCTTACTGGGCTTCTTGCTTGCCTGTAGGCAATGATACACACGGAACCCAGGTCGTCTCACGATGACCAGTTGAGCTCGCAGTTCCCCATCTGCTTGCTCGGTATGGGTAACATTCCAATATTGAATCCCGAGGGGCTTATCTGACCCCTGACCTGTGAGGCCTTCGTCGGCTTTGCCTTGTGGTCTAGGCGTTTCGTTTCACCACCTCACATGCTCAGAAGGAAGATAATATGATATGTATGTCCCTGAGTACACGTACTCCATGCGTTGGGTCCTGTTTTTATTTTGTGGTACTCCGAGTAATGTCCAGTCGTGCCTCGTAAAAAATGGTATCATACAACTCCAACCTCCCATGCGCTTTCCTCTGTCTCTCTCCACACATCCGCAACACAACAACCGCCCTAGTTGATCTTGGCATTGCTAAAGTCCATCTCCGGGTGCTCGGCCTGGAACTTCTTGAGGATGTCGGCCTTCTTCTGCTCGTCGCTCGTGGGCTTGCCGGCCTCCTTCTGGCGCTGGTCGTACATCATCTTCTCGACCATGCCCCGCGTCTCGCCGTCCAGGTCCGACAGCTTGGACGACTCGGGCGTGATCTTGGTGACGTCGATCTTGGGCGCCCCCGTCACCACGTGCGGCCACCACTCCATCTTGTTGACCTTGTCCAGGTGGATCTCGACCGTCTTGGTCCCGTCCGGCGCGGAGGTGAGCGTCCACGTGCTCTCGTCGACGTGGATTGCCTGGTGGAGGTCGCCCTGTGCCCGCGTGAAGCTTGCGTCAGTGTTTCTGGCCTGCAGCTTGGGTACTCCTGCCGTGTTGGTGTCCCGGGGGCGGGGGAATAGTGTGGAGCATACACTTATAACGGGCTCTTGACCCTTGACGCCGGCTTTTACGCTCTGCTTCTTGATCTCGACGACCAGGTCCCTGCTCTTGAAGTTGCCCGGAATACCGGTGATGGTGACATCTACGTCGCCAATGGTCTGCTGCCACTTGTAGGGGAGGGCATCTTGCTCGGCCTGCTCCTTGGCGCGGGCGGCTGCTTGTTCGGCGGCGGTGGGTTCTGCGAGGATGTCAGCTTGTTTGTAGGTGAGAAAGGCTCCTGTAAATAGTTTACGAAGACAGTGAGCCGCTGTATTATCTGGAGCCCATACCGGTGTCTGCCATCTTTTGGGATATACAGTCAGCTGTCTGGTGTCGAGACTTTTCAGAGCCGTGGAAGCTGGTCGAAGCTGGAGAAGACTGGTGGCGGAAGCAGCCCGCCCTGGATCTGGATGGCGGGGCAGCTTTTTGGGGGAGCTCCAGCGGCGCCATGCAACCAACGCCTGCAGGCACCCACCCACCAGGGCACACCCGAACATCTGGAAGCTTACCCCTGCTTAGGTGGCCAGGTACCTAGGTACTCCCGGTCCAGGTACGTACGTACCTAGGTAGTTAATAAATGTGGGTTGATCTGAACGTCCTCGGGATCATCCATTTAGATCTGTTTGACGTGCCCTTCTCAACCACGACGTCCCACCTTCCTCCGCCCAACATACACCTCCTCACTACAGTCTTCTTCCTCGACTTTGACCCTATTCAGGGCTGTCGCACCTCGAACGCCGATGAACTGCTCACCACCAAGTCCCTGAGCATCCTCCACCTCCCGCCATGTCGCGCAAACCAGGGGCGCCCGTCGCCCGCGCCGGGCCCGTGGCAGCCCCCATCCAAGCGATCGCCCTGACCAATACCGACGGCGAGGAGCAGTGCCCCATCTGCAAGACCCTCCGGTACATGAACAAGTCGATGCGCTTCCTCATCAACCCGGAGTGCTATCACCCGCTCTGCAACAACTGCGTCGACCGCCTGTTCGAGAACGGGCCCAACCAGTGCCCCTACGTCGGCTGCCACAGGACGCTGCGCAAGAAGGCCTTCCGCGAGCCCGTATTCTCCGACCTGTCCGTCGAGCGCGAGGTCGACATCCGCCGTCGCGTCGCCGCCGTCTTCAACCGTACCGAGGACGAGTTCGAGGACCTGACCTCCTACAACGAGTACCTGGAGATGGTCGAGGCCCTGACCATGGACCTCGTGTACGGCGGGCCCGCCGACCAGGCCGCCGCCAACGAGAAGCTGCTGCAGTGGGAGGACGAGCACAAGGCCGAGATTGAGCGCAACAAGCGCATGGGCGAGCGCCAGAAGGAGTCCACCCGCAGGCAGATCGCCGCCGAGAAGGAGGCCGCCCGCCAGCGCCGCGCTGAGGCCGCCCAGGCCGAGGAAGAGGAGCGCCTGGCCAAGATCAAGCAGCGCGAGGAGGACCTCGACACCCTCGCGCGCGCCCCGCAGGGCCAGGCCACAAAGGTCATGCTCAAGCGCCGCGGCCAGCACCGCAAGGAGGAGATTGCCGCCTCCGAGGCCGCCGCCCTGCGCCGTGCCGCCGCCGCGGCTGCCGGCGGCTTGTCCATCCGCGGCCTGAAGAAGAAGGGCGACGCGGCGAGGGACGCGGACACGGGCCCCTACGACCCCTTCGGCAAGCTGGACCTCGGCAGCACCCGGTACACGCTCGAGAAGGACTACAAGAACCCGTTCCTCGACAGCGCGAAGCACGACCAGAAGATCACGGCGGGCGGCTACAGCCTGCAGGAGTACTACGCACGGGCCATGTTCGAGGCCTTTGCCGGTATGGCTGTGTTCGTCAACGACGAGAAGGAGACCGGCAAGCTGGGACTGGACTTTGGGGACGTCGCTACGGGGGGTGCTGGCCTGGCCGCACAGGCGGACGGAGTGGGCGACGAGGCTGCGAGGACGGCGGTCAAGAGGGAGAGGACCGAGGTGAAGCTGGAGATGGACCGCGAGGTCAAGCAGGAGGCCAGGGGAGGACGTGGTCAAGGTCGAGCAGCCGATCAAGATGGAGGTGGATGACTAGATACTAGAACCAGGCGCCGGCCCCACAACATGACCGGTGGCGCGCCTCGTCTGTCCTGCGGGGCTTGCGGGACATGTCTGGATTGCTTGGAGAGTCGATCTGATCATGACTAACGGGTGGATTTAAAGATTTGCATAGCGACGGCGTTTGTTCAGGCTTGAGACCAGGGTGGTCAGAGCCGTTTCTCGGGGTACCCAAGTACATCACACGGCTTTTGGCGCGGATAGGAATAGTGCAGAGCAGTGGAGTAGACATTGCTCGAGGGGATGGGCTACGGGGCAAGAGCACTAGAATCCGATACGAAATTCTGCGGACAACATTGTCCATTAAACTTTAGTGCATGTAATCTTGAACGTACCCGCGCCGGCTGCGTGAGGACGCACCAGGCCCAGGACTTCAATATCTACATCAGCCAGACCCTCAACCTAAACAGCCCCCTGACATACGCAGCCTCCATCCATCGACTTCCCTTCCCAAAGCCTTTGAGGACCCATCCCTCCGTCCGTTATTAAGCCGCCCTGAACGCCACGCTCTGCAAACACAGAACTGCAAGACAGACCGAAGACACAATGGGCGAAAGTGCTTTCCGTTCGATTCTCATCGCATTGCTTCTTGGTCAAAATTTGGACACGTTGTAACTATTAATCACTGCTGCCAGGGGCTCTGTTGCGCTGGCCTGGGGAATACCGGCATCGTTTGGAGGTTGTCCAAGCCACCGCCGATAGGCTGTTGATTATGCTGCCAACCCATGCCCGTGTTGTGGTTGACAAACTGCGACTGCCGGAACGGATTCGTTGTCCCCGTCGGCTGAGGTGCCAGACCGGCGCTCGTTGCTGGTCTTTGCGGTTGCTGAGCAGCGCCAAAGTTCTTGGCAAACGGATTGGTCCCTGTGGCCATGGGCTGCAACGGTGCGGCTGGCGGAGGAGATTGGAACGGAGACGGGTTGCCAGTTGCCGAAGCCGAGCGAGCGAATGGGTTGGTAGATGTGTGTTGCGGCTGAAGTGTAGGCGGACTCGTAGGTGCGGACTGGGCGCTCATACCAGTCGGCTGCCCTGTCAGCATGGATTGGCGGAAGGGATTGGTGGTTTGCTGGGGTGCTAGAAGGTTGGGCATTGATGCGCCCGTCTGGAACGAAGAAATCGCAGACTCCTGCGGTATAGGAGCCAACGAGTTCTGGTACCCAGGCTGTGCAGGCTGGGGCGTGTAACCACCGAAGCCAGCGCCGGTAAAAGAAGGCTGCAGCTGTGGCGGAGGGGCTTGTTGCTGTGGTTGGAAATTCCCCATGTGCTGTTGGAAAGGATTCGTCGCCTGGAACCCTGTTTGCTGTGGTGCGAAGCCATTCTGGAAGCCTGTGGGTTGTTGCTGCTGAAAGCCAGTCTCCGGTCCCCAAGGCGAGTTGCCCATCTGACCGGGCTGAGCGGTGGGCTGTGCGCCCAGCGGCGTCTGGTTCTGCTCTATCGAGTCAAAGAAGTCGATCAAGTCGGTATTCGGGTTCTTAGCCGGCGGTGGCTTGCTTTCCGTAGACGACGATCCGTTGGCCGTGGGGAACGGCGAGTTGGAGGCTGGTTTGGAAGCGGTTTCGCTCTTCATCGTGAAGAACGGTTTGGACGCCCCTGAGCCTCCTCTGCCCTTCTTGGCCTCCAACTCGGCCAAGTACTGCCTTCGGTGGATCTCGAAATCGGTGTCGTGGAGGTAATCCTCCAGCTGTCGTCCGAGATTCACGGGGGCGTGCTTCAACTTAGGGACCTCGACCCTTGTGTGGTGCTCGTATTGACGGGCCACGCCGAGGTACTGAACGACCACGTCCGTCTGTTTGGTGAAATTGCGGTAAATATCCATAGCTCTTTCCGCGTCGACCTTGGACATCTCAAAGAAGTGACCTAGACACCAAAATTAGTTGTTGGTACAGCGTCGGCCTTCGCACACCTTACCTAGGATATTGATGAGTGCCTGGTTGAGCACCTGGAACAAGGCCAGCAGATCCAGCACCAACAGCCTGAAGACCGTAATTGTTATTTCGTTCTCCGGCTCGTTGTCCATGACCTAGCCTCCTGTCAGCCATAAACTCCAGAACGTTGGATGGGTCTACAAACATCGCATTTGAGGAGGGCCGTGAGCTGGTTCTGAATAGCCTCCGTCTCCCTCAACAGGCCCTTGTCCACGGACAGCGTATCCATGCGGCTCTCCCTGCCCCTCACCCAGTCGATCTTTGTGTCACGATATGCACGCGCTCGTTCCGATAGGTAGTTGGAATAATGCCGTATGTTCCGTCCCTGAGTCTGGGCTGTTGGCCATGGATCAGTAACTTGTCACAAGAAATTTGGGACATGACTGCGAGTTCCAATATCCGCGAGGCGGGCGTGTACCGACCATCAGAGAACATGCTCACTGCCAACATATTCCGATGTTTTGACAGATAAGCCAGCGTTACATCCGGCGAGCCCTCCCTAATCATCAGGTGCACAGTAATCAAGCTCTTGAAGACAACGGTCCATGTTGAATCTCTCAGCCGGTGCTGCAGCGCGCGGAAGACCTCGCCAACTCCAGCCTCTCCGGAGTGAGTTGCTATCAGGATGTGCTCGATGTATTTCGTCTTTGGGGGCGCGGCCTAGAGTGGAATGGACTGTTAGCGATGATGTCGCCCCCGTCCAGCGCTCATCAAACCAAGGGCGGGTCGTGTCGTATCGTATCGTGTTGCTGAGCCAGCAGGCGGTGACGGACCTTGATCTTGGTGGCGCCCTTGACGGACTTTTCGAAGGAGCTTGCCATCTTGACGCTCTCGGGGGCTGGTGGAAGACGTAAGACGCAGTCAGGGCACGCAGTGCGCAATTCGGGAGGACGTTGTGCAGCGGCAGGTCGTCAATAAGGTACGGAGATTAGTCGGCTGCGAGATTGTCGGGTGGTGGAGCAGGCTGGGCTGAGATGGGCTGCAACCGAGGGAAGGGAGCTGCGGCGTCCTCAGTGATGCGACGGCGGCTGGGGGGCCTGCGAAAATGACAATGACAATGACGATGGGTCGGCCGGTCGGTATTCACGGAAGGCCAAGCACCACAAAAGGGGCGGAGTGAGAGGTGATCTTCGATGCAGTTCAGAGAGCGGCCATGGCATTAACGGGGGCTGCGGTGCGCGATCAAAGCAAGGTGCCCCAAGCTGCGGGTGTAAGCGAATCTTGAGTATAATCTAAAGGGATAATTATGTACGAGTCGCCTGATGGACAACAAAGGCAGGCAGCCTGTGAGACGGTCGGGAGCACAGTCCGAGATGTTTGGTCGACTACCCCGGAGGTGCGACAGTCGGTGGTACTGTGGAAGCAGCTGGACGGGAAAGGGATGAGGTTGACGAGTTCTGAGGTAGCGTCGGTCGACCTGGTGGTTCTTGGCTCTCCCTCTCAGAGTCCAAGGTTACGACTTCCCACCTGCGCTTGCTTGCGGTGGACGGGGGTCGGAGTACGGACATAGTCGCACAGTGGGCAGCATCGCTACCTAGTCTACCACTTGGGTACCAGAGCACCCGGGCTAACGGCAGCACCGACGTTTGGCTAGGTGACCCCCTGGGCGGTGCGGTGCCGTTTCTGGTTGGGCTCGGAGAGCTGAACGGCCCCAGACGCCCAGGGCAGCAGGCAATCATTGACGCAGGGTCAGGAACAGGTGGGTCGGTTACTTCAGACGCGACGATCAATGATTGAATCAGCAGAATGCCGATGCGGAATACAGCTTACACGGAAAATCCAATTGATGCTGTCGTCATGTCACCTCGAGCAGATTTAAGGGTACAGTGTCCGACTCATTACGGGAAGGGCGACGTCCATTCCATGTCGATGTCGCCGTCGATGCCGGATGCCAAATCTCACTACCTCACCGTTTCCAGATGTATGCTACTGCCCAGTGCGGTTTAGTGTCGCGTCCAAACATCAGCCCAAAGGCCATGCCCGTCTGTTTCGTGAAACATCGCCATGACAAGCAGGGACAGCCCCTCAGCAGTCGGTGACTTGTCACTGGGGGAATCAAGGCGTTGTCAAGGCACGGTAATGGAAATCCTTTTCTCCTGTCTTTGAGCAATTTGTATTGTATTGTGAATTTTGGATTCGGCTTGCCTCTCCGTAAAACTACCCACGGCCCAAGTGACCACGAAGTCGAAACGGATGTCAGGTGAAGTTCGCCTGGCTGTCTGGCACAAACTCAGAATGGAACCTTGCGAAAGTATCTTCCATGTCTAGTAGGGGGGAAAGTTGGGTTTGAAGTCTCAGAACTACCGAGCACCAACGATAACGAGCACCAAGTCGGAGAGTATAAAACCCGTCGGCTTGTGTCAATGCTGAATTTGAACGCATGCCCCGGTACACGCGACACTGGTCACGGAAAAGGACATGCATTGGCATTGGTCGCGACCAAAACCATGGACTGGTGTGCGCACATCGAAGCGACCACTTGGTCTAAACACCAGTGCCACCAACAGGCAGTAGCGGGGAGTCGCAATCGTGCGATGGGAACCATTCCAATTCAAACTTGGGTCAGAGATGCCGTGTGGCGTCCGAATAAACAAGGTCAACATGTGTCGAACGCTTATTTCATGAACCCAATCCTCTCGTCACAACCAGGCCCTGGAGCCCACGAGGGGAGAGCCTTGGCTGCAACGAAGAGGCGGGTTCGATCATCTGGAACACGCTGGCTTTCATCATCTGCGTCGCCCGTCAGTAATCTTGTTAAAGGATGTGAAATCTCGGGGTTTGCGGCGTTGCAACTCACATTGTTATGAATTGGAAGGATCAACTTCTTGCAGAAGAAGAGAGAAAATTCAGAAAGCTGTGCTAGACGCGAGCTGCAAGATATGGCCGGTCCAGCAGGCTAGGACCCACCCAGTTTCCCTATTGAGCCAATCATATTGGCAGCCCAGTGGAGCCGGCCGTCACCCCATCGCGCCGGTACATGTGCGATGTACCTCTGGTTCTTTCAAGGTCAGCGCGCTATCAACATGCAGATGCCTCTCTCATGACCTTCAGCGTGAGGTGCTTTCCCACCGTCCACCAATGCACACCGTTTTCTCAAGACATCTGCCATGCGGTTGCCTTCGGCGAGAGGTCTCTCGAACCTGAGGCTGCCCTACAGAACACAATTCAGCCCGGCTTTGCTTCCAGCCAGGCTCAAGTCAAATGATGCTGCCGCTGGCCTCATCCCCCGAACTTGGGCTCGACAAGGGCAAAACTTGCCTTGGTGTCACCGCCGCACCCTGCACGATGATGCAAAAGATTCAGACACACCTAGTCAGGGTGTACCGGCTGATGTAGGGGGCCTTCCAGAGCAGTTTCGTGACTTCAAGGATTATTGTATGTAATATACCCATAGCCCGGCCGGGACGGAGGCGCTTGCTCATGATTGTTGAATAGTCAACGCCCCGGCCCAGTCCCCAGCATTAAACTTCCAGCCGAATCAGACTGTCACTGTCCATGGTTTCATATCCAAACGCAGAGACATCTCATCGAAGCTGAGCTTTGTCAATCTCATCGTGGACCGAGGGCCATCATTCCAATTCAAGTCCTCGTGGGAAGAGAAGGACTCGCCAAAGCATCAACTACACAAGGCTCTAAAACAGGTCCCAGCATGGAGCTCTGTCAGCCTGACTGGTGTTATCAGCGATATGAAGAGAGTCGAAAGGGAATTCGGCCACGAATTCCCCGAGAATATCGGCCATTACGAGCTGACTCTGCAACATGTTCACCTACTTAGCCCTTTTCCTCGGGACATCATCATATCCGAAGGCGCTCAATTCCCACCACACGCTCGGCACCTACAGTTAAGATTCGACGAGGCCCTCAAAACAAGGCTCGCGTTCCGCGATTCCGTCACGGAAATCGCCCAAAGATACCTCACGAAACGAGGTTTCCTCCAGGTGGAGACTCCGATCCTCTTCAAATCTACACCGGAAGGTGCAAGAGAATTTCTGGTCCCTACAAGACGACCTGGTTATGCCTATGCACTACCCCAAAGTCCACAACAGTACAAGCAGGTTCTCATGGCGGCAGGTGTCAGAGGTTACTTTCAGCTTGCCAGGTGCTTCCGCGACGAAGACCTTCGCGCTGATAGACAGCCCGAGTTCACACAGGTGAGAAAGATTTCCCTCCCTCTATCTGTCCCATGCCCCATGCCCCATGCCCCTTGTCACGACCTACTGCTCAAGTTGTATATTAATGTGAGTGGGATACAATAGCTCGATCTGGAGATGTCATTCTCAAAAGGCGAGGATGTGATGAAACTCGTCGAACACTTTGTTAGGAAAGTGTACTATTTCATGAGCACACATTGGCAAACGCGCCAGGTCAATGGAGCTTTGTACCCGGCTTCAAGGTCAGATGGTATCACGGATGCCGATGAATACCCTGCTATAGAAAGAGAGTTCCCACGTATCACTTATCATGAGGCCATGTCTCTCCACGGGTCAGATAAACCAGACCTGAGGATACCGAATAAGGTCCGTGCCTCCATCGTAAGGTGTGTGAGTAGCCACGCTGACAATGACCAAGATCCAACAGATCGATCACATACTGCCACAGAGCTTCACGTCCATGATCTCAGACCTTGAGAACCCTATCGTCGAAGCTTGCGTGTTCCGCTTCGACGGCCCCTCCAAGGACTTCATCAAATCCGTTTGGGACAACCTCCCCAAGCCTCTGCGCCAGAATCCTGACGGCCAGCCTGTTCCCCTCGTCATCGATTCCAGCAAGCCTCTCTCTGGCCTGTCCCCATTAGGCCATGAGGCAGCTTCGGCCGTTCTGGACGCCAGCAGCTCAGATCTCCCCCACATTTCCGGCCTCGAGCAAGGAGACGTACTTGTCATCCAAGCCCGACCCAACAAGCCCTTCGAAGGCGGCTCCACCGCCCTCGGCGACCTTCGAAGGCACATCTACGCCGAGGCAGTCGCGCAGGAGCTCCTCCCGCCAGACAATTCCTTCAAGTTCCTCTGGGTGACAGGTTTCCCGCTCTTCACGCCCAACACCGACTCGTCGGACCCGGCAGAAGGCCAGCACGGCGCCAGCGGCTTCTCAGCCACGCACCACCCCTTCACGGCGCCGCTGAACCCCGAGGACTTTGACCTTCTGGCAACTGACCCGCTGAAGGTCAAGGCGGATCACTACGACCTCGTCGTCAACGGGGTGGAGCTCGGCGGTGGCTCGCGCCGTATCCACATCGCCGCGCTGCAGGAGTACATCTTCCGGGACGTCCTCAAGATGAGCGACGAGGGCATCAGCCACTTTAGCCACCTGCTGGAGGCGCTGAGGGCGGGGTGCCCGCCGCACGCCGGCTTCGCGTTCGGATGGGACAGGTTCATCGCCACGCTGAGCTTTACGGGGAGCGTGAGGGATGTGATCGCCTTCCCTAAGAGCAAGAAGGGGGATGAGCCTGTTGCGAGGGCGCCTGGTAAGGTCACGGAGGAAGAGTGGAGGACATACCATCTCAAGTTTGAAAAGGAGGACTGAGTGGACGGGACATCTGGGCTGTGACATAGGTACGGGGCTGTGAGGCTATCTCCACTCGTTGTGGTTGGCGCATGTGCTGCCTAATGCCTGTACAATGTACATTATACCATGTATAAATTAACAGGGTAAAATAAAGTTGGAAGGGTATATGTGAGCGCAAATACCGGTACCTCATCGATTCTGCACAGCCTTGAGTGAGCATCTCATTGATGGGGTGGCTCATAAGCCGGCTGCGCTACTCTGAGCATGCGTGCTCATTTCATCACGTCCTTCTCCGTAAATGTATATTATGGTCCACCGTTTTAAGGCAGCACGGGGACAGGCGCTTGCGTCCGATTTGGCCGCTTGATGGTATAGGAGGCCGTGGGGACAGAAAGGCCCGCCAAGTGGCTCGGACTGGCACATGCTTGGGTGCATCGCTGACGACACCCCATCCGGTGCCTCATCGCAAGTTCCCCTCAAAAACGTCCGTCGGCCGTCGTTGCGACTCTCCACACTCCGAGCATCGATCATTATCTGTGTAACCTCGTCCAAACCAAGCTGGCACCCTTGTCATCGTTTCTCTCATCCACCTAACGAGACAACTAGAAGAACTACAATAACATGTCTCAGCCATCATCGCCCGCAATCCGCACCGCCGAGGCGGCATCCATCTTCCTCTCAACCCTCACCGCAGGCGGCAACCTGGCGCTTTCTTTTCTCGTAGTGCCGCGCCTCCTAGAGTCCCCCACGCCCCTGATGCTGCGCCAATGGGTCAACAGCTACAACATCACAAAGGTGGTCTTCCCCGCGCTGGGCAGCCTCTCCGGCCTCTCATACCTATTCCTGTCCTACCACCACCACCAGTCTGCCGCCGCGACCAAGGCCAAGGCCTACCTCGGCGCGGGTCTGCTCTGCCTGAGCGTTATGCCGTACACGGGGCTCTTCATCGTCCCCACCAACAAGAAGATCATGCGCAAGGCGGAGGAGATGAGGGGGCTCAAGGCCGTCGAGGGCGTCGAGGCCGAGGACAAGGGCGTCGGGCCCCTGGGCGAGGAGAGCGCCAAGTGGCTTGTTGACCACTGGGGGATGCTGAACCTGCCACGGGGGATCGTCACTGCCGTTGCTGGGATTCTGGGGCTGGCTGCTACGGTTTGAACTCTCCAGGGCTGTCTACGGTGTCAACGGTGTGGCTGCAGGGTTGGGAATCATGACGAAGTGGCTTTTTACTTGTGGGAGTTTAAGGAACTTGATTTACGCGGCGTCATTCTTTTATGGCTTCCTTCTCATGTGGGATCAGGGGGCTTTTGTCGAACGATGATTATCTGTCGGGCTGTTGGTCGGCCCAGACTATAAAAATTGTCTTCTTTTATTATAGTCCATACGCATTCGGCGCATTACAGGACGAGATTTTTCATTGATACGGCTGTGGAACCTAGTAGCTTGGTGCCTCACTATCTAAGGTCCCCAAATGCAGATTACCTCCCTCCTCAAGCAGTATGTCACAATTTTCCCAACCCTCGATCGAAGGAATTACGCCACGAGTCCATCCTTCTCAGTCTTGGTAACCTCCGTCAGCTTCACATTCAGAGGCCTCTTCTCGTACAGCAGAAACACCTTCTGCTTGTTCCAATCCTTGCTGTCCTCCATCAGCTCCATGTCGAAGTTGAGGACCAGCCTCGCGATACAGACTTTCGTCTCCATGTACGCCAGAGAGCGCCCGAGGCATGATCTCTGGCCCAGGCTGAACGGATCTTGAAGTAATCCAGATTAGTAAGTCTTCAACGCGAGGTGAAACCAGGGTGAAGTCGTGACTTACTGAACACATCGTGGTTCTCATCTGCGTACCGAGCGGGACACGCCTCACCAAGCCACCTCTCCGGCACGTATTCCCAGGGGTCCACGAAGTTCTCCTCGAGGTGGAAAGCAGCCCAGCTAGGAACCTGCAGCACCGTGCCCTCAGCAACGAACTGGTCGTCGATGATGGCCCCGCCCTCGGGGACGACGCGATTGATGCCAGCCGGCAGCGGCGGGTGGATGCGCAGGGACTCCTCCACGACGGCGTTCAGGTACGGCAGCCGCGAGACAGCGGAGAAAACAAGTTCCCCCTCAGAGGCAAAAGCACCGCGTACCTCCCCCGCCAGCGCAGCGAACTTGTCCGGGCAGCGCATCAGGTAGTACACCGTGACGGCGAGGAGGGTGGCGCTCGTCTCGCTGCCCGCCGTGATCATGATCTGGGAGTCGGCGTACAGCTCCTCGAGGGAGATGCCCCCCGGCGCCCCGATCTTGTGCCAGATGCCGCTGATGAGGTCCGGCCGGACGTCCTTGCGCGCCAGCCGCCGGTCGACCTTATCGCGGGTGGACTGGGCGTGCGCGAACGCCTGGGCCATGATCCTCCTGGGCACCAGCGCCTGGATGAAGCTGCCGAGGTAGCCCATGGTGGTGATCATCTGCGCGTACATCATGTTGGTCAGGTTGGAGAAGATGAAGCTGATCCAGGGGTGGAAGCGGCCGTGCTCCACGCAGCCGAAAGATTCGCCGAATACCAGGTCACCAATGATGTCCTGTTATGTCATCGTGAGTATATGCAGATATTGGATATTTGTCTCGAGGGGTACCCAGGACTATGATTCAATATAAGAGCTTGGTTGATGTCTCTGAGCAGGTGCCACTCGGTACTCCTCTGAGACTTTTTTATGAGGATATGGGGATGGAGGAAATGATCACATACAAAGGTATAAAAGTTGAACCAGGCCCACATGTCAACGACCTCCCCCCTCGAGGCCCTCTCGCGGAGACGCTGCATCAGCAGGGTGGCGAAGCCGAGCACCAGGGGCTCCTGCGCCCTGAGGCTCGACTCGGAGAACATCTGCCCCACGACCTTGCGGTGGCGCGCGTGCTCCTTGTGGTCCTCGAGCCAGAGGAAGCTGGTCGCCCCGAACATGGCCTTCTCGTTGGCGCCGAGCGAGGACTGCGGGCCCATGAGCTTCCTGCCGCCGCTGCGGCTGCCGTAGATCTCCGTGACCGCCGTGGCCGAGGTGTAGGTCAGCTCCCCCGGGGCGAGGCGCACCACGGGGCCGTACTGCTGGTGGAACTCGAGCATGCGGAAGTGGATGGTGCCCCGGACCTGCGATATCATCTTGGGTATGTTGGAGCCGCGCCATAGCAGGGGGCCCGGAAAGCTTGCGAGGGGGTGGAAGAAGATGTTGTAGATGAACTGGCCCAGGGGTAGGATGATGGCCTATAAGTGTTGCCGTTAGAGTTAGTCTCAGTCCACTATGGAAGAATCTACCTAAATAGAGCAGACAGAGGCTTACAAGAGATGCTCCTGCAAGTAAGATGTGTGATACTGTGAGGTATCCGGAATAAGCCTCCAATATTGGCGCCATGGTATATCACGAGCCTGATGTGTGACGATGAAGCTGTCAGAAGGTGTCAAGAGAGAGTGCCTTGTTGTAGAGACGAGACAATTGCAGGAGAAATGTGGACGAGCATGAAGCAGTTGAGTGAGGACGCCGCCCATTTATAGTAACTAGTCGTCAAAGTGAATGTAGATTCTCTGTGGAGCGGCCAGGACATTCACTCTCCCTTCGCCATTGGCAAAAGTAAATCCTCGGGCAGACAAGGTGAAAATAGCGTGATTTCTTCGCACTGCTCCTTTTCCCAAATTAGGGACGACCAGAAGCAAGCATCCTGGTGATAGTGACAGACGTTCATTGCTATTGCAGACCGGTGTCCCGGGTGCTCGACCTCAATGGTCAAGACGTGACCAACGATGCTCCATCGGCCACCACTACATGGTTACCGAGGCCAGAAGCGGTGGGAACTCACAGTCCAGCCATCCACAATGACTTTCCAGTGATCCGGTTGGTGAAGCTCATCTGCAATGTGCCTTGGTGAAGTGTCGGTATTTGTTGGGCTTACAGGAATGCGGTCCCCGCCGTGGTCAACGCTGTGGTCAAAGCCACATGCATTCCCTAGATACACTCCGCAATATCCGGAAACACGTCGACAAGTCACATTGGTTCTTTTTATGGAACCATGACCCGGCTCTGAATTTATGTGAGGATGCACTTTTTGGGCACTAATTGCGTAGTCAGGCACCTCAGGACTGTGGCTGCCACTGGCTGCCAACGCCGTCCAGTGCTCCTTCAAGCTTTCGACGCCGAGTGAAGCCACAGCTTATTTCAACTTAAGAATCAACAGCCACCTCGCGTATACTTTCACTCTCGTCTTCAGGGTGGATTTGAGGCTTCTGGTATGTCAGTCAACAACTCCTCGACGGGAGACCACACAGTGAGAGGCTCTCACGTCAGCGTCCCTTCGAGACTGCCACGGAAGTACACGCCCGGGCAAAGCAGACAAGAGCCCTTGCAGCATCTATAGACACTTGTATGCGATGAGTTTCCGGGGAACTTCTGGCCCTCACTTTTGCGGTGAGCAGAAATAAAATCCCTGAAGAAGGATCGTAGTAGTCGGCCGGACTCGAGGCGACCTCCTCCCCGGTGTCGAAAAATGACGATTCACTTAACGTCGTTGGGCTGGCGACTTGCTGCCCAGATCGGAAGCTCGGGTCGGGGGGGACAAGCCACTAGTAAGAAGCCCGGCGTGTCTCGCATATTCGTATCACACGTGATGAGGAGGGCTGGCAGGATCGTGTTCCACCGCCTTGCGTCCGTTCCACGACACGTAGGTATGGCGCGGATCTGGGGGGGGGGGGAGGAAGGCGGTTAGATAGTCTGACATCAGTGGGAACTTTTGCGGTAATACCCCCGAAACGAGGGCCTAGTCACTTCTTGCTTGTTTAGCAAGCTCTTGAGAGGGTCTGAGGGAACAGATCTAGAGGCAGGTAAGTGCTGGGCGTGATGGATATATGGAAGTTGTGGCGGCGCCGCCCGAGACAAGCAGGGGATGGACTCAAGATCAATGTGACCCGGCTTCCCGGATCGTAAGAAACATGGCCCCTAGCCTTGTCTATAGGCGGAAAAGGAAAGCGGGAAGCTGGGGTCTCTTCCAATGAAAGCCCAAATTAAAGGCTGAGCGGCTGCCTTCCGCCGCACTCCGGGCCCTGATGACGACTTGGATTTCACACAATGAGAAGTGGGCATGTAAGACATGCATGCACGTTTTCGATGAAGAGTTCGTCAGATATCAAATGCTACTGATCCTATTGCTCCCGGGGAATTGTTCCCGATACGGCAGCATCCCAACGCTTGAGCGAGATCGGAATGGGTGGGAAGGGGGGAAAAAAAAGCAACATCGATCAAGGCCTGCGGCCCAGATGCGACCTCGATCTGCGAGATTCCCAGACCGATCCAATGCAGCTGCAAGATCACGCAGATAAGATGGGATGCATTTTGACCAGTGGAACGTGTGTTTCCACAGCAAGCCTCGAGGGCACCCTACATGTTGACTACCCGAGACTTTTTCGCCGTGCCGTTTGATGTGACACAGGACACGCGCATAGATGCAGCCTCGATCGTCAGGTTCCCTTGCCCGAGTCTCGTCGGGAGGTCATCTGTTGCTGTTAGACCAGTCCGAGTGGCCCGCCTGCTGCCCAATTCTAGTGCCTGTAGGTAATTGTCTTCGTCCGCACCCACTCGTCCAGGCCACTGGAGTTGAACCTCCCGTAGCCGGAGCTCTTGGCGCCACCATGCGGGAGGGCGGACTCGTCGTGGACGCTCATCGAGTTGATATGGCAGGCCCCGGTCTCGATCCCCTTGGCGAACCTTAGCCCCCTCCTGAGGTCCTCGGTGAAGACGGCCGACGACAAGCCATACTCGGTGTCATTGGCGAGGCGCAGCGCCTCCTCCTCGCTGTCGACCTCGTACAGCGCCACGGTTGGGCCGAAGGACTCGGTCTTGTACAGGTCCATGTCCTCCTTGATGCCCTTGACGACGATGGGCCGCAGGCGGGTTGGCGTCGACTCGTGCGCCTCGTAGTCGCCGTTCAGCAGCGTGGCGCCCTTGTCCTTGGCGTCCTTGAGCAGCCTCTTGGTCTTCTCGGCCGCCGGCTGGGTGATGAGCACGGGCGCGTCGCCGCTGGACGGGAAGAACTTGTTGATGCTGGCGAGGAACTTCTTCTCGAACTCGTCCTTGACGGCCTTGTGCACGATCACCCGCTCGGTGGACATGCAGATCTGCCCCGAATTCAGGAACGCGCCCAGCGCGCACTGGTCCGCGGCCAGGTCCAGGTCCGCGTCCTCCCACACGATGGCGGGGGCCTTGCCGCCCAGCTCGAGCAGCACGGGCTTGAGCTGCTCGCCGGCCAGCTTGCCGATGATTCGGCCCACCCCCGTGGAGCCGGTGAAGTTGATCTTCTTGATGTGCTCGTTCGCGATGAGCTTGCTGGTGATGGCGGCCGCGTTGGCGGGCTCGTGGGCGATCATGTTGAGCACACCAGCCGGCAGGCCAGCCTCGGCGAAGACGGAGCAGATGCCCCAGTGGGTCTTGGGGCTCAGCTCGCTGGCCTTGAAGACCGCCGTGTTACCAGCGGCGATGGGGAAGATAACAGAGCGGGCCCCGAGAATGTAGGGGGCGTTCCTGAGAGTCTTGTCAGTCCCCAACTCCCCGGGCTCGTGCACGTTCCCAACGACGTTGCACTGGAGATTGGTGGAAATGCTCACCAGGGCGCGATGGCCAGCACGACGCCAAACGGCTCCTTCAGCACGAGGGCGCCCGTGTTGGGGTCCTGGGGCGTGGGGATGGAGCCCTCGATGGTGACGAGCCTCCCCGCGACGTCCAGGATGAGGTCCTTGGTGACGCCAAGGTTGAAGTCGGCCCACGGCCTCGGCACGCCCGTCTCCTCGACCATGGTGGTCGCCAGGTCGTCCCGCCGCTTCTCCAGGATGTCGGCGGCCTTGAGGAAGACCTCGCGCCGCTTGGTCGGCACCAGTGCCTTCCATCCGGGCAGCGCCTTGGCCGCGGCGTCCACGGCGGCCTGCGCGTCGGCCTCGGTCGCGCTGCTGCTCTTGTGGACGGCCTTGCCTGTTGCTGGGTTGACGACGTCGAAGGTCTTGTCCGCCACTACGTCCTTGCCGTTGATGAAGAAGGGGACCGTAGCCCCCTTGGTGTGAACTGGTATGCCATTTGATGCCATTTTGACTTGACGGTGCGGTGGATGGAGAGTGTGGAGCTTTCTGTCTGCTCCTTGCTGTCTTCGGCCTGGTGTTTGCGGTTTTATATTTCAATGATCTGCGCTTGCTCTGGGGCCAAGAGGTCGCTCACTTCGATGATGTGGATCCTGATGTCAGTCACGGAGTCTTCCACTCATAAGGAAGGTCGAAATAGCTGGGCGAGGGCCGTTGTAAATCCCCCCCTATCATTCGCATTAGGGGTCCCCCAGAGCATAAATAATCCTGCGCGACCAACGTCTCATCGCTCGTCAACTAAGGCCTGGAGCTATCATCCTGGTCGCGGCCCCATCGACGGCCCTGATCAATTGGATTGCGCCAATGTCGGGACGGATAAAATCGAGGCTATCCAGGATCCTCAGACCGATGCCCAGAAGGAGGCCCATCGTTGCCCCGCGTTTCGGCAAGTGGGCAAGGGTTCAAAAAACACCTCCGTGGAGCGGAAGCCCACCCGGCCAGACCAGTTGCCCCGGCCCAGTTTCTCGGTCCCTTGCAGCGGGAAGAGGAGGCGCGGCGAGGGATTACTCTACTCATTCCTTTTCAAACTGTGCTACCTGGCTGGCATCGAGGCAGACTCGGTGCACAGGCCGGGCGGGTGTAACGCGGATCTCCCCTTCCTATTACCCCGGCAGCTCCTCAGCTTGCCAGCTCGTCTGCAATCCCATGAGAACGCATGACCAAAATCCGGTGGGCTTCACCACCTTCGGCCTGGCGGCACTCCTCTATGCACAATATACTCTGCTCCTGTCGATCTACATATGTGTGTTACTTCAAGTAACTGTCTAAGGGATTCCCCGGATTCTCGCCGGTGCCGTGGAGACCAACCCCAACCTTTCTCCTCGAAGTCGCCAAGCTGGGGCCCATCCCAAGGCCGGCCACGCCGAGGGAATTCCGTATTTCCGTCTTCCGCTTACCTACTTGGAAGGCAGTATTGGCCTGCCACAGTTGAGCCACAATTACTAATTGTTTTTCTGATAGAGACCCGATTGACCTACTACGGTCTCCTCTAGACCAGCGCGGTTTTTGGGGGCCTGTAATCTCTTCTTGGTCGTATCGTTCTCTTAGCAAGCGGTTTCCGCTTGCTCAGTCTCTTGCCGAGACATGACCGAGCGGATGCGAACGAAGGCTCCACAGGAGGGTTTTCACTAAGTAAGAAGTGAAAACTCCCGTGGATATGAAATAGGATTGACTGGATTCAGACAGAAGGCCCTGACGTCGAGGACTGGAACTGAGGTCCTGGATCTCGTCAACTTATGCACCTCAGGCTTGGCAGCTTCCACCACGAGCACGAGGACGGCTGGAAACTGTATTGCTCTTTGTGCAAAGGAGTACACATGTCAGCTGGAGTTGTACAGATGTTTTCTGCGAGATATTCTACAGTGATGCTCAATCGGTCTGATTCAACCGATAAAGCTCAGTGCATGCCGTTCTGAGGCGGCACGCTTGTGTGCATGGGTACAAAGTGAACTACCCAGTTGTTCAGGTACAGGCTGGATGATTGGTCTAAGTCTACGAGACTTTTCTGCCACATCAGATATTGAGAGGATGCTTGCAAGTGCCTTTCAGTGGGCAATGGAAGAGAAACGACACTGGAATATTTAGCGCCTGATACCTGCTGTGCAACATTGCCCCATGTGTTCAATTCGTTCCAAGCCAGGCAAATGGATCTCTTTGTTTACACAAATCTTGCGTTATTCCATTCCTTGTGTCTTAACTGATCTTGTAATGACCAAATTGCGGAAAAGTGGTCGAAACAATGCAGCTCTTCGTCAACGTATCCTTCCCCGTCCCTTTTCGGACAAGATTCAGATCATATTGAACACTGGCTCTGGGCTTTATTACTCATTGTAACCAATGACGATTTGAATGGTGCATCAACCCAAGTCACGCTGCTCATCCGTTTGGGTGAAAATATCGACGTGAATTTGCAGATTTCTGCTGCCTCCATCTCACATTCCTCGGCAAAGAAGCTCTCTCTTTTTGCTTCAGTATCAACCGTTGGGATAAGTCGTACACGCAGACATTCCGAGCGCTGGCTGGACATAACGCCCTCACTGCATCGATATGAGCGCGAAAATAGACAACACCGTATCCCGTAGAGGCTTTCACGTTGCCAGCAGATAGTATGGCGCTGAATTGGGGGGGGGGGGGGTTCACGTGACTAGGGGGTCCGTACGTCTATAAAAAGGGTGCCCTCTGGGCCCTTCTGCAGCCAGATTCTAGCCATACGCCCACTTCGAATACAAACAATCGCATATTTGCCAGACCCAGTCTTTCCTGCCACAGATAGCAGACAATGGTTCTCATGAGTACGCCGCAGTCATTGGGCTTTGAGTAATCATATGTTTTTGTGAGACGATGTCTCCCTAACGCCTTCCTCACTATCAACTTGAGCCAATCGCTAGACAAGGTGGGTACCGCAATTACTGTGGAATAGGCACACAAGCTGCAATAAGACTATACAATGATTACACACATAGTGCGTCGCAGACGGCGGGTGCTTGGGAGTGAAACCTCGATGCATCTACGAGTGGCAGAATACTTGCATTGCAACAGGCCGACCTCCTGCTAGTAGTTTCAGACCAGCGTAGTGCCTCACACTATGTCCAGATCTTATAAATAGAGGCTAAGGACAGCTAAGCGGTCCAGTTAGTCTAATGGTATGGCGCCTTGGGTGATTGGCTGCAGCACAGAGGAGATGGAGGTTCAAGTCCTTCACTGGGCAAGCTTTCTTTTTAACTGTAAATGTAGGTAATATATCTTTGTATTCACAAACATATTTTCACATACAGAAATGAACAATGCAGCCGGTTTTCTACACTCTTTTACAGTAGTAGAGGGCCTCGAGACGAAAGCACGATTTGGCCCCAAGAGGTTTCAATCGCGCTTTGGGTCAAGGCAAATCGTGGCTCAGATGTTGTCACGAATCATAGGATGGGCGCGCACAGGCTGGCGGACTTGCCGTTGCCACCTTGTAGTACACTGCTCCTTCGCAAGGACACGCGAATCAGACTGCATCAATATTGCACTTGTAGGTGCGATTCTCATGAGTACCCATGGCCCAGTTGCTGCGAAAACCTTGTAACTTGCCTCATGACACTCCAACTGAGTTCTATATGAAATACATATGAAGCCAATCCTATTGATTTCACACTATGCCGTTGGATCCTGACTCGAACCATGACTTAATGAGTATAAAACGCTATGTTTGTAGCTAGTTCACAGCCTCCTATACTCCTTCGGTGAGGTCCAAGTATCCACAATTCGAGGCAAACACGGATCAAATGACCTGCTCGACAAGTTGGAAAGTCTGGCCGAAGCCAAGGAAAATCATTTTCCGAGTAGCCCGATGCCTAGTGAATCGTTCACTGGGCATTCTTGGTTCGTGAACTGCTGAATTGTCACGCAAAAGTTTGTTTAATGTCTTGGTGGAGATCCGACCCGGGTGTGGCCTTGGGAAGAGGGCGTCAATTATATGAAGTATCAGGCGCCCAGCTGGTGCTCAGCTCAGCTAGGATCTGGTTTTCAAGCATCTATCAAGCGCAACGATTGCATGAAAGAGTTGTGACTCCCAAGAAAACGTTATCACAGAAGACACTGACAGAGGACAGCCGGGTTATTTACGTGACCGACCTCGTGGTGGGCTCCAGCCGGCGGGTGTTCCGCGAGTAGCGCAACATCGCCACCCCACAACTATATGAATTTTGCGCCCCACGATGGCTTCATCGGCGGTGAGATGGCCGAGATGGTTATGGCGTATGTATTTATTCTCTCCGTGGGACAGTGTTTGTCTGTTTCCAGTTCTGACATCCTCAAAGGCCAGGTTAAGGTCTCCTTAGCAGAAGTTTCCTGGTGGAGCAATCCTCCTGGGTTCAAGTCCCAGTCTCATCAGCATTGTATTTTTTGATTGGTTTTTCTTCACTCGGACTCTTTTTCTCTTATTTTGTGTTCGATATTCGGATGTGTGAGTTTTCTCGCGATCATCGTTTTTTTGTGCCCGTCGGCGGACCGAGGGTGGCGGAGCGGCGTTGCAGGGTTGGGGTCTTGGCCCGGCGTCTCATCTCCCACCCACGGCCTCGGGAAGTCCAGACGACCTCAGACATCACGCCAACAGTACTGTGGTCGTGGGCAGACGCAGGGACGATCCGTCCAATGTGTGCCCTCTCGCATTACCCGTGAGCCAAAAGTGAAGCTTAGACAGATCCTGGTGCGGCTGAAAGGACTGCACTATCCGAATCGATGTGTGCCGCAGCTGCAGCTCATGGCCACCCCCCATGCTACCGGAGTCTTGTCAGGCGACGTCGCAGCATAGTTTCATGTCGATCTCGCGACAACCCCCGTACGTCTGCACATCACCAAAGTGGGCAAGGAGCTGGGGCCTCGCAGCCAACAAGACGGTCCATCGTCAGCGCATTGCGTCGCTGCACAGCCCGGCGTCACCACCAAACCCTGTGCTTCCGTCCCATGCCATCCCTTCCCTTGCATTTCCCTGACGGGCCAGCCGAATGGGATGTAAGGGAAAGAGCGATGTGCTGGCATGGCGAAAAGGTTGGGTGGGCTCGTGTAGTTATCCTCAATAAAACCGTCAACTCTTGGCATGCAATCTCCCTTCGTCTCTCCCTTGACCTTTCCCAATGCCTTGTTGAGTGAATGTGACCCGGCGTTCGTTTGGTTTCTCCAGTCGATCATCTTCAGCTTAATTTCATTTCTCTCTCACTTACATACGCACTTGTGGTTGAGCCACAACACCCACCCATTACGTCGACTTCGCACCTGCAAGTTTGATCGCATAATACATACACAGACGAAGATACACAAGCGCACACGCACAACAGACACATACACATAAACACACAGACACAAGATGGACGCCTATCTTGTACAACGGCAAGCGACGCCAACGTCGGAAAATGGAGGCCAGCCGACGAGAACGCCAGATGGCTTCGTCGTCGAGAACGGCCGCATAGTCCCATACTGGTACACAAGAGTATGCAAGCCGCCCCTGCCATTCCACCCTGGAGGACCAACACAGAGAAGCTAACCGTCCACAACAGGAGGGCCTCATCGTGAAGTGGTCCGTCTTCTTGGGTCTCATGGTCTTGATCACCCTGTACATCACAATCGGCTACATCCACGCAAAGAAGAGGATACGCAAGGGCCTCGTGCCGCTCGCATACCACAGGGTAAGCTGCCCCAAACCCCATGTGCCCACTTGCAATCTCTCCCTCCTCTTCCCATCCCCGTCGCCCAAAGGGGCACGTGTGCGTCTTGTACTGACATGACCTCTCCCTTCCCACAGTGGCTCGTCTCCCGCGCCGAACTGGCCCGCGTCGACCCGCGCTACGCCTACCCGCAGGCCACCTACACCAACTACCGCCCCGGCTACTACCAGCAGTACCCACCGGGATACAACATGCAGAACATGCCGCCCCCGCCTCCGATGTACGATCCCAGCGCTCCCAGGCCCCCAATGTACGATGGTCCCCAGGGTGGTTCCAAGCTGGCCCCGACCCAAGACTACGAGGCACCACCACCTGGTCCCCCGCCGGCGCAGAGGAACGACACCGGGTCGTCGAACCCCTTCAGAGGTTAGAGGGGGACGAGTCGCAGGGCCGGAAGGAGATGAGGGACTGCAGGTCTCGAGGTCCCTTGGAGAGCTGAATCGGCTAGCGAAGCGTTGGTTGACAAGTTAATCCTGCCTGGGCAGAGCGTCGTGGAATTGTTTCGTAAACAGGAAGCATGATGACGGCTGCCATTGTCAATTGCTCAATTAGACAATTCCCTGGAGGAACCATCATAGCGTCTCTTGTAATAACCGAGATCCCAATGAATGATGACATATATTAATTGTCAAATGAAACAAGACTGCTTTCTCGTCCAGAACTCCATGCTAAAACATAATCGTATGCGGGTATCACACAAGACATACCAAGTATAACAAATCAGCACACTCGTTCTCGTCAGTCGATCTCCATTGCGTCAGCATCAGCGTCCGCGTCAATATCCACACCCACACCCGTCGACGCCATGCCGGCCGCACCTTCGTTCAAAAACTGCTGCTGCTGGGCCGCAGCCGCCGGGGCGACCCGGACGGGCGTGGCAAAGGTGGCCCGGGACTCGGGGCGCAGAAGGGGGTTGTTGGCGGCGGCCTTGGCGTCGCGCTCGTCCTGCTGCCTGCGGCGGTGCCTCTCGCGGGCCTCGATGATGGCCTTGCGCACGCTGTCCTGCTCCTCGGGCACGCTGACGCTGCGGACGCCGTCGTCGTACAGCACCAGCTGCATGCCTGCCAGCTCGCCGTCCTTGTTGGGGAGGATGGGCCGCGGCACGCTGCCGCCGGGGGCGCCGGGCATGCCCGGGACGATGCGGTTCGCGCGCAGGTGCCGCTCGACGTCGGGCAGGAAGACGAGCCGGGCCTCGTCCGGGTCGCTGTCGGCGTCCGAGGAGAGCTCGTCGTCGAGGTTGTAGATGTACACCTTGTGCTTGGTGTCGTCGAGGAGCATCATCTCGTCGCCGCCGGCGGTCACTGCAGCGCCAGGGACGGCGGCGGCCGAGGATGAGGGCGACGATGCGGAGGCATTGTTGGCGAAGTGTGAAGCAGGAGGTTGTTCGACTGGGACGTAGAGTTTGGAACCATTTTGTTCTGCGATGATGAGGTCAGCATGTGTGCGGTCGATGCATGATGCACGGGAAAAGAAATACAAGTCAGGATGATACTGATAACAAAAAATAGCTGCAAGTCTTACCTAAATTCAACAGGCTTAGTCTTTTGGATAACCTCTCATTGTTGGCATCCTGAGAGTCTGCTTTCCTCTTTCGGCGGATGCTCTGCTGCTGCTGGTGATGCTGGCTGTACTGGTAGTTGGGGCCGGAGCTGGGGCTGGGGTCGGCGTTATGGAACCCCTCCATGGGTACCGGCATGTGCATGGGCACGCCCGGCATGGTGCTGGCCTGTGATGGGCCGTCGTGGAAGCTCGAGACCATCATTTTCTCCTCCCTCTCTCTCCCGACCGACCACTTTCCCCAATCAGATCGCCCGGTTGTCGACGGTTGATGCAGTGCAAGATAGGACTGTGTGAAAAAGCCGATGCAGCCCGAGACTGAGTCACAGGCTTCCGATATTCGCAACAAACACAATCAATCAGCTGGAGATTGGTTTTAGACTGCTGGGCCGTCGATGCAGTTGTCGCGAGTGCGCAGTGGCAGCGTCAGCGTCAGTGGCAGCGGCAGGCTTGGCTGGGGCTCGGGCAGCTTGAGGATTGTCACTGGGGTGCGAAGGGTGCAGAGCCGGTCGGGAGACCCAGGGAGGAGCTCGCCCCTTCTTGTACCGGCTTTGACTCATTCCAGAAAGCTCTACGACCCTTCTAGAGGGACCGTCCCCTCCTCGCCCAGCGCCAGCACCAGCGCCAGCACCCACACCCACACCCGAACCCCGCGATCGCCACTGCCAGCCGCAGGGTCGCCCTCCAACTTCCTCACCAAGAAAGCTCCCGCAGCAATCTGCCCCACCACCGCCGCATTCCTGAGGTCGTCAACGAGAACGTTCACATCTTTGTCCTCGACTACACAGATCCGGTGCTTTTCTCAACAAAACCCCACAGCAGAAAATACAAACAATACCACACCTCTGCCCATCATGTACGAGGGCAAGTGGACCGGCCTCACGGTCCGCAAGACCTTCTTCGAATATTTCGAACAAAGAGGGCACACGATAGGTGCGACACAGTCATGCCATCTCCGGCGCAAGATTCAGTCTTGGTCGGGCATATGGAGTCAATTGAACCCAGCTAACCAATGTTGAACTCATACTGCAGTGCCCTCGTCCTCCGTCGTCCCTCACAATGACCCCACGCTCCTGTTCACCAATGCTGGCATGAACCAGTTCAAGCCCATCTTCCTCGGCACCGTCAACAAGACCGACCCAATGGCCTCCTGGAAGCGCGCTGCCGACTCCCAGAAGTGCATCCGTGCCGGCGGCAAACACAACGATCTCGACGATGTCGGCAAGGACAGCTACCACCACACATTCTTCGAGATGCTGGGCAATTGGTCCTTCGGCGACTACTTCAAGAAGGAGGCCATCCAGATGTCCTGGGAGCTTCTGACCAAAGTGTACGGTCTGGACCCCAAGAGGCTGTACGTCACCTACTTCGAGGGCAACCCAGACATGAACCTCGAACCCGATCTGGAGGCCAAGGAACTTTGGAAATCCGTCGGCGTGCCGGAGGACCAGATCCTGCCAGGAGACATGAAGGACAACTTCTGGGAGATGGGCGACCAAGGTCCTTGTGGCCCTTGCTCTGAGGTTCACTACGATAAGGTGGGAGGCCGGAATGCTGCCCACCTCGTCAACCAGGACGACCCATTGGTGGTCGAGATCTGGAACAATGTGTTTATGCAGTACGACCGGCAAAAGGATAGGTCTCTGAAGCCGCTTCCTGCGAAGCACATTGATACTGGCATGGGATACGAGCGTCTCGTCTCTGCACTGCAAGACAAGGTTTCCAACTATGCCACAGATGTCTTCACGCCCCTTTTCGCGCGGATACAAGAGGTCACGGGAGCACGGCCATATGAGGACAAGTACGGCAAGGATGACGCTGACGGCATTGATACTGCCTACCGTGTGGTCGCCGACCACATCAGGCTGCTCGCCTTCTCCATTGCCGATGGCGCGGTCCCAAATAACGAGGGAAGAGGCTACGTTGTCCGAAGAGTGCTCCGTAGAGGCTCACGATACGCCCGCAAATACTTCAATGTCGAAATCGGGTCGTTCTTCTCCAAGATTCTACCTGCTCTCGTCGCGCAGATGGGCGAACAGTTCCCTGAGATTCTCAAGAAGCAGAAGGATATTGCTGAGATCCTTGACGAAGAAGAGGTGGCTTTTGCCAAGACGCTGGATCGCGGTGAGAAACAATTCGAAAAGTTCGTTGCGGAGGTGAACAAGAAGGGCGAGAAGAAGCTCTCTGGTCTCCAGGTTTGGAGGCTGTACGATACGTACGGTTTCCCCGAGGATCTGACGAAATTGATGAGCGAGGAGCGAGGACTGGAGCCAACTGACGAGGCTGACCTTACTAAGGCGAGGGAAGAGGCACGTGAGGCCAGCAAGAAGGTCAAGGACAAGGCGCAGGCATTCCCAAAGCTCAACGTGCACCAGATCGCGGAGCTTGAGAACCAACACAACCTGTCCAGGCCGGATTCCGAACCCAAGTACGGCAAGGGAGACATCACTGCAAACGTGCAGTTAATATTCACGGGTGAGAAATTCGTCAAATCCTCCAAGGACATACCAGCGGAGACCCCACTCGGTCTCATCCTCGATAAGACAAATTTCTACGCCGAGTCTGGCGGTCAGGTCGCTGACACGGGCCGGATTCTCGTGGACGATGATGTCGCCGAATTCAAGGTCCAAGACGTACAGGAGTACGGCGGGTACATTGTGCACATCGGCTACTTTGACCACGGTTCGCTGTCATCGGGCGACAAGGTGATTTGCGAGTACGACGAGCTCCGTCGTCAACCCATCCGCAACAACCACACGGGCACGCACATTCTCAACCACTCCCTGAGGGAAGTCCTGGGCGACGATGTCAACCAGAAGGGCTCGCTTGTGGACGATGACAAGCTGAGGTTTGACTTCAGCCACAAGCAGGGTGTCACAAATGCGGAGCTCAAGAAAATCGAGGATGGCTCCAATGCGTACATCCGTCAGAACTGCAAGATATACTACAAGGATGTGGACCTTGAGGCTGCGAAGCAGATTGAGGGTGTACGCGCCGTGTTCGGGGAGACATATCCCGACCCTGTCAGGGTGGTGAGCGTGGGTATCGAAGTGGACACTCTTTTGGAGAACCCCAAGAACCCCGAGTGGAGGAAAGTCAGTGTGGAATTCTGCGGCGGTACCCATGTGGACCAGACCGGAATCATCAAAGACCTGGTCGTCGTCGAAGAGAGCGGCATTGCCAAGGGTATCCGAAGAATTGTCGCCTACACCGGCGACGCGGCACACGATGTGCAGCGGATTGCCCGCGAGTTTGCAGGTAGACTCGAGCAGCTGGATAAGCTGCCTTTCGGACCGGAGAAGGAGGACCAGGTGAAGAAGACAGGCGTGGACCTCAACCAGCTCACTGTCTCGGTGCTCGACAAGGAGGATCTTAAGGCCACGTACGCCAAGATCCAGAAGGGTGTCGCGGACGAGCAGAAGAAGCGTCAGAAGGCCGAGAGCAAGACCGCCCTGGACACAGTGACGGGACACTTTGCGAAGCCCGAGAACAAGGAGTCGACGTGGTTCGTCGGACAGCTGCCTATCAGCGCCAACATGAAGGCTGTCAGCGATGTGATGACGCACTTCAAGAGCAAGGACAAGACCAAGAGCGTGTATGTCTTTGGTGGGTCCAAGGAATCAGGTGTGGTACATGGTGTCTACGTCGGAACGGTAAGTCCAATACATCCCTCCCTTACTTCAGGGCGTGCCCAGTCTGACCGTATTCACAATCTAGGATCTGGCTTCGAAGGGCATCACCGCCGAGAAGTGGTCGACCACGGTCACAGAGATCATCGGCGGGAAGGCAGGAGGCAAAGAGCCCACCCGCCAGGGCGCCGGAACGCAGCCCGAAAAGATCGAGGATGCGGTCAAGAAGGCCGAGGAGTGGCTGGTCGCGGAGATGGAAAAGCTGAAGGTTTGAGGGAGGCATTATATAGAGCCAAGGGGGTGTTCATAAATCCTGAAACCATCGGCGCTTTTGCTCTGGTCCCACTGATCCGCATGCATCTCTGATGGTGGGATCTACGCAATGTATCATTATTTACTATGCTTTAAGTCGCTGCCATAAAGGGCCGAGACCGATGTGCAGAGGCTATGAGGCTCACTTGACTGGTGCGTCTTGTACAAATCATTCGGTCGATTTCCAACCGATCTCCACTCCGGCGTGGAGAGTAGTCCGGCCACGATACACCAACTTCCCTTCCTGTTGAGCCCTTGCTGTTGAAATTGTTCATTTCCATGATTGACGCTTACACCATAGCGGCATCGAGGCTTGCTTCTGTCAGTGAGCCAGCGATGTTGTACTTATGCCCCATCGGCACAATAGTACCCGTACAGACTTCCCAACTGAAAGGGTGTCGTTGGCAAGCTCACAGCGGATAGCGCTCACAATAGTGGTTGAGGCTGAATACGTGATTGTGAATGACCAATCCTATCCAAATGGGTTGGGAGCAGCGACGCGACCGGGCCCCCTCGAGAGGAAAAGTGGGGGGGAGGCTCCACTACATCCTCCGATAGTTCCAGGTCATCATGACGCTGGCGTTGCGGTACCAGCTCAGGAGGGGGTTCTCGCCGTTGCGGGTCTCGCAGTCCTCGACGAAGGCCCAGCTCTTCATGAACTCCTCGTGGGAGCGCACGCGGCTCAGCCTGCCGGTGATGCTGCGGTAGATGGCCTCGGTGGTGTGGAAGTCGGTGGGGAACATGATGTCGAAGTAGCCCTGGTGGACCTAGAACATTTTCAAGAGTGGTTAGTCACTCGGTCATCAAGGGCGTCAAAGGGCTGATCAAGCAGGTAGATTTCGGGGCTGTGGACTCACCAATGGCGTCGAGACCGGCACCGGCCGCCTCTGGTACCTCGTCTGGACGATCGGGGCGTTGAGCCCGCGGATGGCGTCCGGCAGTGAGTGGAAGTCGCTCGTGACTAGCTGGTGGTTGGGGAAGTAGCGCTCCAGCACCTCGAAGAAGCCCATGAGCCTCGTCGGGATGTACTCCGGCTCGCTCAGGCCGTTTCCACCCCCACGGCCGCCCCTGGCGAGCCAATCCTCCCTGAACCGCCTGCGCGCGGCCGCCCACCACGGCTCGCTCTTGGGCACGCCGAGCCCTGACTTGGAGTAGTACGGCAGGGGGTAGACGCCCTCTGTGGCGATGTGGCGCAGCCTCAGGAAGCGCTGTATGTCCGGGTCGGTGACGGGGCTGAAGAACTCGTGGAAGTCGCCATCCTCGTCGACCAGCACGGTGCCCTGCAGGGGCTCCTCGGTGCGCAGGTCGTAGCGCAGGACGTCGTGGGCGAAGTTGTCGAAGACCTCGAAGGCCAGGAAGAAGCAGGGGCTGGGCACGGGGTCCTTCCAGTCGAAGACGGACTTGTTGATGATCTCGACCTTGTCGCGGTGGCCCTTGGACTCGGCGGTGGCCATCAGGCTGCCCTTCTGCACGCTGGCGAGGTTGGAGCTGATCTCGATGACCTTGTAGCGCGTGCGCTCGTACACCTCGGGCTCGACGTCGCGGATGTAGTCGAGGATGTTGAGCATCAGGGTTCCGCGCCCCGCGCCCATCTCGTAGATGATCAGGTCGTGGTACGGGAACGAGGTCTGCCGGTAGTTCTCGCACAGGTAGCGCGCGACGGCCTCGCCGTAGTAGGGCCGGAACAGCTCCGTCGGCGTGTACCACAGCTGGCGCGTGTCGGACTGCTCCTTGCTGTCCAGCGCGTCCTCGAACTCGCTGTAGCGCCGGCTCAGCAGGGCGTGGAACTCGAGCTCGTCGCGGATGGAGCCGAAGTCAAAGGGCTCGCCCGGCGTGAAGATGACGACCTGCTTGGAGAAGTAGCCGTAGTGAGGATTGTAGAGGCTATCTGTTTATGCATGTATTCCATGGTCAGCCGGCCAGCCAGTCAATTACACATCAAGCCACCCTCTGGGGTGAACAGGGCCCAACCAACCCTCGATGAAGTCCCGCATAAGCATCTTGACCCTCCTCGGCCGCTCCCTATAGCTTCTCAGCTCCTTGGCCGTGACAGTTGGAAACCGCTTGAGATCCTCGGTCCGGTCGCCGGACGAGACATTGCTGCGCTGCTGCCATTGGCGCTCCTTCTCGGACGTGGAGAGGGTGCCCCTCCTCTTGTGCTCAGACGAGAGGGCCCTGAGCTGGCGGAGCTGGCGACCCTGGTGGATGGCGCTGGCGAGGTTGGTGAGGTTCCGCCGAGACTGGCAGGCTGGATGGCCATGCCGGAAGAGCTGTCTGAACAGCTGTGTCACTATGGGAGAATCCATAGCTGGGGCTGTTTGACTCCAGGGGAGAGAGGAGGAGGTCGTGTGCCCGTGTGCCCCGTGTGCCCCGTGTGCCCGTGAGAAGGTGGGAAGCTCTTGTGTGTGCAGCTGCCAGTCTGCGGGAGAAGATCCAACGGTGGAGGGCAGCAAGGTGTGATTGGTCGAAGCTCTCCACGATGGGACACCCAGCTCAGGGCAATTGGCAAGGGTCGACAGGCTATGGGGCATGGAAGTCCAATGAATCCTCACAATGCATGACATCAATGCCGCAATCGGCCAGAGGTGGGCTGAAATTTTGAGAGTAACAAAACAGAGCTGATATATATTGACTGCTGTTGTTGCCTTGCAGCCTGGGGTGTATACTAATTAAACATGTCCCAAGGCTGACGTGTGACACACGACGTTTGCCGAGAAACAAAGAGGGCACAGGCTGCTCACCAAGCGACGCCATTTACACCCGTCATCATGCCTCTTAACATAAGAGACCACGCCCGCCTGTACGGCTCCGCAGCCCTTGCGGTTGCCTTCTTCGCGGGCATTCTGGTCACCCTCGGCTTCAAGGACGTCTACCCAGATCTGGAAAGGCGGTACAAGGCCTCCAAAAAGAAGAAGTCATACCCTCGCGCGCGGCGCAACTCAAACGCATCCATCCTCACATACGACCCTAGACGCAGCAGCATCTTCTACGGCGACCCCGTCCAGCTCGAGGACCACGACGATGGCGTCAACTTCACCGACTCGATGGGCGCCGGCCTGCCCGTCATCTCGGACGGCATCGAGTCCACCATCGGCCACACGCCGCTGATCCGCCTCAAGGCCCTGTCGGCGCTGCTGGGCCGGGACGTCCTCGCCAAGGCAGAGTTCCTGAACGGCTGCGGCGGCTCGCCCAAGGACCGCGTCGCCCTCTCCATGATCCTGACGGCCGAGCAGGCCGGCCTCCTGGTCCCGCACCGCGGCGACACCATCTACGAGGGCACCGTGGGGTCGACGGGCATCTCGCTCGCCACCCTCGCGCGCGCCAGGGGTTACCGCTGCCACATCTGCATGCCCGACGACCAGTCGCACGAGAAGAGCGACCTGCTGCGCCAGCTCGGCGCAACCGTCGAGCGCGTCACCGTCGCGCCCATCACCAGCCCCGGCCACTTCGTCAATCGCGCGCCGCCGCGCCGCCGAGCACGAGGGCGCCCATCGCGACGGCAGCGTCGGCTTCTTCGCGGACCAGTTCGAGTCCGAGGCCAACTGGACGGCGCACCTGCGCAGCACGGGCCCGGAGATCTTCGCGCAGACGGGCGGCGCCCTGAGCGCCTTCGTCGCGGGCGCGGGCACCGGCGGCACCATCAGCGGCGTCGCCCGGTACCTCAAGGAGGAGGCCGAGCTGGGCGACGCCGTGAGGGTCGTCCTCGCCGACCCGCAGGGCAGCGGGCTGTACAACAAGGTCAAGTACGGCGTCATGTACTCGCCCACCGAGCGCGAGGGCACCCGCCGCCGGCAGCAGGTCGACACCATCGTCGAGGGCGTCGGCGTCAACCGCATCACCGAGAACTTCGAGGCCGGGAGGGAGCTCATCGACGACGCCGTCAAGGTCACCGACGAGCAGGCCTGCAGGATGGCCCGCTGGATGGTCGAGAACGAGGGCATATTCGCGGGCAGCAGCAGCGCCGTCAACCTCGTCGGCGCCGTGGCGACGGCCCTGAGCCTGCCCGAGGGGAGCACGGTCGTCACCATTCTATGCGATTCGGGGCAGAGGCACCTGAGCAAGTTCTACAAGAAGGTCGCTGAGTTGGGACTGGATGAGGAGCACAATTCTCTGGATTTGCTTGCACTTTTGGGACTTGAGCGGCGCGAGAGGTAATGACATAGCCATGTTGCGTGCCCCCTGCTTCAGCTAGCCTCTATATCGTCAAGACGTCAAAACATCAGAACGTCTCTGAAAGAAAAGAAAATGAAAAAGTGGACCTCCATCTTCGAGGATTGCGCGGTGCTTTAGCCCCTGAGGTGAGACCGCGACACAAGTTTGTGCAGTAGAAGTTGACAGAATTAGGTCCCTTCTTGAGAAAGGCAAAACAGAGGGAAGAGCTTCGAGGCCGCAAATCATAAATCCCTCTTGGATATCAGCTTATCCTGACCGAGGCTCCCTCCTGATACGCCACAAACACCTTCCATGAATGACGTCGAGAGCAAATGCTGAGAAAGTGGCTCAAAAAGCAGGCAGGCGAAGGTGGTCACGATGAAGGTCAGACCCGAAGTATAATGTCTCAGGACTTCATGGGTCATCATGACACCGTTTGCCGTTCCGTGCTTAGGAGAACTATACACGAGTTAGGACGCCTGCTGGCTTGGTAGGCTGAGCGGGTTGTACGGGGTTCACATACCTTCCAGCGGTTTCCACACACAAGGCACTCGCAGAAAGTGGTCATAGGCTCGTCGGCACTGCGGGTCTGAGCCTGGTTGTAGCTGACCTTCTTCTGGCCACACTTGCCACAGGTGAGGGCGTCGCTGATAGATTTCTCGGGCTGGGCAACCTGGGCCTTGTTCATGTTCTCTTTCTCAAGCTTGCTGTCGCGCTCCTTGTGCTCCTGGGACTTGAGCTCGTCCTGGCTCATCTTGACGAATTCGGCGGGGGCAATCTCGCCGGACATGACCCTGCGACCCAGTTCGCGGTTGCTCTTGACCTTGAGGTTCGAAAACAAGGACTTTATCTTTGCTTTGTACTCGGTACCCTCGCCCTTGAAGTGCTTGAAGGCGGCAGCCTCTACCTCGACAGCCTTTGCGACCACTACCTCCACGGAGTCGGTGGATCGGTAGGCGAGTCCATTGTATAATACACCGACGCTGTTGTTCCGAATGTCGGAAGAGGTGCGCTTGAGATCGACCTTGTCCGTCTTGAAGTGGCGCTTCTCGGTGTCGCCCTGGTAGGGCTGGTTGGCGGAGGGCGTTGGGGGAGGTCCGGGCGAGGCGGTGTTGGACGGGGTGCTGGTGCGCGAGGAGGCCATCTTCATCTTGTGGCGCGCATCGTTCCTGGCACTGCCCTTGTTACCCACGCTCTTCCTCCATTTCTCGACGACCCTCATGGCGACCCCGGCGATCTCCTTGTTAGTACTACTGCGGAGCTTTCCTGCGTGTCTACCAGCGCCGGTCTTCTGTTGTATGGAAGTCTGGATCAGTGATTGTTTCCACGTTGGGTTCATGTGTGCGGGTGGCAAAGAAATCAACGACAGCGATCGTGTCGGGGCTTCTTTTCAGCAGATTCTTGGGCCACGTTTTGCGCCGACGAGGGGAATAATACTAGAATGGGCCAGACGTACACGAAGACTATCCTCACTTGGCGGGTCTGACGTCTCGAAGCCCTTGAGCATGGCGAGGATTGTAGAGTCTGGCTCCCCGCCGGTCACGGCCTTCGCAAAGGAGGTAAGCTTGTCGGCCAGCTCCCTCTCGGCCAGTTCCCTCTCGCCAATCTCCTTCTCGTCGAGCTCCCTCTCGTCGACCTGACTCTCGCTCATTTTGAATTCGGGATCGGCGTCGCTTTCAAGAGTGGATGAGACAAGAAGCGGGGTCCGGGGGGCCTCGGGCTCGGAACCAGGTCAGTCGGAGCGAGGCTGAGATTGCGACAGCGCAGGTCAGACCGCGACTGAAGGGCTAAGCCTGAAGCAAAAAGATGCTTGGAGACCGGGTATCGACGGAAACCGCGGGCCCTTCTCTGGCGATGTGGACAGAGAAGCGCTGGGTGACGGTCAGATTGAGGGATGGAGGGACGTCAATGACTGAAAGCGGTGGTGCGAAAAGTGGTGGAGGTTGAACGCGGCTCCGCGGCGTGCTTGCATGCAACCGACCGACGATTGCAATTGGCCCGTGCCCCCTTGCAAGGGCAGGTTGGGGAGCTCAAAGGTGCTGACCTGCCTGTCTGCACGTAAACCCCAGCTGCTGCAGCGGGGCCAGAACTGTTCCAATTGACCCAACGAGCTTCTGTGCATGCACAATGAAAGGTCAATGTTGTTGTTTGCTACAGCACCCTTGCATCATATGGTCACTCTTTCATTCCCTCTGGAAATATAGGAGCAAAGATTTCGATCCGCTAGCTTGCCTTGGTTGAAGCACCTTTGTACCCTACACGAGGGTCATTTATACTGGCAGCAAGACGACAGCACCCAAGACGCATGCTGAAGGTACTCGTTAAATTCCATGGCCTTGTTCAGAGTATAGCAAGGGTTATCAGAGCATACCGAGCTCAACGTATCGATCTATCAGATGATAGGTAACCTGGTCAGTCTTATATACAGACCGTGAACTTCTTTGTCATGTCACCCATCCCGCAAACAGTATGCTGTATGGGCGCCTGGGTGGTTGTGTACAGAGGCAAGGACACGGTAGTACGTGGGTCCGCTTGAGCTTTGCGTGTGTGTACACGCCCGAGATGATATCTTTGTTCCCTTTTCTGTTCACCTCACTTCAGCTTGAGAGGTCACCTACGGCCTATATTCAGTTTGAAGCATGATGATAAAGGGCCACATGGATTCTTGACCTCACAATTCTCCAACCCGGGCGGATTCAAGTGAAATCGAGATGTTGATGGCATGTTGTATCAGTGATCAGCAACAGCTGGGAAGCAAGTAGCTCTCTTCAGGAGCGAGAGGTTTCGGGACGCAGTGCAAGCCTGTGTTCGTGGTTTTACATTGAAGCCTCCTCTCTCCAGCCCTCTCGGCTCCCGATCCTCAGATAGGCACAAAGAATGGCGTTTGAACTAAATATTCGAAAGCATATGACCGCGTCGAAATAGGCAAACCGTTTCCGGAAATGTTCTCGAAGCTCCCGTTGCCAAGGCGTGGAGCCGAGCCGAGGCAACAGGACGTGGCATCTGGAGCTGCACAGCTGGCGCAGCTGCAGTCCCTGCCGATCCCCCAAAATTAGGTTCAACGTCAACTGGAACGTCCCGATTGGCGGGGCCTGGAAAGGGGGCTGCCATCAGCCTTATGGATTTCGTATCTGGCCGTGCTGTCGTATCCATCATCTCGTGTCACTGCACACTTCACGACACAGAGCGGCGCCACCTGTTCAACGACTCTGAGGTATACCACTCCCTCAACGCCCAGATCGAACATCTCCCTGACGATGACCTGAGAAAGCCGTGCTGCGTTCACTCCGAGCCCCCCGTCCGCGATGAGCCCGCTCTCCTTCCTCCGGAGTGTTTACACTCTCGACACTCTCGACACTCGCTTCACGACATCGACTACAACCTCGTACAAGACAGTCATCGACTCGCGCGGTGAAGAGGGTATAAGGGATGCGCAAAAGGAAAAGATTGCCAGCAGGGCAGCACCTTCAAAATGGAACACACCAGAGTTCTACCTGTACCTGGCCGTCGTGTTTACTTGCATACCGTTGATGATCTGGATCCCATATACTGTGTCAAGACGTATGCACCTCTAGGACCCTTCGACGTGGAGCGATGCTGATAGATGGAAGCCTCTGACCCGCGGTGGGAGAGATATCAACACAGGCTGACAGATGGCTGGGTTCCGGGGCGAAAGATCGTGAGCAAACATGTATTCATATGCTAATCCAAGACATCATGCTAAGAGAGTTCCCTAGGACAACACGGATTCCCAGTACCGCAGCTTCCGACAAAATGTCCCGTACTTGGCCCTCCTCCTTGTATTCCATCCGTTGTGTAGAAGGGTATGGAACAAGTTCAAGCCCCTTCCGCCTCAGAGCAAGACGCCCCTCGCCGACCAGGCCGAAGCCCGGCTGGAGCAGCGCGCCTCCTTCGACTACACCTTTGCCATGATATTTCTCGCTGCGCTGCACGGCTTCTCCATGTTTAAGGTGATCGCGATCCTTTGGATAAACTACAACATCGCAACAGGCCTGCCGAGGAAATTCATCCCAGTCGCATCATGGGTTTTCAACATTGCGACGCTATTTGCGAACGAGTTATGCCAGGGCTACCACTACAGGGACATAGCGGCGGTGATCTCGGGCACTTCTCCCATGTTGCTCCGGACAGTGCCCGTGCACAACGGCCTCGTGGATTGGGGTATGTGGCTGGACAGCTACGGCGGGATCATGGGGCGCTGGGAGGTTTTGTTCAACATCACCGTCCTGAGGCTGATCAGCTTCAATCTGGATTACTACTGGAGCCTGGATTACCGGGGCGCAAGCCCTATCGAGGTAGGCAAATCCCATCCTCGTCCCATCGCATCACTTGAGATACGACACTGACAGATCTAAGAAGAAACAACTCGACCCATCCGCTCTCTCGGAGCGAGATCGCGTGACCATACCCGCTTCGGCTCGAGACTACACCTTCCGCAACTACCTCGCCTACGCGCTCTACGCACCACTGTACCTCACGGGGCCCATTCTCACCTTCAATGACTACATATCACAGCTCCGTTACCGCCCACACAGCATCGAGACCAACCGCACCGTGCGATACGCCGTGCGCTTCCTGCTCTGCCTGCTGTGCATGGAGCTCACCCTGCACTTCGTCTACGTCGGCGCCATCTCCAGCTCCCTGCCGGTTTGGGACTCTTACACGCCCGCACAGCTCTCGCTGCTCAGCTTCCAGAACCTCATCATCATCTGGCTTAAGCTGCTGCTGCCCTGGCGGTTCTTCCGGCTCTGGAGCCTGACGGACGGCATCGACCCGCCTGAGAACATGGTGCGCTGCGTCAGCGACAACTTCTCCACTTTGTCCTTCTGGCGCGGGTGGCACCGCTCCTACAACAAGTGGCTCATCCGCTACATCTGGATCCCCCTGGGCGGTGCGTCGTTTGCCACGCTCTACTCGTCCCTGCGGTCCATCGCCGGCTACCTGGTCATCTTCACCTTCGTCGCGCTCTGGCACGACATCAAGCTGCGCCTGCTGATATGGGCCTGGCTCATCGTCCTGTTCATCCCCGAAGCCGTGGCCAGGATGGTCGTCACAAAGAAGTTGGTCGGCAGCGAGACACGGTACAGGATGGTGTGCTGCCCTGGGGGCGGTGGCGAACGTGCTGATGATGATGGCGGCGAACCTTGTTGGGTTTGCATTCGGCCTGGATGGATTGCAGAGTATACTAAGCGGCGTATTTCACGATTTCTCTGGTAAGCTTTTTCCTCCTCACTCTAATGCTCCATGTCCAGCAGCGGTGACTAACGTTTGATCTCATATAGGTATACTATTTCTCATCACTGCATGTACGGCGATCTTCATGGGTATCCAGGTCATGTTTGAAATCAGGGAGAGCGAGGCAAGGAAGGGCATTTCCTTGAAGTGTTAGATTTACGTGTAGGATAATAGTAAACTCATATTGATTCATCCATGCGCTTTTCTTTCTCCCTTGGCTGTTATGTGAGGTGCTGCGTATTGTGGCAGCATCGCCCAGGCCTTAGAGAACATACAGTCCGACATACTGGATGATTTGACTGGGCAATGATCTTGGTACCAGCTTTCGACGCTCAACTCTCCAATTTGAGCGCAAGAGTGAGGCCACAGGATTGTGCTGCCATACTGTCCAAGGTCGAAGCATACTCCGCGCCTCCATCGACTGACTGACTGTGTCTACATTGGTTTGGAGGTCAAATCCATGAGATTTCAGATCAATTTTGTGGCCACAAGCGCTGCTTCAGTCACAACACAGAACGGCCAGACATATTCAGGAGAACACCAACACTTCGGGCAACTCATTAGGCCAATGCTGTATTATTGGTATCGTATCTCGCACGCTGAAACTATGCCAGAGCTCATATAGCTATTAGAGGGGTATATCCAACTATTATTCTACCAGAAAAAGGAATCATGCCCATCCCCGTGCGCCAAAACAATGATGCCGAATAACTTGGGACAATGGTTCGTCCGCCCGGCCACCTAATAATGATGCGGACTGATCGCCTTAGTCTCCGGAACATCATTCCTGTAGCTCCCGAGCTCGACGTCGGCGGTACTCCGCAGGGCGGCGGGCTGGCCGGCGAAGCGGCCGTCCATGCCGGCCTTCTTCTCGGTGAGCCACAGGCGGAGCCACAGCAGACCGCGGACGAGCAGGTAGATGACAACAGCCGCAACAGCGATGGCGATGATCCAGGCGGCGGTGATGGCGGAGCCCTGCTTCTCGATGTCGAGGAAGGTGTAGGTGTAGAACCCCTTGGTGGCGTGGGTGACGTACGCGAGGGCGAGGTACAGGGCCAGCACGACGATGAGCCACAGCGCGTGGATCCAGGGCGGCAGCGGCGTGCGCGGGACCACGATCTCGAAGAGGGCGAAGGCGCTGTTGAGCGCGTGCTGCGACATGTTGCTCCACCCGGAGAACTCGTCGGTGAACCACACTCCAGGGAAGATGACGCCCCAGTAGACGGCGGTCACGATGAAAGGGTACGTCGTCACCGTCGTGTAATAGAAGGCGTGCAGCGCCTGCAGGGAGCGGGGGAACCGGTCCAGCAGCGGCGTGCCCGTCCGCGCGTACGTGAAGGTGTGCACCGCCGCCGTGAGGTTGTAGAAGGCCAGCCCCCAGTAGGTCAGCACGGTGAAGTAGGAGAAGCTGTCGCCGGCTTGCTCGCAGCCGCCGTAGGCCGGGTGCGTGCAGTACCAGCCCGACACGAAGAGCTCGACGAAGATGCCGTACAGGCCCTGTGGACGAGGAGTTTGGTTAGCTGGTTGCCCTCTTGCTCTTCACATGCTCACCCCTCCTGTTGGTGCTGGGGTGGTGGGTCGCTGGTCGGAGCGGTCGAGGGATCGGCCAACATGCGCATTGGAATGGGCCGCCATGCATCGTCGGGGGCCCGGAAAGGCAAAATAGGGAAAACAGAAGTTAAGGTTTCGCTCTGGTTCAACGTACAAAGATGGCACGACACGTGCACAAGGCATACGGCGGGAGCAACCAGGACGTCTCGTACCTGTGAGACGGATCCCACAGGTCCCTGCCCAACTTGAAAGGGTTCTGGAGTCGCACCATCCTCGGCGACGGGAACGAGGGAATTGGGTGACGCAGACGTGGGCGACAGTGGACGATGGCAAGTGGTGTTGTCCGATCGATCCACCCGTTTGGTCCGCCAAGAGGAAGTCGTCAACGATTGTCGATCAGAAGCGAAAAATAAATGTAGCCAAAGACTATTCGAGGGTGGTGCAGAAACACAAAATGAGACTAGGTCGGAACGGCAGACAAGACTACCTAAGCTCGGGCGCCCTTGAAAGCCGACACACACGCAAAGCCGAGGCTTAGAACTCGGAGCCTTTTCCTGATTGAACTAAATGGACCGCAATGATGCGACCTGGACACGAATTGCTTCTTGTTCTCGACTAGCCTTATCGCCGGCACCCACTGACTGGGCAAATCACTTTGTTCACGACGAATTAGATGCGATCACATCAGAAATGCATCTGCACCAGTAACCGACGTTGGAAACTTGACCACGCTGCACACAAACTTCAATGGTCTGGAGGGGTTCAGTGGCGGGCAGAATTCAAGCAGGCCCCTCCTTTTCTGGTAGCCAGAGATATCTCGGTTGGCTTTGTGGCTGGAATGCTTGAATCGTGACCTTTGCGTGAACCGAAATGAGGTCTTCTCCTTGAGCAGAGATGTCCGTTCGGAGCCGAGTCCAGATCTGAGGTGAGCCTCAATCCGATGACAATTTGTCCCCTCCGGGCTCTTGGGCCGCAAAGCTGTCAACCCATTCACCCGTCAACTGGCATCATCGCATCCCGAGTCAAGATTCACACTCATGTCAGAGTTGCTTCGCTACGCCCGGACTCTGAGAGCTGCCGGATGGAACCCCCTCACCCAATGGTGATGATCATCTGGTGTAGCACCCGTTGATACGCGTGTCCGTGTGGTCCAGGGTGTTCCTAGCAGTAAAAGCAGGCCAGGTCGAGATTCCTTGTGCCCCCTACCGCGGTACCACAGGCTTTTCTGAGCAATCAGCAATATGGTCCAGCCAGTATACATATGTTCGCCTACTGGAACAGAGGGATTTGACATGTCGGGTTTCCCACTGCGTTTTGGGTGCAAGACACGGCTTTGACTGTCTTGATCGATTCTCGGGATATTGCGCAAACATGCTGTCTCGGCGGCATTAGCACACTCGCGAAAGAGAAGTCCGCAGGGCAATAGGGACACGAAGCCTCGTAAATTTGGCGGCGATGCAGGCAGTGATCACTTTGGTGTCGCCAGCGAGCGTTGCCACGAGGCTCGCCCCGCCCTTGTCCGCTGCAGTCAGCGCCTTGTGTTATGTGTCTCGACAGATGCGGTGCGCGGTCGGGTTCATGGTTGTGGCTTGCCATGACAGGCGACCGGTTGGGCGTCTCGTGCAGGTCTGCAGACAGATATTTGATGACTGCATGAGCTGGTGGCTCTGCAAGCTTCGGACGAGATTTGTACTCAGACCAGTGACATGAGCACGCAAATGTAGTCCGGAGCGGAGGGACGGCTCGTCCGTATGTACTGGGCTAGAACTGGGATGCAGCCAGCGCCCGGCTGACGGACGAACAAATCGAGGAGCTCCTGGGGCAAGCCGGAAACAAGACGAATCTCGGCGGGCATCGGGCATCTCCAGCTAGGGGCTCGTGGAGGATTGCGGCTCCTAGCGCGAGATTTTCTCCGGTGGAAGAACCTTGGAATCCCAGGGATCCCACACCTGGATAGATTGAAATGCCCTAGAATTGTGCTCCCGGATGGCAAGCCTTCCTGGAGAAGAAATTGTCGATACTCCTCCGAGGGGGCAAAAGTCTGCGGCAACACCGAGTCTGGCCGGGCAAGCGAGAGTTTTTTTTTCCCCTCTCTTTCCCTTTTCTCTATCTGTCTCCTCTATTGTTGCCTAAAATAAAAGTGAAAAAACGAGAAAGCAGACAAATTCTGGGGAGACGTCGTGAAGAGCAAAATCCAACCCATTAATTGAGTCGACCTCAGGGGTCAGTGCCACGGGTCAAACGCCTCGGGAGGCTGTGGCTGGACCAGGAAGATCTCTACCTAGGTACACAGGTACTCGTAATAATACCTGGCAGGGCCTGCCACAGCACTGTGGTGGTCTAGAGCTCAGGGCCCCGAGCTTTGAGGCTAGCGCCGAGATGTGCAGTCCGGTCCAGGGGCGCGGCTAACAGTCCGACATGGACAGGGGGGCCAGGCGAGGGCTACCCCAGCCTGCGCTACGAACAGCTCAGGGGGCTGGAATGGGCTCTGCGGTAGTATCCACGACCGGGCCCAAGGTTTTCATGGTTGAGGCATACGGGGGATAGTGAGTCTGAATGAATGCCCATCCCTTTGATGAGCGGTTACAGTATTGCCGCACCGTCCTGTGGTACCCAGTTGCGAGACGGAGATATATGGGTTCAGTACCAAGATTTGAAGATCAGTAACACATATCCACATGCCGACAGGCGAAATACTGTACATCCTGTACCTACCGCCCGTATGAGGCCTGAGCATCATCTCGACAGGGGGGGGGGGGAAAGCAGCAGGGCAGAGGAGACGGAGAGCGACGGCAGGGCAGGTGCCACTGTGCCAGGGCCCCAGGGACGGAAGGGGTCACTCGAAGGGGTCGTGGCTTCCCCACTGGTTCCCTTCAATTCAATCAATCGTCCCATAATGCATCATCTGCCCCATGGCAGCGGAGATTCGGCGAGGCAATAGATACAAATAATATTTACCGTACGGCATCTATCTACAGCAGATGCAATCAATTGACTGGATCAGCATTGCAATACCCCTGGCTACCTAGGTAAACTAGGGACATAATTACCTAGGTACCTAGGTAGGTAGTAGTCAGCCTAGTACAGTATCCAGAATGACGAGTGCTGCTGGACCCCATATCCAGGTGGACCCACGGCTAGACTGGCTGGTCATCCCAGGGACCCAGGTGGACTAATCCGTACCTGAACTGGTATTAGCCATCATTCCTCGTAATAGTACATGCCGGCAGCCAATCCTCCGACAAGGTTTGGCCCCAACGGCGTATCTTACTTGTTCACGACGGCCGGTGCAGTACGCAGCAGGTGTCGTTGATGACACGCTGCCCAGCACGACTTGCTCAAAGGGGACGGGGCTTTTCCAGTTTTGTCGGCGTCATGGCCCTTCTCAGAAATTGGTCCTGGGGTCATGGGACGGCCAAATGCCACGCTGCCACGAGGAGCTTGGGCCCTTTTTAGGATCCTTCGCCCGTCGTCTCGCTACGCCGCTGATCGCTGCTCTTGGACCTCGACCTCGAGCCAAAACTTCGGATGACCTGGCGAACAGACTCCGCTTGTTTTGCTCGCCTACCGGGTTCAAGGGATGGGGGCCCCTTTTTTGTTGGTCCATCCACCTGCAGCCGCAACCTTCGCCCTCACAACCACCCTCGTCCTCACCTGACCCTACGGGCCCCCTCCCACGGCGCGGCACGGAACAGCACAGCACAAGCACAGCACTCGTTGGCCAGGTCTCGGTGTGCACTGTAGAGAGGAACCTCGGTGACGGTTGATGCGAGATGATTCAGGCCGACCCAAGGCACCAGCAACACACACAAGGCCAGTTAGGTCGTGGCTACAGTTAATTAGATCAACCAGTGTGTGCGCCTCCAGCTGCAAGGGCAGTCGATCGCTGGTCTTCTCCTCCTCTTTGCTGCCTCTGCATCCTTATCCGCATCTAGCATCTAGCATTTTTGCTACTGTCTTGTCTGCAGGGCTCGGAGCTTATGTTCTAAGCCACCCAGGGAAACAAGAAGTCCTCCTTCTTCGCCGTTTCTGACCACCACAATCCCCAACCACACATCCAAATCCACAACAACCACATCTAAATCCACGTTCGTTCACATTCGTTCCCACTCTTTCGACATCCACCACAACCACCACCACCACCACCACTACTACCAGCACCGGCAGCCTCGCAGTACCGAGAACAGGCCCTAATACAACCGTCGCCCTTCATTTTACAATAGTGCATACCTTCGGCTCTCACCTCCGCCTAGAGCCCCCTAGTTTCCCGGCGCCGCTGTGCTCCAGTGCTCCAGTTGGTCCCAGCTAATACAAATCTTAATCTCCTCAGCCTCTCGTTAGTCCCAGCTCGGTCGGACTATCACCTGGAACCCACCGTCGGTCATCAAACTGCAGTCGCCAACGTCGCGGCCGTTAATCCATCTTTCCCTTACTTGATCGATCATCAGCAACCCGCGGCCGGGCGTCTCGTCATATTCTTCTCTCCTCCGTTCGCACCCTTTCCCCCCGGCGGCCAATTCAGACACATCGCCTCCGCCGCCTCTCTCTCCCACGCCTCCTGCGAACCGAATTATGCCTGCTACGACCAACGCTGTCTGCTGACTTGCTTGTTTCTTTTTCTGGAAGTCCACTGCCTTCACATGCACCGCAAGGGAGGTTACGCCCGGATGATCAGCAGCACTTGAGTCAGGACATACATCGAGCCTGCCCCTCGATTTGTGCTACATCTGCCGCCCTGTCACCTGTCTTGTGTGAGCGACAGGCTCGTTTCCCGGGAGTCTGCAGTGCGGCTGGCTGCGTGGCCTGGCGGTTGGCTGCTGTTGCCTCTTGTAACATTGTCCGACTTACTCTCCGACGACAATCACGCCCGTCGATCCCGTCGAATCCCCCACGTCCGTTTGCCGATGGTCACAGACACGCCGGTCTAGGCTGGCATCGAAGCGAGCCATCACTCCCTGCTGTGCACCATGACCACCACCACCGTCTCGCGCCCCATGGCCCACAACGACCCCTTCCCGGTACACCTGGCCCCCGAGCCACTTCCTGACCGGAGTGACACGAGGAGCCCGTGCCGAACCACAATCAGCCACTTCGATGACTCCTCGGACGACGATGACGGCTACCTGGATGCTGAAGAGGAGCCACCGAGCCCGGCGGTCTCGAGTCGACCCAACATCCCACTGCACCCCATTGCATCTATGCAGGACGCCTTCGCCGAGTCCCTGGATGAAGCTACCAAGGGCAGTCTCGAGCAGAAGCCGAAATTGAGAATCCTGGATGCCAAAGCGCGACGGGAGAAGTTGCTTGACGAGGACAAATCCGAAGGTCCGCCGAACCGACTTTGGCGCTTCCGACCCGGTCAGAGGTGCCACGAGCTGAGGAAGCTGATGGCCCAGATATCGTTCGGTGTCTACCTGCTCATAAATGGCATGGCGAACAGCAACGCCCAGGTCCTTTCCATTCTGCAGGGCCATATCGACGAGGTCGACGAGTTTTTGGAGGCGGCCATGGAGGATGTAAAATTGGCAACCCAGGACTTGAACGAGCGGCTTGACTTTTTGAAACTGCCAATGGAGAACATGGAGATCTTTGAGCAGATGCTGGAAAACAGGAAATTCCGCCTACAAATCGTCGAGGGCAACGTCAAAATCGAGCACATCCTTTCACGGACCTCGACTGCCCACACGCAGACCATCCGCGACATATCCGAGGGCCTCCGCGCGGCGAAGCAGTTTTCGCAATACCTGGCAGATAATGAGAAGGGTCAATGGCGGCAGGAGCGATCTGACGTGGTAGACGTCTTCGATGCGATGAGGGGCAACACTGAAGGTTGGTACAACGCCTTTACGGGCCTGGAGTCACAAAGCACCCTTCTTAGCGGTCTCTGTGTTCGTCTGAGCACAATGATTGTGGAGATCGACAAGAGGGCTGGGGAGGTTAGTCGACGGACAAGGGTGAGTTCCAACCATCTCCCGGGGCTGAGGAACATGTCTTTGTCCATACTGACAAATGACCAGTTCACCCTGGAACCATACTCGGACCCGGATGGGCGACCTATCCCTCGCTCCCCAGAAAGCCCTGCGCACGCCACACCGCCGCCCTCGCCCCCAGTATCCAAGGCCGATGGTCCTCCACGCATCAGGACCCTGTATTTTGGTGCACCGATGACCTCGCTTCTCGAGGCTCCCGAGAGCCCTGTCTGCTTTGAGCTCCCTGCGAGATCGGCAAAGAGAATTACACAAGATTCTGATACTATGAGGGATAGTCTGCCCGCATTTCAATACACGCCTCCCGAAAGCTCAAAGACAATACCAGAACTAGTGGTTGAGCAAGCAGTTCGACAAGACGAGGACGCAGAGGTTGACGAGTCTAGTGACGACGAATCAGAGAGCTCGGCCGATGATGGTAATGACAACGATAACGGGTTATTTATCCTGCAGCCAAGAACTTACACTCCAGTGCCCCCGGCGCCCATACCGTCCCCACGAGTCTCGGCTGCACCACGGCCGACGCCCGAAGAGATCAGCATTCATATCGAGGCCGAGGAGGACGATGATGACACGCAGTCAGAGGATTGGTTGCGCGAATCTGCCATCATCGTACCGCTGCCCCCTCCCCGTCAGAGGACAGCACCGCATCCAGACCCTCATCCGAGGCCGTTGCAGATAAAGCAGAGGCAAACGGCAGAACCACATGAGTTGGAAGCGCAGGTTTCACATCGGACTTCTTTGAGAGATCGAGTATCGCTCAAGATCGAACTTCCAAAAGACATACACGTGCCGGCGGCCAACGCGTTAGAACTCCAACTACCACGCTTCCCCACACCGAAGGACTCAGCGCAAGGTTCGCCACGCAGTAATCGACCTCAGAATCCCGCTCGCGGTTCTGAAATGGACGCACATCACCACAACAACGACGCTGCGAAACAATACGCCAGCGTCGATTACACACCTCCGGCGTTTCCAAACCTTATTCCGTCACCCGCCTCTGAACACCAGTACTTCCGCCCTGTTCAAGCTAGCCCTCACTCGCCCTTACAGCAACGCCCTCACACCGCCGGAACGGTTGGCAACAGGCCCGGGAATCATCAACGCAACGCTCCATCTCAGATGGGTATGAGCATGCTCAGCAACGTGACGACGATGACCCAGGACACCTCCGGCACCAACCGAACGGTGAAGAAGAAGCGCAGCGCTTTTGGCTGGCTGAAGAAGGCATTTTCGCTCGACGAGGAAGAGCGGGCGGCGTTCGAGGAGAGAAGGCGTCAGCAGCCTGTCAATCACTACTATGACGGTCGAAGCCCGAAATTCCTCGACGGCAAGCGGATGGATCACCCGCCATCTAGGCCGGCATCCAGCCGACCGACCACTGGGCGACCGCCGACGGGACGGCCAACGACCGGACGAACTTATACGTAATTCTAATTTGATTAATGGCAACGCACAGGCGTGCGACCTTGACCTCGCGGAACGACGACGTGAGGTTCATTTCCGGCCGCATGGCATACCACGATTTTCTCTCGACATCTCGACATCTCGACCACTCGTCGACAGATATACGACCGTCTAGTCTTTTCAAGATACCCCACCAAAATTTACAAAGCCATCTATCCGCAATCTCGAACTAGGACATCTGTACTACATTGTACTATCACTTGTGTCCAACACCCTCGGGAGGACGTGATTTACTCCCGCATCTGCATTTTTTTCTTTCTTTTCTTTTGCTATCTGCGATCGGTGGACAGCATCAAGCGAGGCCATTTCTGATCAACCCTACACTCTCAGAGCTTTGTAGGTTCTATCATCATTGTTGTTTCCAGTTATACTCATCATACACAAGCGAAGGGCGCATGGTGCAACTTCTGGGAGGGTCTGACACAGTTCGATTGGTTCAATCAGTCTCTGGGCTCTAAGACACGTGGCTTTCAGGAGAGGTCTGAGCGGTATGATGGAAGGGTGTGGTGATGAGCACCCAATGTACGATATCTGGTTACCTAGGTAATGATTAAAAATAGGAGGGCGAAGACGTGGAGAGCTCCAACCAGCGTGTCCTACACCAGCCACGTGCAAATTTTCAGCTGAATTTGGAACTGTGTTCTCAAAGAAACTTGTGGTGATCAAGACCTTGACTGCCACTTGCAATGGCAGGTTAGCCGGGCCCTTGTTTGATTCTCGCAACTGATGGTCCGACGAAAGTGGCCAGGAATGGCCGAGACTCCAGTGCAGGTCTGAGCACGTCTGCCGCGCGCCTCGCGCTGCCTCGTCACGACATCCCAAGGAAGGCACAAGCCGCGACTCGCCTGGGCAGACGAAGCAACAGGCAGCTCAGCCATGTTGGGCTTCTCGGCCGTCCTCTGGTCTGGAGCACGTACAAGGACCCGGCGACTTGTCGTTCACAAATCATGCCTCGACTCGCAGTATCGCATAGTCTTGCGGTGACGTTGGTACCACAAAATGCCTCGAGGCTACGCTCTGCGCAAAGCGGTCTCGCCCTAACCAAGCTCTTTCCTAAGGTCAGTGCCGACGTCACGCGACCTGAGGCAGGACAGCTGGGGCAGACGGCTGGAGGTCGGTGGCTATATTTAGCCACACCGGGTTCCGAGATGTTAGCCGGAACTCGGGGACGGCGAGCGATGGAGACGTCGAGATGATTCAGCCCAACAGGATCGACGGCTGCTGCCGATATGTCGGGGGCAGGGGAAGATTTGGAGGGGGGGGGTGGGGGCGGACAGCTAGCTCTGGGCTTGTCAGGATGTCGGGTTTGTTCTGGAACCATACAAAACACTTGCAAGTGAAACACAGCCATCCAACCAACAACACATCAATACGACGTATTTGCGCATACATGCAGCAGGGCCGCGCAACAAAAACTGCTGATCACGGGCGAAGGCGAGGCGGTGGTCCCGAAGAACACCCCATCGACGGCAGTTACTGTGTTAGAAGTTGTGATGGGCAAGAATGCCAAGCATAGCTTTAACCTTAAAGCCAAAAACCTTGACCGGTTTGTTATGGGATGGCCTTTCCGGGGTAAATGTATAACATAACCAAGGGGCTTTTCGAATTCGCCAAGTCGACGGGGGTGTAGTACAGATGGGGGGCTGACGTCGCTCAGACGAGCCAGTGACGGCGCCGCGTTTGTCAGGCAGCACTGGCACGGCAGCAAGGTGTTCGCCGTCGCTAGTCAGGCGTGCCAGGTGCACTTACCTAAGGCCAAGAACCGTTTCCACCATGGCATTGTGTGGCCATCGTGGCTCCGCGGCTTGGCGGCAGCTTGCGCCGATCGCCCAGCTGCCCACGCACACACCACTACCGGGTGACGGCTCGGCAGCTGTTGTGTTTCTCGACGGGGCGCCGGGGATTTCTCGCTCGCCTCGCGAATGGCGAGTGCCACACCGCGCCGGCGTTCCAGCTTGACAAGGTTTCTCAAGGCTGCAGAGGCGGGTCATGGCGGGCCACGTGAATCCATCCCATCCAGCCAGCCAGCCAGCGAGCAAGCCAGCCAGCAAGCAAAGCAAGCTGGCGGACCCCACGATGGACGGCCAGGCCTGGGCAAGGCGATCGGCTGGGCCTTCCTCTGGCTGAGCCTTGCTGTGCCGAGCGAGGATTGAGTTCTCCCTGCCCAACTTGGCCTCACAGCTGCTTCGGTGTGGCATTGGTCGAGGGGATGGGGCCAGGTCGACTCGTGTACAGGCCGTCGCTGTCGAGGGACTTTGGCTGGGATCTGCGCTGGCGGATTGTCGTTGCTATGAATACACATCGACTTGGCTTACCAAGCTCAATCTCGATGGGTACCGGTGGTGATGGGGGAGTGACATAAATAGAGGACAATCTCGAAGGCTTCATGCATCTCAAGTTCCACTCATCGCCACCGTCATCGACAAAGACTCACTTCATCAAGGACAACTCAGATCAGCAACTCGACAACTTGTAAAACACTTGCAAGATATCAACATAATCAGACTCAGCCAGACCACCGCACTACTCACTCAGACAAAATGCACTCCGCCGCCCTCCTCTCAGCCATCCTCCTCGCCGCGGTCAAGGCCGACCTGCAGCTCGACTCGGACGACATCTCGCGGAACTGCACGTCCATCTGCCGGCCCGTGCTGGAGCTGAGCCGGACCTGCGAAGTCGACGACGACGCCGTCCCGGACGACCTGACCGAGGACCGCCTGAACCTGCAGTGCCTCTGCACCAACGACAGCTTCGACGTCCAGCGGTTTACTGGGCTGTGTGCGAGCTGCATGCAGCAGAACCCGAGGGTCGACAACGACGACAACGATGATGATGACGGCCCTGACAGGCCTGATGACAACAACAGGGAGTAAGCATGCACCCCTTCTCCACAAAGAGGAGGTCCGTCATATACAATGAGCTCTCATGGATACTAACAGCCGAAATAGCATCAACGAGATCCTGAGCCGCTGCGGCTTCCAGGGAACGACCTACTCGGCCTCGGACGCCAACGCGGCCAACGGCATCGTCGTGGCCGCCACCCGCCCCAACAACGCCAACCAGCTCACCACCACCATCACGGGCGGCACCGGTGCTGTCGGCCCGGCCCCCACGGGCACGGGCGCCACCAGCGTCGGCACCTTCACCACGACGGGCACCATCACCAGTGGGTCGAGCACGATCACCACCACCGGCACGACCGTGGCGACCGGAGGGGCCGCCGCCACGGGCACCGGCGCCACCGTTGCCGGAGCACCTGGCCTGGAGCCGCTTGGTGGTGGGATGAAGGTGTTGCTTACTGTGGTGGGCGCTGGCGTCTTGGGCTTCTGGATGCACTAGGAGTTCGGACCGGTTGGAGGGTGATATCAGGGGGCAGTAGGGGGTTGGAAGTAGATTGAGAGTGGTTTTGGGGATGAAGGGCAGGGAGGCAGTGATGGATACTAATGATATTATGAAACTACAGAAACGGTAACTCATATTTATGTTGGTGGATTGGAGTAGATACATGGTCTTAGTGCCGAGAAGGATATTCAAGATGTGATATTTCACATGACACAATCATCTTTGTTCGTAATCTGTCGGCTGTCTGTGGCATGGACCGCTTTGTGGCCTACCTATGATCTGTTTCTGCTTTACGCCATATATTTTTGGAAAGTAGGTTATTCGCAGGCAGTCTCCTCAACTGTAAGTCAAGCGGCCCACATTCGGCCCACCCGGGGATTCGGTCCACTTATAAAACCACTTATAACTTAATCAATTTAATATACATAACCTTAATACTTTATATATATATTAAATTAATATTATTATATAAGTTTAAGTTTTAAAAAGAATTTCTTTAAAATAATAATAAATAATACGTATTTATTATAATATATAAATATAAAAAGTATTTTCTTTAATAACTTAATAATTTAGTTTAATAAATTTAAGGAAATCTTATAATTATATAATAATTATATATTATATTATATATATAAAAGTATTTTAAAATTTTAAGATTTAAATTTTCCTTAAGAAACTTTTATTAATAAAATTGTGGGAATAGTATGTGTGGGCATTACATACAGCGTGCCCACGCAGTAGGTGCGCTGCAGGCAATGCATAGATTTGGAGGTGCAAGGTTTAGACTAATTTTATTAATAGCAGCTGCTAGCCAGTGCTAGCCGGCTGCCAGCTAATGGTTATATACCCCATGTATAAACCATTATAGCTAGCCTATAGCTAAACAAGGGAAGGCTGCAGCTTTGCTGCAATCTACTCTTTATATTATAGCTAAATTAATTACATACTTTATTTATTTATTATTAATTATATAAAAGCTAAATTAACACTAATTAATGCTTACTTAATAAGCATAAATAATTAAGTATTAAAAAGATAAATTTCATTTCTTAAAAGCTTATTTGCTTATAATAATTTTATTAAGAGACTTTATGTTAATAATAATGTTATAAACCGTTAAAAAGCTTAACTAAGCATTAAAAACTAGTTTATGGTAACGATACTCAATTTTTAATTGCATTTATTAACATAAATCGTTAATAGCAATGATAATAATTATAAAAAGCCTTAATTAAAAAGCCTTCCTTAATATACCCTTAAGTAATCACAACCTTCCCTAGCTATTAAAAGCCTTTTTATAATACTTTTAATTATTAAATAAATTAACAATAAGCTTTATTTAATTTTATTTAATTTATAATAAATACTTAACTTTTAAGTAAAATTAACCAGTTTATAGTAAACGCCTAACTTTTAATTATATTGCCATTATACTCTTAGCCCTTTTTATAATACCTTTAAAAAGCTTTTGCTTAGCACCCTTAAGAAGCCCTTGCTTAACACCCTTAAGAAGCTTTTACTTAGCACTCTTAAAAAGCCCTTGCTTAGCATTCTTAAAAAGCCCTTGCTTAGCATCCTTAAAGGAAGCCCTTATTTATAATTAACGCCCTTAAGGCATTAATATAATACCCTTAAGGCTTATAACTCTTTAAAGACCCTTTAAGCACTTAACAAAACCAAAACTTTAAAGTATTAATAAATAATATTTCTTTTAAGCAATTTACATACTTAATTAATATACTTAATTAAATACTTTAAAGTATTAATTAGCAAAAATAAGCAATTAATATAATCATTTTATTTACTTAATTAACTTAAAACTATTAAGGGAATTAATTAAGATTTATTGCTAATTTAGCTATATAAATAATTTAATTAAACCTTTAAAATATTTACCTTTTAATAATAATTAACATTTAATTAATAAGCATAACCTTCCTTCTTTTTAATGCTCTTTTTATTAATACTCTTTAATAAGATTTTAAGCATAAATTGCCTTAAAGCTAATAAAAGTTAGTTTGCTAAATAATAATAGCATTTAAGCATTACTACTTATAAGTAAATAGTTTAAGAGCTAATTATTAGTTTATAAGCATAACGCAAGAATATTCTTCCCTTCCTTTTTACTTTATAATTAATTATTATAAGATCTACCTTAATAATAATAACCTTTGCATTAATAATAGCCTCTTTCTTTAATAAAAAGGAGGTTATTAATATAATTAAAAGCCTTAAGAGTTATTTAAGCTATAATAAAAATCTTTTTAATAAATTTTAATATAAGTTTTATAAATAAATAAAGGAATGCTTTTAAAAAATTAATTAAAGGCTTCTTTATAAGCTTAAATAAATACTTTGCTATTATAAGGTATATATAAAATGTAATTGCATGCTAATAATAAAGGCATTAATTATTATAGCTTAAGTAAATAATTAAGAATTATTTTAATAACCTTAAGAGGAGTTTATAATAATAACCTTTTACTTATAATTAAAAGTATATAAACATTAAAAGAAGCCTAAGCTAATTAAAATAAAGCCAAACATTATAAAGCTAATTATTAAAAAGCTAATACCTTCTTTTCCTTTTCATTAATTATAATCTTCTTCTTAGCCAGTAATGCCCTTAATATAAACCCTATAACAATAACCTTTTCCATAATAATAACCTTTTCCTTATTAAGAAATATAATAATAGCAGCTATTATTAACTTAAGCTTAATTTATCCCTTAAGCACCTTAATTAACTTAGTAATAAAAAGAAAGAAGTTATTAAAGTAATAATTAATTAATTAAAGCATAGCATTTAAATATTTTAAAGTTTTAAAGTATTAATAATTAAATAATTTAATTAAGTAATTTAAGCACTTAAAATGTTTAAATATACTTGCACTTAAATACTTATACTTAATTCATTAAAGCGATGGCTATAGGGTATTTAGCCCTTTATAGCCCCTTAAAGGATAAGATATTTATATTAACCAAGCAATTTAATTAACTAAGCAATGATTTAAAGGAAAAGCATGATTTTAAAGCGTTTGCATGCATATATATAAAAGACTATTAATATGGGAATAATATGTATGGGCATTATATATAATATACTCATGCAATAGGTGCGCTACAAGCAATATATAAATTTAAAGATGCAAGGTTTAAATTAGTCTTATTAATAGCAGCTGCCAGTTAATGCCAGCCGGCTGCTAGCTAATAATTACATGCCCTGCGCATAAACCACCATAGCTAGCCTATAGCTAAACGGGGAAAGGCTGCAGCTTCGCTGCAACCTACCCTCCATACCATAGCCGAATCAATTACACACTCTATTTATCTATCACCAACCATACGGAAGCCAAACCAACAAAAATTTTACTTTTTATTATATTTACTTATATAAAATAAAATAAATAAAAAAGATTTATTTATATATTTATATTATATTTACATTATATTTATACTATATTTATATAATATTAAATAATGTTAATTAATATATATATATATTTTATAAAAGTATTTATATTAATATTAAACATATTAAGAAATGTTACTTAATAAGATATATTGCTTAATAGCTATGTTTAATAGCTTATAAAGTAGTAATAAAATTAAAAAAAGTGCGTAGATTTTTTTACATATAATATATAATTATGTATTTATGCATTTAATCTTATAATAATGATATTTAAATTGGTGGAGAGATAGCCTCTTAAAAAGTGGGTGTTTTGGTGGGAAACGTGGGCCGAATCCCCGGGCGGGCCGAATGCGGGCCGCTTGACTTATTGAAAAGTGAATTGTATGTTTTGAACATTGTTGAATTATATACGTGCCCCAAAATCTCTGCTCAGCTTAAGTGATGTTTTCGATTGGATGAGTTTGTTCAATGGAGCCCAAATAGGATTGTGAGACTTGATTGAATTAGTGGTAAACTCTTGGTTAGTGATCAGCCCTCTTTCTAGCCGCCAACTGGGCTTAACGGAGTGAAAGGCTGCCTAAGCAGTATAATAATGGAGTTTCTCGGGACCTTGTGCATTATGCGCGGAGGACCGTCGGTCTGTGGTGTTCATACAGGTTCCCGCACTACAACAATGGCTTGGTTGGGCTCTGAAGCCCTAATATAGAAATTGGTGTCTATTTATCTCTGGCAATTTCTTCGGCACGAAAACTCGGCTACAGGATTAATTGACGGAAATATGTTGGACACTGTTTTGGGAGTTTTGAGACCTATAAAATAAAATAACATCCTCAGGCTGTCTGATTTGACTTGTAGCCTCCGCTATACTCTTTCCAGCAGTCATTTCACGACGACTCTACTTCGCATGACTCATCGAAATCACTTCAATACCATAAAAGCACTAAACACTTATACACATTGAACAGTCTATCGACATGGTGACCGCAATTCCAACGTTAGGCGGCTTGGTCCCACCTCCGAACTCCCCTGTGAGCGACGCTGCAGATGCAACGGTGGTCATCCACAAATCCAAGAATCTGAAAATTCGCGACCGCAGCACTTCTGCTGAGGGAGGTGATGTTTCAGACCAAATGGTAATTACCAGGCAATTCAAAAGACTAGATATCAGCGGCGGCATCACCGGCCAGATGGACAACAACTCGGTACAAACCACTGCTGCTGGTGGAAGTCATACCCGTCCCCGGACGAAGCCAATTCACACGAATTTTGACCTACCGATTCAACGTCCAGCCCAGCCACTATACTTTCCATCCGAGTCCATTGGCGACTCCCAGAACGATCTCGATAAACGGAATTTGGAGTTCGATGTTCTCGATGAGTAGGACAAACTTTGAATCTCTTGATATGAGGTTGGCAGTGAACAGGAAGGGAAAGAAACGGACGGGGAGTGCGAGCAAGAGATTATCCAAGGGCCCAAAGAAAAACAGAATTGGTGGAGTGGGTCGACACAGACACAACGCCTCACGCATGAGCCTGATCAACCGCGCAAACTGAAGGCCTACTGGCAGGAATTCTGGGGCAGGCGATTAATCATTATTTGGAAGTTTTCGCGTCTCGATTTGGTAGGACTGTCACCTTCGATGTGTGTGGCACACTGATGATCCCTCCCAAGAAGACTCGTATGCCTGCCAATTCTATCGTGCTCCAATACAGGCCTAAGCACTGTGCCCTTGCTTCGCCTGCTCAAGGATGATGGAGTTGATATGCGTGTCCTCCTCAAGCACCTCTAGCTCACGGATACCCTCAAGAATGTTGTCATCGCCGTGTTTCTTGCTTGCCTCAGCTAGGATCAAATCCGTAGCTTTCTCCGCCAAGATATGTATGGCTAGAGTCGGAAAGGAGCCTGGTACACGGGGAAAGACAGAACCATCGACGACCCTAAGGCCGTCCACTCCACGTACACGGAACTCGGAGTCAAGGCACGCCATGGCGTCGTCGTCGGCGCCGATGGCGACGGTGCTGGTGGCGTGGTGGCCGAAGGCCTCGCCCCGGATACGCTCCTTAACCTGCTCCTCGGTCGTGGCGTCCGGGCCGGGGACGCTCTCGGTGAAGCCCTCGATACCGTCGTTGATCTTGCGAGCGAGCTCGACGCCTTCATACATGGCCTTGAGGTCCTTGTCCCCGCCCTCCTTGAAGTAGCGGAAGTCGATGTCAGGCACGTCGCGGGGGTCCTTGGACCTCAGCTTGACGGTCCCCGCCGCTTTGTTCCGGGAGCCGATCTTCAGGACGTCCCACGTCCAGGGGTTCTCGGCGCCGCCCATCGCGGCCGCGGAAAACCCGGGGAAGTAGCCCGTGAAGGCGAACGGGCCGCTGAACAGCATGGTGTCCGGGCGATGGGACTCGGCGACGCTGCTCGTGTGGAACACGCCCATCCCGATTCTGAGAATCATGACTCCTGTTAGTAGATGCAAAGCCATTGGGTAAAACCTTCCTCTGCCGAATCTACGGGGGCCGAGGAGGTGGGGCTTGCACTTACCCGTTGCTGGCATAGGGACCGCCCGATTCCGTCTCGGTCCATTCCTTGAGCAAAGGGTCTCCAGCTGTTAGGCCTGTTGATTTTGCCAGCGGGGAGAGTGGAGTCGGAGTCTTTCCGACGACGCCAAACTCGTAGTTGTCCTGCAGATTGGTGCCAACACCTGGCAGGTCGACCAGGACATCGATCCCGAGTTTCTGCAGGTCATCCTTGGGACCAATGCCGCTGAGCTGGAGCAGCTGCGGGGTGTTGAAGACACCACCTGCCACGATCACCTCCTTCGATGCGTACACAGTCTTCTTGACTCCTGAAACCCTTGGGTTGGATCTCGGATCGGCCTTGTAGAGGCTCTTTCCTTGGAGAGCCTCCACGCCAACCGCCTTGGGCTTTTGGCCGTGCTTGGCCTCGTTGAAGATAACCCGGGTGGCCAGACTGTGAGTGCTGATAGTCAAGGGGTACTTTCTGTTACCATGGGCATCTTTGGCATTTACAGTTGCCACGAGGTAGTCCCTCGCACTGGACCGCCGACCGTGCTTGGAAATGGTCATAGCCGGCCGATAAACACCATCCTTCTCTGATGGAAGGAGAGGGTTGATGTCGGGGATAATGCCCCCATACTGCCCCTCAACAGCAAGCGCACTATCGATCATCGGCTTAGCGGCCTCGACAGTGGAAATGTGGCCCAGGTTTGTCTCGAGGTATCCGTGAAAGCCGTGGGCCAGCGTTCCCGGAGGCAAGTAGCGGCAGCGCTCAAGTCGCTCGAACAGAGGGCGGATTTTGCTGTACTCCCAAGACTTGTCGCCGGTGAGTTCGGCGATGTAGTCCCAGTCTGCAGCAGGCGGAAGCACGCCGACCAGGGCGTTGTGGGCTGCGCAGCCTCCCAGCGTCCCAGCACGTGGGTAGTAAATCCCCAGCTGCTTGGAGCCCTCCGGTGGGTTGGTCCCGATGAAGATGCTCCCGTCAGGCGTCTCCCACGTCATCTTGGAGTCCTTGGCAGCCTGTCCAGGGTCGTCATAGTGCTTGACGAAGAAGTCCCAGCGCTCCGCGGCGTCTTCTGCAAAGGCATTGAAGAACAGGGGAATTTTCGCAAAGAGATTCTGGCCTTGATCCTCGCCTGCTTCGAGGAGAAGGACTTTGTGTCCTTGACGGGCGAGGTTTGCAGCGACCGGCCCGCCGCCTGGGCCTGAACCGACCACGATGTATTCATACTCCTCGTGGGAGGACGCAGGGCTTGATTGAAGGTTGGGACTCATTTCGAATGTTTCTGGGTGCGTTTGGGATTATGGGTGAGTGATAATTGAGATTAGGAAAAAGCACTATCACTTCTAGACTCTCCATTAATATTTCGAGGTCAAGCCTGTACTTATATAAACCTTCCCATTATGTCCAGCTGCTGGTTACCAAAGTGAGTCTATTTTGCAATTAACCTCGTGCCGAATGTTGGCGGCCGATGCCTGTATAACCAGGCCAGGATACAGTTGGTCCGAATTGATGATGGTTGTGGATTTCTGGCCGCATTCCGTTCTCGGTTGTATCCGATACTAGAATGGGCGCATGATTATCATGGGCTTACACGACCAAGAAGAACCAGGGTTGAAATTGGAATGTAAGCCAAAAAGGACCATCCTTCCGAGTCTCAGCTGACCATCTTTCACTGATGGAGCCTCGGCCGTGCCTGCGCCTTCGGCACAAAACTTGTGATTCCAGTACTGAAGCCCTCTCGACCAGCGAGCACAGTGGTATCATGCCGTCGACTGTCTCTATGCCAATTACGTCAACGATATTGCGTCAGATAAGTGGTGGTAAGAATGACGATCAGACGATGTTCACCGAGTGACAGAATTCAAAGCTCACGAGCGACGTACTGAGCCCATCAATCCGCCCGAAATCCTAGCTAATAGATCAAAGTCAAAAATCTTGAAGTGGCGTAATGCTCAAGGTGACAATAATGTTTAAATACAATGTGACTTTCAGAGTTTGCCCATCCCGCTGACCAAAGCAGTGGATGTTCAACAGCACAAGAAAATGGCATTTACTTGTTGTTCAAAGCAGGACTCAAGAAGTACATGCGAGATGGATGAGGGGCAATAACGTATCCCGGCTCAGTCTTGCTCGCCATTGACTGAAAAGAACAGAACTCCTAGATTTTGTCTTTAAAAGGAGCCATTACACTGCACTTGCAATGATGACCTTTTATGATTCGTCAGCCCACGAGGCGGTGTGGTAGAGGTCATCAGTTGACGCCTTCCTGCAGGGCTGCGGTCAGTCAGCATCAGCTCCATTAATCCTTCATGGAAAGCGATGATCTCAACCGCACTGGGTCAGTTTACGATGAGGGCCAGGGTCTGGAAAATTGGCAGGGTGCAAACCTGACCAAAGCTGGTGGGTGGCGTTGCTTCCGTGATGTTCCAAGCAGACGAAGACAATACGGGCTGCAGGGTACCTAGGTAAGCTTACCAATGGGGCCGCTTATTTATTTTCCAAGACATTGGGAACTCCTCAACAAGGCTAAGCAATAAGACTCTATGAACTATGGTCTCCTGGGACATAGATAATTCAGCGGTGCTGTAACCAGTGAGAGCGAGGTTGAAGGATGGGCTGATTGAGGATTGTGTGATTTCTGATTGTGATATATCGAGTGTAGCACATAGCGTGAGATTAATTTTCTGATCTACAGCCACATTCAGCTGTTGAAAGTATGTGTCAGTGAATGCCGATGAAATGAAGCATGTAGAATTAGCTGGCTACGCATTGCTCGAGTTTTCCCTGTAGATGCTGCCTGGGTTGACTGTGACTCTGGCCAAATAGGAATCACACGTGCCCGGACGCCACTTCTGGGCAGAGTCTCACCCGAGATTTTGCCACCACTAGCTCTATAACCTTGAGTAATGACAAGGAACCTATAATGTAGAGCAGGTTTTACGGGAATCCTTGCCAAATGTCACTATGACTTCATTGCCAGCACCTTTTGTTACTATGTGTTACGCTACCGGACGTGACGGACCAAAGTGAGAAAGGCATTTCCAACGGTAAGATGTCATGAACAGGTGCAACGTGGAATATTGAATGAAAAAGGATTGTATGTTTATGAACTGAGCACGTTCTGCTTCGTATACGGTTGCAGCTTGTATAACACACATACTAGGAAAATTCAATGTGACTCTTCAGACTGGTGAGAAATTGAAACCCAAATTTTCTTGGGGGGACTTTTTTCTTTTCGTGGAGAAGATGATAGATCTTCCGCACTCATATACGAAGTCACCATATCAGCAAAGTACAGACTTGAAGTCATCGGAAATCCTGCTTGACATTGAAGGCTCCAAACAATACTACACAATGCACCAATGAGGCGATGCGCTAGTGTAAGCGGTGCCAACTGGTCCGATCTAAGTTCTCATGCCACCTCGGATGCATCCTTTTATTAGCAAACGTGTGGAGAGCGAGAGAGAGCGCATACTTTCGGAATGATTCATATTGTAGGTAGCTAAGAATTAGTGGGATCTGACAGTGTGACTTGATAATGTGTTGTCATTTTCACTTTGAGTATCTTCTATTTGAAGACGAATTGGGGTAGTAAAGCGGTGAGTGGGCAAGTCGCCGTTCTAGGCGCAGAGGCGCTCGCGAATCGTGAAGAAAACTAAGCTACCGTATTACAATGTGTCTGTGCAGATGGGAAAAAAAGCCAAAGTTGTCTATTTCTGAAGAAGGGAACCATCTGTACCTATTTGTGCCTGGCTTTCCCGGCCCGAAGCGAAGTAGGCGCCACAGTCAGGAGTTACTGTGCACCATGTGGTCAGACACCACGAACATTCTAGACTACTCGAAACAGCCCACAGCTCAACTAAACAAATTTCAGATCCGGGAATAAGAGCAAATCCGCCAAGCGACCTGCGACTGTTTCCGTCGTCATAGATCCTCGCATACGTGAGACGGACGATCACGACTTGCCCGTTGGGGATGTCCGATGACGCGCGTTCACCCGAGAATATGATGCCAACTCCAATTCCAAAGTTTCTAGCAGGGTGTTTAGGAAGTTTCCAAACTTTTTCATTCACAAATCTTTTCAAGGACGTAAAAATGACGGTAATTGGGGCGACGACCAACGGCGGGACGACCAACGGGGGGGCACCGAGCGCCAAAAAGGCCGCGCACCAGAAGTACGCTATTGGCCGTGCGATACTCGAGCCTGCCATCCACCATGAGTCGTTTGAGAAATTGTGGGAAACGAAATGGAAAGCACCTGTGAGATACTGCCTGCTAACGGCGCTGTTGACATTGAACAACTGACGAAAGCTTTCTAGTGTACGATGGGAGTTTACCCGTTCATGTTCGGTACTGTGAAGGACTTTGAGCCGGTGGCGCAGGAGATCATCCAGGTAAGACCGATCAAACCCCAGTACAAAGATATGCTGTTAACTGTTGTGAAACAGAAAGGGCTGAAAGAGCCGTACGATTGGGATGAGTACGCCGAAATGTTCTTCCCCAAGGCAGAGGAACTTTCAGAGATCGCAGGCAGGGCAGAGGAAGCGGGCGAGAAGGAAAAGGCGTCAGAGTACTACCTGCGAAGCTCAGCGCTGTATCGCATCGCCCGTTTCCCTGCTCCTCGTTCAGAAAAGCAGCGACTCGCCTGGACTCTGGGCAAAGATGCATTCTACAAAGGCGGAGCGTGAGTCAACGTGTAGTGTCCCCCCCCTGAAGATCACAAACTCGACTAACCATCCAAAAAGCCTGATGGAATATCCCATCCGTGAGGTAGAGATCCCTCACACGCACCGAAATGAATCCGAAGGCCAGACCATCCCCGTGAACTTCCTCCTCCCGCCGGGGGCCTCACCCCAGCGTCCGGCCCCCGTGGTGATGATATTCACGGGCCTGGACGGGTACCGCACCGAGCTCGCGGTCTGGCAGCGCGGCTGGCTGGAGAAGGGCGTGGCGACAGTAGTGGTCGAGATCCCTGGAACCGGCGACTCCCCCGCGGCCAAGGGCGACCCGACGAGCCCGGACCGCCAGTGGTCCAGCGTCCTGGACTGGATCGCCGGGCAGGCGGAGCTGGACAAGGGTAGGGTCGTCGTCTGGGGTTTCTCCACGGGTGGGTACTACGCGCTCCGGGTGGCGCACACCCATGCGGATAGGCTTCTGGGCAGCCTCAGTCTAGGGGGAGGGGCTCACCACATGTTTGACCGAGACTGGCTGGAGCATGCCAACAAGCTGGAGTATCCGTTTGACTTGGCGGATACTCTGGCTTACAAGTATGGCTATGCGGACTTGGAGTCGTTCATCCAGGAGGCGCACAAGTTCTCACTGGTCAATGACGGAACGCTGGACAGGCCCTGCTGCAAGAATGTGCTGGTCGTCAACGGGGAGAACGACGAGATCTTTCCGATCGAGGATCTTCACGTGGCGCTACGGCATGGATCGCCAAAGTCGGCACGGGTGGTCGAGGGCCGAAAGCATATGGGGGAGCCTGAGAGCTTTTTTGTGATTCTCCGATGGATCCACGACTTGCTGGGCTTGGATGGGGATGTCGCAGCTCAGACGAGGTTGTTGCCGTTTAAGGCCAAGTATTGAACTCTGGGTGCGAGTGTGAGATAATGATAGCACACATGTATATGACTCAGGGTGTGTCTCCTGCCAGGAGTTTGGTGAGAATGTCAGTCCACTCGTATACTTGTTTGGACTTGCAAGCAGGGAATGACCATTGAATGACATGTGACAGGGCCTGGTTTTCTCGGTGGTCCGGCATCATTGTGAATCGCACCATTGGGATTTAGTTCATCCTAGAGTTCTGGATCTTAAGCGAGTAACTGATCAATATCATGTCACTAAAGAAGATTCTCGTTCCCAGATGCCAGGGTTGTCAAGACAAGTCTTTCCACAAGGGCCTGGCTTGGCAGGTAATGTAGTTGGTTCGCCGGAAGAGAGAGGCGACTGTTACTGTAACACCAATCCCAGCTATACGGACCATACATTGTTTGTACAACAGACTTCAATCGAAATCACTCCACCATTCACCTGATCAGCTCACAGGTTGAACAGAATCTCGACTCACTCGTGACGGATATTTACTGCGAAGTAAGCCCCAAAAACACCTCCGTCCTGTTATGGCACCTGTCAAAAGGCGGGCTGCATGGGGATGCAGGGGTTAGCCCCGACCTTGCAACCCCGGAATCTCCTGATTTGTGAACCTCGGCACCAGCTCGGCCAAGCCCTCTGACCTGCAAGAACCACGCAACCACCTGTCCAACTCCGCCGCCATCCTTCAAAAGAGGACTTGAGGGCCAGCCGCTGACTGACCGCTCACTCTCCCAAATGTCCCAGCTTGAGGCCCTCACAATCTTGACCCTCGATCATTCATGACGCCCAAATGAGCAGCAACCCGACCTTCGCCCAGGCGCAGCAGCGCCTCGCCGAGCGCCGCGCCGCGCGCGAGGCCCAGGCCCAGGCACGCCTCGCCGCCGAGCAGTCCGCCTCCCAGCTGCGCGCCCGGATCTCGTCGCACCCCTCCCCGCTCCTCCGGGGCCTCGGCGGCGGCGCCCTGTCGCTCTGGGACGCCGTGTCGTCGCCCGAGGGCACGCGGCCCGCCTTCCGCGTCGGCCAGGTCGACGCCGAGCTGCTGGACGAGGAGCTCGTGCAGCTCCTGCGGGACCAGGTCGGGGACGCCCTCAAGTACGTCGGCGGGCTGGGGAGCAACCTCAAGGAGGAGTGGTCCGCCGAGATCCTGCTGGTCCTGCGCGCCGTGCTGTTCAAGCTGACGGTGTGGGACCACGACGCCACCTACGGCGCGGCGCTGCAGAACCTCAAGTACACCGACGCGAGGCACGACGGGCCGGTGCTGGTTCCGCCTTCGAGGCTGCAAAAGTCGCTCTACGGATTGATCACTGTGGGAGGGAAGTACGGCTGGACGAGGCTTGAGAACTGGCTGCTGAACCAGGACAACGGCTTCGATGCACCGAGCCCACGGGCTCAGAGGTTGTCGCGGCTGACATCCACGGCGGAGAATGTCCATTCTGTGGCGGCGTTTGGCTCGTTCCTCGTGTTCCTCCTCCACGGCAGGTACAGGACGTTACTAGACAGGATACTGCGGATGAGGCTGGCTCCACCCACCAGCCAGGTCAGCCGCGAAGTTTCTTTCGAATACCTCAACCGACAGCTCGTCTGGCACGCGTTCACAGAATTCTTACTCTTCGTCCTGCCGCTCATTGGTATAAATAAATGGAGGCGATGGCTCAGCCGGACGTGGAGGAAGACGAAGAACGCCATATCAAGCGGCGGCGATGGCGACAACGACGACAAGAAGGGCGAGTACTCGTTCCTGCCCGAGCGAACGTGCGCCATATGCTACCAGGACCAAAACACAGCGTCGTCAGAACAAGAGGTCCTGGCTGCAGCAGCGTCTAGCGGTGTGGTCGGCTCTGCGCAGACAGACATCACGAACCCCTACGAGACAATACCTTGCGGCTGTATATACTGCTTCGTCTGTCTTGCTACGAGGATAGAAAGGGAAGAGGGCGAGGGCTGGACATGTATCCGGTGTGGGGAGCAGGTCAAAGAGTGCAAACCATGGAGTGGAGACGTCCTCGAGCCTCCGAGCAAGTCGCCGACGAACAAGGCGGTCATGTTTGCGGACGATGTCAAGGACACTCAGACAGAGACAGAGAGTTCTCAGGCGGAGTATGTCGACGCGGTCGATGACCTGACCGAGTCGGCATCGACGGTAAAGGCACAGAGCAGTGACGACGGCAGCTCTGAGGATGGGGACTCGGAGGAATACGATGAGGAGGAAGGCGAACTCGGAGATGACATGGAGGGCTTTTGAGCCCCGGTGAGGGTGTACCTCTACATATGGCGGACCGGAAGGTACTAGACCTGGAAATAAAAGCGACAGTAATATCACAGCAAAGGGGTAGAACGGAAACTGTTGCCACGTAAATCTACACATCCAGTGTCCTGTCCGCGGTGCTCAAGCTCAACTTCAACATTGCGGCAACCATGGATCAACTCCTCTGCCTGATATCGACAGTGTACAATGATCTCAGATGGTGAAGCCAAGCGCCAACACCACAATAAGCGAGAGTCCAACATTTGTGTGACCGGCCTGCCGGCCAGGCCAAGATCAATCCCTCGACCCTCTGATGTTTCGGTCCACACGGCGGGTCACATTTGCGGCCCTGCGGTCGCACAAGAAGACATTTTCCGGATGCGATGGAGCTGACACGTGGACTGGACAGGTGCAGCAGCAACCCGTGAGCCTTCTGCACGGAAGCTGTAGTAAAACGGTGGGGACTTGCTTCCTGGACTTGCTACGTTATTGCGTGTTCGTTCGCTGGGAAAAGAGCTGAGCAACATGAGGTCTCTTTGGCATCCCCCGTCACATGCAAACGGGACCTTCTAAAAATGACGTCGGGCCTCTGGAAACGGTCGCACTCGAAAACGAAACACCAGATCGCGCTAAGAGCGGTCGAGGCCGCTTATCTTATCGCGGGCCCCCTGGATTTGGGAACTCGAGCTCCAAAGCCAATCCTCGACTGGGATGGGAAGGGGCCCACACGCCCCAGTTGCCAGCACAGACGAGAACCAAATAATTCCCGAGCGCGGCACATGGCGCAGACACAACATCAAAAGATCCACTCCTGTCCTCCCACCCACCCCCGGCTCTGCAGATCTTCACCGACACTGTGACTCCGCTCCTCTTTCCCTCCCTTGGGGCAGCCCCGTTCCAGACGCGTTCGACCTTCTCGGAGAAAGAAAGAAAGAGAAAAAATTCTGCCCTCCTTCCCCTTTACTCGAGAGGAAGAAACCCCCCCGATATAATGCGACTCTCCAAGCTGTAGTCAAGCCTGCGAAGGTCGAGCCCGAACCACCCCACCACGCCCAGAGACATGCCCACCATCTTCTCCTTCGAGCAGGGCAACGAGCGATCGCGCTACCCGACCGACTCCTCGCCCCTGCTGGGCCGCTTCCGAGCCGTCCCCCGGACGGACGCCCGCGGCGGCGCAGGCGGCCTCGGCGCAGGCACCACCGCGAGCAACAGGCGCGGCAGCCTCGGCCTGCTGACGCGGGCGTCGTGGCGTAATAGCGTGCACGTCGGGTACGGCGCCACCGCGTTGCTGGCGGCGGGCCTGAGCGATGACGAATCTGACGAGTCCGACGACGATGACGACGATAGCGACGCGGCCGGTGGCGAGGGGTACGATGGCGCCGGGGCCGGGAGGAGGAGGAAGAGGCTCGCCGCGTGGTGCAGGAGGAAGTGGAGAAGGATGGACGACCTGTGGATCAACCCCAAGCAGGGCGCCGTGAGGAGGGTCGCGAGCGTGTGGTACTCACGGTGGTTTGTGCTCGTGGTGCTCCCAGCCGCCCTGGCCGTCGGGTGGTGCGCGATCCCGTTCCCTCAGTACCCGCTCAAGGACGGTCCGGACGATGACAACGGCGGCGGCAACGACGGCTCGTCCCCGGGCCACCGCAAGCCGCGAGGCCACGGCAGGGCCCACGCCGAGGTCAACTTCTGGTTCTTCCTGTTCGTCTACTACGCCTTCTACAACCTGACGGCCCTGGTGTGGATCACAAAGGTGTTCAACCTCTACAGCCTGAACTGGTGGCCGTCGACGCTGGGGTTCCCGCTCACGATCTGCATGATCGCGGTGCTGGGCACCGTCGGGCCGATCGTGCTGTACTACATACCAGAGGCCGAGTTCCTGACGGTGCACAACACAGTCTGGATCACGTGGACCTTCTGCATCATGGCCATGCCCGTCGTGATCGCGAGCTTCATCCTGCTCACCAAGGAGCGCCACATGGGGCTGCGGAACTCCCTGTCCGAGACGCAGCGCATATTCACGTCCTCGTGGTGGGCGGGTGACGACGGCTTCGACTCGCCCGAGATGAGGGTCAACGGCCGGCGGCGGCCCGACCAGCACCTATGGGACGAGAGCGAGAACGCGCTCCGCATCGGCGCCGGGCCCAGCCTGCAGCCCACGCGCAGCAACCGGATCCCCGTCCGCCTCAAGCCGCGCTTCTTCCCCGCCTCGTTCGTGCGCTTCGTCTGGTTCTGTACGGCCTTGTTTATCGGGCTGCTCGCGCTCGTGATAGGGGAGGCGTACGCAGAGGTCTACCTCAGGACTTTGCCGCACAACAGCTTGGACACGATAGTGTACGTGTACGGGTGGATATCGACCGTGTATCTCTTGGACGGCTTGACGGGGTGGATACTGGGTGGGAACCAGGGCGAGAGGGTGGGGAGTTATCCGCTGAGTTGGGTCTTCAAACTGTTAGTGATCTCGGCATCCCTCATGCCTCCGTTTGGGCTCAGAAGCTGACATTTCGAGCACAGCTACTTCATGCTAACATACCAAACCTACGTCCGTGCGCTGTATGCCCGACTGCGCTCCCCAAGCCAATTCATCCTGCTGCAGGTCCTCTCCTCATCCGGCCTCATCATCCTCACCCCCATCCTCCTCTCCGCCCCGGTCCACTGGCTCCTGACGGCCATCGGCATGAACGGCCAGTCGTACGCCGCCTACCAGAAAGTCGGAGTCCGTAACGTGTTCATCCGCTTTGTTGCGGAGAACGCGTCCATGCTCTGCTTCCTGGGCAGCGTCGCGACCCTGCACTTTGGCGCCAACAAGGCCGTCTACCCCTACTTCAGCTTCGACGAGGACGACTCCTCCGCCAGCGGGGACCCCTACGACTACACCTTCGAGCTGACCTTCTACGCCTCGGCCGTCACGTGGGCCTGCGAGCTTGTCGCGAGCTGCATCGTCGCGGGCCTGATCAAGTGGATCTATGGCGTGAACGTGGTCACCGAGGGGAGCATGGACCTTGCCGTCTGGCCGGAGCTGCTTCCGACGAGCGTGGTAGTCGTTCTGCATGTGCTGCAGAACATGCTCTTCTCGATTGTGAGGCTGCAGTTCCGCTGAGGCAGGTTTGATTACACGGACGGGCAGGCTGGCGGGCTGGTCGAATCGGGCCAGACCTGCTGCAACAGACTCGTCCTAGCCCTCTTTCGAATGAGAGCGCCCAGGCAGGCAGCATCGAACGGGGACATGAAAGCGTTGGCAGGCACGGTTATCGCCCGCCAAGGCCGGGATGGCCGTGGCACGACATCACCCACTGTCGTGCCCTGACCTGCGGGGACAGCAGCTCTTCTGGGTGCACAGCATGTGGAACTGGTCACCGATGTTGCGGAAGCGGGAGCTCGGCGTTCTTTTCTCAGCCGTCTTTCTTTATTTCCTTTTGGCTCTGGTCTGTGCTGTCATACATGACACAGCAGCACGGGCTCGTAGGCAGGCAGGATGGAAGGATGGTAAGGTTCGCATAATGATACCCCCATTACCATGTACCCCGGAATGGCTCTGCTTTTGCACGTTAGTTAGTTTGCACTTACTTATGACTGTGCCTTTCCCAACGATAGAAGTCTAGATGTTGTATGCATGTATCACCCTGCTCTTGTTTCTCCACATCCGGGGAAGCATGTCCTGTCACTGCTGCAGGCAGCCGTGAGCGCCACCTCGACGGGCAAGCATGCATGGGACCCAGCCCAAGGAGGTTGTGCATCGATCCCAACTTGGTGACGTGCAGCAGAGCACATTGGCTTATATCAATTTGACAGCACAGTTCCGAGGTTGCCTCGCATGCATATCGACCCCTCCAGGGCGACGTTTCTGCTGACCGACCGCTAGGCCGGACTCCCTGAGATGGGCATACCGGGCCATGGCTGTGGCTGTGGCTGTTCGGCCACCGGAACCGGGAGTCCCTGTCCCCGCCGAGGTGTTATTAAGGAGGGTAATGGAGGGAACCTGGTTGCACGCCGATGTGTCATCGCACATCACAAATGACAGAGATTTGCTAAACCATAGCAGATCCGGCCGACCTGCAGCTGTTGTCCGACGTGGAGCAATCTCCCGCCCGGGAACGTCAGGCTGGATCCTGGCGGATTGTAGCAACGTACTCATCCTGCGGGCGGTCGACCCTGCCGGCAAGCGTACCCATGAATAAATACATATGCACACATGACATAGCGACAAGAACACAGCATTTGGTGTGGTGAGCTCAGCACCTGTAACTTGTGGCTTGAAGGTAAATACTGTCGGCCAGCAAGGTCGTACGACTAGGCTGCTCTCCTGTGGGACGTGTCTGTCGTGTTGGAGAGTCGGGATCTGTGTAATGATTTCCTTCTCTTGTAAGCCGGTGCTAACATACTTACATTGCGTGTCTTCCATTTTGCTGCCATGGTGGCAGTGCGCGTCATATGTATCAGATTCACATGTCCCGGCTGGTGAACGCTCGGCTTGGCCTGCCCTCCAACGCACAAAGGGTTTATTGTACACCCAACCCTATAATTCACCTCTGTCGCAGCGGGAGCGGGAGAGCCTCTTCGGCAAAGCAAGCGTAGGATGCCGTGGACTGCGGTGAGTTTCGGCTTGAGAACGGCGTAAACCCCACTTGGCTCCACCGTGCCGGCGCGCAACATCGGGAGATCCACAAGTGAAACGCACAGACGGGACCGGCGCCGTTTGTCAAGCAGGCGGATAGAGGTAACCGGGCCAAGATCCTGAATTGCCTCTGCCGGTGGTTTGGTAAGAGTTCTCCACCAGTGGAAAACAATGGTTGGAATTTGTATTTGGTTCGCCCTCTTAATTGTGCCTTTGCATGGGAGCATGAATTCCATCAAGTGTCAGTGTTGCGTCTTCACGGTGGTCATGGTCGATCGCGACTGTCATAGCTGCTTTTGCTAACTCATGCGGGCGTAGCTGGCCAAGGAGTCACTGTTCCCGTCAGACTGGCGGTGAGACAACATCAAGGCCTTGGAGTCTCCAGACGAATGGAGAAATAGGCCGAGTCATAGTGAAGAGGGGGAACCGGATATGATCGAAGGACAACCAGTCGGGGCGCTTAGACTGTCTTGCTGACTGCGCCTGTTGACGGCTAGCCATGCTCAAAACGACCACTAATGCAGAAAGATCATGAAATCACCGGTGACGCTAGAATGCTTTACAGACTGACTGCAACCAGGGAGGCATGAATGATTTGGGATGAGCAATGGTGTCGATCACTTTCCCGTCACGATCCCCCGTGCTACTTCGATGTGGAATTTCCAGGCGAAGTAAAGGTGAGCCGGCTCATTGAGCCGCAGGATGAGCCCATCTCGGACTGGGAATGGACAAACAAGGCCTGCACGGCAGATTTGTTGAGTGGGAACGAGAAGCAGTAGTTTGGGTGGCCCAGGTGGCCAGCGGCCACTGGCCAGTGTCCAACATCAAGGAGGGGGGACATGGGATGCTGAGAAGGGGAACCCTTGATGTCGAAGGTGGACACGATTCTGCTCAAAACCATCGTGGCGTCGCCCTGAGTGATAATGTGCATAGTAAGCCGATGAACTAACTGTCAACGACGGCTCTTCAGGGCCCAGAACTCGGACCTGAGACGTTGGATCCCAAGTAGCAGGAAACTCTGGAGCGTTGAACGCTGCCAGACGCGACCAATGACATGGCCCAGTGCCTGGGTAGTGGGATACCTGTCAGTCCCTCGAATGGAACCCGAAGGGTGTACGCAGAGATGCAGGGCAGAGCAGGGAAGCACGCCACAGGCGATGCAGATAAGGCAATGGGTGAATGGGATTGAAGGGTTTGGTGCTGTGCCGAAGGTGACTGACTGGCAGCTCCGGATGGTGACGGATGGGCAGGCATCAGCGAGAGACACGTCAGATTTGCGGACTGCGGAGTGAACATGCGCAGGGCGCCGGCGTTGACCGGATCGCCAGCTGGAGCAAGCGACTGGTGGACGTGCTAATTAAAAGGGCTGTGATGGATGGCATCCTCAGGCAGGCCCCAAGGCTTTCCAGGCCGCCTGCAGCAGAGGCTGGGCCGTTACAAGTGGGATGGGCCTCGTGTGGGTGTAGAGCAGGCCCTCGTATCCACGCAGGCAGCGCGCAGGCGAGTCGGGGAAGCGTGGGGATGGTGTCGAGAGGCTGTGGAATCTGGGCCCGGGTCTGGGCCTGGGTTTGTTTTGGGTGTGGGTGTGGACGTGGACGTGGATGTGGGTGTGGTTTCGGACGTTGGAGCTGCTGCTGCTCACCTGCGCTGCGCCTGCGAGCGTGTGACGGTGATGGTGGTGGTGGTGTGAATGGATGTAAGTAGTCGACAGCCACAATGTGACATGCAAGCTGACTGATTTCGCGGGCGGCCTCTTAGACGACGTCCCGGATGTCGTGGACGTTCTCACGGCGGCGGGTCGGACCCTCATCGACAGGAACAACAGCCTGATGAGGCATGGATGGACGTTTCAACGGGCGGGCGGTTCAGGGGCATCGGTCCACCTTTTGGAGCTTCACTGCCGGGAAACCAGGGAAGCCTCGCAGGCAGAGGATGAATCGTGACGGGGCAGCCAGGGAAGGGGACGTCAGGGCAGGGCAGGGCAGGGCTATTGTGCAACGTACATGGTGTGCCCGTTGAAGCTTTTGCTTGGATGGGCAGACGGGGAGCGAGGGCGGTCTTGTCGGAAGTGCAGCTTGCCGAGACCATGCCGACCTACATCGAGTCACATCGTTCCTGTTGTGCCCGGCACGACAAACAAGTTCTTTGGGCCTGATGGGGAATAGGAAGAGGCACGAAGCTCCTCACCGGGTGGGCCGACGACGGTGGGATTCAAGTTCCTGCGACGCGTCCACGTCCACGTCCACGTCCACGTCCACGTCTGCGCCGGTGCATACCTGCAACCGTGTCCCATGGGGGAGGAGCGCCGGTCGGATGTTGTGGTTAAAGTTGCCCGTTCACCCCCTAGCACCATCCACCATCATCATCAGCAGCTTATCGGGGAGCTGCGCAGGTGAGAGCGAGCTGGCGACGGCAGGTGCAAGGTGGGGTCGAGGAGAATTTTGGCGGGGTAACTACGGTATCTAGGAAGGAAGCTCTTTGCTCCCTGTCTGCCAGTTCAAGCCCATATCCCATCCCAGCCCACCTGCTCCAACACAGGCCTGCCATTTGCTGCCTACAGGAACAATCCTGGAGGGAGCTTCCGACCGATATGATGGGTAGCACAGTACCTCCGTGTATGATTGCTGTTCTCGGCCAGTTGAGTCTGAGTATGATGGGGTGTGGACGGTTCCAGGCCTTGACTTGATCTGTCTTGTCCTGTCCTGTCCTGACCAGGAACAGAGACACTGCACAGAGCCAGAGCCAGAGCCAGAGCCAGAGACACAAGCACAAGCACACACACAGACACACACAAACATCAATGAACCAGGAACAGGAACAGAAACAGGACCCCCAACCCAGCCTCAGTTTCCACGCCCGGTCTCACGACATTGCATTACACAGTTACCTAAGTACCTAGGCAGTGCATTGCTCTGCCCTGACGACTTGACTGCACGAAACTGACTGTCTAAGACCGCTCCACCCACACTGCTTTGGGTAGCCTTGCTTTCTCGTGCCTGCTCATCCCGGTTAGGCCCTTCTGAATTTTCTCACTTTCCGTTTTATTCGTCCTGCCGTACCGTACTTGTACAGCTTCCTTATTGCCCTTAGCAAACCAATATAGGCCGAATTTTCTGGACGCCTCATCCTTCCTTCGGCGGCAAGCCTGTGATTCCTTCCCGCTCCCTCCCTGCCGTGTTTAACTCGGGACGAACGAGCTCGGAAGTACAGTACAGTTACAGCAGATCACAGAACACGACCGCCCGGTACCAACCACAGCACAGCAACCGACTGCAAGAGGCTCCTTGGCCGTGACCCCTCTAACCTCTTGGGAATAGCAGCTAGGTATGTAGGAACGCTCTCTATACCCAGATTGCCCATACCTAGGTCATCGCACAGACTGTCTGTGGCTTGTGCCACGATACACACACGCACTGGACTGCCGCCTGCTTCTGCTCCTGCTCCTGCATTGCCCTGCTTTTGCACACGAGGCTACCTGATTCGCACCCTGTCTCCCTCGCCTGTCTTACTGTTACCACCCGCCCGTACAAGTTACCTGGTACGGCAAGCTTGTGCGCAATTACTCACGTACACCCAGCTCTTAGCGACACACACCCCTCCTCATCAGCTCTAGCCTTGCACACTGCGCCAACAATTTTCTTCCTAGATAACGACCGTCCTCTCTCACCACCTCTCCTCGCCCGTCTCTCTTCTTTTCTCTTTCCCCTTCTCCACCATGCCACCAGCCTCTGAGCCCCAAGGCAACCTGGCCACCAACCCAGACGCCTCTGCATCCTCCTCCTCCACCGCCGCCCACCATGCCTCGGGACGACAGCCCACCGCCTCCTCCTCCACCTCCGCCGAACTCGCCAGTGCAAAGATAAGCCTCGAGAAGTCCCTGCGCCGCTTCCCCGACTTCCCCATCCCCGGCATCAACTTCCTGGATATCATGCCATGGTTCCTCGACCCGGCCGTCCACGCAACTCTCCTCCGCTCTCTCGAGCTGCAGCTCCTCCACTTTGGCGGCGCCGATAACGCCATCAAGCCCGATGTCATCGTCGGCCTGGATGCCCGCGGCTTCCTGTTCGGCCCCAGCCTGGCACTCCGACTGAACGCTAGCTTTGTGCCCGTCCGCAAGCAGGGCAAGCTGCCTGGCCCCTGCGTCACCGCCCAATACACCAAGGAGTACGGCGTCGACTACTTCCAGATGCAGGAGGGCGCCATCAAGCCGGGGCAGAAGGTCCTCGTCGTAGATGACATTATCGCTACTGGTATGAACTACTCAAATCCCCGCCCTGCACCTCGACCCGAGGTCCTATTATGCCGTAAAGAAGCCCCTGGGTAGCGTGATATCTAACAGTCCCGCCTCAAAACAGGTGGCTCTGCCGCGGCTGCAGGCGACCTGATCAAGCAGCTGGGAGGCAGCCTGGTCGGATTCCTCTTTATTATTGAGATTCCCTTCCTCAAGGGACGCGAGAAGCTGGACAATGTTCCCGTCGTGACTCTGCTCGATGTGAACGAATGAGCCGGACGACCCAGATGACTCCGAAGCCCGATTCGACCAAATCAGACGGACAGCTGTCTAGCCCGGGCTTGGTCACACCTGATCTCCGGCCTCATCGGCCCAAACGGTCCGACGCCCCGATATCCAAATCTCACCACCTGTCTAGACTTCCACACACATCGTCGACCGCCCGAAATTATTTTCGACATAACCTTGTTGTGAATCGAGAGGCTTTTCTCTTCATGTTAAAGGCTGGCCAGGCCTTGTTGCGTTCTATTTATTTATTGTGGCCTTCTCCACCTTGGTTGGTTTTTTACTCACGGCCATGAGTCTTGAGTACGACGGGCCAGAGGGTGCTTGGCGTCCCGCCAAAATCGACCGGCTCTCAGTATGCATATGTGGTACGATATGGTACGAGTCAACTGGGGATATTTAGATCGTCGTTTGAACGTTTGGGCGGACATTTGGCAGGATAGATTTCGGCGTTGAAGGTCTCAAAAGTGCCCGTCTTTTGATGAGTTCCGCCAATACGTTTTTTTTTGTTGGTTTTATATTGGCATTATCCATTCTATGGCCGGAAGGGGAAGCATGGCATGAATGAGATTGCACCTCGGTCGAACATAGACCGCTCTGCTGTTCATAATAGAACGTTCCGGAGCCCTGTCATACAACGCGCTGGTAGTTTAATCGAGTGCTTGCGGGGTTTGTGTGTGTGCCCAAGCCAAAGTTCAGGAGGTTAAACCCACTGAACAGCTAGCTGTCCCAGGCGCACAGCGACACATACCCACAGCAATGCCAGCATGAACTGCGAGACCCTGAGTCGGTTGAATCGTTTCCATACAAAACCCCGGGTGTCCGATATGCTCAGGAACCTCCACTGCGAGACTTTCGGTCGGTGGTCGGTCGGCTAATAGCGGGCCATAGGACTTGTCCGAACTCGCACTGCGCCCCGTAAACACCCCATACAGCACGAGCTGCTTCGTGGCAGCGGCCTCTTTCCCCCAGCGGAGCCGCTCTGCCATGTAGTCATCGGGCAGCGCGATGGAAGAGCATGTTATTTAGGGTCAGTAGGCACTGTAGCAACACGCAGACGCGGGCGGAAATGATTCAGGCAGGCTCGACAGAGGTATCATGATGCTGCGATGCTAGTGTACGCTGTGTTGGGTACATGTCTATGCGGTATGCCGGAAAACCAAGACATGGAAAAGCAAGAACCGATAAATAAGCAAAACAATGAAAAAAAAAAAAAGGAGGAAGATCCTCCCCGCTTCGGCGTCAACATTGCCCCAATGTTACATGCCAAACAACACGCTGTTGTTACCCATGCCGTCTATTTCCCGCCCGCTCATCCCATCCAGCGCAGGAGCATCCAAAAAAGCGATTTAAACAACTCTGCCGACGACGACAGCCACCTCTAGCCGGGACGCTTGATCTCCCCGTCGTCGATGGCGACGTTGCCTATCCTGCGCCCGTCGCTCTCGACGCCGTACTTCCTGCTCATGCCGGCCCTGACGACGCCGCCCGCCGCCAGCCGGCGGTAGGCCTCCTCGCCGCCGCCGACCATGACCATGGGGATGGGGTGCCTGCGCAGGACGCCGCTGGGCGTGCGCTGCTCCTCGGCCAGCAGCGGCCGCGTCATGCCCACACCGCCCTCCTCGTCATCCGACACGACGACCACGAGCTGCAGCGACGCCGCCGACGGCTTGTACGCCGGGATATTGGCCAGCTTCTCGCTGAAGGTGCACCCGCCGCGCCGGATCACGATGAGCTGGTGGTCGCGCGGCGCCTCCTCCGGCAGGACGGAATCGCACGAGAGCCCGGCCGCGTAGATTGTGGTCCACGGCAAGGCTGCTGACGGGACGGGCCCGAAGGCGGGGACGTGCGCGCCTGCCGGTATGTCGGTTGGTGGTAAGGGGGCGGCGCCGATGCCGATTGGCGTGATGGCCGTGGCGTTGAGGAGGATGTTGAGAGGGCGTCCGTGTGTGTTGAGCACTTGGATCGCATTGGAGGACGGGGCCTTGCTGGTGGTCGAAGATGATGACGAATCGCGCATTTGATGCCAGAGGTTGCGGAGAAGGCTGTTGATATTGGTCGCCAGAGTATCTGGAGCTCGAGGGATATCGTCTGTGTCGTGGTGGTCGGCGTCAAAGGGGTTATATTCCTCTAATATCTCATCGTCGGGAGGGGCGCACTGCTCTTCTGGCGTCTCGTAATCCTCTGCAAACACAGAAGTGGCGTTCCCGAGGACTTCTTCAGATGATCCTTCACTTGCAGATACCTTGTCCACGGGGTCTACATTCGCGGCCATGTCCACGTGGTAGAGTTGATGTATCTTGACCGTCGTCAGGTCTCTAACAAGCTTGAACTTGGTGTCGGATATATCCGCAAGCAAGGCTCGGTTGAAGACGATGTGCTCATCTCGTCCAAGACCAAACCCATTTACCTTGGTGACCCTTAGTTCTTGTGCACCGTCAGGGCCCATTTCCAACCGCATAGTGAGCTTCAGTCCAGCCAGTCTATTGACCCTGATGTGATGTGTATCGATTCGGTCCAGGTTTTGGGCTCCTATTATTGAGTCGAAGACACCGTTCTGGCCGACCGTGCCAAATTCCAGATGATATTCAGCCGGCTCAGAGACCATGGCACAAGTACCATTCTCGGATAGCATGGTTGGCGGCAATGTCCAGGGAAAGTATGTGTGGTTGTGCTTGGCCCTGTAGGTCCCAGGTTTGTCACCGGCTTCTATGCCGGCGTGCATATTGGGCATCATGTGCAGATCAAGCATACGGGCGGCATGAAACATATCTGTACGCGAAGTAATGCTAGATCCGGTCAGAGAGAAGATCTCTGGAGGCTTCGGGCATACGTTTCTGAACCGCTCGTCGTAGTAGAACAGCGCGATCTCCTTGGTTGCGGCAGGAGGAACAGGTCTTGTCTTTGTAAGGTATTTTGACTCTTTCGGTATGATCAGGGGATGGCCTTCAGTGGTGAAGACATAAGCGGCATCCAATGAGTTGAGGGGGTGGCTATCGTCGTAGAGCAGGTACAGATACTTGGTCGTCTCACCGAGGAAGAAGCTCTCCATGCGGTCGGTCAGCTCTCCTGTGACGACATTCTGAATGCCCGCAAAGCCACATTCGGTTCGACAGCGGCGGTTGATATCACGCATGACCATTTCACCAACGTACAGGTACCAAGAGTCCTTGGTAGCGCGGTACAGATGATAAGTCGACTCGATGAACTCTGGCCGTAGTGGCCACCAGCCCAGACCCCCTTCAACATGCTTTTCCTTGAAGGACCACCGTTCAGGCAGTGCGGCATACTTGGTCCACAACGCAGCGTGGAGTAGGTTTGTTTCAATAGCTTCATCCAGCTCTCCGGCCAAGATCAAAAGGCCGGGGTAGTATGCGCCCAGGCTGTCTATCCATTGGGATGCTTGCGAGCCAGTGAGAAGATTGACATTGACGTAGTGCGGGTGGCCCGTCTCGTCGTATTGGTGGTGCTTGATCGCGGCATGCGCGTGATGCCAGGCGTCCAGAAAAGCCGCAGGTGAGTTTTGTTCCTCGGTCAGAGGAGTCCACAGCTCATTGGGGTCGAGCCAAGTGCTTCCCGGAGCGCGCCGTCGTGGAGTGGTGGCGTTGGGTATTTCGTGGCCCGAGAGCAAGATGTGCGACTTCAGCGCGTATTCAAAAAAGCTGTCAGCACCGGCGCCGATGACCGCGTGGCCTCCGATCCAGTTGCCATGCTCCGCATCAACACCTGCGCCTATGAGACCGATGTCACTCCTCCGATTCCACACAGCCCAGAAGGCGCGTTTGGCAATCTGCTCAAAACGAGGATCGCCAGTGAGCCTGCTCAAGACGGTGAACTCTAACACCAGGCTCCCAGCTCCCGCGCTGCATGTCTCCGTAATCTCAGCAGGGCCAGGGGTGTTGGTGCCTTGGGTGCCCAATTCATCGTAGAATAGAGGCGAGTTTGGGAAGAATGGAATGCCGTGGCGGAGGTTGACACGTGGGTACGGCATCCCTGTGGTGGTGTAGAACGCGGGCAGTAGACGCTGCGCAAGGTCAAGGGCCAGGCGCAGTAACTGCCCGTCATATTTGAATCCATTGGGCCATGAAATAGGCGGCAACTCCAATGGGTTCTCGGGGTCCGTCTCCCCAGAGGGTCTTGGGTTGTAGCCGTTGATAGGCAGCTCCCCGATGGCGAACAGATGCGCGCTGAGCAGGCCTCCCACCCCACGAATGACTGTTTCGAAGACCTGGATCTTGCTGTCAAGATCAAACCCCCTCGACCGCGTGCCATGACCTGACGGTCCTGGCCTCCCATCTCCATATAATTCTACCAGGTCCGCGACGCCACTCTGGAAGTCGCGCAGGGCTTTGGCTCCGGTGCCGTTGTCATCGGGTGGCGCAGAAGCTAGTATGGCAAGGGTCGAGAGGGTATCGATGAGAGTGACAGAGTAGTTTCCGAGGACATCGTTCAAGCCGAAGTTGTTGATGTTCAGGTTGTCCCTAGTCAGAGGGGCACACGTGAGAGGCCGAAGCTGTGGGACAAGTTGTCAGCGCGGAGTTCTGAGACCAGACAGGGCGGCGCCGTGCAGCATACCTCGTCATCAGGAAATGCCACCCTCATGTAGTTGTCATATCCGTGGTAGAACATCTCGACCGTGTCGTCCCGGAGGCTCGCGATGCGGTCGGGCCGCATCGCCCACGACTGTTCAAGCCATGCGAGCAGCAACAGGGCGATGCAGAGGAGCGATGTTGACAATGGCATCGAGAGCGACGACGGTAGAGAAGCCATGCCCAGCAGACGTCACCTGCAGCAGACACACGAGTAGCTGAAAGTCTTCATAGGGCCTTGGTTCCCTGGGAACGTCCCCGAGGAGGGCTGCGATGGGATCGATCGAATGCGCTCGGTTCCCTCGTCACGCTACCATCTCTTTATGTTGGGTTTCGGTGCGTCTCGCGGGCTGCCAGTGTCGTCGCCAGTTAACGAATGAATGCGATATCCGCGTATGCTGTAAATGAGTCAATAGACTATGTGTAGTTGTAAATCTTTCCGTGAGCCGGGCCGATGAATTACAAACATGAGATCGACTTCCAAATTGAGCAATGCTGTCATCTTGCCAGGATTGGGTGGTCGTCCCTTCCGCTGCTGACTAAAACAATGAGCCAGCATTGGCCTGATTGTCAAGTGCCCAGTGAGAACCCACAGAGAGCATGAGCACTAGCACCAGCACCAACACCAACACCATGCAGCAAACATACAAGATGCTCTCACTCGAGTCATCGCGTCAAGACCGTCAAGACCGTCACCCATTGTTGACTCCTCCTGACAGGAAAAATACTGCATTTCTTTAAATTCAACAATCAATCACGCATGCAGAACCGACGCATACTGTACATAGCTGCAGACGCGTCTCGACCATGCTGTGCGCCACCGGAAAAGGGTATCTGACACCAGGGGCCACATCCGACAACACCCTCCCTCTCTTGATCCTGGATGAAGCAGCCATACAAACATGCAGCAACCCGAGTCAAGAGAGTGAGGCATAGTGATCTCGTATTCTCACCGCATCTCCACTGTCGGCCGGATACCATCCTGGGCTCAATGTCCTGCAGTATGGCATCGCATTGGCCCAGCTTCCCGCTGCAATGCACACACACACAGACACGATAACGGCCCGCAGGAAGAAGCAAAACGCGTCGCCCCCATGCATCGGGCGTACTGACAACGAGTAGCTATTCAGGCGTCGGGCTCCCCAGACGTGCGTCCTGCGATGTATGTCATTTCTCTGTGCTGCCAGCCAAGCTTTGGCCTCATCATGTCACTACTGGAGGCCGGAATTCGTCTTTATACATGCTTCTTCCTCGCTACCGACATCCCGGGCCACAATCCAACGGAGCCACGCATGAACGCTCAAAGGAGCCTGCTGCATGCCGTGGCTGAACGGCTGGCTCGCAACCATCGCCTCACCTTGCCACGGACGTGGCTTGCCTTAGATCGACTGTCAGTCCCCGGCACCTGCAGCAACCGTTGCACAAAGTTTGGAGCCACTGGCCGTGCCTCGTCCCTCGGCTACACCTCCAGTGTCTTCTGGTTTATTTTTCCCTTTTTAAATTTATTTGTCTTTTTTTCCCCTCTTGTTCTTCTTTGCTTTTCGCGTCAACAGCTATGAAGGCTCAATCGCCTCCCTCTCCACCGCACGCACATGTGGTTGGTTCCGGCTGCGCGAGAGTCCCGTGGAAGCTGAAGCTGCCATTGCTCCCAGGATCAGCAGTACTGTTTTCAGCATTGGAGGTATTGACAAGTCTAACTCCGAGAAACGCGTCGAGCTTGCATTCGGGAAGGAACATCAGCCATGCAGTCATGCCATGCCCCGCGTGCTCACCCCGTTCAGATACTCCATGGCTGGAAATGTTGCCGGCCGATCTGCGCCGCTGGGCTGCGGTTGAGCTACTGCCCATGCACAATGTAGTCTTTCTCAGTTCAGACCCCTCCATCGCCACACTAGAACAGGGTGTCGATGTCAAGACCACCGGCTTGTGATCTGGTACGGGATGCATCTCTTCCAATTCAGCCCTCTGGCCCTTTTTGCGACCTGTCGACTGGCTGGTCACCTCAAATCATACGACGCACCCCATGTGGTCTGCCAGTCTATAGATGGCATCAGGGTGGGTGGGTGTTTCGGCCCCCAATTCCTTGGGTCTCAACGCACAGGATCTACAATCGGCCCAAATCATACGGCCGAAAGTTATCGGTCTTTGACGTCGCTTACACACAAGTCGACCGATATCCTGGCAATAATCAAACCTTGAATCTCTCCCTGTATCTGAAGGAGAGAAGCCGCCGCTCGCACGTCTCAATGGCGCCGTAGGTATTGCAGTGCCAAATGTCAGCCGCAAACACACGCGCAGCGGTACATTTCGAAGCGGCGAAAGGACAAACACCATGGCCGTTTCTGACATGACTTCGTATCCCCGAGACAAGGCTGTCAGATTGTCCGCAAGTACTTGTGTGCGCACTTGTGCGGGCGCAATACTGCAGACCATTTAGACTACTGCAGGCTGCCCAAGTACAAATCACCACCCACTGCGTCTTGCTGCATCTGGCCATGGGTCCGGAGCTGCAGAGGTGCCTTTGGCCAGTGAACACTCGCATCCGCCCTGGTTAGATGCATGGACTTGCAGCACAGCGCCTCGCTTCCAGACAGCCGGAACCTGACCTGACCATACACAGATGCAGCTGCAGGCGCTGGAACCACCGAGAAAAAGTTAACTTTGCTGCATCGACTGCCAGCGCAGGAAAAGTGACCAGCATCATCGGGGAACCTCTGACAAACGCTGCTTGACCGACATTCTTGCTCATCTGGCCCACGGCCATGGGGGACCAGCCATACCGTTGCAGAATCCTCTGTCAAAGCCAGCCCCCGATCCGCTTTCAATGCCCCCCCTACCCCCTGTTTACTAGGCGCGACAACGTTATACTCTATATTAGTGCATTACGATTTGGTTCCTTGGGCTGGGATAGGCGATCGGGCGGACGCTACACCAAGTGCCATCGCGCCGGTCGGCACCTCCAACCGTGGAAGCACAGACGTACAATGGCGCTAATTAGCAGCCGTTATTGATCCTTGGCGCGCTGCTGTCGATTTATTCTCAACTGGGCAGCCGGGGGTAGCTCTTTGCCGCGATGTGTGTAGGGGGAGGGAGGGGATGGGGGAGGGTCCTGCCCTGGGTGCTGATTGCTAAGCCAGGTCATGGCAAGTATTGTGGTCTGCAAGGTTACCGATCCTCCACGGCCCACTCGGTGAGGTACACAATCTGGGTTCTTTCGCACACTATGCAACAGTACAGTACCAGTCAGTGGAGCTTCCCCGACATTGGCAGCAACGACAGCCGGGGACATTTGTCCAAGGGCCCAGTCCACTGCCGGCTTTCAATGCTCCTTGGTTCGTCAACGAGAGGATTGCGGCACCTGGGTGGGCATGAAGCCTCATCTTACTTGACGCCATTGCGCAGTAAATGGACTGCACTCACGTCCAAATAGAGTGCTTAGTCGAGCCGATCGAGCAAAGGTACCCTGTCCTGCGGTCAGCTGGCTAGTGTGATGGAGTCACTCGTCACTCACTCGCTCACTCACCTCCTCTCCTCCTACAATTCCGTTCCCGCTTCCTCCAATCCTCCTGCTCCACCGTTCTAAGCCCCTTCCCCCCTCTCAGCCCAAGCGCGTTTTTCTGTTTCAGCCCTAAATATTCCTAGAAAAGACGGACCCCCACACGATCAGACGTCAAGGGGTCCGCGTGCCGTCATTCCGTGGTACTTCTCAATTTGTACACTACTGCACTACTGCAGAGTACCATGGTCCCCGCCCCCCCATTCCAAAGTTTATCCTTCTCTGTTTTTTTTTTTTTTGGGGGGGGGGGGGTGTTTGGTTTTGTTTTTCGTCTTCCTTCCAATCCAGTGGCTATCGGTAGCCCAATAAATTTTGGGGCTGCTGACCAGTGTCAGTACCACGAGGAGCCCGGCCCCCAAATATCCAAGTTGAGATGATCCTCGGCACTACCTAGTCTAGCACCGCAAATCGAGGCGATCTCGGGGCATTTGGGCCCACTGTCTGCCTGGGAGTTGACTGTTTTGACTTTTGAGCCCCTGTAAAGTAGCCTCCGTCTGCAGTGTCATCGGCCTCGTTCCGAGTGAGCTGGGCGGTGGGCGGTGACGGCACGCTCGCAAGGCAACAATTCCAAGTCTGCCAGCGATGACACTACGGGCTTTGCAGCTCTTGTGCCTGCCTGCCTGCCTGTCTGCCTGCGGGATATGCATGCACCTTGTAGAAAAAGACAGTGACTGGGAAACGTGAGAGAGCATGCAGACGATTTATGATCATTAACGAATAATAATTCAATTTGGGGGAGTGGCCCTAGGATATGACAGACTAAATCTATCTATGTACGTTAGAAAAGTAATGGTGTCAAGGACAAAACAAGGTCCTGATGCCAGTAATCTCTGCGCAAAGAGTGAGCAGACGTGATAAAATCCAAAGACAACAACAATTGGGAATCTCTAAACATGAAGCATAGCCGCCGTAAAAGATTTTTTTTTAAAAAAGAAACGGGACACAAAACCAGGAGCAAAACAAAACAGCATTCCGCCTCCAGACCAGTAGCGCAGTTTTTAGTTCGCAAGGGAGAGAATTTCTTTTTCCACGAACAGAAGAAGAGGATGGGGGAGAAATGAAATCTATGGCCCCCGCTGCCTAGAATGACCCAAAGATTACCCCACGAACAAGTAATAAGTGTAACGAGAAAACGATAGTGTGGAGGTATCAAGTATCGGACAGACCACCGTGGCTGCCACCAAACAGACAAAAGAAGGAACGTGGAGACATGGTGAAAGGGTACAACCATTCCCCAAAAGGTAGGAAGGGGGGGATCTAGCTCCCCCTCTGCCTAGAAGAAGCCGCCGAGGCTAGATCGGCACAACCCTCCGTGAGGAGGGGACAAAACAACTGGAGGATGAAGGACTCGTAGATAGGGCTGCATTAGCCCCGAATCTTCTGATTCTCGTATCCGGCCCGCAACAGGAAGGACGCGATAGGTCCAAAGTCGGAGCAGGCGCGAGACACAAAAAAAAAGAGAACATGGGAAGAACCAAAGGGTCTCCCTGTCAACATCACCGGCTGCAACCGATTGATAATGATGAGCGCGAACAGGGTTGGCCGCAGTAAATTAGTCAATCAATTACACACCAGCGTACTGGTGGTGGTTGTTGTGCTGCGCTGGGCCGCCCGAGTGCTCCAGCAGCTCGCCGCACGCCTGCCTGGCCACGGCCGCGCTGCGCTGCGCGTTGATGTCCGGCGATGCGGACGCCGAGGCGATCATGCCGTTGATTGCGGGCAGCGAGGATGAGGACGGGCGGCTGCTGCGGGGAAGCTGTTCCTCAGGGTATGGGTCGTCGGACATCTTGATGTCGTCGTGAGGGTGCTGGTTGTTGTGGCGCTCCAACGCCCAACGCCGAGTCCTCAGGGCCGGTCTCGAACGGCGTCCGCTCCAGGCACTCGTCGATGAGCTGCTCGTGCTGCTCGTCGGTCAGCGGCGGCTGGGGCTGACCGTTCAGCTGCTCGACCAACATGTCGTATGAAGATGACCCAGCCGACATCTCCCGCTTGTGCCCGCCGCCGATGCCGTACGGGTGATGCTGCTGCTGCCCAAAGTGCTGGCTGGGGTAGTGGCCGAACTGAGGCGTCAGGTCGAACACCGCTGGGAGGCGCTGCTGCTGGTGGTGTGGCATGTGGATAGAAGAAGACTTGGTGTGTGAGGAGCCGTGGCCCCCGGCGGCGCGGTGGCGCGCCGGGATCTGGACGCGCCTCCTGCGCGCCTTGGACGGCTCGCGCTGCTTCTGCTCCAGGCCTAATCTGACGAGCTCGGCCTCGACGTGGACACTCTTCCACTCGTACGCCGGGGCGTGGCCCTCGTTCTGTAGCTCCTCCATGAACAGCCTGAAGATCTCGTTGTAGCGGTTCTCCTCCCATTTCACATAGGCCTTGAGCAGTGCGTCTTTCTGTTTACAGGCAGGGCTGGTCAGCGGCTCGAATCTCGAGTGGTATATGGTGGATGTGTACTTACGTCGCGCGCTGGCCATTCGCCGTGTCTCAAGACACCCCTGTGAATTTTCATCTGCAGGTTCGCCTTGACCTGCGTCTTCTTGTCTTCGCTGAGGGCATCGGCCTCCTCAGGCCCCAGGAAGTCCCTAATGATGTTCTCCCACATGCCATGGCCCTTCCTGCCAAACCACTTCTGCCTGATGCTCCACAGTCGTCTCAGGTCAGCCGGTGTCTTCTGGTCCAGGTCGACGTCCTCTTCCGGCGCGAGTGCCTCAACGCCCCTGCCGGCATCATCGAACCTGAAGGCCTGGGGCATCGTCGGCGGGCTGGACGATTGCTCCTTCTTCACGCGGGACTTCCTGGCGCTGGGCTTCCGGCTGGGGTGTCTCTTGACCTGGGCCGGTGGAGGACGCCCATAGTTTGATGGCGAGAGCCTTGATATTGGGAGCACGTCGCGGCGGTACTGCCCTTGTGGAGGCTGCTGTAGCATGTTTGGAGCCAGCGGCCTGTGTGTGTAGGATCCGCCGTTGATGTCTGGCAGGCCAGTTCCACGGATCAGTCCGTAGGAGTTGTCGTTTATTACATCGTGCATGTAGTATGAGGGCAGCCCGTCTGGCTCTGGCCCTACCGACACGCTAGATGCGCTGTAGTGGCCAAAGTATGGGGCGGGCTGTGGTGGTGGGATGGGGTCTTCGTGGCCTGGGGAATTATGGATGTAGGGCCCAAGGATATCATGGGATGCTTGAGTCACAGTGGCTTGAACGGGCATGGGGGAAGATGCCTGGCTCGCACTGTTCACGTAGTCTGAGTAGGGATACATCGTGGACGTGTTGGGAGGGGTTGGCTGTTGTGGGCACTGAGGAGAGTCTTGCGGCTGGTGGTACGGCGACTGGACCTTGGACCGCTGGTGCAAAGGTGGTGAAGCAGCGCTGGACACCGGAGTCAAGAGATTATCGTCGTCGACAACGGTATGCTGGTCGAAGGCCGAGACCTGTTGGTAGTTGTGAGCCAAAAAGGTTCAAGTGTGGTCACGCATGGAGGTGGTGGAAGAGATCGGGGCCCGTTCCTTCGCGTGCGTGTATATATAGACATACATGCATGGGCGCAAGGAGGCGGGAGAAACAGTCACAGTGGTGGGAAGACTCACCGAAGAGTATATCTGGTCTGGATCTGGGTATGCGGAAACAGTGGATGGCTGTCCACTGGGGCAGGAGCCGTCGGGCAGCGTAGATGTATTTGTGCCCACCTGGTCGTGCGCACTGTGGGCGAGATACTGAGGACTCGAGGCCATGTCGATCAGAGCTCGCATCCGGGCAGAGGTGCAGTCAACCCTTTTGTCTTGTTCAAAGAAACCTGGCTTGGGAAGGATGTCTGCCAGCTGAGTGATGGAGTGGCGGCTTGTGAGAGCGCTGATCTAAGCTCTACCTTTGATTCGATGTCTCGAGCAGAGCAACAGCAGTGAGGGGCGGTTGGTTGTTGTATAACCGGATTCTCGACAAAGAATGATAATGGTCTTGCCTTTGGAGGTCTTTGGGAAGGTCAGGGGAACGGTCTTCATTTTAAAGAGAGCCTCGCCATCGGCAGACGCTCGAGGGGTCCGTCTTTGAGCTAGAGCTGGTGGTGGGTAGAGTACACATGGTACATGGCGAGTGTGGATCCCGCCCACGGCTGTTGTAGAGAAGCTCGGTGGCACAGGCACGAGTGACATGGACAGAGAAGGCAAGTGGAGAGCAGAGAAGCTTTGCGAAGTGAAGACGTGCCCAGCCAGCAGCAGGGGTGGGAGACACGGTAGAAGTCACAACAAGGGTCAGTATACTTGGGTACGTACAGACTGTGCGCAGTGGCAGTTCAACCAAAAATGCTCAGGCCAGGGCCCGGAAGTCTGTAAGGCGGACGACGGTACGTACTCCATACTCCTTAGATGCAGCCGCAACGGGCGAGAGGGCCCTTGCCCGTCGGCGACGCGGCGGTCATGGTAATTTTGACAGCTAAGTATCGGTAGAGCTCTTGATTCGCAAGGTAGCCGCTGATGGTCCAGTGTCATTGCCAAGGGGGCTTGCCAGAGTGGGATAGTACTATCCCGTTCGGGTATGATACAGGGCTATTGCGGCCATCGACCTGGTCGACCGAAGTGTACTTAAGGGGTGTGGACCGGGAAGGCAGACTGGACACAGGAAGAAGGTGGATCGGGCATAGGGCTCGATGTCTGCAGCTCGACAGCGCCTAATGAATGGGGCAGGTGGGTGGAGGGCCGGGCAAGGCAGGGCAGGGAAGGGGAGGGAAGCCGGGGAGAGTCCAGGGAGTAGGGCCCGGCGTGGAGTGCCGTGTAGAGCAGGGAAATCCTGGAATAGAGTTGTCCTCACAGCAAGGGGCGGAGACAGCAATGCCTCTGGCCTTGGCTTGGGCCACATCTGATGCGATGTGCATTTGTCTAGACGGAGACCCTCGGTGCCGTCTGGTGCGCGGACCTGGCATAGCCCCTGCCGGTGACCCCTGAAAGCTGGCTTCTGACATCAGGTCATGCCGGGTTGTTGCTACCGTTGCGATGTGTACTATGTGTGCGATATACTGGGGCCGCCGTCAAGTGGGCTGGGGTCTCTGGGGCAGCGGTGCGGATGGCAGCCGGAAATAGGTGGGAATTTTTGCGCCGTCGATAAGCCATGAACTACAAGCCACACGTTTTTTTTTTTCTTGTCGCAGTGGGTTCCGTCCCTTGGACGGGAGGGCCTGCTTGAATTCGACGAGAAGACAGGGTCTCGTGTTGCTCCACCCAGGGTTGCATAGAGAAACACAACGACGAGTTAGGTCAACGGAGCGAACGGGACAAAGCCGACAGTGGGGTGACTTCACCACCAGCTCCTCTTGAGGCTTGACATGAACACCCAAGGCGTCGGCTGTCATAGGTCTGGTCCGTGGGATATGCCCCTTGAGCTGAGGGTGTGTGTGTGTGTGTGTGTGTGTGTGTGAGCCGTCGTCATCAAACAACAGGCGTGATACCCGTCCCGGAATTCGGACTTTAGGCCTAAATGTCGCCGACTGCCCATGTTGTGGCCACCACGCCTGGAGTGTTGAGTGCACGAATGGGAGACGCGAGCGAATGCGGCGGGAGTCAAGTGGATACGGCTCTTGACGTGGGCCGCGGTCGTCCCAACTCGGCTCTCAGCCCCAGGGAGCAGTGTCGCGAGAACAGGTAGGGTAGGGCAGATCGCAGGGTGGATTTGGCAACTCTTGTTGGGTGTCCTTTCTCCAGCCCTCATGCAGCGAGACCGAGTTCCATGTTCTTCGCAGGGTCTTCGGGGCAAAGACCGTCCGGGCCGCAAGAGCAGCATGCCGCATCCAGTCCTCGGTTAGGAACACAAGCCGTGGCGTCAGTGCGGTGCCAGGCACGCAGCATGAGAGATACGTACTCCAGCGCTGAAATTGAGAGCTGTGATTGCGAAAGCCTGGGATATGAATGGGTGGGGAAGTAGCCAAGTCCGGCTGGGATCTTGAGTGGTCGAGGGTCAACGTGGTCGGCGACGATGACTTCAGCCTGAAGCGACGACGGTCGGACACAGCTTCTCCTCTGTACATGTAGACGCGAGCAGACTGGGTACCGCTGAAATGACGAGGAAATGAGCAGCGGGCAGGCGGCACAGATTGTCTGAGGACCCTGGGCATTTTCGATGAGGTGACATGACGGTGCCTGGCCAGGGAAAGGCTGATCTTTCTTTGCTCGTGACAGGCGGGGGAAGCAACACTCGCAACACACAACGCATGCCCCCACCATCACCCAAGACGCTCCGGTGACCATTCGACGGTGAGCCAGCGACAAAGAGGGTTGGCTGCCATTGGGTGGGTGTGGCTAGATGAGACGAGACAAGACGAGACGAGAACGACTACGGTCAGAGGAGACAAGAGGGCCGCGGGATGACAGACGCAGCAAGAGTGAGTGACATACAGGAGATGACAGGTGGGAGGCAGATACGGGATGTACCACGGGACGTACCTACCTAGGTAGATGACCTTCCTGGGAGGGAGGCAAGTACCGCACAGCACACCGTACGGTACGTGGAAGAGGGAGAGGCAAGCACGGGAAGGGTGAAGGTCGGGGAAGACGGCTAGGGGCACTAGGAAGTGGGTGAGGAAAAGACACTGCGGGACGAGGAGATTGGCTCTGCCCATCGGCAACTCTGAGCGAAACAGGGGTCCGAGAGGTGGCAGACCCTGTGAGGAACGGATCGTCGCCAGCGGAGAAGCACGGATTGCCCTCTGGCGCAGGCTGGCGCTGCCGTTGCAGCAGAGGTGGAGCGCCGTTGCAGGTTGGGCAGGGGCTGTGATTTGACGCTTGACGATTTCGGTGTTTGACCATTCCCGTCAGTCTTGTCTCTCGGTCGCTCTTTTCCTACATACCCCCATCCCAGGCCACCACCAACACCACCACCCCCCCTTTTCAGCCTATCATGCCCAAACGCCCAAACGCGCGCACACACACACACACACACACACATACAAGATGCCTGACGAACCGATGTGACGAGCAGCGAGCTTTGATGAACGCATAAAGGGGGATGCAGCCCGGTTCAGGTATGACCTGGGATGGCAGGACCTGACGGGGTCTGGGGAAGGAAGTTGCTGGACCTCGAAACAGACTAGGCCTCGGGAGAGATAGCAAACAGACCAGACTAATCTGCGCAATCGGCACTAGCAAGCACAAGCACAAGCCACCAGTCCCTCCGTCCCTCTTTGCCTCACTCGGTGGGCGCCGAATGGGAACAGTCCAGGCATAACACAGCACAGGCGCACTAGCAGTGGAGATTAGGCGCGCACAAGGCCAACTCCCATCCCAATTACGAGTATCCAAAATGCTTGCGGGCCGCCGAATCACCCCAATGGAACACGGCATCAGGAATTTGGCTCTGGGCTACCATCAGAGCATCATCTCGGGAGCCCTTCCCGGTGGGTTCGGATCTGGGTATCCGAACAGAATATGCCTCCCTCGCGTCCCAGACATGTCATGTGCCTAGCCACCAGCACGAGCTGGAACCGGTCCCTCAGCCAGCATGACGACGCGACGCTCACATTATGCACACCTAGGGATTCTGCTATTTGGCAACGTATGAACATCGTCGCCTATCACCCTCTGATGCCCGCCTCCCCGTACCGCTGAGGCCAAACTGTTGACAGCCGGAAAAACCATGGCGGACATGCCCAAGATTGTGGCCGAGAAGGACCATGGCACATTGAGGCCCCTGTTTGACCCTTGGTCCATGCTCCGATGGCTGATGAAATATGGGTGTCCCTGGCTTGCGGCACCCGGGGCCGACTGGCGCGATCTTGGTTCCGTGGTGGACACTGCCGATCATCAGAGGTTCACAAAACGGGTTGTGCTTCGAGACTGAGAGCCAGGCATAAAGCTTAGTCAGTGCTCAGGGCCAGCCACGGTCCAGCTACTCATGCCCAGGACAGCAGAACCCTGGAGACGGGAGGAACTGGTCGCGCTAGAACGGAGTGAAGTGGAAGTCGACCGGCACATTGTGGACAGGAGACAAGGCTCCGGATCCTGCGCTAAATTCATCACTTGCGTGGCTAATTTCTGCATGGAATCAAATCCTCAACGGCTCGGCCAGGCACAAGGCCCAGCAGGATCAACAAGCCCAATAACAACGACGTATTTTATCGATGGCTGTCGGGGCCTGTAGGAGGAGGCACAACCAGCCAGTAGAGGAGGTCAATAGCCGAAACAAGCGCCCCAACAGGCCAGCCTTGGTCACGGACATGCAGCCATTCAAACGCGCACACATACATACGCCCACCCACATTCCCACACCGACGCCGAGGTACCTCTTTGATTTCCCATGACCGAGGGGCCCTACCCGAGCATGTACCATGGTCGACTGCCTCCGGACGGAGGAGAGTGACTGACGCAATCCGGCTAGAAAGCGGGGAGGGGGAGGGTAGCCGATACAGAAAAGAGCACACAGCTCACAGCAAAGTCCGTGGGTACCATAAGGGTACCGTAACACGGCGCAGCAGGAGGTTCAAAGACGAAGCGTTGTAACGCCAAGGGAGGAAGTACGTATAGGACCGGGTCGCCGTGTGGAAGATGAGACCAGCCCCCCCGCGCGCGAATTGGAGGTACCAGGTAAGTTGCATCCATGCTGCCAAGCGGAGTGCTCTGGGGGCTGAATGCAACCCTCCGACCAGTCAACTTGCGTGCCGTTCCGTCGGTAACGCTAGAGCTGCTTAAGGCTAGCTCAATGCAACATCCACTGGGGTGCTCCCTGTATATCGTGCCAGAGGCGCCTGCAG